CCCAACCCCAAACCCAAACCCAAACCCAACCCCAAACCCAACCCCAACCCCAAACCCAAACCCAGAAGCTTAAAATAATTATATTAAAATTTGCTAGAAATTGGATTTTTCGATTATAATTTTATATATGACACTTAAATAGTATGGTCTAATTCCTTATTAATATGGTCTAATATAAAAATTTATTAAAGAAAACAAATGAAAATTCTTCAGTTTAATTGGCAATTCAATAAATAAAATAAATATAAAACTAATTAAATAATAAAAAATCATCCATTTATTTTGACTTATGAAAATTCTTATTAAAATTGGCATTATGGATTTTACCAATTAGATAAGCCTTTCGAGTTATTTTAAATTTGTAAAAAAATAGGTTTTCTTGCTTCTAAAGATATCTAACTTATTATAGATTAATTTTATAAAGCACAGTAATCTTGCTAAATTATATTACATTAGTATGATTAGATGATCATTCTTAATTTATTCCCTGAGAAAATTAATCTCACCTTCTTCATAAACAAAATAAATTGAGGATTTAATAATAAGTGAATTACAAAGAAAAATAAAATTTGCTTAAAAAAAATTTGAATTTTTTTATTTTGGATGTTTCAGAAATTAAAAAAAAAAAAAATTTATTGAAATTGACTGCTCTTATAATCATAATTTCCATTTTCTGAATAAAAACATAGGAAATTATAAATTATTTAGAAAATATAAAAAATAGACTGAAAAAATGAATTTTTAATATGAAGAAAATTTGCAAATTTAGAGCAAATATTTATCACGTATTTAAAGTATTAAAATTATCATATTAAACCTTAAGAGTAGTTTTAATTCAAACAGTAAAATCAGTACTCAAATAATGTAATCAATTATAAATTAATTAAATGCAAGACTAATCTCTAATTTCGAAGATGAACAAAATATGCATGTTCGCAATATTCATACTCTTTGAGATGAGTTAAAATATAATATAGAATTGTTTTTAATTATTTGAAAACTAACTTACAAATTATGGGATTAAATCACAATGTCAATATAAACCAGATCAATAAAACATAATCATAATTGAAGATAACTAATTAATTTATTTTATATCCAATTAATAAGCATAATAAAAGTAGTAATAATGAGAAATAAGTAGAAATTATAGGTATAATTTTGAATAATATTTGGAAATAAGGCATGAAATTACAGATTAAGTTCTTTTGAAATAGTAGAACAACTCAAAGGATAATAGTAACTTTTGATTAGGATAAAATTTTAGATTTAAATTAATTATTAAACTTTCTAAATTATATTAAACTGTTAAAGTTGTTGTTGTAAAATACAATTATAAATAAAGTTCATGAAAGAACTACAATTTATTTGTTTTCTATAAGATTATTGATTTTGTAAACAGAAAATAGGCTGACCAATCCAAAAACCTGTAATAAAATTAACGATATAAATGTGTTGTTATTAAAATTACAAGTTATAAAAATTAAAGCTAAAGCAGCAAATGAAATAGAGTAAATAAAGTACATTAAGTCTACTAGGTAGATGAGCTAAGATTTATGAATAAAATACTTTAGGAAATCTCAAAGTTAATACAGATATCACACTCGAAGTCATTGCTGAATCGCAAAATCCAGTTGCACATGAGAATACCAATACTAGAATCTCATACTAAAAGTAATATGATGTCCAAGCCACAAAACAACCAAATTAGAATATGTAGAGAATGTATATAAGGGCGCTTATATATTATTAATAATGGGTACTTAATTTTATCTTTGGAATCTCCAAGCCAACCGATTCCAAATGAACCAAATAATTCACCAACTCCTACATACAAATATCCCTATAGTACCAATCCGGCTTGGAATGTTAATTTCTTAATTCCTGGATAAGCAAAAAATGGAAAAAAATAGATAAACAAAAATGATTAAATGCAGGCAATAAAACATAGCAAAACCAGAACTGATAAAAATCCTTCTTGATACAGTTTCTCAAAGGTTAAATAAATGTTCTAAAAGTAATTGCGATTTTAATATTCTTCAATTGATATGGAATTCTTTGTCTATTGATTTGTTGATTCTAAGAGTTCTACTAAGCTTTGTTCTTCTATGGAGAAGCACTGCAATGTCATAATAGATTTGGTATTAGAATTTTAAAACATTTAAGATTTGAATAAATGCAGATCAACCGCAGATTTTGATTGGGATCTTGAAGTTTCCTCTGCATTTTTAAATGTATCACTTTCATCATCATTATCACTGTTAATATAAGTTGATTTTAGGAGTAATTCTCTAATACCACCAGTTAATTCCAATTTTGACTGCTTTTGACTTTTGGTATTGAAATATTCAAATATTGTTCTATGAAATTTATCATAACGACCATCAGATTTTTCGGGTATGGACAAATAAAGGAGACTCACAACAAATTGTAATAGAATAAGTAAACCAAAAACTTTGGAAATGGAGTTGTCTTAATTCATATCATATGTAAGGAATACTTCACCTATCAAACTTCCAAGCAACCATTACAAGGAATGACTAATTAAAATTTGTATATTACATGAAAAAAAATGAACCATAATAAATCACTTTTTCTTGACTTTTTGATAGGTTGGATAAGTAAAATAGCATGGTAAATAGTAATATTGATTGCATCAAACCAGCAATGATAGATACTAAAATTGCACATAAATATATTATGGCCTTATCACAACCTGGTGATGAAGAATCCTTACACAAACAAGCATAGGGTGCTGGTGTCAAGAATATAATGGGACCAAGTGAGGCAGCCACTAAAATATATCTGAATTTCATTTTGCCAATTAAATTAGGTATGAATGTAAGGCTTAAAGGTCCTACCAATTGAAATAGAAACCATCTAGCAATATTCTACATAAAAAGATTACTAAAAATTAACTAAATTTAATGAGGTATAATCCAAATTGGAAATGCTTTCTGAAAATGAATAGATGTATGCACATGTTAAGAAAATTTTGCCACACATATTAAACGACCCAAAGAGTAGGTAGATGAAGCAAATATAAATAACTAACCATAAAGATTTTGATGAGCTTTTTTCTCTAACTTTCAAATTTCTCTTGTATTTTTTAAACTCTGATTCATTCATATTATTAAAATTATATAAAATGCATAATCAACAAATCTATTTGTCAACAATTGATTTTTGTGTTCAGTTATTATAACAAACTCTCATCACAATTTAACCCTATTAGTTCATCAATCTATTCTTTGGATCGCACATAATCATTCCATAAATTTTTATTCTATAAAACTTTATGATTCTTTAAACCCTCTGTAATGAACTTCATAATTACCAAATAAAGAAAATTTAATGTACTCCTATATCTCCACATTCTCTTAATCTTGAACGCTCAACATTTTGTAAATATTCTTTGAAAACTTAAGCAGATTAATCACTATCTACGCATTTGTATTCAAATTGTTACAATAGTCTAATAAAATATCAGACAATTTCAAACAAGTTTGATATCCCAATGGTGTAACAGAATAATCATTTTTTTGGTTAGATATTTTTTAAATAGTAGAAATCAATGCATCATAATATTACTAAGCTTTGGTCTTTTGTATTAGATTTATCAACTGTTTGATAATGTCATCATTGATCTCAGAAAACCTTAAGGCTTATTCAAACATTTTATTGTATTTTAGATAATCCAATGAATTCGCCTATATAAAATCAACCTTCTTTTAATCAGATCCATTTAGTCCATCAGCTAGTTGCTTTTTCTTACGCTAATTTTCATCTAAATTGTATTATTATTTCAAAGAAAGTATATAATTTTCAACATTTAATTTAGAGAGAAGAGGCCTATCATTTGTTTGTATGATGAGTAACTCGCTTTATTTACTATTACTTTTATATTGCTCTATTTTCTGAGTGATTCCACTAATATCATATTGTAAATTTCTGATCAATGATATCTCATACATAAACAGTTTCATTCCAGCATCTTACACCAATTTTCTTCTATCAATTTCTATATTTAGAAATATGTCTTGAATATAAGCAATATCCTAAAAATATGTGTCTAAATATTAATTATAATAAAGAATGAACTATTTTAAATTCGTTTCGCTTTTCTCGTGATTCCTCTTCTTAGACGTGATCTTACCTTCCAAATAAAACTTTTCCTCATATAATGCTTAATTGTAATCATCTTGTAATGCATGCAATTCCTCTATATTCCTTCTAACCTCCCTCGAATGTTTACTTTGAATCTTATTCACCTCATTAATCCACCCTTAATCAAGGCTAATGGTGTTCTGTAATTCTAAAACAACATTATTTTTCAACTACTAATACAATTCTTTACTCTACTCACTTGAAATTAGAAGATAGTTTCTGACATATTGCATGATATCTGTAAAGCTATCCTGCTGTGTATTCTCAACTATAATACTTAATTCATTTCCTTATCTTACTTTATAAATTTACCTATCTTCTCAAGACTCTTGGAATACACATCTTCTATTTCAGCTCTCTGTTCCAGAATGTTTAAAAACTCTTAAATCGATTTCTTCTTCTCATTAAGTCGTTTGCTTAACTGTTCTGTGATTTATACAATGTCCGGTTCAAATTTAGAGTTTAACATTTTATACAAAAAAGTCTTTTTATACAAATAATAGAAATTTATAAAGTATATATTTTGAATCAATAAAATATTGATTTGTATTACTAATTGATTCATCGAGTGATGAACATACTTAAATGATATTAGAACACGTCCGTCTCAAAATGTATACGACTCATTTATCGGAACTCGACCTTCTTTTAATTATCTTAAATTTATATATTAATATGATAAAGAAATATAATAGATCAAAGATTCTCACTTACCATTATTTAAATTTATACCCATTTATATATCCTTATCGATTATCAATTTAATTATAAGTTTAATATAAATTACCCTAATTTATTATTTATGGAAGTCTAAATGCATTCAAAATTAATTTAGGAGTGCACACTCAACTTATTTTTTAAATAATTATTGAGTATAATTCAAGATAATGATATATTATAAGTTATAATTTTTATCTTAAAGGGCTTAATTAATTCATCCCTGTTTTTAATTTATTAAAACTAATCCTTTATTAACTTAGATTGTTATACCTGAATTCATACTTCTTTGGAGTATGGGTCTCTCTTTTTAAATTTGAATAAAACAATAATAATATAATTATTTAGATTTCTTATAAATTGTATCAATAAAATAGAATTAATATGAATCATTGCTTGTTCATCCAAAATTTAATAGAATAATTATCTTTAGTTATTAAGACTTTATTCTTCTAAAGAGCTTTCAAAATTATGACTGCATCGTCTAAATTTTATTTTAACAATAAAGTTCCTTTTTACCAATCCCACAATGAGACACATCCTTGTTTTTAAAAAAGATTGTTTTAAGCTATTGTAATTAGATTTGAATCATTTATAAAATCTAAATTGACTAATCTAACTGAAAAGAGTTCCAATTGTCTTATGATGATTGGCACTTTGACATTCAATAAGATCAATGAGTTTGAAGCTTTTCTATAAGCAAAGAGTAGATTGTTACTTTAGTGGGGATATTCTATATAATTGAAACCATCTTTAAATTGTATGTTTTTTACGATTGAGCCTCTTTAATGATCCAATATTAATAATCGTTCATCTGAAGTAGCTACAGCCAAGAAATGATCTGATTGTGACAAAGCCAAAGAGTAAATTTCACTTATTTGTTGATCTTGAGTGGAAATCTTTTATAATAGTTTAAACTCTTCCAAACTCCAAATGCATAAATAATCAAAAGGTGCTGCAGATACAAATAATTTTTCTTATTTTTGGATGTGAATAGAATCCACAAAGAATGAATGGCCTTTTAAAAATTTTAATTGTTTATCAGGGTCATTAATACATATCACTATTATATCGCTTGATAAACCATATGCAATTAAAAATTATCCAGTCTAGGAAAACTTAAGTGATTTTAAATATTCGACAGGCAAAACCAATTCTCGTTCTTTTTCGGCTGTTGAAGCTGAATAGAGATGTAGAACTGGATTTTATGATCTAGAGTTTTATTACTTTTGAGTTCCGATAATGATGGCGATTTTATTAACATTTAGATTGACATCACAGATTACAGAACCATCAATAGAGGTTGAATGTAATATCTTCAGATTTTAATACATTTCATCCAAGACTTCCATGACTGATAGAAAATAATAGATCAAATATTATTATATATATAAATTTATAATATATATATTTAATATTTCATACCAATCAAAATGAAATGAAGAATCTTATGCCTATGAACATATTTAAATCGTTCTGTTATGTAGGTTTTAAAATGAGATTAGAGAAGGAATTTAATTTATAGTATAAATCTCATAATAATCATTTATTGATGTTTACCAATTATTATCCTTTGAGTTCATTGTTTTCTTGAGCTTTAGGAGGTTTGCTGAAGCCACTTTTTCCCAGATGAAGAAGGTTGCCACTTGCATTAACTAAACCTGAGCCAGCCCACCATATACCGTATCCAACAGAATTGACAGTTCCTGTTACTACATTTTTAGTTCCACTAGCTATTGTAATTGAACTTAAAAACCTAATTTGTTAATTAGACCTGCGGAATTGGGATTTGCATCTTCATCAAAGTTGTTCATTTTTGTAAGTTTTTTTATTAATAAATTAAATTAATTAAAATTATTATATCAAGAACTGATTATTTCTTCTAGTTGATGCTACAATTAAATGATTTAATACATTAATTTTATTCAGGAATTGCCTATCTTGTGAACTTGTTGAATCTATGAGTAATTAAATTTCTGAGAATGGATGATCTACATTACTCAAAACCAAACAGTACTTCACCAATTAATCAATCAAACCAGAGTTAATAGCTATGCAATAATATTATGAAGAGAACCTTTAAGGATGGCATTCATCAATTGTAAGCACCTCAACTTTTCCCTTGGATAACTCATATACTCAATTTTATCTAATTCATTTAAGGCTTCTGCAATTCGTATTGATTGTTAAGCATTGAATTCTGGAATCTAGAGATCCTTGTGTAGATCACTTTTGGTCTATGTGTTGTTCCTGTCAATCTTCTTAGATCTGAACAATTCATTCTGCTATTTGAACATGTTTTAATATTGTGGCAAAATGCAATGAGATAACTTCAGATAGAAATACTTTTCAATTGAAATCTTGCAATAAGGCATAATTTAAGTAGTTTCTTGTTTCCCGAAATTGAAAGATTGAAATAATGTCTCAACGATTTGATTAATGAATGCATTCAATTATTGAACATTTTATTTAATGTTAGTTTAGTCATTAGAAAGATTGCCTTATAATTTTTGAATATATTCTGCTACTTTTTTCCCAAGCCCATAATTTGAAGCACACAACAACTTGTGAAACATATAATAAGCACTTGTTTCTAAATAATACGGGTTTTGATTGGCAGGGTTTTCCATCTCTTCGGAAACATTCACAATTCCAACAAATTCAGATGCTTCATTCATCATGTTTTGATCTTATGTTTTCTTATTGCGTAATTTATCAATCTTAGATAAGAAATAGTTAATCAACTCTTAATTTTCCTCATAATGTCCAGTGATCCCTCTTATGGAAACTACTCTGACACATTTGACTTAATTTGTATCAATTTAGATTTTAACCAAACAAATTTACTCAAAAGTGTTTTCTTACATGCAAACCAACCTTTTTACAGTATTCTTAATCACTGCTACATTTTCCTTAATTGCTATAATCTAATTTGAATCCTTCTCCAATATTTGATATTATCTAATATCATAATTTAAAAACTTTACTTCTTTTTCGTGCAGCTAATAAATAAGTCTAAGATATGACTTGTAGAAACTTAGAAAGGTAATTCAATAATTGAGTTCGGCTGATTTATCATTAGTAATTTTATTTTAATATGTAATAAACTTAATTAGTAAGTTTATGAAATGTTAAATGCTAACCTCAATATCTTGCGATAACTAATTTTATGTAATTCAAACTCAACAACAGTCTGACACACATATTTAAAGATCAGCAAATGAATTTGAATCCATTTTTTCAGTGAACCCTTTGCAAAAGGATTCAAGAAAATTAGTTTTGTGGCATTTTCACAATGAATTTTTGAATTATGTAAAAGGGGAGATGATTATAACAATAAATAATATATTATTTGTTCGTTTTTAATATACAAATTTTTCAATATTTCAAACTTATCTCCATTAATTTCCAAGACAAATGCGAATCTTAGGGAATGTTAGCAGTCTACTAAATCTAATTCAGTTTTTGAATCTGAGTGTGATGAGAAAATAAATATACTTTTTATTAATAAATTTTTGTCAGTTAAAATGTCTAGCACTAAATTAAGAAGATTAAGCCAATAAGAGGGGGATGGATCAAAATTAAGGAGATTTAATGTCCTTTATCCAAAAACTATAATTTAATAACATGTTTTGGATATTAAAAGAGAGAAGGAACGAAAAAAATAAAAGAGATTGGAATTACAAGAATAATAGTAAATAATATTTGGTTTATTAGGAAGAATACCATTTTGTCGACATGCAAAAAGAGCGTCGCGTCAACCAGTAAATCCAAATAGACTCAAAGAAGATTAATAAGTTCAATGAATAATAATGTACTGAATTTTAAGACTCCGACTTCAAGATTGTCTGATTATAATACTCGCATATCGTCAAGACTGTCATCAAACTCTCATTATGAAGGGGTTAAGCAAATATTCTTGAAAACTAATTTCAAGCGACCTAAATATTAAGAACAACAATTGATAATAGTGGATCCTTATATAGAAAACAAGGAAAACTTTTCTAATGTTTACAATTTGAGACCAAATCGAACACTTGAGAAGTTAGTTACAGACAGAAAGAAGAGCTATAGTACAAATAAGAATTTCTTGTTGAAGTCTCCTAAATCACATACTACTTTGTTGAGTGTGAGATCACTAAATTTTTTATGAAGTGCAGATTCCATATTTGTATATTACATGTTTAATAATTCTTTAATAAATATAAATTGTTGTAATTTAGATAATAAATAATGCATCAATAATATGACTTGTAGTTATTCAGTGGAGCCATAATTCAATTGAAGCACCTGAGTACCAACGATTACCTCTTTTCAAACCGAATCAAGTTGACGAGTGGGTAAGGAACATCATGTAAAAATAATTAGATCGAAAGAAACAATGTTGGGATGTACCAAAAACCAATATTAAGAAGGGACAAAATTCTAAATTCACCTGGCGTATACAGATTTCGGAGATATGCTTTATTAACCAATAAAATATGGAGACCTTGTATATTTAAAATAATTAGATTAAATTGTGACTATGTAATTAATAATATTACATTAGTAATGTCAATAGCAAGTCATAAGCATCAAATTAAAAGGAAGCAATGTTAATGGAGAAGCAAAATGAAATTCTGGGTTCTTAGATATTTGTAATCACGCCCTCAGAACTTTGGCAAGGTTCTCTTCAAAAAATTAAAGAATCAACAATAAATCAAGCATCAATTATAAGGTTGATTAATATAACATCTAATTTGTCCTTACATTCGAATTCAACCTATTTTAAGCAGAAGGATTTGTCTGGCTGTATAGAAGTTACTGGATGTAGTGAAAGAGATCAAAATGATGACTGGTTTATAAACATTCATGACATAAATCTGAAGGATGGGATGATACATGTGTTGCCTAGATTTTACAAGCCAATTTTTCATGGGAGTCTGGTGATAATTCGAAATGCATTCTTGGGTACAGCTTTAAATTCTCATTCTGTTTTATTAAAGTCAAAAAACTAGGAAGTAACTACTAATCCTGTGATACCCAGAATATGTAATGATTAGTATTACAATTTTAGAGAATGAACTGTGGGAGGTTGTTCTGATGAAAATTGAAGGTGAAAGAAAAAGATCAGTTGAAAATCAATTGTTGTATGGTGAAAAGGTTTCTCTATTGCATTCAAAAACAAATCAGTTTCTAAAATATAATCAAGGATAGACAAATCCTGATAAGACATTTTAGGTTTGTTGTTCTGATGAAAATCTATTTTTAGAAGAATGGTCTATCATTCCTTTGATTCCACAATAAACCTCGGCAGTTTTATGTAATGACTTTTTCCTAATTCAAAATAACACTTGCTAATAGTACTTGACTTCGATTGCAGAACCCTCTTACACTACCAAATCACAATACAAAACATTTCTAACTTAGTTGCCATCCAATGCTTCAGTGTGGACTATTGAAGCAGTATTGAATAATAAGCAAAATTATTCATGATATGAATTTATCTCTATGTTTAATAAGTTTTTTATTTATTAATGTTATTTCAAATTGATTGCTAAAATATAAAGCAAAGTAAACAGCTAACCTTGATAAACGCAGCGAAATACCCAATTTTAGTTAGGATCAGAGAAGACACTTCTTACACTGTCATTCCTTCCTTTTCATTGTTGAAATTCAATGAAAGAAAGAATTTTTAGATTCTGCCCAAATACACTTCTAGACAAGATAGCCGTCTGAATATTGAAGCCATTCAATTTGATGAAACCAAACTTGAAACACTCGTAATTTGATTATCCTCTAATTCTAAGTCTGTTCCGCCGTTCTGGAATGAAAGAAATAAAGGTTCCTTACAGACTTAATCTCAATCTCTGTCATTATCCACAGATATCTAAGACTCCAATGGATTTGCCCACTATAACAAGTCCCCAACCATGAATCAAATCTTTCATGACCAAAATCAGGAGTACTCAAATACAAATGAACAATATGTCTAGTAAATTAAAAAAAAAATAAACGATCATGACAACCATAGTAACTCTTTATCAAGCATTGCTTCTTAGCAATCGATACAAAGAATGTGTTCACCCAAAATAGCAGATGACAATAAATTTCAACAGTCCTATTCATAAAATAGGAAACATTCCTTAAGTGATTTCGAATCATATGGATATATGTCTACAACCCAAACCTAACAATAAATTCTCAAAATGCCAAATGATTTCAATAATTTATTAGATCAGATTGATTCTTCTAATGGCCCAATTCTCATTTAATTACCCTCTTAACAAGAGTCTTAAACCCAATCTCAACATAACTTTCCTGATAATCAATAATAAGATATGAGTATCAGTGAAACTACTTCTATCTAAAGATTCCATTCTACAAAATAACAATTCCCTCAATTAAAAAGATCAAAATTCAATGAAAAATCAAAGCTAAGAGTCTCATACTCTCTTGTCCATCACCCCAAATCTCCAATCAATAATTAACATCATTTGAATAAAAATAAGCAACTAGAGGACTAGTTATTAAAATAAATTGTAAGTATTTTAGGATTTATATAGAACGAATTGAAACAAAACAAAGAAGCATTTCTACAGGAGCTGAAAAAATTAGAATTCTAAATGCTATTCAATTGTAAGAATGCAAATACAATTAACCAATAACATTTCTATATTTGGCATATACTTCTAACCAGTGTTATATGTCTTCTAATCGGAAGCTTCATGAAAAGATTCATCCCATAATTTTGACCTACCTATCAATAAAAATTATATTATCATTCATTATATGATGTGTCTTTTATGTTCTGGGTATTCATATGCCTATTATGTTATAAAATCAAATCAATTATTCATTTCCTCAATAAAATCAAAATAACAATTATTTTAGGATAAATAACTATCTCTCATCAAAATCCACCTGTTTTTATTATAATCAAACCAATCATTGAGTCTTCGGTATTGCATTATAATTACATATGATAATGGAACAATTTTCGAATTAGAATTAAAGCAAACGCAAATTTACCCAAAAATGTGAAACTGTTATAAAGTTTGAAGTAGTAAAGTAATTTAGTCTTAATATTTTAGAGTTAATTAAAGGATATCTCAATTTATCATTTAGCTGTATTTTTAGGTAATATAACTATTTCAGTTTATTAATGCCTAACTAAGTTTGTCCAAATACAATTAAATTAATCTGTAATATTAAAAATCATATCCTTTAATAAAAAATAATTAAACAAAGTATAAGTTCTCAAAATTTCATTCTATTATTAAAATTAATATTTATGGATATTATTACTTATAAGAATCAATTAATAATGAAATAATTGTATTATTATATTTACTTTTAAGAAATAATTGATATGTCATTTTTTATGATTTTTAACTTTAATTTCTTCTCTTAATTGTTCTATAAGCTTTTCTTCCTCTAATTCATCTTCTTCATCCTCTTTTATTGGTAATTCATCAAACATGTCTTCGTCGTCTTTGATTGAAGATTAATCCATAGAATGATTAGTATGAGATTAAGTAAGTTATTTTTTTGGTTTGACTCTTACATTTCTTTTCAGGAATTCCTAATCTTTAATGTCAGTAACTGCATTAAGCATTGATTTATTTAATAAATCTTCTTAGTCCTAAAGTAAAATTGAGTAAATATACTTTTGTAGACAATTTTAACAATTTATCCCTAACTGCATCAATAATGGCTTAAAACCCTTAATTTTTTTATAATCCTAACTTTTTCAATCCTCGAGACATCCAATTTCTAAGCTTGTTCTCTAATAATCCTGCCACAGTGGCTTTTTCCTCTACTTCCAATACTAATTTATCTTGCTCAAATAAATCTTCCTTTTATCTGTATGTTTCAACCTAAAATTCTTTATCCATATCAGTATATTATTGCTTTAAATTTGAAAATTATGTCTGAAGTTCTTAATTTTCATTTTTTAAAGCACTAATCTTCTTTTCATAATCTGATATAGAAATCAAAAGATGTGCATAAGTTTATTCTCTTCCTAAGAACTTTTACACAATTTCATTCGCATCAGTAATACCTGTAGAAGCTTTAATCTTTTAAAATGTCATTTCTAAATCTTAATATTAAGCAATTCCTCTTTGCATTTTGTTTTTTAAAAATGAATTAAGAAATTTATGGACCAAAAGCAATTTTCTCCATTTTTTGAGTGCACTGTCTTTTATATCCTTTGCAGCAACTTCAGCTATTTCTTATTATCTCTTTATTCTATCATCTCTCTTCTATTCTACATCTTATCTCTATCTTAAATCATCCTTAAATCTTTATAAATTCTTCTCTCTATTTTTATTTTATTGATGAATCCCTTCAGTAACTTCTTTTAAAGCCATCAAAGTCTTACTGTATATTTCTTGAATTTATTGTGTTCTACACAATGATATAATAAATTTACTTGTATGTGCTACTATGATATTATTAAAGTGCTAATTATAGATGTCTTTCGTATTAGTTTGCTCTAAGTTAATAAACCAATTAGTCTTTCTTCATTCTATTTAACATATGTTCAAAGATTTTTCTGTCATATTAACTTTCACTTAAAAGTTTATGCTAGTCTTCTAATTTTTGATTTAATTCTTTCTCCTTTGTTTATAGGTTATTTTAAGTTTAATTATATTGATCTACTTAAATTGTCATTGAATCAATTTCCTTTCTCATATTTTCTATATCTTTTTCTTTTCTAATTCCATTTATTTTCATCGAATCACAACTTTTTTTGAGCTCTGTAAGATTTACATGAACTTCATGTGCTTCATTTACTTTCTACAATAACTAAGCATAAAACCTTCTAATCTTCAATTTATTTAGGGTAATAATCATCATCAAAACCTAAAACCGATTAAAGATCATTTTTTTTTATTAATTTGTCAACCGACTTAATCACAGCTAACTTTCGATATTTTTCATAATCACTCTTCTTACTCTATCGTGTGCTTGATTTATTTGAATATAAACGTATCTAATTCGTCATATGCTAATATTTACATCTGGAAGTTCCACTGCAGACATTCTAATATATCAAATTATAAAAAAATTATTTATTCTCACTAAAAATAATTCCTATATATTTTAATCATATCGTTCATTTTATTGTGGATTCGAATAAAAAATATCATATTTCTAAGTAAAATTTGAGCTTTGAAAGAATAATGTATTTAATTTTTATAGTTTATTGATATAAATTAACTGGATGAGATTAAATTAAAGAAGTATTCTCCAAGATTTTAAGATAGTAAATACTAGATATTAAGAGAACACATTATGATTAATTGGAACAGTAAAAACTTGAATCAAATTCTTTTTGAATTACTTTTAAGATATTAAATATGTTTCATTGAAATTTAATATATGCTGGATCTCCTGCTAAATATCTCCAATCTAATGTGAATTGACCAACAAATATACTGAAAATAAAGTTATTTATTATTAAATCAATCATATATATGTGGATTAATTTTGTTAAGTAGGTTTAGAAAGGGGGTAATTCAATAAAATCTAATAATACCTTGACTAAAGATTAAGTTTCCTATCTATGATATGAGTTTTACTGCTATTTTTCTTAAATATTTATTTATAAATATTAACATTTTTGTTATAAATTTAACACTAAATAAATTAAATAAAATGTAAGAACGATTTAAAGAAGAATTGCTCTCTCCTTAATTTAAAGATCTAGAGTAAGAGCTTTCAACTTAAGAATGCCGAAAATTTTCAAGTATATCAGCTGCTGAATTAAACACACCTGAAACAAAATATAGATCAACTATAGGACCCAATAAAATGGACATGTCGAAGGATGCAAATTCATTGCATTTTAGAAATAGAACAGCAAAATTTGAGGATGAATAAAATCAACTATATATGGAAATTAAAAATTTATACCAAAAGAGATAGTTCGATGTCCCAACTCTTGTGGAACCAAAGGTCTTATTTAAGACAGAAACTGTTCCAACTCGATTTATGTAAATTTTTATTATCATAGAAATTCGTTTATAGCATCAAGAGAAAATAAAATGAAGCCCAACAATAATCACAATTTAATGATTAGATTTTGATAGACAAAATGCATTAAGCTAATTAATAAAGTCTAAAGAATTTATTTTCTCATCAATTTTGATATTAATTTAGATATATATTAAAATATTAATTGATCATATTAGAGATAATAATTCTTTATTATAATAGATATCATAATATTAATACTTAATTCTTTTTATATTATTTTTCTCATTTATAGAAATTAAAATACTTACAGATTATTCGAGGCATAATCATTTAAACAAGATATCTAGACCTATATTTAAACTAAGAGGGATTCTTTTATAATATCAAATACATTAGTTCCATTCTTAGTTATGGATAGCTCTTCGAAAAATAACTATTAGTTATAGCACATTGCATGTTGTATTGAATATAGATAAAGAATGATTTTAGAGTTGAATATTATAGAGTACTAATTCAGATTTCAAAGTTTTAGTTAACGCAAAATTTGCAAACTATTTACTCACCTTTTTGAATGCCATCATCAAATCACTTCTATAAAATACTTATTTATTGGTATATGTAAAAAAGTAAATTGGTATTTTATCTTTTCCTATGAATAAATATTGAATATATCTTATTTTTTCTAATTTTTGAAGATTTTTTGGATCCATTAAATATATGCTATATTTAAGAATTTCTTGTAATAGACATCATCAGCCATAAGATACAAAGAGAATTAAGAATTTTCAGATCAAATATTCAAAAATATCTATGTTGTTGGAATCTTAAAAAAAATCTTATCATGCGAAATTTATGATATAATTAATTAATTAAGTTTGAAAGTCAAAATACTATTTTAGATTAAATTAAGGAACTTAAAATATCATGTGTAAGAAACCATTATTTCTTATTAAATTATATGTAAACTGGAGGTTATAAATTAAAAATTATAAATATTTGATGTAATGTAAATATTTTAAACAATATAAATCATTGTTAATCTTTGAAAAATCTTAATGGAATTCCTTTTTCGGGGTTAATCTATTTTTTTAATTTTGAAATACCTTATAAAACAATTTTTTGCAAAATTCTTCGAGTTATGAGAAGGGAATTGTTATAACACCAAGTCCAATGTAATTTGCCATATTATTTAAAGCACTGGCTGGTAAGGCTGTTAATTACAGTAATGATGAAGTTATCCCACAAGTAAAATCATAACTACCCTCCATTAATCCATACAACTAAATATAACTATTATATCTTACAAAACCATTATTTGAAATGAAAGGCTTGCTAATCATATTCATTATAGCATCAGTAAATGAACTAGCAGCTTTTGTTATTTCAAGTGAACTATATGCCTAAAGCAAAATTCCTAAGGTTGATAATTATTAGCTTTTTAAAAATTAAATAAAATCTTATCTAGAAGTTTGATTGAACTAATAAAAATATAAGACCTTATTAGTAGCTAATATTAAATTGTTGAATGATCCAAATTTCAAGACTTAGTTTTTCAATCCATCAACATCCAATCCTTCTGAATCAAATGAAACGATAAATTAAATTGGAAACAGTTCAACTTGTAAATTAAAGGGTTTCTTTTAATGCATGACTTCAAAACATTCATCATCGTCATCATTCTTAAATTGAGTAATTGCTTCTTTATTTTTTGTTGAAAAAGATTTAAGTAATTCTTGGAATTAGTATCCTGAAAGACAAATTCTTATAGGCTTTAATTGTAACCATAATGCCAAGCTATTTTAATCAAATTGAATAATCAAATCTAAAAATAGCCTTTCCTATATTTGTTCACTTTAGAAAAAGTCTAATTCATTTTAGTCATCTTCATCAAGTATGTATTTAAACTTACTCTATTAAAGTCTATCTAATATTTATGCTCTGGCTAATTTAAGTTAGAAACATTTCTCTCCTAAATCAAGTTATGTATAAAAAATAACCACTTCAAACGTCTAAGATTCATTAGTTAAAGTTATCTAATTACAACGAATCTCAAGGATTCTTGATTTCATTTCTATTTTATCTAATTTTTAATAATTCTTCATCTCATTAGCATTATTACTTTTCTAAAAGTCCTTACTAATATGTTCATAATGATCAATCAGATCAACAATTATCTATTTAGAAATACGGAAAAATTGGATAGAATTGATTTTCAACAATTTATTCTTAAGCAATTCAATTTTTTAAATCTACCCTATGTTCTAAAATTCTTCTAAATTTATGAGTTAATCATTTCGATTAGCCACATTGCAGTTTTAAAAATAATGTTAGATTTCATCAATTTGTACTAAATCTTACTTAATAAACGTATTATTAAATACTAAAATAGATCTTGTCCAAGACTAGTGTTAATCTTTTGAGTAATTCAATTTAGCTTACCCTTTTTTCTAGAGGATAATTTCCTCATTGTAAAATGGCAAAATATCAATCATAATCGATTTGAATACAATATTTACTTAGGATTTCTCATTTTATGATTTATTTTATTATTAAGGAGGATTTACATATTAAACTGAGTTTAAAAATTATTTGATACATGAGATCAATTTATTAAAATTAAAATTTGTTAAATTCAATTTTAGAGCTGAAAACTCAAGATTTATTTAGTTTTATTTCATAATTAAACTGAATATCCATTTATCCTGAATTTAATTCATCAATAATAATTAAGAATTATTCTTATAAAACCCATTTAAATCCTCTAATAATATAAATTAGTAATCGATCGTAAAATAATATTTGAATTGATTGAAGCAAAAGTATAGAGTTTAGTATAAAGTTACTTCAATTATTTAAATTTTAGCGCTAAAATAAAAATTCTACTGCTTTTTTTAATTATTCTAGGTTTATCTTGAGTTATCGTTAAATACTGCGTTTAGCTAAGAAATCATCTTGTAAAACTAATCAAATGAATTATGATTTAAGATAACACTATCTATTTATAATTCTAAATGCTACTCTTGTTTTGATTTACAATCTTTCAAATATTGAGTGATTTGGGATTTATTTTCTTCATTAAATTTCTTTATATTTTAAGTAGAAGGTTTTAGTTATGATCCAAAATTACCCTTTAAATTATATATAGCTATTTATTTATCTAAACCCCAAATACTTTGACATCCAAATTTGAATTAGCTTCTATATAAATATATTGAAGAGTTTTATTCGTTGGCACCTGGAGTTGCTAGGAAGAAATCTACAATATCAAATTAGATATAATCTTCATCTATTGATTAATTATTTTAGTTATTAGTAGAGGAAGTGTTGTTAACATGGTAAAATAATGAAAATTTAAATTTCGATATTTTGAATTGGGTTTCTGATTTAACTTGATTGTTTGGTTTTGCTGAATTCTATGTATAAATGTTAACAATTTTCATAATAAACTAAAGTTAATTTTTGTCTAAAATTAAGTTAAACTGAGTTAAATCCATGTCAATATTGTTATCTTTAATTTAAATTTTTATTGGAGTTACAAACAAAGCCTATGAAGCAAATATTGTTGGCTCTTAAATTTCAATTTGATAACCATCTTTGTTCAAATCCTAAGTAAAAAATTAATCTCTCCCTGTTCTAAGAATTATTTTGCATAAAAACTTTTAAGGACCTATCATAATGAATTCAAATTCTTTTTTGTAAACAAATTCTCTCGTACTTAAAAATGATGGTTCTATTTTCAATAACTCATAAATTAGTACAGAATTAATAAAGATATTTAATTTTTCATGTTTTACTATTTTTATGTCACATAATGAAACTAAGAAGTAGTTTTCTAAGTCAACCTTAAATTTTTTTTATTAGTAATTAAATTCTTGGTCGGTTTCATTGGATGTTATATAAAGACTCAAACCTTAAAAGCTAGCAACTAAAAATTCCTTTTACTCACTCATTTGTTTGATTGAAGTATATAAATCTGCAATTTTCGAATCTGGCACATTTTGAATAATAAAAGTACTCTCTAGATATTCTTCGTTTTAGAAGTCCTTCTTCTCATGATAAGATTTTTTAAAATACTCTTCTAATTTGTATTTATTTAAATTCATAATTTTAGCACGCTCTTCAGACGATTATTTATTTGAATCAATAATTTATTAAGTAATATGGCTCTGTCGTATTGCTTCTTTAATTGTATTTTCTCTCTGCTCCAAAACTTATGCGCTCTAAGCAAATAGCTGCATTAATTAATCCAATTAATTTAGTGATGCTACTACTTAAAATTAAGAAGCTTGAATAGTTATTTTTGGTTCTGTGTCCTATTTTAGATAAACATCTAATTTAAAAGCATTATCCATTTGACCAATTTATTTGGTGTCATCAAGATAGAGTTTAAGTTAATCAACGAAGCACAAAAAAAGAATTTAATTGCTATTTTAGGGTTTCCGCATTGTGCAATCTAATTTGTTTATGCTGACTGTAAAACTAGTTATCTTATTAGAATTTAATTTGCCAACAAATTTAATCCTTAAATTCTTAATATCAATTTTTATATTCCCAAAAATGCTATCTATTATTCTTAGAAACATAACAGTTTTAGATGAGGTTTTATTTGATCCATTCTATTAGATTTGAGATTTGACTTCATTTTGAAAATAAGAGTCACTACCTTCGCACTATTAATATAAATATTTATTACTAAGAATTCCTTCTTTAATTGCTCCATCTACATATGAACACTTTGGTTAACTAAATTTTCAACTTCTAGTGATTCCAAAACTTCATCCTATTGAATTTAAGTATTCAGATCTAATACTATATCTACATCGCTCATTTATAATTGTAGTTTTTCAAGTTTTATAAATTCTATCATTTGATAATATCATTTACTAATATGAAACTCTTTTAGAGTGTTAGTTTTAAGCATTCCATTTATATATTTTGTGTTTAATTTAACATTTGTAATTCCTTAATTTAAATCTTTAATTGCAATCTTCTTCTCAAAAATGTTTTCAAAGTTATAGTCAATGATAGGTTATAAAGTTTTTTCGATAATTTTTGACTTTGCTTTAGATGCAAGTCCACCAAAGTAGGAAAACATATTGTCAAACATTTGATAATAAAAAAATTTTAATAATATATCAATCAGAATTAAACATAGAGACATTTTAATACTTCTGATAGAATTTTTATAAATTTAACAAACTGAAATGGAAGTTTATTTAGATTTGTGATATTTATATTGTATATTTATTTTGAATTTAAAAAGTTCAAGATCTTCGATACAATAATAGATTTATTATAAATAGGATTGATTTATACGAATATAAATTTATATGTAAAAATTGAAAAATAAACAAAAAGAAAATAGAATTTTACGGGAGGAGAAGATTTTTGAATTATACTGATTAAATATAATAAATTAATTATAGAATTTAAAGTTTCAGAGTTTAGAAATTCCAATTCGGAATTGAAGAACGTAAAAAACTAATTACTTTAAAATATTATATTAATGTTTATTCAAATACCAGCAAAAGACTTATATGTTAGTGAACCTGATCCTCGAGATTTTGGAAACCCAAAAAACGATGACTCAAAGGTTAATTGGTTAAAGAGCAGATTTCACTTTAGTTTTGCAGGTATTATTTTAATCAATTCAAGAATACTATGATCCATCCAATTTATCATTTGGAGTATTAACAGTAATGAATGACGACTTAGTCTAACCTAATAGAGGTTTTGGAAAGCATCCACATTAAAATATGGAAATTGTCACTTACATAGTGTAAGGGGAATTAACTCACGAGGATTCAAAAGGAAACAAAGAATCACTTGGGAGAGGATCAGCATAATATATGAGTGCAGGATCAGGCGTTTATCATTCTGAATACAATTTATCAAAAAAAGAGGTTTGTCGATTCATTTAAATGTGGATAAAGCCAAGACAAACTAACACAAAAGTTTAATATAAGAGTTATCGAGGACAGAATGGTTAAGCAAATAATCAATGGTTCCATTTAGTTGGAGATTTATAAGAAAATTCATAAGCTCCAGCAACAATTAATTAAGATGCTAATATATGGATCAATGAGTTTTCAACTGAATAAAGATTTGAGGTATTTCTTTGTTTCTAAACAATAGATCAAGGAGGGCAGATAAGCTTACCTCTTATGTGTGGAAGGTCAGTTTGAAATGACTATTGAATAAAACTTACCTTTGCAAGAACTCAAAAGCTAATTAATAAATTAGCATGATGGTGTAAAGGTTTTCAAAAGTATTGTCTTGAAACCAAAAGACAAGGCTCATGTCTTATTGGTAGAGATGAAAAAGTGATCAAGAATCACGAAAATGAAATATATACTATAAGTATCAAATTATAAAAATTTAATTTTATATCACTTAACTTTCCTTCTCCTATAAAATAGAACATAAGCAGCATCTGTGACTGGGTTAGATCTTAATTCTTTGACCTAAGAATCATTAAAATCAAACCAGGCATTATACATTGGATTCTTTGCATATGCTGTGTAATGTCCTCCTCCCATGCCTCCATAATGATTTGAAACTGCAAATAAATCATATACATAAGGTTGTTGAGATTCCTGAATGATAGAGTATATAATTACTTTTTCTAAAATGAATGGTTGAATATTGAAATTTTCAAGTGGGAAATCAACAAATTAGACAATCTTAGTGACTCCTCCAACCTAGTAGGTTCCATAAAATTAAGTCACTCTTGTCGATCGAAATCTTTTCAGGTGTAATATCATAATTTATGGTGCCTAATTTAAGAATAGCATAATACCTTGTATATTTGCATTTGCTTCTTTGCCTTCTGATGTTTTTTACATTTAGAACAATACCATTCATTTCCAGCTCCTAAGACTTCTTCTTAACAAAATTAATTCAAACAATCAGTCAAAGTTATAGTTTACTACAAACTTTGACTAGGACCCTGGAGTGTAAATTCTGCATCAACACATCTATTCAATTTTAATAGTTCAGCTCGTAATTTAAATTGGGCATTTAAGTTAATGGACTTCCCGCTAACTTCTATTTATTTATCTGTAAAGGGCAAAGGCTTACAATTATCATCTTAGAGTTAATATATTATTTCTTTCAATTTTAATAAATCCTAATATTCTTCGAAGTAATCTTTATAAACAAATTTCTTGATATTCTTTAAGAACTACTCGAATTCCTTATTTAAATTCAAATTAGAAGTGATCTCACTAATTTGAATCAAATGAGTTCTAAATATCTAGTAGATAATAAGGTGGAGATCTTAATAAGTTGCTTGACTATCAATATAACAAACTCTAGTAAAAGATATTCGATAATTCGATTGATTAAGTTTACTTTCTTCTAGTTTTTTAACATTACAGAGAACTTGATGATAAGGGGTTTTAATATTAGAATCATATTTGGAAATTGGTTTATCTATTTTTTCATCATATTCTTCATACAAAAATGTTGAAGCTTAACCCTCTTTGATTTATTTGATAGTTTATTCTGATGATATTCCATTGTCAATTATAACTGAATCTTGTAAAGAATAGAATTTTAGATATTCAGCCTTGATATTCTTTATCTTTGAAATGATGTCTATAATTTCTCCAGCTGTCTGTGTAGATTGCAAAGTTTGTTAAATTTTTAAAGGAATCTGATTAGAATCTCTGAAAATTAAATAAAATTGAAATTAAATGTATTCTTTGCTTGGAATGGGTAATGAAATAGTAACAAAAGGATCAAATGTAATAGATACAAAATTACACTCAGGACATTCTACTCTTGATTTAAATTATCCAGTAAAGAGGTCAGTAATTTTAGAATCATTTCTCTTTTTATGATTATCCCAATATATATCTGCAAATTCTTAATCACTCTAACCCTTGTATTCTACATCTGGAATATAAGGTTTCTTTTTAATTCTATTCAAGTCTTCATGCAAACCATCTAATAAATATGAGAGTAGTTCCTGAGAGTCCTATTAACTATAACCATTAAATTGAGGAGCTTGTTATCCAATCACCTTTTTAACATTCCAAGGTGCCACACTAGTTGATGTAGATTCATAAAGTTCCTTTAATAATTCAGCATAACTGCAAGCTAATCTACCTCCTGTTCCCAACGGATTCTTCTCATTTAAATCTTCGAGATAAGTGTTGTATATCATATATTCAGTAAGTTCGGTGACATTACTCAAACATTACAAACTTGAATTCATAAAGCAAGTATTTCCTAAATTACTTAATCCACAGATTCCTTTGGCTGAATTTTTGATTATTTTAGCTGGAGGTTTCACTTTATATTTCTTAGATAATTGATTGATTAAGGAATCCTTTTCCATGATTTCTAAATAGAAATGTAGAATTACTTTTACAAACATCTTAATGATTCTTTAAATCGTGAGCTTGACAGATTTCATTACAATATTTAACACTTCTGCATTCACATAAATAGAGTTGAGAATCTTGATTACCACAACTCATGCATTTATTTGGAATTGTTATTGTTTATAAATTCTCTTTCTTCTCTAATCTATACTATTCTTACTCTAATTCTAATAGTAAAACTTCCTCAGGTCCTATCTCAGCTTACTAATGTAATAAATAAGAATACTTCTAATATATTATCTCTACTTATTTTTGTACCAACAACTTATTAACTTTTCATTAATTCCTCTTAGTTGACTTCTTTAGGAATCTTCCAAACATTTCTGACTTTTTAATTAGTTATCCTATTAACTTTATTGACAAGGTCTTCAATTCTTTCGTTTCCATTAAATTATAAATTTATTATCCTTTATTATTGTTATGGGAATAACTAGCATCTAACTTAAAATAAATGTGTTTCAACTGCATGTCTACTTCTACATAAGACTATTCGTTTTATTTCAACTCCTCCAAATAATCCATATAAGAATCTCCATATCTAACTGCTTACAAATATGAAATTCTAGTTTTCTCTTATAGATTTGTTTAAAGCATAATTGGTATAGCTCTTTGCTTTCAATGGGTCCTTCTCAAATTGTGTTTATATATCAATTAAATCATCGTTATAAATTGGACAGATATGAATGTCCATATTATTTTGAGTTGAATTCGATATTCTTTCCAATTCTTCATATGTTTATTGATTACAGTATTATTTAAATATTTCTACAAATGTTTCATCATCCATTGAGTTCTTTTTATAATATGATTACATTATACATTCTTTTTTGCTATGAATTATTTTAACAAATCTGGGTTTTCCCTTGTCAATTCGTAATATTTTGTGTATAAACTAAAACGAGCAATCCATTGAGAACTAATTAAATAAGCAGGGTAGCCTTCTTATTCAAAATACCGATCCTATTCCTACTTTAGTAATAATTATTGTAATTTCTTTGCTAAACTTGTTTTCTCTTCATCAGTATACATTTAAAATATTTTCTATTTATTATCAACATAATCTTGCAAATATGATTTCTTCTAATCTAAAATAATTTCTAATTAAGCCCATGCTTTTTTATTCTTGCTACTTTATATTAATTTTTCAACTGTCTCTATTTTATCTATGCATTCTTATAACTGATTCATTTTTTATAAGGATTGTATCGATATCCATTCTAATTCTAATTTTCGCCATTCTACTTAATCAAATTCAAGTGAATCTTATGATGGAGTTTCTTGTGAACATCCAAAGTAAGAAATTAAATAACTTAAATTGAAATCATTTAATTTATAGCTACATAGCGCTAATAGTAATAATGCTAACGAACAGACGTCTGTGAAATATTAAATGGAAATCTTACTGTCAGTCTTTTTTTCTTAAACATTATGTAAGCTTAATTGTGTCCTTAAAGATTATTTCAATTATTAACACACCTCTACTAGATTCTTAATTTAATTTAGTTTGTACTTGTTTACCCTCCAGTCTTTCATATGCTCTCTTGATAACTCTTTCGTTACAATTATTGATGGAATCCAATAAATATTAAGGACAAATCATTCTGACAATAAATTAAAAGAATATATATATATAAATTATCATGTAAAATACTTTAACCTTTCCTTTTCCTCCTCACTGATTTCAGTTACAACTTGCTCTTCTTTTTCTTCTTTTGGTGGCCATGATCTAATCATAATGGGTCTTCCAAATCTTTTTTAAATAATAACTTCTTTTTATTGCTCCTACTACTTTTTTTACATCTCTATCAAATCTTGTTCTTGTTTTTCTTATTTCATCTTATCTTTTTTCATTCTAATACAACCTTTCTCTTTTTCTAATACCAAGTCTGGGGCAATCTATCTATATCTCTTAATCTCTAAGATATATTGTTCTAACTTTCTTTCTGTTTCTTTTAACATTTCCAATCCCGACATATCCTTTCTAGGTTCTGGATTGAGATCTATCTTATACATTCTCGAAATCATCATCTCTAAATTTCGAAGAGACTCAAACCCCTCATTGTCACTCTTTATACTCTTTAAGATCTTAATCTAATCATTCACAGATATTATCTATCTCTCTAAGTCCAATTTGTTCTAAATGGCATTTTATTTCTTATCCTCCAGTTACCTTTTCTTCAAATCTACCTTTGACCTCAATTCCTCAACCATTTGTTCTCTTTCTTTTGTGTTTGCTATCAAAAATAGGTTTCTCTCTTCTAATTGTTAGAATATATCAAACAACTACTAAGGATCTTTAAAATAAGAATCGAATTCATCGTCGGAATCATCCAATATTTTTTAGAGATCTGAACTTATTAAATTATCTTAGGGATTGTTTTTATTTCTATTCTTAATTTACTACTTTTTTTGATTCTTCTTTTAAAATTCTTTTGGAGTTATTTTGTCTAGAAATTTTTTGTATTTTATTAAGTCCTCTAAATTGTCAACCTTCTATTGATTTTTAGTCATTAATTCTGTTCTATGTTCTTGCAACAATTTAATTTCATTTGTTTTCTCTTATTTTAATCTTGTTTCGTTTTCTGCTTCTTTTATTGCATCTCTGGAACTATTGTTATTTGCCTCCAAAAATTTATTAAACATCTCAATATCTTCATCAATTAATTATTCACTTTATTCCAAACCTTTTCTATGCAATCTTGTTAACTTTTCATATTCATCAATCATTCCTCTCTTTTAATCAATGAGCATTGAAAACAACAGCATTTCTTTTTTCTTCTCCAAAAATTAATACATGGGTTCTCTTTGTCGAACTCTATTTTTTAAAGCTTCATTTGCAATATCCACTATATTTCTTAAATCATATTCATTTGATACTTCTTTTCCTATTCTTCCTAATCCAATGACGATTCTTCACTGTCCAAACGATCTATGGTTCTCACAGTGAAGAATCCTCTTTACTTTTTGCTTTTTTCTTGAATCTTCAATTTTGAAAACTTGAGTCTTTCTTCAGATCTTGCCTATTTTGATTTCTCTTTCAATTTGTATATCTCATATTCATCAGGAACATAGAATGGATTATCACCATATTATAGTGATCTATCATGAATTTTTGGCAATTGAGGATGCATAATAATTAATTTTGTTATTACATATTAAGAAACAATTCAATTATAAAGTTTTACAAAATATTTCCCTTAATATTATTAGAAGATAAACTAACAGACTTTTATTTACATTTTTACATAAAGGAAAATACTTTCGACCTTTCTTTTAGGTTTAATTATTAATCATTATTACTTACAGAATAAAATAAAATATTGGTCTGATATATATATTCATTTGATTTATGTCATTTATTCGTCTGAATGATAAACTCTTCTATGTGTTTTGATACTTCTTACTTTCTCGATGCAACAATCCTCTGGGACAGCTAAGTAATCTGGATCAGTGGCGGAGAGGAGATTCTTCCTTGTTTATTGTAGTATTGATTATGAAGATTTTGATTTCAGTAAGGTTTTTTGTTTTTGTGGTTAAATGTATCCGAATGTAAATTTCGACATTTTGAAGAGAGCCAAGGGTGAATGTTTATGAATTCTGGGGTTGAATATGATTTTAGAGATGTTTGTGTTAGCGTATGTGCATATTTCTTAAAGGCCTCCAGGATGGGTGTAGGCAAATTCCGAGAGATCATAGATGGTATTTTTATAAACATAAAGTAACAAGTGATTTTATCTTGCATAAGTTTGAACTGCAGATATATCATCAAAATAGATTGGTGATATTATTGGATTAAATTGCATAATTAAAAATATGCAACAAATCAAAAAAATTGATTTAGTCAGAAACTCAAGCAAAAACAAGAGTTTTTAGGAAATTTATGAATTTAACAAATGTGATGTAAAATCCAAAGTTTATGTAGAAATTGGGGTAAGGTTCATATGGGATGGTGTATAAAGCGGTTCATAGAACAACCGGTTTAAGCAGAGCAGTGAAGATCATCCAAAAGGCTAGTGTAAATTAGTAAGAAAGATTGAATAATGAACTTAGAACTGTAGAATTATTGGTAATTCTGGAAACTTAGTTTATTTAAGGATCATCCACACATCATTAGAGTGTTTGAGACTTATGAAGATATGGAATATATCTACGTGGTGATGGAGTAAGAAATAAATTAAAAATTAGAATATGTAAGGGAGGTGATATCTTTGATAAAGTGCTGGAATATGGTAATTTTGATGAGTAAGGAGCATTAACGATATTTATTCAAATTATAAGATCAGTTGTCTATTACTAATCTTTGAATATAGTCCATAGAGATTTGAAGCCTGAGAATTTCCTGTTTCAGAAGAACAACGATTTAGACTCACTCTACATCATTGATTTTGGTTTGGCCAGAGCATTCTCCCCAGGCCTACAATACTAATGGACGAAAGCAGGGACCGTAAGCAATTTATATAAAGTGTAAGGCTTATTATGTGGCACCAGAAGTATTACAAGGCACCTATGATAACAAATGCGATATATGGTCAATAGGGGTCATATTATACGTTTTATTATGTGGTTATCCTCCTTTTTATGGAGAAAATGAACATGAAATTTTATAATCTATATAGAAAGGTAAATTTGATTTTGATGGGCCTGAGTGGAAGAATGTATCAATAGAGGTCAAGCAATTGATTTGTTAAATATTGTAGCCAAAACTATAAAGGATAGATTTAAAAACCATATTGAAACACCCTTGGGTATAAAAATATGTTTAGAAAGGAGAAATATTACTTACCAAATATCATTTGGATAGATGGAGGCAATATCACATATTAAAACAAATAGGATTATTGTACTTAGCAACTCAGTTAGATTAAAGTGAGATTTTAGAAATTAAGAATGGGTTCCTCTTTATGAATAGATCTTAATCTGGTATATTGAGTAAAGAGGAGATTAATTTTTTGGATGATGAATTGTAAACCTTGGAATATTATCGTAATTATTAGAATTTAATAGAGAATATATCTCACTCTGTTTGGAACCAATTATCTATAAGTAGGAAAAGTACTAGAAATTGATGTTTGTTCATTTATCAATAGATGGTCGGATAACTACAAATAGTTTAAGGAGTATTTGCATATATTTAGAGTGTGATATGGATTATTAACAATTCATTAATTTATTTTGATTAACATATATGTTTATAGATGAATGAACTTAGATTATATATATATATTATATAGAGAATTCATTAAATGCAGAGGACATAATCAAATGTTTCAATTCTAAATGCTTGGTTTAATTTAGAGAAGGCTTTGATTGATGCTTAAGTGCCTGAGAATGAGCAGGTTACAATAATATCAAGGCCCCCTACATCAAAGATGATGAGAGATTATTCAAATTATCACTCAGTATGAGAATGGTTTGAACTTTAGCAACAAAGAACTTAATCTTTAAGACCTTTGACTGGATTGACAAGACCTTCAACTGCTATTACGATGAAGAAACCTATTGAGTATTAGGAGAAAACAGCAACAATTTAATAATCTTAGAGAAAGATGTTCAGAAAGAAAGTGAACCAAAGGCCCTATAAAAAGTACGGTTTTGATAACATCCATATTTAAAAGTAATATTGAGTATAATTATAGGGAAGAATAAGAAGGAGAGATCTCGGAGGAAGAATTAAATTAGTCAACAGTTATACATACTTTGGATGTGGATTAAATAATAGATCTATATCACAGTAAATGTAGAGATCGAGAACTTGAATACTAACCGGAACATGCTGTTCTCTTTATCGAAAAATTTAAGAAATTATGTGTAGATGAACAGTTCATATGTGAAGACAATCAATTAGGTTTGGAGAGTGCCAAAACAGTCAGAGACATTTTACTCTATAACAATCATTTTTCCACCTTGAGATTAGCAAGGAATGCTATTGGAGATGAAGGCCTTGTAGAGTTGCTTGAGATGTTGAAAGTCAATAAAAATATAGTTCATTTAGACTTCTCAAGTAATAATATAACTGCAGATGGCGCATTTTACTTATTTAATGAGTTAATCCCATTGCATTCAATTATCTCAATTGAATTATCAAGCAAAGATGGTTTGAATAGGAACAAGGTCTCTGTGAAAGGCTGTGAACCTATTGAAACTATCTTAAAATACAATCATCCTCTGCAATTTCTAGGATTGAGAGGTACTTCAATCTAGAATGCAGGTTTTGAATGCATTCTATCAGGATTGCAAACAAATCATACATTAGCCTATTTAAACGTTTCTAACAATGATTTAAATGAGGAAGCCTGTAATTATATGGTTTAATATATTTCAAATTGTAATTTGGTTGAATTAGATTTGAGTTACAATCCTTTGGGCAATAATGGTATGGACTATTTGTCTAGGATCTTTGATAAGGGTGGTTTTATGTTAAGAAAATTAAATTTAGCAGGGTGTGAAATTAAATCATTAGGAATTTTGAAATTTTTTCAAAGTTTAAGTGCAAATCGATTTTTGGAAAAGTTGATTTTAGATGAAAATCATTTTTCTGGAAATGGATTCAATGAAATAGAAAATGTGTTAACATCTAGAATCCCATTAACTTATTTATCCATGGCCAAATGTAGTATTAATGCTACAGGAGCAGATTTCATAGGCAATGGAGTGGAAAGAAATAGAACACTTAAAACACTCATTTTAAGGGATAATAGATTGACTGATGTAGGGGCTGAATGTATATTTAAAGGATTGTTTTTTGAGAAGTTGGATTTGAAGAGATGCAATCTGACAGATAAATGTGTACTTGGTTTATGCAGCATGATTAAATAAAGTACTTAATTAACAACACTATTGTTACCTGACAATGGGTTTCATGATTCCTCAGGAATTGTAATATGTGAAGCTATTAGAGTGAATTCATCAATGTAATTATTATGGAATACTTAGATTAAATTTAGATATTTGTGAAAATCCGTTGAGTTATAAATACATTGATTAAATCAATAAGGTTATCGAAACCAATAGATTGAAATATGAACTTGATAGGGTTCCTATGTACAAAAGAGAAATTGTTAAACTCAATAACATTATCCAATAGAAGCCTACCTTGGAAAAAGATTAAAATGAAAATCAACAAAAAAAAGCAAGATCTCTTTAAACATTGGAAAAAACAATTGAAGAGAAAAATAGAGTCAAGATAGAATAAATATAGAAGACTACTGATATGGATGCGAGATTGCAATAAATTCAATAGTAATCAAGGTAAATGGATATCGACAAAATAAAATTTGATAATGAATCCAATACGCACTTAATTAAGATGGATGATGAGATGAATGATTATCAGAAGAAGATGTCTGAATGTCATTAAGTAATTACTCGTTTGGAAAAAGAAATAAGGGGGTTAAAGGATCAAAGACATGTCCGGAAGGGACAAAGTGACTCTAGATTGGAAATGCTTAGACAATTAAACAGAGCAGAAGAGAGAGCATTGTAGAGAGCAGAAATGGAGAAGAAACAACTGGAGGAAAGGATAAAGGCCATGTAAGGAAAGGAATCCATTACTAGTAGAAGGAAAACTAAGTAATTGTCTTAAATTATTTAATAAAAATAATGAATAAAAAATATACATCATCCAACTTAAATCCCAAAGTCTTAGACGACAGAGACGAAATTAACTTTGGAACTTCTTTTATTGATACTATCTAGGATTAAAAACTTTTTGAATACTTAACTTCCTTTCTTGATACTTTGAGTCTCATTAATTTTTAGCTATCCTCAAAAGTCTTCAAAATCAGACGTTGGAAAATTTACTTTAAGAAGGCTATATTTGGGAGATTGTGCAAGCCCTTGGATCATAAATTAATCTCCTAGTTTATAATTGATCAAAAATGTGCATAATTTATTTTTTGGGATTCGGTAATGGATTTCAAGAGATTAAATTTATAATATTCTCAACACTACAAAAATTACTCATGTCAGCAGTCAGTCGAAGCTTCTAATATATAAAAAGACATCGATCGAACTTTTTCATAACATTAATATTTCAAATAAATACATAATCGATAAAGATTATAAAGAATTCTAATTGCCTTGTCTAAAATACAAGAGCAAATTGGTTACATACAAGGATTCAATTAAATTGCTGGTTGTTTTTTAATTAACGGTCTCAATGAATAACAGACCTTTTGGATTATGTATTATATTTTAAAGAAGATGAAATACGCTACCATATTCCAAGATTAATTTAATGAACTCAAGTTCCTGAATTTTACAGTTGCAGTTTTCCTACGGTATTATGTACCATTTCTCTCTGATGAATTTGTAAATCTCTTTTATTTATTTAGTTATAAAACAAAATAGATATTGGAATCATAACAACAAGATGGTTTTTAGTCATTTTTGGCTACGATCTGCCTCAATAATTAGTAACCATATCTACATATTATAGTTAATTCAAGTTTGGAACATGTTCTTGTTAAAGGGGATTAAAATATTAATACGGGCCTCAATTGCTATTTTTAGATTAGTTTCTGATTTTGAAGGAATCAATGATCTATATGATTTGATAAAGGAAAATCTGTATGATCTCTTAGAAACTAATGTTTAATTATAATAGAAGTTCATTGAATACTTCTCGACAATTAAAATAACCAATCGCCTGATATAAGAATTGAGAGAAAAATTTGAGACCGGAGATGAGTCCCTGAGTCTCTCATTTGATTAAATATAGAAAAAACATTATTGGAGAAAAGGAGGGGATAGTGCTAGAAGCTTAATTAGTTCTTTTAACGAAATCATTAGCGAAGAAAAAGATGCGTGCTTTTAGCGATCTTAATTGCTTATGAATGCTTTCTTTCCAAAGCTTATCAATAAAAATCAATTAGTAGCATCAGAAGGTAAAAAGAACTTAGCTATCAAAATTGAAAAAAGACCACAGTTGATTTAACGATAGATTTTATCATAGCAATTTAAAATGTCCATTCCATAATCTGCCAATGGAGATTAAGTATGAATTACAATTATTAGGAATCTAACATCTATGCTGATGAACTCTAGAGTAGAATGAGTCCAAAGGAAGATGAATCAATAGAACTTGAATGTACTCCAGAAAAAATCTTTAAATTTTCTAATAAAAAAAGATGAATTAATATAATGATTGATATTTATTTCCCAAAAAAACATATCTGTGTAAAATATGAAATTGATTGTTGAAAGTAAGATAATTTAATAATGAGCTTAGCATTATTCAATGAAATGAATGATGTAATTAAGTTAATTTCTAAACTTTATTTATATTCTTTAAAAAATAAAATATAAAATATTATAATATCTTTTAATTATTTCATGAATTCAGGGTATGTTATAGAATAGTAAATAAAAGGAAAAAAGGTCTAATTGATAACATATCAACGCTATTTAAAAACTTATAAATAATAAGAGAATTAAAATTTATTTGAAGTAAAACTCAAAGATATCTAGGTGTTAATGGGACTAAAAAACAAAAACTTTTCAAATATTGTGAAAATTTATGACGTAGTATTTGATGAAAAAAAAGGAGAGATACTTGTTTATGAGGAGGTTTGCAAACATGATCTGAGAAAAATGATGAAAAATGATCCCAATTAATTTAATATTTAAGAAATACTAAAATGCTTATCGGATGTTATTTAGGGATTGTTAGAATTGAAAAGTCTAAATATTTTTCATAGAGACATTAAACCAGATAATATAGTTCACGATGGCACAAATTATAAAATAATTGACTTCGACAGAGCTAAAGTAAATGTGAATGGTGAGATCAGAATTCATTCCTTATAAATTGGGTAAATTTCTCTTTTAGTCTTAGCACTAAAGGATATTAAGCTCCAGAAATAATTAATAATTAACCTTATTCGTATCAATGCGATGTGTGGAGTTTAGGATGTGTATTCCATTATTTACTATTTGGGAATGATCCTAAAATATCAAATGATGAAGTTTTCATTCCTCCAAAACATTAGTATGATGATTAAGTTATTAAATTGCTCCATAAAATGTTAGATATGAATCAAAGAAAAAGAATAATGCTAGAAGATCTTAAAAAGGAAGTAAAAAATCTATAACAAAATTTGAACAATTCTGATACATCTACAAGGCTAGAATAAAATACAAAATCCTAGTTTTTAGGTTAAAATTAACCAGATGAAGAAAATAAATTCAATACGATTATGGAATAGTTAATAGATAAAGAGCAGAATTTATAAAAAAAGATATACTTATACTAATTTTGGGTTTAAAGACTTGAAAAAAAATTCCCAGAAAGTATGGATTAAAGAAAAAAAGTTACAGAATAACAATTAAAAACAATAGTAGAAGGATAATAAAACAAAGTAAAGTTTAATCTATTTTATTCCCTTGACTAAATTAAAAGCTAATTAAAATGCTTTACAAAATTATAGTAATTCTATGATTTTTGATTGATTCAAATGATATTTAAATCAAAATCTATCCCTTTTTATAAGAATTTTTTTAATCTCCGAAAAATAAATAAGAAATATGCAAGAGTCTCTGAAGCTTAATTGTTTAAAATATATATATGAACTTCTCATTATTCTGAAGATTATTGTAAAAACAATAATTATTATTATGACTATGAGATTTTGTATTGGCAATCTAATTTTTTGCCTTAATCAAATATCGTATGTTCAGTTTCACATATACCGCATAAAATTTTTCTATTTGGACTTAACCTTAAGGTTTTTTTGCAGACATTTGATTTATGACCAACTTCCTGACAAGACTTGCAAATAACTGGTTTAACATTTATTTCGCTTTATTTGAATGTAGCTTATTCTTGTTTTAATTTGGAATAAAATTTTTCTGTAAATCTGAGTTCTTATGTTCTGTCATTCAAGTCAAATAATTTGACATGTTGCATTTTGCATTCAGGTCCATCCTTACAGAATCCATAGACATAATCCATACATAATTTTCTTACTATGTGTTTTCTAAAAGTTTTGATACAATTTTAACTTATCACATGAAGAACCCAAATAACAAAATCCTTTGTCATAATCAGGGCAAGGCCAATATTTGTGTTCTAAAGGACATTAAAGCTTCATGCAAATATCTTTCTAAAATTCCATACATAAGGGCTTGTCTTTGGGACCAGAAGGATTAAACATTTTTTGGGAAATCTAAAATAATTTAAATAGTATATTTAATCATTTCTTTTTCTTTACTTTCCTATCATTTAATGAACCCAATAGCATCCACATATTCTCATCATTCGGATAGCCAATCACTGGATACTCAGAATGAGATTCTTCCTTGATTTAAGGGAGTTGAGCTTGAATTAGAATTGATAATTACAAATTTATGGCAAAGATTATTTATGAGGCTATTAAGGAGGAAATAAGATATCAAGAGTTAATTTGAATGCATCATCTAACATACGAGGAATATACATTTTTAATAATGGACTTGACTCTTCTATACACGGATTAGTATTGACCTCAATTAACCAAACTTCCTAATCAGAATCTAAGATGAAATCAAATCCAAAAATCTCAAAGCAATACTTTCTATCTTCAAAATTAATCTTGCTGCGTACAGAATTAAAGACCATCCAAATTCTTTCTTTCATTTTATTTATAATCTGAAATTAATGATAAATTTACATCCTAAACGTTGCAAGCAATATTCTATGATTTTAAATAATCCTAATAGTTCTTAAAGGACAGTTAATTACCATCCTCAAATTCTCCATAATTCTTCGAATACTTTTAAATAGCATTGTTTGTTAAATGAACAAAAGTATTCTCAATATTATAGGTGAAATCTTCAGAAGACGTTCTAATATATCCTTCCTAAAAGAAATATGCATCCAACTCATGCGTTACTAATCCCCAAACTCTAATATCGAACTTTCTTTTATTAATCAACGCTGGTCTTTCAATGTATTTTTAAATAACAAAAGAATGCGATTTTATAATACAAGGTCCTGATGGTTATTGCCGAATGTATTAATTTGGATCCTTTTTAGTTGTTCCTTACGCACTTTATACCTGTTTAGGAGGATCTTCTTCTCCCGAAGATCCGTCCTTCTGATTCAAAGTCTTTTCTTTCAACCCTTCTTAAAAATCAGATACCAACTTAACTAAAGTTTCTAAGTTATCAAATATTTAAATCCCTCTTCCTCGATTTAAAAAAGTAGGCTTTAATAACCACATATAGGGGGAATCTTCAGATAAAAATGTATTATTCATTTGAATTTTTTAAAACTAAGAACTTGAATCTCTTTAGTAAGCATTAGTAAAATTTCCCCTTAATCTTCTCTTAACGTCTAACATCTGTTTTGCTGTAGGCTTCTTGGGTGCGAATTGCTCGTAAGTCTTGAGGAATTAAGTGATATTGTAGTCGCAATTTTCATCACTGAAATCAATCACAAATGTTAATGGGCTGTAATCAAACACATTCAGTTTATGTTTCTAATAACTAAATAGATATATTTACTTCGCAGTATTAAGATAGATTTTTAATCAAATCAGATTTATTTGAAATTTCCTTGTGATGTTCAAAATGATTAACAAGTTATTTATAATTTTAACTAACTATCAATCTTTCATATCTATAGCCCCTTTCGTTTTGTTGCCATTTAAAATTTACAAACATTGAACTAGAGTCAGTTGTTTCTTTCCATTGGGTCCTTTTAGACATGACCCGTTTTACTAAAGCCTCATTATTGCCCCAACCAACAAAATACTATTTGACTTAAACTTATTTATTTACTTTTAAACAAAACTCTTAAGGAGCTGGTTTGAATTGATTTCTCTTTTTGGAAAAACTAGTTGATTTAGGGTTCAATTTTTTAGTTACATTAGGTAATGACTCTTAATTTTATTATTATCTTTCCTTTGTTTTACTTTTTTTATGTTGTAATTATGATTATATAAATTATGGCTTTACTTACGGACTTTGAGACTTGCATTTTGTCTCAGTTTTATTGCGAGATCTCCTAATCTCCACATTGATAGTTGATTCTTCAGACGGATTCATTAGTATAAAAACTTGAAAACAATTAATTATTTTTATAATTATATATCATATTGAGAGATGACACGATCACCTTATTATCGTATTTAATAATAAAATTGTAGATTGTAATGGATATATAAAAAATGTATTCAGTTTATTCAGGTAACTCATTCACCAATTTTCAGTTTCTTGAGACCCTCTAATTTCTAGACATTTCTTTAAATGATTTCCCTAAATTATTAATAGAGTATTTACCTCTTGATGGATTCATTCTTTTGGATTGATCTTATAGTTTTACTAAAACCTTCAGGCTATTTTTCCAGTAATTTATTTTGTAAAGTTATGCTTTAATTATATAATGAGTCTACATTAAATTCGTACATCGAATTTAAAGAATCATTAATTGATCTCGAAGATTTTTGTGATACCCCGTCATTTAGATTCAAGTAAGATTGCTTATGAATTTTCTAAGGTACTTTTTAAATTTAATTGTGAGGCACTATCCCTGCAGAAATAAGCAAAGACTTCCTCACTTTAGATTAAATCTCTTTATCATGAAAAGGATCTTCAACTTGAAAATCAGTAATATATTTAATCAGTTCTAAATCATTATTTATATATTGATTTTTTAAGTAGTTCTATTTAATAAATGGAACTATTTATTTGACATTCCTAAGACTATGCAAAGATTAAGATTGCTAATGAACTATATTTTTATATTAAGAGTTTTGGAATATTTTTTTTTTGGCTTTTTCATTTTGAATGAAATCTCTAGTTTGTAATTCATCAATATATTCTTTTGCTTTTTAATTTATTTAAAGTTTGATCGCAGATATTTAGGTAGGAGGATCATATTTGTTTTTAGCTTCATTTTCATATGTAGCTGTTTTTTAATTTTGATATGGATTTTAGTGTTAAATTAATTTAATTTGGCTTCCTTTAACAATGCTTTTTTAAATTGTTGGAGTTATTTTTTTTTCCATATATCTCCTAGATATCAATTTGATATATTCATCACTTATATCATACATTTGTTTGATAACACCAACATTTTTCAATTCCCGGCTTCTTTTTATAATATCTTCCTCTTCTTTTAATTTTATCTTATGTTCAATTAAATTTCTTAAAACAGCAAACCTAGATTCAATCCTTGATTTTTTAGAGATTTCCTCTGATTTGTCTTTCAGTAATTTGAGGAAACCAGATTGCTTAGGATTATCGTTCCCATGATTTTTATCTTTATCAATTCTAAAAAGTTTGAATTTTTTAGGAGAATTAGGTCTTTGTCGATCAAGCAATTCTGACTAATTTTTACGTGTTAAAAACTCACAAGCTGATATTTCACCTTTGATAAATTTTTCAAAATTGTCCCTTACTGAAGGACTGTTGTACACATTACTCCCACAAAAGATCGGAGCCTCTCTCAAAAACGCAGGATCGATATGTTTATTTCTTTTCTTTTATCTAACCAGTCCTTCACCTAAGAAATTGCCAAACATAATGTTCCAATTCTTGAGTCTGTCATCTTTTTATTTTGGTTCATCCTATTCAGTCTTATGATCACTAAACTAAAATTTGTCCAATTAATACACAAGTAGTAGTTTAAGTTGGCTCTCTTCTTCTATGTGCTAATCTTTTCATTAATTTAATTATGATTTTTAATCGAAGAATCTGGAAATTCGCATTTCATCCAACACCTCGATATTGTTTCTTTTAACCTCCACAATTTGATGTTAATAAAGACTACTACAAAATCCTAAATAGTTCACCTACAGATCCTGAACAAAAAATAAAACAAGAATATTATAAATTAGCTAAACAATATCACCCTGACATCAATAAAGGAAATGAAGAGAAATTTAAATAAATAAATGAAGCTTGGGATGTACTTAATCTCATTTATTTTAGGTTTTATCTGATAAGCATAAAAAATAATAATACGATTCAGCCAGATCCTATAGCAATAACACTAATGAAACTAGTTAAAGAAATGCTAATGAGCATGGATAACAATACAACTATGAAGAATTTATTAGGAAATAAGGTCCAAATGGGTTTTATCAACAATATTCATATAGAAGTAATCACTTAAAATTTATTTAAGGTAGTAGTAATTCCTAACAATTTTCAAAAGAATAAATGGAAGAAATGCAAAAGTAAGCTTAAGAATTTATGAATATGTTTTAAAATGGTCAATTTAGTTAGTTCTCTTAAGCATTTCGATAAGCCACAAAAGGAGATCCTAAATTTAATAGGGTTCATACATTTATGAATTTTGCTGAAATGGCTGGAAAATTCTATCAGGATAGACAGAGATAACAAGTGGAAAATGAAATAAAAAGATAACAAAATGTTTAATCTTTTGCAAATAAAGAAGAGAAGCTTAAAGAATCCTTTTAAAACATAAAAAGCGGAATTAAAGGTTTATGGGATTAATTTACTAAAAAATGAATTTATTTATTATATTAAATATCTATTGATTAAATTTATTTGTGTTTAAGAATCGTAATAGTAAGGCTTACTAAAATTCTTGAGATAAATTTTAAAGAATTATCTTTTTGTACATGGCACTTAATAATAAAAAATTAAGATTAAATATAAATTGATTAATTAAAATCATTAATTACTTCGGTTTGTATCCATTTTAGAACTAAATGAGATTGACAAACTTTCTGAGTTTCTTTTATTTCTTGTTTAACTAGCACTTCTTTTAAATTAGGTATTCTCTATATTTATTAAGCTTAAAATTGTATTGATTCCTTATGATGTTTTTTCTCCAATAGAAAAATAGTTTGACTTAGTGATTGAATTAGTTTCCCTTTATCTCCAACTTAAATTACTTCCATATATATGTTCTTTTAACACTCTTGATGATTTTAACCTACTTGCGCTTCCTTAACTCTATAAAATATAAATATAAATTTACGTTGCTTAAGTCTGTAAATTAATTGACTTCCTTGAATTTACAAAAATTTGGAGCAATCATATCATTTTTTTTACACCTTAAACAGATCCTATGATCAAAAGGAGGGAAGATATCTTCATTTTATTAATCTGTTTGTACAGCATGATCATGTATTTATACTCTTCCAGAACTGCTATAATTTTAAACAGATGAAGTTTATTCCTAACTTGTATTGTTATCATCTTCAATAAAAATATGTTTATTTTATTTAATGACTCCTGTTGCCCTTTTTTGAGAATTAGACTCTTAGGAATCATCTAAATCTTTTGAGAATTTAGCCACTTCTCTGTAAAAGCTTTGTTATATAGATGAGGCTGGAGAATTAGTATAGCAATTAGGACTCTTGTGTTAACCTCTTGGGGGTTTTTAACTATTGCGGTTTTATTAAAAATCCAATCTATTTTAGAGTTGTAATTAGTCCTACAAGTAGTTTATTTATTTATCGTATTATTTAACTAAGTCTTAAATAATCTATTCATATTTTTATTGGGTTTGAACTATAGATTTATTAGAAGATTCCTAAACTTATGACACTTTTTTCTAAAACGATTTTTCATTTTCTTTTATTTGCTAAAAGCTTACAGAAGAATTCAAGACATCCTTGACTTACTCTAATTCCTTTGCAAATTACAGAGACTTCTTATCATTCTCAATTTTGTATTACAATAAATCTTATTGTTTCTAAAATTCTAACTAATCAATTTATCTTTGTTAAAGCATAATCTCATGTTTTTAGTTGGAAATTGTCTATTATAATGATGTGATTTGAGATTATTTTTCCTAAGTTTAATTTTAAATTAGTACTTCAACAACACAATTATATTCCTATTGAATTTCATTGACTTATTATTCATATTAAGCAGAATTACTATCTAGTTCATCTTAAAGTTGCTAGATCAATGTCTATTTATCTAGCACAGCCTAAAATATAAGATAAAATGATTACTCGTTCTAATTATGAAGCTTAAAGTTTCAATTTATCAAATAATTAAGATTACTATTGGTATTAAACCTATGTTTATTCTAATGCTAGCTTAGTAACTTTGATTTCATTTAATTAATTGATTTCTTATTATTTCAATTACTCTTGTAACATATTGAGTTTCTGATTTAAGATTTGATTTTCACTCTTGAGAGTTGTTTCTTTTTCAATCAATTTATGACTCTCTAACAACTTTTCCTACTCCTAGATCTGAAACCTTTATTAAAGTTCCTAAGACGATGTTAATGCTTTTTTTAATCTATTTTCTGTTTACACTTTATATTCTTTGTATTCTTTTTGAAGTTCATTGTATTTAATTTAATATTTAATTTCTTCATCTAATTCTTTAAAATCAGAATTTTATGTATTATTTAGTTCATAACTTTCTTTCAATTATTTCTACAATGCATCATTAAGTTTCAGTTATTTCTTAATTTCATTTTCTTGATTAAGAATTGACTTTTAAAGGTCTAAAATTTAGTTTCTTAATTATTGCAATTACTCATCTTATTCTTTCTATCTATCTGATAAGTTTGAATTCTGTTATTGAGTATTATATAATTCAGATTCTAATTGTTGAATTCTATTGGATTGAGATTTGGATAAATGAATATATTGTTTGACTTCATCATTTTCATTATTTTTGGATTAGTATAAGATGGATTCTAATTCATTATTCTATTTATTGAGTCTTTCAATGATTGATAAATGTTTTTCACATTGCTCCTCTAATTTCACTCTAATATCATTTAATTCATTGACATCATTTTTGTATTTTTGCAATTCCTTATACAAATTGGTGTTGCTCTTCTGAAGTTGTTTAATTTGATGAGTATACATTTATAATTGATTATTGTATACTTAATTCTCTTTTTCAACTTCAATACTGTTATTCAGAATATTCTTCATTTCATCTTGAAGCTGCAATTTTTCTTAATGTTTCTCATCAATTCTTAGTTTTACTTAGTTTTGGATCTGCTTATTCTCCTTGATGATAATTTCATTCTCCTATTTTACTTCATCAATTTCTTTCTGGTATTTGAAAATCTAATCTTATAAATCTTTAATTTCACATTCTTGATTATAAACCAATTGGTCTAAATAGTCAAACACATAATTAACTAGATTGCTATCTGATTTTGGTTACGGAATTCGAAATCTCTCTAGTTGATTGAATATCAATTATTCTAGATCTCTCCATTGTTCCCATAAGGAATTCTTTTATAATTAATGAATGATTTGATTTTTCTCCTCCAATTATTGACTTAACATCAGATTTATTTTCTATTCATTTTTAAATAGACTATTTTAATATTCTTAATTGTTTAGTTTCTATTCTTATAATTGTAAGGTGATTCTATTGTATTCACTCATGGACAATAACTTAAAGTCCATAGAGCCTAGATCCAATCTTTTATCCTTTAGAGCTAACACTTGTTGTTCGACCTCTTGGAACACTTGAGCAGCAGCCTCAACCTCTTGAGATGACACTGTTTATTGACTAATATGATATAGGGCACTTATCAATACTTTTCAAACACGTTTTCAATTTCAAGAGTTATCTTTTGATTAAATTCAATTAATTTTCTTACGAAAACTAGCATTTCTTTGATTTGATCCTCATCTTGTTTTTATAATTTATTGATCTCTCTTGTTATGATTGTTGCCATTGATATTTTGGATTCCTTGAATCTTGCATATTCCAAATCAATCTAATTTGAAATGTTAACCATCTCTTATTTGTAATGGCTTAACTTTTTACTATATTCTTTCAACTTCAATCTGTTTTTATTATTGGTTAGTATGATTTAAGGGCCTGTGCTCTCTTCCTTCAAGAAAGACTCATTGACAGATGACTTCTGTTAAACAGCACTGACTTCCCTGAAATCTCGTAATAATTGATCCATGAATTGAACCTTGCTCATTTTGAATTTGTATAAATATTAATTTGTTCGTTAATATATATAATTTGTAAATTACACTCCACCTCCAAAAAGACAGTTATTAACATGCAAGGTCAACAGGGAAAAGTGTACAAGAAAAAAAAGTCTCTCAAATCTACTTAAAAATTATAAGAGATTCCCCCCATTTCTACACAAAGAACACTCAAGACAACCAACTAAATTTTATCATAGCGAAGTCCCATAACAGGTACTACGAAATCTACTTAAAATACAATCGAAACCAAACGAACTATGTCTCCTGAAGAGTTGAAATCTTCCAGAAAAAGTAATAAGACATAAAAAAATTAGGAAGGCACAAAGAATCCCAATCAGAGCTCACCTTTATTCACTGAAAAATAAAAACGTCTTAAAAAATAGTCAATACAATAATTTATGAAGGAAAAAAAATAATCTGAAATTTTAATAGAAAGGCTTTTCTAATAGAAGATTTTGCATGATAAATAAAAGAAGTATTATTCAGAGTTTTATATGATTTTAGATTACTCAATCTATAAAAACTACAATTAAAAACTAAAAAAATATTTGAAAATGCTAAAAAAGCTAAATAGAAAATGTCAATGAAAAATAAACTGAAAAAATAAAAAATAAATGAAATTATTGAAAGGTTTCAAGAAATTTCCAAAAGATATGAAAAAATCTAAATTGATTAAATCGCCTAATTCTAATAGGAAGTAGCTAAGCATTAATAATCTTATAAGGCGTAAACTGAAAACCAAATCTAAATGAATATTATTGAAGAAGAAGCTCAGAACGAATTTTATTTAAATTAAGCAGCCTTATTAATATAAAATCAATGGAAAGACTTTAAAAAGAAAAAGGAAAAGCAGAATTATTCTTAAACTAAATTATAATAAATGAGCTTAGATTGGGAACCCAAATAACAAGTCTCATAATAAATATCTCCTAACAATTTTGAGGATGGCTTTCTTTTTAGCTAAGGAGGAGAAAAATAAACTCTCATTTCTAATATTAGAAGTTCCACCCTTTCAGAAGAATCCTAGCCTATTGTGAATTAATTAAATTAAGAATTTGAAAATTGGAATCTCTTTACCTAAAGAATAGTTAAAGATAAAGACATTTCAAATATCAACAAATAGATGCAATAATAAATTATATCGATAATTTAAAATCACAAGATATTATCTGAAAATATTTCAGAAAGAAAAAGTGAAAACTAATTCAACTAGGAAAAAAGCACAAGCAATCATCAAAAGAAATTGAGTGAGGATCTTACTAAAGCCAATGTGTTGTAATTATAATAACGAATATAATAAGAAGAAAGCTTAATATCAAAGTACAGAGAAGAAGCCTTATACCTCAGATACGATGTTGAATTAAAGTAAACTGCAGAAAAGGATCACTAAATACTTCAAGAATGGCTAAATAGAGAATTAGAAGATTTATAAAATACAAAAAAGGCTTTTGAGATTGGTCATATGAGAGAAATAACAACATTAAAAAAAATACAAACAGATATACTCATTGCTTCTGCAGAACTCTCGTCTGATCAATAATATAGCTTATAAATTTAAAAGATCTAAGAATATATAGATGAATAGTTCAATGCCCTAAAAGAAAAACAACAAAATTATAAATCATAATGGGATATCTAAAAGAATGTTGATTTAATAACTGCTGAAGTTTTAAATGAAATGATCATAGATTTTTCTGAAGAGATGTTGAATAAAAGGGAGGATCTTTACTTAATAATTTCAAACCTTATTGTGAATTAAGAATAAACTCCTTGTGTTCCTACTTCCATGTCTGATATCTCAGAATATTTAGATAGCCTATTTAAATATATACTGGAAAATCATAAGAAATCTTTAATTGAGAATTTGAATACTCCTTTTGGATTTACACCTAAGTAAAGATTGAAATTAATACATGGAAACGAAGGCTACGATATTGACAATGATAATGATCATAAAGAATTCCAAACCTCAATCGCTTTTCCAATTGATGAAGCCATTTTTGTTGAATATGAAAATAAAAGAATACCTGAAACAGACAATAACGATGAGGTAGAATGTGCTATTCTAGAGTTGCAACATATTCATAATAAAGCTATTTTCGATGCTTGCAATGAGGCTTTAAATAGTTATAGACCTTACTATTACAGTAATAATTTAATTAAATCTTTTAGATTCTGGTATAAAATATCCATGGGAACGAAGTAGCTTAAATTTATAGAGAATATCTAATGAAAGCTTAGTATAAATATTGGAAAAAGTGAAATCAGTAGTATTAAAAGAGAGTAAAGTTTTGTGTGGCTTTTATGAGCCAGAAGAATTCGAAATGGTCAAATAAGAGAAATAAGAAATAATAGAGGAGAAAAATTTATTAATGCTGATGCAGCAGTTAAATTTAGTTGAAAACCCTTTGTTAGTGGATACGAATGTCTAATTCGATAATTTGACTTTGATTAGAGATGAGCAACTGTATAAGTTACTTGTAGAGGATGTACAATATTACAAATATATTTTAGTTGAAAGAATAGGAATATAATTGGAATTTGATTGAGGATGATAGAACTGAATATCTAATGGAATTGAGTGACCAAATTTTAGAGTATCTGATTGAAGAATTCCAGAAGGAAATGTGATTATGTTTTTCTGCAATTGTTATGTATTAAAATAATGTGAAAACTTTATGTGTTTAATTATAAATAAAAATAATAAAAATCTGTGTGATGTTGACAGAGGGCGTGTAGATAAATTCTGGACATTAAAGCATGATCCATGATATTAAATACGATTATTACGGTGACAAATTAGCAAGCTGCGGAAGCGATGGATATATCAATGTCTATGACGTGTCAAAAAAATAATAAGTTGCTTAAATTAAGACGTACTTAGTTTGAGTATTAAAAATAGTCGTGATTCTCCTTTATTTTCAATATCTTGGTCACATCCTAGATTTGGCAACGTGATAGCAACGTCATCCTATGATGGAGAAATATCAATATATAGAGAATAAAAGGAGTGGTCGAAAGTGGCTAGTTATTAGAATGAGGGCAGTGTTAATTGTGTTTAATTTATGCCAAGAGAATTACTTTTGGCCTGTGGCACATCAGATGGATTTGTTATATTATTAGATAATAACAAGAATTGGGATGTCGATAATAAATGGTAAGCACATGAATCAACAATACATGGATTATGTTGGAACTAGGATGGTTCATTATTGGCAACATGCAGCGCTGATAAATTGATTAAAATCTGGGAATTCACTAACGATAATAAGCCATAATTGAAATACACAATCCAATGTCATTTAGATGTAGTGAAAGATGTCCAATTTCATCCTTTACTAAATATCCTTGTTTCGGGAGGAGATGTAAACATCTATAATTAATTGCATAGGACGGGAAACTTATAATCAATAGATTGGATAATAATAAGGTTGTTGAAATTCAAGATATCCAATATAATATGACCATCTGGAGAGTATCATTCAATATGTTGGGTAATTTGATGACTGTGAATGGAGAAAGTAATGGTTAGAGTAAAACTCAAACACTAAAATAAGAGATTAATTGTTAATACAGTACAATTGATTGCTATTGTTATTGATAATGTATAAATGAAAATGAAGTTATATCAACTTGTTAAATTCACATTTATATTTGCTTCCTTTGCTAATCTTAAAATTGCTGCCATTCTAACAGCCTTCTTTGCAGCTTCATCTAGATCTTCAGTAAATATCATGTTGAAACCAGATTCATCTATTAATTTCTTTGCTTCCTCGACTTTTGTTCCCTTCATTCTCAACACCATTGGTTTTTTCATACCTAAAACTGTCAATCCCTTTAATAATCCCAAAACTATTTAATCACACCTTGATAATAATAATTATACAATTACCTTGCTATACCAGCAAAGATATTAACAAGAATGGCTTCAACATTAGGATCTTTATCCATAATTTTGAGTGCAGATACAATCTCTTAATCTGTGGCTTTACCACCAACATCCAAAAAGTTAGCAGGTGATCCTTCATATTATTTAATCAAATCCATTGTAGCCATAGCCAATCCTGCTCCATTAACCATACAACCTATGTTTCCATCTAAAGCAATATAATTCAATCCATGTTTCTAAGCCTCTACTTCTTTCCAATCTTTTTATCTGACATCCTCCATGTGAAAGATAGCATGTTGTCTAAATTATGAGTTATCATCAATGTTAAGTTTTTGATCACAAATAATCAAATTTCCTTACAAATCAATACCAAGTGGATTTATCTCCAACAATGTGGCATCAGTTTATAAAAAGATATCGAACATTTTCTTCAAAATCTAAATATGAATACAATGGTGCTTACATCTTTCATCTGATTATGCTAGATGGGATTCAATTTATAGACTTTTGAGACATTTTCATAAATGGAAAAATCAATCTCATCTACATTGCTGGGCATTTCAATTGAGAATTTCTTGATATAATTGGGATCACTCTCCTCTATGTGAATGCCTCCCTTTTCTGAAGCTACAATCCCTAGACCTCCTGTATTTCTGTCCAAGAGTATTGACAAATACAATTCCTTTCTTAGGAAATTTCTTTCTACTACGTAAACCATTTCGCACTTCTTTCCCAAACTTCCTGTTTATTTGGTTATCAATGTGTTTCCCAACATTTTACTAGCGTATTCCTTTACATCTTCAGGATTTGACACTATGTGAATTCCCTAAATAGATATTCACAGGTACACTATTAAATCCGTTCTCTTTGAAATATCCCTTGCCTCTTCCACCAGTGTGACATTATGCCTTTACAACCAAATCTGTGAAGGAGTTTCTTTCTGATCCCTCCTAAATGATTTTTAAAGCTGCCTTGTAAGCTTCATCTGGAGTTTTGCAAATCTTTCCAGGAGGGATGGGAAGTTAAAACGATTTGAAAAATTCTGCTGTTTAATACTCATGGAGAGAAAGGAAATATTTGGGTATGCGATGAAATCTAAACATTAAAGATATTGTTTATATTATATAATTTCATTACCACAATCTATTGTGCATATTTTCCAATTATTCTATATCTTTATTATTATTATCTAATTTTTACAAAATGTTATCAAATTAAGAATAGGATCCTTCAAATCCAGAATCATTCACATTAAATTCAAATCTTCTCACCTCTAAAAACTACCTCAAATGAGCATTCTCACCTATCGTAGGTACCTTTATTAAATCAAGCAAATATTATTAGAGATTCACGCATCTCACATTCGGATTTATCTACTATAATGCCGCAGTAGTCTTATAAGGCAATTAAGGCACTAAGGGATATCTAAAAATAGAATCTCATACGTTCTCATACCTCTATTTCAAAATACTATGTAGTTCATCAAATTGGCTGAATCTCTTCCAAATAGAATGCTTTGAATCCCCTGATCCGATGACAAATGAGTATCTAATGAATTTTTCACCATCCTTTCCCACAACCTCCTCAAATCCTGTATTTTTAATGTTCAATTTGACTATCAATTCACTCTCCTTAATTACTTTGGCTTATAAGTTCCTAACTTGATCTTCTAAATATTGAGACATTCCAATGAACTTGAATAGAGCAGAGACGTGATATTAACGGTCATTCAACAATACTTTCATAAAAATCTCTAAGTCCTACTTTCTCTCCTCTATTTCTTCATTTGACATCTTAATCAATGACTTTTGAGGGAAAGGAGGAAAGTTTTTGACTTCTGCGATATTTTTCATAAGTTCACTAAACTCATAGAATTCCTTAAATCTTCTTTAAACCATAAGAGTCTCATCCTCAAATTGTGTCATCAATGTGTATTGTACATAAGTTTCTGTAAGATTTTTAATGGTTTGAAACTCCGTAATTCGAACATCTAAATACGGCAAATATTACGATTGGATATCCCATTTATATTTCTTATTTGGTTAATTCTTACGGATTATCATAGAGGATTTATGCAAGTTTTAGGAGTGGTTTGCTAATTTCATTTCTTCAATTAGCATTCTCTCTGAATGTTGCAATTAAATGAATTCGACAAAGGAAGGTGTAATCAATTCCAATTTACTTACGATAAAATTAAAGTATTTCTGAATTTAATTAATTAGCACTAAGTCCTAGCTCTCTTGCATCTACTTCATTAGGAAATTGATTTGTAATAAATCATTAGAATGTTGGTCAAAGTAATCGTTGTTCTCGAATATATACTATTGATGATGATAGAAGATCTCAGATAGCCTCTTTTTTAATTTGTATTGTTTATCTGCTCCAACGATTATGCTTTAAATGATAATTAACTATTAATTACACGTCTATTTTAACTTCTATATCGTCATCTACTATATTCCATTATTTCTTGACATCTATTTTTAGTAAAAAGGAGCTTTGGGAATCTAAATTAAGTATCTAAAATACTATTCACTGTTGATGTCCTGTGTCTTTGAGATTCTGATAAATCGATCATCGGTAATTCACTCCTCCAAAAGCCCAAGGTTTCAAATTCTGCTATGTCCTATCGTCTAATGAAGAGAGTAAAGATGATAAGTATTGTATAATCAAGAACTCGAAACACAAGCAAAGTGTATTCAAATATCTTCCCTTACTAGAGTAATTAATGAAAATACTACATAGAAAATGAGTAATGTAAGAGTGACACTTAAAAACAACCAATTTAAGACCCAATATATTTTGTGAGCAAAGAACATTGGTACTTATTTCTTGTATTCGTATGTCTAAAATTAAATGAATCATACCATTAAAATAATTTGCATGATAATTGCTGAAATGTTTACAAAGAGCACTCCAGAGATGAAATAGTTTTTTTCGTCGCTTTAAAATATCATTAGAATAAATTCAACGAATTCAGCAGCTCTGAGTAGTTAATAAATTTACTAATATCTAAAGTTAATAGTGTAATCCGCAAAATGATTGAGTAATTATAAGGGAGCGGTTAAGCTTGAATATTGGATCGCAAATCAAAGAATCTTGCTGCCATTCCTATAATATAGAGAACGCTGATTGAAGCTGGAAGCAAATAACTAAATACAATTAAAGCATTCAAAATTGGCATTTAATATTAAATATTTCTTTTGCAATTATTTAAAAATTAAATTATCTAATTTATGCTATCCACAGCTGCAGGTTTCCAATCGATGCTCAAAGAAGTATGATAAAAAGTATTAACCTTTCTCAGGGGGCTCGCCATTATCAAGGATTAGAAGAAGCCATCCTAAAAAATATTTAAGCATGCAAAGAAATCTCCAACATGACTAAAACTTCATTGGGTCCAAATGGAATGAAGAAAATGGTCGTGAATCATATTGATAAAATATTTGTTACAAGTGATGCAGCAACAATCCTCAAAGAAATGGAAATCCAACATCCTGCCGCCAAGATGATCCTTATGGCAGCCAAAATGCAAGAGACTGAATAAGGAGATGCTACCAATTTTGTTATTACTCTAGCTGGAGAGTTATTGTAATAAGCTGAAAGTTTAATTAAACTAGGATTACATCCAAGGTAATACTAATAATTCATTCATTTAGCTAAATTGTGGTTGGTTATGAGACAGCATTGAAAAAGGCATTGGACTTACTAGACGAACAAAAAGTATGGGAAATTACTGACGTCGCTGATGAATAATAAGTCTTTTAAGCTATTAGAACCTCTTTGAGTAGTAAATTGTCAGAGTAAATTCCTAAATAAAATTATAGCTATTCCAATCTGATTGCTGGTCTTGTAGCCAAAGCATGTATTAGATGTTTGCCAAGAGAGAAGTCTAACTTTGATTCTGAATATGTTAGAGTTACTAAAATCTTGGGAGGATCTGTTTTGGATAGTCATGTGTTATCTGGATTAATTGTAACTAGAAATGTGGAAGGACAAATCAACAGGTTGGAGAATCCTAAGATTTGTGTATTTAATGCGCCATTAGATCCATAATAATCAGAAACCAAAGGAACTGTTTTAATTAAAAATGCCACAGAACTTAAGAACTACACAAAGACTGAAGAAGATCTTGCTGAAAAGATAGTCAAGAGCATAGCTGATGCAGGAGTTAATCTCATTATTGCTGGAGGAAGTATATCAGAAATAGTATTACACTTTGTTGAAAAATATAAAATGATGATTGTGAAGGTTTAATCCAAATTTGAATTGAAACGATTATGCAAAGCAGTTGGAGCTAGTGCATTATCAACATTATCTGCACCTATGCCTGATGAATTAGGAACATGCGATAGAGTCCATGTACAAGAAATTGGAAGTCAAAAAGTTACCATCTTTGAAAAATAAAGTGACACTTGCAAATTAGCAACTATTGTTTTAAGAGGAGCAACCTAAAATCTCTTAGAAGACATTGAAAGAGCCATTGATGACGGAGTTAGTTGCTATAGATCATTAATTAAAGATTCAAGATTTGTTTATGGTGGAGGAGCTACAGAAATTGTAATATTCATATATCTATCATATTTAGAAATTAGCTTAGCAACTGGAATAAGAAGCAAACAAAATTAAATCTATAGATTAATATGCTTATAGACAATATGCCTAAGCGTTTGAAATTATACCCAGAATCTTAATTGATAATGCTGGTCTTGCTCAAAATGAAATGATGGCTCAATTACATAAATTGAATTCCGAAAAACCTCATTCATTAAACATTTCTGTATATATCTTCCTCTTATTTAGAATGGAACCTTGACTCCATCAAGTGAATTAAAAGTGTTTGATCATCTTAAAACTAAATGGTGGGCTATCAAATTAGCAACAGATGCTGCCATAACCATCTTGAGAGTAGATTAAGTATCATTCATTCATTATTCAATAGATCATTATTGCTAAACCAGCTGGAGGACCTAAAATGCCAGATAGAGGACATTGGGATGATTAAGATTGAATCTGATCAAATAATAAATCATAAAATCGATATATCAATCAGTTTCTTCTATTTAAATATTCATAATTATGTTAATTTAAGTTTTTGAATTTATAAAGTATAGATTGGTTAATTGTTAAATATTTATGTATTCTGCATGTGGTTTTTTCTATTGTAAAGAAATTAAATGATATCTTAAATTCTCTTGTTTCAATAATTAATTGTTTTTTCAAATAGGTCTTAACTTTTAAAGTATTAAACCAGGAAAATGTATCCGAAAAATAAACCTCAATAGAGATCAATTTACTTTATTTATGATTAGATAAGAGATTGTTAATTAATACATTGACCTAAAATAATAGAAAATGCTAACGATTATCAACGTAGTTCTACCTCAATTTTCATTTTCTTATGTAAATTATTACTGAAATCACTCTCTAGGTTAAATCTAAAATCAGAATAATAAAATGAATGAGATTAAATAGACTTAATTGAAAAAGTTATTCCCTATTGATATATCACATGGTGATTAATTAGTTGTGATTAATTAAAATCTCTTTTTTATTAATTTTTCGAATGAGTACAAAAGTCCATCAAAGAATTCTCACTTTCATCAAAAAATACAAGGATGAGTAAATACTTCATATTAAATTTAAGATTGAGCTCATCTACAGGAATTGATGAATTTGCAGATTTATTGAACGAATGCTTTACTTCATTCGAATAAGATTCGTCGAGGAGAGAGAAAGTGAATTTAATGCTTGAGAATCTTGTCTTAGATGATGAAAGCAAACTTGTGGAAGGAGGTAAGAAAAATGAATTATTAAAAGATTTATAAAAATATGTGGAGAGATTAATTGATTTCGTTGAAGGACAAAGCGATGATCCATTAGAAAAAAACAATCTTAAACAAAGAAGCTCTTCAGGGAGTTCAGATGAGGACGACAACAGAGGTCACAATAGATAATAAAACAAACACAAAAGAGATAGAAGCAGAGATAGGGAAAAGAATAAGAAATCAAAAAAAAATTAAAAGAACACAAACATATTATCAGATTTATAAAAAGCATTAGGAAAGGAGATGAATATTAAGGATTTACTGTCTTCCCTCACCAATAATAATAATCGGAAATAATAACACAATAATAATAATAAAAATGTTGTCTTCTTACAAAATGTCCCTAGAGAAATGAGATCATACACAGAAATTGAATCATTACTCTAAGGAAGAGGAGACCTAATCAGAATTCAATTATTAGGAAGGTAATTATTAAACCTAATTATAGAGTTCCCTCGGTCTAATTTAAGAATCATAGTGACGCCTAAGCTTTAATTGATAAATTTATAGTTCACAAAGGAGTTAAAATTGAGTTCACTCAAAGTTTAAATAAAGTATTTAAATAACTAATAAAATAGTAGTAGCAACACTAAGATGATAATAAGAATAATAAGATTATTGTATTAGACAAAGAAGGAAAAAAAGTATCAAACCAATCTTCTTAACCAGCAGCCCCTCTTTAATAAAACTAATAATAACAATAATAATAATAATAATAGGTTCAATAGAAATCAGACACTAAAATGGAAGAAGAAAATGACCAAAAAAAAACCAAAGAAGAATAAGAATTAAATAATCAAATTGAATAAATTAAAGGACAAGCTAAAACCCTAGTTGTAGATAAATTGAGACTAGCTTTCTTATTAAATAAAAGGAAAGACAATTATCCACCATAACTAAGTACTGAAATTGAAGAATTAAAAAAGTATATATTTAAATAAATCATAGATTATTAACCTAGAAAAAGGAAGAAATATCAAAAATGAATTCTTTGGAATAACTCAAAACAGAATTACAATGGCTAAACGAGAATTATGATTACACCTTATTAATTACTCAAATACCAGAATAACTATTTAAAGATAAGACTGTTACTAAGGTTCTAAATGAAGAATTCCAAGTAATCATTCTAATAATTTCTTAGAAATACGGAAAAATAGACAATTTGCAGATCAAAATCAAAGATAAAGCTGCTCATCTTAAATTCTTCAGTTTTGATTCAGCAGAAAAAGTATTGTATTTTAGATTATGTAGGCTTATTATCAAGCTAACGAAAATTCTAATTTAAAGGTTGAGTTTTTAAATTAAGGAATCAAAAAGGTACTAATTGCCCAAAGCTGAAAAATTTATAAATCATCATATTTAATGTAAATAAATCATTTCTTCATATAAAATATATATAATGGATTTTATAGTGCATATTAACTAAAATTGTTATTCCATTTTGAAATTTGTTATAATTTTTAAATTGATTTTATTGCTTGCTACGCAAAACATTACCATATCAGAATGTTTCAAAAATGTTCTTAATGACTGAATCTAATTTTAAATTTTTTAATTCATTATAATTGATTGTATTAATATATTTCCTAAAATATGGTTACAAAAGAAATTATAAAGTAACATTAAACCAAATAAATGTATTTAAGGGTGCCTATTCTTTGAATTGAAGCTAGTATTTTGTTTTCTTTTTTCAGGAATGTAACTAAGAATAATTAAATTAAATTTCAAAATTACATCACAAAATTAAATAGTAAAATTTCTTAAATGTATTAAAGCCGATAAAATTTTTTTAGCTGAAAATAGTAACAACTGAACAACTTAGATCTTCAATAATGAATTTGGCTGGTCGTAATAAGTAAATCAATTTTTTTTACATAACTTATAACAATGATTTAAATTAAATAATTAAATGTTTTTTACAAAAGCAAATGGGATGCTTATAAAAATTCGATGCTTATTAAATCAAATATTAAAAATTAAAACTTTAATAATCTATTAATCTAATAGGATATGCATAATGCTGTTCCATATATTTTTATTTAATATTTATTTTCATAAAATAAATATTCATTTTAATGATGAATCGTTACTCCTTATTTTTTAAAGATAATCACTTAGAAGACTAATATTAAAAATATTTGCTGGAGATAAATAGAAAACCTCTTTTAAAAAGATTGGTAATCTCCACAACTATAGTTGAAATCTCAGACCTATTACAAATTATTGCTTCAGGCAAATACGAGCTATTAACTTTGAATTATGTAGTTGTGCATTACTTATTTGAAATTATTCTGAATTTACTCCTAATCCTAACATTTAGATATTATCCTAAATATATAAGGAAAGGCCTTTTTTTATATAATCATTTTTTTGCCACAGCTTTTGTAGTAATGGAATATGAGGAAGCCATGTATTCAATAAATTATTAAAAGATAATCTAATTAGGTATAATAGGATCATAATTTATAATAATTTTGTCTTCTGACTTTATCGAAGCTGCCTACTAAGCAAGTATTTTCCCTTCAATATACTTATTTATGTGGTCATAAAAGCAGGAATAGATTTATTATGCTGGCATAATTGCAGTCATATTATCAGCATTGGTCTTGTTATAATGCTTATATGATCATTAAGTTGCATCAAGATCACGATTTTAATTAGGTTATATTGATAATCAATGGGAAAACATATTTACTTAATTAATAGGCGAGTAATATTTGATATTTTATTTTGATAATGCAACATTCAGTTTTTAATTGTCTAATTCTAAAAATTACATTTACAAAATTGATACAACATAATAGTTAAAAATCTATTTGAGGGCAATCAAATTAAGTAAAAAATAAAATTTTGAATAATATTGTTTTGAACAGATTTAAAATCATAAAACCTTTTCCAAAGATGATCTTAAATAGAATCTTACAATTCTATTTTAAGGTAAAACTCAAATTATTCAATATTCGATTTTTTATAGTATTCGTCCTCTTATACTTTTATAAGTTATTTCAAAAGATAAGTATATCAATGAGACAGAAAGATAAATTGACAAAAAGATAAATTTGGATTCAAATTATTAATTTAAATATAAAAAGTTTATTTATTTGTTATACTAACCTCTTAAAAAGAAGTTTAAAGATATATCTGCATCCCTTAATTGTTTATCAAAAGTTAGAAAAATTTGTCTCTATGCAAATTTATAAGAATATATCACCCCTCATAGCATTTTATCAGTATAAATTTTCAAATTGGATTACTTATTCCAAAAAATAAATTTTATATACTCAGATTATGATATAGAAATTGATAATAAAATCAATTTAATTACAAACAATAAAGAACTGTTATTAATGCTATTCATAGAGATAATAGAAAAAACAATATCAAAGCATTTGAAGATATCTACATTATTTTTATAAAACTATTAAATTTTAATCAAATTTACCTGCTATTATTCTAAAAAGTCCTTAGATTAGTTAATGCATAGAGTAAATCTGTACTCAAATTTTGTTGATAGCATAAAGTTTGAAGATCAATGTATAATAAAAAATTATATTAGTTATCGGGCTCTTAATTCGAAACGTATAATTAGATATAGGAAATAATATTTCTTTGCTTCCATCCAATAAAAACTAGTTATTTTAAAATTTACTAAATACTGATAGATGAGACATAAATTTTCCAATAATGGAAATATATTTTTTTGTAATATTAGATTATATTCACAAATTTTATCTTAACTTATAGTATTAATATAATTTATAAATAATAATTACAATGAATGAAACATATTAAAGTCTGGTTTAATAATATATTGAAAAATTGAAAAAGGTGCTTCCCTAAAAAGTAAACTATTATAAAGAGACCCTCTCAAAATTCTATGGATAAGATAAATCGTATTTTGGAGATCATATCATTGCTTTTAAATAGGGAATGCAAATAAAATAAAGTAAAATTAAAGAATTGACTTTAACAACGCTAATTGTATATTTTAATTACATTTTAGAACTTAGTATCAAAAGGGTATATTGATGGAAACTTAATTGATAATACAAAAAACTTTTAATATTTTGAGACAATAGAAATAACAGATGCTACAGGGAAAAAAAAAGAATAATCGATTAATGTGATAGAATCACTAATACTTCTGGTTTAATAATGCTTGGTCGAAAAGGATGAAATAATTTCGTTAGCATTAAAATTGTTAATATCGCTTGTAACAAACCCATTTTGTAATATGTAATAACACGAGCTAACAAAAATTATTAAAACAGTTGTGTATGTTTATGCATAATCAAAATCGTAAAATATTGATAGGTTATGCAAAAGCATATTCTTATAGATTATTTTGATAACATTTTAAGGAACTAATTGTGAAAGCATAGTGAAAATAACTATGGATAATATTATAAATAGAGTTTCAGATAATAAATTATGCTAATATTGTGGAAAACAAGGTAAGTTTGAATGTAGACAGTATAAAGTAACAGTGTGTTCTTATGGATGTAAGAAGAATATTTAAGAGAAACTAGAATTATAATAGAAAAATTATGAAAATGCATAAAATGTTTTTGATTTGTTAATTAGACTTCTATCTCCTAAATAATAATTTTAATAGTAAAGAAATTAAATAATTTTACTAGAGGGAATTTATTTCATATGTGATAATTACGATTTCTGTGTGGAGAGTAAAATTTTATACAATCTAAGTTCATACTTGTTGAAATTCTGTTTATAAAACGAATAGTAATTGTATTCTTTAAGTTTTAAAATCTTTTAAAGATTAGCATTTAGTAAACATAAAGAAATGATCAATTAAATAAATATCTTTATTAATCAAATTTATCTCAGTGTTCTCGAAAACAAAAACACTACTGATTAACATAAGTAAACAACTTTAGAATCGTTGTGGAATATATTTCAAAGAAAGCACGCTTCTCTTGAATTCTATTTGAATTACGATTGCAGCATAAAACATGAATTCTTAATGGAAAATATTATCAATACATTGCACGTTATCTTTTAATAAAATGAATAATTCCATCCATTGATTACACAAATATATTAAGCAATAATTATGGGCATAGAATAAACCTTTAATGAAAAAGCAATTAGTAATTCCTAATAAGAGTAGTAATAGCCTTAGGATGTTGATGAAACTGTATTTATCAACTAATTAGAAATGCAAAGACAACAAAAGTAGGAAATATAAAAAGGAGTAGAGCTTTTTAAAAAGAATCCTGAGAAGGGAGTTTCATTTTTTTTAAAGGCAAATATACTATAAAATGATCCAACTTCGATTGCTAAATTTTTACTTGAGAACAAAAGTTTATCAAAGGAATCTGTAGGTTAATATCTTGGTGGCCATCATCCAATCAACATCTAAGTTTTGAGCGAATATACTAATTTTTTAACATTTAATAATTTGTCTGTCGAATAAGCCTTAAGATAATATTTGGATTTGTTTACTTTACCACCTGAATCATAGTAGATTGATAGAGTTGTATAGAAATTTGCAGATAAATTCTATGAGGACAACTAAAACAATTAGGGTTTCCACTTTAAATCTAGCAGTAGCATTTATACTTTCACATATCTCTTGGTCATGTTATAAACAGATTTGCATAATCCTAAGGTTGTTGAAAAAATGAAATTAACCGACTTCATCAAGTTGGCTAGACAAATAAATGATGGCGAAGATTTGCCTCAAGAGTATCTTACGATTACTTATAATTCAATTTAAAAGAATCCACTTGCTGTTAGAGAATCAAATACATCGATGAATCCACTTACACCCAACTAATATTAAAAGTAGATGGAAGAACTCTTAAAGAAGATTAAGGATTTAATCAAAAGATAATCAGATTCTAACTATATATAAATAGATTAAGAAACCATATTATTATCAAAGGGCTTGCTTGAATCATTTTCTGGCAAATTCCTAGAAATTCTTTTAGTTACTTTTGAAAATACTCCTAATGGCGATGCTATAATCAAAAGTATCCTGTAATTAATTAGATTGTCCTCAAAGTTATCTATGAAAATAGAGAATCTAGTTTAAGATGTTGTTAAGGTTGGCTTAAATAGTTTAAAAAAAGGAAATGGTATGTTAATGATTGGCTTATTGTCTATAATTCCGATAATTGGTAATTCATTACATGAATAAGGATGGAAATGTGTATTAGAGGCAGTAAGTTTAATGGATGAATTAAGATAGTTAGATTCTGATCACACAGATAAAGTCTTTATGAGTTCCAAAGATTTAGATAACTCATCTATTGAAGAATTTATTATTCAACTATGCTAATTATCAAAATAAGAAATCTTTAATAAGCATCGCATATATTCTCTACAAAAGCTTGTTGAAGTTAGTGATTACAATATGGATAGAGTCAAAGTCATATGGAACAGATTATGGTCTATTGTAAGTTCGCATATTTAAGAAGCAGTTGCATTTAGAGTTAAATCAATTACTATTTTCGCTGTTGACTCATTAAAATAACTTAATATTAAATTCTTAATGAAAGAAGAATTGTACAATATTCAATTTCAAAGAGAGGTCTTAAAACCATTTGAAATAATATATTTAAATAGTGATGCTGATGAAAAAGAATTTGTATTACTATGTGTTAAGTAAATCCTTTAAAATAGTAAGACCTACATAAAAAGTGGATATAAGGTTATATTTAATCTAATTAATCTTGGATTGAAAGAGGAGAATGACACAATATCTAAGTTAGCATTTGATCTCTTAAAATTCATAGAAATATAAGAATTGATATTGATTGATTTGATTCAAACCTATTAGATTTTAGGTAAAAAGGATAATGAATATATGGCAATTAATTCAATTGAGTTTGTAAAGCAATGCTAGCGCTTTATGATAACATAAGAGTAATAAACATTATAAGTTCCTCTATTAGGAATCTTATCGAATTTGGCAGGTGATAAAAGAATTCAAATTTAAACCCAAGCTGTGGAAACGTTATTTTATATTTTAGAAGAGAAAGGCAGTTTATTCAATGAAGAATATTGGATAATGATATTTTCATCGGTATTAAGACCTATATTTGATGAAATTTAATTTACTTTAAGTTAAAATCCAGAGCTCAATTAATATTGGTTTAAGGATAGTTGCCAAAAGGTATTTCAAAATATTTCAAGTTTAATAAAGAAACATTACACTAAGTTAAAAGGATAATTGCCAGATTTTCTAAAACTATTTTAGAATTGCATTCAAAATCAAAATGAAAAATTAGCATAGTTAAGTATTTAGGCTTTTAAAACTATGATCATGGATAAAGGACTATAATTTGAACAAAAAGATTGGGAATAGATATTGTTATTTATTTAATAAATGCTAAAATACACAATACCAACTAAACTTAAAGATATTGATTAAACAACAATTAAATAAGAATAGCAGTTCAATGGGAAATTGAAGAAGCAAAAGTCATTTTAAGGTGTCACTAATAATATTATTAATGAGTGCTATAGTTAGTGTGCTTCCTAATTACTATTAATTTAAACTAGTAAGGATATATGCGATCTTTATCATTAGAATTGGAATTTAAATTAATTGGATAATTTAGAGAAGACCTTTTACGAATCATATCAATTTGCCAAAAACTTTAATCAATAGATAGAATAAAGGTATAATATTTGGAAGTCTGGATTTATGCAGGATATGAATGTTTTACCTGGTTTACTCAGACAAGAGAGAGAGGCATTTTCTTGTATGATTATGGTTATATAATTTAAAATGAAGATGTTAAAATAAGAATAGTAATAATAAGAAAAAGAAGAGTAATCATAAGAATAAACATAAGAATAATTAATTAAGGAATAGTAACTGAGAGAACAATATTAGATAGTTCTAAATAAATATTTATAGATTTTGTTGGACTCTATTAAGTAATTTAATTCTAAGCATATTTAATTTGTGAATCAATAATAGGAAGTTGGTGATGATGATCCTCTTATTAAAATAAAATAATATGAGACAGAAAGAGACATGTAGAATCTCAGAACTCTCTTGGATGTTTCTATTTTGCCAAAAATTCTATTGCTGAGTGATGAGGAGGTAGTATGATTTATTAATTTAGATCAAAATAAAATTAAGTGAATTTTATGAATAATTACTGAATGCATGTAGTTATGTTAGTGAATACTCTATTTTATAAATGAGCTGTTAGGAATGTAAGAAATGTGGTAGATGCTTGAGTTAATAGAAAAATAATTTATTTTTTCAAATTAAGAAATGCTTACTAAAATTGTTTGAGTTAAAATGATTATATATTATTTTAAAATGGATTAAATATTTATTTCTGGTATTGCAGGAGGCTCAGCTGGAATCATTACAGATTTTATCTTTTTTCCTATTGAAACAATCAAGACTAGAATCTAAGCATCCAATAATAAAATTGATTATTTCAAAACAGCAGCCAAAGTAAATAAATACAGAGGAGTATAGCCATCTTATGTATTATTTGAAGCTTATGTCATAAATCACAGTCTCCTTCCCATCAGCGTTTATATTTTTCTCCACTTATGATACATCTAAAAAATATGGTTGTTCACATATGCTGGCTGGGGCATTAGGCGAATTTGTGACAAACATTTTCAGAAACCCTTTTGAAGTTGTTAAAAATCAAATGCAAGTAGGATTGGATGGAAACGTAAGAGATACCTTAAGATCAATTTATTATGGATAAGGATTTCGTGGTTTTTATGCAGGATTTACTACCATAATAATGAGAGAAATACCATTTAGTGCAATTCAATTTCCAATATATGAAAATATGAAGATGCATTTTGGAAATGATGGATTTGCAGATCATGCATTGAATGGTGCAGTGGCAGGAGGCACAGCAGCCTTTCTAACAACTCCTTGTGACGTTGTAAAATCTAAATTAATGACTCAAAGGAATTAATTTTATGATTCATTAAGAGGCTGTATAAAGTCAATTTATGAGACAGAGGGAATTTTAGGCTTTTTCAGAGCTGCGCATATAAGAACAATGCAGATCTCAGTATCGGGAATTGTATTTTTTAGTGCATATGAAAGATGTAAATTTTATATTTCATCATTCAATAATAGATCATGATTATAGCTTTTTATTGAGATATTCTAATAGTGAATAAGAATTTAGGACATTTTCCAATCTATCTACAAAAGAAATATGCTTTCCGTGTATTATTCTGTATGTCTTGCTATCTTCTACTGTAAGTTTCTCTTTTATAACTTGAAATCCTCCATTTTGTAAGATTTATGGTAAATGATATTCACTACTCATTTTGTTTTATAGTGCATATTTCCTTGAGTGTTTGCCCTTAACTTATATTTCTAGTTTGTCCCATGTTTCTTTTGAAATCGATAGAAACATTCCTTGTTCAGTATTCGTATGTGCATCGTAAATCTATACTCTTACTCCTATTGGCTTATCTTGGATTCCCAAATAAGACATTGTGAGTGGTATTTTATACAAACTGTTTTGATTGGCTAACTTCATTATTAAAATTACTTAAGAACATTCTGCAATTGCATTCACAGGACAAATCAACTGGCATGATAGCATTCTCTTTAAATCTTTCTTAATCATCTGCATCCAACTCCTTTGTAAATGTTAGCACTGTGTAGAAATTGCACAAAATATTGCATATCAAAGGATAATCTACCTGATCTAGACTACTAACATTTAATCCCAATTTCTAACATACATTATCATATTAAATTTATGTATGCCCCATTGCTTTCACTTTTGATTGTCTTGGACCTACTATTAATTCTATTCTTACCATATGTCTCGAATGTGTTACTTAAAAACAACTCAAAACATTACTCTCTTGAATTATCAGCTATAAATATAATTCTTTAAAAAGTATTTTTATCCCATATTTTTAATAAACACATCTAAACTTTGGCTTAGCTTTTATTTGGCATAGTTATTTATGTTCCACTCAATATTTTGTTAATTTATGAAAATTTTTAAACATTAAAAATTCTATATAATAATTCTTCTAAATCATTTACCAATTTTTATAAGAACGAAGTCAATTTTTATTAATTTTTAACTATATAACTTCGAATATTGTAAACCTTATGTTTAGGCTTCACAGTATCATTCGATTTTTCTAAATTATCTTATATCCTTATCATTTCCTAAACTTCCTCTCTTTCATAATCATCTTAACCATATATATCAAATAATTAATCTAAAGAGCTTTGATCGAATTATAAATCAAGAGCAACTGTATTTAATATTAATCGAAATATTCCATCCTCTAAAGGGTACAACAATGGAATGCATTATTCATCACACAATTAAATCTTTTCGCAATCATTTAATAGGCTTTATGGCTATGCATAAATTGATATTTTTTATTCTCCTTCATCATCTTTTATTGAAATGAATGGGATTATCAAATATTAAATAAATTACTTAAAGGTTGTAATGCATTTCAATTGCTAAGTATAGGGCAAGACATTCTTATAATCAATGAATTATATTAAATCCTTTATTATTGATAACTCAACATATTCTACTTTTGCAGTTGAATGCTCTTATTTGGTATTTAAAGAAATCTTAATAGATAACTCTTTGTTTTTCTACACAACACCGCAAGATATTTCATATAAGACATTATCAATTAAAGACTTTTTTACAATTGTTTGATCTGTTGTTAAATTAATGCTATATTATTTAGATTGATCCATCTCTAAATTAATTTAAAAATTTATTACAATCTAATATTGTTAAATTCAAATCTAATGTGAAATCTGTATCATTTATCATAGATATGCTATTAATTTTAGGTTCATCTGGATCTACTAATCCATTAATTAGATTATGAATATCAATGGTACTTTATCTTTCTTATTTTTTTATTTACAAATTCTAAATTTTTTACGATTGATTTGAAGCAACACCAAAGCTCATTCTTTCTTACATTATAGCAGCTTAGGAATCTGAACTTTATTATTGTTAGGTTGAAATTTAAGAATATTATTATTGCTATTATTATTATTATTGCTATTATTATTATTATTGCTATTGTTATTACTATTGTTGTTATTGTTATTGTTATTGTTATTATTATTATTATTGTTGTTATTATTGTTATTATAACTATTTCAACTTTTCTTGAGCTGTCTCTTGTTCTTAAAGTCTAAATTTTATTTTTGAAGCCTCTGCACTTAACTAAGTTATTTTATCTTTTAATTCTTCAATTTCAACCTCTCTTTCCTTTCTTTAATTTTAAACTCTTTTATTTTCTTTTGTTAATTCATCAATTTTTTTTTCTAACTCCACAATTTTGGGTTCTTATTTCTTTTAGCCTTAAGATTTCATAAAAGTATCTATTTTCCTTTATATTATTGATTCAAGATCATTCTAAGGTTATACTTATTGACTTTAAATTAACTAATAAATTCAATAAACTTATACCTTCGGAGATTGGATTCGAAAACTTCCTTTTTGTATGTTAGTTTATTATATTTTTTACAGTTAAATTGGCTCATGTCTTTATGACTAGGGCTTGACTGAATCAGGACGTTTAAAAGTTTTAAATCCTTAGGCTTCACTAATAGATCTTTCAATATGTCTTGGATTTTTAAAAAGAGGAGCTTTTCCATTTTTCAATGACTTAAGTAGCTAATGTACCTAGATACAAATTTTTTAGGTATTCAATATTTTGCCTATTGTCTTTTTCTAAATTTATTGATTTTATTTGATACCATAGGAATAAAATTATTAATGCTTTTTTTCATATTCGATCCTCTTTCGCTAAATAAAAATAGCTTTGTAATATGATGTTATGGTCCCAAATACTTTCGACCAAGTTTGGCTCCATTTATAAAAAATTATTAAAAATCTAAATCTTAACAAAATCCAAGAACCTATAAATTTTGCACTGTTTTTGCATAGAAAATATAACCATTAAGCAGAAGAACAATATCTTTAGGTTTGCAAGAATTTTTTATTTCTTTGAAAATCTGATCTAATTAAAATGTAAAGCCTTACATAAGGTTCATAATGAATTAAGGCCTTTTCTGTAACTGAGAGGCATTTTTTGAAATTTTACAAGAAATAATATATCCTGGCTAGGTTCAAATGTGAGATGATATGTAGTTATGGGATGTCTTATTCAAAGTATTTCAAGTTAAATTTTGCTACTTTTTTAGCTAAGTCAATCATATGAGATTAGAAAAGCAACACTGTTAAATTATTTAATGATTGCACACAGTAAAAAGGAGGAACATCTTAAGATAATGAAATGGTTAGGGTAATAAGATCTGGACTCTCTGGATGTTCTTCAAACATTTCAGCAAACATCTAGAACAGTTCATATAAGTTGGAAACATCTTTATTCAAATTTTTAATGAAATCGATAGGTATTGCCTTGACTTTTCCAAAATAATGGAGTATTTCAATCTAATAATTATTCATATTAATAAAAATAAGCAAAGGAATCACTTAATATAATTATTGAGCCTATATACAACCAAAATAAAATTCATATTAATGATCAGTCTATTTGGTCGTTGAATGAATGGAGAATATATAAAAAACAAGGATTATTTAAAGAAATTTGTTATTAAATTATTAGAAGAGAAGAAAAAAATTATGAAATCTTTTTTAAATTTCCAGCTTTTATTTTACAGGCGAAACATTGCAGGGTTATCATCCTTTAATAATTTTGAATTATATCAAAATATATAAACATTTAGTCAAATCTTCTTTACTTTATGTTGAATAAAGGAATGAGCTTGCTATAAAAGGAAATGATAGTTCATTTCTGAGCCTTTCATTTATAAAAATCCTTCGATAATGACGAATCAACTGTAAAAATTTGAAATTTATCTGTAATCTCAAAAATAAAATTTAATTGATAAATTCTTCAAATATTCAATTATAAATAATATAAGCTTATTCAAATAAAGAGAGATATCTGTGCTTTACTCAATTTGAATCAATTGATTAGAGAACACTGTTATTCTGAATGGAAAATGAAATAGGATGAATTAATAACAAAAAACATATGAAATGAAACCTTTTTTTAAATTGAGAAGCAAATTTCCTAAACAAACTTGGATTAGATTTCAGTTTTGAAGGATTACAAGAGGATTTCATGTTTCTGGCTTTTTCTGATGAGAAGGAGATTATATTCTGGACCAATTCACAGCAATCTATTTTCCTAGAACTATCTTAATTCAGTTAGAAAAGACAATTAAATGATTAAACTAATGATAATTATCAGACAAACCTTAAATTATTATAATGATCTCGCGTTATAGAAACAAACATCCTAAATATTTTTATGATTTTTTTATAGGATTAAATTAATCTATAATAAACCAATAAATGATTTCTTATTTTTATAAATATAAAATTCATAAATTATAAAAAAAAATTTAATTTTTTTTAAATAGATTTGGAGTATTTTAAATTAGTTAATTTCTAGTAATTAGCAGACATTTATTCAAGAATTTCAAAAACTGGAAATAATAAAAATGTGTCCAGGGGCTTTTGAGATTAAACAGAATACTCAGTTCTCAATACAAAGACTTTACAGAGAATAAAATATTTGATGATGATCTAAACATATTCCAAAAAGATTTAATTATGTTAGATTTCCCCTTAGCTCATTAAAACCATTCAAATGAATTAATTTATACTGCTAATAGTTCTTCTTATCCAGCCACTTAGATTAATGATCAAAAGTGTCATTAATAGAGACATTTTACTAGATTTATGAGTAAAAATGATTAATCGTACTACCTAGTTTATCAAAAACCAACATTAATTAAACCTAATTATATTTGGATATGTCTTTATTTATATTAAAGCCTCTAAGCAAAAAGTTATAAGTTTGCTTTCACTAACCTAGAATAATCTGATTTGTCTAAAAATCTTTGAAATATTGAATAAAATTGCAGAATTTATACAATAATTTCAATTAAATAAGGGTTAATTTAGAATATTTAATTATAATTGCTATATTATTTCTTTTTAAAAATCAGTATATATATTTTTAATTATTTGAAATTCAAATAAATGTTTTAATATGTATAATGAAAGATGCTAAGATTGCTTGAAGTTCTATAAACTAATTTACTTTTAGAAAATAAGAGCTAAATTTAAATTAATTAAATTCAATTGTATTATTATTGATTAAATTGTTTGAATGTGTACTATTTTGAAGGCGATTTTGGGTTTATGGTCATGGATTAGCATTGATATTTTATTATTATTGAATGATTAATTAATTAATTAAAAATGTAGAGATCATACTAAGAACAAGTGAATTAGAAGGATTACTAGCATAAATTATATTTCAAAAATGGTTATCCTTAAAATTAACAGTTTAAGAGAGATCCAAATTAAATGCTTAGAGGATTAGTATAAAATAAATAAAATAATTAGGTTGTAAAAACATGTTTACTTCACTTTATTGATTGGTTGAAATAGGGGTTTAATCTATGGCTGTTTGTTGTAATAATTCTTTCAGCCAGTTTTCGAGCAGATTAATAGTTGTTTATTTGTATAATTTAATTGGCAGGAAATCTATTCATGTCATCGTATAAGCTTTATCAATAAATTTGTAAGGCCTTGAGACAAGTAAATGAATATTTCAACTAAACTGTATATGTGATTGGATGGGATCCCAAATGCCATATCAGCAAATGCCCTAAAAGGAATGTGACAGTAGGAAATCTAATTTTCTTGAAGAGACATCAGCCAAGTCCTATGAGCATATTGATTTTAAATTCTTAAGAGGAGAAATTTATGGTGTAGACTTCTGAGAAAGAAGGGATGACTCATATGACTTAAAAGCAGTCAATAAAATTAACATCTACTTCCGATTAATAAAAAAATCAAACATTAATCTATTATAAGAGAATAATGACCGGTAAAATAGAATTTGATCATTTGGACACTAATGACAATTAATTCAGAGGTTTTATTAAGTTACAAAAAGATCCAAAGGGTGAGTATTTGGACTATAGGAATATAGTAAATCAAAGCAGTATGATAATAAATACAGATTGGGTAGTAGGGATAGTTATCAGTCATGACGATGAAGATGTAATTAAAATGTGGCATAATTGTTTTAAGAAGTCCACTACTCATTTTGATAGATACTTAATGAAATTTTCTCGAATTTTCAGTCTTCTGTACTTTATATAATTGGCATTTTGCATAACAATAATAATTAGATTTCAAACAATACCATAGGATTTTACAATCTATAATACTTTATGTAGAATATTTTAGAGTATAACATTTGTTCATCCCTGTATAATAACTGGATTATGCGAATTAACATTTTAGTTTTTTAATAATATCTTTGAAAAGAACAAAAACATAATAATATCTCATTCATCGGAATTGCTAACTTTGACTAAGATAGACCATTGTATTTACGATAAAACTGGCACTTTGACAAATACAAATACAGTGCTTTGTGGAGTGATTTGTGGAGTTTACTTCTACAATCTCATTAATGGAGAAGGCATAAGAAGTTCTACAAAGAAGTATAGAAAATTAATGACCGTATAACATCAACATAACAACATGTAGGAAATACAGGAGGAACAAGAAGAATAGGAGGAAAATAATTTAGGAATTGGTTCACTTTAAAAGAGTGAGAGAATGATCTAGAATCCAGGAAGCCATCATTCAGTAAAGAGCAGATTATAATCATAACACGACGAAGCAATTAGCTTTAATTAAGATGATGCAGTCTTTAATGAGGAAGAACCAGAATCCAGAAATATGGTTTTCAATTTCAATCCTCATTTCATTAGATAGCCAGATTAAATAAGACCACAAAATGCTTAAAGTGTGGATGAGGAGATCTCCTCTCCAGAGAAACCAATATAAAATAATAGAAATAATCGAAGAACGTTTAACAATAATAGTAGATTGATAACAACAACTAGAAGAGAACCCAGAATTGTGTAAAGGAATTTAGAATTAGCACAGGAAGCAGCAAATGGATCTTTATTATCTCCTTCACCATTAACTTCATCGAAAGACATCAGAAAAGAAGTGAAATTATGCGAATCTTAAATCAATGAGGATGAACAGTAATAATAATCTGACAGTGATAGTGAAGATTAGGATCAAGAAGGAAGAAAGGATTTATAAGAAATCATAAGATTAGGAGAGAAATAGGCCGATAATTTTATGAGATCTTTGATTTTATGTTAAGATGTCAAAACCAAATATTCAAAACCTTAAAATAAACCCAACAGAGATAAAAATAGCTAAATGATGGGGATTTCTGGAATTATGAATGAACATCCGAGTATGAATCCTTAAAATTTCTTAAATGAAAATACTGAGGAGTATCAGGAATCTGTTATTAAATTTGCCAAGTAATATCAATTCGAATTTAATTGTGCAGGTCTCTTAAACAAAAGAATTTGTTATGAAATTAGTGCTAAAGGTTTAAGCGAACGATACTTAGTATATAAAAAAGTCAGTGATAATGATACATTTGCAATTTTTATGAAACCTATTTAACAAAGATTGAGGAATCAAGGAGGTCAATATGACAGGCAAATAACAGAAAGAAGTCAAAAAGGAGCTTCATTAAAATTGTATGTGAAAAGTGAAAATCTAGGACTTTTGGATAAGTGTAGATTATCATAGAAAAAAAGAGTTAATCTTGAGAAATAAATCACTCATCAAGCTCAATCTGGCTATAGATTTATAGTTTATGCTGGTAAAGAAGTACCTGAAGAATCAGTTAAAAATAAAAACAAATATTAAGAAGTTAGTTTTGATACAATGGAAATGACACATCATGACAAAGAACTCATTAAAGATTTGGATTATTATGGCTTAATTTGTTTAAAGGAAGATCAAAATCCAGGAGCTTATGCTTAAGTTAAGACTTTTAAGAATCTTGGTATTTCCTAATGGATATTAAGTGGCGACAAGAAGATGCAAACACTTTCAGCTGCTAACCATGTTGGAATTGTCAATAATAATAACACTTTATTAAGAATTGATGAAGAAGATGAAGAAAAGTTAAAACTATAAATTAAGTCTCAATTACTATTTATTAGAAAACAACTATTAAAAGAAGATGAAAGTCAATAAAATGAATCTACCTCTAAATCATTTATAAGTTAAAAATCATTTTCTGAAATGAAAAGAAGTGGAATTTCCAAAAAGGCTACTTTTGATGAAAACATGATTTTGAAATCAAAGAAGGGAGAAGAACCTTTGTAAAAAGTGTTTCTTTTAGTCAACGGAAAATCCATTAAACCCATTTTTAGTGATGATTATACAAAAAGTCATTTTCTTTTTATTGCCTTAATACTTAAAACTGTAATAGCCTATGATTGCTCTCCTGCTGACAAAGAATTGATTACAAAAGCAGTCGCTAAGATTATGGAACCCAGTAATACCCTTTTAACAATTTCAGATTCAGTTGATGATTTTAATATGAATTCACACGCAAATGCTACTATTTAATTTTCAAAAGAAAAAAGATCATTAAAAATAGCTTATCAAAACATATAAGTAAATGATTTATAGCACATTAAATAATTAGTATTATATTTTGCTAAGATACTACCTATGCATCTTAGTCAACTAACGGTAATGTGTACAAAAATCAGTTTATATCAATTAATCATATTTACTTTATTTGTTTGTGTTAGAAGAACCCTTTACATAGAAGAACATGTTGTATATTTATTAGCACTATAAATTCATATCATTATTAATGGTCTGCTACCTTCATTTGAAGATAGATCAAGTCATGAATAGATTGAGTTGATGCTCCCTCAATATTAACCTTAAGCTTATAAATGCTTTAAATCTAATTTTAGATGGTTATAAGAATTGTTTTATGAAGTGGTTATTTCTGCAGCTTTAACAGGATTTATGAACACTTATATATTTGCCGAGTTTATGATGTTTTTTACATCTGATCCTAATAATCTTGCTCACTTGATGTTTTTGTTTTAACTATTTAGTGTTTTTGCTTTTGGTACTTCTCAAATGATTCATTTAAATGTTCCATTTGGAAAGATAATTTGGAATTTCATCATCACTTTAGGGTTGCTCATTCTTTCATTTGCAATAGTTGTTGAATCTAATTAGCGTGTCTAAATAATTAGGAATATCTTCAAATGGTAATTCATTATTGGAATTCTTACAGGAGTAGTAATCATCATTACAGTCGATTAAATAATAAAATAGACTAGGGATTCGATGTTTACTCCCAGAATCATAATAAATTTTGTAAAATACATGGAGAATGCTATGAAGAATCAATCAGGTAAAATTGTATAAGAGTCTGTTAAATAATTTTCTATGTTAAATCACATTAAAATAAATCGATAATTCTTTAGAAAAATTAAAAAAGTATTTGAGAATGTATCAATTGATCCTTTCATTAGATCTTTATTTGAAAGTGAGAAAACTTAATCATTTAATGGCGAATATTCTAAACTATCGCTTGTATTCAAGAATCATAATTATGAAAAGTAATTTAGGCAATTCAAAGTTTAATACTATTATCAATAGAGAAGAGAAGTGGTTATAGTACTTTTTATTGTCTTAAGAGTTAGTAGTGTGATAGCATGGTCTCCATTTGTGACAGTTGAAGACACAATACTCAATATCCTTTGGGCCATCTTTATGGTGATTTGGATTTTAATATTCTTTGTTACTCACATTGTTGAAAAGAAATAATCAGATTTAGCTGCATTTCAAATAAAATGGGGCACTATTGAAGCTTATTTCTTTATTCCAATAGTGTTGATTTTGGATCACTTTTTGAGTGTTACACTTCCTGAGGATAAAAGTTAATATTACTTTAGCACTTTTGGACAGTTGTTATACTAATAATTTTTAGCATGGGATATCTTTCCTCCTCCTTTATATTATCCAATAATTTTGACCTTGATATTTTTTATAAATTACACAATAAGAGTGGCAAACTTTTATGATATTCAGGTGAATTCAGATTCAGAGACACCAACCTTCAGAGTAGAATTTATCACTCTATATGTTCTTTTGTTCTTTCTTAACTTGTTATCTAATTATACTCATTACAATGTAAGAAATAATATAATTTTAGTTTTAACGATTTTAAAGATTAGTGTTTTTATTTGACTAAGCTTTGTAAACGTAATAAGAACAAACTAATTAGATCTTGAAGTCTCTGTTGCCTGCATTTATCTATGAAAAGATTGAACAATCAGAGGAGACTGAAATAGAAGAGAATTAAGGATCAGTGTCAATTATATTTTTAGAAATTTGTGAATTCGATAAAATCCTTTAATCTAAACAACGATAGGTTGTAACTTTTTTGGATGACATTTTTAGAGTCTTAGATAAAATATGTTTGTAATATGGAGTGTAGAAGATTGAAACTGTAGGTAAGACTTACATGGCATGTTCAGGGTTGAAATCAACAGAGATAGAAAATAATAAAGATGGATTGAATCAGCAGAAGAAAAATGAAACGGCAATAGCATTAGAATTGTCATTGGATTTCTTAAAGGCAGTCTCTGAATTCAGATATGAATACAAAGATTAAGATGTTGTTAAATTATTCAAATTAAAAATCAAAATTGGTATCCACTATGGATAAGTGATTGCAGGTGTTATAGGATATCATAAGCCTTAATTTTCATTGATTGGAGATACAGTCAACACTGCATCAAGAATGTGCTCAACAGGTTAAGTAGGCAGAATCACAATATCAAATGAGGCTTATGAGCGTGTCAAGGATACTGAGTTTCTTTTCACAACTAGGGAAGTGGAGGCCAAAGGAAAAGGTATGTTGACTGTCCATTAAGTCACTCAAAGGAAATTACAAACTAAAAAGCATCAATCTCAAGCGAAGTATTACGAAGGCTAGAAAAACGGAAGGCCACTCACTTTTAAAACTCATAAGACAAACAATATACGAACTACATAGTTGAAGTAGACTTATAAGGATATTTCTCCTCCATCTTCGGTAAATGATCATTTAACAACAAAGGAATATGGACGTAGATCTAAAATCATGAATCATCCTATGCAAGGCTCGTAATATTTGAAAATCCCTAGGAAGAACAAGGGAGCCGAAGCTACAAGGGGGATCAAAAAGGGTACCATCAAAGAAGAAGTGACTTCTATGAGTGAAACTGTATGGAAGGACAGGTCTAAATCCTAAGTCATTTAAAAAACTGATTATAACACGAATGACTGGGAAGAGACAAAGGAAGATGAAATCTAAATGAAATAAGTAGAAAAGGACCCTGAAAACAGAATTATTGGAGTCTCTGATAATGATGTTGATGGTCCTGAATAAGAAGTCAGAAGTGAAAGAGTAAAGAAAGTCATGGATTTAGAAGTTCTAAAATATAAGAAGTTAACACTTGAATATGAAAAATGTAACGAAGCAATTATAGTCATGCAATTTGAATAGTATTATTAAGAAGTTAGATCAGCTTTAAAGGATATCTTTTATCCCATGACTATTGTCTATACTTTATTTAAAGCATAAATATAATTGATAGACTCAGGTTAAGATGGACTTACTATATACATAGTTAGAATGTTCTTAAGCTTATACTTAATAATATTGTATTTTATTACTAGTAGATTGAAGAAATATAATATGCATAATCTAGATTTAGCTTTAACTGGTCTCTACTATGTGAGTGCCTTTTTAACAATGTTCTTTGTTACTTTCAATAATTAATAGAGATTCCTTATTTCTGATAATGCTGAAGCCTATTTCTTTGCATTTTCAGCTGTAAATTAACAATCATTAAAATTCAAATATATGTTTTTCTACATTTTATTGCAATAAGCTGCATGGTTTGTTTAGCTTCTTCTGCATGAACATAACAATTTATTAGTATTTATAGTGTTATCAACAATAATCTTGGTAATAGTATCACATAACAATTTTGAATTGACAATTAAAAATTTCAATAGTGCTGCAAATGAAAATTTGAAAAAAGAGCAAAGAGACTCTTTATTAACCAATTTATTACCTTCTCACATTTTAACAAGGTTCTATTAGAATAGCAAAATTAAATTAGAATTGTCAGATGTTTTGATAGATGCAACTCTTTTGTTTGCTGACATAAGTGGATTCACAGCTTACTCAGCAAAAGTCTCAGCTGAATAAGTAGTAAAGATGTTAAGGGAATTGATGACATCATTTGATAAGGAATGCTTATAGTAGAATGTTTATAAGGTATACACTATTGGAGATTGCTATGTTGTTTTGGGAATAAATGATATGGAACAAAGACATCCAGGACAAGAAGCCAAAAATGTCTTAGAAATGGGATTAGAAATGGTAGAAATTATAAAGAGAGTTAGAAAGGAAGTCAATTTCAAAGATTTGAACATGAGAATAGGAATACACACAGTAATACATTCAATTTATTAATTATAGGGACAATTCTATGGCGGTATTATTGGAACAGATATTGTGAGATATGACATTTTTGGTATTGATGCAGTGATTGCTAATAAAATGGAATCTTAAGGAGAAGCAGGGAAAGTTATGGTAAGTGAGGACACAAGGAGATTAATCAATATACATTTTCCTGGCGAATATATATTTACTCCAAGTAAATAAGTAGACATTCCAGTTGCTAAAAAGAAGGTTTAACCATATTTTGCAACAAAGGCTGATTTTTTAAATCGCCCAGACAATCCTAGATTTATTTGATTGCTTTATTTATCTTTTATATTTTGAGCTTAAATTTTCAAAAAATAATAATAAATTTGATGATTATTTAGACAAAAAAATAATATATCACTTTTTGGCTGTTCCATCTATTTATGCTAACATCTAAGCCATCAATTTCTTAACTTCCATTGTTATCTTCATCATTAATAATGACTATTGTCTTGTATATTCCATAGATGCTTGCATTGAAGTTGAGATATACTCAATAAACTCAAACAATTATTGACTTTGCTTAACAGATCTATTATTAATGAACATTATAAAATACGCATATAATTCATCTTTATTTACTTTCTATTGCCCCTTAAAAATCTACTACATAAATTTATTGATGTCTTAATCATTCAATCTTTTATTTAGACCAATGGGTTTGTTTTCTCCTTTGCAGATCAACACCTTCGAGATCCCTCTAAATAAGCAATCTATAAAAAAGAAGAATTCATCTGAAGTGATATGGTTAGTCTTATCGGAACCAAAAATAACAGCAATGTCTATTCATATCGAAAGATATTTACTATAAAAAATTTAACTAATTTCCCCCGTTGACAGAAGAAGCATAACAGAAAATAATTCAGTAGCATCAATTCTACCTATTCCTCTTGAATCAAGTTATTAAAAAACTGTAGCCAAAGCTTACTTTTTATTGGATATCGAATCCATAGCTTGAGAAGAATCAAAAAATAATGGCAATGGAGCTTAGTTCTTCTTTGTCAATTTTTATAAAATTGATTTCAATGTCTCTTAAGTCCCTGATATTATGACTAATTTAATTACATCCTCCACAAAGCTCTTCTAAGGCTGGTAACAAACAGGATTAATCTCTTAAATTATTGAAGTATTATTATCTAAATGATGAGAAAGGAGTAGTTTCAAACTTTTAATACATAAATAAATAAATTAATGAATTAAAATAGACATTATAAAAGTATAATAAAAATACTAGTGTACATTCTTTTGGTTCCACTTTCTTAATCTTTTCCATCTGAACTTAAGTTAATTAAAGGAGTAACTCTTTTATTATAAGTTTCACAACTATGAATTTTTAAATAATGTCTAAAAATTCATAAAAAACATGATAAACAATTCAGCATTATTAAAGGATTTCATATGAATAGCCAAGACCTAAATTAACAGAAATATAGATAAGCATACTTAACTAATAATTAAGAATATATCCATTATAATTGGAAGTATAGTATATATTCTATCTCTTTTTAAAGTGTTTGTTGAATAATTTAATAATTAAACCTTCATTATTGTTACAAATATTCATATCTGTCACTGAGTTAGGTAAATAATCAAATAATGGGTTTTTTTAATTTTATCTTCAACTTTTTCAAATGCTAACAATTTCTATATTTAACATACAAATCTATTGATATTTTTATTCAAAATAGCCGATTTGGAAATTTAACGATACCAGTCATTGAATAATTATTTAAACAAAATACTTTCTTGAAATAATTGTTTTCAACATTCCAAGTTTTATAAATTTATTCCATCTCGCTAATCAGTTTATTTTTTATATTTTAAAGACACGCACATATTTATTAATCATTATTGGGGAATTTTAGGCCCTTGATACCCATATTTAACCCAAGGTGCTACTTAAGGTTTACTAAATGCTTCAGAATTTATAAGAATATATCCCAAAGTTGACATTACCATAGCTAATATTAGAAGCAAAAATAAAGAAGGCAAATAATAAACATATTTCTAATCTGGAAAGTAGTAATATGAATAATGATCTTCAGGCAAAAATGGCTTATTTATCAAAATTTTTTACTTTAAGTAATAGCCATGAACAATAATATATATATGATCCAACAATTAAAACTAATGCTAGCAATCCTAAAATTCTCATTATTTTAATTAATGAAGATAATATTTCAATTTCAAAATTCATTAAAGTTTATTATAACGCTAAAGAGAAACCACACAGTAGAATGAATAGTTCTTGTATTTAATTGATTTTTATTCATTAAATATTATAACTATCTATTTTAAGTTTCAAATATTTGTAACAATCTTGCTTTATATTCTTGAGGTTCATACTTAAAATTTTAATTGAATTTCAATTGCTAGCTTCTGAATAGGTTTTCTCTAAGGCTAGGTTATTAGAATGAATAGTGTTCTTTCTTATTGTTGCATGTTCCTTATCTTAAGAAATAATTTTTAATTTAAGCTATGCATATTTCAACTTAGTAATACTAAACCCTTGGCCTTTTTATGTTTTGAAAAATTGAGACGACATTAAAATGTTGATATTTTTTCAATTTAAAAGTGAAAATAATTAAATTGGATAGATGTTTAAAAGAGTTTCAAAATTTACATGCAGGATTTACTCCTTATGAATCATTTTATTGAAAAATTTATTCCTTAGAACCGCAGAATTATTTAAAACCAAATGAAAATCCTGACATAATAAAAGCGCATATCTCTATAGTTTGTAATTAGTAGTAATTAAATTTATTTTCAAAACCCGAAAATCCTAACAAGTTATAAGAATATTTGAACTCTTCGATACAATATTAACAACACTCTTGTATAAGTTATTTAGGTCTTCGCTTTTTTTAAACAATAATATGTCTTTAATTAATCCATAATTAATTCATATTAAAAATATCCACAATAGTTATATGTGAACCTAGAATTATAATAAACACAGGTTTTATTTATTCTAACCAAATTATTCGAAACAGATTAGAAAATCATAAAATACAAGTAAGTCGCTTATTTCACTTTTGTCTATTAAATCTTATATTCTGAATTTCATTAATCAAAGAAATTAAAATTTATGCATATTCTATAGGTTGGAAATTGATTTATTAGAATTTATTTTATCGAAAACAATTTTATTAATATTTTGGTCATTCATACTAAAAGTCAAAAATAACTAAATTTATTTTAATTTTTATAATTATTTATATTTATAACATAAAGTTAATCTACATAGTTTTAGATGCAAAACAATAGTTGACTTCAATACCCTCGAAACTTAAAGATTGATTACTTATATATAATTATGGTCTACAAGGGGAATAAAATATTTTGTAGATAATAAAAGAAGACTTAAATATAGTGAATGAAATAATGTACATTAGCACAAATAAATATAATAACTCAACTGTTTTAAACAATAACATCTCTTTCTTCAAAATTTTCGAATTTCTAGTTAGATATTATAAATTTTGTAAAGACAAAACCTGTGGAACAGAATATAAATGTTTGGTTTTCATAATATTGAAACTATAATTTATCTTGTTTGATATTTTGCTTAGAGTAAACAAAGTTGAAAAGAAAACGAGGCAAAACCTAAATATTTAATGTTATATCTCAAAACAATTCAATTATTTTTTAAAACTACTGAATTTTTTTATGGATTCAATTGACTATAAAGAAGCAAGATTCAAATTTTTGGGAATAAGAAAGCACTTTTTTAAGGATGTAACCTATCACATTACAGTTTTTGATGATATAGTAACGATAGGAGCAGTAAAAGCCATAAATATATTTTAGTCATCAGATTGCCCCAACCCTAAATATAGGATTACTCTGAATCTTGATACAAAAATTAACTGGGAGATAAACAAGAATAGATAAGAATTGGAGTACTTTGAAATCGAATACTAAAGGGGAAAGAAAATTTTTCATGCATAAGCAAAGGACCTGTTAAAGTACTTATAAGTTTGACTATTATAAGATTTAAAGAAGTTTTAGCAGGAAAGGTGATGTTTGAGGGCATAGGAGATTTATTTAAACCTATATTTTAGGTCGGTAAAGGTAGTTCAGCAAAAGTATATACATTTATCTATGTATTAAGGTGTACAGCGCAAGAAATATTTTAGATAAAAGAGTTTATGCGGTTAAGGCAATCTAAAAGTCGTTTTTGAAGAATTATGAGCATGGAAATGGAATGGTATTTATTAATTAGAAGTTTAGTAAGCATTCTAATCTGAAGTTCAAATCCTAAAAACATTATCACAATATGAGTAGAATTTCTTGGTTTTGAAGGAAATCTATGAAGGCGACAGCACCTTTTATTTAGTAACTTCTTATTTGGAGGGGTTGAGTTTGACTAGAGAATTAGAAAAAGCAAAAGTAAATTTAAATCATTATAAATTAGACTTTGCCTGAGAAACGATTACCAATTCAAAGTATAAAAATGATAATGAGGAAATTGCTTTCCAATTTAAAAATTCTCCATTCCCATAGAGTATAATATATATATAAATAATAGATAATTCATCGAGACTTAAAACCTGATAATTTGATGTTTGCTATAAAAAACGATTATTCTTCGTTGATTTTGGTAGATTTTGGTCTTGCTACTTCAGAATTACAAAATAAGTAATTATTATTTTTATCGAAATCTATATAAGATATTTATTTCCAAAGTGTGGTACACCAGGTTACGTAGCCCCTGAAATATTGAGTTCAAGAAGTGGTTAAAAGTACAATAGTAGAGTTGATATATTTTCTGCTGGCTGCATATTCTATAAATTACTCACAGGGCAAAGTTTGTTTCAAGGATAGAATTTCGAAGATGTGTTGAGATCAAACAGACATTGTAATATTAATTTAGAACTGTATTAGGATGGGAGTCATATAACAGACTAATCATTAGTATATAAATGAATCTATGTTAGGATCTATTAAAAAAAATGTTGAATCCAGATGGAAAGAATAGAATCAATGCTATACAAGCATTGCAGCACCCATTTTTTGATTTAAATAGTGAATTTAGTACGTAGGCAATGTAGACTTCTAGTTAATAAATGATAAAAAATGCAATTCATCAATTAAATCTAGCTGAATTTGAATCAAAATACAACAGTCAAATTGAAATTGGGGATGAAAAGAATTCTAAAATAAATGATCTAAAGAAATATTCTTCAATAACTGAAGTGTAATATTAACAGATGTCACTGTCAGCCAAAAGAAGTAGTAGCTAATTCTCAGGAACATTCTTTTAGAAGGAACCACTATCCATAATGCATATATTAAAATTATAATCAGAAAGTTCATAACCCATGAAGAACAGTAACTCATAATATTAATTGTGATTCTTTAATCTTGTATAAAAACTAATAAATCATTTATTAGACAGAGATTTTTGGGATCCTGCACTTTTCTAACTTTAAATTTCTTCTTAAGCAGCAGCCAAGGTAGTATAGTCTCCTTTAGCAGCTAATATATAAGCTGAAGCTGATGCTTATTATGATATCCTTCTTATCATTTTTCTCATATCTTCCTTTGAATTGGGTCCTTTGCTATCAGTTGATTTAAATGAATTTGTTGACATTGGTTATACGAATTTGTTGATTGTGGCTTGTGCTTTTTCAGTGGATGATGTTAAAGGAGGGACAATCACTAAGAATAGTCATGTATATTATACTAGATTAACTTGATTTGTTTCCCCTTTAAAATGCTTATTATTACTAATGATGTTTTTGTAATTCGAATTGCATTTCATCGTTACACATCGATATTCTGTGAATTTATTGTTGCAGTGTCTCTACTTAATCCTTTAATTCCTAAATTTATTAATCCTTTTGAGCCAACTCATCCTAGAGCTTTTGAATTTGATCTGTATCATCATACATTGATGTAAACAAAGCAGTGCTGCATGATATTTTTGAATCGCATAATTTAGATTCTCCATCTCGACAATCTTTAAGAGCTCCCAAAAGAAGATCTCTCCTCTTTCTTAAAACCGGTCCCCTCTTATCAATAAGTTAGTTTTAAGTTTACTGCTTTAAAACCCATTCCTACAAGTGATCTTGATATGTTTCTTATATTACACCTAATTAATGGGCCATAAAGTAAATAAAATTTAATTGAAGAATAATTTTGTTAATTCAAAATGCTTAACATAAATATTCCCTTAAATATTGAATTTTAATAGATATTTTGCTAACAAGTCTTTATTATTATTGAATATAATGGGGAATATCAACTTTAGAATCGAGAACTCTTTAATTTTGTTTAGGTTGTCTATAAATAAAATAAATTAAAATGTAAATATGACTGTATTCCAATTAATTATGACAGATAGAATTAAATGATGATATTTGTATATTAAATTTAATAATTTTTTAATATTTCACTCTAATTTTGCAATTTGATTACTAAATGCTTATCCAAATAGAATAATTTGTCAATTTTTAAATGAATAGATGAGAATACTAATCAATTATAATTTAAATATGTAATTGTTTTGCTTATTTGCCTTGCTTTGCCTTTTGAACACAATTAATGCATCATGCGAACTTATTAATGGAAAATGTACAAATGAGTGTGACTTATTGAATAATAAGTGTGTTTCCAAGAGCTGCCTTCCTTTTATGAGTAAATTGGGAGACTCTCAAACAACCCCATTCAAAGGAACAATTGAATATATTAATGAAACTCTTGATTTGAATATAACAATAAAATATACTGATCCCTAGTTCGCAGATGCTGCAAATCAAGGCATAACAGTAGGAGAAAATGCTGCTTCATGTTTATCACTTAAACTCTATAAATATCCTAATAAAAACTATGATATATAAGACTTATCCTCTTACACTATCAATTACATCAACGATGGTTCAAGCGCAAGAGCATATTAATTCACTATTCCAAGCAAAGACTTTGTAAAAGAACTCTAATTATCAGATGATGGATCCACTTACTTTTTCAATGGATATTTTAGTTTGAATTTTAACATTGAAGATAATATACAAAGGATTATCCTTTTCGACTTCCTCGTTGGTGTAGAGAGAACATCGACTGGACAAAGGAATACTACCTTTGGAAGTTTGAGTTCAACTTCAAATTTTACTTGCCAATCAGAATGTACAACAACTGTTTCAAGTTCACTTTAATTCTGTCCTGATTAAATGTGTGTGTCACCAATTGACAAACCTAATTTATACTTGAATGATCAAATTTGGCTAAAACATTCTTTAACTAAATAAGGAACAGAAAACTATTATTTAATCAATCCGGAAATTTATTTTACAGGAGATAAGTTATTCAAAAAGGCAAATATTAAAGAACAAATAATATCCTAAAAAGGATATGCCATGTATTTGATTGATGTCGAGATTGCATGGACACCTATAACAATATCAGCAAAGGCTATGATATCTTCAATAGCAGGATCAAGAATATTACATGAATAATCTAGATTATTAGAACTAGCTTAGTCATCAACTTTAGCCATTACTTCAGAAGTAGGATGTGTTAAAGATAAAGAAACTAATGAATGCATTAATTGTGATCAATCATAGAATGTTAATAATTATGATCCACCTTAATTAGATGGATGTCCATTAAATGCTAAAATTTTGATTATTGGAACATTGATTTTAGTTGCTTTTTTCATTTGATCAATTTATAAATATATTTAAATTTTCTATAATTCTATTTGATCAATTATCAAATTTTAAAAGTTGAAATAATGTATAGATTTATTATTTCAGCATTGAATTGTTAATTGTATCAATCATTCTTAATTTCAATCTTAAATGTACATAAACTTTCAAGAGTAGATACTTATGATCAAAGAAATTTATGAAAATTTACCAAAATAAATTGAGGAAATTTCTGTATTACAGTTATTTTATTTATTCAGTAGAGAATATGAGAGTTAGACATTAATTACTTTGAATTTGATCAAAAGCACTGAAATTATTGTCCTTTAGAAGAGTATTTAATTTCAATAAGTTTTTTAAATTGAAATTTGTACAGTCTGCTAAATCTAACAAATATTTTGGTTGATTCAAGGATAATATTACAATAATTTCTTTCTATAAATCGTCCCAATATTTTTAGTCTAATATTTATAAACTTAATTATATATATATGTCACAAAATTAGTGAAAAATACAAATAATGATAATTTATCTAATATTTATTCCTTTTTAATTTACATTGGCTAATTGGGATATATCTATCCAATATTCTACTTTATGTAATTGCCGATAGATATCAGATCCAACCTTATGCAGCTCAAGTTAATTTTGTTAGCTTGATGTGGATTTCGAATGTATTGATGTGCTTGATTACAACTGTTCTTATTTCAATGAATAGACAGTTCTTTATCTCTGTTCACAATTAGATAGATGCTATTTAAATAATGGTCAATGTGTGGAATTGGATAATTGTACAGAATTGAAAGGATCAACAAATCAAGAATGCTACTCATAATCTCATAGATGTGGCACAACTATTAATAATATATGTTAGTTAACTTAATGTGATAGTTATTTAGAGGAAAGTGAATGCAACAATTCAATATTTAATATCCGATTTGATAACGTAGGTTATGGAAATGTTTGTTATTGGAACGATCACATTTCGTCATGCCAAAATTTGCTTTGCGAAAATGTATCTATAGATTAATGTTAATAATATACAAATTTATGTCAAATTGTAAACAATCTATGCACATGGGCCACCTGCTAAAACTCATCTCCAGAGGATTGTACTTTTGTATGGGAAGGTTCTCAAAGAAATGTTATTTAGCCCTGCTTATTAGTTGATGGAATTTGTTAAAATGCAAATAGTGCTAAATAGCTGAACCAATAAGATTGCACCTAAAATACACTATATACTTACATATATACATAAGATACTTGCTAGCAATGTTCAAATTCAAATTACTTTGAATTTTAACTATTACTGATCATCATCTTATTTAATTGATATATAATACATAGCCATAATAATTTAATTCCTATTTAGAGAGTATTTTATTATTTTAAAGTATTTTTTGTACTTTATTTATTTTAATCTAGTATAATAAATATAAATTATCTTTTTGATATAATAATAAATTGATATATAATCTTTTAGTAAATTAATGTGTTTACTAAATTTATTATTACAATCTATTAATCTAAGCTTAATTCCGCTTCTAAAATAGTGATTATTTTATTTCTAAATTGATTGGATATTCATATTTATGCTTGTTCTACATAACTATTGTTTTTAGAAAAGATTTATCAAAAATTCTACATTAACCTCCAATAATCAATCTTATATTATTTTATCAAATAAAGCCTTATTTAAATCAGTTGCTCCCCTCTTAATAAGTAATTCTTTAATAATTTATCTTTTTCATATCGTTTCAAAGATATCATAATACACCCTTCCTTTTCATTAATACTTATAGTTTTCTCGATTATTGTATATATAATTATGAAAATACATTTGTTACTATCATACCTTGATTATTAAAAACACTATTTAATTTTTCAAGAATGGGAAACAATCATGAAAAATTCTTTTCTAAAGAAAAACGAAAACTCCTTATTTTAGGACTTACTGGAGTAGGAAAGTCAAGTAAAATACACCAATTCCCATATAGCACTGATAAAAACTTTGAACCAAGGAAATTATTAAGATAAGAAGGAAGATTTATAAATTATTGACATCAAATTAAAAAACATCACACTTTGTGCTTTTGATATGGGAGGAAGTGAAAGATAGAGAATATTTTGGAGACAAAACTTCTATGGAAGTTAAGGAGTGATTTATGTTATGGATGGCAATATTGATATCTAAAAGGCATTATTGGAATTAGAAAAAATTGTGATTGACACAGATCTCAAAGATGTATAAATCACTATTTGATATTATTAAGACTCCTATTGCAGTATTTGTGAATCAAAATGGAAAAGATAATCATTTTGACACTACAAAAGAATTCTTAAAGTATATTTATTTAATATTCCATTTAAAGAAATAAGCCAGGAAAGGTAAATGTGTTCAAAGGAAGTACATTAGAATTAAAGGATATTATGAGTTGTATTGAGTGGCTTGGTAAAGAAATGAAACCTATTTGAATTATTTATTTTTATTAATGTTTGAGGATGATAATAATAACAATTTTGATTAGCTTAATTATAGGGAATAGCAAACAAAAAATGAATAGAAATAAAATATATAATTAATAAAATAGAATTGGAAACATTTGGGATGGAAATGGTTAAGATTATTCTTTGATTTAGTACCCACATTAGAATTGTTGAGATCAAGAATCAATTAAAAATCTCAAAAAATGAAATCTATAAATGTGCAACCCTTAAACTTGCTTAGTATATATATGCATTTATAAAAATATCAAATTAATTTTCATTAAGAAGGCTATGTCAATACTTATTATTGTAATTGAAATCCTAATTTGGATATTAAATTCTTAATTATATAAAAAATAAAATAAAAGAAAGTCTAAATTTCTTAAATGACATATATTTTAAAAATAATAAAAGTAACATATTCAATACATCTTCTATCTTGATCCTATTTTTTAAATCTTCCTCAAAATTAAGTATTTAACCATTATTGTATTAAAATACCAATAATTTGATTTAAATATTTTTTAATAAGGAAAGATATAATGTTATAAATCAGATGTAATTTTAAGAGTAAAAAATCGCATAACTCTAAATTTATAAAAATTCGAAATCAAACTAAAACAATAGAACACAGAACACTTGTAGTATAATAACCTTGATTAAACATTGAAACAAATTCACAAATAAAAAAGCGTGATAAAGAGAAAAATATGTAAGGTAAATTAATAAAAGCATTTAGATTAATTTGAAGATGAAATTTGATTAACTACTCATTTAGTGAAATATGCATTATATAATTTGTAGATTTTGGATTTCTTCTCTTTAATTCTATTATATAAAGTGAATAAGTTTACGGAATAAAACGGAAAAGAGTATTTATAGTTTATAAGGTTTAATACATTTGAAGCTAAATTGATGATATTATTTATTAATTATTAATAAAATGAGTTTAACCAAGCCAATAAAGGAATATAAGTTGATTTTACTATAGAACAGTCTTTATAAAAAGAAATTTGAGTACAAAAATAAGGATAAATTTTTGAAGATTTTGAGAATTTCCATATCAGACGAGAACATAATAAAAATAACTAACTTTGAGATTGATAACTTAAATACCTTAGAAATTCCAGCAGAATGTAAGTATGGAAGGGATTTATTATTATTTAGAATCGATAACAATTCACATCACAATATAGGCGTCCAAGAATTCAAATGTGTATATGAAGTTCATCCGATATGACACAGATTAAATAGAGGAAGAGTTACTTTTCAAGATAGAATTAAAATAATGATTGTCAATTATATATTCTATAGAAGTTTTATCATTGGTTTTCTAATTATAATAATAATTTAACGATTGTATAATATAATTAATTAACATATGAAATTTGAAATCAGAATAAACCATCTAAACGAAAGGGTAAGGGTTGTAAATCACAATTTTTGCATTCATCACAACAACTGCATCTGGCTGTGCATTTGGTTTTTCTTTTTTGGCATTCACAATAGCCTTTAGAGCAACTAGGAATTAATTAAGAATTGATACTCTTATCTTCTGCAATTGCATCCAAAATATTCGGAACCAGATTATTTTGAGGCAGCTGATTTTGGCTGTTTGTTAGAGCAATTATAACATTCGCATTTGAATGTACATTCTTGATTGTTGGCACTACAAACACAATAGTTTTTGATGCATTTTGATTTTCTGCATTTGCAGACTATATTGTCGTCTCTGGAGAGATTGAATAAATCATCATCGCTAGGTTTGGCTAACTTGTTAACGATAACATTATTTTGGTTTAGTTCGATGGAATTTAATAGACCCAAAGTATAGGATGAGTTAACTAAATTTTTAGTTTATTATTACCTTTGTTTTCTTTGGGAATGTTACGTTTGCTTCTTCCAAATATTCCATCTTATCTTATTACTATCTAGTCATCATTGAATTCTAATTTCCTGATGATCTTAAATTTTTTGAATTCTTCCTTCAGTTTCTTGGGTGAACTTTGTTTATTGCATGTAATAGGTGATTTGGACAATTGTTATTTTTATGGAGTTTTAACTATATATAAATTTATATAGAATTACAATCTGTATCATCGAGGTTCATTATAAATTGCTAAAAATTCTTATCACACAATACTTCCATTTATCCGCCAAAATCAACAATATGAATTGCCAATATTATAAATATTATTTAATATAAAAAATTCATGTTTATTTAATAACCACCCTCCAGACAACCCTATCTACAACCAAAATTGCCTTTCCAATAATAATTCCATCAAAATAATTTTATACAGCAAGTAAAAACAAATAGAAACCCATTAGCATTTTGCACCTTAGATTAAACAATAATTTGTCGGTCAAAATCAATACAAACCTGATTTGATGTCCAGTATTCCTTTTGCTAAATCAATTTAGTATGAAGTCCCAAAATAAAATGAACAAGCTCACAATAACAATTAAGATCAAAAGTATATCCAATGATATTCTTCTAGAAAGCATTCCTCAGAAATGGTATAGTTAATTAAGGAGAGTTAAGAGCTAAAAAAAAACATAAACGAAAAAGATCAGGAAATCTAGAAATGCAAATAAAACATAGATAGGCTTGAATAATTAATAGATTACTTAGAAAAACAATAAAAGGAAGCTTAAAAAGAGTAATGAGATTCAAATGATAATCTAAATATGATTTTTTATAAATCAAAGCACCATATTCTTGAAAGCACAAAATAAATATTATATTTAGTTTATAAAAAGATAGCTAATCATTTAATCTTATTTTCTTCATTTTTCAGTTTGATTCTATTTACAATTTGTTCATTCTTATAAATCGATTGCTCTAAAAATGAACCATGAATTTGAAACCATTATATTATAATAAAGATAATAAATTACAAGATGCTTTTGTGTTTGTTATTCTAACTCATTAGAACCTAGATTTTCGATTGTTCCATAACGTCATCTGAATGCTCAGATAATTACTCACCTGTGTGTGGGTTAACTATTAATCTGCTGTCCATATAAACTTTCATGAATGAATGTTATGCCTGCAAAGCTAATCTTGTTGTTAAATACAAGAATGGAGAGTGCACAGATTATTCAGATGAAAAAACCCCCAACAATCATAATGATGACAAAAATGAATATAGTAATTCAACCTTCTTTCCTTCTGGAAATTACACTCAATTATTCTCTTGCTCAGATCCTCGACCAAGTATTTGCGGAACTAAGTAAACTGTAGCTTATATCATGAAGTTAAAAACTTACTTGTGGATTCTTAGACTCCTTGACTGATTGCTATGGTAAATATTGCTAAACTTAATTCATTAATGAGTGTCATGCTTGTAGAAATACTTCGATACACAATTATTTCTTTGGGAAATGCTCAGAGTACAAGTAAATACAATGAAGTTCTTATTCTTAGATAAAGATAAGCAACTGTGATTCAGTGTAATTCAGATTAAAAGAATTAATGTGATATAATGGAATAAATAGATGTTTGTGGTTTCTTAAATGAAACAGCAGTTTGTCAAAACCAGCCATGTTTGCAACCATTTAAGAATACTTGTGAACCTTGCAATTAATCTAATATCAAATCCTATTTTATTGGTAATTGCAATGATTACAACAACCTATTCTTTGGCACAGACTAAGACTAGATAGAAGATGCTTCAGAATAATAATAAAAATATCAATATTGCTAGCCTGAAAGACCATCTTCTTGTAATTAGGATTTTTCATAAACTTGTGGGGTATTAAAATCATGTAATGGAACTGGTTGTGAACGAATATATGATAATCCATGTAGTGCATGTCAAAATACTCTAATTGAAGGCTATTACATAGGATAGTGTTAGTAGAATTTTGGCTATATTTTCTCAATCTTAATGATTTAACTGTTATTCTGAAATTATTTGTAATTTTGTCTAACTATAATTTCTATTTAAAAAAGTATTTATCATTTAATAGATATTCAAAATTAAATTATTTTTAATCCAAGATATTAAATTAAATTCTAATTTTTAATTTGCATGTCTACAGTGTCTAATATTATGTAGTTTCATAAAAAACGATATAAAAAAAATTCAGATCTCTTAGTTATAATACTTTTAATCTTTGCAATTCGAAGATCCAAAATATTTTAATTAGGAATTGAGAAATTAAATTATTTTAATGAAGTATTTCTTTTAAGAAGTGTTTCTGTACTATTCTCATCAGAATATGATAGAGAATTTAACAAAAAAGATCATATTTCTGATGTGGAATTATGTAGAGATTAGATTTACTTAAAGATTGACTTAAGGGGATTACATTATAAAATAATAACAGTTGTAGAAAGTATATAATAATTAATCTTTTTTTCAACAGATATTTTTACTATTCATATATTTACATCTAGCTCATGCATGTTTGTTAGGATTACAGTTGACAGTTGACAATGTGATATTTAGTTAGAAAGTGCAACTATTGTATCTAGCCTTATTTGTGTTAAATCTGATAAGGTTTAAGGGGTCAGTACTCAAAAAGTTGAATGGGAAATCATGTATATAGGCAGCGATTATGATGGAAGAGAATATTTTCAAAAGACTTATTATATTATGCTGATGTCAATGAGTGCAAAATTTACTCCAGTAGACTTTTATTATAATATTGAATTTTATTCTTTTAGAGGTATAATGTAGTCATTTTTACATAGTTGATTAAATATATTTCAATTTTTCATTTAAACAGAGTACCAATAAATGTTCTGATTGAATAAACTAAGAGTGTGTCTAAGTATATATATATAGAGTTTCCAATTGATCAGTAAGACCAATCTCTTGTGTTATAAAATGTATAATCTAACACAATTTACTATAGGTTCTACCTACTTAGGCTAAATTCACAGGGAAATTTAACACAGCCATATTTCCTAAGGTACCTCAAATATGTGGCTGCATAAATACAAACATAACTAAAATGATTATATTGTTGTTTCAGAGAAATAGATAACTTGACTTGATTATAAATAAATTAAAAGATTGAAAAATTAGATTTATAGATATATATATTAATATGTGAATTCAATATTTTCTAGTTCTATCTTTGTTGGTATTAATTTTAGGTGCCAGAAGTCCAGTCATTTATTTGTTTTAATGATTATTATTCTTACTATAGGAAGAGTTTCTTTTTTTCTCTTAAGATGCTTATTAGGACAACCTAGATTAATACTGCATGAGTAAGGGAGCTCTTATGGTTTAGAAATTGCTTTGTTTAGTAGTGGCTGGTATGTCTGCTGTTTTTTGGGGGATGGCTACTCCTATGAATTTCTCCTCCTTTATAATTTCATCTTTAATCCATTCGAATTTATAATCCCATTCAAAACCTTGTTTTCTAAAGGCTTCCTAAAAACAATCAAATATTTTAATACTCTAAATAGATTCCTAATGTAGTTATAATCTGGTTTGTCTTCAAACTTCAAATTTCTGCAATATGATAGAAATTGAGTTAATTCACTGGGAAACCCCTTACACAACTATTCAGGAGTTGTTTCTTGCTTTTTTTCCATAATTTTTTAATATTTCTCTTTTTGATTGGAGGCTTTCATGTTTTGCCATGGTAATTGCCCTCTTAATAAATACATTAAGACATAGCCAAGAGATTCTAAGTCATCCCTTCTCGATTATTCTAATCCAACATGTGTATTAATGGATGCATATCTGGCAGTTCCAGTTAAACTTTTCCCTTCTTTATATGGAATGTGTCCTTCTTTGGTTATGTACCTTTTGGCCAACCCGAAATCGACAACATAGAGTCTTGAACTTTTGCTGCCAACTCCGACTAAGAAATTGTCAGGTTTGATATCCCGATGGAGAAATTATTTTGAATGAATGTATTCGATTCTCTAGATTAACTAATCTGCCAACATCAGAACTGATTTGAGTGATAGTTTCCTATGATTTTTGTTAAATAACTCTTCGAGGGATGGTCCCAAGAGATCCATGACGATGTAATTATAATCACCGTCCACTCCTTAATCATGAATTTTTGGAATGCCTTCCTTTGAATTACATAATAAACTTACCTTTATCATATTGATCCTATCCTTAAAGGTAATTGTATAGTTTAGCTTCAAAGAATATTTACGGATGTTTGTTATCACTCCTTTCCAGTTTCATGGCATATTCAGATTTGGATTGAGATTGGACCAAGTATATTTCTCCAAATGCACCAGATCCAATTTTCTTGATTAACTTGAATTAACGTGCAATAGTATTATTAGTAAGGTCTTTTCCTAAAATGGAATCCATATAAAATTAATAATGATCTAAAGTTTAGGGATGCAGACCAAATTTCATAGACAGATGGAAAAAATGAAAGGATTTCTGGTCTCAGCTCGTACTATATCTCCCATAAATGATGACGAGCCTATTAGGAAAACTCAGACTCCTTTGGTTGGCCAATAAGCCCAATCAATATCATTCAGTGATGAAGAGTTGGAAGATGAGGATTTCAAGTAAATAGGGGTTAAATCAACTAATTTTGAAGATGAGTTTACGCTCGGCAAGAAATTAGGCGAAGGCACTAATGGCATAGTCAGAATTTGTTGGAAGAAAGACAATCCTTCATTATTATTTGCTGTTAAAATTATACAGACTCCAGATGAAGAACAATTAGATATTGTAAGACAAACATTCATCAATTCCACAATCATCAAAAGTCCCTATATTGCAAAATGCTATAAATTATACATTGACATTAATGTAATATATATGGTAATGGAGTATGTCCCATTTCAAAATCTACAATCCATATTGCAATAGAGAGTACAATTAAAAGAACAGGAAGTCTAAAAGATTGCATGTTCTCTATTGAAAAGTGTTAGGTGTTTACACAGTTGCGGCATTTGCCATAGAGACATTAAACCAGACAACGTCCTCGTTAATCCCAAGTATAATAGTTGTTATTTATAGCGATTACACAGTCAAACTAATAGACTTCGGAGTTTCTAGAAGATTTGTTTCATTCAATAACAGTACATTTAGATATATGAGAAATCAGATGCTAACAGTTACTGGCAACCTACATTATCGAGCCCCGGAAATCATGGGAAGCCATATCTATGGGTACAATTAGTAAGTGGATATATGGGCTATTGGAGTTATCATGTATTAATCCTTAACTGGTGTACTGCCATTTACTTCAGATAATACTGCAGACATAGTTGCTTTATTGTCCAATACGTATCCTATTTTTATATACCCAGTTAATCAATAAATGAGGCCTTTCAAAAACCCTAGTTTCTATCCTTGTCTTCTAGTTGCAGAGACCTTATCAAAAGACTAATGATGTGGAATCCCTTGAAAAGATTAACCGCTTCTGAAGCTCTCAAACACATATGGATACCTAATATGCAAACTCCCAGAAAACCACTCACCAAAAAAATTACTAAAGATGATATGGATACGAGTAAAATAAGTCAAAATAGTGATCTTCTTAATAAATCTTTAATCAATAGTGCCACCATTTTGAATTTTGAATTACAAAACACTCTAATAAAAAGTAAATAAATTGACTCCGTCTTGGAAAACCAAGATATCACTCGATCTCAGAAAAGTCTAGGTTTCTCCATCAAGATCAAAAGGGAAAAAGAAATTCAAGATTTCAAGGCTAAATTAAGGCAATTCAAATTAGAAACCTCCACAAAGATATACAAGAGAAATAATTCAAACCAGAATAATGCCATCCAATTGGTTGGTGCCTTAGTAGATGATAAAATGAACAACTCAATTAAACTAGATGATGAAGATGATATTTTTGGGATCAAGGTATGTGGTAGTCATCACTCGCTGACACAAATTGATGAACCTATGTAAATTGATCAATAAGCACAACATAATAAGTTAGACCCCACATTATTACAGAAGCTTTTAGAATTTAATTTGTGATATAATATATAAATAATGAACTCTTCCAAAACTTCAAGAACTATCAAAGCCTTGCATTTAATTCATTTAGAATAAAAAAATTCAGAACTTCCTCATTATCACATTCCTACCTTTAGAGGACCTCCTATTCCTACTATCTTAAAACCATCCAAAGTATACCCGACTAAATAATAATGTCCAGCATCTCTTTAAAACTAAGAAAACGGACAGACAAAGTTATCAATCGAAAAGAAGATAGTATAATTAAGGAAGGAAATTTTAAATGCCAAATATACAAAACAGAAAGAATTGTTGCAAATAAATCAACTATAACCCAAGGAAAGTGTAGTACTCTAAGCAGTTGAAAAACCAATTGATTAATAGTCAAAACCTATTAAATATTGCGATAAAAAGCCTAATTCTAACCTTAAATTCTTTGAAAACTTAATCAAAGTTCAAGAAAGGTAACCCTAATAATCGAATATACCAGCGTAAAATCATAAAACTCCAAAATTTAAATTATCAGAAAAATAAGCTTTAACAATAGAGGATCGAATAGATGATAATTAAATGTTACCATTGTGTTTATCATCAATCAAACTTAGAAGTGAACCGAATTCTCCATAAATGTTAAAAAAATTATAATCTTATTAATTTAGTTAAAGAAAAGTTAGTTAGGAGAGTATATAAAAACCAAAAAAAGTAGATTTGAATCCATGGTCATAAAATTTAGAAGGTTGGCATGCACCCTAAGCTGATGAAGATTTACCACTATACTATAAGTAATGTTTTTGAAATGAATTTAATTTTGACTATAAATTATTGTAATGCAGGATTTGCTCTATTATATGATTGAAGTTAAGGTAAATTTTTGTTATTTGTTGAAGATATCATATTTATTCATTAAATTATGCAACATGTTTCCCTTTCCTTAGGTGGTTTTATGTCTTCCTTATTTCTATCATTTTTAGGTTTAATAGGTTCATCTTTGAAATCCTATTTCAATCCTATTCCCTTAGCAGTTACGTATTATAATTTGGGATTCTATTTGAATGGACACAAAAGCTATTCCATCTGAGTTAATCTTAGTTTGAGTTTTTCTTAGAATTTCTAGAGATTATTAATATGATTAGATTACTTCAATCAACCCACTCTTAAATTCTTTTTGTTACTTGATAATATTGATTCTATCATCATATGAGAGTCTCACATCAAATCTTAGGTTTACAGTGACATTGTCTATATAAGGAGCATCCAAACTTTAGTCCTAGTAATTTACTATCAAGTAGCATTATGGTATAGTTGGGAGTGCAAAATGTCTTGGTCTAATTTATTGATAGATATCAAGAATAGGAATTTTAATTTGAGCAAGTTCTTTAAAATCTTCTCCCAAAGTTCTGGCATCTCCCAAATTTTTATCGAGTCGTTTTCCCATCACAACAAGGGTTAAAGAATCTATAGTATTATCTAGAGAGACGCATGTAGATCGATTTGAATTCTCTGGATACAGTGGTTGATAATTTTAATGAATTGTTCCAACTTTGTATTTCAGCTTATAAAACTATACAATAGATCTTGGTTGATACTTTTTACATTTCGCTTATCTAATTGACTTGATCTACAAAGGAGATGACTAATGCATTTTCTTGATTATATTCAGGTTTATCTAAGATAAATATTTTAGTTTTTATTACTAGCTTCAATGACTTTTGAAAACCTATCAAAATTGGTAAGTTCATCCTTGAAATAATCAATGTTTTTTTGGAAATCAAGTATTTTCAAATGTATCATTTTTGCTTAATCCAATAGTTTCTATACAAAGGTATCAATGGTTGCTTCTGATGCAAACTAATTAAATGAAAAACCCTACATTCTCATCGTAAACTTAATCTTGTCCAATTGTATCACTTATCACCTTCCATAGAATGTGTTCTTAGTCCTAATTGATTTCTGGAAAAAACCAAAGTTAATCGTCAAATGCTGAATCAGCCTTGTAGCCTTTCTGATCAAAGAACTAAAGAATTTCTTCTTTCTTCTATTGAATTATATCCTCGGACTGTTTAATGAAGGATGCATTCAATTGATCTGCCATTTTTAATAAAAATATATTATCGTTTTCATTTGGTTCATAACAAGTTATAGTTATTCATATAATCATTGTTGTTTCTTTCACTTGATCAAGACATAATAAGCATGACAATACTCTTTTGCTTTCAATTATTCACATTGAAATCATCATTTACATTTATTGCATTTACAAATTGGTGCTCGTTCGGAATTTACATCATCAATATTTGACTCATTTCTATATCACTGAGATTATATGTATATTTCATGACAATAACCCAAAGAACAATTCAAAGTGATTACCTTCTAAACAAAAATTGTCTTAAATTCCTTCATATTAGTCCTTCAATTTTATTACTTCTTCTTGGAATCATATTATTTCACTATAGAAATCGTTATATTCGGATAAACTATTTCTTTTTCTCATTTGATCTTTCAATATTTATAATAAGTTTTATGCAATAATATCATATAGAATCCAATAATATTATTACTCTAAATGAATTCTATATCCAAAGCATAAAATAAAATAGGTTTACTTGGAATTACTTGATTTTTTACATCAATTTTAAAATAACATGATTATTTACTTTTATTTAATTTATAGTGATTTAGAAGTTCTGATTATAATACCAACAATAAGATAGGCCTTTGTTTATGGTATTATATATATACACAAATTTCCAGTTAAGTAATAAAGAATATGTAATATTTAGTATTTTTATGCACATTATTATTATAATGATATTAGCCATTAAATAACTATCTGATTTGTATTAAGAACATGTCTGAGTTTAAATTGATATGCTAATTTTCAGAGCCTTTACCTCTTAAAAAAATGAAATAACAATTTCGCATAATCATTTAGGTTTCTACAGAGATTAGGAGTTCCTTAATTATTCCATAAAGTCATCTACTTTAAGCTTTTTCTCTATGGATTATTTAAATTATTAAGTTTATTATATTAAATTTATTAAGCAACTATAATTACATTTAATGAAATATTTGTTAATTTTTAGTGTTTTCATCCATATTTGTTTCACTTATAATTTTACTAGGAATCATCCTATTCATTTTATTCCAACTATATTCCTTTGTTATTAAATCATATAGATAAGTGATGTATTTGATTAACATATATAAATTTATATTTGTATGTAATTTAATATAATACTAAAAGCCAATTTCATTTTTTCTAATCTCTAACAGGCAAGAAATATGGATGATCTAATGCTTCTTTAGGTGTAATTCTTAATGCCTATTATAGTGAGTTATTTTACATGATCATACAACAACATTTTGGATAATATATCAATAGCCTCCTCTGTACACAAATGCTTATTCTCTTGATTAATAAACTTTGACCATTCTCTTTTTGGATAACTAAACTTTAATTTTAATTATATACTTTCCCAATTTATTGTCAAATACTGGATCTAATTTCAATCTGTACTTCTTAACGTAAGCTAATAAATCTTCTGTCCCCAATACTTTTGCTATGACTACTAACTGGTCGTAATTATCATTTCCCTAAAAGAATGGCTCTTTCTTGAAAATCTACAAATACAATCATAGATATAGAGTTACCATAGATGCAAGCATGGCTCCACTACTCCAAATATCCAATGAGTAATCATAATAAACATTATCGACTAATAATTCAGGACCTTTAAAATATCGAGATGCCACTCTAACGTTATAATCTTGGCCCATATGATAATATTCTGCTAAACCAAAATCAAGCAATTTCAATAACTTTTTCTAAGGATTCACTATTATATTCTAAGGCTTAACATCTCGATGCATGATTCCTCTAGAATGACAAAAATCCAAAGCTTTCATTAATTCATATAGATAAAATCGAATTTCTATATCAGTGAGTTTTGGAAAGATGCTTCTAAAATCAACATGATCAATGTAATCAAACACCAAACAAGGTGTTTTGGATGCTGGGTCTCTTACGATGTCACTCAACTCAATGATGTTTGGATGTCCTTTTAATGAAAGCAGAATCTTTGTCTCTCTTTTTATTTTCCTTTTCTTTACTGGCTTCAACACTTTTATTACTACTCTCTAATTCTATGGGTATCTGATCCCTTCATAAACATCAGAGTATTTTCCTCTTCCAATTTTTCTAATTATTTCATATTAATCATTATCCTAACATTAACAGTAGTCTTACACCCCATTCATTTTCAAAATTATCATAATCCCAATACTCTTTTGGTTGATTCTTATTATAATCAGCATACAATTTTGGTTTAGCTTACACTATTTAATTCATATACAATTATATTATAAATAAATATTTAAATCAGGCTAGTTAACATTTGTCAAAGATTATAAAATTAATTTATGCTAAAAATCACATATCATTCTCCCCATACTGTCCATTCCCCTATGAAATAGACAAAATATATTTTTATCATCCAATTATGTCTTATTAAACCAATCCTAAAATAAATATATATAAAATTATATTAAAATATAAATACAAATTTTCAGAATTTCTGGATTATTTTATTAAAATAAATTTATAAAATGATCAATGAAACATTCCTAAATTAAGAACCTGAGCAGTTTTATGACTATTTTCCAACTAGTATCTCATGTCCTCAAGCAGAATTAAGCGAATATGAATCTCCAGTTAGATAACATTATATTAGTTCTTTATGCTTCTAAATAAAAAAGTACTAAAAATAGAAAAATATTACTTAGAAAAATCAAACGACAATAGAATCGACCTAGTTTTTTGAAAATTGAAGATAGTGGAAGAAATGTAAAATTATATTCATGCTCCCTTTCATCTAATAATACAGAGAAACCTGAAAATGATACTTAATGAAAAACTATACGTAAGCCTTGCAATTCTGATTTATATGTTATATTAACCTCCTGTAATTAAAAATTAAAATCGATCTAATTGGGTCTTCTTTCTGAGTTCTCAGTCAATCTAATTTCAAGATTAAAAAATATTTTTAAACTATTTAGAAATAATCATTTTTAATTGAAATTTTAGAACGTCAAAATGAATTCAACAATCTCATGAGTAAATACGAATTAACAGTAATTTGTGAATAAGAGTGAGAAATAATCAGTTATATGATCAAGGTAGGTTTTTTTACAGACTAAAAATAAAATTTTATTATTTGATATGAACATCTTTGTTAAATTTGAGAGAGTAAAATTCTGAAATTTTTAGGGTTAAATTCTATAAAAGTATTCTTTCTCATAATGAATAATTATTTATTAATCTGTTTAAATAATAAGTAAAATCTAAAAATAGTATGATAGTGTAGTATTCACTCAATTGAAGGTTTAATTACGATATATTAAATATCGATAAATCAAGGAGCTTGTAAATGGATTCATTGAGGAATCTAAACAAAAGGGTATTAGCTTTCTTTTTGAGAATATAAATTTATTATTTATCGTTTTTATTTTATAAATAATATATGAGTTCACTCATTATGTATGAAGATGAAGCGATTGATCATTATAATGAGTATTTGATGAGCAAACGAAAAGAAGTAACAGAAATAAAGAATTATAAATTCAATGGGAAATTCAATTCAAAGCCAACGAAAGCATTCAAATTAAAAAATAAGAAAATACATTATTTAACATAATCACAGATATTGGCTTTAGTAGTTTTAACATTTGCAGTTGAGTATGGTATTTTATACACGTATAGAGAGGGTTTGCAATTGAGATGGTTTTCATTTCTCCATTGTTTTTGAAATTGGACACTCCAGAACTTTTGGACTCTTCAATGTAATAAATTACAACAATATTCCAGTTGGTTGTTTCCTCCTGTAATTAATTTATTAATCTATCCTTTTATTCGATACTACAGCGAAAGCAAATCACATTAATTAAAAAACGCAATGATTTATTTCATAATAGTTTCCATAATGGGAATAGGACTGTTGGCTGATACAAAGTAAAAGCTTAAGTAAATTTAGATCATTGTATGTGGATTCGATAAATAAAAAAACATCAGTTCTTATAATTTCAATAATAAGTTTCACTGTGATGGATGTGGGATTGGAGATGCTGGGAGTATGTGTTCCATTTTGTATATATATAGTTTGCTTGTTCGGCTCTGTTAGAAGATTATGTAAATCCAAAACAACAGCAAAAGGTGTAGTCATACCGAACATTTGTAGATTCATTTGGTAAATTTACAGGATTCTTAGTTTCGAGTGTCTTGGCATTCAATTTTATATATTTGAACTTTGATAATTTCATTGAGAACTTATCATTTGCATATCTAGTAGGATTGATAATGATATTAATTGGATTTGGAATGGTTCTAATATCATTCCCACGCAAAGGATTGGATTTAGTATAATCATCACACAAGATGAGATTTAGCATCAATTCATTTTTGCCTGGAATAACATTTCTTTTGTAAATTATCTCAATAATATTATTAAGTCAATTGCCCTAGAATATGAAGATATTTTTGTTATCCCATTTTTTTACTTGTGGATCCCAATTGTTTGTATCAGTCTACGCAACTTTATGGTCAGGCATAACCATGTTGGAAGAGGGTCCTCAATAGTATAATGAAGCAATAAGGAATATCGTATTTGACATAGGAATTAGCTGGGGTATTGTTTCTATATTATACAGAGGGGCTTTGGCATTGTGTATGAGTGCGATACTTCATCTCTTAACAACTTTGTTCTTAAAACAATTGGGAAATCGTTACACTAGCACAATTTATATGATTGTGAATGCCCTCGCTGGGGCATCTTTATTATATACTTGGTCAGTTAATGAATTTTATTCAATTTTTATCACTCTTCCATTTTGGGGAGTGCAAACTGCTGTTTTGAGTGAATTACCCTACAAATTAGCAAACCAATTAGAAGATGATGTATGGATTCAATGATTATTTTGTTTAGCAAGTTAGGGATACAATCAAAGGACTCTTACCTTAGATGCTTAATTTAACAACCTTTTTTTCTTAAGCATTTATGTTTTTCATAATCCCATTAGGTTTTTTATTGTTTTCTAGCGTTGATGACATTTCAGTGAGTATGTTCATGAGTGGGATTTTCAGTTTGATAGGATCATTTTTAGTTTGCTTTTTATGAAATATTATTAATAAATTTATATAATTCAACATTTTATTATTATTATTATTTATATTATAAATAATAGTCAAAAATAATTATAAAATAGATATTAGGTTAGAATTTCCTATAGAATACATGTAATATATGTATGCCCGTAAGTAATAAATGAGACCTAAATTCTATATTTAACTTTTTAATTAAAGTAAGAATTTTATGATAGTTTGTCTCACCTACATACAATGATATAGCATCACATTTGAGTTTCAAATATGAATTAATCAATTATCATTAAAGTAAAAACAAATACAAAATCACTAGCGTAAGGATACTACTATAAGTAAAATCACAAAAGCCTGATACTAGTTTATAATTATCATCACACAATGTGCAGTTATTAAAAGAACTACATTCTTTACAATTCTAACAATAAAAAAATAACATACTCCTGGACAGCCAACACAATACTTAATTTACTCATAAGTGTATAAATTTTAAGGGCATTTCTCAAGGCACTAATCTTTGTAACGATATCCGTTGCAATTTATACTGCAATCTTTACCAGAATAACCATGCGTGCAGATACACTTTAGATAATGAGAATGCTAATACTTCCTTATTGACACACACACCCTTCTCATTACAATGATTAGGACAATAATTATCATTCTAGCAAATTATTTTAGAATTTGAGGGACATGTTATGTTTCCATAATAAGCATCACCTTATAATTTATCAAATAATGAACAATTTACACTTAACTTCCCAACGGTCAAAATCATATTATCATCTACATCACAATGAAATTTTTAACAACTGAAACTAGAAAACATTTTTTAATTAGATAGAGAACCCTAAACACAAATGCTATCATAACCAAAATGTTATATTATTTTTTATTCCAGTTTCATCTAACTAGGATCTTTACAGTTATAATCTTCAAATACTTAAAAAAATTTGCATTCTCCACTTAGTTTACTCTTTTAACAAGAGCCAACCCCAGAATTTGTAAATGAACAACCTTTTTGATTTTCAATCTAGCAAAATTCAGTAAATTAATGATCATCACATCTCTTTTTTATAAAATCACATCCTCTATTTTTTCCATAATAGATTTAATCAGCTTTGTGTTCAGCTAGCTAATAGAACCCTGTATCTTACAAAAACATTAAGGTCAATTTTGATATCATAATATCATCAAAATGGGTTCCTTACATTATATCGTTCAAAAATATTTATTATTCAAAGTGCTTCCAAGCAGTTGCCTCTTATCCTTAATTCTCCATTTCAATTCCCTAAATATCTCCACAACCAAAGTAAAATTTTAAATATTCTCTTGATCTATTTAATTGTAGAAGTTCTGTAGTTTTATTACTTGGCATTAAATTTTTATAAAATTCTCCAGAAGAAGAATTATAGAATAGTTAATATACATTTTTATCAAGTCCTAAACAATGAATAGTTTCATGTATTATAGTCTTAAGCATTTTTTAATGATTGAAATTTGTAGTCCCAAATTATAGTCCATCCTTGAAATACAGTTAGCAAACATTTGGCCTTTTAGTGATTGAGTCAAAATTGATAGAGTCACACTTAGCTTTATAATCTGTCATATTCTTAACACCTACAAAAATAACCTTATAATCAAAATTGATATTTTACAGTATCAAATTCATTATTTTATTCCATGAAGACTTCCTCATCTAATTAATCTAATGCCATTTTATAAGCGATTTATTACACATCAATTTCTTCTTAGCTCCTTCTTACAAGCAGAGTTTTTTAGAAATAGATAGATACTTGTTTTAACAATTCAACCAATTTATAATTTTATTCTATTTGCTTTGTGATTTGAAAATAAATCCTCAGAGGGTACCATTATAAATTAGTCAAATTCAAATTTGATGAATTGAATTATTATGCCTCTTAGGCAAAGCATAAGGAACAATAGAATATTAGATATAAAATTATTCTCATTTATTAGTTTTTATTAATATTAAAATGTAAAAAGTATTCTATTTACAAATTAATACAGGATTTTCATAATTTAAAAATCTAGAATTTTATATATAGATTCAGAAATTATTGTTTTAAAAATTTTCTGGAAATTGAAGAAATGCAACCAATAACACTTAGTGTATTTTAATCTATTTTATACTTCATCACAACAACAAGATATAAATTCAAAACTCCGTATTAATCTAGAATCAGTTAAACAATAGGATTATTAAATTAAAATTAAAATAATCAAAATAATTTAGACTATCAAATATTTATCAAGTTTTAATATCATAAAAAAATAATTACTCTCTCATTAAGTATGTGAAAATTAAGATATACCATCCCTTGATTTGGGCGGGTAGTTATTATAAATACCAATTAAATATCAGGAAAATAGATGAAAGCATAAACTGTTCATTTTCTCGTGAATATAAATTTGAGCTCTTTTGATTATTCATTAATATCCCAATGTTTAAACTCATAATTGTTTGATTATGAACTTTATCAACCCGAAAATTCAACACGGTTATATTTCTACTAATCAAATATTTTCTTACCATTCATTCAAGCGTTTTATTTTTGCATACTGCTTCAGTTTAGTATTTTCTAAGAGCTTATAATAATTAAAATATTTTGTCAAGATTTTTAATCAATATAATATGATATTTAAAATCTTTCCTTGTGATTATTTTTATTCTAGAATTTAGATGAATTCATATATTAATATTCATTCCATGAAGTTTAATTACGGAATTACAACCAATATGAAATGAATATTTTTTTATATTTTATAATTCTATCAATAATGAAAAGTTTTAAGGATGAATATATTGTGGAAGAAAGTCTTTTAGGAGAAGGACAATTTGGTAAAGTACACACAGCTAAATCATTAAATAATCAAAAATAAAGAGTTTGCGTAAAAATAATGGAAAAAAAGTAACAATTTGGGGAACATCTTTTATAAACAGTTCAAGAGTCAGAATTCGCTATTTGTAAGATTATGGCTGGTAAACAATATGACAATTTGGTTTAAATTTATGCAGTTTATGATTCTGATAAAGAAGATAAACATGCCTATATATTCATGGAAAGATGCGATTAAAGTCTAAGATATCTAATTAATTACAAAAAAAATGAAGAGAAAAAATTATTTACAAAGGAAGAAATAATTGATATAATAAATAAAATAACCAAGGGTTATCTTTAATTGATTTCTTCAAATATTATTCATAGAGATCTAAAACCTGAAAACATTTTGTATAATATGATTGACAATTAATTATAAATCAAAGTATTAAGATTTACCTTATGTTAAGATTGCTGATTTTGGTTTGAGTAAAGTAATGGATCCATAAAATTCAACAATGACAAAAAAAGTTGGAACTTAGTATTATTGTGCTCCAGAGACTTTGTATGATTTAATTGGTAACAATTACGATTATGAATGTGACATCTTTTCAGTATAATTAATGATAATTATAATAGCTTGGAGTAATCATATTTGAATTGGCAATCCTAGAGAGATAATTTAAATTTAAATAAGTAGATAAGCTCAGAGATAGCAAATTCTCTATATAACATGAAGATATTTTAAAAAATAAATCAATAGATTAAGAGATTATAGAATTATTGGATAAAATGATTACATTCGACCCAAGATAGAGATTAACATGGCAAAGCTTATCAACATATTTTAATAAATAACCAAAATAATTTAGTGGTTAATTTCAATAAGCATAATTAAGCAAGCAATAAGCACAGACAAATATGTAATTCTTAAATCAATAACCAAAATAACCCTTTTTGCCTTAACCTAACCAGTAGCAATTACTATAAAATTAATAAAATGGGAATCCCCAATTGTAGATGTTTCAAATCCCTACAATGTAACCAGGCCAGACCAATTAAAATCATTAAATTCAAAAATTTTAATAAAATCCTAATTTTCCATAATAAAGTATTTTAATTCAAAATAACTTTCCAAATCAGTAATAAAATTAAAATCCTAATTCTAGATTTTAAACTACTACTGCGCAATCATAATATTAATAACAATAATAACAACAACAGCAACAACAACTACAACTACAACAACAACAACTACTACAACAACAACAACAATAATAATAATAATAATAATAATAATAATAATAATAATAATAATAATAACAATAATAATAATAATAATAATAATCATTAATAGGCTAATTTCCATAGTTTTAACCACAAATCTAACCTCCTTAATAAGGTCAATTCAAATTTTCAATTAATTCCCCTGTAGCAATTTCAAATTTGCAAAATCCTCCCTTTCCTTAATTCTAACCAAATATTTAACTAAACAATCTTTAAACCAAAAATTAAAGATTAATAACAATAGCCTCCTAAGGACAGAAGAAATGAAATAATACAAAATAATAAACATTAGATATCTTTATAATTTCTTCATTCTCTATATATATGATTATTCAAATTACATTTGAGTTAAGTCATTTTCGCAAAACAATTAAAAAACTATTTGTTGATTCAGAAATTATAAAGTAATTATTCTACTCTTATTTTTAAATCCATTATAGTTTTATATAATAATAAAATTAATAATCAATTTTGTGATTTCGTTAAAACTTTAATACGTATGGACGATCTTTTTAATAAGGCCATGGTTGGATTTACAGCTTAATAAAATTCTCCATCCACTTAGAAATAAGGAGAGACATTTTTTTTAAACGAGATCAAAAATGGCCCTTCTCCCTAAGCAATCCGAACTGCATTTCCATGAATAAACCTAAAAATAAAAGCAAAATACTAACCTTTCATTAGCCATTCCTATCATGGAATTAAATCCTACAAACTCTATTTTCCCATCTCCGAAATCTTGGGGGACAAATTTATCTTAAAGTTTCTGAGTACCTTCTTTAACAGCAACCTTCCCTCTGCAATTATCCCATATAGCTCCAGCTCCTCCAGAATACGATTAGATATTTAAACAAAGTAATGTAACTGGATCTCCGCTGAGTATAAATTTGGATTCATTTAAAAGCTATTGATCTTCAGGTTGATTTTGACCTTTTGTCTTAAATAATACATCTGTAGGAGCATTGGTAATTTGTTCGATGGTTAAATTTTGTTCTTTTAAGACTTGCATTCCAGAGATGACTTGATTAGTGGTTGGATTCTTAAGACACATTTTTTTGATTCCCTCACAAAAGTAAACACACTTATTACAACATGCAGATTAAGTTCTCTTTTTATCAAAACCAAATCCTATACGAGCATCTACTCCGATGGAAAAATAATTTGACATTCTTTTATCTAGTTATTTTAGGACATCTTTATCTTTTTAGAGAACTTCTTTTTGGAATAGATCTCCTTATTTTTTAATTCTTTTAAATGATCCAGTTTGTGCATCTACAGTGACACTTATTTCCCATAGATCGAAATCATGTATTTTAGCATTGAGCCATAACGATATTTGCTGTTTGAAGTTTCGTAAGCATGCCCCCAAGTCTCCATCTGTATCTCCTCCCCAACCTAAGACCCTTGAAAAATCATTTCCTGTCCCAAAGGGGATTATGCCAATAGGACAACTAGCAAAATCAACATTATGTTTATGCATTTCGTCAACTACCCACATAACAGTGCCATCGCCTCCACAAACAATTACTCTGACTTAAACATTTCTTTATAGGAATTCTTTAATTCTTTTTAGATTCAATTCGACTTAGTCTCTTTGGAGAAGACTTGTGAAATAGACATTGATCGGTTTTTGATTAAGATTAAATTTAATTGTTTCAGCATCTAATTAAAGATACACCCCTGCCCGATTTCCACCAGAAGTGGGATTTACAAAAAGAAAAAAAGCAAATTCCATATATAAAATTAATAATATGTCAATAACAAGATTAGGCGTATGTACATTAAATTAATGGGCTATGGACTTTACTTAGAATGTCTAAAATATTATCGAAAGTATAGAAATTTGCAAGAGAAAACAATGTTTGTACCGCTTAGGACCAGAATTGGAGATATGTGGGTACATGTGCGAAGATCACTTTTTGGAATCCGATACAGTTACTCATTGTTGGTATGAACTTGATTCATAGTTATAGGGAAGCAATAGCAGAGATACTTCCTCATACAGCTAACATAGTTTGTGACATAGGAATGCCAGTTATCCATAAAAGTGTGTTTTATAATTGCAGAGTGATTTTGCTTAACAAAAAGATTCACTTGGTTAGACCAAAAATGTATTTGGCAGATGATGGAAATTACAGAGAATCTAGATATTTCACTCCATGGAGTAAGGAAATAGAGGATCTTGAACTTCCTCCTATCATTTAAATAGCCACTGGATAAAAATGTGTTCCAATTGGAGTTGCTATTTTGCAAACGCACGATACTGAAATTGGTATAGAAATATGCGAAGAAATGTGGACACCCATTCCCACTAGTGCAAATTAAGCATTAGATGGAGCAGAAATAATTCTCAATTCTAGTGGATCTCATTATGAGGTTGGTAAAATTAAAGAAAGAACAGAATTATTCAAAGATATAACAAAAAGAAATGGTGCCTGTTATGCGTTTTGTAATCTCAGAGGGTGTGATGGTAATCGATTGTATTTTGATGGATGTTCTTGCATCGTATTGAATGGTAAAGTATTTGCCAAAAGTGACGCATTCTCACTTAAAGATGTAGAAGTAACAACATGTGATATCGATTTACAAGAAGTTAGGAACATTAGAATCAACATCAAGAGTAGATCTCTTATGGCTTCCAAATAAAAGCATTTTCCAAGAGTCAAACTTGACATCAATCTGACCTAGTAATAGAATTACATTTATTATCATGATATTCCGATCCAATACGAATCAGAAATTGAAGATTCGATAGCCTGTTACTTGTGGGATTACATGAGAAGATCTGGAGCCTGTGGATTTATGCTACCATTATCAGGAGGATTGGACAGCAGTGCCACTGCACTAACTGTATTTTTTATGGCTAATAAAATCTTCAAAACTATTAACAATGTTGATAATGATTACTAAACTCATATCAAAGTATTGTAATAATTACGTAAAACTGTAGAGGATGATACCTTCACTCCTAAATCTCCATAAGAAATTGTTAATAGATTATTCTTTACTGTTTATCTTGGCTCTGAAAATTCAACCTAGGATTCTAGAGCTAGATCAAAATTACTAGCTGAGTAAATTGGCAGTAAACATTACGAAATAGAAATTGATTAGGTTTGTAAAGCTTGCACATCTTGCATAAAACCTATTCTAAAAAAGGAACCTTAATTTGTTGCAAATGGGGGATCTATATCAGAAGATCTAGCCTTATAAAATATCTAAGCAAGATCAAGGATGATTCTTACTTATTTGTTAGCCTAATTAACTCCTTGGAATAATGGAAAAAAAGGATTTTTGATCGTACTTGGATCAAGCAATTTAGACGAATCTATCAGAGGATTCTTAACTAAATATGATTGCTCAAGTGCTGATATCAATCCAATAGGTAGTTTAAGTAAAAATGACTTAAGAGAACTTCTTTTATTTTGCTACAAAACTTTTAACTTCTCAGCCATTTAATTAATTTTAGAAGCTAAACCATCGCCAGAATTAAGACCTTAAACTACTGAAGGACATGTTTCAGAAAATGATATGGAATTAACCTTCAATGAATTAGAAACATTTGCAAAATTGAGAAAAGTGCAAAAATTAGGGCCAGTCAGTATGTTTAAGAAATTGAGATATCTTTGGTCAAATTTAACCCCATAAGAAGTAGCTGAAAAAGTCAAAAAATTCTTTAAGTTTTATGCCTTAAATAGACACAAGGTTGTCACTATTACTGCTTCATTTCATGCCTCAGCATTTTCACAAGATGACAATCGCTTTGACTTTAGGCAGTTTTTATATAATTGGAGATGGCCTTGGCAATTTAAGAAAATTGATGAGAATTTATAATGAAAAAATATTATATTTTTCATTAAGATATTATATTATTTATTGTAATCTCTATAGAACTAATAATGTATTAATAATCAAAGTCTTATCGGGGATAAGGATTTTATAATAGTAAAAGCAGGATATACTCCTTTTGTAATTATTACCTTCTTAATTGGGCTACTGCAGGGATCAACTACTGCACTTACCATTCCTCGTTTTACAGTTCTTTATTCACTTATTCTCTTATCAGAGTCAAACTAAGAAACTTTCATCTACTTAGATTCTTAAATAGAATGATACAATTAGGAAAGAATCTCCTTTTGGGCTGCTAATTGTAGCTTGATTTCTTGTATATTTTGTTTTGTATCTGATTAATCATCAAGAATGGTTACTTGAATATTTTCACTCATTTAATCTGGTTTAATTTGTAATTATTTGTCAGAGAAGCTGACTTAGCCAGGTATAGAATGTTAAGAGGGACCAGCCACAAATTTTAATTCAGCTTTTGAAAATTATTGCTGAGTTTATTTTTTCATCAATTAGTCTATAGATTCTTCATTTTTACTTTAATTCTATTATTTTCTTTTTTATTCAGTATTTTACTAATTCAGTTTTAGAATATTATTGTCCTTTTGATTTGGTATTTATTTTTGCAAAATTGACTCCTACTATGTTTATCTATGAAGACTATTTTATTGATGTTGGAACTGATTAGAAATAATAGACATCTATTGTGAACTAAATGACTAGTCTTAGTAGTTATCCTTGTTTGATAGCTGATCCTACTTATTTTAGATATTAATCAACTCGCCCTTAACTTATTATGAAAGATTTTATGGCTATTCTTTTTCTTAAATGACTGATGGTTGTTTTTATGGATAAAATTATTCTTATGATTATTATTAATAGAATGAATGCTATTAATTTGAATAATTTCGTTAGCTGGATTGGTGTGATTGTGATCTTTGTTATTTATTTTCTCCTGAATATCTTGATTGTCTCGATTATCTAGATTATCTTGACTAAGCATCTTATATTTTATCATTTTGTAAGTTATCTAATTCACTGTGAGAAACAGGCTATTTCTTTATCATTGAGTCAGCTCTTGATTTATTTGCCTCGTCTTGTTATTGACTTGATCTTCTGTTATTCAATCTCTCATTTACATTCACGTTATCTAGACTCTAAATGTCGTTAAAGAACATAGACTATTGATTATTTGTAATTTAAGATTGTTCAAAATGGGGAGAATTATTTTAATTATCTCTGTTAAATGAATCCTCTTACTTTTTTTTCAATTCACTTTTCAATACATCGCTTACTGTTTTAATAAAATCTTAATGGTAGCTTTCTGACTATTATTGAGGGTAGCTTTCTTATGAATCAATGGAGGCATTAGTTTTATATCCTGGTCTACTTTATGATACTTGATTCTCTTCCTCTAATTATTATTGTTGCATTTTAAGCTATTCTAGTTCTCTTTATTATTATTCTATCAACTATTACATATATAATTGTTGTTGTTTAATCAACTTCATTTGAGTATCATCTCCAATGTCAAATTTATCAAAGTCAGTTTGAGATTAACTTCTTTTATGTCGATGAAATTTCATTTGACTTGATTGATTTGATTCAGCTTAATTAAAAATGGCTGTATTTCTCATATCTAAGGCAAAATCTTATTAACAGAAGCTCAATTTTTTGTTGTGATCAATATCCTATTATTATTATTATTATTATTATTAATATTATTATTATTAGTATTATTATTATTATTATTATTATTATTATTATTATTATTATTAGTATTATTAGTATTATTACTAGTATTAGGATGGATGTGATTATTATGATTAATTAAATTGTTACGATTATTATGATGATTCTTCTAATTGTTAGAATTTATTTTATTCCTATTGATCTCTATGAGATTGCTAGGGAGTTATTTGTTTAGAAGCTACTTAATTTATGGACTTAATAGAGATTCTTTATGATACTGGTTATGAAGACTGTTAAGATCGTTTGGAATCTCTCTGTTATGAAAATTCCTTAACTTATCTAGATTCCCATAATTGTTATGATTATTAAGAAGAATCCAAAGGATGTTATTCTGTTTTTTTACTATCCAATTTTTGGTGTTTATTCCCTTCACTTTTTAATTTATTTTAATCTTCAATTTCGTGTTACTATTAAAACTTTTTGAGACCTTCTGATGATTTACATCTTGATTGTTAGGATGATTTTGATTGTTATAATTGCTCAGGATTTTTGATTTGTTTAGATTGATAGGATGATCTTGATTAATCCAGTATTGACTTTTTAGATTACTCAATAGATTGTTCTTTTTGATATTATTTTGATTTTTAAATAATTTAGTCAATGTGATCCTTTGGTGATGACTACTATTTTTCTTAAAACAATTCACTCCTCTAACTAGAATGATCTTCGCAATCAAATATCACCTGACTTTATTGAGACTATACACTTTTAGTGTGATCAAAAGGCTTGGTAAATTGAGTTTAAAGCTTTTTTATTTCTTCAACATATGCTGATTAGTTTAATTTACTTGATGATTTATTATTGATGGACTCCTTCTTTTTTGTACTTTAAATTAGATATTACTTTGAATTAGAGTGAGACTTTCTTGAATTTCTTGAATTCTTCTTAGGTTAAACATACTTTTTTTGTTAAGATTGCTCATTTTAATCAATGTCTCTCAATTATCCTTTATAATATTTTATTAATTATATGCTGTTTCTTTCAGGAGAAGAGTTCTATTTACTTCCATGTAAGGCATCTGAGATTCTCTAATACGAATTTGTCATAGAATTTTGAAAATACTTATAATTCGATAGCTTGCTCTTTCGTTCAGGACTAGGAGAAGCACTCGTCTGTCGTTAGATGGGTTCCTATCTTTAAAATTGGATTTCAAATAAGTCTTCAATTTCTTTAATATTGTTAAGGGTTATAGGTTGTCTAATTTATATTGGATTTTTGTGATCGCTATAGGGAACTATAAGGTGATAATAAAATTAAAATACACATTAGGTCTTTGGGAGAAGTGCAATTTTTAACTAATCCACTTTGAAAGATTTCAATCAATTCTCCAAATCTCCACATTCCTTTAGCCCATTATAACTCATCTTCCTTAAATAAATAAATGCCTCTGCCATGATACTTACCATTTTCAAAGTAACCTTAATAAACTTCTCCCGATGGTTGTTGTAATCTGCCTAAGCCATTCAAGGTTCCATCTTTAAATTGTCCACATTGAAATAATCCATTTTTGGGAACAAATACGCCTAGTCCATTAGGTGCAACCTTATTTGCTGTGTTCTTTCCTGTTACACCATAGAATGTTCCATCTAACCAATCAATAGTTTATAGAGCAGTATTATTGTAACATTAAACAGTCTTTAAGTTTGGAATTTCGCATGATTATTCTCTTTAACTAAGACCTCGAGTTGGTTTGCCATCTTGAAATGCAATTGTAACTTCTCCTTACTTGAAATGGGCAGTCATGTTACCATTGGGCAATCCGTTGAGCCATTTCCCGTAATACTTTGCTTGTCTTGTTTAAATGAGAGAATTTCCATGTAATTTTGCTGTGTTAAATTATCCTTAGATGGTTGTTTTGGGAGGCAGGAAGAGTATTCCATTGCCATCTATTTAATCTGATTTCCATTCGCCAAAATAGGCAGATCCATTCTCCCATAGATAAACTCCGATCCCTTGTTTATATCTGGATTGTAATGTTTATCCTTGGTAGATTCCATCTTTGAATTCAAGTTGAGTTATTATACTATTGCGCATTGCCGTTAATATTATAATATTAGGAGGGGAAAATAAAAATAATAAAGGAAATAATTTAAATTCTGTAATGCCTCGCGAAATCATTACACTTCAAGTTGGATAATGTGGTAATCAAAGTAAGTGTATGATAAATCCTTTTTAGTTGGTATTGAGTTTTGGAAATAGTTAATCAAAGAGCATGGTATAAATAATGAGGGAATTTTGGAGGAATTTGCACTCTAAGGAGATGATAGGAAGGATGTGTTCTTCTATTAGGCAGATGATGAACATTACATACCAAGAGCCTTGTTGATAGACATGGAACCCAGAGTTATCAATTATATATAGACTTCTCAATTTTCCACTCTGTTCAATCCTGAGAATATATTCATTTCAAAAGATGGAGGTGGAGCAGGCAATAATTGGGCATGTGGTTATTCATAAGGAGAGAGATACTAGGAAGAGTTGATGGAAATGATAGATAGAGAGGCTGATGGATCAGACAGTTTGGAGGGATTTCTCATGCTTCATTCAATTGCTGGTGGTACAGGTTCAGGATCAGGATCATACATTCTGGAGAGATTAAATGATCGTTTTCCAAAGAAAATCATATAAACATACTCTGTGTTCCCTAATCAAAATGAGACAAGTGATGTTGTAGTCCAACCCTACAATTCTCTACTCACTCTACGTAGATTAGCCTAGAATGCAGATGCTGTAGTGGTATTGGACAACACAGCCTTGAATAGAATAGCTGTGGACAGACTAAAAATACCAATTCCAACTGTATCTCAGACCAATTCTTTGGTGGCTATGGTCATGGCAGCTTCGACCACTACCCTTAGATATCCTGGATATATGAATAACGATTTAGTTAGTATTTTGGCTGGCTTAGTACCCACACCTAGGTGTCACTTTTTGATGACTGGATACACTCCTTTGACTATTGATAGACATGTACATTTTATATATTAAATTTAGATTTCTTCTGTAAGAAAAACCACAGTCTTGGATGTTATGAGGAGATTGCTCCAGACTAAGAACATCATGGTTTCAACATCTACTAAGAATGGAAATTATATTTCGATTTTGAACATCATCCAAGGGGATGTTGATGCTACTCAGATTCATAAGAGTTTGTAAAGAATTAGGGAACGTAAACTTGCTAGTTTCATCGAATGGGGTCCCACTTCAATTCAGGTGGCTCTTTCCAAGAAGAGTCCTTACATTGAGACTTCTCATAAGGTTAGTGGACTTATGTTGGCTAATCACACCAGTATTCATTCAGTATGATATTTATGAAACGGTTTTAGCTTTTTGATAGAATTTTAAAGCAGTATCACAAGTTGAGAAACAGGAATGCTTTCCTCGATTAATACAAGAAGGAGGCGATGTTTAAGGATTCACTCGATGAATTCGATGAGTCAAGGGAGTGTTTAGAATCCCTGATCAGTGAGTACAAGGCGGCTGAGTCAAAGAACTACTTGGATTGGGGAAACGACGACAACATGAGAATCGAAGAGTAACAGTGAAAATTTATATATTTTTATTAATTAAAATAAATGGGTAATTGTACTAAGATGTGTTATGTAAGCGAAGGGGTACAATAGATTACAAAAAAAGAGGAATTTGCAATTGAAACAGGGATTAAGAGTGATGATTTGATCATGCACTCGACACAAGGGAAATCTAAGGAGAACAAGGATGATTAATATTCTTAATGTTCGAACAAAAGTGCTCTTCCTTAAATAATTTCAATTGAAGATGAACTCTTGATCTAATCAACTTTGAACTCAAATGTTCCTGTCAAACTGAGAAAAATACTAATGGAGAGTGATGCTTACTACGAGGGAGAGTGGATGCAAGGGAAACGTTGGGGACAGGGAGAACAGAGATGGCCAGATGGGTATGACATATCTTATTTTTAAGTTTCTAGGTCAACTTATAAAGGGGAATGGTAGAACAATAAGGCTAACGGGTAGGGTATTTTGACTCATTCAGATGGAGATGTCTACAAAGGAGAATGGGTGAACGACCAGGCTCATGGAAAAGGAGTCTACATAAACTTTAACCAAGCTAAATATGAAGGTGACTGGGTCGAAGATAGACAAGATGGATACGGTGTTGAGAGTTGGCCGGATGGTTCTATTTTTGAAGGTAGCTGATTGATAATATATCTATGCTCAGGGCATTACAAATAAGGTAAGAAGGAAGGATTTGGAAAGCTAACATATCCCGATGGTTCAAAGTACGAAGGCAATTTTCAAATGAATAATCTCCACGGACAAGGAAAGTACGTTTGGCCTGACGGGAGAATATTTGAAGGTGAATGGGTGAATAATTAGATGAATGGGAAGGGAATAATGAAATGGGAAGATGGTATGGAATGCAACATAATCTAGGGAGACAGTATGAAGGCGAATATAGAGATGGATAGAAACATGGGTTCGGGACATTGATATGGGAGGACGGCCATAAGTATGTGGGTTAATGGGTGATGGGGAAATAGGATGGGTCAGGTGAATATTTCTTTACGAATGGTACTTCTCGTAAGGGAGTGTGGAAAGAAGGCAAACGGATTTAATGGGATTGATTATTTAATAAATACTATGTAAAATCATAATCCTAATGATGAACTCAATTTAGAGAATGACAAGTTCTCTAAATAGTTGGATCAGGATGGTAATCAACCTTGATAATCTATCTAGAACGCATTTTGTTGTCATGCAACTTGTTTAAGTTTAATGATTACAAGAAGAGACAAGAACGTAGTTTGCTGGTGTCAACAAAGAATGTCATAAACCTGAAAGGCACATGTATCATCTTTATTAATGTTCATTCACTAGCCATCAAGAGGAAGATTCCATACACTAAGATAAAGGCTATTACATTGTCCTCCATCGGTACAGAATTCGTGATCCATGTTCCAGATGAATACGATTACAGATATAGCAGTTATGACAAGTAAGTGTTTTACCGAGATCTCTTTTTAGACGCAATAAAATCGTGTCCAAGATCTTAGAAGGCTATTGTCTATGCACCAAAGCCAAACTAGCAATGTATTGCCATCATATATAATGTGTTTAGTTATTTCAAAGAGGATGTGTCATTGTACAATTATGCCACTACCAAAAGTGATAAGAAGAAGCATGTCTCTAAGATCCCCTCTGAATAACCCTAATATATGGACAATGAGATTTTTGCCTAAATCTTAGAGGGAGAGACAAAAGAAAAAGATGATGCCAGAAAGAAAACGCAAACCTTATGGGCAAGGGAGAAAGGTAAGGAGGTTACATTGGATGACTTCTCAATCCTGAAAGTTTTGGGTAGAGGAGCATTTGGGCAAGTGATGTTGGTCGAGAAAAAAGACACTGGAGAATGGTTTGCTATGAAGACCATCCGGAAAGAAGATATCATAGAGAAGGACCAACTTGAACACACTAAAACAGAAAAAATGATATTGGAACACGTTAATCATCCATTTTTGGTCAATTTGGCTTATGCATTCCAAACTCCATAGAAATTGTTTTTCATTATGCAATTCATGAAAGGAGGGGAATTGTTTTAACATTTGAGAATGGCAAGAAAATTCGATGAAAGAAGAGCTAAATTTTATGTGGCTGAGTTATTGTTAGGATTAGGACATCTACATAGCAAAGATATTGTTTATCGTGATCTTAAATTAGAAAACATCTTAATGGATGACGTAGGCAATGTATTCTTGACTGATTTTGGAATGGCTAAAATTGTACGTAAAAACGAATTGGCTATGACCTTTTGTGGAACTCCTGAATATCTTTGTCCAGAAGTCATTCTAGGATATGGGTGCGATAAAACAGCCGATTGGTGGAGTTTAGGCATCCTTACTTATGAAATGATGTATGGTTTGCCTCCCTTTTACAATAAAAATTAAACCATTATGTTTAAATTGATCAAGGAGGCTGAACTAAGATTCCCTGAAAGACCAGAAGTCAGTAAAGAAGCTAAAGATTTCATTTCAAGAGTAAATATATATAAACTATATAACAAAAGTTACTTGTTAGAGATCGATTTTCAAGACTAGGAGCTAAAGGCGATTTCTAAGAGTTGATCGCACATCCTTGGTTCAAAGACATCAATTGGGAATAGTTGATCCAAAAAAAAGTACCCACTCCTTACAAACCAAGAGTTTAGGGAGAGTAGTGGTTGGATGGCTTCGATAAAGATTTCACTAGTGAAGGTATTGTCCTCCATCATCTTATGTAGATCCAAACAAGGTCATTGATGACGATCACTCAAAACCTTAAAAAGATTACGATTAACAATTCAAAGATTTCTGAAATATATTCACATATGGATTAAATCATTTATTAATTCCCTTATTAAATTAATAATTAAAGTGAATAGAGAAATGACTCGGAAAACATCCAAAATATAAATAAATATAAATATAATCACAAAAAAGCTTAGATTACCTAATAGTATAATTATTGAAATATACAGTTCCTGAACTTATAGAATAATTTCCTAATTAATTCTAATCTATCAACTCTCTTCCATTTAAAAATAATCTGCAAGCTTTCTCTTTTGTAACCTCCAATATCATTTGCTTGATCTGCTGTATCGTACTTGTATTCTAAGTAGAAATCTCGTAATCCTAAGGCAGCTTGCTACTGCGCACTCTCACCTAAATAGCTTTCTTAATTACTTTTAAGATGGAGGTTTCGAAATTCAATTCGAAATTTTAATTGCTGTAAAAAGTTGGCTCATTAATTACGAATATTGGGACTTGATATATTTGCTCTTATTTAAATAGCAATTATACTATCTCGAACCAACAACTAAATGGAATTCCTAATCAACTTGAAATTGGCCTAACTAAGAATTTGAAGAGCCACGGCTATAAGGTGGTATGAATAAATCTATTACATTCATCCTTTTAAGAAAGGGCCTTCCTTATTAGTTGCCATTCAGAACTATCCTTATGACTATCTTGATATAAATTGTAACTCTACCCCAAAACTAATTTTGCATCATGTCCCACTCAATTCTCGATAAACTAGTCGAATATTGATTAGTTTATTTGATTCCTGCTCCAACCGACTTATTTGGAATGAGTGTAAAATTATTTGCATATCTGTGATTTACATTCCCTGGATTATTAATATCTAATAATTGAGTGATTTGCTATTGTGCCATTCTCAAAACATACCTCTTCCTTCTAATTCTAGTTTTAACTCTTATTGGAACATGCCCCCATTTTAATTATATTTATACATATAATAAATATGTTATTTTCAAAAGCTTACTTCTTCAACATCATCTTCCAAATTGTCCATATCTTACTCTTCCTCCTCTTCCTCATCTTCCTCATCCTCACATCCACTTCTATTATCTATACCGTCCATATCTATGTCTTCATTCATCTGCTATTTATTAAATCCTCCTTGTTATTATCTCATAAATTCATTGTTTCGTTTCTCTTGATTACTTGATCGTAACCTAGAGTCTCCTCCTAATTACCCTAACTAATCCTAGTTTTCTTCTTCATCTTCCCCTTTCAAGTCAGTTTCTATATCTTTTTAAATTTAAGTTTAGAAACCCACTAATTATTGCTGCGCCTTCTTTTATTTTATTTCTTCTTATCTATTTAGAGCATCCAAAACATGTTCTAAATAAACAAGATTTCTGAATTTCTCAACATAAATCTAATTGATCCATATTAAATTTACCTAATATAGCTTTTCCAACTCATATTCCTATCTATCGTATTCTTCTTAATAAGCGGGCTTCACACTAGTCATCCCCTTCAATCTCTTCTCTGCCTATTCCAATTCTTTTGTCTTTCTCTTGATTTTTTCATCAATTTGCTTCTGCTCTCTCTCCAAGCCACTTACATATTTAGACATCTCCTCAATGCTTGAATCTTGTTGTTTCAATATAGATTAAATGCACAATTAAATATAAGACTGCTCTGATTGGGAACTACCACCTCTAGAGACAGTTTATAAGAACTATAATGCTTTTTCCTATGTATAGAATTCGAATTAATACTCTAGCAACTCTCACTTCATCCTCCTTCCCCAATTAGTCGTATAACCTAGTGGCCAAATCATTAATTTCTTATGCCAACACCTTATGACTCTTGATATTGCTTAATTTAGAAGGGAGGGACTTGGATAAATCAAATCAAAATGTTTACGAAATCATGCACTTCATCCTCTTCTGCCGGCTAGGACACTTACGCCTTATATAAAAATGTTGAAATTTTCAATATTTCTTGAACTGCATACACATCTGCCATATATAACCTCTTTGGATTTATCTTGAGCCTGGCTTTACTTACGAAAAGAGTAGTAATCTGTTTGATGAATTCAACTCGATGACGCTATTTGTTAATTCGCGTTTGTATACTTCCTCATCGATGTTGTCTGAGATGTCTGTATTAGGATCATATTTCAAGGCTAACCAATATAAGATATCAGCAACTAATTCAAAATTAGGCCTTCTAAAGTTCTCCATCGAGATGATTCGGTGATACCCCAAAGCCCTCATTTATTCGCAGAAGTTACGTAGTTCTCGGTATGACATTTATTGATATTAATATTTGAAATTATAGCATTCTTAAGCTTAAGTATCACTTTCTATGATGAGAATGATGTTTGTGATGTTTTTTGTGTTTCTTGTGGCTTCTACTCCTACTTCTGCTTCTCGACCTTTTCTGCTCTCCCTCCTCCTTTTATTCTTAATCCTACACCTATTCCTTTTCTTAATTCTACTGCTCTGCAACTTGTCCTTGTTCCTAATTCTGCAATTCCTCCTCCAACACACTCTTCCTTGGCTCCAATTACCCTAATTCTTCTAAAATCCACCTTTTCTGAAATCTGGGCAAGGATATTCCAAAAATAATTTCCTCATTTAAAAGCTTCTCAGCCAATTCATCCATATGCCAAATTGCAAACGTACCATCTAAATTTCTAATTCTGATTTTTCGAAAATCTGCATAAAATTATTCTATAGCAGGGTATGCTTCCTTTGGTTTTGAAGTAAATCTGACATAAAACATGGCCAAAGCACTTATGTATTTGTAATCTTTGCTTTTAAGAAATTCAATGATAATTTCTTTTTCTGGATTGATTTACAATAGCTTCATCAATAGACAAAGGAATGGCAAAGGCTTTCCAGTACCGGAGTAAGTAGCACCTTTAAATGTACAATTACTATATTTACCTACGCAATCCAATTTACATGCCTTATCAACTAATGTTACTGCTGTTAAACCAAAGCAATCTTCTTTCCAATATCTACAATTGAACACCTTATTCCTAATGATTTAATCAATGAGAGTCATTTATCTACCATCATTTGCCAGATGCTATTTCTCTTATTATTCGTCGTCCATTATTAAATAAAAAATGTAATTTTATTTCAATATTCTTGTATAATAAGATGAATTGTCGTATTAAAAATAAAAACCAAATTGAAATTATAATTGTGTATTAGTTTTTCATAAAAGCTCACTCTTTTATTATTGATCCTTTTTTAAATTAAATAGACAATATTAAAGAAATTGTCAACTCCATTTTATATTTCAAATTAATATTATTATTTTTAATGAGTTATTCATAATTCGAAATTTTATTCATTCGATAGTGGATCTATTTATTTAAGTAATCAACATTAAGCAAGTAAAATGAATCAATATTATTAATTAATTAATCAAAAGAAATGATGAATCTTATTTTGATATCGATATTCATTTTGATTATTATTATTATTAGATAAGATCATATTGAATGATTTGTCAAATGAATAGTGGAAAATTTTGGAATAACTAAAATATTCCTGAATTTGATCATAATGAGATGAAGAAAGGTTTAATCTCAAATTTCTATAAATTTGGCAAACGATTGGGCCAGAAATGTTTACGCAAGTACATCCTAATTCGACAATACTTGTTATATTCAAATATTGGGAATTACTAGCACATCAAAGGTAGTGTTAGATTGGATGGAGTCTATGCATCATTTTAACTCTCTAATACAGAATCTCAAATATATCTAAAAAAGAATGGACTTCAAATTGTGTTATACACCGATGATGCAAATCAATTTGAGACATGGGCCAAACTTCTATCAAATCGCTGCATACTTACAACATTTCATGAGGATATTACATTGGGGAATCTGATCGGAAATGGGAGCTTCTCAACAGTATTTTTGTATTCTTATAAGGTCTATGAAGGCAGAAACAAAGAAGGAGATCTATTCGCAATTAAGGCAATACCTAAGAAGAAATCAAAATCATTCGCAATTAATTAGTAATACGAAGAGCAGTTGCTAAGCGAGATTTCAAGTTTAAGAGAAATAGACCATGCAAGCATTTTAAAGCTGCATCGGGTTTATGAAACAGCTGAAAAATTATATTTAGTTACTGAATTTATTTAGGGCTATGAATTAATCTCAAAAGCTACCAGCAAACTTGTCTTTTAAGGAAGTGAACTGAAATGCTTCATTCATCAAATGCTATTGGCAATCAAAGAGATACATCAACATAACATCATGCATAGAGACATTAAGCCATAAAATATCCTATTAAAAAATGGCCAGCTATCTTAACCAATTCTTATCGACTTTGGACTGGCTGTTAGTACTGAAAAAAAGGAATTGCCATTTCCATCTTGTGGATCTCCTGGGTATAATTCAGTTTTATTTTTTAGCTATTCAGCTCCGGAAATAATAAGATTTGATGAAACCAAAAAATAATACAGTGGAAAGTGTGACATCTTCAGTTTTGGTATCACCCTTTTTGTTATGTATTTCCATTCAATAATTTTAGACTCTATGGATACAACCCATTCAAGACTCAAGATTAGAAGTAAACACTCAAGAGGAATGCTGATGCCTATTTTGAATTCCCTAATTCTAATTACCCTTAGGAATGTAAATACTTTAATCAATCTATAAACAGTAGAGCATTTGATCTTATTAATGACTAAAAAATATCCGAAAGATAGAATCACTCCTGCATAAGCTCTTACTCATCCGTTTTTTCAGACCTAGCTCTATTAAACTATACAATTACCTAAAGCCATCCTTTCTAAATAGCAATATGAAATGAGCTAGAACTATAATAAGATAAATGTTCATGCGAGTTTGGAGATGGACAGAGACCTTGGTTTGAATTATGGCATTCATCTATTTAGTTCATCTCCTTAAAATCTTAAAAAACTTACTTAAGTTGGTAATTCTAATCATTTAAAATAAATTGATGAATTTAAATTAGACTATATAGTAGACTCTGTTGATCTAACTCATATAGAGAAATTAAAAATGGGTCAAAGTTATTTTTCTAATTAGAAGTTAAAAATAAGCATTTAAATTTGATAAAACTTAAGTATTTGTTAACTTCATAATACTATAAATAAAACATATAATTATTTATATTTATAAATGGGTTAAAAAAAGGATCTACTTTAAATTAATGTCATAAATTTAAAAACAAAAAAAATATAGTTACCTTAACTTAATGATAATGGCAAATAAAGATGTGTTATTTTACTTGTCATAAGATAAATGATTTCTTTTTGTGATTATTTTATTTACAAGACTAGAATTTTATTAATCAATAATAATTAATAATTATTAATTTTATTGACTGTTAATTTCTCAAAGATAAACATCAATAATTAATATTCTTAGATGATTATACCAATCTTGACTATGCAATTAAACACCAGAACTAAAAACTGAGATGATGTGAAATAATAATTAATCTTTCTTACAAAATCACACATTCTTAAATATTGAGTTGGAAATAATAGGATATCAATATAAGTTGAAATATAATGTTAATACTATAAACACAAGAGTTTTTTGTTGAAACAATTATATTAGTTAATAAATATATTGTATTTTAATTCGATAAGTATATATTTTTAAAATTCTAAAAACATGTTACTTTTGAAGTATCAGGAGATTATCAAAAAACAATGTGTTCATAAAATGAATATTCTCATAGAAATATTGTTTGAATATAAGTATATTCATCTTATGACGCTTTGTTAACAACTTGAAAATTTGAAATCTTTGAATTATGATCCAGTCATTCTTGGTCAAGGGATGTTACTTTTAAATTGTATATAGATTATCAACTTACTTTGGTATTTAAAATTTAATCATAAACAAAAATTAATATTCAATTCAGATGTCATATATCAATAAATTACTTGTTGCTAATAGAGGAGAGATTGCTTGTAGAGTAATGAGGACAGCCAAGAAAATGGGTATAAAAACTGTTGCGGTGTATAGTGATATTGATAAAAACACTTTGTTTGTTGAGATGGCTGATGAAGCTTATAATATAGGTCCTCCTTAAGCTTGTAACAATTGGTTAATATATGTTAGTGCAATCATATTTAAGAAGTGACAAAATTATTGACGTTGCCTTAAGCACAAAGAGTCAAGCTATTCATCCAGGATTTGGATTTCTTTCAGAGAATGCACAATTTTCTGAAGATTGTCAAAAAAATGATCTTGTATAAATTGCTTTAAATTTTAAAGATATTTGTAGGACCCAGTGCTGATGCTATCAGAAAAATGGGATCCAAAAGCGAGTCAAAAATAATCATGACAGATGCAAAAGTTCCAGTTGTTCCAGGATATCATGGTGAAACCTAGGATCCCAATTTGTATTTATGATTCTAAAGAGATTAGTCTTCTTCAGGAGGCTGAGAAAATAGGGTTCCCAGTTTTGATAAAAGCTGTTATGGGTGGAGGAGGAAAAGGAATGAGAATTGTTAGATAGAAGTCTGAATTCTTGGAGGCGTTGGAAGGAGCAAAAAGAGAAGCCTTGAAGAGTTTCAAAGATGAAAGAGTGCTTGTTGAAAAGTACATTGAAAAGCCTAGACACATCGAAGTGCAGATCTTTGGTGATAAGCATAACAATTATGTTCATTTATTTGAAAGGGATTGCTCAATATAAAGAAGACATTAAAAGGTTATAGAAGAAGCACCTTCTGCCTTGGATGAGTATATAAGATATGATATTGGTGAAGTATGATTTAATCCATAAATTAGAAAGCCAAAGCAGCTGCCAGAGCAGTTAAATACTCAAATGCAGGAACTGTAGAGTTTATATTTGATTTGGATTCAAGTAAATTCTACTTTATGGAAATGAACACAAGACTGTAAGTTGAACATCCAATTACAGAAATGATTACTGGGGTTGATCTAGTTGAATGGTAACTTAGAGTCGCAAGTGGAGAATAACTACCCTTAACTCAAGAATAAATTAAAAGAAAAGGTCATTCCATTGAAGCTCGTATCTATTCAGAGAGTCCAAACAACAACTTTTTACCAGGAAGTGGCAAACTTGATCATTATTCAGAACCAAAAGCATCCCAATCTGTTAGAATTGAGACTGGGGTAAGAGAAGGGGATACCATTTCAATCTTCTATGATCCCATGATTGCTAAATTGGTTGTCTATGGAGAAAATAGGCAATTGGCCATCTAAACTCTGTTAAATGCCTTGTAAAATTATTAAGTAATGTTTACCATTATATAATCAGATTCATGGCCTACCTAATAACATTTCATTTTTAAAAACTGTTCTTTAGCATCCAGAATATGTAAATCAGTAATATGATACCTCCTTCATTGCTAAAAACCAAGCTACTTTATTAAAATTAAAAGACCATTACAATCCTATCGATATTGCTCTAGCAATTGCTGGTAGACATTTCCTAAATTCAGTTCAGTTACCTAAATCACTATTAAATTTTAGAAATGGCGCTCAAATTCATAATAAATTATCATTGCATATTTAAAGTGCTTCTTATGCACATTAAAAGGAGATTAAGATAACTCATAACATCAATGGGAACACTCATGAATTAGAAATTAAAGGATAAAAGATTGTAGTGAATAAAGTAACCAAAAGTAAAGAACATAATAATTTATTAATTTTTGAAACCAATAAAGGCATATTTATTAGAACAATAAGAAATAACGAAAACGTATTAATTTTTGATGGCGAAGGTGATCCTATCACCATTACCGTTTCTTCTGATGAAGTTACGAAGGTCAAATCGGATCAACATGGACATGGTAATAATAAAGAAATTGTTGCTCCTATGCCTTGCACTTTGACCAAGGTTAATGTAAAGGTTGGATAAAAAGTAAAAAGAGGTATAACATTAATAATTATTAAAGGTGATATCTTAATTATCATGGAAGCTATGAAGATGGAACATACAATCAAAGCTGCCATCGATGGTGAAGTTAAAGAGATAAGATATAAGGAAGGTTAATTTATAGAGCCAGGAGCCATGATTGTTAAATTAGAATGATATAGAATTTATAAAGCTATATTGAATATTCTATAAAATTGATTCAAACATTAATGTGAACTCTTCTATAATAATCTTTTGAAACATATAATTATTTCTATTATTTTCCCCTAATTACTAACACTTTAATAATACTGTTTTATTCAGATTTATCTCAGTAAATTAAATTCTAAAATATATAAAAAGGGTTATTCTTAATTATAGAGTTAAAATTTAGTCAAATTTCATATGTTTCATATTATTTATACCTATCCTAATATTAAGGCTGATCATAAATATATATTATTCACAAAGAGATTTGTTATTATTTTTAACAGAAACAACAATTGGATAATTATGAAAATGTTTACTACGCATTCTTATCTAAACTTTACTGATACGTCAATATACATAAATTATAGAACGATGAAATTATATATTATGATTTAAAAATAAAAGTATATGAAACACATTCAAAGTGAATGATACATAGAAAAATCTTTAATAACTAAAAATATGTAAAATATTTTATCAAATGTAGATTGAATATCTTGCTTTAGTACAATAGAATTCTTAATTATATTAAATAAGGGTTTACAAATCTATCCAAAATCATCATATCATATCTACTCTTTTGATTTTCTAAGAATATATATAATATCTTATGAAAAATCATTCTTTTTACTTCATTATAAGAACAAGGTCATGCAATATATCTTTTGAAAAAGATTATGCTTGTTCAAGTACTTTATATAAAAGTAGATTCGTATTTTAGACATTTTTAACTTTTTATTAAACTATTTATATAATGCAAACAAGTTCAATTTTAGATTGATTCTAAATATAATCTTTGCAATGAATAAGTTTAAGTTAACCTATTATAATTATAAAAGAATCTGAACTATTAATAGTCTTAGACCTTCAATTTAATAACATATATCTAATTTCCTCGCTTATGAGTTCTTAAATAATACAGCTTTTCTACTCAATGAATTATTAATACAGAAGTGCCAAGGTAAACTTAAATTCATAAATGAAGTAAACAATTAACTTTATTCTATTAGAGATAAGTATTAAATAGATATTATTTTATTAACATTATAGCTAGGTTAAAAGATTATAAATAAGGATAATTAGAAAATCTTAAGAATGAATCTTGTGTGTAATATATATTTATTAATAAATTTTATCAAATTCGTTAAAAAACACTATTATCTAATCTTTTTAATTAATTTTTTTATTTGTTTAATGAGAAGTGCCCACCAATTAATAACTCAATTTGAACTTAATGGTTTCACTCTGCCTTAAATGGAAAAGAACATGTGTATAGCCTTTCTAAAGGATCTCCTCTAATAAAATCCTATTGATATGGATTTCATACTAGCAAATACATCACCATCGAAATCATAGAGAGGATTACTAACATCTAAATCAAATATCCTCCATCTCTTAAATGAAGATAAGGATCCTTCTATAATCAAACCTATATTCGATTATAGTCAACTTGAAAATGTAATACCCAAGAAAAATAGAAACAAAATCAATGAAATAAAAACAAAAGTTGAGACACTGCTTAATAGCAATAACATTGATCCTCCCTTAACTATAAAAAAGAGGTATTTTATTCACTATTTATAATAGATGGTGGACTGAAGAAGAAGATCAATAACTTAAAGAATTAGTAACATAACATGGAGCAAAGAATTGGAAAAAAATAGCATCTTATTTTGAAGAAAGAACAGATGTGCAATGTTTACATAGATGGCAAAAAGTGTTAAATCCTGATTTAGTTAAAGGACCTTGGACTTAAGAAGAAGATGAATTATTAATAAAATTAGTAACAAATTGTGGTCCTAAAAATTGGAGTTAAATTGCAAAGCATTTGCCAGGTAGAATTGGAAAATAATGTAGAGAGAGGTATTCATTTATTTATGATTTAGATTTCACAATCACTTAGATCCTAAAATTAATAAAGAAAGATGGACAGATGAAGAAGACTAAACAATAATTGAAGCACATAAAAAATTAGGCAATAGATGGTCATTAATTGCTGGACTCTTAAAAGGTAGGACTGACAATTCCATTAAAAATCATTGGAACAGCACTTTAAAAAGAAGATTGAAAATGTAAAATAGATGGGAAGATCTTTAAGTGCTTCCAAGACAAGATGAGACCTTAGTTAAAGGAGTGCCTAGAAGATAAGTATAAAGGAGAATCATGTATTATAAAACACCTGAGAAATTAATAAAGAGAGATCCAGTGTCCAGATAATTAAATTTCTAAACTCCATACTCCAATACTACTCCAAGTAAAAAATAAGTTAAATTTTAGAATCTGAATAAACACCCAAAAATTTGAGCATCGTTTATCCAAATTTATTAGTCAAAGATGCTTAAATGATGTAAGATACTATATTATAAATTAATAGAGATTCTTGTTAAGTATTATTCAAATAATTGAGTGAATTAACTAATATGGATCTTGATTTCAATAAATAATATAGTTACAAATGATATATTTTATAATCACATATATATTCTCCTTAGTATATTCATGAAAATGCTATTTAAAATTTAGAAAAATAATTACAGTTATTTTAGATATAATTATAGTTTTTCATAACAACTCAAAAAGTTACTCTTTAAACCAACTAATATATTTCTTAGATAAATAAATTATACTAATAAAGACATTCTGAGGCCATGATGCCTAAATTAAACAAGAGTGTATATTATTGAAAAAACAACCATAATATGGGAATCAATTATCGAAATAAGATTGCCTTCAAGAAATAGAACTAAAAATCAAGTTCAACATAAGGATTCAAATGGAGAAGATACATATAAATTGATTTTCTTAAAGAAAATTCAAAAAATTAGCTTACACTATCCCAAGCACAATTTGGTGTTATTTATAGCTAATCCAGGGATATTGAATGGGAATTTAAGACGCAATAACTGTCCTTTACCTTAGTTAAGAAAAGTAAAGTTATAAAATAATTATTTTTATTATGCATTTCAGTTTATTTGCTTGTTTTTTTTCACTATTAATCTATTTCAATTCTGAATATTAGTAATAAAATATTCATGTTTTCAAACACAGCCAAGGATTCAATTTTCTAAGATGAAATAGTTTCCTAGGAGAATATCTCATCTCCTCAATCAATTGAGATGGAACCATTTTCAGATTTTGAATCAAATTATCACTGTACTAATTTTTTTTAATTTAACCCAATAGTGTCATTCAATACCAAAGAATGTCTGTAATTTTAAGATACAGAAGATCCAGAAATGATCTATAAAATTAAAGAGGATGACACATCCATTTAAGAAGAGCAAAATAAAAGAAAATAAAAAATTTGGAATGATGAAGAGGATTAGAGACTCAGATATTTATTTGTGCAATGCCAAGGAAAATGGAATGAAATCGCAAAACACATGCCTCAAAGGAATGCTTCTTAATGTCAACAAAGATGGAGAAGAATTAATCCACCCAAAGATGTATTTTTATTAAATTATTTAATTAATAGACAAGACATATCTGGACGCAGGAGGAAGATAATAAATTAACTTAGTTGGTTTAAGATATAGGAAAGTAATGGATGAAGATTGCAAAATGTAGTTTTATTATCTAATTTAGGTTTCGGCAACATCACGGGCAAATAAGCTAGAGATAGATATATAAACAAATTGGATTAATCTATAAAGAAATAGCCTTGGACTTACGAGGAGGATATGTTCATTTTGGATTAGTACATTATCAATGGCCCTAGATGGACGAAAATTTCGAATCATCTAAATGGAAGACCTGTAATTTAATGTTTTCTATTTTTATAGGAGAATCATGTTAAGAATAGATTTTATAGCTTCATAAAAAGGAAATACTTGGGAGAATAGAATAGATATCAAATAATATATTCTTGAATTGCTTCTCATTTTCTCATCTCAAAAGAATGAGAAGCTCAATCATTTATTGAGTTATATATATATATACATCGCGTTATAAAGTATAAATGCATAACACAATTTCAATTTATCCCAGCTTTGTTCAAGTTTGAATAATTGAATTCGCTATCAAGTCTAATTTATTTATTCAGTTTTTTCAAGAATTATAAATACTAAATAATCACTAATATTAACAGCTATATAAATTTAATTATTAATATTATTAAGAAACATTATTTATATCATAAATCATCATCATCTGGAGCTGGTTTGTTCATATTGATATCAACTTTGCCATCATCTCCCATTTTTACTTTCTTTCCATTAATAGTGACATAATCATCATTTTGTTTTCTCTATCCTTTTTCAATGTCTTTACATGACTAATTAAAGGTAGTAATAAATAGATTACATTAGTTAATTTGTAGCAAATTTCATCTTCAATTGTATCATTTCCTTTTCTGTTCATTAATGCTTCAGTGACTTCCTCTGACCATCCAGACATAAATGCTTCACATCCCTTTTTCATATCGGGGGGAGGATATTCATAAACACTGAAATTTTTCATTTGGCACATCTCAGATAGAGCATCAGTAATATCGGATTCCCTGGTTGATGTTTTAACTTTCTTTAATGTTTCTCGAACGATTGCTTAGCAACTATTGCAATAAAGTAAAGCTTCAACAGTTGTTGGTCTTCTGTCGTCAGTCTTTTTCTTTTTTTTAGCTGCCTCTAAGAGGAAAATCAATGTCACAAAAACGAAAAGAATTTTCATTTTAATTAATAATACGTGTACTTTAAAATATTATTCTTCTATTCAAAATTTATATAAATTCATGTTTTATAAATATTAAAATCTAAAAGAGAATACTTATAGATGCTAATATGAAATTAATTACCATTTTTACCTCATAATTTGTTATTCATATGAAAACCGCCTTTTAGACTTCAATGATTATCTTTCCTTTTTTATCCTTTGATTGAGAATTATATGGGAATATTTAGTTGTCTAGAAATGATAAAAATTCATCTTATTTTTAAATTAAAACTATAGAAATCATATAATGTTAAATAGCAAATATTTATATAGGAATTTTACAATTTTGCCAAAATTCTATTATATTTATGATTTTATTTAGACTATGCAACTGCTTAGAATGTTCAATTCTATGAAGATCAGCTGTTTACTAATTATTTGGAAAATTAATAAGCAAAATCCAATATAAAGTCCATTTTAGCTTATAATATGCAAATACACTATTTTGAATTCAAATTATAATGCGCCTTATTATTCTTAATCATAAGTGTATTTTTGAATCATAAATTGACATTCTAATAGCGAAAGGTAATAAGATATAAATATAACATTTAAATAAAGTTTTATGGGACCTATAAAGAAATTACAAGCATTCGTTTGTGCTCAGACATTCTGGCCATAATTTATGGTGAGATGGTTTTAAGCAGAGAAAGGGCCATTCACAATATTTTTCTATTGTCCTTTGGCAAAATGCGGGATATCAGTGGCTAACATATACGATATCATTAAGAAGCCTGTAGATACAATAAATCCAGTTCAATAGACTGTGATCGCAATGTCAGGAACTCTCTTTGCAAGGTTAGACGTAATCTGTAAAATAGATGGTGCTGGATTCTCAAGCCTCGATAGTTTATGCTTGTATTTGCAAACTCAGTAATGGCATCAACAGGGATCATTTAGTTGTGGAGAAAATTGTAAGTATTTTGAAAGATTAGTTTTAGTCAATCAGGGTAATCAGTGTGAAATATAGAATATGTATCAATATAAATTATAAATATGAAGTATTACCTATAGATAGGACTGTCAAGCACCAGTTTTGATACTTGACAGGATTTTAGAAAGAATACTATTTTTAGATTCTAATTCTTTAAAAATAAATTATTTTTTTGAGTAGAATAATATCGAATATTCTGATATCCTTATATATCTACTTAAATTGGATCTATTCTTGGAGAGTTTCTAGAGTAGAAGGAATTTAGAGTGAAACAAATTGTAATTAGAATAAATTGATATTCATTTATTTACATTTTTCTTTCTTTCATCCAATAGTAATTTAATTTGTTATACAACTTTTCCTTGGGCCCCAGCAACAATATTAACTGCTTTCTTTGGTAACATTCCTTTCGGATCAGCCCATGTAACAAAAATACAAAATGTACCCTAATTAAATTTATTAATTTATAAATAATACTCCTTCTCTTTTTTCAAGAATCCATCCCCCAATTTTCAGATCTCCTCTTACAACACCTTTAACAGGTGGATGATTGGGATGTTCCAATGATTTCCCAATAGCATATGTGAAATCACCTTCAACAATTTTTCTGGATATAACAACAAAGTCTCTTGAGCTGATGACAAAAAACATGGATTTAAACTTTTAATAGAATAGCATTAATTCATCAGAGAATCTCCTAATGATTTGACCCTAGTTTTTTAAGAATTTGATTTACAGATTCGCAGATTCCGTCATACTTGGGTCTGATTGGTATGTCTTCGATGATCGCAAATATTTCATCTACAGTATATGGTAAAAAGCCTTCTCCTCGTGTCAAACATAAACCAGTTTCTGGATCTGGACGTATGTGAATCTTAAATCCACCTTCCTCTGAAAATAGTTACCATTGGTTTTCTTAAGTCAAAGGAGCAATTTTTTTCAAGAATTAATACCCCTCTAATATGAGTAAACACAAAAACCTTGTCCAATCTGCATATAAGCTTCAATATCATAAATTTCTGATTAAATCATAAATTAATATTCTTATATAAATGAAAATGTCACTCTTACTAACCGGTTCTTCTTATTTAGGATTAAGATCCAGTTGTCCCTCCTGTAACAGATACGGTGTTACCTGTTCTTGAAGTGACTGTTCTCGAGGTCACGACGACTTCCTAGAATATAACGATTTATAACTTTCTTCTATTAACTCTTTTTGAGGGATTCCAATTCAGCTTAACACATAGTCAACTCTTCTTAACATTTGTTGTATTCATGATTAGTTTTAATGAACTTTTATTTCCAGACTTCAACTTCCTATGACAAATATGTCACTTTCTCTTAAATCACAGTAGTTCCTTGTGATTCTAATTGAGTGTATCTATATTTCCAATCTTCAAGTTCTGAATCCTTACTTTACAATTATGCTTATAATCTATCCAATTCGACTGTAACCATGGCCAATTTATTCTAATTATGACTATCATTACGTATTACCTCTAAATCTCTCAATTGCATAATGAGTTCATTGTTTTTGCTGTAGGATTCCTATTCTATAGTGGTGTACTTGTTCTTCCAATTCAAAATGTCTTGGTTGGCTTATTGCAGTAATCTTTCTAATCTGGAGATTTCATCTCTGGCCAATCTCAACTAATTGTCTAGGTCCCTCAATTAACTTGTATCCTGAGCACTGGTCTGCAATTGGGACAATTACAATCTTAGTTGTTGGATCTCTGCATCTTTATTTTAAATTAATTGTTTTAATCTTTCATTGTCACTCTGCGATTGAGCATAAAGAAGTTCCAGATCAGCTAATTGTCTTCTTAGTCCTGCAATCTAGTCTTCTAATTGAGTTCTCAATGCAAAGAACTCAGCCTACATTGAATTTGCATCTGCAGCATTGGCACTGTGTAATGATATGTCTCCTCGTAAACTCTATATCTGAGATTCATAATTATTTCTCATCTACATCATTTAACTTTTAAGATTTTCATTCTCCTATCTCAAAGAGCGTAATTAGGATTCCAGTTACTCCACTCGAGTGTTGTCAGTCACCTTCTCCACTACTACCTTCTCAACTACCTTGCCTTCCTTTCTTCTTTCCAAATCAGCAATTATAGATTAAAGATATTCACATTCCAATCTCCAAGGAGTCTCTATCTCTTCCTTTGATACAACTACTAAGTTCATGCACAGGGGAGGTGCTTATTAGCAATTTTGTTGTACACTATAGGTGCCGGGATATGACACCTATGGTATTTACATGTTCTGTCTTAAAACATTTTGGCTTTAAATCCTTGGGGGTGGCAATTATTATATTTGTTTCAATGGTGCTTCGTTTTAGGTTTATATTAGTGTTTTTTGTTATGAAATTTCAATCACTGGTTGCTATATATATTAATAGATATCAATTACTTAGGTAATTATTTATTTAGTTTCTGAATTAACTAATCTCATACTCTAAGGACCTTCATTCAATAACTGTACTTTCTAATTATCACTTTTGAAGATTTCTTAACTCATCTTAAATTTTATTGCAGATTAATTAAATAAAATTCAAGTAACTAGTTGAGGTAAAATATCTTGGAGAAAACAGTATATTAGCATTTAATTATTATATTCTTAATATCAAAGGAATAGTTTCAGTATAAGTATCAGTATAATTTATATCTCGATAGTATACATCATTATAAACATTAAACGTGGTTGGAATTATTAAAATTATATTTCTAAAAATAATTATATACTTGTATCAAGTATTGTCCTTCGAACTACAGAAATTAAATGGAGAATTCTAATTTACAAAAGGTAAAGTACTTCAAAATTTTGTTGAAATATTAATTTAATTGATTAATCAATCTTACAAGTTGAATTTATGCTCTGATTAATTCAACTAGACTTTATTGTATAGAGTGCTATTGTAAATTAAAAATTTTCTAACTTGAATTTTGATTTTATATTTTTAGATCCATTTTTAACAATTTTGTTAAATAAGCCAAAGGAATTATCTACTTTCAGTCATACAGTTTGTGTAATTTCATTTATTTAGTATTTATACATCCTTTTAATAAGTAAATTAACAAAATAGTAGTAAATCTCAAATTTATTTTGAGCTGCTTTAATCAATCCCGAAGTTGGAGCAGCTTTAAATTATGTTTTATTAATTTAAGAGTATAATGACCAAAAAGATAGTAAATAGTAGGTGTAGTGCAAAGAAAATATAATGATTTTATCATTTTTCGGTGACTATGATCTGGAAAAAATGAATTTATTTCTGATTATTGTTTAGATTAAAATATAAAAGAGCTGTAATTGGTTATTATAATAGTAGTATATACAATTGAGAAAAATGATGAAACATTAGATATCAGAGTAACCAAGTTGTAAATCAGTATAAGGAAGTTGAGACTTAATTTAAACAATTAAAATAATTTAAGATTTCAATAGTTAAATCCATAATTTCCTCTTAGGTTAGATGTTATTCTTTAGATTAGAATTGTTCCTGATCTTTGTATATCATAGTTTTAAAATTACCCTTGTTATAATAAAAATTATATAATGGCTCTATCCTATTAGGAATATCTCAATCAGATTGTTTTAAAAATAGATATTAAATAAGATCACAATCACAATGAAAAAAGTTGAAACTTTATAATAAATCTTTCAATTACATTAAATATAAAATAATATAAAAATTATGTCATAAATGTTCTGAGCTACATAATATAAAATAAATAACGCAATTCACACTTTCGAGTCTTAATTCTTATGCTTTTATGGATTTATTTTGTGAATCATGGAACCTATAAATTTAATTATATTCCCTAGTGCCAAACTTTGAAATCTGCAAAGAACAACTATGAATAATCATTGATAAATATGGATTGTCATTATATAAGAATTCTTAATGAAATAATCCTAAGTTGCTAAGTAAAACAAGAGATATTGTTCTTTTGAATTGAAGTCATAGCAGTAAGATGATATGTTAATAATTAGAAAGAAAAGATAAGTTTGTCTTATTTTGAAAATTCTTGATTTCATTATTATGTTGGTAAATTGAAAATTAAATATATTATAATTTATTTACACAACAATATATATTATGAGTAATTAAATTATACATTTTCTTTTTGATGAAAGGAGTTGGGAATTAATCAACTGCAATTTATATTATATCATAAATGGACAGCCATCGAAAATTTTGTTGTAAAATACTTAGACTTGTTTTTAATAATTATATATTATTTTTAAATGAATAGAAGATTATCATCAGAACAAGACAATTTAAGAGTTAAGAGGGCGTTAATGAGATAGCAAATAAATCAATCCCATAGAGTTGACAGAGAATTTGAAATAGATGAGAGATTCCATTCAGTTTCCATGTATATAAAACATGATGAACTCGAAATCGATGATTGCGAATATTTTGATCAATAGACTTGGGAACGATTAGATAGATTTGATTAAGTAGTACCAAACTAAAGAAACAATTGTTCTTGGGTTACGTATGAGGATTTTTTGTATATCTTTGGTGGATTCACATTTAATGGGAGATTGGATGATGTTCATAGATATTCATTTGGTTCTAATTAGTGGCAACGTTTAAACACATCAGGTCAAAAGCCAAGTGCCAGAGAAAATAATGGGGCAATCTAATATAAGGGTCACATGTATGTGTTTGGTGGGTGTGATGGATTATTATGGTTGAATGATTTTTATTCTCTCAATCTTAAGACTCTTCAATGGAAAAAGATTGAACCTACTGGTTAGTGTCCTTCTGAAAGATTTGGCATAGCTTGTGGTGCTTATTAAACTAAAATGCTGATATTTGGAGGATGTGATGGAAGTCATTATCTAAATGATGCATATGTTTGGGATTTTGAGGAATAGGTGTGGAATAAATTGTAGTTGATAGGGGACATTCCCTCTGCTCGTTCTTGTCCTTCTTTTAGTACATTCAATAACTAAATATACATATTTGGTGGATTCGATGGGGTTAATAGATTGAATGACTTTTATAAAATAAATATCTTCACAGGAAAAGTCAAAAGAATAAGTCAACATGGTACAATTCCATGTCCTAGATATGTAATATAAGAATGTATTTTATTAGTTCCACACATCTGAAGTTTATCAAAATAAATTGTTGTTGTTTGGAGGATTCAATGGGTAGGCAAGATTGAATGATCTATATGAATTTGAATTTGGAAGTAAGACCTGGAAGAAATTAGAAGTACATGAGCCTCCAAAGGGAAGATCTTCTATGGTATTTTAATTATACAATGATTCTCTGTATGTCTTTGGTGGATATGATGGGGATGAGCTATTGAGTGATATATACAAATTAGAATTCAAGAATGCCTAGGTTCCTAGGTCCAGCTTCATATAGGATTTAAGATCTTTAATCAATAATCCTTAGATGAGTGATGTTGTATTCATTGTGGAGGATCATTAAATCTATGCCAATCGCTGCATTTTAGGAGCCAGGAGTGAGCATTTCTAGAATCTATTTTTTGAAGAATTCAGAGACAAAGAGCAAATCTACATAGAGATTACTGAATGTTGCCATCAGACTTTTATGGACATGTTACAATATATATATACTGATTAATTGGACTCTTGTTTAAACACAACCAGGTTGCTGAGTTTGATCATATTGTCTGATTAGTATCTAATGTAAAGGTTGAAATATCTGTGTGAAGAGTAACTAATACGAAAGATAAATTGCAATAATGTCATAGAGTTAATATTATTTTCAAAAAAGTATGTATTATATATAAATACATTTTAGATATAATTGTCGATTATTAAGAATTCAAACAATGAAATAGTTAGTGGATAATATCTCAACTATAAAGAGAAGAAAAGATTTTATAAAATTAGCATAAGAACCAGAAATACTTTTAGAGATAATATAAAAAAAATGTTGATATATTTTTATTTAATCACTATTACTTTCTCTGTATATATTCTTAATATATTTCTTCCATTCTATTTTGAGATGGGAAATATTGTTCATCCCTAGTAATGAAGCCAGCCCATAATCCAAGGGGAACTCCTATAATTCCTGATATTCTCGAAATAATTTGAAATGCTCTTGCCATATTTATATAATTATTAATTTATTGTGAGGATACATATTAATTCAAAAGGAATAAGAATACTATAATTTAATGGAGAATAGTTTAGAATATGAAATACAGAAAGAAGAGCCCGTTTTTAGTAATGCTTTATGCATGATGGGGTAGGTCCTAGGTGGAATTTAATACATTTTTTGATAAAGTGACAGATGGAGTGAAAATTTCATTATATTGCAGTCTATTGGTGTTAAAAAGAATAGAATTAGAGTTAAAACTCATGATGCCAAGAAATAATTGAGAATTAAGGGCTATCCAAATTATATATGAATTATAGGTCTAAGAAATTCAGCCTAATATAAACTTCAGTCACCAAGATTACATGAAATCAAAAAATGATAATAAAAATTGCGTAATAATGAAATTTATAAAGAAGACAAAATGGCTGATTAGTAAAAATTAATAATAACAAAATTAATCCTACTTATAAGGGAAATATAGAATAACAATTATGTAGATTACATCTCAAATAAACATAAGGAAAATCAATTAGATTCAGATAAGCCGGAATAGAAATTTTAATATTGGAAAGAATTTAAGTCTATTTTTATTGGATAATGGAAGTAATCGAATTAAATTAATCTGGCTTTCTGTAAAAATTCAGAAATTATGATGTGATATTTTCAATAACTCCTATTCGGTCTTTAGAATTTCTCCCTTTACATTTTCGATAAATTTCTTAAATATTTGACTAAACTTGGCTTTGAGTTTTTCTACATTCTCTTATAATTCCTGAGATTCCACCTTAACCTTCTACTCTTTTGTGATTGGTTTTCTGGTATGCCTGGAAATTCGTTTCAACTTTTTATTGGCTTTGTCAATTTTTTGTGTCTTTTTTTGAGATGGTGATGTTTGCTACTTTTGGAGTTTGGCATCATTTAAGGAGGCATAAGTCTCTTTGATTTGGGCCATGATCTTGTCATACTAAGGTGTGGTACATTAGCGATCTTGCTATTTACTATCTCTAAGAGAGATTGATCGGTGGGTTGGACTGACATTTTATTATTTTTGTTATTATTTTTTTGGTCGTCCTCGTTTTTTTTTTTGCATGTTTATTATTGTGATCCAATTTCATGCAGGATATCATTATATGAAAAATCACCCAAATAATTTGTTTATATATATGTGTGCTTATGTAATTACATTTCCTATTTGGAAAGGATAATAATGGTCAGCCTTTCGCGGTCATATCAGATTGTCTAATGAATAGGTGTTGATAGCAAGATTCAACGACACAGCCTCTATAGAACAGGAACTGAGATTTTTAGAATAGCATTAAAGAGTGAAATCTAAGATTGAAGGGAAGTTTGTTAAACCAGTTTACAATCTGCTTCCAATGATAGTTTAGGTAATAAGAACACCAACCTTTACGGATGTCTTATTCGATAATTGCGTAGATTGGTAACTGACAGGTGGAAACTTATAGCATCTTCTTAGAATATATTTTGCATATGACATATACAAAGGTTAGCCACCCAGGGATTGTACCCTTGAGAATATTATGCGCAATGGTGATTCCATAGTGGTATTAGACTTTGGGTTAAGAAAGAGGACAGAGAATTATTGTGCTTATTGGAACCCTATGATTCTGAAAGGCAAACAATGTCTATCATAATATTAATGGTCCTTAGGTATCATGTACTTAGTGATGACTAATGGATCATTTATAATAAACGAAATCAACAAACGCATTTCATTATGGGTGAATGGAGGAAAACTAGACCTTGTTTCATTAGTAACTACTAAAAAACAATCTATCATTTCTCTGTTATAACAACTTCTAAATCCTGAAAATCCCATTCCCTGGGACTAAATACCTCATCATTCAGCATTTAGAGATGATCCTAAATGCAAAACAATCCTAAAATTATATGAAGTTAGATCAATGTCAGATCTCAAAATCAGACCTGCTTCTCGACTTAGTAGTAAATAATCGAGCAGGAAAACTTAAAGAAATTCATTATTTGTACCTGAAAGTACATCTAATAGCAATCAATCTACTTCTAATTAATCTCTTCTCAGCAAAATTTCATCTTTGTATAAAAATAAATTTATTGAAGAATACAAGCAAAGATCCAATCCTTCGGTCAAAAATACTAAACCTATCAACAACTTCTTTTCAAATAGTAAAATGAAACTTAAATTTGCTACCAAACAATCAGATCATACTTTTCAATTAAGTTGCGATCTTCGAAGTCTTAGAACTGGATCCAATCTATCTGGTAACGGTCTAACTTAAAGAATTGATGATTCTGAAGATAAAAAACTTAATCGAAGACTCTCACAATAAGAAATCGAATGTGATAAAATGAGATCAAGAGTAAGTTCTATTAGAATGGCTATTAAACAATATAAGGCTCGAAGTTTGAGGCGTCTATCTCAAGACTCCAATTCACCTGCTTAACATTCTGATTAATTCGCTCAGCCAGACAATTACATCTAATTAATTAAAAGGCCTCAAGTCGAAATTGAGATTCTCACTTAAAATTATTTAAGATCACTGGAATGCATTAACATTATCGGTTAAACTGTTGCCAAAGCTATTGAGTTCTTGGATGCACTACAAAACTTTTGGATTATTCCCTTATTTCTGGTATTCAAAAGGATGCTTTAACTTAGATTAGATGTTGAAAAATTTCTTGAAGCCCAAATAAACTCATTCAATATAGCTCAATGGAAGGAAGTATGCAATTCCAGAGAATATCTGAAATTCTTAACTCGTATCAAATCTGATAATTGTCTAGTCAGAAATGAAATGATTCTTCTTATGAATGCTTCTCAGACCAAAGCTAACTAACTTGATAAAACTAAGAGAGAAAAAGTATTGTGGTTTCTTAATGACGATTTAGATTCAAATATTCAACCAATTTGTTTATCTTACTTGAAGGATTAATTACTTCTAGCTGTTGTTGAAAAAAGAGGAGTATCAAGAGAACCCATTGAATGGTTAAAACTCTAGCTCTCGTTAAAGGCTTCAATCATAATAACTCAACTACCTGTACTAGTATGTGAAAATAAAGAGTTTAGTTATGAACGATACATAGAATATCAGGATTCACAAAATTATGCTTAAATATAAAAATATTGCGAGCAACTAAAGATCATGATTTGATTTATATTTATTTTATTTAGATTCAGTTTTATTGTTATTCTAATGATTAATATGTATAATTAAGGATATCATGAGAAATAAATTTAGATTCTTGAGTTATACCTACTTTGGTACATATATAGTATAATATATAAACATATAAAATAGTTTTATAAATTTCAAAGTTTATATATAAGTGAATTACATTGATGTGATTGAAAGTGGAAATTTAAATTTCAAAGCTTGATTATATTAAAATTTCAGTCTTCAAATTAGAAAAATTAATAAGAATTTGCTAGATCATCTTGCATTTTAACTTGGTTTTGTTTTTACTTCTTTTAAATTTAATTATTATTATATGTTTACTATTAACCTTTAATAGTTTTATAACATTAATTTATAACTAATATTATTAAATATTTAATAAAATAATTCATTAGGAAGTTATTTAAGTTATATATTTTGCAGAATAAATTTAAACACATTTAATCTTTTAAAGTACATTGTAATAGATTATTGAATATTAACTCCTTACTTTTTCTATAATTTAATAATATTTTAATTTAATAATGATTGGGAAAAAAACATCATCTAACAGCGTAAATTTGGTTGATTTTATAAATCCAGCGTTATTGCATCCGCCCTCGAGAAAAATATAGCTTATAGAATAAACAAAGACAATTAAGTTACTAAAGAGTTATGCGAAGATTCCACAGATAGCCACAGATTTTCAATCCCAAATGATTGCGAATAATTAAAGGATTAAAAATGATTCCTTATATTCACTACCCTTTTAGTAATAATTTTTGGAGAAGGATAGGTAGATTACTAAAACCGAAAGAGAAACCTCCAATAAAACTAGATAAAATAATCCAATAAGCAGTTTACCACAAATACCTTTAGCAATTATCAATACTCAAGCTAAACTAATCGATTTAAGTCGAACCAATAATATGATACAATCACCTCAACACACAGATACAAAAAGATCACTGATTTCTCCAAAATTGAAATCAAATAGTAATATATCAAATAAAAATTATACTTGTAACTCTACTACCACAGGAAGTAGTAAGGATTCAAGTTCTTAAATAGCAAATACGCAACAATCCAATCTGACTAAAAATATTATGGATTCCTATTATGGTAAGGCGAGAAAAAGAAAATTAAATGTCACTGCAAAAAGTTTTATTGTCTACGATTGCATTGAACATAAAACAGTCTTGAAAAGAAAGAGCAATAAACGAGTTGAAGTAGCCAGCATAACTAAAATCATGACTTTTTATGTGACTTTGTTAACTGTTGAATTATTCAATCTTGATGTTAAATAGATAAAAGTTAAAGTGACAAAAAAATCATCTGAGACTATAGGCACAACTGCTGAATTAAAATATAATGATATTTTATCAATGGAGGATTTACTCTATGGATTAATGTTACCTTCAGGGAATGATGCTGCAGTTCTTATTGCCTAAGCCATTGGAACTATTATGTAAAAATAATATATCTATTGACTTGATTAGATTGTTTAACTAATAAAACAAGAGGCTGGATCTTAAATTAATAGATATCGAACAATTAAGTGCTGAAGGATATTATTATAATCATGAATTTAGATTCCAATATTGTCCTATTGAGGTTTTCATTAAACAAATGAATAAATATTCTTAGTAAATTGGATAATAGAACACTCAATTTGCATGTGTGCATGGATTGGCCAATGAAGATAATGTAAAAAAAGGATATAAATTAGTATTCTTGTTGCAACGATATCATCACTTTATCTATAGAATGTCTAAAGTATGAACTATTCTAGACTGTAATTTCATCCAAAGAATATGTGGCAAAATCACTTTATAAATAATATGAATGGAAAAACACAAACAAGTTATTAGATAAAGGGTTTTTTGGAATTAAAACTGGTATTACTGAATCTGCTGGTCCATGTTTAGCAAGTGCTTACCGTTCTAATGAAATGGATTATTATATAATTATTGTATTAAATTGTAAGCATATGAACATGAGATTTGATGATACCATTATTTTATTATAGCATGCAAAACTCAAAAAAATGATGACCTCAATTCCATACTGAACGTAATTACTTATATAGATGTTTGAATTTTATTTATTTTATTAATTAAATAGAAAATCTCATTATTTAGGAATCATTTATTATAAATAACTCAAAATCATTAAACCAATTTAAAAATCAGCTTAATAAGGTAAGTGCCTGTGAGGACTTTATTTATTTTTTCACTAACACAAAATACGTAATAATTAAGAAATAATATCCTTAAGCTTGATTCTAAGTGATCTTTATCTTATTGCCATTTTAAAATGCTTTAATATAGGCTCGACAAATTTTATGTTAACATAATTAAATGATATTCTCATTCTCTTTGATTTCTCTACAAAATTATTATCTGACCTTAAGATCTTAAATTTCAGATGAAATACAATATGAAAATACTCATAACTGTATTTATTTTGCAAATTGTTTTGGTTCCAAAATGTTATAGAGACTTTATAATTTATATAATTAAATAAAGTTGTTAAAAAAGAATATGAATCAAATTGAATGTGAGAAATGCTAAACTGTTCCTGAGAAATTCGTTTGCTTAGATTGTGAACATTCCTTTTGCCTATCGTGTTTAGCTAAATTGTTTAAATAAGTATTTAAACTGTATATTGTTTCGATAGCACGAAAGCTAAATTGAATGTGCAACATGTTTCGAAATAACACTACTAGATGATGAAACTATTAATGCTTTAATGGAAGCTAAATTACAATTAATTTAGCCTCCCTTTATCATGCCTTATACTACATCTAAAAAATAAAACAATCATAAAGATTAAGTGTAAATTAAAGGTCATCCATTTATTGAAAGACTAAATGTCTCTATTGAAAAATGCTTGGACAATATTCGAGTCATTTAATTTGATAGATAAAAGATTAGGGAAATCTCAAATAAAATTAAATAGGATCTTGAATCCGAATTTAAATCCTTGCATTTGTATCTAGATGATAAACAAGAAGCATTTATGAATGAGATCTCCAGATTTGAAACTCTGAATTCTACTAATTTACAAAAATAAGAAGATGGATATCAGATAGATATAAAAGAAATGCAAATAATGAAAGATGAAATTAAAAGTTTATTATAATAATAAAGTGGAATCTAAAATGATATCGAGCAATTTAAAATCATTCTAAATTCGATTGATGAAATTACCATAAAAACAAATTAATAATATTAAAGTCACCTTAAACAATTTTAGGATGAAATATATAAACTACCTCTTTAATGGACTGATTTTTCAAGCGCTTATAAACAATTTTTCAATAGCTTTGATACAGGGATTTTATAATCAGTTATATCACATAAGCGAAAAATAGATGATGTAGAGAGTGAATTAACAAAAGAATCAAGTAGGCTGTTTAAGCAAGCATAGTTTATAACAGTAAATCGATTGGAAAAAATTCATTAATCTTTGGCTAAGTATTTTAGTAATTTAATTTAGTTAAATCTCTAATACAAATGTCAAACCTATTAAACCATCTCATAAATCTCATATATCGTTATGTTCTCCTCCCAGGAATAGTTTTCTTTAAGATGAATACCAAATCCCAAGGAAATCAAGTCGAGTTGAGTTATCTAGTAAATTATAAAGTACAGCCGAAACCAGGGTCAATTCAATGAATAGAAAAAACACAAGAACCATAATACCAAATTTAAATTTGGGAGGAATCTCGTTTATCAAATGATTTATATTTATATTATAGTAATTTCTGGAAGGTTTGATTTGTAAATGTTATTCATAACTCAACTAATTTTTTAGATATAAAATAAAATTAAGTGATAATGTAAAAAACCATGTAAAATATATCCTTCAATTTAAAAGTGCTCCGATAGTGAAATGGGCTCAAAGAAAAGACAATGTATTTCTGACAGTTGAAGTGAGAGATTTGAAAGGTGAAAAAGTTGAATTGACTTCGAATTCACTTAAGTTTTCAGCAAATGCAGAAGGTGTTAATTACGTATTTGAAATTAACTTCTTTGCTGAAGTTGTTGTTGAAGTAATGCTCCATTGTAATTTCTATAGGAAAGTAAATGGACAAACTACGGCTTAAATGTCAGATTTATACTTTCCAAGAAAGATAAAGCCACTTCATATTGGACAAGGTTGATAAAGGAAACTCACAAATTGTAATATTTATAGGTAGAGTACTTAATAATGATGGTTAGGTTGACTGGACTAAATATATTGATGAAGATGATGAGGCTGAAGAAGGAGGCAAAGGATTGGATGATTGGGATTCAAACAAATTCTAAAATTTTGATCATGGTCACGATCACGGCCATGGTCACGATCATGGTCACGATCACGATCACTGTCACGATCATGGGCATGATCACGGACATGGACATCATCACGAAGATGATGATGATGAAGAAGATTAAGAAGAACCAAATGCTGGTAGATCTGATGTCTATTTAATTAGGAAATATTGATGATTTAGACTAAGAGGAGGAAGTGCAACAAAAAGAATAGGTGCCTAAGGAAGCTGATCAATAAAAACAAGAATAATAATGAAAAGTCAAGTGAGTATTCTAAAATTCTATAAAATAGATTTTTTATTTTATTTTTACTTAAATAATAATCGTGATTTAAATAAGATAAATAAATTTTCATATTTATTCTCTCCATACTGCTGATTAATTCTCTTAACTAGTAGTTACAATTATTTTGCCATCATTACTTTTAGCTAAACCAAATATATCTCCTTTTTGATATTGTAAGCTTTATAGACAAGATCCATAAATTGAACTATTTGAAATACTATATTTACTAAATTTAAGCAGTCTAATCTTAACTTGATGTAATTACCCTTTAATTATCAGGTAAGAATAAAACTTTTAGCACTTCTTCTTTATGTTAATTCAGAGTTCCTAAAATCTCAAAAGTGTTCACATCATACACAATTGCTGTATTATCTGCAGAGGCTGTTACAAATTTCTTCCCTGAATATATTATTAGTAATAATTACCATCAGCACTAAAATCGCAATCCAAAATCTCATCAGAATGATTCTTGAGTTATTTTAGGCATTTTTCAGTTCGAATATCCCAAATACAACATGTCCTTCCATAAAAATATTTAGTACTTATCAATTGAAGCAGTTGCTATTAACGTTCCAGTATTGTTAAGTATTGCTTTTGTTAGTTCTCCATGATGATTTCTAAAGTTTGCTATCAATTTTCCATTTATTGTATCATATAGCTTGAATTTTCTATTTAAAATTTACATTTGCAGTTTAATCGAATGAAGTTGAAAGTAATAATTTTCCATCGCTGTTAAAATCTAAATATATCACTTCCTAAGTGTGATCTACTAGGTCATGCACTAATTATCCTGTTTCAACATTCCATAATTTTGTCGTATGATCCATGGAAGCAGTGGCAACATATTCAGATGTTGGATCAAATTTATTGCAAACAACTTCCAAATTATGTTTATTTAACACTTATTAGCACTTACCTGATTCAACATCCCAGATCATAGATCTCTTATCAAATGATCCTGTAACAATTTTAGTGCTATAAAATAATTAAAATGTATATACTCAAAAGGACTATTAAAAGCTATTGAATATACCACGTTGCTATGACCTTTTAATTTTCTAAGCAATTTGCAATTATTTGTTTGATAAATTTTAGTAAAATTACCATAACTCCCGACTGCAAATCTATTTATCTGATATTTTCATACTTATCCCCTTTTGCTGTAATAATACAATCTGTATTTGGTTTTGAATTCTAAGGGCAGCCTTGTAATTTATAATTAGCCTTTATAGTTTATTTATCCTTTTAAGTTAATTGCATTTTAATCAATTATTATTATCTCTTGATATAAAGACAACATGTAAATATACTTTCTGATGAATTTTGATTTAAACGTCAAACATAATTGCTTTTGATATACACTAATTTTAATTGAATTAATTAATAGATACTATAATATATAAAGTTGAATTTAAAATAAACTTAAATTATTTTGAAACAAAAATATATTATTAATGAATGATTAATCATGTTGATTTGTTGGAACTATCTTCAAATTATTATTACTAATTCTCATTTTGATTGATTATTTAATTTAGATCTTACTTTGATTAAGAGTCTGTTTGAATATTTTACACTTAAATTGAATTTTCTTGATGTAAAGTAACTTATTCGTTGTTATCTTCAACTTACTCTTAGTCTATGAAGCTTCCGTCCTTGAAATTACCATCTTAAATTTTTCCATCAATAAATTATAAATAACCCTTCCCATGAGGTTAATAATTTTTAATCTGTCCTATATAATTAATCTCTAAATTACCTTTATAAATACTATCATCTGGAAATTTAATAATAATATCTTGATTTAAAACAAATTCATCCTTCTAAAATTACCCTTAGTATTTGCAGTTGTTTTCTTGCAGTGTAATCACACCAAATCCATCCTTTAAATCATCGACCCATTCTCCCTCATACGTGTATTATTTAGCTAAAAGTAAATTGAAACTTATGATTACTTTAATAGATTCCCATACCATGTCTCTTGCCTGCCTTGTAAATACCTTTATAAATGTCCCCATTAGCCCAAACGTATTGGCCTTCCCCTTGAAATAATCCTTCTGAAAATTAACCTACATAAACATCTTTGTTTGGCAATATCAATTTTCCAGTTCCACAGTAATATCCATTTTTAAACCAACCTTCATAGATTTAATTCTCTTTTTACAAATTACCATATCCATTAAATTGATTATTTCTAAAATCAATAGAGATATTTACTCGAAATGACCATTATATTAAAATTCATTTACTACGATTAGTATTCCATCTCCATGAAATTTGTTCTGTTTAAATTGTCCCTTATATTAAAATTTCTTGTCAATTAGTTTTTCATATCTTCCTTAACCATGTTTAAGGAAATCCTGAATCTAACCTACGTACACTCTTTTTTAAAATAGTTCTATCAGTCCACCATATTACAGATTTCCAATATATATATCTGCATTTTCAAAGACTTTGTAGAATGGCACTGTTGAAGTTTTATCAAAACACTCAGAATTTGTGATGATAGAATAATCAAAGGATTTTAACCATTTAAGTCCATTCTCAGTTTTAGTGATCCAATATATGATGCCTTTTCTATTATGCTTTCTTATCACTCTCATTAGATCGTATAGCAAATTACGATATTCCTTGATTTTTAATTCTTCAACCAAATTTTCTTTATGCTTCTTTATTTCTAATTTATACGGGTCTTAAGATTCATTATCCTCATCATCAGAGCTCTTTTTATTATAGATTCTAATATTACATCTTATGGACTTATTTCCTATTTAATTATCATACTCTTTCTAGTTCTAATTGCAGTCAACTTATTTATCCTTTCATCAAATGTTTATAAGTTTATAACAAAGTAGCTAATTTCAGATAGCACTTTTATATAATGATCATGAATTATTTTTCTTATCCAATCCTCACTACCTTGAAATGTGATCTTTTGATTTTGAATGGGGATTAATTTCCTTAACTAGTCCTATTAATTTAAATCCAATGTTTTTAAACAATCCGTATTAATGGCACTATAAAGTTATTTTTCAGTTAATTTAAGACTTTATTATTCAAAAACATTACTTTAATAATTTCTTATACTATTCTTTCAAAATATTTAGTTCTCCTGTGTCAACATCAATTATAATCTCTGGATTCAATTGGTTGAGACCCTTAATAAATTTACTTGTTGTTCCAATCAAATAGCCTTTAAGATTGCTACTTTATAACATATTTAGGTCTGTAACACTAAAATGCATAAATAATTTATAGTTCTCAGTAAATATTTTAAAGGGCAAACCAAAATTACTCAAGTAACTTTCCTTAGAATAACAAATTGCATTACCTATATAAGTGATTTCTTGGATTACAAATTGAAATTCAACAAACCTGGAATTAATGACAACAAACTTATTATAAATCTAGAACAAACACTAGAGGATTAAGAGTATATAATTATTTTCATCTAATATTAAACTGCCTTAAGTATTTTGAATATTTTATCTTTAAATATCCAAAACAACCCAATCAAATTAGTATCTGTATATAATGCTGAAATTTCTACATTCTTTAAATCAAAAGTTTATAATATACTGTCAAAGGCATAATTCAAAATTGACATATCTTTGAAGTCCTATAATTAAAAGTATGCTTATATTGTAGGCTCCAATCTGCTCTTGATGTATCCAAAGAGAGGCACAAATGATAACAAACAGATGGCCTTTTAGATGTGCCCTCTGGTTAATTCTGGGTTTTGCTTTTTTAACTCTTCTGTTACTTTAATCTATTTGAAGCATGTTACACCAAACAATGGCTTGGTTTTCCCATTTATTTATGCATCGAAATTAAAATATAAATAGTCTTCATTAGCATTATGGACTGCATCTGGCAAAGCACAAGTCGTCACTGTATTGATTATATTCTCCATGCCATTTGTCAATTATGATAATTCTGGATAAGAGTACTCGATTTCTGATCCTCTTTTATGATGAAATCCAACTGCAAATATTGCCAATACTGGTGTTTAATCCTCTTAGAGTGTATATAAATCCATTAATTTTTATTGCAATTCAACATCAAAGATTTATTCAGGATTTTAAAAGATTTCTTTAATTTGTTTAATAAATCCTTGCGATTCTCTATTTAGATTTACTTAAACTAGATTATTGGATGTCATAATCTCCCAATAATTATAACATTTTTCAGAATTCAAATATTTTCTCATATATCTTTCCTTTCTAGTCAGTCTATGCTTATTTTAATCATCGGAAAGACTTTAATTCAATTTTTTCTATAGCCACTTTTTCATTTAATTAATTTTAAATATAATTAGTATAATAAACTTTTTCAAAATTAAAAACATTGTTGAAAAGAATATCAAATATATAAAATATCTTGATCCAATAGAGAGTGTGTTTAAGCGTGATATATATTTTTACCCCTGAATATTTTTGTTTAGTGTAAGTGAACAATTACATATTTAGAATAAAATAATATAAAAAAATGGAGAATTCAGTATTGATAAATAGTAGAAATTTCTATTTAGTCAAAAGATTAAATTGCAATTTGAATATTTATGATTTAACTTAAGGTTTAAATGATAACTCATTTTTTATTTTATCCTAAACTAATATATATTGATATCATTTGATATTAATATCATTATGAGTAATTTTCAAAATTAATTCTTTCGGATTGCATGTCACTCATATCTACCTTTTTGTACATGCTTAGGAAAGCTTTGATTTTAACTGTCTATTAATCAGAGGATTTTTATTTTAGAACTGAATTATCATTTGAATAATGTGAGATTGAAGCAGTACTTTTATTTGCAAAAGTATTAACAAATAATTTTTTTGCTAATTATTATCGATAGATTTGCCTTTCTTCTGGAGTTGAAGTACGATTTAATTAGTCAATCTTTTTCACAGGAGTTTTAATCAAATTTTAAGATAGCTATTTGATTAATTCCTGTGGATTTTAAACATTTTTTTTATGCAATTTGCTCCAAGAATTTATCTTTCCTAATTAGTAACCCTCACATTCTACGAAGGGTTTATCTTTAGGTTTTATTTCTGACTCTAGTATATTATGATATTGAATAAGTTATTTCTTAAAGCCTCTATTAGGGTTGATAACTAGTCTTTTCTCTTTTACATAATAAAACGTCTTTTCATAAGTCCATTTATGAGTTTTCATAATAAAGGCAATTACACATGCACTTGACCTTGAAATCCCTGCAACACAATGTACTAAAACAGAGCCATGATTTAATCCATTTAGAATCTCATTGTTGATCTCTTCAAAATGATTGATGATTTAAGCTTTTTCTGAATCCTCAACCTTAAAAATCTGACTTTCATAATAAGATATACTTTGTGTCGTATGTTTAAATTCTGCTTAAAACTTATAAATAGGTTATTGGCTACTGTTATCACTGTTTTGATGTTGTTTTCTTTCAATTTTGTAATATTTTAAGCAGCTCTTAGATTGCCTAGCCATAGTGCTCCTTGTTAATTATTTTTTTCAATTATTAGGTCCATTTCATTCACATTTACGATAAGCAAATGGTTTTTCATGAAATTAATATAAGACTGAAAATAATTATAATATAAAATAATATTATAAAATAAATTAAATATTCAACTTAGTTCTTCCTTGATTAGGGGCATTTAGTACTACAATATCTTCTGTTAAAGAGACTATTTATAAATATCAATTGTGTTACAGAAATCATCATGACTAGTTGCAAATTAAGGAGTTTTTATTTTTCTAATTCCCTTTGACAATTAGCAAGTGCAATAGAAACATTCTTTTCTTCTAAACTATGAGTAGATATAATATTTTGAGTAGTTTTTGTAATCAATAACTAATGTTGATGTAATAGACTGTTTGTTATATGTTAATCAATTGGCTAGTGATTTATAATTAGTTAATGTATACTTTTATATCAGGAGAAAAACTTCTTTTTTTATGTGATAAGTCTCTTTCCAAATCATACATGGATTAAACCTTTCGCTCATTGCTAAGACTATATTATTTTCGTTCTTTCTCTTTTTTTTGCTTCTCTCTTGTCTTCTTCTTTCCTATTCTCCCTTCTTTTCTATATGTTGATAAAATTGCTTTGGCTGTACTAAAATTCACACCGAACTCTTTAGCGGCTTCTTTGATCGTTGCTTCTCTTGATAGAATCCGTTTCAACAATAAAACTCTCTTTGATTGATCGATGACAGCATATTTTTTGGATAAATCTTTTGGTTTTTCATCAAAGTGGATACTCTTAAGTTTATGTCTTTAATATAAATATAATATTCAACTGAGAATACGGAGAAAATTATTCCTCGTTGTCTGAAGGTATCATTTTAGTTAACAAAAAGGTAAAATTAATCTAATTATATTCCTTAAAATTTTGATAAATTTAAAGAAATGATAAAAGGAATTTAATTATATTTCATCATTCATTAGATAATTTTGAAACTTTATGAATAAATTTACTCGTTGATTCTTTTCTTGCCTTCTAACTTAAAATCTCATTTTTATCAGCAACTTGATTCATCAAAAACCCAATAAGTTTTCTCTTGAATTGTGTTTCACTCTAAAACTTTTTGAATTCCTCATGTTGGATTGTTTATTTGTCTTAATTTTGAAATTGTTCTGATACAGTTCTCACTGATCGTTATATCTCCTAATCCATTCTCCTCATTTTTCTTTTAAATTATTTCTTCTCCTTTTTCTGTTCATCCTCTAATTCAATACAATATCCAATAATATCTTGCATTTATTATTAAGTATCAGGATCAACTCCTTTGCCATCCCATTTTTATTTGGTCGTTAAGAAAGTCTAAGATTGTGTATGTGTACCTAAGGCAGTTTAAGGTCTTGATTCAAAATGGCTAATTCCAGGAGATTGCCTATGAGATAAAGGTTTGGAATTAATAGCATAATTTGTTCTTCTTTTAATCTTGCCTGATATTTGTTGGGGTGGAGCTCTGAAAAATTTGTTAATGTCAACCTTTTGAGGTTTATTTTGAACTTCATCCTCAAATATTTAAGCAAATAATTTATCCTAAATCTCTTTTTATTTTTTAAACGTAGTCATTTTTAATTTGTTCTTTTTACTGTACTCTGGTTCGAATTGATCATACCTGGATTCCTTGTAGACTTTGACTAAATTGGTTTTCTCATCCTTGCTTATTATTTAATCCAACTCCTCTTAATTTATCCTCTTCTCTATTAACTCATTTAACTTGTCTTGATGTTGGATCAATGACACTTTTTCTACGTCCACATCCAACAGTTTGCCAATATCCACTTCTGGGTGCTACTTACATAATTCAGTTAAATAATAATTAATCTATTCATCATCAGCCAATTCGACATGATTGAGTTCAATAAGGTTGCATTTTTTTTATGCTTGCAATTTCTAAAGGTTTGCCTTGAGATTGGCCATTTTATATTCCTGATACAAGGAACTAGTTGAATTCTATTTCATCAATTCGTCATTTATTAGGGATGCAACCTTTTGTTCTGGTTTTGGTTAAACTTTATGTTATTTTTTATGATAAGAAGTTTTTGGTCGCGATTAACATTCTTATTATGAAATCTGTCTTCTTCTAAAATTACCCACTTTATTTGGTGTATCAATATTAGTTTAAATGTTTAAATTAACTAAACTTTTAGCATTGACAGAGTTTGTGCCATTTGACACTAATTTATTATTGTTATACATCTCATATCTGCAAGCTTTTTATTTATGTAGAGAGTCAAGTTCTATCTCTGAAAATCCTAGTAATATCCTAATTGCTATCTAATTGGATAATCTTGTATAGTTTTTTTCACAAGAAATCCCGTAAAAGAAGACATTATATAATTAGTGATATTATAAATAATTGATCAAATATATTCAATTTTAAGTATCTTAGATTCTTCAATTTTAAAATAACATTGTCCACAGTGAGAGGCTAAGACAATCAATATTAAATCTTATATTTTATGAGTGGCAAAGAATATGAAAATATTAATTATTCATCTTAAAATTGAGGTGTTGGTTATATAAATTTATTTAATAAGAAGGAATATCCTCTTGTTAATGCATTCTTAATTTATTCAAGTACATATTATTTAATTTCAGTTAAATATAAACACTTAGTTTTATTATGTGAATTTATTAATTAATTTACATTATTCAAAATAACATAATATTAGTGGAGTTTATAATAGATGAATATATAAGATTAGATATTGATATAATTGATTATATATATTATTATAACTTAAATTAATGGGAATTAGAGTGATTAGATAGTGAATTAAAATCAACAATTACTTATTTCAAATGTTTCACGACTTTCATCATCAGTTTAATCATTTAGTTTCATCTCAATATTAGGAGAATTTAGATTTGCTTCAGCTCTCAGTTCGATTTCCTCTATATCACAATGATTCACAGTATGAGTTCTTTGTGCTTTGACATCAGACTTTTTATTGCTATTCTGATTATTCAAAATCATGGATTATGAGAGTACTTGTCTTTTGGAATGTTTCCTTTATATCGATTCGTTCATAAAATACTATTTAAATAATTAAGAGACTGGACGAACATCATTTTACTTAATATTTCTTAATATTCAATACCTAACTTAACCAAATAAGAAATGGTAATAGAGTCTCTAGTTCGTTATCATTTTTATCTGCAATGAAATCTTTGATCAAATATCCATTCTCTTGTTAAAATAAAAAGGACATTTAGGAATTCTAAGAGTGAACAATTCATTTACATCTATGATTATGACATCCTTTAAGTTTCTCCCCAATTTGCTTAAATTTTTGGTTAACCCTCCTTGAATAGGAGTACAACTTTCTCTATATAATCTAGTCAAAGCTCTTCGTGAAGGATCTATAATGTCCATAACAGGATCTGCGTATTCTTTCAAACTAGCAGTCCACATGATAACTTCAAAGTATTCGCTTAGAGTTTCAATGAAGTTTTCAACACCAGGTCTAACTGTCACATATACTTTAAATAATTGACTTTAGACTATGATCTAATATATTATAAATTATTACATCTAGTGAAAAATCATGACCATTCTCTGCCTTAAATTAACTATGGACTAGTGTTTCATCTAAATCTAGAACACATACTTTTCTGCTCTCATATTTATATGTTTCAATTATACATGTGATTTTGGAGTGTCAATTCCAAGTTGATACTTGTCATTCGTTTTATTAGATTTCTTGCGAAAATAGTAGATGCAAGAACACAACTTTTCTATAAAATTTGGTTTTCTTTCTTATTATTCCTGCTATTACTAATAAATTATGTCATTGGTATTCATTCTTTATTATTTAAATTATGAATTAAAATTAACATAAGAATTTTTATTTGAAATGAATTTCCCTGCAAAGAAGAAGTTGCTATCCAGAAATTGTGTTAAAACACCCAATTAATCAGAAACCTATTCAAGTTTTTTTAGTTTGTAGAAGATATATTGATAGTTTGAATAATTAATTAAATGGGATTGGTTGTTTTATTTTAGAAATCTTAATTATTAAGAATATTAAAGAAATCAATAATAAAAATATTTTCATTAGTTTACAATTAAGTATAAAAATGATAATTAATATAGAACTGAAAATCATGATTTATCTAGAAGATCTGCAACTGTGTACATCCTTCTAAATGTTTTTTAATTAGATTTTGGTTTTTCCTCATTTGGATCAATAACTTTAATTTAAATTTATTTATTAAATGAAACTATTTTCTTTCCTGGATTATATAATGGGGGAGAATGGTCTTCCTTTTCTATTGGCTGAAGCGAAATCTACTTATTGTGCTTTAGTCTATTGAAATTAGGCTTTTATTATTAATATTTTAGATCCTAATTATCTAACTCAAAGAAATCAAAAATATCAGCATGTTCTCTACTGTTAGAACTTTTTCTCTTAAGAATGCTTTTTAATTACGTTTGCTAATCTTCTATTTGGTCTTCTTTTCTAACTCTATTCCTATGAGTAGTTAATTCTTATTATTTAATTAATGGTTTAAGTGCAGTAGGCTTCTTATCTTATCTAAATATTTCTCTAATAAGTTCTTTACGCTATAATTCTGTACGTGATGTTATCTGATCAATGTTCTATTCGGCCTATGAAATTTTGAATAAGTTAAACTAATCCATTCCTTTTGAAGAATTGAAGATGGAATTGGTTTACTGTTTTTGAATAAAATTGTAGGAGGGAGTCTAAGCAATTTCAGGCAGAAAACTATTATTTCTAGAAGAAGGTCGAGAAAAGTGAATCTACATTTTGTTGTCCTATCTAAATTGTGCTTGGGAATTCATTAAATAAATTATAAACTCTCTCTTCATTTCTATATAACATCATAATGGATTATTTAAATAGTAATTTAGTAATATGACAAACTGTGAAAAATCAAGATCCTTATAGTAATAAATCTAAAATGAAAAAACACTCATTTTTCTGTAAGTTCTCTGTAACCTTTCCAATCATGTGGAGCCTTTCCACCATTAGAATGTATCACATCTAAAAGTGTATTGGAAGGACCGTCCTTGTGTTCAGGAATCATAATCTTTAAAGTTAATGTAAAAGCTTACCAAAGTTTTCTGGAATACTAATTGAGCCTTATCCCATGCACCTTTGATATAAAATTGGAACCCTTCCTGCCAAGCTTGATAGAATTCCTAAAAGTATATATATTTCAAAATAGATTACTTTTGTAAAAGGTTCTCTGGATAGAAGGAGTTCTTCATCAGTTTGAAATTGATCTGCCACATTGACTTTGTTTTTTGAGACATCTTTTTGCAATTATTCCCTTTTGAATCTATTAAGAACTCGAAACTGTTTTTATTGTTTCTAATTCATCTTGCTAGTATCAAATTTGTCTTTCATTTCTTTAGTCTTTTGGATCAGATTCTTTATTGACATATCTACAGTGTGAATTTCCACAGGTTCTACACTGCCCTTTACAGTTACAATATCAATTTATCTTAATTATTTCTGACATTCCTCAGTCAAATATTATTTTAAAACTCCACTAATTAGAATAATTGAACCAAATTATTTCGTGGCAGCTTCCAATCTGGATGCCATATTGACATTAGGACTCAAGTAAGAAGCATCGATTTTGAAAGATGAACCTATTGCCCCTTCAATGCCCCATCCCATATGCAATCCAAATCCCATTTTCACAGAATAATCTTTCATTCTTGCATTCAACCCAGCGTGTTTTTTATACCTCTCTAATTTCTTAGAAATTGAGATTGAAGTGATTATCTTTAAGAAAGCCAAAACTGCCATATCTCCTTTTTGTTTAATATGATGATCTGTTTTCACAATCAACTTAGATGGATTTTGCGGATTAGGATGATATTCCATAGGTAAGTATTTCCAAACCAACAGGAACGCATCACCAATATTCTTATTTGCAGATCCTCCATATTGATTCACTGTTTAATGCACAATCTCAGCAATTTCATTCACAAATACCATTACATCCTCTTATAAAACTTCTGTTGCATCAGTAAAATTTCTAATATCACAAAAACCAAATATAGCCATTATTTTCTTCCCTGGAAGCATTGGATCTACACTCCCTCCTTTCTTAATATTCTCAGCTATAATTTCTGAGCCTGCTTCCCCAAATCCTACTGCTAATAAAGCTCCAACTTTCATGATTAACCTTTGAAGAATATATGTCTCCATCTGTTTTTCTATATACTTCTCCTTTATCTTCTCATGATCTTCGTTTTATTCCAGTTATTCCATTACTAAATCCTCTTATTCTTCGATATTTACTGCCTCCAATGGATTTTGGGCTATTAATTCTATCTTTTCCATCATTTTCTCTATTGGCTCAATAACCAATTCATTTACATTCTTATTAAATAAGATAGCACTAGAAGCTAATACTATACATACAAATAAGGTCTAAAATATTGACAGAATAGCATTGGTTTGATTATAGTCAATCAAATCACCTACTGAACACGTTATTAATTTATTATTTATATCTACTGCAGCATAATATTATTTATCAGAAAATCGGTGTTAATCAATATTTAAATTTGTTGGTTAAAACCAATCAGGGTTTTTAGAATAATTGAAGATTTAAAAATTTGTTTCATTTAATTTTGGAAGATTATTAGTTACATTATTTCTTAAGACAAATACAGCCAAGATTGGAAAAAGTTCATCCTGATGAAATTTTACATATTACATTGTTAAGATATCAAGAATTTTTTATTCATTTCTAAATTACCCTATTCTAAATATACCAGAATCATAAGAGTTTATTGTTTCTTAATAAGTATCTAAAGTTAATACTGGAATGCTTATTAATATTGCTAAGATAATAGTAATTACTCTCCTCATTACTAAATCAGACAATCGAGAACCCACGTTGCTTTCTTAAAGATTTTCAGTTTGCTATAGAGATTATTGGCTTTGTCTAAACTAATCACTATTACTTCCTTAAGCACTTTGATCATATGATTATCCTTATTGAGCTGGTAAAGCAGATAATTCAGAATTTTATTACTATTAAATTTATCCGAGAAACGGCTTAGCACTCTCTTTTACTAAGTTCTATAATTCAATCTAATCTTATTTATCATAATTATTTTTCAATTAATTTTAACCAGAAGGAAGAGGTGAAGGAAACGACGGATTATTTACAATATAGTTTTGTTTTTGAGATTATGAATTGATCTATTATTATTATTATTATTATTATTATTATTATTATTATTATTATTATTATTATTATTATTATTATTATTATTATTATTATTATTATTATTACTATTACTTTTAATTCTCATCACTCATTAATCTATTTTATTTTAATATATCCTAAAGGATCTTTCTTTATTATTCCTTTTCATATTATTATCTGGCATGTTTATATAATTTAACGAGCCTTACTAAACGAATAATCCTTATGACTCTTGCTGCTTTTCTTGCAACCCTGGATGCTCTACCCAAGGCCTTAATTGTTGCAGCATTTCCAATATCTCCTTCATCTCCATACCATAAATCCGTTACCCATCCTATATCTAAAATCATTGTGGCAGTCGAAATTACATCAAGACAAAAATAAAACTAGTCTTAGAACTTAATTATTTACATTTAGGATATAATTTGGATTTGCAATAGAGGTTAAGATTATTTCTAGTGTAAAAAAAGACATGCTTATAATTGTAAGAATAAAGAAAATATCATCTTGATCTTTGTTGACTGATAATATTCTTATATCATCTCCAAAAAGTGCATAAAGAGTAACAATAGCCATTAAAATCGAGAATGCCCATCCTTCTATAAATTAAGAAACTATTTTCTGAAGTGCCGATTTTTATTTGAGGTTTTACATTTTTGACAATCGTGCCTTAATTTTGCTATTCATTCTTCTTATCTATTTCTTCTTTGGCTCTCCATTTATTATTTGATTACTAGAATGCCTTGCACTCTTTGCACTCCTTGCGCTCGATTGGCTCCTATTTGACTTTTATTCATTAATTTCTGCTACGCTTGAACCACTATTTATTTTTCGAACCTTTCCCTCTTAATCATCCAGTTCCTCAAGACTCAATTCTTTTTTTATAATAGGTAAACAATTTGGTTTATCAATCAGCTTATTATATTTTTTACTTATATACCAAGGGGCCATGTTTTTGTTAATTTTCAATTGATTTTCGTTGGCTGACTCCATTGAAATCTATGTTTTTTGCATAAAAAATAGCTTTGTAATACATACTGGATGCGGTTAATTATTAACAATGGTCATCATTGCATAACTAGGCCTTTTTTATTCTTCATTTTCAGATTCCCTTGAGTGATAGTATTTCATAGATTCCTCCCTTTCTGCCATATGATTAAATTAAATATATTATATGAATTTTATATAAACAAACTTGAATTTTTCAAGTTATTCTCTAAGTGTATCAAAATTTTAAATATAATTAACAAAAAGATTAACCACTGATTAGATAATCTCAGAACTGTACTTTATAAATAGCAACCACAATCCTCAAAGAGTCTTTCCAGTGATCTAAACTCAAATTTTGCATTAATTTCATAAATTTAGATTACCTATAAGTTGATTTCATAAAATTTGAATTTCTAAAAAGCAAATGAGAGAGATAAGAAAATTAAAAGTTCAATTATGCAACTATTTTTGGATTTCTACTACTTTCTAATAAAATAGTAAATCAATCTATATAAAAAATTCTATCAAATGTAGAAATGCTCCAAATGTAAAGTTTATATCTTAATCATCTAAAATTTATTATAACATTTTTGAAACATTCAAGAAATATCACAAATGTGAAACTTTCTAAATCAATTTGGAAGGAAATAAAATTGTATAGGTGATCAATGGAGTAAATAATTTGATTTTCAGAAAAAACATTAAAAATAAATATGTAAAATGCTTCTCATAAACCTAATAATAGTAATACATTTATTTCTATTTGAATAAAACTGAACTAACAGAAAGTCAAATATGTTATTCCAATTGGATATTCATCCTACATATTACGTATTATATCTTTGAACTTAATTTATTTTACATCCTTTTTATTCTTCATAAATAGCTTCAATATTTCAGTTACGAAAAATAATCTGAAAGTAATAATTAATAAGAAATTCAATATTGTTTTTGAATAGTTTATTAAATTAATTTAATTTAAAGTAAAATCAAGTCTACATATTGTATTGGAATACTTTTATTTTTATTAAACTGATGAATAAATAGTAGCATTGTCTCTTTCTAAAATATTACTTGAGTAGGCATCAATAGAGGGAAAAAAGCTTATCATAAATTACAATATTTATAAATAATATTTGAGTAATTATGTATATTTTCATTCATTAAACAATTGCTTGGCTTTATGACTTTTTAAGGCTGAGATTATTTTAAACGAGTTTTTTGCGTATGTAGATTAGATAATTTCATCACAAAACTTATATTCTTCTAGTGAAAATCTTACAATGCGAGCGACTAGTATTGCTCTTCTTATCAACATAAGTAGCAAAAGCAATTCTATTAATAGTAAGTTAGCTAACAAGATATAAAAAGGAAGATCGAGCTATTTTGCTATCATAACGGCCATTTCAACGACGATTGAAATTTGCAACAATAAAAAGGCTAAGAAATATGAGAATTTTTGTTTTCTGGTTAAGTTATTATAAGAGAAGCTAATCTTAAATTAATATATACTTAGTTTCAATCACAGTTGGATAATATAAACTGCAATAAGCACATTGCATTATACCATTACCTTACTTGTATTCCAATGTTATGCGAGTTATTAGACACAATAAATGATATTATCTATCCTAACAGGCACAAAATTTGAGTACTGGTGTTGATGTATGTTTATTGCATAGTTGACAAAAGTGATTAAGGCTGTTGACTGAGGAATTTAAGGTTTTATTTAAAATGAACTGGTTAGCAGTGATTTATGGATGGAATGATTTTCGGATACGATAGACGCGTTCATTTGGAAGAGAAGATGTTCCTTATATGGTAATCAATTTGGATTCAAATGTTTCAATTTATGGTTAGTTATGTGTAGTAGTTGTATCCATATATAAATAAATAAATTAAATTGGTCATTTTCTAACTCCAATGTTGTTGTTCCTCATCAAAAAGAGTAACTCCTCCTTCTCTTATTTCAATCTGGCGTTCTCTTTCTGCATAATGATGATTTTTTCTTCGTTTTCATTTAAGGCTTCTAATTTCAATGCGTAAGTCTTCAATTTCTCTACCAGATTTTCTTTAAATAAGTCAGTTTATTTTTAAAATTTAATGAAATTTTTTTCACTAATTTCTAATTATCTTATCAATGATGAGTTTTTATCTTTCAAAGCCTAGATTTCTTGACTTTGAATGAGAGACTTTTCTTATTGTTCTGCAACTGTGGTTTAGAGTTGTTTAATGGTTTAATCTTGATCTTGGATTCGACTGGTATTGTTATCCACTTTGAATTTTGATAATCTTTAAGGAGATTACGTGTTAAAATACGATAAATTAGTTGATGCTGATCTATTAGTTTTACTTGATTTTTGAAATACCGCCGATTACTCTTAAAATGATATAGCGGATTACTCTAAAGTAGGCATTCTTCTAGAAGAATATCTTCTTGAATTATGATTGATCAATTCTTAATCAAAAATATCAATTAATTCAGTTTTCTCGTTCTCCAAAAGGGTTTCAACTGTCTGTTAATTTTGATTTTGCAATTTCTATAAAGATTTCTTATGAGCAAAGAGCAAGTCCTTTCCATTCAATTAATTTTCTTTTTATTACAGATTTTGACGTTATTCCAATAGAAGACTCAATTTCTTTTGCATTGTATGTGGTAATTCAGAATCCCAAGTTTACATTTTATTAATAAATAATGAATATACAACCAAGTTCTGGTTCAATCAATATGTCTGGAGATAGTCATCAGAATGGTCTTGATAATTATCTAAATGAACTCAATAATAAGAATTTGATGTAAGTAAGGAGACCCAATGAGGAATAGATATTGGCATTTATTGATTTTGAAGGTATCAAGGCAGATCCAGCAATCCAACACAAAACCTACCCTGAAAATCAATAGGACAATAAGAGCAAAGGAAGTAAGTCATCTAAATAAATTCGACGGAATAGTTTGGATTTGTCTGAAGCTTCACCCTTGAAACAATCACTAAGGGATGAATTAATTCTATGTGATAGTCCAAATTTAGAATTAAAAAAATTGGGAGAACCATATGATAATAGAAAAAGTAAATCTATAATTAGTCCAGCTATTTAATCATAAAAATCTCCCAAAAGAAAAAGTAAACATTTTTCAAAGATTTTTTCAAAACTAACCAATAGAATGAATTTAGCTAAGAAATTCATATAAAAGATTAAAACTCTCTCGCCATTTGCTAAGAAAATATCAAAATCACAATTGTTATTAATTTAAGATTTGAGTTCTGATATAAGCAATTCTAATGAGAAATACAACAATAAGAGTTTCATTAAGATTCACGATAAATCCAAACAGAAAAAGGTATTAAAACGAATGGAGAGCATGAAGGCATTTATTGCGCTTAAGACGTACTTTAGTGTTTGTAAGATTTAAGTGATTCTCAATAAGTTTAAATAAGAAACAATAGATCCTTAAGGTAATTTCTTATTTTTTTGGGAATTGTTAAAGTTCTTTGTGACATTGGCATCTCTATTCCAATTATCAATTCAAATATGTTTCAATTTGAATGTTTTGAATTGGTTTTTCATCTCTGAAAAATAAAATTCCCAAAATATTCTAATTTTGATGTTTATCTTTTATTCATTTGACATTCTTTTAGGATTTAGAACAGGATACTATGAAAATGGGGAAGTAGTAATAAATTAAAAGAGAGTCGCTAGAAGATATTTGAGGAAATATTTTTTTGTTGATTTGATATCAATAATACCAATTTTCATCAATATCATATTAATATAATCATTTGAAACAGATAATACAATAATTAGGATTGTGAATTGTTTATCATTTATAAGATCTAATGCATTAAATAGAGTATATCATTCTTTAGAAGGAAGATTATTAAGTAATCCAAGATTTGTTATTGGATATCGATTCTTGAGTGTTATAGGAACTGTATTTTTATTTGCTCATGTATTTGGATGTCTTTGGTATGTGGTGGCGTAGAATAATTAAAATAATTGGATCAATAAAGCAGGAATAGTTGAAGATTCTTGGTTTGCTCTTTATAGTTATTCAATTTATTGGTCTGTTATGACTATGACTACAGTTGGATATGGAGATCTGACACCTGCTAATCATGAAGAAGCCTTATTTTGTGTTTGTACCATGTTTATTGCGAGTGTTGTCTTTGCATATTCAATCAATACAATTGGTAGGATAATTACTGAAATGAATAAGTTTGATGAGAAAATCAATGAAAATATGGCAATCATTAATAGATATATGCAAAGAAAGAATTTTGAGTAGTCATTACAATTTAGAGTGAGACAATACTTATAGAATCTGTGGACTTAGGAAGAGAAGTTTCGAATTGTTGATGAAAATAAGATTATAAATTGTTTGAGTCCAAATTTAAAAGAAGAAATCTAGATTTGTCTATATGGTTAATTTATTGCCAGCATTCATTTATTTTATAGATATTTTAGCTAAGAATGTCTATTAGATTTGACTAAGAATGTTCAAGAATACAGGGTGGCTCCAAATTCTTATGTCATCGAAAATGGAACTCATGATGGAATTGCATTATATTAATTAGTCAGCGGAGAAGCAGAGATGTTAGTTGATCTTCAAGACAGAAAATATTATTTAGGAAAATTGAAATAGGGAGACATCTTTGGCCATGGTCCATTTTTTATGAGCAATGTTCATCCCTATAGCATTAAAACAGAAACAGCTTGTTCATTTGCTTACTTGTCTAAGTAAATGTTCTTAGACATACTTCAAACTCACCCTAAAGATTATGTAATATTGTAAATAATATAGTAAACCTATAGAATGATTATTGATTAATGGACATTTCAAAATCAGAAATTAGATCTTGGTGTCAAATGTTTGGGATGTGGAGATGGTGATCATGAAATAGATTTATGTCATAGATTACATTTAATCATAAATAAACAGGTTTTATTAGCGAAACATTTGTTTTCTGTTCCTAATAAAAGAATCTTATTTAAAAGAAATTGTAGAAGAACTACAAATGCTAAATTTGGATAGAGATTGTTTGAAGATGCAGTCTCATTATTTCAAGAAAACAATTTCTCTTACTCCTCTGAAGAAGAAGATCCTAATCCTAGTTAGATAGAAAGAACTCACTAAACCAAATTGACTTAAGAGATCAGATATTAGGAACCTACTCATAATACTCATAGATCATAATAACAATAACACTAGCAATCAAAAAATGTGAGATTTAGAAAAAGATCTAGATCATTGAATTCTATCAGTGTCCATTCAGACGAAGAATCTAAATTTCAGAAATCTATGTCAGGCTATAAATCCAATGACTCTTAAGTCGATAAAATTAGTGCTATTCCTGTTAAAGTATAATAACTGCCAAGTTCTTAATTATCCTAAAGTTCTTTTAATGTATTTTTAAAAGAATATCCAAAAAGAAAGATATCAAAGTAACAGGATTCCGATAAATATTCTAATCATTCTATTGGATAAAGATAATAGTAATAACAGCAGCATCATTAACAATAACAATAACAATAATAATATTATCATAAATCAAGCAGTTAATCTAGTAGTGGAAATATCCCTTAGAGCAGTATTGGAATTCCTCCACTACCGAATGGATCTCCTCCAATGCATTATTAAGATGATAAAACACCATTTTAAAAAGGGGTTGTTGAAGATAGTTTATATGTTGCTTAGGAGAGGAAAAAGAAGTCCTTAATTGGTACTAGTTATTCAAATAATAAATAAATAAAAAATCCTCTTTAAGCTATACCATCAGTTAGTGAAATGAATGAAACCGAGAAAATGAATAATTTGAAGGAAGCTTCATACACTTCTAAATAATTGTCAATGTAGAGTAGATCAAGAAGTTAAAGATATACTATATCAATCCGTACGGAGAGTTAAAAAATTCGAGAAGATACTAAGCATGATACAGCTTAAAAGCATGACAAACATGATTTCAAGTTAAAAACTGACACTTTCAAATAATATCATGAGAATAGTCCCTTAAATGAAGAGTAATTCCACAACACATTTGAACAAGCATGCAATCTATATTCATATTACCCTCAATATAATAAGGATAGAATCATCGAGAAATATAAAAAATAGTAATATAAAAAGAGTATAAAATAATATTAATTTAAGTTTTGATTTATTTATTTATACTATAAAATATGAAAGAATTAAATGCTTAATTTATAACTAAAAAAGGAATTAGCAATATATTTATTAATAAGAATTCATGAACAAGCTTTCAGGAGCCAAAACATATCAAAACAATCAAGGTTAAAAATCTCATAAGACCTTGTAATAAAGGCTCCCTGAAAAGGTCAGATTAGAAAGTCATGGATTAGTAGTTGCCAAATTAAAGGATAAGAAAAGAAAGAAAGAAGATTTAAGAAAGTATTTAAACGGGAACAAATGTGATTACGTTTGAGATTAATATTGATTTATAATATATATGTGTAGTCGATTTTACATTGAAATAAGAAATTAAGATTGAATTCAAACTTACATAGTTTTAATCTATAAGAGGTAAAATTTATGTACCATACTCTAAAAAACATTGTTTAATATTTAAATAGAAGGATATTAATCACAATTTACAACTTAGACATTTAAACAGTTTATAAATATTCTCTAAGAGTTATTCTTCTAAACTGATAATTTTCATTTTACTGTTATCTAGAATTTGTCATAATTATTAAGATGATTGATTAATTATAAAATAGCCAAACCAATTGTTAAATTATATTCTTAAACATAAATTTAGATCTCTAATAATAATTTATGAAATTCCTGTTGAACTATGTTTCATTTATTGTTCTTTATTTCAATGAATCCCATTTTCATAAAGCACTCATTTAATAAACGTGTGAATAGAGTTCTTAAGGATTTTTGATGTCTTTATAAGTATAGTTTAAAAAGATTATCTGTAAAATTAATTTCTATAGGAACATCAAATGTTTTACCTCCTTCTTATTCGTTATTTACTTTTTTTAATTTAAATCATTTCATACAAAAATTGAATTATGCAGGTAATATCTTTATCAATAAACCTGATATAAATTTTTGATTGTTTAAATAAATTGAAAATGCTTTATGAATGAGGAACTGTACATTAATTTATCAAATTCAAAGAATATATTATATGAAATTACCTTAAAAATAAATATATCAATTAATAGAGGTCTATAACTATTTTGATAAAATTAAATTTTTAAGCGTCTTCTAAAAAATATTCAGAAAGTATTAAATTTTTAACTTAAGAATGGTAGTTTAATAATAGGGCATTTTATTAGTAGCAATAAATAGAAAAAGGTTATGGAATTATATTAGAGGAGCATAGATAAAAAATGAAATAAAAGATGAGAAATGACTTGAGAATACAGTTATAAATTAATGATAAATATCTCATAATAATCTTTTTAATGTAAAAAAATTATCGTGTGCTTTGTAAATTTAAATTATTTAATTATAAGAATCTATATAGTATAACTTCAATCTTTCTTAATATTAATTTGTTAATGAATTCTCGAGATCCACCAAGTAAGATATTATTGTTAATCATTTCTTACTTGCCTCCTTCATTTCCCCTTACCAATGATTATCTGTTCAACATGTTCAAATCCTATGGAGACATCAATAAAATACTCATTTTTGAGAGAGGGAAAACCAATAAAGCCTTTGTTGAATACTTGAATGTTAAGCATGCAATCCTTGCAAGAAGGAACATGATGGGGAAACAAATAAGTCCAGAAGGAGGAAAGTAATGTTTAGTATTTTATATATAGACTACTAATTCACTTTTCTCGTCTCAAGTAACTCAATCTCGAAGTAGTTGATCAAACCCGTGGAACTTTATACTAAAAAAGTGAAGTTGAGACTCAACTGTAATTAAATCCTGTATCGAAAACAAAAATTAAGAATAACAAAGATAATATCGAGAGTTAACAAGTCCAAACACATCAAAATTAAATGAGAGTCCCCCAAGATTTAGGAGAGTCTCCTAACAAAACAATGTTTAATTTTTAAATTATTATTTAAGAATGGAATCATAATTAAAATAATTAATATAAATTCTGGATGATGACTTCAATAGTGAAATTGAAAAGTCTCAATAAATCTAATTTGATCAACAATAACTGATAATTGATTAGTTATTATATTAGAAGCCATCCAAATATCTGATAGTGTCCAATATAGATGTTAAAATTACATCTAAGATGCTGTATAATCTCTTTAACAGATTCGGACATCTTGATAGTTTGCTTTTTAACAAAAAATAATAGACAGCCATCCTACAGTTTACAAACTCAGATTAGGCTACCATAGCTAAAGAATTACTAAACAATGTATAATTTTTCAATAAGGAAGTGAGTAAATAAAATATATAGTTAGTTAAGAATTTTGTTCCATCAGCAGAGCGATCTTAGAACCAAAAATGTAGATGAAGAACTGTATATAGGTTCAAAAACTAAATTCAAAATTGTTCCTATAAGCAAAGTTTTAATCTTTTCTGGAATCAAAGATATTATTGAAATTTAGGATATGGTCAAATTAGTTGGAATGATATAGGGTAATTTATTTAAATGAATATAATTAGATATTAGATTAGATTAAAATTAAGTTCAGGTGACTATGGTAGATATTTATGAAGCCTTGAGAATTATATCAGTTTTCTCTGAATATGAATATAAGGGAAATAAATTAAACATATTCTTTAAATGATTATGCTGAATATATGTAATTACTCATTAATTAAATATAATGATAATAATATTATCAAATTAATTTATCCAAACTTTCTTAAATACTTTCCAAATTTTCAAATAAGTCTTAAATCTAGGCCTTTTAAAATTTAATGCTGAATTTATCAACTTTATTAGTCTCTCCTGATGGCTTAGTTTCAAATACAAAAGTTGTTGCTGGATTTCTTGCGTCATATGAATATAAATCATTAGCATCTTCAATTTTACCGTCAACATTCATAAAATTTGCTACATCTGTAATTCATACTTAATTATAGAATACTCTTTTATGGTAATCTTGATTCATCAACTTATAAACTGATTTTCCAATTAAAAGAATGCAGTACGTCTTAAACAGCAATTGGTTTTTCTCTTATTCTAATTGAATACTCATTTCCATATTGTATCCATTATTGTCTAAAAACCTCAATATGATCTTAGGACTATTAACATATAGAATAGTTTAATACCATTCCATTTTATGCTAGTACTTCTTCAACTTAAGTCAAATTTCTTTCTGCCACGACATGCATTAAGACAAAAGTGAATGCATTTACTATGTTTGCTAATTACTATTCAGAAATATTCAGGTTATTTTGAAATTTCTTAATCTCATCCTCTGTAAATAAATCTTTGTATAATTATCCTGGTTTGCTAAATATTCTTCCAATAACTATTTCAGTCCTTGGAATACTTAAAGAATTCAGATTAATAATTGCATCTTATAAATTTTTATTCACCTTCATTTTATAAATTATATTTATTTATATATATATAATAGTAATCTCATAATTAGAATTAATTAGATTACCATAATTTAAAGTCTTTCTTTTTGTTAGATTAAAATCCTGTAAATATAATACACTAACATTTGTTTTTTTTAGAAGATCAATTAAAGGATACAATAAATTTAAGAATTCCATCCTTTTTAAACTCAAAAGAAATTCAAGATATAGGTTGCTTTATTTGCGCTTTAGAAAAGATACAATTGTACTGAAAATAATGTTGAAATGATTAACATGATGATAATGAATCTAAGTAATTTTTAATACCCTTAGAAGATTAATCTGATATAACTCTATCTTTCATTATTTCAATGAGCTATGTTGAGAGTATAAATCTTAACTGAAGTCTTCAGTTTAAGAAAATCTCAAAATTAAATCAAAATTGCTATTAATTTTCCATTGAAGATTTGCTTCTGTATTTTGAATATGTGTTTAAAAAAGAATTATTTTGATTCATTTTTAAGATTCCATAAGCTTAAATGTTTGAATTTAATCTGATTAACAATTTTTAAGCTTAAGTGCATAGTTATTTTAACGAAATTGGTATTTTTGGAGAATACCAAAACTATTCTATTTCTAAACTTTTGAATTCTCAGATTTCTTTCCATAATCTCTTATATATTATTATGTGTATGGCTTCTTTGTCTTTAAATTTCAATGATATAATACGGAGAGCTATAAGAATGATCATATTTTTTCCATCTATCATTCAATTCTAAAACATTATAAACAAGTAAATTCAATTTTGATACAGTTTCTTTTAATCTTTATAATAAAGAAAATATTCTGTATTGCAATTTTATTTAATTGATTTTCATTTCAACATTAAATACCTAATAGAATTTATATTCAAATTTAGAAGTGTTGAGATCTTTTTATTTAAAAAGGTTTGATACTCTAAATTTACTATTATTTAAAGTTGTTTAACCAATGCATTTGTTAATTTTAGAGATGTTATGAGATAATTATCTTTTTTTATATTATTATTATACTCTACCTATATATATAGTACTTTTATAAAATAATATTTATATTACTGAAAATTTATACAAAAGTAATAGAAACATATGGATTAACCCAATTATTAAAGTGTTGCAGAATATAAAGTTTACCTTCATCAAAAGAACGTATCTTATCAAATTGAATAATTCCTGTGCCAAAAATTGGGCTAGGAGGCAGAGTTGAATCTGCAATGCACTTTTTCAAGAATGCCTATTACAATACCAATTAGACATCAAAATGTCGCTAGCATCAAATGCATATTTGATCTTGAATTATGGCTTGAATTTTTCGAAAGCAAACTTAAGTATTTATTTTTAGTATTGCTTTACAAGAAATCAAAATAATTTTAGTTGTCCAGGATGCAAATAATATGTGTATTTTTCAGATTTCGGGATAGACTTCACATTATTACACATATTGGCAGGAAAAAAGAAATTAGAACAAGGGGGTTAAAAATTAATAGGAGATAAAATAATCTACACATTTAACAATGGAAATAGAGCATATTTTGCAATATCGAAGGTGGACAGGAAAACAAAAATCAAAATACCTGGATCATACCCTATTATTAGATTGACAGTTTAAAATAATATTAATAATCAATAACTGAATCAAAGATAGCAAGGTATTCAAGACTAAATTAATTATACTATTTCTTAAATTAAGGATTGCATCTCTTAGAAATTATACTAAGGTAAGCAGAAGGGAAAATAAATAAATTAGATGAAGTAAGCTTTAAAAGGGAAAATAGATTAATTGAAATCTGCATTTAAATAATCTCTCAATCTAATTGAATTAGGCGTCTAATCCTTGGACACTCAGTTTATTTTTGGATTCAAGAAACTTCAAAACGAAGGAAAGAATGTTGGGAGTGTGGTATGAATTATTTATTAAGTAAAGCTAATTGTGTATTATCCACATTTGGGAATTTGGGCAGATTACGAAATAAAAACAACACCAGAGTAGCATTTCTAATTTGAATATCAATTGTATGCTAAAGAATAGAGTTTAGAAAAGGAGAACATTATTTACGTAATAGGAGGAAGAGTTTAAAACTTGGTAGCCACAAATATATTTGTAAGGATAAAATTTCCTAAAGATCCTTTCAATTAAAATTATTAAGCTTCTATTGAGTATCTTCCTAATTTACCAAATGCTGGATTCAATTATTTGGGAGGATGTTACAATAAGTATTAATTTGAAATACAGTATTAGTAATGTTTATATCTTCTGTGGCTAAAAAAGATCACCGGATTAATCAGGAATTATAATTGATACAATTTATGATTCTGGATATGTTTTTAAAAATGCTAAATGGAGTTAATTAAATTAGAGAGTTGAGAAAAGATATGATGGTAGTTGTACAATAATTAATCATTAAAAATATGATAAATGTCTACTCTTATACGGAGGATCTGAATAATTGCCTGATGGAAGAATGGGGTACAACATTAAAGAACAACAACATATAGTTTAGGTTTTCCAATTTAAATAGGAAAAATTCTTAGGCAATGGATTCAGATTGTAATTTTCAGACAAGAATGAGGATTAGTATTAAAGATTTATGCTCGCAACTCTAGTATTTGCAGTTCCGTTTGGTACTCATAGCGAATTGTTGATTTCAGGAGACTTTTTGAAAAAAAATTGGAAAGAAAATAGGGAAGTGTTCATCTTTGATTGGTAAGATGGGACAATAAAAAAGAATTAGTTGCAAAGCTAAGCTCTTGATTATTAATTGCTTTCCCATATTAAAAAACCTTACAATTACTCAGGTGCTGATTTTTTACAACCTGTTTAAGATTTTGAAGGAGCCTTTTTATTTGGAAATTATTATACGATTCACTAAGAGGAAACATATAAAGATTAAAAGACAAGAGTCTAAAATTTTCAGCTATTTGAATACAACGTAGCTAATGGACAAGGTATACTATTATTTTTAGTCTTTTAGTTTCAATTAGACCATTTGTGCAAAGAGATATTTCAATATAATTAGCACTTGATGCTTTGCATAAATTACCAAATTAAGAAAATAAAAAATTATGAAGCCTATCTTATCAATATATTAAAATATGGAAAATAGAATAAATAAATCAAAAATGGTGATCCTATCTATTCTTATCAATTTAAGCTTAAATGCAAATGAGGGTCAGATATTCCTGCCTCTATATTTCTTTGCATTTAATCCCTAAATTTCCTTAAAGCATCTCTCACATCAGGAAAGTTCTTCTAAACAATTTAACTCAACAAAGGAGATAACAATTATAAAGCTTGATCATCTGAATCACCATACCAACTTTATATTTGTATTCCATTGTCAGGTTGTAATTAGAAATTTTCAGCCAAATTGTCTATAATTATTGTCTTTTTAATGTCTCTTCCAATCTTCTATATATCTTTTACATATGTATTTTTCACAAGTGTTGTGTGTTGTCTGTACAATCTATGAGATATGACTTTGTCCTCATCTATAAGATCCAAAATAAAATCTGCATAATCTTATTATGCTGCTGTAAATATAACAATCTAATAAAATTTAGACATTTCTTTCAGGAATTACTAAGCAAATGGTCTAACTAAGAATTGGCCCTCGTCTACTAACTATATAAAAAACCAATTTATACTTCTTAGTAATGAACTAGTGTTTCATCTAGATCAATGATCAAAGTGTAGTTATTTGTTTTAGATAAATAAGGTATCTATTAACAATCTATCACTTCTTCATAGTCAAATTGAAAATCTTATGAATCCATTGTCAATCTTAACTATTGTATATGAACCAACTACATATTTGTATTATATTATACAATTTTGTGATATTCTTGTTTAATAAATTCAGTTCCCTGGTTTAAAGAGAGTCGATCAATATTTGCTAAGTTTTTCTCTAACGAATTAAGTTTTTGGTCAGTTGAATTTTCAATACTAAGACATAAAATAAAGTATTTACAATAATACTAAGAGTGAATAAACGACATTGCTATTTTTACGGATTAAATTTATATCTAAAGTTTAACAGTTTTTTTATGGCCTTATTTTATTCAATCTTGCTTAAATGGCTGCCCTTTGAGATTGTGAAATAGTGTTAGATTAGTTTAAGATTTGAAGATGTAAAGTCATACTGTTGTGTATATAATAAAGCATGTTTTTCAAATTCTATTAATCCTCTTCAAACGTATCAGATAGAGCTTTATATAAAATTACCAAGATGCCTATTCTCTCTAAATGGATCTATTTAGACAGTATTTACTAAGTTGTTTTATTGTTTTCTTCAATTAAAAAATGAGATATCCGATTAAGATAATTTTGGCATTAATTTATGACTTTTTTCTTTCTGCTGATGACTGCCATGATTGTAAACACAATTTCCTCCTAATTTATGAAATTTTAAATTTATTCATCTGAATCATTTATAGTGGAACTTGTTGATTCATTTTTATGTGATTTTGATTCTTCTGTCTTATATTTTTAAGTATCTTTATTTTTCTTATTTTGCTATAATTTTTATTGATCTAATCTGTGATTTATTTATTAGTATATTTTCTTTATCTCCAATGGCATTTAGTAAAGAATTTGAGGAGAAATAGATCGTTATGATTTATTTATTGATGTATTTTCATGTTATGATTTTGGACTAGAAGTTCTGTTAAATAATTGCTCTTGGGAATTTTATCTTTTAAAGAACAGTTCTTGTAAAATAGCATTTGATTTGGGCACTGATTTTTTCTTCTCATTAAATGACTTATTTATGGAAGACTTCTCTGCTGATAATTCATAAACATTTCTTGTAGACCTACTATCAATAGGAGGCTTATTAATCTTTGACGAATTCAGATTTTTCAGTTGTTATAGATTGTTTTTTTGCATTAAAATTATATTAATAAATATATAAACCAATGATTAATATAGGATAAACGAAATCAATCTTATTTTAATTATTTATTAGTCAGTCAAATTATTGAATTAATCTTTATTTGATCTTAATATTGTTGACTAATTATTTATGACATCAAATATCAGTAAAAATACATTTTAAAAGCTAAAAAATATCTTAGCGCAAAAATTGATATCTTTAATAAAAGTACATAATAAAGTATGGATCCCTAAGTACTTTATCAACTTAGATAATAATTTGTGATAATCATGGATTTGAAATTGGGTATCCAGACTAAAATAGTTAATAACATTTATCACATCAAACATATATCTGCAATTTTCGACAACTAACCACTAACCAATTATTTCTGAGTTCAAAAATTTGGATATTTATATTTCCTTATAATACTATAAACATCTTTTTGTTTTTAACATAATCTATTTATCTTACAAATAATATTAAATTTTGTATAGCAATTTTTAGCATAATTAATAAACATTAAATTTTAATTCGACTGTGATAGACTTTAAAAAAATAAAAAGAGTAACTAAACTTCGTTTAAACATCGCTTGTATTATAGGATACTAAAATTAGGATAATTTGCTTCTTATTGTCTTAAACCCTCTTGTGATTAAAGCATTAAATATTATATATTAAAAAGTTCCGTTAATGGAATAAAATATTTCAATCAAATGTCCAATTCATAGAAGAGAATTAATAGTAACAGGATGTATTAATCCTAATTGCAATCGTTCACCTTTGATTTGTCAGATGTGTCCGGATTCTCATTCTGATCATTATTCAAATATAGTTCAAATATCTGAATGGCTTTAAAAAGTTGCAAAGACTATTTAAGAAGGTTCAAAAACCTTAAAATAGATAAGAGACATCAATTAAATAGATTCTGTTTTAAAATGGTGTGAAGATAATGAAATGCATCTTAAAAAAGTAGACGAGCATTGTAAAGCCTAAAAAGCCTTGATAAATGAAGATTTTAATTATCTAAAGGATCTTTTTGTGGAAAAATGCAATTAAGCACAAGCATAATTAGAATAAGATATAGAAGACTTTTATACAAAATATAAAGAACAATTTAAAATTTGTAAACTAATTATGGATGACTCATATATTTTATAGAAGTAATGTAATCCTTACAGCAATGTGCACAACCTTATATTAAAATTATAGCAATCCAATCCAAAAGAAGCATAAGAATTGATTACTTAAATTAGAAAATTAATCAACAAACCCTATGATCCAATAGAAAATATTAAGTAGTGCGCAGATTCAATAACTGAAATGACTTATAACCTCCCAGTGTTTGCATTTTAAGATGGCATAGATAGCTTTGTAAATCAATTAGCTGATCAGATACACAACCATTTTAAAACAAAATTAAACATTACATTACCAAGAAAGATAGTTTCCCCCATTAAATATTAACCAAAAAATCTACATAAACAATATTCTTTACCAACTGAAAATATGACTAACAATTACAACAGCAATTAGAATACTACTAAATCCCCACGTTTAAATTAAAAATTAACATTTTCTCCGTAAAATAGCATAACTTTGCATTCTAAAACTATTGTAGGGTAATGCAGTGATTTTACTTTGAAGCCATTAAAGAAATATTAGTTAGATTTTTGTGTATCAGCAATTGAAGTTGTAACTCCATAGGTATTTGCGATGACATGTAGCAATGATCCACATTTGAGGGTTTTTGATACAATATAAAAACGTATCCATACATTTTCTACCCATACAACTCCAATTATTCAAATACATAAATCAATAGATACAGTTGCTCCTTTGTAATAACATAATAATTAAAAATCGTAAACATATTTATTCACATTATCTAATGAATAATTAGTAGTTTGGGCTTTTGATTTTACTAGTACTTAGATGATAGTCCCACACATTTATCATAAATACCTATTTAATAATTAAATTACTTAGAGTTGCTATTTGCAAGATAATTCATGTATTGTTATTGGAGACTAAGTTGGGACAGTGGAAGTCTATAACTTTTAATAATCTAAATTATAATAGAATGGAATCAAGGGAAAACATTAGAAATAGATATCTTCAATTTTATTATTGAAAAAACATGATAAGTTTATTTGTAGTTCTTATGATTAAACTTTATCAATTTGGAAAATGTTATACAATTAATAATCCTTTGAAAATACTTATTGTGAATCTATTATTCAATGTGGAAATATGCTTGGTTAAATTTAGATAATTAATTAGTTTTAATCGAATCCAAATTTACTTTTAGTTGGAAATCTAGAAGGTAATATTTCATAATAATTAAAGGTTCATTAAAGATAGTCAATTTGATGAATTAATGCGTCATTTTAGAATCAGATATTCAAAAAAATACCAATTCGATCTGTGATTTTATTATTGCAGAAGATGCTAATAAAGGTATTGAAAATAATATCAATAGAAACAATTTCTGTGATAACTTACTTATAATCAAGCAAATCACTGAGATTTTGGAGATTGTAGAATAATGATATGGGATGGGCTTAAAATGAATAGAAGATCGAAGTTGCTTTATCTTTGTCTGAGAATATGATCAGATCTAAACTTTAATTGGTTTAAATGCCTTCCAGCACATAAAATACTGTAGTTTTAATAGCTAATGAAATAAATAAAGAATTGTTAGTTTATGAAATTATAAATAAATAGTGATTAAATAAAATATGAATTATACATTTAAATCAATACTTTTAAACAAGATAAGTAATAAATTCTTCGAATTAGATTTCACCATCTCCGTTTCCATCGCATGTCTACAAGATTTCTTACCACAATTAATCGTCTATTCCTCCCATTATTTCTTATAATTCATCTTTACTTATTTATCCATCCCCATTCTATACAATATTATTTAAATTATACAATATCAAAAATTTTAAATGTTTGTTCTAGTTTAATCTTATTTAACATTTTCTCTTGTTAGCATGCTGCAGATACAAAAGCAGTAAAATCTACTGCTCCTGTTTTATTGATATCAACTTTCTCAAAAACTTCTTCAACCATTTATTAAGCTTTCAAAGGATCGTATTGTTAACTGTATACTAATTTATTTTTATATAATTTACCAGCTAAGAGTTCTTCCTTACTCAATAAGCCGTCCCCATTTTTATCAATTGATTTAAATAGTGTTATCAATTCTTCCTTTTCTTAGTTTGTCATAACTTAGGTTGTTATAAACTGCATCAATGCTGTTCGTACCTTATTTTTACTCTTAATATATATATATTATAATACATAGAAAGATTATAAATTTTTCAGTTATCGAGCATCAATTTTGGCAATATGTACATTATGTTAAATCCATGGATCTTCATATGCCTATTTTGCTGTAATCCTTTTATTGGGTTCCTTTTCCATCATCTTTTTAATTAAACTAATTGCTTAATCTGATATTCCACTCCAATGTTCAGCTATAACGCATTTATTTAATTAGAATACATGGAAAATCGTAATATCCAATGTCAATTTTGGTTAAAATCTCGTCCTGCTGTCCATCGAATGGTAATTTTCCACTTAACATTTAATATAAAATAACCCCACACGACCAAACATCACATTTTTCATTATATTTTTTTTTGAGTACTTCAGGAGCAATATAATAAGGCTAAATGATTAATTATTAGTTTACTGTTCCTAATTTTTTGGTCAAAAATTGGTTCTCTTAGATGCGTCTTGAGGTTCCAAAATCTATAATTTTTAAATTTGCTCCTTATTTGATGGACTCTAATAAAATATTTTCAGGCTTTAAATCTCTATGAACTATCTTTCTCTCGTGGCAATACATCACAGCAGATAAGATTTGCTTTAAAAATTCAGCAGCAATTTTTTCTGTGAATGTTTTATACTCCGAAATTCGTTATAATAGTTCACCTCCTTCTAAATATCTAAAATATTATAAATAATAATACTCAGTAATTAAGTAATAACTACTTTTATCTTAGAACAATTCATATAATTTGACAATATTAGGATGATCCAATTATTTTAGTATTGTGACTTCATTTAATAGGTTTTCTTCGTCTTCTTTAAAAATTTTGTCTTTCTTTATTTACTTCATTGCTCTTCTTTATCCCGTTTACTTATGAATGACTAATCGAACTTCTCCATAAGCACCTAAATTATTATTAAATCAATACCTTGACCAAGAGATTTTTCAACTCTATAATAACTTGTAACTTATCCCTGTTTTAGTGTTGCAAAATTGTCTGGTCCAACTTCGAAGGTTTCTTATTTTTTTGTCGTAGGTTGTTTCAAGTTTTCCTATTTTTCTTATCTTGTCTTGGATTGACAAAGCCCCATTAAATAAATTAATTATTTTAATTAATCAAACCATCAGATTATAAAAATTGATGATGGCCTATGACAAATGATCATAATTTTTATTTACATTTTATAAAAAATCCAATAAACAGAAATTGAATGACTTAATAAAATTTATTATTATGCAATTGTTTAATTATCAATTATCCAGTGTATATCCAATATGGATTATTCTTGGGAATTTAGATCAATTAAATCAATCAAAGAGTATTCCTTAATAAAAACATAAATTATAACAACTTTCTATTTAATGGGATTAAATAATTTGATATTTATTTATTTGGCTTATTGATATTATATTCCTGGCATTTTCATTTTAATTTATTTTTCTTAAAATTGTTTTGTTAAAGTATTTTCATTAAATAGATATTCAATTTTAAAGATCAAAGTATATTTTATTATTTATCAATAATATTCATGTAGAATAGACTTGTATAAAGTATCACACAATAATTGTTTTCTACTTACACAATTTGTCTATTATACAAAATATTATTTGCATAGAAACAAATCCAGTGATTCATTAATTAATAAAATATTATTTATTTTGGAATGTGGTATAAAAACTTTTCAAAACAAAGTTGGAATCTTCGTGTTTGGAGGTACATTTATGGTTATATCATAATTAGAAAGGCCAATATATTGTTCAATTAGGATGATATTGGTATGTTCAAAACAAAAGGAGTTTTGAGATGGAAGGATACTGTGTTTAGAATGGCAAGAAGTGAAGCTTGTGTAATTTAATATATTTATATGAAATTTAGCTAAGAGGATTCAACTTTTTTTTCTTTGCTGGTATGATTGGCTCATTCATTTGGGTTAAATCAAACTATTATGATCCAAAATATGTTGCACCCAAAAAAGTAGAAAGCGAAAAGGAATTGGAAAGATTGGATGCTGAAGCTGATAAAATATTGTTCAAGAATAGATTAGAGGCTTATTCAAGACCACATAGAAGTTTGGAAGATTTGATTGCATTCTTATCTGGGTATGATGCATATATTAAACTAATAGTTCAAAGACTTTTGATTAATTTGCTGATTTCATCAGTTATGAAGAGGCAATGAATAATAGTATGGATCAATAAAACGGTTTGGATTCATGGATGGATGACTAAGATTAAAGAATGCTGAAATATTACCAAAGAAGCATTGGACGTACTCCAAAATTTGATTGATTTTGCAATACGATCACATAAGCATATATAAAAATATCTATTGATAGTTAATTATTTATTACAAAGAATTAAGTTTCTTATTAGGTAATGATTTAGATTCCAATTTATATATTGAAAATCTCGATAATTTTTAACATTTTTATTATTTAAAATTCAAAAAAGATGGACCTTTTTGATTAGTTTTAGAAATTCAAGACCAATTTGAAGACTCAAATTGAACATCGCCCTCATTCTCAATAAAGGAACACTGTACTGAAATCCAATTTTATTTAATAAACACTCTAGACATAATAATAATAAATATCAGATGTATAAAGGAAAAAAACATTGTAACATCATAGAAGTTCTACTCTATTTAGTGCTGCAAAAGAGAATTAAGATAAATTACAAAAACAACATTAGCAATAATAAAGGTTTACTATGGTGCATAAATAATTGCCAGAAGTATTACCGATGTAATAAATTTAACAGATTTCTGATGTTTTAATTGATTGTAGTGAAGGTTAAATAAATTCATTATCAACCTAATATGTAGAAGAGCTAGTTAAATTGTCAAGCATCATTATGTATAAAGTGAAGAATTCAAAATTCTACTCATGATAAATACACTCTCCTTTATTATTATATTAAAATTCACTTAATCTCCGAGCTTCATCTAAATTTATTTCTTAATTTACGATCTAATCCGCATCTCTTTATGCTGCACTATAAAATTTATAGTATTTTAAAGTATTTACTTTTTTTGCAAATATTAAATTTCATAACTTAGATCTATATATATTTGACTTCCAATCTATTCAATTAATGTTTTCTTTAATTCTTTAGAATAGCAATCCAACTATTCTATATTTCACTACAAAATTTTCTTATTGAAAAAAATAATTTTAGACATTAGTTCTTTTTGGCAATTCGATATGGTTTGATAAAAGTATTAAAGACAATCGATTAGGAATAATTTGAAATTATATCTCTAAATTAATTAATTACAAAATCCTCTTTTTCATTTTAATTATTAGATTCATCTTGCCATTCAATCATAATTTCCCATTTATTTTCTTTTAATATTATATTCTATATTTTAGAGGTCAGAAATGAAGAGTTTAGTTGCTTGGGACCACATATATGATGTTATTCACTCTTTTCCAAACTGAATTTTTATTATTATTCAAATTTTTAACAAATTGTTATACTATTTTTAGCTTATTAATCATAAATATTATAATAAGAAAATAAATTGATAAATATCATAAAATTTGACCCTTTTGATGTAATTAATAGAATTACTTTTATAAAATTTAGTCACCTCTGCGTATCTGAATTTACAATAATTATATCTCTCTACAAACTCTTAATATTGTTGTTTCTCTATCCAGATAATTAAGAATTAATTTAAAATGATGATCTTCAAAACCCACTTTAATCTAAATTCCAATCCCTTAAATAGCATCTATTTAGCTGCTGCAAGGTAAATGATTTGTTATGGTAAATGAATCTAAGAATAAAGAAATATATTTAAATTCACTATATCTCTTGTAGTTTAGTCTTTCTTAGATGATACTTTAATATGAATATATAAATATAATACAGTTTTAGAATCTAGTTATAATTAAGTCTAAATTGAAATAATTAAGAATTTTATAAACTTCGCAGATTTCGATTAGAACATTATTAATAAAGAATGCTTAGATATATAAATAATTAAAATATTTTAATGAATACTAGAGCTTCAAAGAAATAGAGTTTACCTTTACAAAATCCAACAGGTATGAAACATAAAATAATTTAATGGACATACTAAGCTATTTTATCTATATTTTAAATTATTTATTTATTATTTAGAAACAAGATCTAAGTAAGAAGAGCAAATTGGTGAACCAATTATTACAAAAGTAAATATTGAAAATGAGGAATCTAATAACAAGATTACAAGTCTGAATTTTCGTTACAATCAAGGCATTAAAAAATTATAAATTACCAAGGTATATCCAAATGAGAAAAGTGGTAATTGCTTTAAAATATGTCAGGTTTTAAGGCTCATAAAACTAGGAATAAGCCAATAGTTTTGAATTTATTGAATGGATTAAAATAGGGTGCTGATGGTAAACTGTATGATGTAATGGATGTCAATACTTATATTTAAATGATGAATGATTAGTAATAATCATAAAACATTCCTAAATCTTTAAAGTGCAAATGTAATAAATCAATGTGTTTAAAATAATATTGTGATTGTTTTGCAAATGGCAATATGTGCACTACGCAATGTCAATGTCAGGGATGTCATAATACGGAGGATTATTTAGAGGAGAGAGAAGAGGCAATCAATAAATTGAAAATGCAAAATTAATCAATTGAAGTTTTTAATAAATATCATATTATTAATAGAAAGAAGTGCCAGTTGGAATTAGTTGCAAATGCAAAAAATCAAAATGCTTGAAACGCTATTGTGATTGTTTTTAGAATAATCAGAAATGCTCTGAAACTTGTCAATGCAACAATTGCTCAAATCAATTGGAAAAGGTTGAGCAAGGAGATTAAAGACTGATGATGAATTCTATTTCATAATTTGATGAGAATAGCAGATTGGCAAAGTCACCCATAGTTTACAACAGATAAGGGTTTTTCAGAAGAGCTGACAGTATGAATTATTCAAATTCCTTTGGTTATTCTAGAAGTATATAAGATAATAATTATGAGGAATGCTAATTCAACCTGAAGGACCATACTTTTTAAAGTAAGACTCTTAAGGATTTAATTGAATAACATAATAACTGTAATTATAATTCAATTTTGTAAAATGTATCACGGAAGACTCTTTCTGATGTTCTCGAGGGTTTACGTAATATGATTGACAGAGGTAGTGAGCTTAGGAGTAATTAACGAATTGATACTTGTTCAGCAGTACTTTTGATGCCATTTATTTAAGCCTCCAATTGGTTGAGTTTTTCTGGGACGGCTTTGAGAGTGACGGCATTTCTTTAAATAGCAGCAAAATCATCTTCAATTTATTGCATTTGAGGGACTTAGCATTAACCCATTGTGTATAAATAAAATTTAATTATTAATAAATAAATTAATTAATTTAAGGATGTCAATGAGTGATCAGAGTAAGACAGAAAATCGGATATTTGTAACAGGATATTCAACAAAAGATAAAAATGAGGAGGATATCAAGACTCTTTTTTCCAAATATGGAGAAATTAGTGAATTTTCATGGAAGGGTCGTTTTTGTTTCATTGTATTTTAGCATATATTATTATTTTAGGCTTATTCAAAAGCTGAAGAAGCTACAGAAGCAGTGAATGAAATGAATTAAAAAGATTTAGATGGAAATACTTTTGTCGTTGAGATAGCTAGAGCCAAAAAAAAAGACGGTGAATGCTATCAATGCGGCAGAATAGGCCATTTGTAAATAATATGATGATATGAATTAGTGCTCGTAATTGTAGATAAAAAAGAAGATCTTCAAGCTCAAGTTCAAGGTAAATATTAAATAATAATTAGACGCCACAAAAGAAAGAGTAGGAAGTATAAAAAGAGAAGTCCCTCCAGTTCTTCAAGTTCATCTTCTTCCTCATCTTCAAGGGATAGGAAGAAGAAATAAAAAACTAAAAAAAGAAAATAATCCTCATCATCAAGTGATTGATTTTAAAAGAATTTGGATATATATCAATGATTAAAAATTATCGTGTTTTTGTTGTGAATAAATCTAATCATTTTTTCAATGCTTATTCGTTGTCTCTTAAAATTTAAAAGGCAGTCTTTAACGAATTCAATTGTCCCTCTCTCTTACTAGCATTGGATCTGAAATTTGAATCATATAAATCTTTTTGAACTCTTGTGGTTTCTAATAATTATTATGTATTGTCCTAATTCAAAGACAACTATTTAATCCTTCTCTATGCAATTTTCTATATGTCAATAAGTGATTTATGCATACCAAATCGTTTTATCTATTCTTTAAAGTGCTGCTAGTCTTCTGATTGTCTTATCCTAATTTTTCCCTTAAAATTGAAACTTCATTAATTAATGAATTAAAATTTTGTTCTGCAGCTATTTGATTTTGTTCTCTAAATTGCTAACCATCTTTAATGGATGCAATTATTTATTCAATTAATTCAATAGCTTTTCTAGCTGTTACTTCATCGAATCTTAATTATCCAGATACATTTACTTTACAGATAAATCTAATAATAAGGCAATAGGGTGATTAAGTCCCAATTCTTATTTCACTTATTTTATTATTTCTTATTTTTCAGTTTCTTCAAGGAAAGAACCTTGATTTGAAAGAACAGCTTTGACCAATCGATCATGAATTTCTTCTAAAGCTCCCAAAATCTTTTGAGCAGCAGTCTATTTAGTTTCTACAGATTAGATTTCCTTAGCTCTATTTTCGCGAATTTATTCTTCTCTTTAATTTATTGTTTCTAATTGTTTCTTAACGGAAACACTAGTAGATGTAAGTGTTGAAATTGCTTATGTGATTTCTCCTATTTTTCTATTTGTTGTTTAAACTTCATTTTATAATGAGGTTAAATTTGCCTCTAATTATTCTATGCTTTATAAAAATGCAGCCATTCTAGAAGCATGTTCCAAATTCGCAGAATTAATTTATCCAGTTAAATCATCAATCATTTTTTATAACAACTCAAAAACACGATCTAATTATCCACCTGCAACACTCAATTCCAACATATCAACTAATTGTGAATTATATTCATTCGATTCTAATTTATGTCTTAATTGCTAAAGAGCAGGACTCTCTGTAGCAATTGCCATCGTTACTAATAGCAATACTAATAGAGACTTTTATGACATTTAATCCGTTTTTATATTTATTATTAATAATCATTATTATGGTTTCCTTTAGGGAATCTATGCAGGGGATTATTTTATATGTTATTAAGGCGAAGCATACTATGTATTTATTAAATTGTCTTACTGATTCCTTTCTAATACATGGTGTTGGATGAATGGCCTCCAATGTTAATTCACCATTTTGTCTTAATAACAATGCTCTATCTTATTCACTTAATTTTGAAAGTTTTGGATTGGCTTTCAAGTTTCCTTAAATTGATTTAAATATCTCAATTAAATTCTCCTTCTTGTATTGAACTGTGGCCTTTCTTATTGGTGATCCCTGAATGTCTTTGCTTCCTCTAACGAAAATGAACAATTGATATTTACTTATGTTTAGCAGGTTGAATTTACTCGGATGTCTTTCTTGAAGTCGATTTTTTTTCAACATACTAAAATAACTATAAATTAAATACTGGACTCTATTGCACCTTAGGAGGTTTCTCAATATTTTTTTCTTATTTTTCTAGTGATTATTTTTCAACATAAATTTCTTTAGGTCCTGAAGTGGGAGTCTTTGTTTTTTTGTCTTAATGCTCAACCTATTCGCTTCCCTTGCGTTCCTAACCTGATTACTTTCTTGGATTAGATTGCTATTGTTGAACTGGAGGATAGTAGGGTTTGGCAGTCTTTTCATGTTGATTCTAAACTTAAGCATCATCTGAAGCTTTTCTTATGTATAGATTTTAGAACATTTGATTATCTAGGTTATTAAAATACTTTTACTGTATTGGTACAAGTATTGTGCTTGGTTGTTGAATCCCAATGTCTTTGTAAGTGATTAATACACATTTTCTGGTTCCACATATGCCTTCAATGGATCTTTAGGATCATTGACTGCTTAATCTAAAAACTTCAAACCAACTTCATCATCCTTAAAAGTCACTCTACAACATCCACCTTCAAATGTAATTTCGCACTCAATATTCTTCAGATATTTTTCAATCAAGTAAGCTTTGAAATCTGCATTTGTTTAACTGATTTCATTGATTATAATATTCTTAGTGTGTGGAGGTATCAAGAGAGTCACATATCCTTCATGCAATTTGCAATTTTTGCATTGCTTCAAAGCCTATTCTTTATGTAATTAATCTTACGCCCAATATTTCTTCAATGGAATGCTTTGCTAGTGAATATTCTTTTTGAAGTGCCACTATTGGTAGATTCAAATTGGGGTCCAAGTTTTTTAGAAGGTATTTATTTTTCTCTAGGTGTTCTCTTGTGAACATGCCATCTAATTGTTTTATTAAATCAGTCATTAAAAATTTAATGAATAAATAAAATATAAAAAATACTACGTATGCCATTCTTAAAATTTAATGAGAATTATATATTTTAAATAGAATCAACGATCCTTTGTCTAGCCAAGAAGAATGGTAATCATAATAAATCTTGAGATAATTAAATACTTGACAATTAAATAAACTTATGAATAATTTCATTAAATACAAATCTATGATATTAATCATCCTAATTGAAAATGATCCTCTACAATTATACTCCTTTTCTTAACTTTTCCTAATTTATTTAATTTACTCTTCAAGTTTATGAATATTTTATACATTTCATCACTATGTAAATGATATCTTTCCCCTTATTAAAAAACTACACTAAATTATTTTAAAAATTTGATCAATCCTTTTTATGTTGGTATAGTTTTAATAAATGAGTTGGAGAAATAAACTTTGAAAGAATAAAAATACACAAAAAATTAAAGTATCAAACATGTCATAAATAAAATATTGTCTCTCTTGTTAGAGTCACTTATCATTTTATATTGAAAAATCAAATTTGTATGGTATATGTTGAGACCAAAGAAAAGGAAACATTGTAAGTATTCCTATAATTTTCCTAATCTAATAGGTATTGAATGTTTAATAAATAAGTATTTGTCTACTATGTATATCAATAACAAAGAGATAATTGAGGATAAAACCATAAAAGGATATAGCAATCCAGTAGCCAGACTTAAACAATAGATTTTGTAAACTGTAAATCTTCTTGAACTAATTTTAAATTCTCTTTTTTCAAATAATTTATTTGCTTCTATTTATGTTAGATTTCTAAAGTTGCTTATTTTTTCTTTGTTATATCTAAGTAATCTCCATATGTATGAAATATCAAATATAGTATCTAATAAAGGAATAAATATATTTAGATAGGAAATTGTTATTTGATTATCTATTAATCCTTCCTTCTGTAACATCAATCTCGAAGCATCTGATTCTGTGTAATAGTTAAATGGATTAAAGCAATCAGTCCATTTTGTAAAATGACCAGATAAAGCTATATCTATGAAGACAAACAATTGGATCTAAGCATAATAAATTGACTTTTACTGATTAATGCATCATTGATGATCCATTTCGACAAAGATAATCACTTAATTTTAATATTAGTATCTATGAAATACCAAATGAGGTTTTTATAATGCCCTAGAGTATTTTATCATCATCTCCCTGAAAGTAAGTTGTTAATAATTTTAACCTAAAAAACATTGTCATCGTGATCAATGCTCTAGGTAAGTAATATGAAAATATCAGATTTAGTAAGATAAACTGCATGGCTTTTAAATTTTTCTTTATAGTGTCTTAATTTTGATACTCCTAAACTTATTAATTATAAATTTGGCAAATAGCAAATACCTCACTTTTGAATAAAGATAATTGATCCATCAATACGATCTTCCCAGTTACGCATTCATCTAACAGAGCATTATCATAAAATGATTTAATCAAGATTTTATTTTTCCATTTATCACTATATTAAATTATTATAAATTACTCCTTATCATATTATTTGGAATATTCAAATTTTAGCTTTTCAAATAAAACATCTTCATATTTCTCTAAATCAAATACTAAGTATTAAAAAAGGTTTCTTTATCTGCTTTTCATGAATTCAACTACATGTAAATGAATGTTTTTAGGAAAATAAAGGCAAGTTTATCTTAAATATTCGAAGTTAGCTGCAGTTTACATCCTTTTAGTAATTTTTGGATTATAAAAAAAATGAAAATGTACTAATTAAAGGAGGAGAAATGTAAAATGTACTAAATAACTATAATTTGGATTATTTAGAGAGTTGTATGACGGAACCAGATTCCATACTGAATAAACTTTACTTGAATTAGGATCACAACCTGTTATTTACTGACATTAGTTCCCTTCGCTATAAATCATAGAACTATAAGGAACAAGTAAGATACTAATCATAATTATTTCTATTACCCAATTATTAATAGCTAATAAATGCAATACTATATCAATTGAAAATATTCACCTAATGAACTATGGTGATGATAATATTTTTAACCTTCAAAGAAATTGTACTTTATATGATCTCTAGGAAAATTGCAACAAAGACATTATTAAGAGTTTGAAACAGGAGTTTTGTGAACCGTATATGCTTACTCAACATAATTATATAAAATACTCTGTGTAAATACGCCTTGTTCAAATCTGGAGGAATCTTAAAATAGTTATAGTCTATCCCAGAATCATCAAAGGACATATATTTTATGTCAATACCATCCTATTGGTCAATCTATTATTCAGATATTTAATTCATTTAAAAAAAAAAAATTTAAGTAATCACAAACCACTATTTTTTTTGGAATAATTTTATATAAAATTGATTATTATTTTTTATTAATTACAATATCTCAGAAAATTGGCTCTGTTATCATTGGTTAAATAAAAAATATTACTAACGGAATTTAATTATAAATACGAGAAAGTCAGTATTGGATACATTTTATAAATATTAATAATTAAATCTGATTGCCTATTAGATGAAATTAATTCATATTCTAAATTAATTATTAAAATTGTAAATCTATGAAAATTTTGAAAATGTTATTGATTATTATTTTGGAGCTATCCCATTTGAATTCAAGATTGATTCATCCAGAATTTAAAATCTTGATTGCTTATTTTAGTAGGGTTCTTTCAATGCTTTCAATTAACCTGATTCAATTTTTCTACACGATGTTCTTTGGAATAATTGTTTCATGTTATATAAGCATTTCTACTCCTTTATCTAACTTTACATTAACTTATTGTTTTCGTTGTCAAATAATTTACAAAATGTCTAAAATTCTCTTATTAATTTATACTTCATCATTTGTGAAACAATTTAAATAAGTAATCTAACATTCTAGTAAGAACCTCATTCCATATAGCAGCGAGATCTCTTGTAACGCATTAGTTTCTTAAGGAAAGTAGAATGTCCCAGCAATTATCTCATTCAAATCTTGCTTTATCATAAAATTCGCCCCTTTATTTGTGTTATCATTGATTTTCCCAAAAATTAAAGCATAATCTCTATTTTAATCTAAATTTATTGGTTTGATCTTTTATTTATTATATTCACTGAAGATATCTGTATATTCAAGTAAAATTGAATCTAAATGTGGCTTTTATGGTAGTATAGCAGATAAATTATTGATATTTTATTTTGAATAAGATTGTTGCGATAAATGTTAAAATTAGATTTGATCAATAGAGATTGATTGATCTTATATTTTGCTTTAATCTTATACCACTTTTACAAAACTCTTTTCCTCTCTTGATAATTACTTGGCTTAATGATTTGTTTCTTTTGGAATTTATACAAAGTTTATTTAATAGAAAAATTAAGAATATTTAAGTATTACTTCCTTAAGGAATGCCAATTCACCTTATAAATTAAAGCTTCTATGCTTTGTGACTAACTAACATATAAAGTCAATATACTTGACTATTTCCCTTCACATTCAATATTTTTATTCCTAAATCGATACAATATTTCATTCCTTGAATGGTGGCCAAAAATTCTAATTCATTAATTGTTTTATCTGGATATGCTTAACTAATGGTTACTAAGTCTTTGTTTTGGCTTTTAATAATGATTCCGAATTTCCCCTAAATATTGGTACTTGAGGCATAAAACAAATCATAGGGTTCTTTGGGGTTTATTTAGATGTATGCTTATAAAGGACTTAAGAAGCAAATTTTATCTTTTATCTGACTATCTAAATCTGATGAGGTAAGCATATTAATTGGGCTTGTTGTAATTCTAGATAAAAAGGAAACACCCCCGAAACTTTTTGAACTTCTGCTTATTTTGGAATAATTGTCTTATACTTCTGATTTTATTTCACTAGCAGCTTATGAACTACTTAAATTGAAAAAATAATTATCCTGCATTGATTTTAATTTTATTGATTTATTATTAGAAACATGTGACTTTTGAATTGAAAAGAAAATATTAGATAATAAAAAGAAAAATTAAATATGAAACGAAGATGTTTCATTTTAATTTGATAATTATAATGATTATTAATAAAATGTATAACAACAATGATTTGGAAAAGTTGGTCATTAAGGGCAGTACAAGATTTCAGGAAGTTAATTTCAATTAGCCAAGACTCTTCTAACCCAAGTTGAATATAATCAAGTTAAAAGGATTTCAATAGATAGTAGATCTAATTAAGTAATAAGAATCTTTTTCGAAACACAATTAGATTCCATAAATTAATACTCAGAAAAATCTACCTTCAATTTTGGTTTATCCTCCTAAAGCAGAATTAATTACATCTTCCAAGAAGGAAATATCAATTAGAAAATATAGTGAAACAAGGGTTTATGGCAGAAAAAGCTTTACTGAATCAGCTGAGCCCCAATCTCTTGAAAGAAGGAAGATTGATACTAAAAGAAATAAGTTCGCAATTAAAAAGGCTCTTCCAAATAAATAAGAAGAGCAAAATGTATTTGAAAATCCTTCTGATTTTGCCACAATCGTCAGTTACTCAAATTTATTAATGATAATACCTTAAGAAAAGATAGTTTATAAGGCGTTCATCACAAAAGGGAATAATGGTTAATTAGTTAGACAATTAATAAAATCTAGATCTTGGTGGGTGTTGCTTGATGCCCCTTAGAATGACATGAACCTTTATTGGACATAACTTAGAAAACAAGGATTCTATAAGGATCTAATAAGCATTACTGGGAATTAATCAACATTTACCAAAACATAGAAAAAATTAGTGTTCGATAAGTTTAAACTTAGATTAGAAGAAGAAAAATATACTAATTTCGTCTCTAGTAATATCTTGAGAGTACACAATCATTTGGAGGGCAATTTCTAAATTTCAAATAAGAAGGCATTGTATTACAATATGAAATCATACTATGAATCAATAGGTCAAGATCCATTTAAATTTATTCCATTAACGTTTCATATTCAAGATGGAATCAAGGACCCTGTATATTAGTAATTCGAGGAATACGCAAAGAGGAACAATATCAATGTCTGGATAGTTAAACCAGGGGAGTAATCGAATAGAGGAAATGGCATAGAAGTGGCCAATTCGATTTCTCAAGTTAAAAGGTTAGTCTCTTATCGTGAGTTGCATTCCAATGGGGTGAAGAAGACCTTTATTGTGCAATAATATCTAAATAGACCATTATTGTACAACAAACGGAAATTTGATATCAGATGTTTTATGTTGATAACTTGTATTAATTACTAATTTAAAGCTTATTGGTATTAGGAAGGATATATAAGAACTAGTTGTAAGGAATTCAATCTGGATGACACAGATTGCAAATACACTCATTTGACTAATGATGCTGTACAAAAATACAGCAAAAACTATGGGAAATATGAAACAGGAAATAAAGTAAATTAATAATATAAATAAGGTTTCATTTAATGATTTTTCGAAATATGTCTAAGAAATTTATAATATGAACTTCAATAACACAATAGAACAATTGAAGAGTTTATGTGTTGACATTGTCAAAGCATCTAATTAACATTTAGATCCCAATCGGCACTTCTATACTTTTGAATTATTTGGTCTAGACTTTATGATAGACAGTGATTTTAGACCATGGCTGATAGAAGTGAATACAAATCCATGTCTTGAAACCTGTTGTCCTCTACTGTCTAGATTAATAAATCATTTGGTCGAAAACACTATCAGAATTGCTATCGATCCTATGTATCCTCCTCCGACGAAGAAGAAACCGCTGCCTGAATTCAAAAACAATTTTGAATTGATTTTCAACTCTCCTCTAATAGAATAATGTGATAAACTACCAGAAATTCAATAAGATGATGACGATCTTGATGTAGATGATGATAATTGAATTAATATATATTTATTTGTCATTCTTATTCCATACTCATTTTATTAAATTAAATTTGTAATTATTAGTCTATATGAACGATCTCGCTGTCTGTCCTCAGAAATTGAGATGCTGATTATTTCTTCTGTATTGATATTTAATCTGCTTGCTCATCTAATAAATCTTGATAAGGAAGTAAGACATCTTGGAATATATTGGATTCAGCATGAGCGATTCCGATATCATAATGTTGTTTCTATTCAAGACTCATCTAATGTGAAAATTACAAGAAGTCTCCATTAGAATTGAGAGAATCTATGTAATTTATCATATTTTCATATACCTCCTTTACCAAGTCCATTATATGAGGTTTACATGTAATGGTTATGTTATTATAAATTGTTTATTGAGTTTTCTTGCTCAAACTAACTCTGAATAGTATCTAATTATTTATCTTCATTTGGGATTTATGATCTTAAATACTCTTTTCCTGTGAAATCAGATTTATTTTATTACTATGGAGGAGTAATCTCCTTACCATCTGAATCCGATTCCTTTGTTTAAACATTATAGTGTTTCTTTATATGAGAATAAAACCGATTCTTTACTGAATTTTCCTTTATTATTTGATTAAATGATTACAGGTCTTCCTTTTAAGTTCTTTGATATTTCACTCCATCTAGGACCCAACCTCATATACAAATTATATATTTCTTCATCCTCCTTCTCATCGAATGGATCGTGATTGATAGCTTTATCTAATTTATTGATAAATCTTTCTCTTATCTATTTCCCAGTTCTCCCATTCATTTCGTTTTCAATTCTTTTCCAATTTTTCCCGAACTTTTGAATCAATCTTAACACTTATCTATCTTCTTCCTCCGTCCATTATTTTCTCATTTTAATCTTTATATGATTCTTAAGATACTCTATTCGGATTTATTCTTTTCCATCTTTGTGAACATTACGATTGATTTCTACCAGGTATAGCTTGGGCTACTTGTGTCCAATTTCCATTAAATTTTTCATAAAAGTTTTACAGCATCTCATCCTCCTCTGGTGTCCATATTTTTACAACTCTCTTCTTCATCATAGGCTCTGAATCCGATGCATCTGAGTCATAGTAATCAGAACTATATTTTCGAATGCTTTTTTTCGATATCTAACTCTATTGACTATGTCCTCTATGATTTCATTAATTGTATCAATACCTGGTTCTAGTGCTTTAACTCATTTATATATAATAATAGTAAAAAAATTATAAATTGTTAATTATCAAAATTTGATGCAAATAATATGTTATTGAGCTCAATATGACCATATATATTGTCATAATTATTTCTTATCATATACTAGTGAAATCAATTATTCTAGCAATTAATAGAATCAATTAGTTAATATAATAATCAATATTACTTTTACATTTATCGTAGCAATCAAATATTAATTAGCTTAACAAACAATGACTTAGATATTAAAGTTGAAACTATAAGCAAATAACCCCATATAGATGTATTTAAATGGACAAATACCAATCAAAATTCATTAATTTCTAAAAGGAAAAATAATTAATTAAGTATTATATACTAATTAATATCATTTTTCTTATGGATCTTAAGTTAGTGGTATAACTATTGAAAAATGCGAAACTACATTAATAATAAGTTCTTATTTTATATAATTAATTAATTTATTAAATATTAAGAACTAATTATTTATTAGCCCTTATAGGATAAGTATTTAACAAGACTTTGGATATTATTAAATAAAATAAGAAATAATAATAATGCTATAATTTATATAGATCCTATTTAATGTTGTATGGTCTTATATCATTTATTTTGAATATCTAAATTTTTGTAGACATTGTTGAATCTCCAATTATGATAATAATGAGCAGGAGAATAGTCTGAATAAACATGATTTGGATCCTTCTTGGAATAAATGATAGATGGTACGAATTCCTTTCCTACTTCAGTTCTGTCTTTAAGCAAAAGATGAACACCATCATACATAGATAAGAATCTAAATTAAATATTGTGATTACTTGGTGAATCTGCTGGCAAAGACAAAGGATTAATCTTTGAATTCATAAATCCAATGGTCTAATTATAATTCTAAATAATTACTTAGGGTGTTATTGTCTCCTTAAACAGAATGAACATCATGTCCAAATCCTCTAACTTATGGGCAAACCTTCAACATTGGCAGTGTATTGGTTCCTAAATGCACCCATCTTGAAAATTCAGGGAATGCAAAATGAGTTCTGCCTGTATAAAGACCAGCTTTGACTGGCCAGAAAGCAAGAGAATCAGCCTTATTAAATGAGATATTGTCATTTAAGAATTTAAGAGCAAACTTCCAATCCCATTGTCCTGATGGTAATTTAACAAGATTATCACTAAAAATAGATCTCCATTTAACACACTATATAGAAATATTTAAATAATTGAACCTCTATGTTGTCTTTGAGAAATGCCTCAATTTATGATTTGGTCATTTCTTTAGTATTAATTTCCGATAATTTCTTAATGAAGCCTCTGAATTCTGTAAATGCCTCATGGTATCTTTAATCCATAGGTGAGTAGTCAATGCAAAACACACCTGTTGTTCTTTCAGGATGATAACATCCAGCAGCTAAAGCAACCTTTGCTCCAAATCCATGTCCAGCCAAGGTTGCCATGGTGATTTTATTATAATACATGTATCTAACAACGTCATTGGCTAGATCTTCAACATCGAATGAGTAATGCTTATCCGATGTACCAAAATTTCTTGGACTCAAAATATGCACATTTCTATAATCAAGAATCTATCAATTCACACACTTTTCTACCTTATTAGCTGGGTCACTGAAGAAGGGGATCCAATTTTCAACAGGATCACAGGCTTCAGGAAAGAAGAGCATATTTGGTAAATCATTATATCTGCCTTTGAGAGTGACTCCTCTTAGGACTACATTCTAGGAAACATTCTAATTCTCACTAACTCCTTTGTGGAATTAGAGTGTACTGAATTTCCAAAGTTATCGAAATCTGTACATAGATATTTTAATTAATTAATTTATTCATATACTATCATAGCCGCCGTGTCTAAATCTCTGAACCTGAGTTTGCAGTCTATCTACACCAAAATGAAATAGTGCTCTGACTTGAGGAATAAGAGTTTTGATTTAATGAATGTGAGGGATAGCATCTTCTCCTTCTATTTGCAATTTTTTACGATTGTATATGAAGCGGCCCCCAAAATATAAACAAATAATAAAAATGAATTTAAGAAACCAATGTGAACCTACATTATTGATATGGAATCGATACTTGCATTTCTGCAGGCAGCATGATGTCTTATTTTAAATTGATCAATGCATTCGTTATCTGGCAAAACTGTGAATGTAGCATCATCATCTCCGCATTCAATAAAAAAATGAGCCTATCTTGGTTACATTACTCCTGTAGGTTATTATTTTGGATCCATACATAAATCTCCTTAGGTGTACTTTACAACTATGCCTTTGTTTAGATCTCTTGAATCCAAATGTTCGAATGCTTAAGTTTCTACCAATCCAGCCACATCACAATTTTCTGTTATTTATCCCATAACTGCCAAAGCCTCTATAGCTCCCACTTATCTATCATGACATTTAATAGGTTTGAAATCACAAAAATTGAATATGTAAACCATGCTAAACATTCCCATCCCACTTGTCTCGTCTTTCAATTGCCATCCTTCAGGTTTATCTAATGATTTTAAATTGTAGGTGTATCCTGATTCGTCTGTCCATGTGCATTATTGACATGAAGCTATCCCTATCAAAAATACCAAAATTGTTATTGTCAAATTAGAACACATATGTTAATTTATTATATTATATATTTATATTTATCAATAAATCAATAAGCCCTAATAGATTGCTGTTACATTTTATCCTTTAAGTCTTGATTTTCACCTTCCAACTCCTAAATATGTTTGTCAAAGTTATCCAAATCATCATTCAACTATCCAATTATATCCTCTTATTCTTTTAATTTATTTTCAGCCACTTAGTATTTGTATTTTAAGGCTTCGATCTGAGTTGCTAACATAGCGATCTTACCCTCATTATCGTACTAATTTTATCAACATTCTTAATTACCTTAATCTATTCTAGTTGCTCTATCTATTATTATAATTGCCCAATCTTCTCTTTCAACTATTAATTCTCATGATCCCTCTATTATAATTCATTCTCCAATTACTATTAATTAATTAGTTATTCATTCAACAAATTCAACTAGTTTTAAAGGTCGTTGACACTAAATTTAATAATTTATTATACTTGGCTTTAGCCTAATTCAATTCATCCGACTTAGTAGTCAATGTTTAATGAAGAGTATTGTTTTCTTTCTCTAAATTTTACACCTTCTCTTCAGCTTAATTTAAAGCATTATCCAAATTTCCTAATTCTTGTTATAAATGTTCATAATCTTATAATTTTTCTTCAAGTTCCTTTATTGTATTTTGAGCTCCATTGTATTTTAGCTTAGCTCTCTCAATTTCTGGTCCAAGCAATGCCACTTTATTTTACAATCCATAAACTTCATTATTCAACTTATTTATTTCATCATCCTTCTTCATCAGATCTAATTAATCTTAATCTGCCTTCTTCTTCATTTCTTAAATTTACTCTGATAATCTTGTATTTTCAGGATCTAATGGCTCGAGTTAAGCAACAACATTTGATAACTATTAAAAAATCATAAGATAATTTTACATCTGTATTCTAATTAGTTAATTCATCTATTTTTTCTTATTTATTCTTATTTAAATGCTTTTATCTCTCAATTTCTGCAGCCAACATTGCTATTCTCATATCTAGATTCTCTTTCTCCTTAGTCACCTTATCCAATTATAAAGTAGTCTTGTCTAAATCTTCTTTTGTCATTCTCAAATCTTAAGCTCTATTAAATATTTTAATTAATTTATACTTTTCAGCATAATTGGCCTATAATTTTTAATAATCCTTCTCCATAACTTCATATGCTTCTATTTTACTTTCAAGCTCTTTCACTTTAGTCTAAGCTTCTCCTAATTTTTTGGCTAGTATTTTATTTTCATTTTACAATTTATTTACCAATTGTTATAAATCGTTGACCTAAGTTTGTAATGGTTCAATTTATGCTACTAATTATTCTAATTCTGCAATTCTCTATTTCTAATCTGCAATTTAATGTTGTAATTCCTCCTCCATTATTTATTTTTCCAAAGTTATAGCTTTCAATTATTTTGTTAATTTATTGAAATTATCTGTTAATTCATCATTTATTAATCTCATCTAAATGGCTTCTGCTTTATACACTTACAGTGTCTTAACTTCATTGTCTTTCTATAAATATTTAGCCTTCCATTACTCTAATTCTTCTTTTAATTATGTAATCTCATTTTTCAAGGACTCATTCTCTTATCTTACTTGATTGAGTTTTGTATCCAAAGTAAGGTTGAAACCTATTGCTTCCTTTAATTCTTATTCTAATATTCTATCTTTTATTATTTTCCCTTCTAATTCCTTTATATACTTCTCTAACTATTCAATTTTATTTTTCAATTGATCCAATTCCTTAGTAGCTTTCTTTAATTCATCAGCAGTCTTTTAATGTTATTCCTACTCATTTAAAAATGCCTATTCCAATTTTGCAGATTGTAGTCTCTAGTCATTTAATTATTAGACTACTAATGAGTAATTAGATTCCAATTATTATAAATTTGATTTTACTTAAAATAAGGTTCTTATTTGCAATTCCTGTTAACTTAATTACTCATTTTAAAGATTTATTTAATCATTATAGTCTAAATTCTATTTCGATAGTTTATCTACTTAATTTTATAATCTATTAGCTTTCTGTTCTAATTAGGGAATCAGTTCTTATAAATGATTTAATTCATTCACTTTCTATTCTAAATTTTTATTCTTTCTCTTCAACTCTTCAATCTCCTTAATTAAGTTTTATTTCTCTTATCTCAATCTCTCTACCTCATTCTTATAAATTTAGAATTATTGGTCAGTTCTTAATAATTTCTTCTCTAAATCAGAAACTTGCTACATATATGTTGGTAATTAAATATTTAGTTCAGTAATTTCCTTACTCTTTAATGTATTTTCTGCCTTTAGTTTTTCAATGATTGCTTCATATTGTTTGTTCTAATCTTCAAATAAATGTGTTTCTTGAATCTTAATTTATAATGATCTATTCTCACTTTGCAATTTGCTTATTTAATCTTAATAAGCTGTATTTAAATCAGCCAACTAATTCTTTTAGATTGTGATGTCATTTAATTTTCTTTCAAGCCCCTTCAAATCAGCTAATTAGCGATCATTTTCTAAATACTTTTCTTTGTATTAATCAGCTAATTTTTAAAGAGCCTTGATTTCCTCCTATTTACGGAGAATTTCTTCTCTCAATTCTTAGAGTTATAGATGATGATCGTTTTTTAGAGAAGTATTTTAATCTTGCAAACTTTGAACTGTTTTCTTGAGATTGAGTAATTCAGATTCCAATTCTTTGATTCTATCTTATAATTTTGCATTCAAGACAATTTAGTTATCTAATTCTTATTGTTTATTTTACAATTAATTATTGAGAGTATCAATTTATTATTCAGCTTTTGCTAATTTCAATCTCAAATCTTCAATTTACTATGATTTTTAATTTAACAAAGTATTATTTCTTTATAATTCAATATTAATTTAATTATCTCTTAAATTATTAACATTCTTCTATTATTAGATATTCTATAATTATTATTATAATTATTAATTTCTTGAACTTAAATCAGAATTAATTTTAAGTGTTTATTCATACTTCTATTGTAATACTTTTAGTTAACTTTGTAATTCTGCTAATCCATCAACTTAGGACTACAATTATTGGTTTTCTGCCTCTAATTAAGCCAATTATAAGTTAAGTTGATCATTTAAGGATTTATAAGTTTCGCATTATTAGAAAATCTTTAAATACTCTGTTTCTTTAGATATCAATTCTTTCAATCTTTATTCTAACTCAAAGTTCTTGACAGTCAAATCTTTAATTTACTTTCTCAATTCAGCAATGTCTCTGTCCTTCATGTCTATTTAGGACTTGGCTCTATTTAATTCTAATTCAATTATTCTCAATTGTTGTAGTTTTTCTTATAAATTCTATAATTCTTTTTCAACATTAGCTAATTGTTCACTCTTTAATTTGAGTTCCTTATCTAATGATGACAATTCTGATAATAAACTTTATTTCTCAATTTACAATTCATTGATTTCCAAAACTTATTATCTTAAAGTGTTGTTATCGTTTTCAACAAACTTTAATTTATTATTTAATTTATCATAGGCTTACTACTTATTATCAAGTGTTCTATTTAATTGATCAATTTAATAATTCAAAACACCATTTTACTTTTGCAAATCTGTATTGTAACCTCTAATCTGATCCAATTGCTTTTTCAGCTTCTCATTCTCTAAAAGTTATTTGGCTTATTCATCATTTTTCCTTTTTAATTCATCAATGACTCTTTGTTTCTCTTAAATTTATTGTTTCAATCCTTGCAATTCTTTAATATGATCTTCAGCTTATTAGAGACTAACTTATTATTGTTTAATTACTTAGTCTTTAATCTTTCTATTTCTTATTGTTTAGATGCTAGTTATTGATTCAATCTCTCAATTTCCTTTACCAATAACTTATTATTATTATCTTAATCAGTGACTTGAACCTGAAGATCAAAGACTTATAATTCTAATGTCAAAGCCTTCTTTCTCCATTAATCTAGATCATTTAATATTTAATTAATTTAATCTCTCAACTTCTTATTCTCATCCTCCAACAGATCCATAGTAGATAATTGACCTCTCTTAACAGTATCCAAGTTTAATTGATTCATTCTTTCCAACAACTCTCTTAATTCCTATAGCAATCTGTTTCTATCTTCTTCAGACAACTTGAATTTATCTTTCCACATAGCCAGTTCATTCTCTAGGTTCTTGATCTTACTTTATAATTCAAAATTTTCAATTTCTTATTTTCTTGCATCTATTAAAAGTTCTTCCAATCCCTATAGTTTTCCTCTTAACTGAAAATTCAAATAAATATTACTTCTAAGTTTTCATCTTGTTTTTTCTTAAGCAATTCTTAGAGTGCATCATGTTCATGTTAGTTTAATTCAAGTTAATAAATTTTATTATCTCTTTATGCAATTGCTAAGTCTTTCTATTCATTTTCATTGATAAGCTGTTTAATCAATGCTAACAACTTCCCGTTTTCATCTGATAGTAATTTTAACCTCATCTCATACATTCCAGTCTAAAAATTTTATTTACATTAATTACTAACTCTTCCAATCCTGAGCCGCCGCTTGTAATTTAGAGAGCAAAGAATCTTGCCTTCCATTATTCAACCTCTATACGCAGTTAATTAAGTTTGTCCAAATCAGATCCATCCCCATCTTACTTTATGATAATGGCTAACAATTATTTTATAATCCTTACTTTACTAAGGTCTAACAAGAGTGGGAACTATCTTTGATGTTATCATTGGCTATATCGATCCATTAGGCATTTAGAAGTATTCTAATTGATTTACTACAGCCGATTATGTCATAGCAACAGGAGGCTAAAGGATTATCATTATTCTTTACTGAGTTAATCACTCTTACGCTTGATCCTCCTGCACTAGATCTCTTCATCTTGTCATTCGGAATGACTATATGACTCTCAGAATTAACTCTTGATTGTTAATTTTATGGTTATGGTGATAAAAATCTGCCTCGATTAGGTGTTTATTATTCACTCATTAGATTAAATTAATATCTTTGCAATAATTTATATATCAATATATATAATCAAATAAACTACTTCTTCATTGAATGCTCTCTCGAATTAAGTGTAATTTTCTAATTAATCATTATCATTAATTACTAGTATTATTTTATTTCCCATTATTTAAAGCCAATTAGACTTGTTAAATTTTATTGAGTAAAATAAAATTTATGTTTGAAGAAAATATTAGTTAAAGAAATCCTTTGGAGGTTTCCAATCATGCCAATGCTGTTAAAAGGTTCGAGAATCTAGAGAAACTTAAGTTAATTGAACGTCTAGAGACAATTCAAAGGATTAAAAAATCTAATGATAGATTAGAAATTAAGAAGTTTATGTTTCAATTGCAATAAAGAATGTTTGATGAACCTGATTAGTTTTCAATTATTAAATTTTCAATAGGTCTAGTAAAGCCAATTTTAGGGAATATGCCTAGAAAAGTGTAGAAAAATTAAAGCGCGATTCAAAACTTTCTCGTTCTCCTGACTCACGCTAAACTACAGCAGCTGAGAAGTAAACAGAAATAAAGGAAATCGAAGTTAAACCATTTAATATGTGATAGTTTTCATTAGTTAATTATGATTAATGTAATATATTATTAGTTAAATTCATAATTCAATGAATTCTAAATTCTAATAAAATAAAGTTGATAATTCTTTCTAATTAAATTTGTTAAAGTTTTAATGATAAAATATAATATTTTAACTTTTAATATTTGCATTTTTTGTTAAAAATTAATTTTATAATTTAAGTCTTGCATATAAAATTAAGATATATCTAATTTCAACTAAAAATGATTTTTTTGATTCTTCTCAAATTATTATTGTTGACTTGTAAATAAAACAAAGATTATATGCAATAAATATATTTCAGGTTTCAGATTCATATATATGACTTCAGGAACATTTTTTTTTTTTTCAAAACATCTGTTTGTCTATTGATACTATTTTTAGGACTCTGAACCACATCAAAATGTACACTTTTTATTGATTTTTAAACATCCGATATTTATTGAAAATATGATGATTTATTATTTGTAAGGTCTTTTTTTTTCAAAATACTTCGAATTCCTATACTTTAAAAGGACGTAGATAGCTTTGTAGTTAATGACCTTGTCTTTTTAGAGGGTTTATAATGGTTTTTTCTCTTCATGTAATAAGAAGTAAAATTTTCTCTTGAATTAGTTTAAATATCGCCAGCTGGAGAGTAGGATTTAGCCTTTGCTCTGCTTTTTATGATTAGACGGTCATATTGATCCATCACTAAAAATAATGCAAAGTCATCTTCCTCTTGGAGAGGCAGAATTTGTTCTAAAGGAATTGGTTTTTTGAGATCAGCCACTAATATTTCATGATTACTGTTCATTGGTTCCATTTTGAGCTTCATTTCTTAAATAGGGTCTTATGTGTTTTTGCAACAGCAAGGTTTTGAACCCATACTTTTGCTAAATTCTCTTTTATAATTTAATTAGGTTCTCAAGAACTTCTAATTAACAAAAAAAAGCTTTATAGAAGCTTATAAAATATGTTGATTTGTTCGAAATTGTCTAAAGAAGTTTAACATATGAATGATTAAATGAAGCATTATTTTTCAATATCACAAATAAACTTTGTCACCTTACTGCTTCAAAATATAGTAATCCATGAGATTATTTCTGGTAAGAATAATAATATCTCAGATTACAAAGGAAATATTGTAATTTACATTTTCCTTCTATTATTAGTAAATAGAGTACTCTGCTGATATTTAAGCAAAATTTGTAAATAGGTGCCTTTAATTACTTTAAAAATGAATTTTTAGAAATCGGCATTCCAAAGGTTTAAAGACCTTGCAATGAATTTCCTAAGAAAAATATAAAAATAAATTTGTAGTGTTAATTTAATAATTGATTTACATTTGTATTGTTTGAATAAAATGCAATTAATTTTATTTGGTGTTGTTATAATATTATTGAATTGGGAGTTAAATGAGTAATTGATGTATAATCATATTCCGTATTATTATTTTGCATTAATATATTACAGAGTATTTAATTAAAGTGCTATTTTCAATAACGGATTTAAATGAATATATGTAGTTATCATCATTATAATTATTTATGATTAGAATTAAATTTATATAAACATAAACAAGTAGTAAATGGAGAATCAAAGATATGAAATTTTCATATATCCATTATACTTTTACTATAGTTTATTCTTCTATAAGTCCTTTATTGAAAACCTAACTCTTTTTTGTTGTTGTAAGTTTCTTTTTCCCTAATCCTAAGGCATTTCCTTATTTTTCAAAATGCTCTTAGGTGGTATTTCAGAGAGAATATTTCTAATAAATACACTTTTTGATCTATTTTTAGTTCCATCGGAATTATTAATGACATTGAAGTCAGTGATTTTGTCTAACTCTCTTTGAGAAAGATTTTTAGTTTCTAACTTCTAGAATGACTCAACCATACTGATAGTTGTTTCTACTTCCTAATTTAATTTATCCTCATCCTGAGATAGTTTCAATTTAAGCTCTTCTAATGTTTCCGTTATCAAGGTACTCTATTCCAATGTTACACTAGAACTGCCTTCCTTATGGCATTCTCTTTTAATTACAAGTTGCTTCAAGTCAGTCATTGATGAATCACATTGTTATATATTTTTTGCACATATCTATTATATTTGCCCCATTTAAGTAATTATATAAATAAAGAAAATAATAATAAAGAAAGAAATTCATAAATGGGTTTCTCTCAATAAATATAATAGAAATAATATATTTAATAAACTCATATTCAAAAAATATCAATCAACTTTTTAGAATTACATTATAAAATAAAAGGTAGAAATGAAACTTTATTTTTTGATTTTTTCTAGAATTGAGATTCTTGAGTGTGTGATCTTTTTTTTAATATGCTGTTCGGTTTTTAAGTTGTGCTTAATTTTGATGAATCGTTAATATATTGAGATGCACTTAGAGATCTGCCATACTGTATTTTTTTCTTTTTCTACTGCTTAGTACTTATCGTAATTCCTTTATATTTATTATCTACAGAAATGGAGCGACTTCTTATTTTCGAGGAGCAATTTAATGCTGTGCTTATTGATTTTTTATTCACGAGCTATTCATAGGTTGCCATAATTTAGAGTAAAGAAGAATCATCTTCCGGACTGATTTGCACCGCTTAATTAAAAACAGCTTATTTAAATTAAGTCAAATGAAGTTCATTATCTGTTATTTTATTTTCTTTCCCCTTAGAATAAGATTAGGGACAGCACAAACAACTAGGATAGGATCCCATTTTTAAATAAGTTAATTATATTATAGAATATTCATTTTTGTGACCTGAATATTAGAGCTAATGTAAAGAATATTCTTGAAGAATATTAGATAAATATTAAATTTACTAATATTATCAACATCCAGATTTGTTCAGCCGTATATTAACAAATCACCTCTTATCATGCAAATGATCAAACCCTCTCTAATAAAGGTCAATTTCTAAACAAAAAAATACCCTTAAATTAGATTTCCTTCTTTCCAAAACCAAACCGACCAAAAGCAATTCAAAAATAATTTAAGCTTTGAATTAGATATAATTTATTGCTTTATCTCTTCTAATTAAATAAGGTAAGCAATTGTCTATTGTTTATCTTGAGAAAATTTTTGAGAATTGTTTTTCTTAATATAAATCTATATTTTTAATTTACAAACAATATAAAATGTTGATATTAAAAATTCATTTCTTGTAGTACTTTTAATTTCTCTCAATATTTTTTTCTTTATTTTATGTTGGTTTTTAAGTTATATCTATAGATAAAAAACAAATTGCCCGCTTTATTTTGTTTTCTCTTAGAAATGCTTTACTCTAACCAATATGAATTTTATTCTTATAAGTTATAAATTATTGCAAACAACACTTCAATACACTTTTAGCATTTGGGTATTTTCAGAAGTAGATTATTTATTATATCAGGAATAATGATTTTTCATTAGTATAAATATAATCAAAAAAATAATATGTAAGGATTAAACAATTAAAACTACAATCCTGTTGTAAGACCAAAAACATTAATTTGTTACATTTGTGGAAGGGAGTATAAGAAATTGGTTATTTAGGTATGGAACAAAAAGTTTAGAGATACATCTTAAGACTTGCCAAGAAAAGTTTCTTATGGAAGAAGCTAAAGTAAAGTTAAATTTGTCATTTTTCATATTAGAAACCAAAAAACCAGAGGAGACCATTACCACAACCTCCAAAAGCTTTAGGTGGAAGCGGAAATTATGACACAGAATCGTATAATGATTAAGCTTTTAATGCATATAAAGAATAGAGTCTTGAGAAATGTGCATATTGTGGCAGAACGTAAAAGAATTTGAGTTATCCTTAGTTTCAATCGAGAAAGCTATCCTATCCATTTAAAAATCTGTAAACCTGATAAACCATTTAAACCTCTTCCTGGATTTGTTTAAAACCCTAAAGAAGTCCAGTAACAAATGAATAGAGATAATGGAGGAACTCAATAAGGAAAATCAAATTCTAATGGTTATTCAGGAGAATATAAGGTTCCTGCAAGACCAAAGACTTTAGTGTGCTATATCTGTGGAAGAGAATATGGTACTAAGTCTTTGGGAATTCACATACCTTAATGCAAAGAAATGTTTATGGTGTAGGAAATGAAGAAACCAAAAGGGGAAAGAAGGAATCCTCCAACAACTCCAAGAGGTTTGTGGGATTTATTAAATAAGGAAGATATAACTATGGAAGACATTGTGGCTTATAATAATGGAGTATTTATATATGTTCTATGATTTAAAGGCGTTTAATAAATACAACAAGGAAGCTTTAGTTGCATGTAAAAACTGTGGTAGAACTTTCAAGCCTGAGGCATTGGAGCATCATATAAAGGCTTGCACTGCTGATAATCCATTCAAAGCTCTGGATTCTGTTGAAGAAGGAGGTTAAGTTGAATTAGTTCCTTGTAAGAAATGCGGAAGGAAATTCTTGCCATCCAGAGTTGAAAAACATGAAAGCAATTGTAAAGATATAAAGGGAGCCTAATAAACATAGACGAATGGAATTTAGAATTAAAAATAAGAATTATAATAATAAAAATAATAATAAAATTAGAATTCAGAAAATCCATAATAAAATCAAAAATAATAAACTAATTAAATTTAAAAATAGTAAAGTTTCTCAAAAACATCAGTTAATTTTAATGATAAAAGTTTAAAATGTAAATATTACGTACATTATTTAGGTTATAAATGTTTTTAAGATTGTAATTCTATTGAAGATCTGAAGTAACACGTGAAGAATTGCAAAAATCAAGGAACAAAACCTTAAATCTATGATGATTTGGTATAAATTCCAAATCCATCATAAGCACTTTAAACCCTTTATAGGAGTTCTGTTTTTGAAAACTTTAAAAAAATTGAAAACAAATCAAATCCTCTTGGATAATAAGAACAACAGTCTAAATAATAATCTTAATCATAAAAATAGCAATAAAATGAGAATAATGATTTTGATGAAGATCAAGAGGATTAATAAGATGGTATTGATTTAATTACATGTGATAAATGCGATAGAAGATTTGCTTAAGATAGAATAAAAAAACATCAGAAGGTTTGTAAAGGCAAATAGTATTTTGAAAAAAAAGAACACAAAGTTGAAGTTTAAAAAGCCCCATAGACTGGATGGAGACAATCTCATTAAGAATTTATTAATACTATAAAATATAACAGATAATTGAAGAAAATATAAGAGGAAGGAGGCGACATTAGATAATTGGGACCTCCTCCTGTATCATCTAATAATAATTATATTTAATGTCCTTATTGCCAGAGAAAGTTTGATCCTAGTAAAGCTGATAAACACATTGCTATTTGTTAGAATGTTGTTAATAAACCAAAAACGATTCAAGAAAAGAAATAGAATCCGTAACAAATTTAGCAACCAATTTTATAATTATAATAATAATAACTGCCTTAATAAAATTATAGATAACAATAAAAAGTATAATAAGCTAATTAACAACAATAAAATAATACTAATCCAAAGTATGGAAGAGTATTCTAATTAAATGATGAAGCTTAATAGCCAAAAGTTCAATTACAATAAATGAATGCGTAACAATCCAAAACCTCTTATTAAAGATAATCAATATCATTATAAAAAACTCCATAAATTCCTTAGAAAACAACAATTCAATAGTCATAATTATTATCTCCAAATTAAAGTACCAATTAGTTCAGAATAAGAACACCCTAAACAACTCAAAAAATATAGTAAGTGAAATAATCTCAAAATTCCATTAAGATTGAGAACAATATATTCCGACCTCCGACGTCTGGTAGGACATAGGAATTCACGAAATCTAATTCTTAAGTGTAATTAAAGCCAATTAATTAAAATTAGAATATGTTTAGAAAATTTTGAATATATTCTACTTTGATAATTTATATTTATTTATTTATTTTTCTTCCCTATTCTTAATTTAGTAAAAACATAATAGATAATAAAGATTTATTTAAAGATGGAATGAAATTGAAACATAAGTATTTATCATTGTTTTGTATTGTATGAGCCACAATTGCTACATTTGAGATAGTAATTGAAATAGATTTCATTTGTTATTTTACGACAATCCAAACATTTGATGGAAACTTTTTAATTTTAAATGTGAGCGGGTATTAGAATTTTTGCTTCCTAAGCTAATTTATCGTATTATTCAATCTCTTCTGTAGACATTTTCTATTAACGAATGAAATACTTACAATAATAGGAATGCTACATAGTGGACAATTTCTTTTATTGGATTTGAGTAGTTACTTTAAACACGATGTATGAATGAAGTGAGCACAATTAGGTAATTGCATTATATAAGTTGTTGAGATTTTCAGATTTTGTAAACAAATAGGACAATTAGTGTCTGCTATTTGATCGAGACATTTATGTGAATCTTAATTTTCTAGATTCAGACATATGTTACACACCTTACAATGAAAATTCAATTATTTTATTCCCTGAATAAGCATAGGATGATTACCCTTCTGCACATGTTACATTCATCGCAGTGATACACATCTTTGTTAGGGTCATCTTCATATAATTTACAAATTGAACAGAAATATTTAGCGAATTGAATATTGCATGATATACATTAATTGGTTGGTGGTTGTTCACATAAACATTATCGACATCTTATAACTGTAACATTAAATCGATCCATGATTTCAATTTTGCATCCATCCGAATTAGGTCCTTAATAATTGGCATCATGACAGAGTCTACAAGGATAAAATTTACCACAGCATGGAGCCTTCTTGTCGCAATTTCTTTAATAGTGTAGACAATCAGGTACTGGTGTTATCATTACTTTAAAGAATTTAAAATCAATGCAATTTCTTGGATTGACGCATCATTATGTAATTTACTTTATATTGGTTTATACGGAGATTTATATAATAAAGAATTATATGCAATAATAGTAGGATCAATTGAAGATAGCCTTTTTACATCCTGGTATTTTAAGATAATAACAATAAAGATTTGGGAATTGGAGGGGCAGAATAATTAGTAGTAAATCTAGCATTGGCTTTGCAGAAAAACCATTATGTTAAAATCTATACTCCACATCATGACCCTAATCACTCATTTCCAGAAACAAATGGTCAGATACCTGTAGAAGTAAGAGGAAATATTATACCTGCTAATTTCTTTGGTAAATTATAGATCATAATTATAAAAAGGATATTGTACAGCAATGTGTGCATATATAAGGATGATATTGGCTACTTTATATATAATATTTTTTAGTGGTCGTTGGGATGTTATTATAATTGATTAAGTATCTGTTTGTCTTCCGTTGCTTTGGTTATTTAGAAGAAAGACTATATTTTATTGTCACTTTCCTGATAAATTATTATGTGTAGAGAGAAAATCATTCATAAAAAAGATTTATAGATTTTTCTTGGATTCTTTTGAGGAAATTAGCATGCTTTTTGCTAATTTGGTATTAGTAAATAGTTAATTTACAAGAGAAATTGTAAAATAAGCATTCCCTCTTTATAATAAATATGGAAGACAACCAGAAGTTTTGTATCCAGCAATAGAATTCTCAAAATTTGAAATGGCTCCTGAACTCAGTAGACTTGATAGTAGACTGGAAAGCAGCAATTACTTCTTGTCTTTGAATAGATATGAGAGAAAAAAGAATATTGCATTGGCAATTCATGCATTTGCTGCATTTAGATAATAATTAAATTCTGATGAAAATATTGAATCCGTAAGATTGGTGATAGCTGGAGGATTCGAATAGAGAGTAGAAGAGAATGCTTAGCATTTTGAAGAGCTGAATCAGATAGCTTAAAGATAAAATGTTGCTGAATATGTTTCTTTCAAAAAGAACATTTCTGACTCTGAAAGAACTCAGTTGATGTCAAATGCATTGGCTGTTCTATATACACCGGAAAGAGAACATTTTGGGATTGTTCCCGTTGAAGCCATGTACAATTAAGTTCCAGTCATTGCATGCAATTCTGGAGGTCCCAAAGTATTTATTGATTTATAAATGTAGGAATCGATTTAGAACGGAGTGACGGGATATTTGTGTGAATCTAAAACGAATGAATGGTGTTAAAGAATGATAGAGATTTATTAAAATAAAGAGAAAAGCAAAGAAATGGGAGAAAGAGGGAGAGACCGAGTTATTTAACTGTTTGGATTCGCACAATTTTAAATGCAAATGGATAGTTATGTAAGGATGGTTACCAAAACAGGAAAATAAAAATAATAATGAATATTAAAGGTTATTTTGGAATCATTTTATTATCGTATAACATATCAAAATGCGTAATATTTGAGAATTAAATCCAACTTACAGAAAATGACTTCATTTTTAAAATAAAACATCTTTTCTTCTTAAAAACACTGAACAACCACCATAGACTGGCCAGGTCACTTAATTAAACCAGCAAATATGCTTTTAGATTGTACTTCTTAAGAGGTAAGTTTATCAAAATTTAAATAATTTTAGGTTGTGATAATAGATAGCTCACGTAATCATAATAGAGGGAATTTCTTAATTATGCTAGAATCGATCCATATGGCCATTCCTTTATGATATATAATTCAAATGAACTTAAGAATAAGGTAAATTCTTGGAAATAAACTCTTCCATGGATTACACCATATTACGCAATTAAGAGCAACCCTATTGAACCCTTAATCTAAGACATCATTAATGGTCCTTTCGGGACTTTTGACTGTGCCTCAAAAGGAGTAATATCTTTAAAATATCTTTAGGAAATCTAAATGGTGATGAAATATGGAGTTCCTGCATCAAAGCTGGTTTACAGTAATCCAGTCAAAGAGGAAAAGGATATTTATTATGCCAAGAACAAGGGAGTCTAAATAACCAGTGCTGACTCTATTGACGAACTAATCAAGATCCAAAAGATAGCACCCGAAATGAAGATACTATGGAGATTATCTATTGTTGAAGAAAACCCAGAATAAATGGCTACCCTTTTTTCTGGTAAATTTGGGGATGACGTGCCAAATTTAGATGCTGCTCATAAAAGGTTTAAGTAAATTCAACAAATGGGTATTCAATTGCATGGTATTCATTTTCATTGTGGAAGTGCTGTTTAAGGATCATCCTCTTTTGGAAAAGTAATTCATTTATTTATCTCTAGGCTATTGATTTGGCCTAAGAATGTATGAGAATAGGCAGATTGTATGGACACAAGATGGAATTATTAGATGTAGGAGGTGGATTTCCTACTGGTAATATTCATGAAAATGCAATTAACGCATTGAAAAAAACTTAAAATGATCCCTTAGGATATTAAGTGATTGCTGAACCTGGAAGACATTTTAGTGCTAACACATGTTCTCTTTTGTTTAGAATTATGACTAAAAGAATTAAACACGGTAGATTATGTTATCATGTCAACGAATCTTTGTATCATTCATTCAATTGTATACTAATGGATGGTATCTCATTTGAAAATCAAAATGATCAATTCTATGGTGTTCTCAATTCAGATGAATCCTAAAATTCTTAAATTTCAGACTAATCCAATGTCTCAATATTTGGCATGACATGTGATGGTGCAGATATTATTGCTAAGAATATTGTTGTTCCCAATGATTTACAAGTTGGAGATTGGCTTTGTATGTAAGGTATGGGAAGCTACACTGTTGGACCAAAATCCACTTTCAACGGAATGAAATCAACAACTAAAATTTATCAATGGAGTGGTTAAATTGAAGAGTAAAATCAAGTATCACCTTAAATTGCCATCAGCTAGATTTGTTGATTTATCAATGTTATTGCATATATGATATAAATTCAATTTATATTTAATGAGAATGCCAATATTCAAAGCAAGATGTGTAAAGTCAATATAGGTGCAAATTTTGTTATTTTGACTACGAAAAAGAATCAGAAATGGAATAGAATAAATCCTCAAATTTAAAGTTCACTTATTTACTAAATATATATTATTAATATTATTCATGAGATAAAAGGATGTTCAAGATCTTTAGCTTGATGAAATTGGCCTCAATCACTAGGTTACATATTCCATTAATGAAAATAGAGATGTTTTAATAAAACATTCTTCTAATGGTGTTACTACTGAACTCAAGAGTTATGTAGACTTTTAAACAATCACAAAATTCAAACATATCAACTAATAAACTAAGATGAATTACAATATTCACTTCGATATCATGTCAGAGATTTCTAATTAAGTAAACAATTAGGACACTAACTTGAGAATGTGCACAGTATAGTTGGGATAATAAAGATTTTAAACTATTTAAATTTAGTTTTAATTAATCTACGCAATCACATTTGAATATGGTTTTCAAATTAAGGAAAAAGAAATTGATGATGCAATAGTTGAAATTAGTTCTCGAATAGATTAGATTTGTGTTCAAACTTATAATCATGGTGATGCCAATTTAATGTAACAAATAGATGAACTCCTCGAATAATACTAAGAATTTCTAAATTGAAACTTTAATATATTTAGTGATATTCATTTTTTCATTAGAATTTCCATTGCCTTTTGAATCTCAATATTAGCATCCAATTATGGGGCTACATATTTCTATCTGTAATTTTCCCCTGGCTTTCTTTCAAATTTTGTTTCATTGAATTTAGGTCTTAATTCATCTTCAGTTGAAACTTAAAAATATAAATATCTATACTTTATTTAGTCCTCTTATACAATTCTTTAACCTATCTTTGTTAGGTTGCTTAACCACCATTATTTGTTTATTATTACAATTTTGATTTTTTAAATTCTATAAAGTCTTAATACTCATTATCATCAATTATTTTTTATTGCTTTTTCGCTGCCTCCTTAAATCGAATAAATTCTAAATATTCCTAGTCTATTTACTAATCATCATTCTTTTATAAATTTGCCTTCTTCTCCTCCTTCAGACTATTTTATTAAGGCAAAGGAGGCCTTGAAGGTTTCTACTATTATTGGTAAGGGTTGTTAAAATTATCTTAAGCTTGTTGAGGGTAGTTTTACTGTTAATAATAGTCATATTGATCGTAAGGAGGTTGCTAATAATTATATTGATTAGGCTATTAATAAATTTACTACTATTGGGGGGGGAATTTATTGGGATATTGATAAGGAGATGCATAATATTGTTATTATTATTGATATTATTATTATATTGGATATTGAGGAGAAGGCAAATGCGAATGTGATGCTGGAATGAAATTCTATTCCTTAAAGGAGTTTCTTCTTCTTTAATTATTGTATTATTCTAGATAGGGATCTGGAATAATCTCATCATATGACCTTTTCCTTTAATAATTATATTATTAAGGAGGAGGAGGTGATAAATATTAATTATTTGGTTGACAATGAGGGTTTGCTTATTAGTAAAAATTAGGATTGTAGTATTGTTGTTAAGGATCAGGAGGGTAATAATTGTCGTAATAATTTTACATCCGTGATTTAGGATTTTATAATAAATCAAGTGCATGTTTAGCATTATCAATTTAACACTGATGCCTTTAAATTTTGTCATAATAATCAACTTGTGGTTAATAAGGAATTGGAATATTATTTTAATAATAATATTCAAGAGGGTTGTGATAATTTTATTAGTTTTTTTATCCTCTTTCCAATTATGCATAACTTGAAAAAGCATTATACTTTCGGAATTCATTAAATTCATCTTTTGGTGGTTATTATACTTCTTCTTCTTCTTCTTCTTCCTCCTCTTCTTCTTCTTATTCGCTATCCAATTCTTAACTGTCTTCTTCACTCATATTTAATTTGAAAACTAAAAATTGATTAAAATAATATATAAGTGAATTTATATAATCTAATTTAAGTGTTCTTGACTTGGTATTTCCTATTTCTTATAAATTGCAGTAAGCACTTCAATATATTTTGAAATCATTAATGACTAGATTGATGTTCAATATAATATTATATTTATTAATATTACAAAGAAATTAGTAGTTGTTATTATCCTTATAAATTATTAGAACATTTGATTAAGAAATCAGAGGTCTCTTTCATAATTGCAAAATATTAAATCCATCTTGTTAATTGTATCTAATGTGAGAAAACTTTGGCAGAAAATCTATAGCTCAATTTGATTTAATTAAATATAACATACTTATTTATTTAATTAAATAGGTATAGAGAATTTTAATTAAACAAACACTTAACATTAAGCATGGAAATTATCATTTGATATAACTATAAAATTAAATTGTAATAAAAGAATAAGTGACTATTATATAATTATCTAATAGTAAAGTGTTACCTGATTATGATATTTTTCAATTTCTCAATATATATCATGATTCAATTTCATTTCATTTAGTTTAATAATTTGAATAGGATAAAAATGTCCAAAGAAGTTGTAATGATGGAGTAGGTAATAACAAATTAGATAAAGCCATCTTTCCAACGATGGCTTGTTTTATTCTCTTATTCCATAATTGCGTAATGGATATTAATAAAGCTATAGAATGGCTAATGTAATGTAATTAGTAAGTTACAGTCCAATTTGGGAATCTGCAGCAATATATTATGGAATCCCATCTCAAGACTTATAATGGATAGGGAATATGTATTATATCACATTTTTCGTCTTGGCTCCATTTTGCATAAAGCCATTGTTAGTAAGATTGGATATTAGTATGCATATAATTGGGGTTATCAGTGCTATAGGGTAATAGTTTCAAAGTATAAAATAAAAGGGCATGGATAATATGGATTGGAGGATAATCGTACTTAATGACAATGATAGGGTTATTCGTGATTGGAATAAGTGATGCTATGATTTTGATAGTCCCAGTTTGTAATTTTAATTGTAAATAAGGGAAGTTCTATCGGAAAAATGGTTTACTGTATACGAGAGATTATTGGCAACTAGTTTAGGCAGTTTCTTCTAATATGTTGGAATGGCATATGCATATGCATTTGCTTCATTCTATTTTGATATTTTGGATGAGTAGAGTGTTATAAATAAGAAAATTGATGAGATGAATTTGATGATTGCAATATTTAATACGGCTGGAGCTATTCTTCTTTTGATGTTTTTTAGGAATAGGCCACCTCATCCAGCTTCAAATTCAGATGTATCAATTATATTGGTATACAAAGAATATAGTTAAAGATTCTATTTGGAAATCAACAGTGAAGATGCTTACAATGGAAGAATCAATAATTGATGGATTGTCTTTGGGAATTTGTAAATGCATTAAATAATTAATAGTTATTGGATTGGGTTGGGTGTACACAACCATTATATCTTTTGAATTGTATCCTTTTGGTTATACTCAAGTATTTAATTAATTAGTAAAATTAAGGCAGAAGTCGCAATTAATGGGACAGTATATCAAATATCAGGAGTAGCGGTGGGGTTATGGGCTTCAATAAAATTGGATTCTTAAGCTAAATAGGGGAAGCAACCAGATTATGACAAATACATTAAGATCTTTACAAGCATAGGGATGATCACTTTGATTTTAGAAGCATTTATCATAGAATATGTAGATTACTGGATGTTGATTTTCATAAATTTTGCTATGGGAGTGGGTCTAAATTCATTTTACCCTATTGCAATATAGTCTTATGTTGAAAAACTCTACCCAGCTTCAGAATTAGTTTTGGTTACTGGGTTGTTATGTTTGGCGAATGTATATATTTAAATAAAATGGAAGATGGTCGGATTTGTGTTGAATTACTTGATAGTTTTGCCAGAATTTGAATAATTTGGGTTGTGGATGGGATGCCTCATAATAACTCCAGGGTATTTATATATCTTGTTAAATTATAAAACAAAATATAGAAGGTTCGAATAGGAAATTTGATATTATTTAAATATATTAGTTTTTGTTTTATGGAAAATAAGCCAATGCGATTTTTTGGAACGACCTTAAACGTTTTAATTTCTGTTTTTCTTGCTATTGTGGAGTGTTTCATCAATAACGTCTCTGATTCGATTATAATAGACATTGTTTTAATTATATGTGGCACCTTTTTCTCATGGATTTTTATCACTCAACAATTAGGATGGAAGAAGGGTAAACTTCAATATTACCTTTAGGAGATATCTCACCTTTCTTTTATTGGGCTTTGGCAATAAAAAGATTAACTCTGGTTGGAATATACAGAAGTGAATTCATTTATTTCATATTTGGTTTTTTAAATGGAATCTACTCAAGTAAACTAGATGTGAAGGACAAAAATAGGTATTATTAAAAATTTAAAACTGCTTTTTAAGTGATATTGGCATTAGGTTTAATAATTTTCAACTTCCTAACAAATACAATTGATGATCAAATAGTTTTAATTGTTATTAATATAGGTCTTCTCGTTCTATTAGGCATATATGATAATATTGAAATTAATCCTAAAGGTTCAAAATAAGATGGTTATTCTACTGATTAAAGGAATACCTAAGCAGAATTGAAAAAGTGTCAAACAATTATATAATAAAATCAATCAACTAAATCAATGTGGGAATAATTTAACGATTTAACTGACGATTGGATTTGTAAAGTTGACATCGTCAAATCTGTTTTAAATCGCAGTTGGGAAAGCAAAGAGTAAAGCTGTGTGTTATAAAGATTTTTAAAAGACCACAGAATAAATTTGTAATAATTTTTCAATAATCTTCTCATTGTAAATTCGTAATCAAATACATCTCAATCATTTGTTACACAATTTGAATTAGATGAAAGTAACACCTTTTTAGCATGGATAGAAAAGAATTATTTATAAGATAATTTAAATCAAAAATAAAATATTGAAAAACAGAAATAATATTTAGATGGATAGGAATGTAATTAAAATTAGGAAGAGTAACCTTCAATAATATCTCCTTAAAATGACAGGAAGTATATATTTTAGAAGGATCGATCTCAGGATCTTTCTGGATTATTAGCTATTCCAATCAACATTGAATAATCAGGGCCTACTAATAAGTTATATTTGCAATGTTAATTAAGTCTGAATTAAGTTATATATAATTTAAGTTTAACAGTATTATTAGTTGAAGATGATCGAAGTAATGAATAGAAATAGTCAATTATTATTCAATTCAAAAATATTAATATGTTAATCAAGAACGAATTGTTAGAATAAAAAAGTGCTATCTTTTATAGATTTGTGGGTAAAATGGCAAATCTTTCAAGTCAAACCTTAAAGCATGTTTATCAATTAAAATAGTCCCTGTAACTACATATAAAGTATGTATCATACATTAAATAAAAGAGAATTTGAAAAGATCAAGCAAAATAGTTATAATTCTTTATCATTTTGTGATGATAATGCATTTATTAAATCTGACAAAATAATTGGAGACTTTAAACAAACACTTTTCAATATTCGAACCCAATCTCCAGTATAAAATGCGTACATCAAAGTCACCTCCTCCAATAGTCATAATCATGAGAATTAAGATGAGAACTTGTAAAAATTATCAATTCTTTATTTATAATAATTAAAGGAATTGCTTAATTCTGTTGAATAATTAAGTTTCGACTTGTTAATTACAGAATAAAACAATTTCAACTTCTATGAGTTATTTAGTACTCCTTAATTAAAAATTGAACAATTTAACCTATTATAAACATTTAATATTGTGATTGATATTTTTAAGTAACACCTTTTCTTAAAATAGCATTACATCAATATTACTTAAGATTTAGATAATGAATCACAAATAATAATTTAATCGGATAAAAGAAAAATTAAATAAATCTTAATCAATATCATTAACAATTCCATATAGAATTTTAATACTAATTTAAATTTAACTTAATAAGAAAAATGCGAAAATTTATAAATTCATCAGAATTCACCGATTTACTAACAGGAACTAAAACATTAGAATTCCATCATTATTAAAGCACAAAATGATGCTGATAAGATTACAATAGAAATCTCAGATAATGGAGGTGGTATCAGTGAAGATTAGTTAAAGAATAGATTAAATGAAGGTAAATTTGGATTAGCAGCTTGTCACAAATAATTAAAATATCTGGGATATGATTCTAGAATACCTTTTGAAATAATTAACTATTTAAAAAAAACAAATGGAATGCAAGGCAGTGTTATTAAATTTGTACTACCAAAAACAAGAGAGAATTTTTAATTAAACGAAGATAGTAAATACTCTGAATCCTTGAGAGTTAGTAGAAGAATAGACAAAAATTGATCATATTCTTATAGTGTATTATTCTTTTTTACATGATAATTCTTTAAATTCTAATTTATATTTCAATTATTGAATTATTAATTAAATTCACTATAATAAATTGAAATAATATAGGTTATAATATTAATTAATTAATCAAAAGACAAGCATTTGCTAATACTCAAAAAGCTCAATATTGGAGTGTTTACAAATTTTAAGATGGACGTTTTTCAATCCTGATTTTTGAAACTTCTAAATATTTGGGTTAAGAGAACTTTTTTCTTATTGAATTATATTGCTTCTTATCTTGACCTTGTAATAGATTACACATTTCTTTAGCACATGTTCTAATGTCAATTTCATTCAAACCAGTTATAGAGACCATCTAGTCTTAACTCCAAGAAGGATGAATTCTTCTAATTTTATGAACTAAATAAATAGCTGCACTTGCTAAAACATTATTTGAATATTGGATCATTGGATATTCTAGCAAAGACAATTCAATTAAATATCTAAAGATCATATATAAAAATATACCTACAAAGCATAAAGTTTTTTTATTCTAATTTTGCTGTCTCTTAATATATGTTTAACATTCTGTAGGGACTAGTGGTTAACAAGTCAAACTAGAGTAATGAAATGATTTTTCCCTCTGCTTCTAGAATTTCTTCTTTAGGATATGCATTATCACAAACATAAACTAAATCTCTTACATGAGGAACAGAGTAAACTTCTTCATATTTGGATGCTATAAACAATGCTGCAACACCGTATAACTAAAATTTGGATTTTGGTATCTGATACAATTCAAGTACTCTCAAATTTATTGGATAAATACCTATCAACTATTGATATTGTCAGGAATAATGTTTCTGGGTCTAATTTGAATTTATGATGTACATCTACTAGCCAATCTAGTAGAATACTACGCATTTTTTCAGTGATTTCTGTTTAAAATTGAAAAGCAGTCATTTTGAAATTAGATTTACACTAAAATAAGAATAATAATTACGCTTCTGTCTCTCATGTATGTGACAATTTCATTTTTATATGCATTTACTAGTTGAGGATTTTCAATTTTTAAAGGTATTTAAAATGTTTTATTACTTAAAATGGTAGTGACTCCACTAGTAATACTGAGATTTCTTCCATTTCTCAAAGGTATCGGCATATTTGAGTCTGTTTTAACTCGTTAAATAACTTCTCTAGTTCTATTGCTTTATTCTTCATTTAATTTCAATTGTGGTTTTTAAGGAGGCATCATAGAATGAAATGAATTTGATGATTTTTCTCTGATGGCAACTGAAGATTAAACTCTTTGATGTTTAGGTGCACAATAAAAATTTTCTTTTTCGTAATCTGCAACGCAAAATAGTCTTGGAATTTAATGTGCTTTCATTTTGAATATAAATTATTAACTGAAAAAATACTATTTAATTTAAAGAATAATATTCATTTATATTTTCTTGCAATTCATTCATTCTAAAAGTTGTCATCTAAGTATAAATAGTTTTGGCTTAATAAAGCGGATTGCTTTAGTGTTTAAATGTGATAATCTAATCGCATTGAAATGTTTTATTCAAATACTATTCAAAATATATATAATTATCAATATTGATCATAGTAGTTTAAAGTGATTTTACAACAAATTTACAATTGCAAATGAATAATATGTAGATCTATTTAAACAATCGTTTGTTAGTTATCAATTAACTATTATAAAATTATACCGATATTTATTTATAATTTATAACTATTTAATAGATATTAGGTTAAATATTAAATAAATAAAGATGATTCAACTTTTAATCATTAGAATAATGATAATCTTAAATTAATTATTATTACAATTTATTTATAAATGTTAGTTTTTTTATTTTTAATTATCACAAATATTTTAGTTAATGGAATTTGCTCGATGAAAGTAATAATTGATAGCTATTGCAAATCATGAATATTTTACTAGTAGCATACATAATCATGATATACAAATTTGAAGCAATTATTGAAATTTCGCCCATCCAGCTGTTTAAGCTGCTACATTATCTTCATCATTTAAGCATATCTTTGGAAAGGATGAAGTTGATTTGTTTAATTCCATAAGTTATAGCCTAAGACACTTACATTAGAATGACAAGAGATGTATGTTATAAACTTGAGGTTCCTAAAAGTGGATGCCTTCTTTCTCAATTTTTATGATTCAATTACCAAAATGAGAACTACAGATCTAACTTCAGCTATATTTTTAACTGATACTCACAGAGAGATTGAAGCAAAGGTTAATATTTAATTAAATGTATTTATATCTAAAAGCATGCTTATTCTGGAGCTGGTATAGATTACTTTAATATTCATTAGACTGTCGAACAAAAAAGAACATTAAGTTAAAGGTGCTGAACTTAGTTTGGATGTCCCACGTCGTCTTCTAAGATTTTTCCTTGATGATGATACTTGGCTTGAGGATATCCGAGTTCAATATGGAAAGGGTGTCATAATGAGGAGTGAAATCAAGAAATAATTAATTACAGTGATTACTGAAATAGTAAAGAACACTAATAGATACGAGCACTTGTGACTGATGAAATCGTATAAAATTCATGAAATTAAAACCCTTAAACAACTATCCACATAAAAAGAATAATTGAAATATTATAAAATAAAAATATTATTATTAAAATGCTCACTGGTAAAGAAGAAATAGATAAATTAAATACAAAAGTATTATCTCTATTAATATTTCTAAGAGTGGAAAAGGAAATGCTGAAAGTGAAGAATTACCTTCGTATCTACGATCTTCATATTCCTAAACATATTAATTATTAGAACCAACTAAAATTCTCAAGGGTAAAAAGGTACTTTAATTGTAATGAATATCAAGGTTTTCCCATAGTTTGCTTACGGAAATTCACATGAAGCTCCGACTTATTTTAAATTATCGAACTCGTTGATTTGTCGAGAAAGTTATGATAATCCATATCTCAAGAGCAAAGTGCCTCCACTAAGCAAATTAGATTCACTTAAGGGAAGCACTCTCAATAATTATGAATTCTATAATGTTTCTGAATAGAGATTTACAAATCGAAAACCTACAGGTTACGTTACTAATAAAATAACAGAGTATAAAATTAATGTCAACATTTAGTACGATTACAAATTAGGTTAAAATTGTACAAAAACCATTAAATGACGATAAAGACTAGATCTTTACTTTTGAAAGTGCTTACAAATCTATTTAGGATTAATTATTCAATAGAAAACGAGGTATACTTCAATTTAAAATAAAAGAGCTCTTCACAGATTTTGTTGAAAAAAATGATTTACTTAATGTATATGGACCATTAAATATGAGGACTAGACCTAATGAATTTAGAGAAGTCAAAAACTATGCCTTAGATCCAGATCAACTTAAATAATTAAAAGAACAAAGATCAAGATAACAAATCACTCCAACTAATAGAAGTGGTTTCACTGATCTTATTAAAACTGTTAGACTACCCACAATATCGAAAATTTAAGGGTTGGATACAGATAAATATTATAACAAAGATCAAAATTATCTCAATTAATTAACCAATTCTATTATTGTCTAAAAAATCGATGAAAATATCAAACTAAAAAATAAAACTCTCGCAAGTTTCAATAAAAATAAACATTCGATCAAACAAAACACAGAAGACACTGAAAATATGTAAGGAATTATTGATGTATTTGAAAAACATTTAGAATTCGAAAAGCAATATAATTGTTGAAATATAATTAAAAATTATACATTTAATTCAAAATTGGTCTGTATAATAACTTAATTGCTCCTTTAGTTTCTGTATTTTAAAGTCCTTTTTATCTAATGCTTCCTGTACAATAGATTCGAACTTAGTAATATCTGTGTAATGTTGTTATTTCAAATTTTATAGCCTCTCCTCATAATGCTGCTTTAATTATTGATTTTAAATTTTAAGTTGTTCTATCTTTTCATAGGCAATTTTCTTTTCTTCTTCTAAATTTATTAACAAAGTCTCAATCTAAATCAATTTATTGCTGAATTCCTCTGACTATTACAGGGATTTACAATTTTCATCCTACAAGAAGTGAAGTTATTCAATCAATTCATTATGGTTTTCTTAGGGTTCTTGCTTCTAAAATTGTGCCAATTATAACTATAAGTCCTTTTTATCTTATAAGATCTTATCAATGAAAGTTACATACTCTTATAAAATGGATTGGAATTCATTTTTTTGTTTCAATAAATCAGCCTCTAATTTAGACTTCCTAATTAAATAAGTTGTAAATACATTTCCAATTTCATTTAAATTATGGTTTCTTTAAGCTTACGATTTTCTAGAATCAAATTGTTTTCTTCTGTTAAGTATGGTTATGCTCTTTTAGTTTACATCTAAGGTACATCTACAGATATTTCTAAATTCTCATCTGTAGGATGTGATTCCCATAATTATTGAGTTAACTCTTAATAAAATTTTTGATCGTTTGAAAACTAACCTTTGGGAATAGAAGGATGAGTATCTGGAGACTTTTTTTTTTTTAATTAGGAATACATTAATTATTTCAGTTAAAAAAAATTATGTATAATAACATCAATCTCTTCTCAACACATTTTTGAGAATTATAAAGATCTTCTATTTTTTCCAATCTGGCTCTGCGTTGCGAATGTTATAATACTTTTCTGTAATCCACTTTGTAATCTTTTAAGTACTTACAAAATGAATAAGTTTCAAATCCATCATTTTACTATTTTATAATGCTCATTATAGCAGCCAAACATTCAGGATTCTTTCTTCCAACCAAAATAGCCAAATTAGAATTTAACATTACATTCAAGACACCATGTCTATGATATCTTTCCACTTATTAAATTAATCGGCTACCAAAAATTTAAGCCTATAATTCAGTTAAGTTATGTTGTCTAAGGGCTAACCGATAGATGTCTTACTTTTTTTATGAGAGGCAGTCTTTTAAGAGATTCAATGACTAAACATCATTCAACAATTTAAATAAAGAAGGAAGGTACCTTTCTTAATAATGAGCTTTATTCATGAATTCCATTATAATGGTGGGAAGCAAATCTTTGAACATTTATTAATCTTAGTATTAGAAGCTCAATATATCATGTATTACTTTCAGAGGGTTGTCTTTAATTTTCTTTTTTAAAAATACATTTAATCTTTATTTGAGTTTTTCATTTGTAGTGACAGCAAAAGAATGAAGAGGATGGAGGAATGCATTTTCTTCAGTGATAAAGGAATCAACTTCCTATCCACAGATAAATCTTAAATATAGAAGACCATTCTCTGAATATGCAAATTTACAAACTTAATTTACATAATCAGAGAAAACAGTCACTTTTAATCTAGAATTAATTGTTAAATTGAATTTGCATAAACTTAAGATTATCTGTGCTACTTTGTTGGCTTATTGAAGTGAGTGCAAATGGGTTTCTAATTGCAATCTTGAAATAATTTCATCAATCAACTTTTCAATTTCTAATGGAGTACAAATTGATTAGAGATTCATCAAAAATTATTAGATAAATTAGGCAGATATTTTTTGAGGTCTCAAACTTAATTATTTAAATAAGAACTCTTTGATTTTGATTTCTAAAACAGGAGGAATACCAACTGGCAATAATTAATAATTAGAAATGATTGATAAGATTGTATGTTCATCCATCACTTTTAGGTTGTCAATTAAGGATTATCTCATTTTTATGAGAATAGGATGTGACTCCAAATATGGATTTAAGTACTGATATTTCATTTTAAGTAGCATAATGTAAAATTATGTTACTTGTTAAAAATCATAATAGAGTGAATTCGCATCATAATGAGAAATACAGAATTCAATCAATGCAGAATTAACAAATTTCTTCTTTTAGGATTTCATCATCTCACACCTTACTAAAAGAACTACTTCCATAGGTGAAAGTGGTTCAGAGTATAATCGATCCTCAACTAATGAATGAATTGATGGTAAATTCATGTTTAAAACTTAAGAGTCATACCAAATATTTATATAATGTCTAATACTAAATTCAGAGCAATCTTGTAGTATCTAATTTAATGTATTGGTTAATTTTTTATCATCAATATTTTCAAGCAATTACTATTGTCCTTTCAATTAATATTTAGATTTGAAACAAAGCAACTCAAGCAAATCTATTGGGCAACATTGTTCTAGTTAATTATTTAAAAAATTCGATATTTCTCCCATTCCTTAACGAAATGTAGGTTCATTATCATATATTTTTACAGAGGACAAAAAATGCGCAATAATACGAATTGTAAGTAAGCAATGCTATAGACCAAAAATACTTCTATTCTTGTTGAATATATCAATCAAAACTTTAGGATCTACATGTTAACTAATAAGTGCCATTAATTCTGATTCATTTTATACTATTCTTACATCCTCTTTTGGAAAATCAAATATATCGATGTCACTATCTGATTCATTCTCAAGCCCATCTCGAAATGTAAAATTAATTAAATTAGTTTGAGTAGAAAATCTCCATTTCAATAATGTTCTAAAAATTATCATAAATATTTTTATTATATATATAATTCCTTTAACAACTATCCGAATATTTCTAACAAATCCTAAAACTCATTTGAAAGTTCTACTTTTTTATTTTTCAGCCTCTCTACAATCAGTTAATAAACATCGGAATTGATTTTCAGGAACATTTATTTGAGCCGCAACATTTTTGTGATTTTCTCATAATCATAAAGTTGTTTAAATTATTGCTAGCTCAACATCATTCTGCACATCACTTTATGAAACACCCTTTTTATTTTAACAACTTGTTTTTCATAATTCAATGCTGTAAATTTCTAATTGAAGTACGTAATTTGTTATATGAACATAATTATACTCTCAGTTGCAAACTGAGAATGGTTTGGATTTGATGATTTTCTCAACTTTGCTTTGTCTGAAATTGAAAAAGCAGTTCTTTATTACTTTCACTATAAAATTTGGTTCATAATGTTTTTATATTAATCCTTAATTATAAACTTGTGGAACACATTGTTAATTAATGGACGAACTTTTCATTAGTATTATTGTATATGAATTTGACAGGTTCTCTTAAACTATTAGGCTGATTCCCGCTTTAATAGTCTACACATCTCAAATAGTAAATTAGATAAATGTAGAAAGAGCTCCAGAAAATCCAAGTGTTTGATTAGTGATTTATATTATGGCACTTCAGGCTTAGATTTTTTTAATGAAAGCTTGATTGAACCATTCCTTCTCTGAGATATCTTTTGAAAATTATATATCCATTATTATTTTCATATGGAGAGGAGATGAGAGATCATCAAAGTTTTTCCTCTCATTTCGAAAAAGTTCAGAATCGTTGTTATTAATTCAGATCCTTAATAGAAGAGTACAATACCATTCTCATAAAAAATTGATTTTAAGTTAAGGTTTCTATATGATTTGGTCCATTGATCAACTAAAATATTATAGATTATATTTATATACCCACAACATCCATCATTATAGTAAGGAATCAACATTCTTTACCCAAGAAAGTGAAAATGTTTGCCATCAAAGAAACAGGGGAAAATAGGGAAAGATGACACTTTGCATTTTTCAAGGGCATTTCTACACAAGAAATTAAACATTTTTGAAGGATTTATCGATGAGTTTTTGATATCCCAGAGCGAATTGATTACATAGGGCACATAAAGATGCTTAGAATTCAATTAAAATTAAAGGATTGCCTGATATCAAATGATCAATGATGTTGAGTGAAATAAAGGATTGGGTGGTATAATACTAGCAAGGGTGTTTGCAGAGTCATTGAATTTGCATCTCAGAAAGGTGGATCAGTAGAGTCTTATTTTAGGAGTCAAGTAACGAAACAGAATATTAGGTTTAATTTCATTATTATTAAATTCATGAACAAAGTTGAAGATTCTACAACAAAATTATTGCAAACAGAGTTGTTGTAAATAGAGTAAGGAAAGGAAAGCATTTAGATATCTGAAGAGAGGGAAAGCAATTCATGGAAAGAAAGAATGAAAAATTGCTTTGTTGTACCAATATAGAAATGTAGTCGTGTAATATGTTTAGATGGACAATGCACACCAATTAACTAATAAAGTAATGTTATCAAGAATTCTAAATATAATGTCCTCACATTTCTACCAAAAGTGCTTTACGAATAGTTTCACTAATTCATCAACATCTTCTATTTGGGATTGACGATCTCACAATTCATTTAACCCTTCAAAGTTGGGTTTCTTATAGGATATTTGGGGCCTCTAGCTCTGGTGGTCACTTTAAGTGTCCTCAAAGAATTGTACGATGATATAAAAAGACACAAGAGGGACAGACAAATTAATAGTACAATATATAAGCGGTATATCAATGGTCAATGGGAAGACATCTCAAGTGGTCAATTGCAAGTAGGAATGATCATAGAAATAAACAGCAATCAACGTATACCAGCGGACATTCTGGTCTTAGAGGCGAGTGATGATCAAGTATTTATTCGTACAGATTAATTGGATGGAGAGACAGATTGGAAATTAAGGAAACCTGTTTAATATATTTAAAAGAAAGGAATACAGAGTTTGTAGTTGTCAACTTGTTAATTGAAATGTGACCGACCTTAAGAAAACATCTATGATTTTCACGCTGTTTTTGAGTGTGAATAATCTAAAGAGCCATTATCATTAGAAAATGTTATGTGGGCTAGTACAGTTCTTGCAAATGGTAAGGTAACTGGAGTAGTTATTTATAATGGATTTGAAACAAGAATGGCCATGAACAGCAGACAACCTCAAACTAAGTTTGGCAAAATCGACAGTAATCAATATTACTTATTACTTAGCTGAAATCAATTACATGTCAATTATGCTTTTTGTAGCAATGGGTCTCTTGTCAATTATCATCACAATTCTCTCATAACCTCCATTGGATGTTTTAGCAATAAGTGTCTCTTTAGTTCGATATCTAATTTTACTCTCCAATATCATACCCATCTCCATGAGAGTCAATGTGGAATTCGCTAAACTCATATATTGCTATAAAATATCCATAGATAAAGGGATAGAGGGTACAATCCCTAGAAATTCCAATATTCCAGAGTCTTTAGGGAGAATTGAATATTTGCTTACCGATAAGACAGGAACCTTAACATAAAATGATATGATTTTTAAGAAGTTGTCCTTAAAGTAAAATGTGTACACTTATGAAAATTATGATGATATGAAGAGGAGTCTGTAGACTAAATTTGAAATAGGGAATGCAGAAGAAGATGCCATCTTAAGAGACTTATTGTTAGCTATAGCATTATGTCACAATGTTACTCCAATAGAGGAGAATGGAGAAAGGTAATACTAAGCTTCATCTCCAGACGAAGTTGCTTTGGTTAAGATAGCGGAATCTCTTGGAATTACATTAATGAACAGGGATTAGAATTCTATGACCATCGAATACAATGGGAAAACAAAAAGATATGAAATTCTCTATAACTTTCCCTTCTCCAGCGAGAGTAAAAGAATGGGGATTCTATTGAAATTAGATAACCTCTACATCTTCTATTTAAAAGGAGCAGATGCAATAATGAAGCAGTTCTTACCAGAAACACAGCGAGGATTTGTTGATGAAGAATGTGAAAATCTAGCCAGAGAGGGATTAAGAACATTGGTTTTGACCTAAAAGATAATTACTTGTGAATTTTTTTTAGAATGGAAAGCAAAGTATGAATAGGCTTAATGCATTGAAAATGTTACTTAGAGACAAAACAAATTATCTAGAGTTAGAAAAGAATTAGAAAATCATATGTAATTCTTAGGAATCACAGGAGTTGAAGATAAATTATAAGAAGATGTTTGTTCAACTCTGGAGAACATCAGAAATGCTGGCATCAACGTTTGGATGTTGACTGGAGATAAAATTGAAACTGCCATTTGTATAGCTATCTCGAGTGGAATTAAATCAGCAACCTAAGAGATATTCTTACTTAAAGAAATCATTGATGAAGAAACTCTTCAATAGAGACTCTAATAATTTGAGACTAAAACCAATCAACTATTGGTCATCGATGGTACAAGTCTTTCCACAGCATTTAAAAAAGAAGAGTTCTTCTTTAGAATTGCCACTTAAGCCTAATCTGTTGTGTGTTGCAGATGTTCTCCTACTCAAAAGGCATTAGTAACAGAATGTATCAAAAAATACACTCAAAAAATTACTGCCTGCATCGGGGATGGGGGTAATGATGTAGGCATGATCCAATCAGCTGATGTAGGAATAGGTATTGAAGGAAAAGAAGGTAAATAAGCAGCTTTGGCTAGCGATTTCTCTATTCTTAAATTTAAATATCTAAACTCGCTATTGCTTTGGCATGGCAGATTATCATATAAGAGATCTGCCTTATTGTCTTAATTTGTAACGCATAGAGGATTAATTATTTCTATGATCTAAACAGTTTTCATGTGCATTTACTTTTATTTAAGTATTAGTATTTTCAGTAGTACATTAATTTTGGGATATGCCACAATCTATACGTAATTATTTAATCTTATGAACTTAGAATGTTTCCAGTGTTTAGCATCATATTTGATGAGGATGTTGTAGAAAAAGTAGCACTTGAGTTTCCTCCTCTTTATAAATCATTATAAAAGAGTAGAGATCTTAATCCGAAAACATTTATGATATGGTGTTGGAAAGCCACATATTAAGGAACCTTAATAATGATTTTGGCTTAATTTCTGTATAAGAATGTTTTCTTGTATATTGAGACAGCAGCTTTCACATCTTTAATTATTACAGAATATTGCATGATTTTTAGTGAAGTATTATTGTAACCGCATTATATCTAGCTTAATTCCTTGCACATTGTAATGTTCATTTCAACTATTGGATCCACCGTATTTTACGTATTGACAATGGTGCTCATTCCTGAAACTCTTGTAGTTGGAGAAGTGCTAAATGGAACATTTTGGATAAATACTTTGATCATTGTATTATTTAGTTGGTGTCCAATATTTCTATTTCAATGGATTGTCAGAATAAAATAGCCAAATGATTATGAGAAAATCATGAAATAAGTGAAGGGTAAGAAAAAAATAAAAACAAATTTATTCACTTGAATTCATTCATATATTTATTATTATATATTGACTATTTAGAATATAATATGGTATATCATTTTTATTATTCATTCTTAGAATAGCAAACTCAGTGGGAAGATTAGAAAGCCACCTGTCGTAGAGGAAATATAAAGTAATACGATCAATCTAAATCTAGTTAAACCCAGAACAGAAGAATAGATATAATCAGTAGTAAAAAATGTTAGGAATGGAGATGCATCTCATCCAGAAGTGGTCCTGATTGGGGAAGCGGAATTATAAAGGATGAAGGTATTATTTGTATTTTCTATTTTTCCAGAATAATGCTATTATAACGACTAAAGAAGAATAATTATACTAGAAAAAATTGCTTGAGGAGTAAAAAGAGAAGTAAATGGCTGCAGCAAAAGCTAAGAAGCAAAAAATGTTACAAATGGAAGAAGAAAAGAAAAAGCAAGTGCCTCTTTCAACTCAGCAAGAAGAAGATAAGGTAGTTAAAGATTCACTTCTGGCCAGGGTAAATTATGATTGAAATTGTTTGTTAGGCAGCAGAAATCATGAATGAATAAATGGATGATGTAAAGGAAATGAACAAAATGGTTATGTATGCAAAATGTGTAACTGTTCGAGATAAGCAATTACATGAGAAGAAAGAACTTCATGAATAATATAAAGTGTAAGAGAAACGGAAGGATTTGATGATGGAGATTGAAAGACTCAAATCCATTAAATATCATGAAGAAAAAGATAAATAAAGAAAAGTTGAGTAAAAGCATGGTCATGATATTATTATTGAATAAATAAAGGAAAGAGAACTCATTCGTTTAAAGGATAAAGAAGAATAAGAAAGAGAGGGTTAGATCATGCTTAAATAGATTAAATAGCTATAATTAGAAGAATAATAGAAGGCTATGCAGAAGAAGGTTACTTAATAGAAGGTTTAGGAAGAAATTTTGGAGGCTAATGATAGAGCTATTTTGGTTAAAGAGAAAAGAAAGTTAGAAGAAAGAGAGGAAGAAGAAATGATTATCAAATACAACTTGCAAAAGGCGTAGAAGGAAGCAGAATTGTTAGAAGAATAAAGAAGAATCAAAGAAGAAAAAGAAAGAGAAGTTTAAAGATTGAGAGAAATGCAGGAAAAAGCACAAGATAGATAGGCAGAATTAGATGCATTGAGAGCCAAAAGAGCTATGGAATAAAATGAAAGATAAGCAAGAGAAAAAGAGAGGAAGGAAGCAGAATGGAAAATGAAATTAAATCATGAGGTCTAAGAGGCTAGAAAATTGTAATAATCTGAAAAATAAGAACGATTAGAAGAATAAGTATATTGCATTATTTATAGTATTTAGGCTAGATTAGAAAGAGATGAATTTTAACGAGTAATATAGAAACAAAAATAAGAGAGAGAAAATGAATTGAAGTTGCATCATGAAAAAGAGGCATTAGTAAAAAAGCATGCTGATGAACTCAGAAAACAGATATCTCTTAATGAAGAAAAGAGAAAATAGGAAGAAAGAGATAAGTACGATCTTTAATGTTAATATTGTTAGATTAGAGGAAGGCAAGAAAATTAGAGATAAAATGCTGAATGAGAAGAAACTATTAGAGAATATCAAAGAAACTAAATTAAAGACATTAAATGACAACTCAATTCCAGATAAATATAAAGCAGAATTAGCTCGCAAAAAAATTAATATATTAATTTGAACAAATTCATTATTCATCAATTTAAGTGGGTTCTTAAATGTATGTCTCTTTTAGTGCATCGACTACTCTTTCAATTAATTCTTTCCATGTCTATGGTTTATAGGTTTGTAGGTGATTTGCCAATTGATTGATTCTCTCCTCTAAGTTTTCAATTCTTTAATCTATATAACATTTTTTAGGATCTGCAATTGCTCTGAATTAATGTTCTTCATCAATTACTTTAGGATAATTCCATAATTCTGGAGGTCTTCTCATTAAAACATATTGGTTATCGTAATCTTTTTTACGTAATTCATTGAATAATAAACTGGGATCATTTTATTGCATCTGTCTATTACGAATCCTAAAAAAGGTTGATATCAAAATAATACTTGGGTATCATGCCTTCCTTAATAATTTCATCTTCAATATCTTATTATACAGCTTTATTAATGTGTCTAACTCTTTCAACACAATCCTCAAAAATCTATCTATTTTCTTATGTACAATAAAAGTCCCATAACCAATACCTTCCATATTTTTGCATTAAAGATTATTACTCTTTTTCTCTTGCTGTTTCTTCTGCCAACCTTTATTCCTCTTCTTTTTTTTTTTACTCTTCTTCCATTTGTCTCTTCCTTTCTGGAGAAACATAAATATTAGATTGAGCATTTGCCAAATTTTCATCTTATGTACTTTGTAATTATGAATGTTAAAGTTAGGTTTATTTTAATTAGTCTTATTATTCTTACTTCATCTACTTTAAGTCATCCTCTTTCTTTCTATCCTTCCAAGCTCTCATATATAAAATTGTATGGTAAGCAATTAATTTTGGAATGCTTCCTTTAATACAATTTTCATCTTTCTTTTACAGAAATTCTCTTGCTTGCGGATTAGCATGAAAAATAACACTTAGCACATTATATACAAAATTTATTTAGTCTCTTTTTAATGCTGATCCTAGTAAATGTTCACTAATCAATTCAGCCTTTATGACTTCATTAATATCAATCACAAATTACTAATAATTCGTTATTTTAATTACTTAATTCTCCATTAAAGGTGCTTTGTAAAAGTTGATTCCTTTGAGCATTAAACAAAATAAGTTTCTTCTCATCTTTTCAAATGCTTCTAGAAGTGGTTTAAGATAAAAAGACTCTATCTTATTAGTTTACCTAAAATTATAGAAATCTATAACTTACCAATTTTCATAACCTAGTTTATTAAAAATAAGTTTCACATTAGGATTTGCCTTTATAGCCTATGTTTCAAGTAAAATTCTTTCACATTCTTGTAAACAAATACAATATTATTCAATATCTGCTTTTATTATAAAATCTCTTATCATCCTATCTCTATGGGCAGTATTTCTTAAATCAAAGAACATCAATTTCTTATTGATTTCCAAGAGTGCTCTTAAAGGAGCTGTAACTTGCATTAAACGCTCTTCAATAAGTTTATGACTTATTTTTATCAGAATAGGCAATTTTTTTGTAAACTCATTCAATAGAGTTTGTAAGTTTTTTCTTTCAGCTTAATAGTTTTCAGCACTCATTTCTAAAAACTTATGATCCTCCAAAGCTAAAAATTTTTTGCTTAAATTACTTCTATAAATTTTAGCAAAAGCTTATTTTACATGGTTTCCACGATCCTTATCTAACTTCTCTACAGAACAATATATGCCATCAATATATTGCTTTATGATTTGCTTATTTATTTCGATGTCTTCCTACGCAAAGAATGCACTTCGGATATGAACATGATCGATGAACTTGAACTTAGGTTTACACTTGAAAACTTAGCACAATTCAAACAATTTGTTGTGATATACCTACATAAGCATATGATTTACTTGCCAATTTCCTGTTAGATCTTTGGTTGTTTCAGAAATGTTTGTATCTAAAGATTTTGAGATTATTTTCAGTTCATTCCAAACTCTAAATTCATCACTATCTTTCCATTTCTCAAATTGTTCCTATGATTTAAGTTGAGAATACTTATTGCAATTGAGGATCAATTTATTTAGGCTTTTTTGGGGGCATTATAAAATTTATTAAAATATATATATATTCCGTTTATAAATATAATGTTTTCTCCATATATTGCTCTGTCAATTTATTAATTTTAAATATCTTGATGAATTCCATTCATATAGATGAATATCATTTAATCAAGTTATTGATGATAAATATCCGAATTAAACTCTAAATCTATTCTCTTTTTTCATGTCTTTTTAGTGATTAATCATGGACATGTTCACAAATACTAGATTACTTGTCATTAATTTACATAAATCCAGCTGAAAATTATGCTAATATAATTGAATAAATGGAAATGAAGATGTTGAATTATTTGGTAAATTCTTTTTTTACATTATATCTATTCAATCAACATTATACTATTAATTATTGTAATTTATTTTTTGAGTCTGATCAAATTACATATTTAATCAAAGCCCTCAGACTTACTCCTTTTTTTATTCATCTAATGTTAAAAAGCTCATAGATGGGATCTATAAGAGTATCATTAATGAGTACATATTATATAAATTTCTCAATTTTTGTTATTTTCTCATGCAAAATGGATCAGCAGCCAATCCTAATACCATGAATAAATTCGCAATAAAAATGACCTTTGCAAAATACATTATCTTAAATAGAATTCTAATTAAATATTATCAAATCATTATATAAATTTGAATATCTATTCCAACCTCTTTTTATATACGAATTTATTAGATGTTTTAAATTTTCTCCTTAAAAGTTTGAAAAATGAGTTTAACAATGTATTAATTCTTTTTTCCATAGTTTGATTTTATTTTAGTTTAATTTTTCATAAATACATGGATTAACAATAACAGGATTAAGTTTAATATACAACTTTTGAAAAATTGTTGGACTAAGAGATTTAAAAAAATGATCTTAGTGATTGGAAATAATAGTTTTTATTTATAGACAGTCTAAGAGCATAAAGCAAATTTCACAGTGATTAATTCAAAATTTAGGAATGGTGGGATTAACTATAACCCTTAACTGATAGTATAAGAAGTAATGTTTCGAAAAATGCATTGATGTTGATTAAAGAAGCAAGTATGAGAATTAAAATATACAGTTTAACACAACAATGTTTACGATGAAAAAATTTTGCATAAAGTGTTTGAAAAATGCGAAAGTGATTTTAAGTTTTTAAAAAATGAAGCTTTGTAAACAGTTGAAATTTTATCGCTTAAGCCTTATTCTGATGATCTGATTCAGATCCTATGTAATATCACATTATAATCCAATTACGTAAAGATAATAAATTATCAAAAGAAATTACAATCCCATTCCTATCCTACTTTAGTGAAAATAGTATTAGCTTCAGATTATAATTGCGATTGGGACAATATCATCAAAGCTACTTTAGCAGTTTACATTGGAAAAAGTGTTGAGTGTAAAAAAGCAAGTGATTAGTTATATTTGGCACTTCAAAAATAGAAACCAGAAGTATTAGAAAAGGAAGAATAACTAAAAGTTATAGGAGATAGAACTAAATAAAAGGGTCTTTAAAAAGGGTTCAAGGAATTTTTGTAATGCTAGAAGAAACAATCCTGAGTTTTTTTATCTAAAATTGCAAAATTTATCTATTATGATTTAATCTTCTAATAATTATTATTAATTAAGAATAAAGCTTTTTATGCTAATTTTAGATCATAATTTTATGTGCTAATAATTTAAGAATATTTGATAATATAATAAAACTATATTTAGAACTTATTATTAACTTTTAAGAATATAATCATCAAAAATTTTACTGATATTGTTCCATTTCTTAAAATTTTATATCTTTTGCTTTTAGAATAATTATATAAGCATATATGCTTTTATTGATTTTTTGTCATAATAAAATTCCGAAATTCATCAGAATTAATAATAATTAATATAATCTAATGAATATTTAAGTGCATATATATGAGTAATATTTGACATCTAAGCAAGTAATAAGCAAAGAAGAGCATGCATTAATAAGCTGAACAGTTTCAAATAAATTGTAATAAATTCTACTAATTTAAAATTTAAACAAGAAAAAAATTGCCATGATTTTGAGAATTATATTATTAAATGACTTATGTCTTGATATATTTTATATATGAGAAATAATAAAAGTTATTCTGTAAAACCTCATTAGGCATTATCTGCTTTATGAGTTAGTTTAAAAAATATTCTTTTACATCTGATTATTATGTTGAATCTTCTTTAAGCGAAAAAGTTAGATGAAATGCCCCTGAATGTCATTCTGAAAGTATAATCCATCATTAATAATAAAAATACTAATTAAAGCAAGTCTAAAATTTTCTTGATGGATTATATCCATTTGATCTAAGTGAAAGAGTCAATAGAGAATGACCATATAGTAGTTAGGTTTATGGATGATAACCAAGACTATATCCCAAAAAAAGAGATCACATTGACCGAAAATTATTCAGAAGAATTTTCATCAGCCCTATATTAACATATATTGGAAAACCAAAAAAAGGACGATGAGTGCCACTATTTGTATTTTGTAAGTGATTAATAAACTAATAAATTTTTTAGAATGAACCTTTAGAGCGCATGACAAAATAGAGATTCGATTTGATCTCATAGTTGAGTGTAGATGTTATACTTAAATTATTAAACTTAAAATATATACCGATTATAAGAACAAATTATACTTGCTACACAATTGAAGATGTAATTTGTGCAAATATTCAACCTAGACTATTCAAGTGGGAAGCAAATCAGTAATTGAGAAACTGAATTAGAGTTGGTAAACATAATGCAAATTAAAATCTAAGATCACAAAAGAGTTCATATCCATATTAAATGATTTTAAATATTACTACCGTATTGATATACTGTTGGCATCAACATTACAATAAATAAAAAAGGAGAAATATTCAAGCTATGACGTGCTTTATGTACCAACAGATGAGTTAATAAAATTAAAAACAGGCAAAGAATTATAATAAATATCACTCTCACTTCAGAATTTTAAGAAATTGAATTTGTTAAAATGAGTTTATATATATATAAATATAAGGAGATATAAGCAAGAATAATTTTAATATAAATTTATTTTAATAATTACATCAAAAACTGATTTACAAATGACAGAAATAAAACCAAAACATAATAATTCTTGCAAGATTAATTCTAATTTCCAATTCTCTTCAAATAAAAAACAACTCGTTAATTCATCACAAAACCTCAATAATGATGTAATATCCAGTAAAAAGAAGGTAAAATATAACACTGAAATTTAGGAAGTTTATGATAGATTGATGAGTTCCTAAACAAATAGAGACAATCAAACTCAAGTATCCTAATACTTTGATCATTTAGGAGGTAAGTTTCTATTAATATAAAACAAAAAGGCAAATGTCTATGTGCATTATGTAACTGTGGCAAACACAAATGTAATGGTAAAAATTGTATACACAAACCCTAATTACATGGAAATTACACCATCTATTAGAAGGAATACCAGAAAAAGACACCAGAAAATGGATCTCGCTATAATTAAAACATATTCACATAACCAAAAGCAGAAGGTGATCTTGAAAATGTGACAACCTACAAAGTATTAATAAAAATCTATTTTATTAGCATGATTTTCCTGGATACAATAGTACTGGAGAACTACACAAAAATTCATAGAAACCAACAGTAAGTGGAGTCCCATTCTCTGGGTTGTCAACCTATAATAATATGTATTTAAATTGGGGAATGGGTGATACACCTTAATTACTTCCTTAAAATAACCCCACAGTCATTAAAGAAATGCCATTCATGGGAAGAAGTATTTACAAAGACAGTTACCAAGGAGTGTAAGCTCCTCCAGTATAGAGTTGTAAAAACATGAATAAGGCTCTGAAGTATAAATTGTTTCAAGTAGATCCCCATTGTCTCCTCCAGATTTGAAGTTTTCTGCCGAATCAATTGCTAAGTCTTCATATAAACCATTTAGAACAGATAGAGTATCTACTGCAAAGAGCCAACAAAATGTAAATAATAGAAATAAAATAATAGGCAACCTTAAATCCATCATATAATGGCTAATACAATAGTGAATATCGAAAAGAATTCGATCCAAAAGGTTTGAATCCATGCCCTGCCAAGGAAGTATTAGATGAAGTTGCACGTAGTACCAAATTTTGAAAATACAATGATTATAATTAAGGCTAAAATATTAAAAGATTCTGACATATTCTTAGTTCACAACTATAACTAATTTCAAAAAAGATTGATAAGAATTCTCGAAAATTAATCATAGAATCATTTTTGATATATTTTTAAAACTAGATAACTTAAAGCAAGCATATTCAAGAATTTACAATGTTTATAAATAATTATTGTAATTTAAAAAGTAGAATATTTGAATTTACATCTTAACCTTATAAATATTATATTATATAACAACTTTTTATGAGTGGAAGAGATTTTCATATTCATAGAAGGAGAGATAAATATCCAAGATAAGACTCTTATCATGAGTAAAGGACAAACCCTAATTTCATTGAAGAAGATTCCTTAGTTGGGACTTTGGAGAGAAAAATTCAGCATTAAAATTAGACCATTAATAACCTTATTAAAGCATTTGAAGATTCAAGATTAGAATAATAGAGATAGATTCATTATCTAGAAAAATTGAAGCAAGCTGAAGAATAGAAATATAGCATATAAATTTTAGAAGAACTTAAGACTTTAAAATAGAAGATCAAAAGAATTGAACACAGTCCACCTATCATACAATCTAGTTCTTAAATGTATCAATAACCTTTATTTCCTCCTTTACCTCCTTAATTTTAATAAGGCTATCCACCTTAATAGTATAATTATGCTTAAATTCCATATGCATAGAATCCATTTCATTAATAAAGTCAACCAATTCAACCTCAATTCATAAATAACCAACAATAACTTAGACCAAAAAAACCAAAAGAAATGGATACATTACATAAATTTCTATTATAAATGTTACATGAAAAGGAAGAAAAAAAAAAGAATGACAAGAAACCCAAAGAAAATTCAGATGCTCGCTATGTGACTGATATGGAATCATCTTAAAATTACTCCTCTAAAAGGCAGACCCTCTAAACACCATTGAAATCCAGATCACAAAGAAGATCTTAAAAGTAATAAGATAGAATTCCCTCTGGTGCTTCAGATAATTCTCAATTCAACATAACAAAATAATCTTAATTATCCTAATAATAGTCATTAGGAGCAAGATCATAAAAATCATATCATTAATAATCACAAGGAGTGGGATCACTAAAATCATCTTAATAATAATCATTAGGAGCTGGATCATAAAAATCAACTTAATAAAAGATAGTAATAAACTAGTAAAGATTGAAATATTTGATGAGAAAATTTAGAGCAATAGCAAGATATTTCTGGCTAGCCTTGACATATTTAAACTATTGCAAAAAGATTTGGGATCGCAAGATGATTACTTTTAATGAGTATTCATAGTAATATATTGGATCTTATGATACTTAATTTGTAAATGATAAATTAATTATTTATAGAACTATTTGCCCATTATATCCTAATTTTATAGAGAATGTACACTTAAGAAATAATTGGATAGATCATGGATCTTTACTTAAACCTTAGATATTCAAACTAGATGTCAAAATATGCTTACTGCTTTAGAGATATTTTTTAGATATTTAATAGTACAACCTTTAGATTTCACTAAAGAACACATAGAATTTATGAGAAAATTCTCACTTCCTAATGGATATCTATTGTTGGGACATAGTAAATATGTTGCAAGTAGAATCAACTTAAGACCAAATAACACATTAAAGTAAGACAAATCTTAAATTTAGTATCGAAACACCTGAACAATCATAAATGCTACTTATGGAATATTCCTACATTTAAATCTTATTGCCATAAATAGTTGAAGCTGATTTCTGGAAAAAGTTAATAAATTATAAAGAAGCCTTAAAAATCTTTGTCTCAGTTCTTCATTAGTTATTTATTGATAGATTTTACAATATTCCTCTTAGTAAATAATAATTACATTTTAATGTACATTTATAAAATACTATTTAAGAAAGAATATGTTCCTTCATTTGATTTTACTCGAAATCCTGTAGAAGGATTTTACCTATTAATTGATTCAAATCATCCATCATATGTCGAATCTAAAGAAGAAGTGGCATTAGGATTATTTACAAAGGCGTAATTGCAACCTCTAATTTAACATGTTGGATTTAAGAAAGTCTAAGAAAATTTTTAACAATATTGTGATTTAATATATTCTTTTATTAAATGAGTACTTCACCAAAGCTATTTTAAATATAATTTAATTGCCGTTTTTTATATAAATGGTATTTTGGTTTCCATCCTCAAGCAATCTAGATCTAAAAGTCAGAAAACCTTTCTAAATGTGATAAAGTATTAGTTTAAAATAAAAATACTGATTCTATTAAGTCTAATAGTTAATATTAATTTAATGGATTCATTAAAATAATTATTTACGAAAATGCTAAGTTAGTATTGATAAAAATTTTCATAAATCAATATTTCTTCTTAGTTCACTATAAAATAGATTGGTGTCTGTGTGAGATTCTGTTATTTAATGGACATTTTTTTTTTCTTATTAGTTAATTAGACCAGCTTAATGAAGCAATTATTCTATAATGTCTATTAATAACTGGAGATATTCAATGAATGGAGCTTCAATACTTGGTTTCTAATGTTTGATATCCATTTTGAATTCCTAAACGAGCACTCTTTTTCGAATTTAAAAATATTAAGAGTTCCACCAAATTTCTTCTTTAGAATTTAAAGTTTTCATAGCTAAGTATGATTCAATTAAGATCTAAATTAATATTCATTTTACTTTAACCACACAAATCTCTAAAATTGGATAAGCAACATTCATAAATTTTTGTTGAAATGCTATATAATACTAATTTATTAAGATTCTTAAGAATTTATGAATGGAATTATGTGCATTACTTCTATCTGTTTCGAAGAGTAATTTCTGTTTGTTTTGGGACATCTTAGTATCGATCAATTAAAAAAGATTGAAGATTGAGTTTCTTAATTGAATAGAGATAGATTCTAAGTTTCTTTTGGTTTGTTCTTTATCTAGGATTGTCATAATTTCTTAAGAGTTGTAAATTTTGATTTTAATTTTCTTACCAGTAGAGCACATTTAACCCATAAAATTATATATAAATTATCGTAATTAATTAACATGTGAATTATAAAACGTAAAAGAATAAAATTAAAATGCAAATCTATATGCTTTAATATTAGATATAATAAGATATTAAGTTTTAAATTAAGAATGATTTCAGTCAATAACAAAAAGTGAAGAGAATATATAATTTTAAGAATGTTATTTTACAATTAAACTCTATCAATCAATACAAATTTAATTTGGTAACAATAATTACTTTGCAAGTTTAATCCAAACCACACAAACATGCCAATCCTAAAATTCTATTATTTTATATACCCAATTTGTCAGCATTCCAATCTAAAGATGAAATTGGCTATTAACAAACATCCTATTTATTGAGTAATTCTAATTTTCCAATAACTCCCTTTGGTTTTCCTTCTGCATCTTAGATCTATCTTTAAGATGGATAAGAATATTTATAAATGTTCAAAGCTCCATCACCTCCTTGAGTTGCGAATAAATCTCTATTCTAAGGTAAATGTTTGACTCCCCAAATAGTTGATTTTTATCCTTCATGTGTTAATGAAGCATATCCATTATTGAAAGTTCTTAAATCAAAAACATTAATTTTGCCTAAATTTAAATCTAAAATACTTTCTAAGGTAGTTGCTATTAATTTATTCATTTAGATATCTTTTCGATCAAATTCAATACCGCATATTCCATTCTTTACATTAGTATCCCAAATCAACTAGTTTTATTTTAAATCAAAAAGCTTAATATCTCCATTATCATAACCACAAGCAATAACACGTTCATCATTATATGAATTACCAAATGATACACTCCATGCATCTGGTATAACATCTTTTTCAATAGGCTCTAATGAGACAACAGGAGCTGCTTATCTTGGATCCCATACTCTTACACATCCATCTCTTGAACCAGTTACAATTTCAGGTGCTCCAATATTAAAACAAGTGTCAATAGAATTTATTATTTGATCATGTGCCTTAACTTCAAATGTGGTCTAATATCTAATTATATTTTACTTTTCGAGTTTCCAGATCTAATACTTTTAATTTCCCATCAAAATCACCAAATGCAAACAAATTATCCAAAAATTATCCACATTTTATACCCTTAGGTTATTCTATCTAATGATATATTTAATTATAACTGATTATATGGTTTTCAGTTCTGTTTTATTCAATTACAATATTTCAATAATTCCATTAGCTTTGGGGGGTTAACCACATAATACAAATTTTGCAGTTCCTGGAATCCATCTTGTGACAAAAGGAGTGAAGTTTAATGATTTGTTGAGATGTTCAATAATTTAAGGAGCATTTGTTGTGTCCATATTTATTTATTAATTATTTAATTATCATTTTAATATATGCAAAATTAATTATAAAATTTTGTGTTTTCATTGTAATTCCCTTAATCTCTTAATCATTGATGAATGCAATGAACTATCAAGATACTTGTTTATATGATTTAATAATCTTATTTTTTTAACATAACCACAACTCTCTGATGATTCCATTGAAACTGATGTTGATACTTCTGTAGGTTCCCAAACTTATTTTACGTATTCTAATCCATTTTTATCGCCTTCACTTAATAATTCTTAAAATATTTATTCATCAAAATGTTTAGATGCGAGTTTCAAGCATACAGCTTCAGAATTCATTAATTATTTATGAATTAATATAAATTTTTATTTACTTTCAGATCTAAATATATGTTATCAATAATTTTACCTTTATAGGACCTATTCCAGGAACTCAATATTAGGAATTGTTTTTCATATATGATCATTAAATTTTAATTTACTTAAATGGGATTCGAAATTAGATCATTTAATCTAGAAAGTACTAGTTAAAGTATATGAATGATAAGCTAATAAATTTATATATAAAATAATTCCAATCAAAGCAGAATAATAATAAATAGCATTTAAATCAATTCCACTATAATTCAATAATTCTACATTTTAATTGTGCAATTTATTATTGCTATTTTTAGAAATCATCTAAGTAACATTTACTTTCCTACGTTTCAGAATTATTATTAATAAATTATTGATAATTAACTATGATCTGTCCTTAATTCACCTTATTAATAAATAATTACATATTTGTAAAAATAGATTTAAAGAAATTTTAATATTTCTTGATTAAAACTTAGAGCATCTTTACGCTAGCTCCTAGAAAAAAGGAATTTTGGGTTCATTCAATAGAGGATTAATAATATCTTAAAATAAAATAGATTATATTAATTTTGAGATAAATAGAATATTCATTCATTTGTAGTAGCTAATTAGAAATTGTATTGAATCTTTATTACATATGCAAATTCAATAAAACTAATTAAATTTTAAGTAAAAGCTGATTGAAATTATTAACAATAGATTTATTGAGAAAAATTAATACTCATAATTTATACTACTAAATTTGGTGATAGAAAATGTGAGTAGTATTTAGTCATTTCACTTTAAAAAGAAACATAGCTTTATAACTATAATTGATAAGGTTGTAATATTGAACATTACTTTAACTGATTCCAGCCATGAAAATAATTAACTTAACAATTTTAAATTAATTCTCATAAAACATTCGCAGACGATCGAAAAGAGAGTGAGAAAATTACCTTTTCTAAATTATAAATAACTTAAATCACGGGTACAAGCCTTAAAATTATTAGAAATTATATATTTTACAGAAGCTCCATATAAATTAACTATTCAAGTGGATCTTGAGTTTATAAGATACAATAATTGCTATTAATTTAATGCATATCTTTTATTAATTAAATAGACAAATAATCTAATATCATAAAGAATTGTTAATAAAAGCAATATAAAATATTCATAAATTTATTATAAAACTCATGGTTAACCAGATTACTTTCTAAGATTTATACAAGTTTATCCGTCACAAAATGGCACGTTTTTGGTTAATTTGCATCCACATAATTCCAAAGAATCGGTTTCTTATTCTAATGTAAATCTATATGGCTTAAATGATGTTCCTTAATGAGAGCCATCGCATAAGGGCTAAATTAATTACGATTCCTTTTACTTATTTCTAACTTAAACCACATGAACACCATCTATAGGTTTTATTAGAAACTTTTGGATCCTCTATTTTTATTGGACCAAGAACAGGCGATGTTGGAATTGGAGTAAATTATTCAACTTCAGCTTTCTTGTGTTGTTTATTCAACTTAATGACTTTCCCTGCTTCCTCTAATTCTTTTATCTGAACTGTAAAGCATCTTTTCATTAACATTCTTATCATTTTTCTTAATTATATTAATTAAATACTTTGAAAATTTTAAGTAATTCCTGTAACTTTCAAATTTATTTTAATTATACACAACAACATACATCATAATTTTAAGTTATAAATGACTAAAGAGTCATCTAATTATGTTTCTTATTTATTTTTAGATTCCTTTTTATAATTTAATAATACATCTGTTATCGATTATAACAAATATTATTAATATAGAATTTAATATAGGCAGATAGTGGATTGGAATTATTGACATGCTATATGAGATGCCACTCATAGTATTTAATCATTTACAAAGAAACTTAGAAATTATTTTATAATATCATGAAATATAAATATGCTCTTATATTAATAATATTGCAATTCAGAGGAAGAATAAAAAGAATTTTATAATTATTTTAAAAATTGTGTTTCTTAACTACTTCTTTTTATTTTAAATATTGTTATTCTAGATAAAATGAAATTAGTATATAAAAACCTTAAAATCTTGCAATTCAATGAAATTTTAAAGATATAAATTTGTCCAAATCTTAAAATTATGGAACCATTATTAATATTGTTATTTTCGTTTTAAATGTAGTAATTTTATTTTTTTAGAATAGACAACTACTCCTATTTTATATATAATGAAGTCAATAATAATATTATTTAAAAATAAATAAATTTGAAATAACCAGTTGATAATTTATTATAAATATATCAGTAATCCCTTGATAATTTATTTTATGAAAATGTTATCAAGATCTAGATCTCAAATATGGTATAGAATTTGGTTAATCATCTGAGTAGTCAACATCAGCTATCGAATGGGACTTTTTAAAATCAGGCTCTGAAACCTGAAGATTTAAACTAAGCTTCTAATTAAAAATTTAATCTAATTTCGATTGATCTTTATTCAAAGTATAGAATAATTCAATAATGTCTTCATCTAAGATTTCGATTATATTCCTATCAATTTAAGTTAATTCTTTTTTCTTTTTCAATTTTGCAAATGATACAAAGGCTTCTTAAAGTTTTAAGAGATCGGACTTTTCATCCTGCAATATAAATTGATAAGCCTTTTTTGCTTCAATTTCTTTAATTTTATTTTCTGCATCATCTCCAAATAATGCAGAGGGAATTACAGGTTTAGGTAAATAATTAAATAATTAGAGTTGGTCTTCATTCAGTAATACCAATTTTAATTTATCAATCTCATAAATTTTGGATATGATGTATGCGACATCTAATTTAGACATAAATTTATCAGTTGCATACTAGATTTGCATTTTTTCTTTTTTCTTGCATCCTAAACTCATAATAATTATATCTCTTAACGTTAAATTTAAAGACTGCTTCTTAGACTTCAAATATTCACTCATAGTTTTGGAATCCTAAATTTTTTCGAAGTTCTTCGACTTGAGAGATCTACCTAAGGATTTAGAAAAAGAGGACTTTTTAATGTCAAAATCTAAAACTCGTTAAGATGATTATTATTTGGGTGATTAAATAATGAAATTCTCTTAAGCAATTTAATCATCATCAAAAGAATCGTTAGCATTCTCAAATCTAAATAGTTTATTTGCCATCTATAGATTCACAAATTTTTAAATAAGAGGGCTCAAAATAGAATAAATGCTTAAAAATAATACTTGATAGAGCCCTCCTATTGTACTTAAAATGGCTTGAACTTTAGCATAAGATCTAGAATATTCTCCTTGTCTTTGATCAAGTGTTATGTAATGGAGAACTAAAAATTCATCATTGTATCCTTCTTATGATTCACGATTAGTATACTAAACTAAATTTGAGGATTCAGACTTGTCTTCTGTAATTAGACCATTATCAGTGATGACATTAGTCACTTTTAAATTCTGGATTATGGTTTTAGAATTTGCGATTGACATAGTTGTATATTAGAGGGAGATGTATTCTTAAAATGGATTCCCTGGCTATTTCATTTATACAAGATTATCTGACAAATGAACTACGTAATAACCAGTTTTCAACTCTTCTTAAATGCTTTCTATGGGGGCACATTGATTATACGAGGTAGAATTCTTGCATTGCTAAACCATGATTGAAATATATTGATATGATTTGCCAGCAATTTGGCCTTATAAATTCTAATATAATTTGAGTAAAATTACAGGAGGTGAATTATTCCATTATTCTGAATTCATACATTATGTATATCCTAAATTGATTGATGAAAAATAATTTTTCTGAGCATTTGTAACAAAGTGTTTGTCATCGCATGCTTCTGTTGGGTATTCAGTACAACTTATATATTAAAATGGAAAGATACTTCTGCTGAATTCTAGTTTTTCCTGTTTACTCATCAATAAGTCTTACTCTGATACAGTTTTTCACTGTAATAGTAAAATGGGTATTTAAGGTTGTAAGAGTGTTGAGACTTAAATTGGCTACTGAAATTGCCATTGTAAAGTTATTCATTAACAAAGGAAAAGGCTCTAATAATTAAATAATCTTACAGCAGTATCGGTCACTTAATACTCTGAAAATACAACTAAAGGGTTTTTTCGATCGTATAATTATAAGATTTAATAAATTAAATATAGTATGCAGATAGTAGTGATCACTGATGTACAAAAGAAACCTGTTGAAGTAGTGAATTTACTTTTTTTTAATATTCTCAATACAGGAGGTTATCCAAATACATCTAATCCACTCAAGAATCCCTATAAACTATTTTTAAACATTTGGGTGTTCCTTTTTTAATACTTAAACATAATTTCTTTATTTGATATTCTTAAAAGCAATTTTTTATTTTAACATTAATACTCTCAATTATGGATTTTGAGAAAGAGTAATTCCAAAGATAACATAACCAGAATTAAAATCAAGATGATTCTTAAGTTTAGGACTTGAATTGTAAATTGAGACCATAACCATTTAACTTTGATCATTTATTAAAAACTATAACCAACTGATTATATAAGAAAATCTAAGTATCGAAGATGAATAAGATACTGATAATTAAATAAGGTGAAAATAGACTTATCAATTAAGTTTAGAGTGTATTATATTAAACAGTATTTTTCTCAAATACATTCATCAATTTAGTGTTATATCAAAATTAAATTCGAACTATAAAGCTTTCTCTATCTTAATCCCAACAAGATCTAGTTGTGGTTAATATTGCCTTTTATTTTTCACACTATTTATGTAGTATTAGGATTAGGGGCTTAATATATTGGTTTGAAAAGAAGTAGAATAAAAAGAAAATAATATTATAAGTTTAGGATGGTCACAATAGTTGTTTTAGTTTCTTAATACTCCAATTATAATATATTAGTAGAGTATCAAATTATATTGCAAATGCTAGTTTGATTTGTATGATATTAAGCTAATTTGAATTAATATACCATATATTAAGTTTTTTAAAATAACTGAATTGAAAGATATGATTTGTATAATAAAAAAAGGAACCTAAAATATTTAGATTTGGTGTTCTATACATTTAATTTTGAATGAGTTTGAATTAAGCAATTTATATTAATAATTATATCAATTGAGTCAACACATCATAATAGTCTGTATTACACATTAATTTAAATATAAATATTCTGAAGAATCATGAAAGTAGAGGAAGAGGGAATCTCACTAAGAGGAACTGTGTTAGACCCATTAATTGAAAAGAAGGAAATTAAATACAGGGAAATAATACTCAATTAGACGATTTCTCAAAAAAAGGCGTGTAATGAAATCAATAATAGCAAATACTCTATATTCACATTTTTCCCTTTCGTTTTGTTTTATTAATTTTAACATTTCTTTAACTTGTACTTTTTGGGATTGACTATTACTTAATTCATACCTGCTTTAGAAGTAGGTAAAATATAATGTTTTATAATCTTAGGATTTATCATCAATTATGTGGGTCCATTATCCATAGTCTTATGTTTATCTATGTTTAAAGAAGCATATGATGACATTTTGAGACATTCAAGAGACAGACAAATAAACAATCAGCTCTATTAAATATTAACAATAGAAGGTTTGATGAATAAGAAATCGGGGAACTTGTAAGTGGGACAAATTGTTTAAGTGAATAAGGATGAAAGAATACCTGCAGACTTATTGATATTGAGAACGGATGACAAGGATGGAAATGCATTTATTCGAACAGATTAATTGGATGGAGAGACTGATTGGAAGTTGAGAAAATCCGTCAAGTTAACTCAAAACATGGATGACAATTAATTAACATCAGTGTCTGGGCTAATTTAGTTTGAAGAACCCCATTAAAATATCAATAGTTTTAAGGGTTTAGTATAAATAAATGAAATGGATGGGAAACAACTTAGAGAATCGACTAGTTTAGAAAATGTTGTTTGGGCTAACAGCGTATTGGCTGTAGGATAAATATATGGGATTGTAATCTATAATGGCAATGAAGCAAAGATGATGATGAATCAAAGGAAGGCTTAAACTAAGAAGGGAATTTTTGATGTTGAAGTTGACAAGTTAAGTAAGTTATCCTTTTTTATTATGATTGTTTTGGCTGTTATAATAACATTATTTAGCAGTCCTCCAAGGGATTTTAAATATGTACTCTAAATGTACATGCGCTATTTGATTTTAGTTAGTAACATTATTCCAGTAATTTATTATAATAAGTTCAAGATTTCTATGAGAGTCAATTTAGAATTTGCAAAAATAGTTTATTCCGTTAGAATTAATAGAGACACAAAAATTGAGGGCACTATTACAAGGAATTCAAATATACCTGAATCTTTAGGTAGAATTTCGTATTTATTAAGTGATAAAACTGGTAAATTTAATTATTAATTGAATGAGGCACTCTCACATAAAATGAAATGATTTTTAAGAGATTTTCTTTGGAGAATGAGAAATATACTATTGAACAAGAAGATTTGACTAAAATAAAGTAAATCCTGTATGATTAATTTAAATACCCAAATGAAAAGAGTGGGAAAATGAGAGATTTCTTTACATGTCTAAGTGTTTGTCATCATGTTACTCCAGTAGATGATGAATATGGAAATCGTACCTACTAAGCTTAGTCTCCTGATGAAATTGCATTAATTAAATTCGCTGCACAATAAGGTTTCTATATATTATCAAGGGATGATAAAGAGATCATCATTCACATTGAGCAAAAAGAACTAAAAATAAAGGAAAGATACTAGATATTAAACAGTTTCCCATTTTCAAGTGAAAATAAAAGGATGGGGATAGTTCTAAAGAACAATTAAAATTAGATTCACTTTTATGTTAAAGGTGCAGATGTAGTACTCAAACAGTTATTACCTGAAAAATATTCGAGTTATATTGATGAGGAAACAGAGAATCTAGCAAGAGTTGGATTGAGAACACTTGTATTGGCTCATAAAAAACTATCCCAAAAAGAATATGAAGATTGGAATGAAAAATATATAAAGGCTGCCTAATTGATTGAAAAAAGAGAGTAGGAGATGTAAAAGTTGATTGAATAACTTGAAAAACAATTGGAATTTATAGGAATTACAGGTGTAGAAGATAAGTTATAAGATGTAATTAATAATATTAGATAAGGATGTATCTCATACTATCGAAAACTTGAAGAATGCAGGAATCAATGTTTGGATGTTAACAGGTGATAAAATGGAAACAGCCATCTGTATAGCCATTCTATCTGGTCTCAAACATGCTACACAGAATTTTATTATTATGAAAGATGTTATTGATGAGGTACTTATCCAAATATTAAATAGATCTAAATGTCTCTGATTTTATAAAATTTAGAGGCCAATTCAAATAATGTATTGGTAATTGATGGAACCAGTTTATAAGAAGCATTGCATGGATTTGAATAACAATTTATGAAAGCAGCTATGAATTGTCCCTCAGTAATTTGTTGTAGGTGTTGTCCTACACAAAAAGCAATAGTAACCGAACTCCTTAAGAAATACTCAGGACTTGTTGTAGCAGCAGTGGGGGATGGAGGAAACGATGTGGGAATGATATAATCAAGTGATGTAGGAATAGGAATTGAAGGTAAAGAGGGTAAGCAAGCTGCATTAGCATCAGATTTCTCTATCTTAAAATTCAATTCCTTAAATCTACTTTTGTTATGGCATGGGAGATTATCATACAAAAGGAGTTCTTTGCTCTCTTAATTTATTCTTCATAGAGGTCTTCTGATTGCCACAGTACAAACTATATTTATGTTTTTGTTCTACTTTCTGTCAATCAGTTTGTTCTCAGGATTTTTGATGTTTGGATATTCCACTATTTTCACGTATCATAATATTTTTATATTTAAGGATGTTTCCTGTATTTTGTATCATTTATGATGAAGATGTCAAGCAAGAGATTGCTATGCGATTCCCACCTCTCTATAAGTCAATCCAACAAGGGAGGTTACTTAATACAAAGACATTTCTTATTTGGATTTGGAAGGCTGTATTCCAAGGCTTCATTATAATGATTTGTTCCATACTTTTGATTAAGCAAGCCTTTTTGAGATTGGAAACTACTGTATTCACATGTTTGATCTTTACATAATATGCTATGACACTTACAGAAGTACTAATCATTCTAATTTTATAGTTAGAGTCTCTACATATCTATATGATTCTGTCAAACTTGTTGTCTGTATTGATCTATCTTATGACTTTATTATTGTTTCCTGAACAACTATTAGTATAGGATACAATTGATGTTCCCTTTTTTGGCTGGGTCATCTTGATTTTGTTAATGAGTTGGTTGCCTTTGTATATTTTAAGGAGGATCTTAAAGTCAGTAGATCCATCTGATTATGAGAAGCTCATGGACTAAGTTTAAAGAGAAACAATTAATACGAATTGAATGATTATTTGATTGTATTTTGATTAAGCTTTTTCTTGTAACAAATTTCTAACAATTATAATTATAATTAAAATATTTATGTCAGCTTTTAAGACTTTAATGAAAATGCCATAAACTAAACTAGCATCTAAATGTATAGCCTTAGAAGAATTGTTATAGCGTTATTATTAGTTTGAGGAAGTTCATTATGATTTATAAAGCAAATACCAAATTCTTTAAGAAAAATTTGAGAAGCTCACTCAACAGAATTTGTAATTAAAGCAAACCATTTAAAATGATAAAGACTCCATTTCTCAAAAGAGTTACAAAAAATTGGATTCTTATCTTAATTGCACTGAGAAAATAGAATTATGCGCAATAGAAGATCTCGAAACATAAAAACTCATTGAAGAATTGAAGTAACAAAATTAAAAAATGAAGCAGGAAGTCTCGTAAAGCAAAAAAGAATATCAGAGATTATAATCAATGTATTTTAATTACTATCTAGGTTTGAATAAACTTAGACTGAATTAGTTAGATCTGCATCTTTAAAAACGGCTTCGGATTCTAAATATAGTTCACTTATTGATGACAAAAGTAATGATTCTGTTTAGTCTTATAAAAATGAAATTGCCAGATTAAATAAAATAGTAATTTCCCTTCTTCATAGTAGGTAACATCTTTGAGAGTAGAATTATGCCAATACAAAACTAAGGAATATGATGAGGAGTGGATGAAGACCTAACTAATTAAATATTAAAAATAATCTTAGTTATCAAGCAATAATAATAAATCTTTTGACATTCTTGATTATGTTGATAATTGATACATCAAATTTATTTAATGAATTCTAATTATAATATTCATTGAGTGAATATCAATTTTATTATTCCTTTGTTATTCAAACTACGTATTCGCACTTCTTTAACTCTCATAATTCAGGTCTATCAGTAATTTTGATAAAGATTTAAAACTATCACATTTAAAATAATATACATTATTAAAATGATGACTATTATAATATCTGAGGAAAAATAAAAATTCCTAATATTATCATGTAGAATTAAATATTTTATTAAATGTACATCTTCTTTGATATTTATTCTTAGGGTCATATACATATTTTAACAATTTATGATAACATGTATATGATCTCTAATTATTCGAACATCCTCTTTTTTATTTATTTCTCTACATTAATATATGTAAAAACTTGTAATATTAGTTGATATATAGAATAACACATTAATTTAAGATTCATATTGCGAATCCTTTTTTTCTTTCTGAACTTGCTTGGATATTATGAAAAAGGTTTAATTAAAAATGAAGAATCGTAAGCCACATATCTTATTATGTTTATATGAGCATTTCTTAAGTGAATTGGCTTTCACAAAAATTCCTTTCATATCTAAACATAAAGTGAAAATCAAACGATAAATAAGAAGATTTAATAATAATTATTATCGTATATTTGCTTCTTTTTTAAATCATGATAATAAAAACTGGGAAAGTTTATCAAGTTCTTATGACATCTACTATAAATTTATTTGCATACATTAAGAATCTGCTGGTACATATTTTCAAATTCTTTATTTATGTTTATAATTAAAGGCTCATTCTAAAGATCGAAGTTATTGAAATAATCTGGATCCAAACTTTAGGTCTTTTAGTTATATAAATATTCAAAAATTACTTGGTTTATGGTGTTTGCGGTTTTTAATTTTTTATTTGAACCTTATGAACTACAGATCCCCATAAATTTTATATGTAATATTTATTATTATGATTTAATTATTAATATTAAGATAACTTACAAATTATTTAAATCTATTCTATTATTATCGACAAATGCAGAATTTCATTATGATATCCACTCTGTGCTTCCATTATTGTTCTAAATCCCCAACCACCTGTAATTACGATAAGATTATTTTAATACAACACATGTTTAGGGCTGTTTTTTTAATCTGCTCATTTAGATCAGAATTTATGTAATTCATTGAATAAAGTATAGGATCTATTGTTAATTCTAAATTACGTGTTTAGTTTATGCTTTGGTCATCTAAATTTATAGATATTTCTTTCTTCCACTAAGAGAAGTAGAAGAGAATACAGAATTTCCTGTGAAAATGGATTAATAATTAATATATATTAGATTCACATATCTTCATCACTACTTTCCTTGTCTTCTTACTACATTGATTAACGAATGCTATTATTTTGATCTTATCTAGCAATTATCTATAAAAGAGTCAATATCTATTGCATCCCTCCTGATTATCTTTAGTATTGATTTCTTGACTATAATAATTGGGCTCTTAAATCCTCAGTAGTTTACTGCTATTATGATGGTTGTTTTCTTGAATCCTTTGGCGAATACACCCAGAGTTAATTTTTAGTAGGGTGAAACTTCACACATGACAATTCCTTAGCATTATCTGATATCTATTTTCAATTAATTAATTACTTAATATGACTCAATTGGTCTACTTGATTTTTGGATGTGCCAAATCAACAAATCACCTTTGTTAGTCCCTGCAGCTATTAAATTACAATTGAGCCATCCTATATCATATTGAGAAGTTAAGGGATTTAAGCTGGAAGTGGTTTGGAATACTTTGATCAATTATAATTCAGGTATTGCATATAAATACAATTGAGATATAGTGTCACATATGCAAACTAAGACAAAATTAAAATTTTTATCTACGACTGAATTCTAATTATTGTTAGAACTTGAAGTCTAAGATATTTATTATTTTGTATATAATTGATACAAACTAATCTTATTTTAACTAGTTAAAAGCATTAATTCCTTCTATTGATGTGTGTGTAATTTCAACAATTTTTCCTCAATTTTTAATCCTCCCTTCCTTTCATTTTCATTCCATTCATAAAGCCATCCATCTATAGAAATAGTGTAAATATCATATTCATTTTTCTATTTTTTCTTTGATTAATCACATAACACAAAATTTAAACTTTATACTACTGTATTGTGTCCTTCAATTCTATACTTTTTTTCTGTTTATATGTTATAAACAAATGCTGTAAAATCTTGTGAAGATGTTCCAATATATTTGCTACAAGGTGAGAATATAATTGATGTAATGGCACTAATATGCCCAGTTGATATTTTCTTAGGATTTTATAAGTATTCATTTTTTGTGTTGTCATATTAATATAAGTAAATTTAGAGACCATGAACTAAGGCTTTATATTAACCATTAATTGAAAATACACAGAAGAGGATATTTTTCTTCCGCTTTATTATATTTAATTAAGGATTGCATGTGTGCTCTTTAAAAATATTGTAATTTTATTCTAATTTAACATGGAATTGACAATCTAAGACTTAATTTGCTTGTTATTATTGTATTAAGGTCACTAATCTATTAGGTTCAATTAATCCAATTTATTTATAGCACAACTATATAATTTCATCTATCAATTCTTATTCTTATTTTACTTTGAGTTCTGGAAGATATATCATAGAAGCATATTGATGCTTTATTTCTTCGTCTAAATATAGGTATTTAAACAGATACCTGAACAATAAATTGTTATTTGATTTCTCAATAGTTAGATTGCTTCCTAAATATTGTGTAATTTAAGGAGTTTAATGTATTTTTACTCTAATACTTTCAAAATGCATTTCTATTTTGTTTATTCATCTACATATTGATTAAGCAGCTATTCTAATTATACTATGTCTTAATTTCTTATTGATTGAGTAATCAATTCTAAATTTTAAGGATCTAATTAGATTTATGATTGTTCCTAGAGTTTCTAGAAAGTCTGATCATATTTAATTTATCGTAAAAGTTAGAGAATTAGTTTTATTTTTTCTTCCTTAATGTTCATTTAATATTTGATTAAAAAAAATTTCTTTTTTTAATTGACCATAAATAATGGATATCGTTGGAGTAAGGCTTTGTTGTTATCATAGAACGTATTGCCATAAGTGTTGAAAGACGAAGCTACTGAAGATAAAGGGGAAATGGCCAGATTGGTAAATTATTGATTATTAACATTCCAAGTAAAGTTTCGTAGGTGCAATTGCAGTTGCAGATCTAGTAAAAACAACCTTAGGACCTAAGGGAATGGTTAGAATTGTGAATTAATTTAATAGGATAAAATATTGAAGCCAACAGGACCAGGTTAAGAAATGACTCATATTACTGTAACCAATGATGGTGCTACAATTCTGAAGTCAATGTATGTTGAGAATCCAGCAGCAAAGATTCTTATAGAAATCAGCAAGACTTAGGATGAGGAAGTAGGAGATGGGACTACAACAGTTGCAGTATTGGCAGGTGAATTATTGCGGGAAGGAGAGAAATTAATTTAAAAAAGAATTCATCCATAACATGTAATAGCTGGATGGAGAATTGCTAGAGATGTAGCCTTAAAGCGTCTTAGAGATATTTGTAAATAATTGTATAATATTGATTAGCTAGTGAAAATGATATCAATTCTTAAGAATTTCATGATGATCTAGTCAAGATTGCCAGAACTACATTGAGTTCAAAATTAATCACTTCAGATAGAGACTACTTTGCAGATTTATGTGTGAATGCAGTACTTAGATTAAAGGGATCGTCCAATTTGGATTATATTCAAATAATAAAACTTCCAGGAGGAACAATAAGAGATTCTTATTTGGATGATGGATTCATTTTGAAGAAATAGATTACTATTGGATGCAAGAGAAGAATTGAAAATGCTAAAATTTTGGTGGCTAATACTGCTATGGATTATGACAAAATTAAAATATATGGAACAAAAGTCAAAGTCAATTCAATGGATAAAGTTGCAGAAATAGAGGCTGCTGAAAAGGAAAAGATGAAACACAAAGTTGATAAGATTCTTAAATATTAACCAACAGTATTTGTCAATAGATAATTGATTTACAATTATCCAGAATAATTATTGGCTGATTCTGGAATCACTGTTATAGAACATGCAGATTTTGAAGGAATGGAAAGAGTTGCTGCAGCTACAGGAGCTGAAATCTTATCAACATTCGATGCTCCAGAAAGAGCAGCATAAGTCTTAGGTCATTGTGATTTAATTGAAGAAATTATGATTGGAGAAGAAAAAGTAAATTATTAAATAACTGTTATAAGATGATCAAATTTTCAGGATGCAAGAAGAATGAAGCATGCACCATTGTGTTAAGAGGAGCTAGTACACATATTTTGGATGAAGTGGATAGATCAATCCATGATGCTTTGTGTGTTTTAATTACTACAGTCAAAAACAAAAGAGTTGTGTGGGGAGGTGGCAATTCAGAAATGTAAATGGCAGCTGCCTGTGAGGAAGAAGCCAAGAAGGTATAAGGAAAACAAGCATTTGCAATTGAAGCATTTGCTAGAGCCCTGAGATAGATTCCAACTATTATTTGTGATAATGGAGGTATTTATTTTTATGGAATTTATTTAAGGTTATGACTCTGCTGAATTAATATAAAATTTCAAAGTCGAATTATAAAAGGGCAATCAAAATTGTGGTTTAAATATGACAGATGGAACAATTGGAAGCATGAGTGAACTAGGTGTTAAAGAATGCTTGAGAGTTAAAGAACAAGCATTGATGGCTGCCAGTGAAGCAGCTGAATTAATTATGAGAGTTGATGATATTGTTAAATGTGCACCAAGAAAGAGAGAAAGAGCATGAAGTTAATTATAATAAAAATATAAAATCATAATCAGCTTGAGTTTTATTAAATTAGTTTTCCTCCTTCATAACTTGATTAGTCCTATTACATCGATTGTTATGATTCTTACTATTATCTTTTTTTAGATTTAAAGTAAATCTCATCCAATTCAATTATGTACATTATATATGGATGATAGACTTTTAATGATAATACGCAAAAGACACAAAATAAGAACATTAAAATTGGTAACAATAGATTGATTAACAGAATATATCCAACCCAGTATCCTCCGAAATTCTCTCCTTCATCATTTATAATTGGGAAATACTCAAGGCCTGTCTGATAAAAAACAAAGGGATCTTATAAATTATTCTTCACTAATGTTGCACTCAATTCATAAGAATATTATATATTGTTCTCAAACTTCCATTCTACATAAAATAAACAATATCTTTCATCATATCTAATACAACTCTTAATTTTATCATTCTCAATCAAATAGCACTCCAATACTGTTTCCTGTTATTCATTTTTTATGTTAATTTTTGCTTCACTTAAATTGATATTTCGAACACATTCTTAACCCTTTGGTAGCACCTCTATTACAGCGATAGTATTATTAATAATCTAATTAACATCTACTTGCATTCTAAATTAATTTGTAGGCTTAAACTTTTATTTTAATAATATATCTTCACTATTTAATTATGAAAAAGTATTATCAATCTAAATAATGGCTTCAAATTCTAGATTCTATTAATGTTAAGATATCAAGTTAAACTATGTTATTTGGTATTAAGCTTTTATTAGAAAAGGCAAATTATTTAATTTATTATCATTATTATCCAAAATCCGTTTGCTTCCTTATATTAAAATAGTATTTGTATCTATTTCTGAAATTTATAAAGGCAAAAGGAATTTATTTTAATATAATCTAAACCAATACAACGCAGACTATCTATTAAAAGATTTTTGTAATTTTGCCTTATATTCTAAAATTTGATTCTAGAGCATCAGTTGAAAGTTTGATGAGAAATCAAAATAAAATTTATCTTCGTTGTCTAACTAAGGGAGTGATCCTACAAAAAGTATTTGATCTTTGGTAGTTGTTTACACTTTCGTGATAAAAAACAAAATTAAATTTAATGATGCAGTTGAATTTAACCAAAACTCAATTGAATTAGTACAAGTTAAAAAATGATAGTGCTGAATTTAAATTAAAGGTGAAGGTGTTAATTATTGACTCAAATCGTACATCTTGTAATCTATGAAAATGAATAATGAATCACTATTTAGAGATCGATTAAAAATAAATGTATATTTGTATGCAGAGTCTTCGTCTAAAGGTAATTAGTAATTCTGGTCTAAACATATCCCCTATCCCTTTTGAAGGCTCATTTACAGTTATCCTTGTACATCTACTAATCCAACCTATTCTTTAGTTTTACAATCAATCCATTTTATTAATCTAAACTAAAAATTATCTAATGGGAAAACTTGATCTTAAACACCTTCAACAATCATGTAGATACAGAATAGCAAAAATCCCATTGATCCTAACATTTTATAAAATAAATAGTAATTTATTTCTATTTATTTCTATCTGATTTTCAATTTATATGTTAAATTGTATATCATCATTTAGATCAAACATTAACCTTTGACATCAAATAGAACAAATTTCATGACAAATAATAAAGTTTTTTGTAGTTTAATTCTAAATATATTTATCTGATCTTCAATCAATGTAATTGAGTATATTCACTTTAATTTCAATAACAGAATTGCACTTTACAGGTCAACAAAAAATAAAAATAAAGCTATTAAACTAAAAGTTTATTCCTTAATCTGGAAGTGCTTCACTTTATGATTAAAGCGAATTTAATTATTTAAAGTATTAGTCTCAAACTTTTTAATGCTTATAAATTAAAAAACACTATTTATTTAACTTTAAGATACCAATTATGTGTTATTATTTTAAATAAAACTTAGATTATTGCTATAATTAAACAATTTGACAGTTGAGGTTGGTTTTACTATTCCAATTTAAATCACTCACGATGAGCCATTTAATTTTTTAGTCATTTGAGGATATAAAATTAACTCTACTTTAATGTTAATTTCTATTAAATTAAATAATAATAAAATTGTTGACAGAAATATAAAAATTGAAATTTATTATTCTTAAGAATTTTTTTCAAATTTATAGTGACAAAATGTGAAATTATCATCAATTGATAAAATACTAATATTTATTAATATTAGGATTTAATTTAATCAATATGATATCCTATGCTGTAAAATTTTATTTTCTTCCATAAATTTAATGCCTGACAAGTAACTATTAATTAATTGAAGTTTCTTAATCCTTAGATTCATTTTAAATGATTTTATATAATACAAAATAATATATTTGATAGCCTCAACATATAATATATAATGAACAGATCATAAAATGATAGTATAGTATATCTTTTATGATGAGATCTGTGGAATTTGTGACATGATATTAAAACTACTTATTTATTTGATAAAACCTAACATTCTAGAGTTACATTGATTGCAAAATACAATTTAAGATGAAAAATTAGGAAAAAAATGCTAATTAGATCTTTCATCCATTGTAGTGATAATATAAAATAAGAAACTCAAAAATCAAAAACAATATTCTATTACTTAAATAGACTAAATTAAAATACCCGAATGCATTGATTGAGTTGATCATTCAATAGTATTTCTCAGATTGGACCTAGAATTTCATTATAAGGCATAGAGATAAAATTTGTAAGCTGAAGAGAAGATGAATGAATATTATTATATAAATCATATATATATGAATATCATTTTTCTGTCAGTTCTCTATAGCCTTTCCAATAATTAGGTGCTTTGTTTCCATTAGAGTGTAGAACTTCAAGTAGAGTATTCGAAGGTCCATCTTTATGTTCAGGTATCATAGACTAGAGAAACATAATTACAATTAATTACAAGAGTCTTAGTGAAGATAGGTAAAGCTTTCTCCCATTATCCATTAATATAAAATTAGAATCCCTGATCCCAAGTTTCATAGAATTCTGGCTTAAATGGAGCCCTTGCAAGAACAAGTTCTTAATCTGATTAAAAGAGATCAGCAACCTGAATTTAATCATTTTCGACTTTCTTGATCAATTGATTTCTTTGGTATCTTTAGACAACTCGATATTTTTTGGCTTCCCTTTATGTTAATTTACTGATGTCATATTTATCAATAGGTTCTTTGATTCCTTTCAATAAACTTTTTATAGATAAATCAATGGTGTAAATTTCTAGATATAGAAATTATTTTTACTCATAGGTTCGATGCTACCTTTGACAGTAACAATATCAATGAGTCGTAATTATTTCTGACAAGCTTCGGTTAGATGTTCTCTAAAAATACCACTAATCAATATAATTGAACCAAATTATTTAGTAGCTGCTTCTAATCTGGAGGCCATATTTACATTTGGACTTAAGTAAGAAGCATCAATCTTGAAAGATGAACCTATAGCTCCTTCAATTCCCCAGCCCATATGTAAACCAAATCCCATTTTTACCGAATAGTCCTTCATTCTTGCATTCAAACCAGGATGTTTTTTATATTTTTCTAATTTTTTGGAGATTGAAACTGAAGTAATAATTTTGAGAAAAGCTAAAACTGCCATGTCTCCTTTTTATTTGATTAATTTAGTATCTCTTAACAGTAGTTTTTAAGGATTACTTGGATCAGGATGATAATCAAATTAATCATATTTCCAAACTAAAAGAAAAGCATCTCCTATGTTTTTATTAGCTGACCCACTAAAACTATTGACAGCTGAATGAACAATTTCTGCAATTTCGTTCACAAATACCATTACTTCTTATTGTAAGACCTCAGTTGCATCTGTGAAATTTCTGATATCGCAGAATCCAAAGATTGCCATTATCTTTTTTCCTGGGATCATAGGATCAACACCACCCCCCTTTTTGATATTTTCTGCTATAATTTCAGATCCTGCTTCTCCAAAACCTACTGCCAATAAGGCACCTACTTTCATAATTAAACGTTATAATATATAGGTTTCCATAGTTCTCTCAATTTCCTTTTCTTTTAATTTTTTGTGATCTTGACTTTTTTCTAGTTCTTCAATTACTAAATCTTCTTATTCTTCAATGTTCACTGCCTCTAAGGGATTGGCTGCAATCAATTCTATTTACTTCATCATAGTTTCAATAGGTTCAATTACTAAATCCTCAACGTCTTTGTTGAAGAGTAACGCACTCAAAGCTAGAACAATACATACAAAAATGGTTTAAAATATAGATAGGATTGAGTTAGTCTAATTATAAGAAACCAGATCTGCAGCAGAATAGGCCAATAGTGTTCCATTTTAAGAAGTCTGAATGTAATATTAAAGATCTGTAAATCTGTATTGATCTGGAGATAAAGCTGTATATTCAAAATAATCTGGGTATTTCTAGTAATTATAATTAACCCAAGAACCATTAACTAAAATGTGTACTGCTTGTATAGGATAGATTTATCCTTAATGGAATTCAGCATATTATTTAATGAGTATCTCTTTCACATTTTATTTATCCTTAAATTATGAAATTCTAAAGATTCCTGAATCATAACTATTGATTTTCTCTTAATAGGTGTCAAAGCTGATCAACGGAATACTAATCAAAACTGCTAAAATGATAGTGATAACTCTCCTCATCACTAGATCTGATAATTATTAACCAACATTTGATTCTTTTGAGTCAATCTCTCCAGTCATTGAACTCTCCCCTTAGGAATTAGTTTGTTAACCAGACTTTCCAGGAGTTGATTTGCCAGGAGATTTACTGAATTGATTATTAGATCCTTCACTTCCATCCTAACTTGAAATTGGTTTTTATATTTGTTGATTTGGAGGAACTGAATTTCCACTCATTTGACTTTAATTTAATTGGTTGTTCTTAATTTTGCCACTTCCTATCATATTTTGTTGGCTTTGAATTTGTAATGCTTATTCTTCCTCATTATTGGCTAATATATAATAATTAAATAATACGTTAGTGAGGATTTTAAGATTAAGACAAATATTATTAAGATTACTGATGAATCCTTTATTAGATTTATAGTTATGATTGTTACTATTAAGACTCTTAAATCATTTATTACTATTATTATTATTTTTTCATCTTTTCCTCTTAAGATAATTGAGCCTATCTTAATAACTATCTTAGAAGTGCCTTTTATTATTGCTTCTATATTTATTATCTCGCATGTTTATACAATTTCACCAGTCTTACTAATCTTATGACTCTTATGACTCTTGCAGCCTTTCTTGCAACTTTGGAGGCAGAACCAATTGTTTTAATCGAAGAAGCATTTGTTACGTCCCCGGAGTACCATTCATCAGTTATCCATCCAATATCCAAAAACATGGTTGCTGTTGATATCACATCTAACCAAAAGTAAAACTATAGTTATAAATGTCATTATACATTGCAAATATATTCATGTTTGCAAACACACGTAAAAACAATTTCTAAGATAAAGCAAACCATACAAATTATGGTTAAAACAAAGAATGCGTCATCACCATCTTTATTCACAGTTAGGACTCTTATATCATCTCCGAATAAAGCATAAAGAGTGACTATTGCCATTAAAATTGAAAAAGGAAGACTTTCAACAAAATGGGAAATTCTAGTGGTAATGCTTGTAGTTAAGGCTCTAGGCAATATCACTGATTGTCTGGCCTTTATTTTACTATTCATTCTTCTTATCGTTTTTTTAGCCACTATAAACATACTACAAAATCACATACTAAATTGTCTTTGTTGCCCTGATTTATTTTGACTTGATCTACCATCTGAACCTGATTCCATATTTTATGAACTCATTTATCGATTCTTTTTCTACGAAATTTCGTCAACTTCATCATTTTCTTAATCTAGACTACTCAATTTTTTTTAAACAATAGGTAAACATAGAGGCTTGTCTGTAAACTACAAATATTGATATATATTACCAATTAAGCCATATTCCCTCTTTATAGTTCTGAATTAATTGGTTAATCTACAACTTGTTATTCGATTGGTTCCTAATAAAATTGCAAATGTACTTGCTTAACCTCAGCTAACTATTTATTAAAATTATCAACAACTTGAAGTGGAAGGAAGTTTTATTCTGTATCACGAAAAATATTGTTGTTGTGTCCATTATTTTAATACCTTTCTGACATTCGATCAGAATCCATCATTTTATATTATAATTGAAAAATAAGATATTTCTTTGATTTGAATTCATAAATCAAATCCTTTTAATAAGAAAGTTCGTCATCACATAAACAAATTTTATAGTATTATTAATTAATTTAATTATCAAATACTTATTGATTTTCATTGAACTGCAATTAAAGATATAGCAATTTAGATTAATTATTAACAGAACATTCAAATATATAGAGCATTTAGTGAATTGAAATTGTTGATATATACCTAAAATAGAGTTATTAAAAAGGATACTACAAATAATGTATTCTAGTAATTTAAATAAATATTCTCAAGAAAAAACATATTTTTGATTGATTTTTGGTTGAAAAGTACATTATTCTCTTTCTTTTTATATTGCTTCTTCCTCCAATTGTCTCTTATTCATATTATTTTGTTAAGAAATATTAAAAGGTTCTGGCTTGGTTTTTTCTAAATGATTCTTAAAATCATATTTTAATTCATAGTGGAACAGCTCTTTTTCTCTTTCCATTTGTTGGTAGGCTTTTTTCTTAATGTTTTCTTTGTTTTAAAAGAAATTGTCAACTCCTTTGACTTTTTGACTTAGGGGTTCTTCATCTTTCTAAAATTATTTAGTGATTGGTTTAAAAGTGCATTCTTTCAACTCCTTATACTGCATTTATCTTAGATAAATAATTTATGTTACTTTTTTAAATCTTGAATTTTTCTTTCTTTAAGCTCTTTTTCTATTTCCATATTTTATTTAATCAACTTTTTATCATATTTTGATTTCACATGCTAATATTGCTGTGATTTTTTGGTTTAGGGATAGTAACTAAAAGATTGCTTTGATTCTTATTCCTATTGATTTAATGAAATAAATTACTTCTTTCAGCCGATTTAAATTTTCCTGTTTTTCTGGATTGTAAGCTAGATCATCTAAAGATCGTTTTTATGCAATAATAGAGGAAATGTTATTAATTTAAGGTTTGAAGGAGAATTATTGATAATATACTTATTAAATTTGATCTTTTAGAATTTTATTTTTTTCATAATCTCTAACTCCAAGACGATTAATCTTATCAGACATATTCTCTTAAAGTCTCTCTTCATTGCTTTCCATAATCAATTCACTTGTTTTATTAATTTAAGGTTTGAAAGTGACATCAGAATTTTTGATAAATTCTTAGATAAGTTTTTCCTTTTTTTCTCTCATAAAATCCGCCATCAAATATTAAGTTTAACAAATTTAATTAATTTATTATACAGGTTTAGTTGTTGGATTGATTTATGGGTTGAAAGTGCATTCATCTTTTTCTGGTATTTCATTCTTTTAATTTATTTTTCTTTACAATTTAATAGCTGCATCCTCCATTAATCTTTCAACAACAGATTTTGATGTTTATTTTTGTTCTGCTATAAATATTGATCTTTATGAAATTTTAGGTTAGTATGTTAAATCAGATTATTGTTACAATTCCTATTGTTTTAATAATAATTCTTCTTATTTTTTCTTCATGACTTCATCGATTCTTTCATATAATGGTTTCATGAATTATTTTTCACCTTTTAATACATTACTAATTTAACTAATATCCGGCTTAAAAGAAAACTATTCTGAATTAATATGATCAAATTTTAATTATTCTTTTCTTTTTTTTTATTCAATACCATCCTAATATAATCGGTCAGCCACTGGCTAATCTGTGCTTCTTCTTGATGCAATATCACTAATTATTGGTTTAAAAGTACAATGTTAGTCTACCAATTCATCTATGTATTTTCNTTCTGGCTTGGTTTTTTCTAAATGATTCTTAAAATCATATTTTAATTCATAGTGGAACAGCTCTTTTTCTCTTTCCATTTGTTGGTAGGCTTTTTTCTTAATGTTTTCTTTGTTTTAAAAGAAATTGTCAACTCCTTTGACTTTTTGACTTAGGGGTTCTTCATCTTTCTAAAATTATTTAGTGATTGGTTTAAAAGTGCATTCTTTCAACTCCTTATACTGCATTTATCTTAGATAAATAATTTATGTTACTTTTTTAAATCTTGAATTTTTCTTTCTTTAAGCTCTTTTTCTATTTCCATATTTTATTTAATCAACTTTTTATCATATTTTGATTTCACATGCTAATATTGCTGTGATTTTTTGGTTTAGGGATAGTAACTAAAAGATTGCTTTGATTCTTATTCCTATTGATTTAATGAAATAAATTACTTCTTTCAGCCGATTTAAATTTTCCTGTTTTTCTGGATTGTAAGCTAGATCATCTAAAGATCGTTTTTATGCAATAATAGAGGAAATGTTATTAATTTAAGGTTTGAAGGAGAATTATTGATAATATACTTATTAAATTTGATCTTTTAGAATTTTATTTTTTTCATAATCTCTAACTCCAAGACGATTAATCTTATCAGACATATTCTCTTAAAGTCTCTCTTCATTGCTTTCCATAATCAATTCACTTGTTTTATTAATTTAAGGTTTGAAAGTGACATCAGAATTTTTGATAAATTCTTAGATAAGTTTTTCCTTTTTTTCTCTCATAAAATCCGCCATCAAATATTAAGTTTAACAAATTTAATTAATTTATTATACAGGTTTAGTTGTTGGATTGATTTATGGGTTGAAAGTGCATTCATCTTTTTCTGGTATTTCATTCTTTTAATTTATTTTTCTTTACAATTTAATAGCTGCATCCTCCATTAATCTTTCAACAACAGATTTTGATGTTTATTTTTGTTCTGCTATAAATATTGATCTTTATGAAATTTTAGGTTAGTATGTTAAATCAGATTATTGTTACAATTCCTATTGTTTTAATAATAATTCTTCTTATTTTTTCTTCATGACTTCATCGATTCTTTCATATAATGGTTTCATGAATTATTTTTCACCTTTTAATACATTACTAATTTAACTAATATCCGGCTTAAAAGAAAACTATTCTGAATTAATATGATCAAATTTTAATTATTCTTTTCTTTTTTTTTATTCAATACCATCCTAATATAATCGGTCAGCCACTGGCTAATCTGTGCTTCTTCTTGATGCAATATCACTAATTATTGGTTTAAAAGTACAATGTTAGTCTACCAATTCATCTATGTATTTTCTTTTTTCATTTTCCCTCTATTCTAATTAAATTCTCTTATCTTCCAAAAGTCTATGCCAAACTTCCTCTTTTGAGTAGCTCAATACTTTTTGTTATTGTTATTTTGGCATATCATAAGATTTAGGTTAACAACAGGGTCTTTTAACTTTTGGACTGTAAGTTGAATTAAATTCTTCCATCAATTTATTCAAATAAGTTTTCTATTACTCGCCTTCATCATCTTATTACTCCTCATGAGGTTCAGAAATATATTGATCTCGATGATCAGACTAACTTCTTTGTATTCTCATCATATATTCATGATTAAATTCTTTATTCTTTTCTAATTATTATTAAAGTTTTTAGGCAGTTAATTCAAGTGTTTGACTTTACATCTTAGACTCTTTTTTACTACTACTCAAAATCAAATCATCCCAATATTGGGGAGACTATTATTCAATCATCATAACGAATTTTGAATTAAATATATAAAATAATGCTGCCTGATTTAGAGCATAAAGGGTTTCTTAAGAAAATGGAAAAATAAATCAATAATAAATAAAAACTAGTACCAGTCTTTGCAAAAAACCCATTTAAACCTGCAGCTCGTTTGATGTATGGTTCTAAGAGATATACTAATGTTATAAAATTCAATAGTTGTTAAAAATACGAGAATTTGATTGACAAACATATCGATTCATAAGCTAGAAACAAAAACAAATTGTTGTAATATGAAATTAAGAATCCTCATTAGGATGCGATTAAAAAGATTCTCTAAAAGTTAGAATAGAGAACATTTAAAAAGTATACAGTTTTTATTAAAATAGTTAAGAATATGAACCTGGATTATTTACAGAAATTATACAAAACAGAAGATTTAAAAATCTGATCACCAATGAAGATTAGACTATAGATTACTCCACTATTGACTATAGTAAATAATCTTTAAAATTACCTCGGTTAAATCAATCTTTTGATTTAGTAAAGTGTCACAATGAAACTAGTGATAGTAAAATCTCAAAATTGTTGAATACTTGTCATGAAGAGAAATCCACATTATCAAACATAGATTCAATATTAGTTAACAATCATAAAAAGTAAAGAAGACATTTAGGAGCATTAAAATAGTATGTAAATATATTAAGTCTTGACATTTGATTATTTTTATTGTATTGTTAATGATTCACGGCCCCAATTCCCCATTTTCAGGAGCATTTACTATTGGTAAACGATATGAATGTATAATCTATCTCTATATCTTAGCTGCCATTTACTAAACTAATCCATACCCAGGGTAATGTATGCTATTCACATAGTCCAAATCACTACTCTATTAATCCAATTGATAAACCTATTGGGTTCAGATTTTCTAAATCCAATAGAAAACCCTTATACTCAACTAGTATAGCACCAGACCCAGGAGCATATGATCTTAAATTTTAGGTCTTCACTAATATAACTTAATTAGACAATTACCTAAAATTCCCCTTCAGCTGTTTTTACAACTGCCTAAGATCACTAAAAGAAAGGATTAGAAATTGGTCCTGGATCATATAATTGGACTGATTAAAAAAAGGCTCCCGCATTTACATTTCAAAGCAAATTTGATTCTATCGGTAATCAGATACTCTACAATCCTGGCCCAGGAACTTATGATCTTAAACATTATCATACTCATTAACCATAAAATAAGGGATTGACAACAAGCAAGAGAGCCAATAATTTAACATAAAGTACTCCAGGACCAGGATAATATGACGTTGAAATACCTAAATTTTCTACTAACATCAAGTATACTATAATTTCTAACAGATTTCCAAAATCATAGAGAAGTTTTGAATTAAGTCAAAACGGACCTGGTCCAGGAGCATTTGATTTGAGTTTGCCTAAACAATAAGGAATAACATTTGGAGTTAAAGGAAATCAACACATAGAAAAATCTAATGTTCCAGGTCCTGGTAGTTACAAATTAAAATCATTTGTTGAATACGAAGAAAGTGAAATAAAATAGAAAAAAATAAAAGGAGTCAAGTACAAATAATTTGTTTAAAATAAGAATTGGTACTTCTCAAAGAAGCAGTCAAAATTTACTTAAGTTTGGTCCATCTCCATTAGATTATGATGTTTAAAAATACAAATATCCTACTAGACATGCTAGGTTCATATGGATAAATAGCATTTTAGTTTTGGAAGTGCGGTTAGATAGTCAATTATTCCAAATGAAAAAACTCCTGGCCCTGGAGCATATATGGTGGACTCAAAAATTCGAAGAAATGGCCCAATCATTTCAAAAGCATCAAAGGATTTTAGCTCTTTGGATAATACTCCTGTAAATTGTAAAATTGATATTCTAGGGTCCTGGAAAGTACAATCCTAACATATCAATTTCATCAAATAAGGGACCAAGTTATCATATAGCTGGGAAATATGACAAACCTTAAGAAACTAGTCTGGTTGGACCTGGAAGATACAATATTTCAAGAAATATTAATGATGGGCCCAAATACACCTTTCCAACCCTAGAAAAAAGTATGGATAACAAATCATTAGATGTTAATTAGTAAATAAATTTAATTTATTCAATTTAGGTCCCATTGCTATGAAATTTAATAAACTATTGGATATATACCTCCATATAATTTACATAATTGAATAAAATCAAAACGGATTAATTTAATATAAAATTATGAAAATTATTGTCTTAATATTCTTGTTAGGTGCCTTTGCTTCAAACATCAGACATAAAAAGGAAAGGTTTTTTATTATTCTTATCATTTAGACACGTTGATTCATAGACATTATCACATCAATAATAAAACACTAAAGGTATTGGAAAATAAATACATATATTTAGAATTATTACAAGTCACTGATATAGACAATGAATCTTAGACATTAGTTGAGGAAACACTCAATTAACAATAAAATCTAGAAGAACCCAAACCATTATATAATAATGATGGAAGATCACCTGATATGGGCTTAAATGAAGTTGAAATTAATGATGTCCCTGAAGCTCCTATGATGGCAGAAGATGTTTATGATTACTCAGCTCAGGAGGAAGTGATTAAAGGTGTTTCACTTATATAAGTTGGAGAAATTGATGCATTGGCTGATATAGATACTAGCATGCCATTATTGGATGAGGATTTCAAATATGATGAATAAGCTCTCCAGGAAACTCCATTAAATGTTGATATTATTGACGAAGTACCACAACAATAAGAATAAGAAATTAATGAAATTGCTGACTAATTAGAATAAGAAGTCCAAGTAGAAGATTAATAAGATTAATTGATAAATGAAGTTTAATTACTCTAAATTGGAGGATTCTATTATTGATTTATTCAAACAAAAATATAATATTAAATTAAGTTTATACAAAACATAGCCCTTTATTAATAGATCTTTCTATTTTTAGGTATATGCTTAAGAATAGACCTTGAAGCGTTATAATTTATTATCAATATGAGTATAAATACTTCATAAATATTTTGCATATAAATTTATAATAATATTTCAGCTTAGTTAATGATGATCGATACATAAAATTAAAATAGTTTCTCATTTCTTTATAATAAGTGGAAAGCTAGCTAGATACATTAAATTATTAAATTAAATGTTAAAATAACAGAATAAAAATAAATAGAGTTATAAAATTTACAGATGAAACAAAAATTGACAAAATACTCAAAAATGAACAAAATTTTATCATCTATGATTTGTAATTGTGAACCCCTAAAGTAGAATTAAGAATTATTATAATAATTTTCGACTTTTTTCTTAATGTATATATATTTGTTATGTTGTTTTGATTAAATAACCAGTAATATACTTTTTATTAAAATAGATTCTATTAATAAATTACTTTATAAGCATATAGTAATCTAGAAAGAGGTTTATCTTATTTAGTTTTATCCAAAATTGATCTAATAGATTAGAATGCTAATAGATACTACCTCAAATGACAAATTCAAGTGGAACTTCTGATAATTCAAGGGAGCTAATTGAATTTTGAAGGTAAACGAGTTATTTTATATATTGCAAGCGGTTTCGTTTCAATATTAGTCTCTTGATACTAGCCTGAAGATGTGCCGAGAATTAAATTACTTCTAGTGTGGCTTATAAAAATTTTGGTCCAGGTTTGTGTAATCTTTAGCTTCATCTTATTGATGTCAAGTTTGAGAGTTAACATGTCGGAGATCAAGGAGAACATCGATGATTTAAAAACTATGAACGCAAAGAAAATCTAGCATTTGCGAATATATCAACTAGATTTTGAAAGAACTTCTCTCTCAATACCTAAGAAGGACCATTTTCAGGTGCCACAAAGTAACTGAGAATGAATATTGAATTACTTGAGCTCGAAAAGGTGTGTTTTATATGATGGTATGTAATGACCCCTCCCTTCTTGGACCTAATTCTCAGATTGCGAAATTATTTTAGGAAACCATCAGTGTTTTCCATATTCTAAGGAGTTTATACTAAGTACTCTTTAATCCTTCAAGAAAGAGAGTTCAATCATGAATCCACTACTTACCTATAATGGGAAAGTTGTTATCTCAACAAAAAATGATCACTTCTTTATGCATCTAGGGCCTAACAAAAATTCGGCCTATTGAAATTGCTCACCAAGCCTGCTTCTCAAAATCTTTTCTTTGAGGTACTTGAGGAAAATTTTACAAATTTAAGAATGAATAAGGAAACCCGTTCTTTTGGACCTACCCTAGCTAAAATTAATAACAACCTTTTGTTAAAAAAGAATTAAACTTTGATTTAGACTAAATTCTTCAACCTCGATAATTCTCTCAATCAAACTAGTTTCATTAAACGAAATGCATCAAAAATTACCAATTATGGAATAATTCCTCAATTATGGTCTAAATCTTTTTAATAAAGGCTAATTGAAGTACAATTTTTAGCCAGATTTATTTGGGTCTAATATATTCATTTTAAAGTGGTTTTATTTTACACACTAATTTTGCTAAGTTAATGAAGGAAACTAAGATTAAAAAGCAAATCGTCGATTAATGTTCCTGAATTCATCTTAAGCATACAATATTGTTAAAAGAGATATAATTTTTAAATTAATATTTAAACTCCTATTAAAGATATGATCACATAATCTCTTTCATTTCTGTTCGATTCTAATACTGTCAACTGTTTCTTTTATGTTTTTCATTTCTTACAAAAGTTATTTCAAGGTTCGACCCACCTTATTCTTCCTATGAAATATTATTCAAATGATGAATCACAATTCATTTTTCCGTTTCCTTAGTTTACATTAAAATATTCCAAGGGGGAGTTTAAGAGTTTCTTTCATAGTTTCCACGGATTGCTGACTTCTCTATCAAATTTTGAGAGGTTTTCTTTTATTTAAAATAAAGTCTCTGATAAGCTTTTACTCAAATTTTTGAGACCTACAAGTAGTTCCTTATTAGTAGTAGTTATCTCTTTGATTTTTCGCCTTAAATTTTGCAAAGACATATCTCCTATAAATATCTTAGACTCATTCAGCTCCTCTATCTCAGTTACTTCATTTTGCTACTTGCTAATCCTTTGGTACTTTTGAAATTGTAATTGTAATTCCTACAATCGCCTCTGAATTCTTAGTCTCCATCTCCTTCTCTAATAACCTTATTCAAGGCGAGAATTAAGACTTGTTAAACTTTTAATGGTTCAGAGTCCGTTTTTATAAATAATAATACGATTAGTTCTATCTCGATATATTATCTCACTTATTGCCATGAATGAGTTCATTTATTATTATATTTGAAGATTAGAAAGTAATAATAATATTGATGTCGAATATGTCTAACTATGAAAGGCCTTTTAGTAGAATAAGGTTCACACTTGTTTTACAGTAGTGTTTAAATATTTCTATATAATTGAACAGTCTACAACATAAGCGGCATATCATCCTTTCGTCAAAAGATAATCTTGCCATTCCTTTGTGGTTTATGATATAATTTAATAATCTTACTATTTCTTTAAATTATTCATCTGGATTAGATAAGATTTTGTAGAATCTAACATGAGCACTATAAACTTTTGTTACCTTGTCACCACTATCTTTATTATCTCGTAATTAACGGTCAAGAATATTTGCACATCTGATTTATAAAAAATAACATCTGCTATGTCGATATGGTGCTTGACAAGTCCCTCCATCAGTCTAAAGACATCATTCTCAAGTTGAATAAACTCAAACGATTTTGTTATTTCTTTTAATTTTTAGTCATTAGACTCTCTAAATCATAGAGTTCACTTCATTTTAAGCCAAAAGTAATTTCAATTATTCCTATATGAGTTTCATAAACAGCCTGAGATAGCTATTACATCCATATTGCTCCACAAATTAGGTTAACCCCTTAGGGAATGCAACCTCCTCTTCTTCTTTTCCTTGGCGTTCGTCAATTTTATCTCCCTCTAGCTATGCTAATATAATATGACCAGCCTTGAGTTATTAGTTCGATGTTCTATTTTGTTCAGCTCCCGGCAAAAGGCAACTAGGTATTCGATTTAACTCCTAGGTGCTTATAAAGATGTTAATATCCATGTCATCCCTAATCAAATGGCATGTTCTTGTAGAGTCCATCGTCCANTCTTAAGCATACAATATTGTTAAAAGAGATATAATTTTTAAATTAATATTTAAACTCCTATTAAAGATATGATCACATAATCTCTTTCATTTCTGTTCGATTCTAATACTGTCAACTGTTTCTTTTATGTTTTTCATTTCTTACAAAAGTTATTTCAAGGTTCGACCCACCTTATTCTTCCTATGAAATATTATTCAAATGATGAATCACAATTCATTTTTCCGTTTCCTTAGTTTACATTAAAATATTCCAAGGGGGAGTTTAAGAGTTTCTTTCATAGTTTCCACGGATTGCTGACTTCTCTATCAAATTTTGAGAGGTTTTCTTTTATTTAAAATAAAGTCTCTGATAAGCTTTTACTCAAATTTTTGAGACCTACAAGTAGTTCCTTATTAGTAGTAGTTATCTCTTTGATTTTTCGCCTTAAATTTTGCAAAGACATATCTCCTATAAATATCTTAGACTCATTCAGCTCCTCTATCTCAGTTACTTCATTTTGCTACTTGCTAATCCTTTGGTACTTTTGAAATTGTAATTGTAATTCCTACAATCGCCTCTGAATTCTTAGTCTCCATCTCCTTCTCTAATAACCTTATTCAAGGCGAGAATTAAGACTTGTTAAACTTTTAATGGTTCAGAGTCCGTTTTTATAAATAATAATACGATTAGTTCTATCTCGATATATTATCTCACTTATTGCCATGAATGAGTTCATTTATTATTATATTTGAAGATTAGAAAGTAATAATAATATTGATGTCGAATATGTCTAACTATGAAAGGCCTTTTAGTAGAATAAGGTTCACACTTGTTTTACAGTAGTGTTTAAATATTTCTATATAATTGAACAGTCTACAACATAAGCGGCATATCATCCTTTCGTCAAAAGATAATCTTGCCATTCCTTTGTGGTTTATGATATAATTTAATAATCTTACTATTTCTTTAAATTATTCATCTGGATTAGATAAGATTTTGTAGAATCTAACATGAGCACTATAAACTTTTGTTACCTTGTCACCACTATCTTTATTATCTCGTAATTAACGGTCAAGAATATTTGCACATCTGATTTATAAAAAATAACATCTGCTATGTCGATATGGTGCTTGACAAGTCCCTCCATCAGTCTAAAGACATCATTCTCAAGTTGAATAAACTCAAACGATTTTGTTATTTCTTTTAATTTTTAGTCATTAGACTCTCTAAATCATAGAGTTCACTTCATTTTAAGCCAAAAGTAATTTCAATTATTCCTATATGAGTTTCATAAACAGCCTGAGATAGCTATTACATCCATATTGCTCCACAAATTAGGTTAACCCCTTAGGGAATGCAACCTCCTCTTCTTCTTTTCCTTGGCGTTCGTCAATTTTATCTCCCTCTAGCTATGCTAATATAATATGACCAGCCTTGAGTTATTAGTTCGATGTTCTATTTTGTTCAGCTCCCGGCAAAAGGCAACTAGGTATTCGATTTAACTCCTAGGTGCTTATAAAGATGTTAATATCCATGTCATCCCTAATCAAATGGCATGTTCTTGTAGAGTCCATCGTCCATTATGTTTCCAGGCATCCGGGAATTAATCCCATTTGTGTATTATCATCTTCGCTTAGATAATATCCAATCATGCTAATAACCCTCCTTACCAATTCTGATTGTGCTTTCTGATAGAATTTGATTAATCCTAAACAAATCTAACTGAAAATCCTTATAAATTCTCCTTTCCTTTCTCTGTTTGTTGATCCAGATCTTCTGAGTGATAATGAGAGGAGCCCTCATTATGAAGTATTTTGCCCATTTCCCGTTAACCTAGATGCCTATTCCACATTGTCTCATCTTCATCTTCAAAAGCTCAAAGCTCTCCTTCTTCTCCATCAAACAAGTCAGCATTCTTCTGAATAAGAGGTCGGATGTTGTTTCCTCTTAGGGTTTGGGTTTGGGTTTGGTAACCAACCCGAAAGTCGAGGCTTACCTTAAGCGGCGCAGGGGATTCACAGCCCCAGGTAAGTACAGCCTAGGTTAAGGGCTCCTCTTCGTTGCAGCCTGTTCTATAGTCAGTCCCACTGATTTTTCAAGCTAATACATCAGTTCCACACGGTCGCATAAATGTTATATGAAGGTTGCCGAAGGAAATAGATTAAATTTGGTTTAAGCACAGAAGTATAACCGTACAAAGCAACACTGGGTGAAATACGAAGTTCCGGTCATTGCCAGGGCGGACTTTCATTGGATATGTCGTAATATACCAAAGGCGGCGTCAATAAGAAGATTACTTTTAAATACCATGATGAATATCTCTCCAGTGAAGAAATTATAATTATTTGTAGATAAAGACAAGTTATTCACTTAAAAATTATCCAAAAACTAATATTAATGACTTAAACCAATTGATTTAAGTTCTGTAAGTGAATATGGAATGTTTTAGCCATATACAAAAAATTTTGGTCATCAAATTAACTCTCCTTCTTCTTAGTTTCTATTTAATCTAATGAAATAAATTCTAATTACAAATTAAAATTTTGAAATAAATTGCAATCATTTTGAGTCTTTATTTAAAAGTCAAAAAATATTCCCATATTTTATATAATTTTAATCCATAACATAAAACAAAATTTCACTCACTAGAAAAGATCAAAACCATACCTCCTGATAAAACGGCTGATTATATTAAACTGAAATATTCGTACAATCATCTGTTTGATTAATTATTGATGAAAATATTATTAAACTTATACTATCATTAACCAAAAATTTAGATCAAACACTTTTTCTTTGATTAAATAAGATTTTCATGCATTTTAACAAGAGGCCAAAAGAAATTCTGAATATATACATTCATTGAATTTCCTCTACTCATCCTTAAAGTGATGATCAAATAAATTAAGGGCAAATATGATCATTGTGATTAGATTTTAGAAAGTCAATATTCTGGGTAATCTGCTCAAATTGAGTTATTTAAGCATTAAGAAAATTTAGATCCCTTATTTCAATCAATTGGTTTAATCCTTTCCTCATTTATCTATCGAAGTGGATACACATAATACAAAAATCTCTGAAAAAGTTTAAAATCTAGATCTTAGAATAGTATCTTTTCTAGTCCTGTATTTTCTGAATAATCGCTATCCTTTTAATCAGTTGTTGTATTATTAAATCTTTTATCTCTAATTTTCTAATAATCATTAAAAAAACTACTGAACCCAGATTATTTTCCAAGTATAACAATAAGTATTGGTACGGTTTAGGACTTTCCAGCTCTAAAAAATCAATCTCCATCAGCCTCCAATTAAATTCATAAAATCAATTTGAATGACAAAAGAATACTATAAAAGATAAGCTCATGACTTTTTTGTAAATTTTATTAATCATATTAATTATTTCAAAATTTTCACATAATCAACATAATCACTAGTTTTATTAAAAGGCTGGATTTAACAGATTAGCATCAATAACATTTATTATCCTTCCAATGATAGTAGAAATAATATTCAATTAGGCAGGTCTCATGTGGATCCTATTTTATGCATCGCACTTGTAAATTTAATTCATTTCGGCGATTACATCCTAATCCTGTTAAATAACATTTTACAACTGTCAGATCCAAAACCTCGGGTAAATTCTTAGCATTTCCCATCTTTAACAAAACAAAGCTCATCTCTTCCATGCAAATATGGAGATACTTGTTACTCAGTGCATTTTGGAAGGTAAGACGTATCCTAAAAATTCTTATGTTCATAGTCATTATTACAGCCAGGAGGATCCTGCAAAACCTACCAGAAACTATTTCTTAATAAAGTGAACAACTTTTGATTTGACTGCACCTTTTAATTTTCTTGTACCAGATACATCCGCTTGCGATAGATCTGATTACTCCTCAAAACTAGAAAGTGATTTGCATTTTCATTATTCTATTATTTTAGGAAGGTTATTAAATTTTGAGTGGAAGCCTTTTTGCTTAGCTTAGGTTTAGTCCATTTAGTATCTCTACTCTTTTCTTTGGCTCATCGGTAACTTTATAGCATCATAAGATTGCAGATGATAGCAAACAAAATATGAAAAAAAATTTGGTATATGGAAAAGCCTTAAGGCTTATATATATATGCATATTATCTACCAGTATATAGGTTTTTTCTATAACAAATCCTTAATTAGATTAGGTTTCCTAATTAGGAAAAATTATTCAATATAAAAATTTGAAAATACGTGGAAGTATGGAGGGAGCAATGATGCAATTCAATGAAAGAAGAAGCTTATTATCACTCCTTATAATAAAAAAAATGAACCTTTAAAAGGTGTTTCTCTATAATAATGAGAAAAATGAAATATTGATTAATTCAAAATTGAATCAACTTAATATTCTGGTTGAATGAAAATATTGACTTAAGAAAGTTAGAATGAGATAATCTATTTAATTTACTTATTATTTTAATGCCTCATTACATTTGCAATTTTTAATCGTAAATGTAGATACTAGTCCTAGTCTAACCTTCCTAGTAGGCATTTTCTGACAGAAGAAATTAATTTTTATCTCTCTCTGAACTCAAAGATCTAGGAATTGCTTATTTAGTTAAAATATTTCTACACCTAATGGCTACAATTTCATAATTAAACATAAAATATTGGTGTATATGCAGAAAAAAAAAATTATAATATGTGAAATAATTAATATTAAATTTTGCTTATTGGAATTAATGTCAAATGTTTCATTCATTAAAATTCTGTTTTTCTATCCAACCCTCTATTATCAAAACTGTATGGATGCTCAAAGTGGCGATTGTTTTAATAATGATTGGTCAAATAGGGTAACAAATTGCGCAGGTAATTTATTTAAAGGGCGATTTTCTCATTCGGATCAAATATCATTCTAATTCAATAATATACTAGGGCTCAAGTTTCGTTTTAGCTTCATGGTTGGTAAATTCGATAGTTGGGATCCGGGTGATAATTATTTACAAGTCTTATTAGATGATGCAGTTATAGATACTTTTACATACGGTCCTTATTAAGGAACTTCTAAGTGTTTCAACTCTGATTATCCAGAATATTACGATTCGAAATCTTATGTGTTTAATTTACCTATAGGAAGAAATTCATTGAAATTAACTTTAAAAGGAAGTTTTGATGAGGATATTGATAATGGTATTTAATTTCTTAAATTAGAGAGTTGGGGAGCTAAGAAATTCACTTTAGAAATTTTAGAGCCTTGTGTAGAATTTTATAGTGATTGTAATTTTTAAGGAGATGTATGGAGAATTTGTAATGGAAATCAAACAAGCTAAGTTAGAAATATTCCATTTGAATTTAAATCAATTCTAATTGTAAATGGAATATAAGTCAAATTGAGAGATCCAAAGTACCATGGTGGTCAAACTTAAACATACACTTCAAACTAATATTGTTTATCAAGTTATTAAGTATATCTTTAATGTAAACCCTAGTTCCCCAAATATCATCAAAACGCTTGAAAATGAATTCAATATATATATATATATGTTCATTAATATTAAGAATTAACTAAAAGTTATGCTATTGTTAATTTAAAATAAAGCACAAGTTGATAGACAATTTCCATGTAGTTAAATATTAAGTAATTAATTTGATGCTAACATATACAAAATAAGAATGCACAAAAATTATCTAATGTTTTCTGCAGTGTGGGTATTGCTCTCAATTATGATTCAAGTGTTTGCATGAACTTTTAACCTATAGATAATAATTGATCAGAAATAAAAATAAATTTTGAAGATTAATTAAGTCTCCAAGAGAAATTGGTAATCTAAGCAGAGATAGTAATATCACATTTTTTGGATTTATGTAAATATTATATTTTAATTTTGTTAAGCATAGATTGTGGAATGTAATATAAATTATAAAAAAAAATTAACTGCGAATCAATGAACTATGAAGCATTACTTGAAGAATTGGGATTGGATGGCACTCTATAAAAATAAACAAGCAAATCACCACAGAATAATACTAGAGCTAGCGATAATACCTACCTTACCAAAACACCTGAAACTTAACCAAGAAAAATAAAATTAATATTAAATGTAAATCTGAGTTCCAATCAAGTGGAATAGTTAATGATTTATTAGGATGATGATCCTAAGACAAAAGTATCAGAATTTTGTCATTTGCACTAATTAGACAAGAATGCATAAAACGTGCTAATAAAATAGATCAACAGTAATACAAACAATGAAAATTATCAAAGTTAACACAAATTATAATAGCAAAATTATTATTCTAAACAATTACAATCATACTCAACGAAAGAGTCAGAATAACCAGGTGAAAGACTCTATTAGTTGGCTTAGAAGAAAAAGGAATAAAGAGAAAATCAAATAAAATAGTATTAGACAGAAAAATAAGAACAGGAGCAACAACAATTCCAATAGACTCCTAAACTAAGCAAGCAAACGAAAATCTATTTGGTATATAGTTATCCACTAATTTTTTAAGGAGCAAGCTGGGTATCGCAAGAATGGTTATATGAGAGAAAAAGGGACTCTAAAAGATAAATAAATCTAATAGGTGTTTTTGGATGAACAAGGAAAGGAGTATAATTTTGTTCCTTAAATAAATGAATTGTAAACAAATCAATATTATGAATTAGATCAAAATAAATGAGTAATTATATTAGAGAGAAACAACATTATGAAAACGTATTTGATGAATTATATGAATAAGCAAGAAATAGGATGTATTCATAACCAGAATACGATATTCCAGAATGTACTTTCAAACCTTCAGTGAATCAGAATATTAAAATTGATGAAAATTTTTTAACTAGAATGGAAAAAAAGCAAGAGGAATAGAGAGAAAGAAGAGAATTAATTAAAATGAAGTATGAAAACGTTGACTTAAAAACTCGGCAATTATTATATCGACCTAAAATATGTAGAAGTCCTTATGCTTAAACATCATCAGAAAACGTATATGAATAGATTAAATCATAAGCCGTTCATGAGAAGCTTTATTTATAGTCCAAGTTAAAGTCAGAAAAATTGCAGTAATTGACTAAGTAAACAATTATGGAATAAAAGAAATCTCTAAATGTCAGATTGAAAAACGAATTCTCAGAGGATATAGTATTTTTATAAAGGAAGAAGATTCTCAAGTAATTATTTGCTGAAATGGATTCAAATTAAGACGGTTTAATATAATGTTCCTATGAAGAAATTAATAATCTATCACCTAATATTATTTAAACTCTGTGGCCTATATTCAAAATATTATAAGAATAAAAGATATAATTAGATTTTGATGACTTTTTTGAAAATGTGTATGAATATTGTGTTAATCTGCCATAAATCTAAAAAGATATTATTTTCAAGAAGTCAAAGAATAACAATCCTATTATGAAAGATTAAGACCATACATTTATTCCAAAAACTAATAAAAAATCCAAGTCAATAAATACAGTTCATTATCCTAGTTGTAAATGTGAAATTTGTTCGTAAATTGCTAATATATAAAGAGAATTAAATGATTAATGAAATTTTTACAATATTGAAATTATTTCTTTATTTAAAGCCAAAATCATATGAATATTTCTAGAAATTATAATAAAACTATTTTAGCTTTCCGTTATTGATAGTTACTTAATAGAAAATAAAAGCATTTCAACAAAATTATCATTCTGTTTGCGTTTTTTAAAAAATAAATTCAACTATTGTTGCTTTATAAAAACTTAATAAAAGAATACATTAGTTATATACTTTATACTATTATTATAGGTTTGACACCCTTAATAGAGGATAACTTTTGATCAATAATATAAAGATAAATAGAGATCTTAATAATTATTGAATAAAATAATAAATTCTAAATTGAAAATTCCAAAAAGTTGGACAAATTAGTCATTAAAGGTTACCCTATTGTATCCAAAAAGGCTGTTTTTCAATTCATATATAGATGCAAACTCAGAAGTTGAGAATTTCAATTTCTGTTATTTAATATTTTAATGTATTTTTATTTATTGTTTATTTTCATTCACTCAAAAGGTTTTGAATTGTTTATTGAAAAGGATAAATAATACTTGATTGCAAATGAGAAGAAAATTGATACACTATTTAAAATGGAATTTTTGGAGCAAACTTAATGTCATCCTGCAAAATTATATTTAGAAAAATCAAATGAAAGACATAGTAAATTTGTATTCCTCAATAATCAATAAGAACAGATTTCTATTACAATAAATCCTTTAGTTTTTGATGCAGATGTATTGAATATTTCGTAAAATTCCAAAAAATAAAAATTTTAAATAGAGCCAAATTAACAAGAATAATTTATAATGACGTATGAATGTCAGCCGTAAAAAGATTAAATTTCATGGAGTTTAATAATACTTAATTTTACAGTATTTGTAGATTAAAATAATTCTCAATCCTATTCAATTTAATTCTACAAGCAATGCCAACAGACAGAATAATACTTACATCCATTAATAATGTTATTAATTTTAGCAGTTTCATTAATAATAATTGGCACAAATTATGGATTATAAGAAATTAGAATTATTGAATCAATAAAGACTGAAGAATTCAACGCAAAGACATCCATGTTATTTATTTTATCTGCAAGTATTTTGTTATTTTGTCTATATAAATTTCCAACTATTGGATAAATGTAAAAAAAGTATATAATATATTAGAGTTTTGAGTATAGTGATATTTTTTATGGCAATCCTAAGTATTTAAATAATAATAGAAGATTAGTTGCAAAAGTTCTTGAAAAAATATTTATTGCTAAAGATTATTTCATATTTGATAAGCTTATTTATTGTATTCTCGTATTTTTAAACTAAAAATTGGATAATAAATAATATAGTAGCATTTCTAATTACGCTTTTGATGTTCAAAGTAATAATTTCAAATATCATTGAGATAATTGAAGTTGATAGCTTTAAAACCTCTACAATCTTATTAAGTCTAGCTTTCTTTTATGATATATTTTGAGTGTTCATAAGTCCAGTATTTTTTGGAACATCTGTTATGGCATAAGTAGCCACATCCATAGATTTACCAATGAAATTTATATGCCCTCCTTTGATGAAATCATATAATTCTCCTTTAATGAAATGCTCCATACTTGGCTTAGGTGATATTCTATTACCAGGAATAGTGATCAAATACATTCTAAAATTTGAAAACATTTTAAACAAAGGGCATTGTATGTATATTACATCGATAATTGGATATTGTATTGGATTACTAATTTGTATGCTTTCATTAGTAATATACTAATAAGCTCAACCAGCTTTGTTATATTTAGTTCCTATCATATTGATACCNGATGCAAACTCAGAAGTTGAGAATTTCAATTTCTGTTATTTAATATTTTAATGTATTTTTATTTATTGTTTATTTTCATTCACTCAAAAGGTTTTGAATTGTTTATTGAAAAGGATAAATAATACTTGATTGCAAATGAGAAGAAAATTGATACACTATTTAAAATGGAATTTTTGGAGCAAACTTAATGTCATCCTGCAAAATTATATTTAGAAAAATCAAATGAAAGACATAGTAAATTTGTATTCCTCAATAATCAATAAGAACAGATTTCTATTACAATAAATCCTTTAGTTTTTGATGCAGATGTATTGAATATTTCGTAAAATTCCAAAAAATAAAAATTTTAAATAGAGCCAAATTAACAAGAATAATTTATAATGACGTATGAATGTCAGCCGTAAAAAGATTAAATTTCATGGAGTTTAATAATACTTAATTTTACAGTATTTGTAGATTAAAATAATTCTCAATCCTATTCAATTTAATTCTACAAGCAATGCCAACAGACAGAATAATACTTACATCCATTAATAATGTTATTAATTTTAGCAGTTTCATTAATAATAATTGGCACAAATTATGGATTATAAGAAATTAGAATTATTGAATCAATAAAGACTGAAGAATTCAACGCAAAGACATCCATGTTATTTATTTTATCTGCAAGTATTTTGTTATTTTGTCTATATAAATTTCCAACTATTGGATAAATGTAAAAAAAGTATATAATATATTAGAGTTTTGAGTATAGTGATATTTTTTATGGCAATCCTAAGTATTTAAATAATAATAGAAGATTAGTTGCAAAAGTTCTTGAAAAAATATTTATTGCTAAAGATTATTTCATATTTGATAAGCTTATTTATTGTATTCTCGTATTTTTAAACTAAAAATTGGATAATAAATAATATAGTAGCATTTCTAATTACGCTTTTGATGTTCAAAGTAATAATTTCAAATATCATTGAGATAATTGAAGTTGATAGCTTTAAAACCTCTACAATCTTATTAAGTCTAGCTTTCTTTTATGATATATTTTGAGTGTTCATAAGTCCAGTATTTTTTGGAACATCTGTTATGGCATAAGTAGCCACATCCATAGATTTACCAATGAAATTTATATGCCCTCCTTTGATGAAATCATATAATTCTCCTTTAATGAAATGCTCCATACTTGGCTTAGGTGATATTCTATTACCAGGAATAGTGATCAAATACATTCTAAAATTTGAAAACATTTTAAACAAAGGGCATTGTATGTATATTACATCGATAATTGGATATTGTATTGGATTACTAATTTGTATGCTTTCATTAGTAATATACTAATAAGCTCAACCAGCTTTGTTATATTTAGTTCCTATCATATTGATACCTGTGCTAATAGTTAGTGTGATAAGAAAACAGTTTTATTCTTTGTGGATTGGCTAAATATTTAGATCTTAGAAATCGGCTGGAGTTTATGAATTGTAATAGAGTGAGTAAGTTTGAATAATATTATAATTGTATGAATAATAAGAAATACAAACAGGAAATTTTTATAATAAAAAAAAGATTAACTAATTTCTACATCAAATATATAATATTTAATATAATCTGTAAGTTTATTATTTAATTTTATAAACTCAAAGGTAGAAATTATTTAATTCATTTTTGTTCTGAAATTTACTCATGAATTTTACCAAATCACAGGGTTGATGAAAATTTACATGTTTTATATTTACTTTAATAGCTAAGATGATAAAATTGATAGTGAATAAAATTAATTAGAAGAAAAATGCTCATTGATATATTAATTGTTGATATTATTATGACTGCATTTAAGTTTCTATTAAAATAATAAGTAAAGTAAGACATATACTGAACATCAATCAAAATAAAGTTTGGAGATATAATGAGTACAGAGTTTAATTTTTTATTTGTTTTTTATAATTCATGAGCAAAATTGATATTTTTAGGTATTTGTAAATGATAATTCTGAAGTTTTAACCCTAATGATGAGATTACAAACTTAATAATTTTTGTTCAAAAACTCTCTCTTGTCCAATTTCCTAAGATTCAAATGGTTAATTGGTTTAAACATATAAAATCAAAAAAATATTTTACTCTTTATTTTTAGGGTCAGGATTGGATTTGTTATTAGTAAATGTTTATTTGAGAAGATGTTTGTAACTAAAGATTTGTTAAGCATTATTTATTGACTAAAGTCTTTTTAACAAGGTTTTCTATAATGGATTTTGAAAATTAGATACTTTTATCTGTTTCTAGGTTATTTGAAAAATAAAAATCGCTAGAAAACATTGTTTTGAAAGATGCATTCTATTTCTATTCTCTTTACATCAACCCAAGAAATTATTTATCGTTCTAATTCACTGATTTTAAATTTAACTTTTGTAGATCAGGAATAAAAGGTTGTTTGATAGCCTTATTTACAAATTAAGCTATATCTATATTTTTAAACCATCTGTGTTAAAGTATTTCATCTATTCCATTTTTGCCTCCTTATCTTTTAGAAGGATTTTTAATCATTAATTGTCTAATAAGGTCTTAGANATATTTATTGCTAAAGATTATTTCATATTTGATAAGCTTATTTATTGTATTCTCGTATTTTTAAACTAAAAATTGGATAATAAATAATATAGTAGCATTTCTAATTACGCTTTTGATGTTCAAAGTAATAATTTCAAATATCATTGAGATAATTGAAGTTGATAGCTTTAAAACCTCTACAATCTTATTAAGTCTAGCTTTCTTTTATGATATATTTTGAGTGTTCATAAGTCCAGTATTTTTTGGAACATCTGTTATGGCATAAGTAGCCACATCCATAGATTTACCAATGAAATTTATATGCCCTCCTTTGATGAAATCATATAATTCTCCTTTAATGAAATGCTCCATACTTGGCTTAGGTGATATTCTATTACCAGGAATAGTGATCAAATACATTCTAAAATTTGAAAACATTTTAAACAAAGGGCATTGTATGTATATTACATCGATAATTGGATATTGTATTGGATTACTAATTTGTATGCTTTCATTAGTAATATACTAATAAGCTCAACCAGCTTTGTTATATTTAGTTCCTATCATATTGATACCTGTGCTAATAGTTAGTGTGATAAGAAAACAGTTTTATTCTTTGTGGATTGGCTAAATATTTAGATCTTAGAAATCGGCTGGAGTTTATGAATTGTAATAGAGTGAGTAAGTTTGAATAATATTATAATTGTATGAATAATAAGAAATACAAACAGGAAATTTTTATAATAAAAAAAAGATTAACTAATTTCTACATCAAATATATAATATTTAATATAATCTGTAAGTTTATTATTTAATTTTATAAACTCAAAGGTAGAAATTATTTAATTCATTTTTGTTCTGAAATTTACTCATGAATTTTACCAAATCACAGGGTTGATGAAAATTTACATGTTTTATATTTACTTTAATAGCTAAGATGATAAAATTGATAGTGAATAAAATTAATTAGAAGAAAAATGCTCATTGATATATTAATTGTTGATATTATTATGACTGCATTTAAGTTTCTATTAAAATAATAAGTAAAGTAAGACATATACTGAACATCAATCAAAATAAAGTTTGGAGATATAATGAGTACAGAGTTTAATTTTTTATTTGTTTTTTATAATTCATGAGCAAAATTGATATTTTTAGGTATTTGTAAATGATAATTCTGAAGTTTTAACCCTAATGATGAGATTACAAACTTAATAATTTTTGTTCAAAAACTCTCTCTTGTCCAATTTCCTAAGATTCAAATGGTTAATTGGTTTAAACATATAAAATCAAAAAAATATTTTACTCTTTATTTTTAGGGTCAGGATTGGATTTGTTATTAGTAAATGTTTATTTGAGAAGATGTTTGTAACTAAAGATTTGTTAAGCATTATTTATTGACTAAAGTCTTTTTAACAAGGTTTTCTATAATGGATTTTGAAAATTAGATACTTTTATCTGTTTCTAGGTTATTTGAAAAATAAAAATCGCTAGAAAACATTGTTTTGAAAGATGCATTCTATTTCTATTCTCTTTACATCAACCCAAGAAATTATTTATCGTTCTAATTCACTGATTTTAAATTTAACTTTTGTAGATCAGGAATAAAAGGTTGTTTGATAGCCTTATTTACAAATTAAGCTATATCTATATTTTTAAACCATCTGTGTTAAAGTATTTCATCTATTCCATTTTTGCCTCCTTATCTTTTAGAAGGATTTTTAATCATTAATTGTCTAATAAGGTCTTAGATATGTTTGAAAAAATTTTATCTCTACTTAAAAATTCAGGAAATTCAACCTATTCTTTTATTAACCTATTGATAATATTTTTATCATCAGCATAAAATGGTGGTAGCCCTGTGACAAATTCATATAGTAGGCATCCTAAACAATAATAATCTAGCAATTAAGTATGACCAGAGTTCTAAAACATCTCAGGGGCCATATATTCAGGTGAGCCACAAAATGAATAAGCGCAGCCATCTTTATTCATATTTGGACTAGCTAAACCAAAGTCTGCCAACTAAATATGGCCTTTTGAATCTATTAAAATATTTTCAGGCTTTATATCCCTATATATAATTTGTTCATTATGCAAAAATCCAATTGCCAAAATAACTTCAATTATAGAATCTTGCCTATTATTCTGATAATCGTTATGACTTTTTAATGAGGTTGAACAATCACCACTAGGACAGTAATCTAAACAAAACACTATTTAATTTTTTGTTTCAAATGCATGCTCTATTCTATTGGTGAAGGTGGCTCCTCTATAGGTCGTTTATATTAAAATATCTCTCTCATTTTTTACCAAATCTTATTTTTGATATTATTCAATAAATTTTTTATTAATTAATTTCAGTGCTACAAATTAACCATTAATTAATGATCTTGCTAATACAACAGTTGAAAATCCTCCTCTTCCAATTACTGATAAAAATTAAAATGAATTTAGGTTGATTTTATTTTTATTTGCACTTATTATGGGTTTTAATCTAATGGTCTTATTTACAAAAGGTTCCATAACTAAATTTGGTAAGGACAAGTAATAGTCAAGTTAAATATTATCATCTAATGACTAGAAAGCGATTACTTCGATATTATTAATTTTTTATTTTAAAATGTTAACTAATTTATCGGTAGATATATTTGAAGCAAATGTGTAATTTTAAATATATTCCTGGCCTATATGAAGATTGATTAATATTTCTTAGCTAATAACTTTGTTTTATGAAGAAGACTTTACGATTCCAGAGTAGGTTGTTGTAGAAATTAGCTCTTCCATGATATTTCTTCTTGTCATAGACCCTTAAACAGGGTTTTAACTATTAACTATGTTAATTGTGAAGGTTTTTATTTTTATGATTTAGAAGGAGATTAACTCCTCTTGTTAATTGAAAACAATTATCGTTAGGTATTCTAAGCTACTTAATATTAGATCCAAGCTTGTCCTTAGATGTAGATCTTTAGGATTTCTATAAAATACTAACTCTATCTGTCACGCTGCCATTATTAGTTTTTTGTCATATAGTTTGATTGAACAACAAATCTTCAATAAAACCTTGAGAAATTTTTCTATTAGGGAACTGTTGAGGAGGGATTAAAGCATTCTTAGAACAAAAAGGCTTAGCCTTTAGAGGAATCCTAGTCGGAGAAAATGCAATTAAATTTAATTACTTCCAAACACACTGATTTAGAATTAGGAGTCTTCCAACAGTATTTCATACATCTAAAAAGTGATTATTTTATGGAAATTGACATGATTTTGTTTGTTGAAGAAAAACTTTTTCTGTGTTGATGTTCTTTCTCATAATTGTAGGTAAACCGAAGCTAAGTATTTTGTTAAGGAAAAAGTTTATAAATACTATTTCATATAATGGGAACCACAAATTAATTTTGCATTTGGTCAAAAAAAAAGTGTTATTTGAATAACTAAAATGTTAAAAGTTCTTTTTCAATTTAATAGTTTTTGCATATTTGGTTGGTGTTTCAAGAAGGGAACTTAATTTAGATTTACTTAAGAGGAAGTAGGACACCCCAACGAGTACGTAATATGTCCTATCCAAGAAAATGGAAAATCGTCTTATAATAAGCAATTCCTAGTATAAATTCTGCGATCAAACAACGACTTGAAGAATATGGATTTAAAATCTTCCAATGCGCACCGTTGCCTAATTATGCTAATCCTCCTACTCTCTTATCTACAAACCCAATACTTCTCAATCTTGTTTGACAAGTACTTTCTAAAGTGAACTTTGAGTCTTTAGATGACATTATGCTATTTAATTAAGACCTATTAGAGTATTAACACTGTAGCAATCTTCATTATTCTATTGCCTTTATAAAATAATTTGATTAGGTTTAATTAATCATCTAATTTATAATGTATCCTTTGGTTAGGAGAGTTTGGGAACAAGCAAAGGAAATATAGAGACTATTTAAACTACTGAAGGGAATAAATTACTGCTTTAGAAGCAGAATTGAGAAATCATAAATTACAAGCAATAAAGATTATTATTATTTATATCCATAGAATTCGTATTATCATAAACAGAATTGAAATTTTTTATCCCTATAGAAATGATTTCAAAAAGTAAAAGAAATAATGTTCTAATTTTAGAATTCTAAAAAAAGAATTAGTCAAATTGATCTAAAAAAAAATCTAGTGTAAGGAGTTCAAAAGACATCCTTTTCAATTTTTGCGAATTTAGAGATTTATTAAAAATAAAGATAATATTTAAATTGAAATTACAATAGATTCTACCTAATTATAGAATGAACAAGAGTCCTGAGATGTCATACAAACTTAATGATATATGGATATGACTGCATTATCAAATAGCTACACAACCAAAGAAATTCAATACAGAATTTAATTTCATATAAAATTATATTAACCATAAAACCTAGAAAAATCCTAAAATGTTCTAAACAATTCACAATTTGCTGCCTACATTATACAAATTCGATGAGTACATACCAGCCAAAATAGAATTAGATAGATTGACATAGTTGGAAGCAGTATGAATATGACAATCTAATCACTAGCGTATGATGGAATTAAAAATTATTCAAGCCAATAATGAACATTATATTAAATCAATTATACGACGATAATCAATTGAAAGATATAAACAGAAAAAGAAATTTGGAAATACCTTATAGATATACTAAGTACGTAAAATAATTGCTGAGAAAAGATTAAGAATAAATGGGTAATTTTTAACATAAATTGAATCTGAAAAAATTTTGCTAGCGAGGAATGTTCTAGGAAAAAATTAAATTTAAATAAAAAATAATAATGTAAAAGTTAAAATCTCAATTGAAAGGTAAAAGGAAAACCTTCTAAAATTTATTGAAAAATTAATGCCTAATTAAATTTTATAGAAAATATAGAACCAATAAAGAATATTCAAAATTATATGAGTTTCAATTTTTCATAACTAAGATTCACACAGAGCTTTATTTTATATTTTTCCTCACCAAAGAACAAATTTCTATGCAGTGTTAAATTTTTCTATCATTTCAATTAATCATCGAGCTCCTCATTACAAATTTCTATTCTATACTTAACTTTCTAAAAATGTATTCTATCTCAGTATTTGCAAGCTTGAATTATCTTGCAATTAATTATGTATTTTTGCTAAAAGGGAGCATTTTAATTTAGAATAAAGCAATAGGATTGCAAAAATGTTATATATAATTTAATTAATATTTCATTTATTGAGAGAGGAGCAAGTAATAAAATTTGAATGCTCAATTAGGGAAAAGATGTAATTTTTACATTATAAATATAATATTTATATATTTACATACTTTAGATAAATTACATTATTTATAATCATTTTCACTTTAAATTTATGCAATTCCATCAAAAAAGATGATATATTTAAATATTTACATAGTTTTGATAAATTACATTATTCAATCTAATTTTCACTTTATATTGAAAGTAATTACATTCTAAATTGATGTATTTTTATGTTTACATACTTTTTATAAATTACATTATTTTTAATTTCAGTCTAAAAAATGAAATATTTATATATTTACATAGTTTTGATAAATACATTATTCAATCTAATTTTCACTTTATATTGAAGTAATTAAATTCTAAATAGATGAAATATTTTTATGTTTACATAGTTTTGATGAATTACATATAATATATAGTTTTCTCTTTATATTCAAAGTAATTACATTCTAAAAAGACGAAATATTTTTATTTTTTAATACATTTGATAGATTAATTCGACAATATTGTTAATAATTTGTTTATGTTTACATAACTTTGATAAATTTGATTCTACAATATAGTTCTCACTTCATTTTCAAAGTAGTTAAGTTCTAAAAAGTTGAAATATTGCTTTGTTTAAATAACTATGATATATTTAATTCAAAAATTTATTTATCTTTACATATACATAGTTAATATCCACATACTTGAATAAAATTAATCGAAGTTATTTCTAAAAATAATATTTTAATTTTTTTTATTTTGGATATTTTGTTCATATATATAAAGATGATTTCTATTTTTGATATCGCTTTTTCAAAATTATTTATACCAAACAGTATTCCTTCTTTTTTAATTATCCTTTTTTTTTAAATGATTTCGATATTTTATTAATAACTTTAAATTTTTTACTTTGCTTTTATTGCTTTTATCTGATATGTGCAATGATTTAACTATTTTATAATTTACGAAATCAAATTATTTTTACAATACTTATATCATTTAAACAAATAATTTTAATGTAGAATAAATATAGTAATGCATTTAAAATATACGCCATAGTAAATCAGTTGTTTAAAAAGTAGTAAAAGTGCATATAATTATAGATGAGACATATATCATAACTTATCATTACTAACAAAAGTCCATCCTCCCAAATGAGCTTTAGGTTCATCAACAATACTTTGCATATCAAATACGTTTCCATCAATGTGAGNTTACATTAAATTTAAAGTAATTTCATTCTTAAAAGATAAAATATTTATATATTTACATACTTTAGATAAATTACATTATTTATAATCATTTTCACTTTAAATTTATGCAATTCCATCAAAAAAGATGATATATTTAAATATTTACATAGTTTTGATAAATTACATTATTCAATCTAATTTTCACTTTATATTGAAAGTAATTACATTCTAAATTGATGTATTTTTATGTTTACATACTTTTTATAAATTACATTATTTTTAATTTCAGTCTAAAAAATGAAATATTTATATATTTACATAGTTTTGATAAATACATTATTCAATCTAATTTTCACTTTATATTGAAGTAATTAAATTCTAAATAGATGAAATATTTTTATGTTTACATAGTTTTGATGAATTACATATAATATATAGTTTTCTCTTTATATTCAAAGTAATTACATTCTAAAAAGACGAAATATTTTTATTTTTTAATACATTTGATAGATTAATTCGACAATATTGTTAATAATTTGTTTATGTTTACATAACTTTGATAAATTTGATTCTACAATATAGTTCTCACTTCATTTTCAAAGTAGTTAAGTTCTAAAAAGTTGAAATATTGCTTTGTTTAAATAACTATGATATATTTAATTCAAAAATTTATTTATCTTTACATATACATAGTTAATATCCACATACTTGAATAAAATTAATCGAAGTTATTTCTAAAAATAATATTTTAATTTTTTTTATTTTGGATATTTTGTTCATATATATAAAGATGATTTCTATTTTTGATATCGCTTTTTCAAAATTATTTATACCAAACAGTATTCCTTCTTTTTTAATTATCCTTTTTTTTTAAATGATTTCGATATTTTATTAATAACTTTAAATTTTTTACTTTGCTTTTATTGCTTTTATCTGATATGTGCAATGATTTAACTATTTTATAATTTACGAAATCAAATTATTTTTACAATACTTATATCATTTAAACAAATAATTTTAATGTAGAATAAATATAGTAATGCATTTAAAATATACGCCATAGTAAATCAGTTGTTTAAAAAGTAGTAAAAGTGCATATAATTATAGATGAGACATATATCATAACTTATCATTACTAACAAAAGTCCATCCTCCCAAATGAGCTTTAGGTTCATCAACAATACTTTGCATATCAAATACGTTTCCATCAATGTGAGTATTTATTCGAATTTTTCTATTTGGTTTTGGCAAAGGCAATTCTCTATTATAAACAACATCCCAATCAACATCCTAAAAGTATTGATGAGCTTTTATTTCTTCTGAGTCTCCTTTCCCAGATCCTAAACGTTTAGCAGGATTTCTTTGTAATAACTAAATATTAAAGAATGGTTACTGCTTTTAACAGATTTCTAGCTTCGTGTGAAATGTAAGAAGGTATTTTTAGTGATGCGTTTTCTATGTTATAGAATAACTCCTCCCTATTATTAGCATAATAAGGTGGTAACCCAACCAAAAGTTCATACATTACAACACCCAATAAATACCAATCTACAGCTTTTCCATGTCCACATCTTTTCAGCATCTCCGGTGCGAGATAAGCAACAGATCCACAAAATGATCTTGCTCCTGTGCTTGGTTCTAAAATACCTTCTTTTGAGAGTCCAAAATCTGTTAATAAGGCATGCCCTTCACTATCTAATACTATATTATCAGGTTTTAAATCTCTAAAAATTATATCTCTTTTATGTAGGTCCTCTAAGGCTAGAACTATTTCACACAAATAGTTTTTAACTATGTTTTCTGGAAGTCTCTTTTACTTTTATAAGACTTCTCCCAAATCTCCTCCAGGGCAATAATCTAGTATCATAAACAATTTATCTTATGTTTAAAATGCAAACCTAAGTTTCACAATAAATGGATGGGACGTTATCGATAATACATTTCTTTCAGTTAAAGCATATCGAGTCAAGTTTTGTTCTAACATAATATTTTAATTTTACTCATTATCCTATTTTTATGAAGTACTTTCATTGCATATAACTGATTACTTTTTTAGACTAAATAAACTTCTCCAAAACTGCCCTTGCCAATCAAACCAATAACTTAAAATTATTAAGGACCTATTTTATCATCTTCCTTGTTTTTAATTGAATCTGAGTTGGTTGAAATTGTTGTTGTTAATTATTATTTTGATGAATGAGTTGAATTGATTTTATTAAATCTTTCTTACTTTATCTCTTGTTGGGTACGATTGTTAGGAGAGGATGATTACTTATTAACATTTGTTAAATTTTTACAGGAATAACTAGCTATTTGAATAGGAGTTTAAGCAGAAGCTAAAGTTATTTATTATTGTTGTTATAACTAAGAATTTAATTAGCCCCTTTTATTCTAAAACATTTTCAAAATTACATCATTCTATGTGTTTTATATTTAGACCATATTCATTTTTTACTCTAAAATCATACAAAAGTCTTACATTGTTTTTTACAATCTTCATTATAATTTCTAAATAATTATTAAATCTCTTCATTAACAGCATAAAAATCTGGAGTTTTATTTTCCTTGTTATACTTAAATTTTATTGATTATCTTTTCAAAAGTAATTCCACTATTTATTTTTACTCATTTTTGCATGAATAATGTAAACATGTATTGCCCACAGAATCTTGAAAATTGATATCTGCTCCAGCATTCATAAGAATCATAAAAACTTCTTCTTAACCGCTAAATTACACGATGATTCTTACTGAATGGCTGCTAAAATAAGAGGAGTCATAAATTCCTTATTAGGCAAATCAATAGGAATCTATTTAAATATTAAGGCAGAAGTTAATTAAGCGTTTCCATACTTTGCTGCATAATGCAAAGCTGAATTATCCGAGATATCTTTGGATGTTAAAGATGCTCGAAGTTCTGGATTTATCTTTTATCTCGGAGGTAATTTAACTAAAATAATTTTTAGGCTTACGTATGTTATGAACAAGTGTTGGTTCCAAAAGTTAAAGACAACCTCCAGTATTATTATTTTTGCTTTCCTTTATAAACCATTGGTTTAATTATTTTTTAATGTCTTACAATTCTGTAGTTCTTGGAGATAATGCTTCTACTGTCTTTGTAATTCCTTAACTTGAAATTGGCATTTTAGGTTCATCTGCTTGGCTTGTTTATCTTTTTGAACCTGATACTTTCTTATTTTAAAAAAAAGGCAGTAGTTTATGTGTTGAATGAGAACGATCCGTAGATGATTTGGTCTGCTATTTTAATTATGAGACAGGTTTTGGGGTCATGATTTTTGAGGTATTTGATTAGGATTTTGCCTAACTTAATCTACGATTATTAGCATCCTGAATTTGCTTTAATTTATCCAAATATTCTTATAGTGTAGGTTTGCTATTGCTGTTAATATTCATTTTTGGATTTCTTATTATTTAATAATATAAAATTCAAATTTTAACATTAACAAAAATGAAAGTGATTCAAAATCCAACCCAGTATTTCTTTGAATAATCTAATAATCCATCTGATGAATATTTAGATAAGATCAATATGTTCATTGGAAAATTGATTAATCAAAAATAGTGTCTATTATGCAAATAAGATTACAATATCAAAGATAGATTACCTAGAATACTTATTCATTGTGGTCATACTATTTGTACATAATGTTTAGGCAATTTCTATAGGTTATTATACTTAAATTAATGAGTTTTAGAAACAGAAGAGTACGATGCCCACTTTGCTTGAAATTAGTTAAACATCTTGATTCAATTGAAAGATTACCGGTATCAATATTATCAAAATTTAGATAAACCACACAATTTTCACAAAAATAGCTGAAGAGATAAATAAGAAAAGCAGGTTTCATGGAGGGACTGATGTTATAGATTCTTAATAATATTTGTTTACATAATTTCAATAATCAGCAGTCTAAGCATAGAAAATCAGATAATAACAATAAAATCAATATCCCTAAGTTGATCCAGATTCAGGACTTGAATTTTGTGAATTCCATAATGACAGAGTGAAACATTTCTTTTGCATGAAGCATAAAGTTACTTGCTGCCGTGTATGCTCTGAAATGATTCATTAAAAGAAGGTAATAACTAACTGTTAATTGAAAGGACTGTATTGTTGTCGATCTTTATGAAATTGAGGATGTACCAGCCTTTTTGAATGAAGCTTACAAATTGAATTAAGAAACTAATTGTTAAAATTAAAATATTGAATTTTTACCAGGTATTGTTATCATTTAAATAGATGATGACAATAATTTTAATGATGATGATTTAGAAGGAGAATTCGCTCAAAATGAAAGTCTAAAGAGTTTATGATGATAATTAATTATATATAAAAAAAAATCTAATAGTATCTACTGAGGAGTAATTATTAAATCTAACTTATTATCTCTATTTATGTATCCTATATTTTATTCTGAAGGTTAGAAGAAAATAAATTTTGTTGATAGTGATATTTTTTGCACCATTTTCTAATTTTAATGTATATTGATTGATTATATATTTAATTATATTTTATATATATCTCATTTCTTACACTTACAAACTTTTCCCTTCTTTTGATTATAGCCAGTTCCACCACATTTATAACATATTCCAGCATGTTTATAACAGTCCTTACAGAATTTTTGTTTACCTTTTTTCATTATTCTTCCTGTTCCGTGACAACTAAATTTATAATATTTAATTACTCATGACAATTTGGATTAAATTTAATTTACACCACGGCTATCTATTATTGAGGATAACCGGGTTGTGGGTGAGGATATCCAGGTTATTGGGGATAACCAGGTTAAGGTGGGTAACCTTATTATGGTGGATAACCAGGTTAAGGTGGATAACCTGGTTAAGGAGGATACCCTGGTTAAGGTGGATGACCTTGAGGTGGATAACCAGGCTAAGGAGGATGACCTTATTATGGTGGATAACCAGGTTGATGAGGAAAGCCTGGTTATTATGGATAGCCCATTTATTAGGGCTGTTATGGAAAGCCTTGTCCTTGCCCATCTGGATGAAATTCAATTATAACGTGTAATTCTCCAGCGGATTTTCCTTTATACATCAAAGGGATTGGTCCTTAAAATTATCTTGTTTGCTCAACTTATGCTATAGGAAAGGAAGCTTAGCCGATTAGATCATTTTTTGAGCCTTGATCGTACTGGATAATATAATTGAATTACATCCCACACTTCAAATTCAATTAGGTTTTCATAAGTTTTTCTGAATGTAAAAACATTACTCCAAACAGGAGTTTTGCCAGCTTCATTAGCGACGGATGTATTTTAATTTTAATTTCCCATTTTAACAATGACAAAGGGATCCTAGCATTATGTTCAAATATAATAAAGTACCATTTTTCCAAATATTTCAGTATCTTTAGTCAAGTTAGCCTTAAAAGGCCTAATAATCAATGTTCCTTGCATTATTAATAATGAGTTAATGTGTCATTCAGAAATATATTTATTTACAATAATCATGAATCACAACAAATTGAATGCATATGAGGAATCAGAATGAATTGGAAAGGGCTATATGTTAATAATTATATTATTAATAATTGTCACTTGACAGTGGTTGTAGGAACTCCATCTCCCAAAGCTTTAACCTTTTCCATTAATGAGTCATCAACAACAGTACCATCCACATTTTTTAAAGTGGTTATTCTTTTGAGAACAAGCAATTTAGGATCATCTTTCTAGTTTTCATAAATAGGATTTCCTTTTATTTAAATTAAAGATTACCTACAAATAGAACATTGGCAATTTCAGGAAGGTCCTTCAATTTATCAACTTCATCCCAAATTTTGATTCTATTATTACCAATATAGAGGGTATGCAATTTAACACATGGTTATAGACCATCAAGCCTTTCTATGTAATTGTAACTCAACCATAGCTCTTTTAATGTTTATCCTATTTCTTCTAATCCAGCTATCTTCTTTATATTGTTTCTCGATAACGAAAGGATTTCTATCTGCCTTAACCCAGGAAGATTGACCATCTTCTCTATAGCATTTGAAGAAAGGGATAAGCGTTTAACTTTAGCTAATGTATTTAAAACTGGAGGATCCAATTTGTCAAGAGGAGGATTTTAGAATATTAATCTAATATCTTCTGCTTCAGATGGTTGTTCACCTGGATGTTCTTGCTCCCAATTTTAGAGAGCTTTTGCACAAGTTGTCTTTGCCATTTAATAATTTATATAAATTTATTATTATTTAAATAGTTCCAAAATTCTGTTTAAATAGGTTAAATTTATATGCATACAAATACTTATAGACACTAAAGCAATTGAAAATTTTGCTTAAGTATTCATGATATTTTAATTTAATATTAATTATTGTTTTGACATATTTAGTAGAATTTGAATGGATGTCTTAATTTAACAAGGATGATTTAATTTTATTTATATTGATATCATTAAAAATGTGTTTTCAGAAATGAAAAAACAGTATTTTACATTTCGTAATTTATAAGCATACATTGAGTTTCGAACTTTGGGTCCATTTATATTTGAAAAGTTTGTTAGTGAATAATGTATATATAAATATATATCTGTATAATAATCAATTTGTGTTCTTCAAAGGGAGAGAATGCTTTGATTGGCTGGGTGTAAATATTATTGGATAGTTGATTAATATAAATTATACAAGAATTTATTATTTTATTTATTAAATAACACTCTTTTTGAGGAGTAAGGAAATAAAAGGAAGGTATGGTTTCATTGTAAGAATATTGTTTAATATTCTTTTAATATTCCTATATACGTTTATATTTACCTATTACACAATATTACTTTAGGAATGAGCGAAGATAATTAATTGAATGTTGATAAAAACTAAAACAAAAATAATCTTGAGAAAATAATAAAGTTAGATAAAAAGAATGGGAATTTTGATATTTATGATAAATATTCCAAGTAAGGTCAATTTTCAATACGAATAGACGGAAACTGAAAATTAGAACCTCTTAGAATAATTCACACATCAACAGTTCGTATTAGAACGAATACATTTTATGTTATTTTTGGAGACACATTAATTAAGTATACTTCAAGAAAATTGATGAACCTGAATATGAGCGACTTGATTATCTCAAGGCTATTAATGAAGACATCATACACACCTAAATTCCTGTGAAATATGCAGATTACAAGTTTTATTAAGCAAAATAAATCTTAAATAAGTAGTATTTCTAATCAGAAAATGCAACTTATAAGGAAAATATTTAAAAACATATTAGGCTGAGTGGACTTATTCATAAAGCCAAAGATTTAAAAATCCCCTAAATCGATAAATTATATTATATGAAATAGAAATCCATGGTTAAATTTAATTAAAAAAGTATAAGGTAATAATTTATTAAGATAAGTTCGTTGATATAAGAAAATGCTTAATTAGATAAACTATTAGATAAGTTGAATGAATAAATTGAATTAAGAACTGGTCAGAAAGATGAAATATTCTAATAACTTTAAGAATATACTGCAGAATTGCAATAACTCAACAAATCAAATAAATTAGATTTATAAAATTTAAATTACAAAATTAAATCTGAATAACCATTAAATGTATTTGGCACCTAGGTTCATATATATAAATAAGCACGCAACAATAATGGACTCAGTAAAAATTAAATTATCTATAACAATGAAGCCTTGCTCAACTTTTTGAGAAAAAGTTTAGAATAATTGGATTACAGATAAACAGCTGAATCTATTGTGAAAGTAGTAAGTACTACTCATTCTTCAAACGGGTATACCTTTTGTGTAGCATTTGAATAAGCTTTAAATTCAAACAATATTAACATTTAAGAAGACCTGATGTATGAGTTAGATAAGTTAAGAGATACATCCTTATTTAAGTTTTACAATATTCCCCAAAAAACTAAGTATTCCCATATCTCTCAAAACGTATTTATACAAAAATATCAAAGTTCATTGGGATAAACTAGGTATAGCATCATAGATAGAAACCTAATCCTTTAATAAACAAAAACCTCACAAAAGAATCTAAAATATCATCTTAGAATGAGAATGATTCTAATTTATCACGTTATGAAGCATGTCATCATTGTAAAATGCTATTTAGAGAGGAATACCTAATATCTTGTAATTATCGAAGCAGTACAATGGGATTGCCAATTATAACTTCATAAATGACAGATTCCTATTTATTCTCTTAATGTATAAATTATAATCAGTAATTTTAGTGGATGAGGAAGGAATAACAAGTCGAAGATAAGTTCCCAACAGAAAGAAAACAGCTTATAGCATTTATTCAAAGAATAGTATTTTATTTTTTGAATTGTATAGATGGGGAATTAATATGTCAAAGGAAATTTTGTAGAATGTGCTTAAAGTAGAACTATGAAATTAAAATCGAAGAAGTAGTTTAGAAAACTGACTGGGTTTGTCCCTTTTGTTAAGTACATCCCATATATCAAGTATCTAGGCCATTTGTTTTTGTTCAAGATGTCAAAGAAATGATATCATGATTAAATTGAAAGATCTGTTTACAATTTGTGGAGGTGATCTCGAATAATTGACCAAGGATTCAATTTTTGAAAAATATGTTAGACCTTTGACTGAAGAATAATTATACAAAAAGAAACCTACTCAATTATAAGTAAAACATTTTTATTTTCTAGAGGACTGGATTTTCTATTGTAAAATAGTAATTGAGCAATTTTAAGGATATGCAAACCATAAGACTTGATTTTGAAAATCTTCGATTGTTGTGTTCTTAGATAATGAGAAGAGAAAAATTGAAATGGAAATTATTAGAACAAGATATACTTATGTGGAATGAAGATGTCAAATCATAATAGCTTAAGAATCATAAGAGTACCTAGAAGAATAAAAAGTTACAATTGAAAACTAATTAAATCACAAAGAAATAATAGAAGTAAATATTCTGCATAACTTAAAAAGATAGGAAATTGAAAAAGCTCATGAATATTAACCCTCATCATCTTCTAGTAGTAGCGAATATCTCTTAAGCAGCGAATTTGAATCAGAAGAAAATCAAAATGAAATATTGAAGAAAAAACAGAAAACTTAATAAGAAATTAATCCAAAAGTGAAAAGTTAGAAATACCAAAAATTAGTTAATTAGATTGCATAAATTTAGAAGTCTTTGCCAGCTAAAACTCTCAAGAGAGAAGTTGCTTAACTTTTACAATATCAGGATACTGATACTTACAGTTAAATTCTTAAAAAAATCAAAAAGGATAAAACAAAGCACTCATCCAAGAGATGATATCAATTATTAGTATATAATAATAATAGTTATGAATTATTAATCAACAAAGTAAACATATCTACTATGCTTTTAATGTACATTGAATACAGACATAATGTCTATTACATTTAGCCTGAACTTGAGCATCCCATAATGTCATCAGACATTATGAGCATTAATTATTATTGTTTTTTATCTCGTCCTGAGTAAAGTGTCTTTCTCCACATTAATATTCAATTATTTTTCTTAATTGAATGAATTAGGATTCCAAATAATTAGGCACATGAGACCCAATAAATTTAGGAGGCCAATTAGGATCCTTCAATAAAGTAGCAGCATTTGGTTCTGCATCTTAAATTTTATTTTATTTCTTCTATCCTTCAGCAGATTAAGGTCTATTCTTTTATGTCTGATTTTTTAAGGTGATCAATTTCCTTATTAGTTTTGCGTTGCATCCAAGGATGGGACATTCAATAGAGTACTTATTTCTAAAGTAACTTTTTAGACAATGTTCGCAATATCTATGTCTACAAAAAATGTTATTTGCTAAATCTACTTTTGCTAACCCACATACAGAACAAGTCTTTAATGTTATTTAAATATCAAACTCCCCATATTATACCTCACCGGAATAATTGACAAATCCATATTATTAAAATTCTTCGACAATATAAACCAATTCTTTAGATCCTTTTCCTATTTCCTTTGGGTAATAGTTTTTTTTATAATTCATTTTTACAAATCTAAATCCAGCCTTCACAATTAGAGTCTTTTTACTTAGTTACTTATAAGCCAATGCAAATCCTTCTAAACATACTGATGTTTTTTTATAAAATATTGTAATTGCTAATTGAGGACTTAAACCTGCTTTCAACTTAAAAATCAATCCTCTTAATTAATATACTGTATGTCGAAAATAATAAATTTTCAATGTTTCTTTTTTATGAAATGGATTTTTTTCCAAATATTCATAAATCTCAGTCAACATTAAAATCTACTTCCAAATTGCTAATTATTCAATCAAAAGTAAAAATTATGCAGCCTTTGGATTTTTGAATACTCTTAAGTAGCCTTTACTAAAATTATATTCAATAGATAATTTAGTTACAGGCACTATTGAATATACACTGAGTACCATACTTTTTCTGTTATTATTTAATTAATGTCCAAAAAATAAACAAATGATAATCCAGATAGATATAAAGGTGATGCTGGCAATTTCCAATCTTTAGAAAGTGATGATGGCCCAGGACCTATGAAATGTAATTGGCAAAATTAATTTTTAGCTATTGAAGGATGGATTGTGATTGTTAAAGGCATTCATGAAGAAGCTCAAGAAGATGATGTGTTTGATGCTTTTAGTAAATATGGACCAATAAAAAATCTACATTTGAATCTAGACAGAAGAACTGGATTTGTTAAAGGGTATAATACCTAATAATAACATTTGATAGATATGCTTTAGTTGAATTTAATGAATATACTCATGCATCTGATGCAATTAATGGGATTAATAAATCAGAAGGCATTTGCGGTAAAAAAGTTCAAGTTGATTGGGCATTTAAAAAGCCTCCCAAGAAAGGGGCATTAAAATAAACTAAAAAATAATGATTTAGAATTTATTTGGTTTTTATTAAATAAATAAGAAGTAGAAACATTATGATAAAAATCTAGTTTTTGTAAAATATTAATGTTTCCCCTAAGTTCTTAGTAAATTTTTAATTGATAATTAATTATAATACATATCTGGTATAAAATTAACTTATTGTTCTCATAAATATATAAATCTCAAGTAATACTAAATTTAATTATAATTAAGATATTTTGATTTCTATTTTGAGTAAATGTATTAATATATCAGTTATAATCGATGTAGAATCACAACGATTCCAGGTCATTCTCTAATTGATTTCGGCCTAAAAAGGTAGAAGAATCCATTTAAGTATTCTATTTGCTCTTAAGCCTTCGTCTAAAAATAGGGTTCTTGTGGATGATGTATTCTTCCTCTAAATCAAAAAGGGTTCTACGAGACGTATGCTTAGAACTTTGATCTTAGTCAGAATACTCGAAAGTGGGAGTAGAAGGAGTTTATGGCGTAGATGGTAAATTGAGTGTATTATATGTTAAATTTTGCATTGCAATTATAATTATTAATTATATATAGATTAATTTAAATTCAAATTATTGGAACAAATGAAAAGATTATTCAAGCACATTCACACAAGTATAAATCTAAAGTTAGTTATTATATTAATCAATAGAATTATTTTTAATATTTATACCTAAAAAAGATAATTAGTATGGTAGATAAGCTTATAAAGCATGAAATGCTGAATTTTAAATCTATGAACTTTATTTTCTCCCAAATATTCAATTAAATAACGATACTTTAATAAAAAATTAATTATTTTCACTGTCTTTTGATTATATAAAAGTATAGCAATATAATTTTAATGGCAAATCTTGACTACCAAAAAGCAATAGGTTGCTTGAACATAAAAGATATTAGAATGCTATTGAATATAAATAGGTAATAGGAATGAATATTAGAAAATTAATATTATACAGATATGGAGGGCCAAAGCCAATTAAGACACGATATAAATAAGCTCCTGGTGATATTATATATATATTTAATTTGGACTGTATGATTGTATTGATGTTAAGAATATCATAAATTCTTCAAGAACTTCTCTTCATACAGCTTGATACTTTCTTCCACAATTCTGTATGCATCTTCTTTTCCTTTGAATTCCTCAACAACCACATGTTTATGTTCAAGCTTCTTGTAATCTTCAAAGAATCTTTGGATTTCTTAAGTAGTATGGAATGGAATATCCTTTAAATCGTTGACACCTGCATAGGATGCATCGTTTTTGGCCACTGCAATTATCTTGTCATCTATTTCTCCTTGATCAACCATATGCATAACACCAATAACACGAGCCTCGACTAAACACATTGGTTCAATTTCAACTGAACATAGCACTAAAATATCTAAAGGATCTTGATCATCACAATAAGTTTATGGGATGAATCCGTAATTTGCAGGATAATGAACAGCTGAAAATAAGACTCTATCTAATTTCAAAAGACCACTATCCTTGTCCAACTCATATTTGGCTTTACTTCCTTTTGTGATTTCTATGATAGCATTCACAATTCTAAATTTAAATAACATAATACTTTGGACTGTCACTGCCAAAATGAACATGATGCCATGGATTCTTGGCATACTTTTGAATCAACTAAGTGGATTATTAATGGTTCATTTAATTATCAATAAATAAAATAATTAATATATTTTATCTTATCAAGATTTTTTTATAACATTCAATTAACTGAGAAATCCAAATTTATTATTAATCATTGTAATACTATATTTGAATTGTTGAAATGAGATGATTACTTTAGAGCAATTATATTGAATTGAACCTGCTAAATATGATTATTAATCACTTAATCCGCTATTAGTAAATATTCAATAGGATAAAACTATAATACTAATCATATTCAATTACATTTCCTATATTAAAATTAAAAATTAATAGTCATGTTTTTAAATGTTAATACAAGATCGCTCATATCTGATTAATGTATGAGTCTGTATTAAAATAAGATTACAACACTATTTTATAAAAATATGGGAATATTCAAAATATTTGGTAGAATCCCACAAATTAATTATCAATTAGTAGAAGATATTCTTAAATGAATATTACATTATTAAATATACTTATAATCAGCAATTAGAATTGATATCAATCTTTTTAAATTCTTATTTCATTTGGTATTTTAACACAAACAATGGAGCATTTTTGATTTCTTAAACCGATAAGATTTATACAGATAGGTTGAAAACTCCATGATAAGATGTTTAGGATATTTGAAATTGATTAGTATAATAAATAGGTATGTTATACATTAGAGACGTAAATAGAAAGCAGTAGTAATAATTAAATGTTTGTTTATTTTTAATATATAAATTCATCAATAAAATAATTGAGATATTTAATATTTAAATTATTAAACTAACTCCGAATAGCATAGAAAAAGTAATATCTCCTCCTTCTTCTCTCACATCCCTCTCATATATTACAAAGTGTTGATTTTTTTATTCTTAGTGAATACGTCGAATGATGAATATCCTTGGAATTAACATTAATAGGATGGTAATAATTTTCTTTTTTGATTTATCTCCCTCTTTAGAACTTCCTAGAAACCAATTCTTCACGCCATCTATACCACCTGAGAAGGACATTAGGAATAAAAATTGTAAATTGCACATTGGAAACCTTCCTTTGTAGATTACAGAAGAGACATTGCATCGTGTGTTCTCCAAATATGGTTAAATTAAAGAAGTTAAGATCATTCGCAAAAATAGTTAAGGGGTTTAGTTTTTTATATATATTTAAATAAGTAACCACTAAAAGATTACTGCTATGGGTTTGTTCTTATGTGCGATGGTGATGGAGCTTAAAATGCTGTCACAGAGTTGAAACAAAACAGTCCCTTGGGAACAACATGGACAGTTGCTTTTAGTAAAGATAAAAATGATGTATGCTTCTACTTTTTAATTCTTTCTTAAGGATTCTGCTGGTGCCGGTCATTAGAAATCAGATAAGAAGAAGGATGATAAGGTGAAAAAGAAAGAGAAATCAAAAGAAAGACTAAAAAAGGATAAATCTAAACCAAAAAAGAAAGTTGTATTTTTTGATTAATAAAAGAAGAAGAAATCAGAATCATCGTCCTCCTCTGATTCTTCAAGAGCAAGATCTGCTAAAAAGTAAAAAAAATAAAAAAAGCGTAAACATTCTAGTTCATCTGAATCATCTTCTTCTAAATTGCCACCTAGAAGTGCACTTGTTAAGGTTGAGAATAAGGACATTGCAGAGATAGTATTTTCAGGTGGCGATTTGTAGTCTCATCTAATGTATTAATAAGTATGTTAATTTCTAAAAAATAAAGTAGCCTTAGTAGCAATATCAAATTACTCATCATGTGTATGTAAGAGAGTTGTTTATATCTGGAATACCTCAATCTAAAATTTCTGCTGACATACAAAGGATCTTTTCTGCGTATGGCATTGTAGAGAGAATTGATATTGTTCCTAAGTAATTGGTCAATTATGCATATGTAAAATTCAAGAGGCTTGAATCAGTCCTCTAAGCTATGCAAAACTCATCCTTGATAGCAGAACTATTGGAAAGTGCAGGACAAGTCAAAATATATTAGTCTGATCCGTTTCGAAGAGTTCAGATAGTCGGCAATGCTGAGGATAGTGAAAGAGTAATTTTTCATATTAAGACATTTAATAGGAGGAAGAAATGTGGCCAGTTATGTTCATTGGATTTCCTCCAAATTAAAATTATGTTTTGGATGAAAAGTTCTTGAAAAAAATGGCTGAGAAATTCGGAGGTGAAGTTAAAGGAATCCAACATTTCTAACCAGATTCCCCTTAATTGAGATCCTATGTCTTAATAGAGTTCTCCTTTTTAAAGGATTGCAAAAAAGCCAGAAGAAAATTCTGTAGATATAAAATACAAATATTGGGTGATAAAAAGTGTGATGTGGCCATCTTATCAAATTATCCAGCCAATGTATAAAATAAAAGATAAAATAATATGTTTATGCAATAACCATATGCAATGGGTACTACATTCATTTTATAGTCAGATTATATGCAAGTTAATTAATAAATACCTATGCACCAATAGATGGTATCTAGATAAATGCCATAATAAGTGTAGATGTTGGCTCCCTTTCAAAATTAGCCTATACCTTAATAACATATAGCTCCTCCTAATTTATAAAATATATATGACTACAACTAAATGCCTATTTTATATCCTCAATAACAATAAAACTAATAGCAAATGATGTTCATGAAAAACCAATAGCAGCAACTTTAAATTCCTGCTTAGACTCCTGTTTAACCTCAGTTTAGAGCACAACCTCAACCAGTTCCTTAAACTTAATAGCCTCCTCCACAATTACAATATTACTAATAGCTAAACCCTTAGACTTAAGCTTAGAGTTATTTACCATAATAGTATTCAATGGATATGATTATCCCTCCTCCAACTATGAAATAAGAAGAAATCAACTCGCCTTTTTGGTGTGGTTATATGAATAGAGGAAAACAACATCGTGTTGGAATAGATGCAAGGATGCACAAAACTAATATGGATACCAAGAAGAGTATTATTGATTACTTATTTAGTCAACTTGCCATCTAATCTAGAAATGAGTTATAAATGCACATATTAGGATGCCTATTAGAGAGCAGGATAAGACCAATCAGCCATTTTAATATTTAGTCCTGCTTAAGATACTGATGTTCCAAAATTCGCTGAATATGTTCAATACTTAAGAAATAAGGTATTAATCAATAATATTTTAAGTAACGAGCTGGAGTCATTTAAAGCGAGGTATTCACAATTTACGTTATTCCTCCAGGAGTATCAGAGGCATAACTAATTTGTAATATCAATTAATAAGAAATGATAGCTATTTATTGTCAAAAGGAATTAAAATGATGAATTTATAGATAAATAATATATATCCAAATAGTATGAAATATTTTACTAAATCTTATTTTAATCTGTCTTCTATCAGTTTTTGAACTATTCTACTTCTCAAGTATTCTAATTTTAGAACAAATTACTAATCTCAATTTGATTGTCTATAATTAAGAATCTCTATATTTTTAATTTTTAAGTTAAAACCAATTTTTTACTCATAATCTTAAAAGCTAATGTTGACTGCTTAAATAATATACAAATTAAGAATGAATAAGATTGATATTACTAAATTTATAGATTTCATTCCTTTATTGATACTCTATTCAAATGATTAAATTATTGAAATGTATAATATATTTTATTTTTTATTGGGATTGAATACTATTTATAAAAGTATTGCAATTATATAAAGAAAATTATTATATTTATTGCGAGGAAATTATTTTATAGAATGATAAAATTTAATAATAAAAATTTAATCGTTAAATGGATTACTAACAAAATCAGTGTCAACATCTAGATCTTATTCCTTTTAATAATAAGTTCTTTTGTAGATTATGTGGGATTCACATGCCTGAAGATGGGAGCATTGGAATTAAAGCTTTGAATTTTAGTTTTCCAGGTTATCTAAATCCAATACAAAATTTGAAGAAGTAATGGAATAGAGCAGTTCCAATAGGGTCATTACCAGGAGAATATTAGAAAGTATTCATAATCTAAATTAAATAGCAACGCTTATCTTTAATTGATTATATGATAGAGTGGAGTGAAAAGTTAAAACTGTCCATGAATTCTTTATTTCTTGCAGTTTAATTTTTAGATTATTTTGTATCATAAAAGAAAGTAGACCCTGTTTAATATAGACTGTATGGTGCTACTTGTCTTATGTTGGCAGGTATATATTTATAATACTTGAGCTAAATCAATTGAATTGGATGAAAGAATTCCATTTATTAGTAAGTTAAGGAGATATACTTATTTACCTTATGCAACATTAGATTTCAGAAGATGCGAGTGCCAAATCATTAAGTAGTTGAGTTGGAATCTACAATGCACTACTTTGATTGATTGGGCTGAAGCAGTGATCTCTTTAGGAATAGTCTACGAATCAGATGAATTAACATAATCTGAAAATGTTTTAAAAGAAAAAAGTACTAACATTCTTCAGCAATAAAACAATCAACACATAAAATAAGACATTTTTAAAGAACACCTGGATCAAGTTTTCAAATAACCCATTGTTGCTCCCAAATAGATTAATGAGAAGGTTTAAGAATAACTAATTAAACTATGTGTATCTGTGCTTAAAGATGGAACCTTTTTAGACAAAGATCCAGCAGAATTGACAGTTTCAGTAATTGGATGTGCTCGAAAGGCTAGTGGATTAAAACATTCAATGTAAACTTAGAAATTTAAATTAGACCAAAATGCTTGTTTGAATTGTTAGAAAATGTAGAGCCAAAATTTTAAGAAAGTTTAACTGATCAGTTTATAAAATAAGTAAAATAACCAACAAGTGTGTTGGGACGAGCTTTTACAACAGACTTAGATTTTTTCAGTCTTCAAAATTACAAACATAGAATAGTATGATATATAATAGTTAATTATAATACTACCATGTATAAAATCATTATAATTCGTCGATTGTGTGGATTACTTTACTAAACTAACTCTTTTTTAAAGGATCCTCTTTTAAAGATAACTGAGATTTTCTATGATGGGGTATAATTTCTTGATGAGGTGATAAACATTCATGTTTTGGAGAGGTTATTTTAACTTCTTTTAGTTCATTCTTAAAGGCCAAACCATTATTGGCATCAAATCTGGGTGAAATCTGTATGTAGCTTCCTGTATATTTGTTCTTTGAACTTTCAGAACCCTGAGATGATATGGATGATTGTCTAGAATGGTTTGCTGATTGCAAAGTCATTTATTTTTTATGTTTCATTTATATATATATATAATAAAGTAGTGTGTTTTATCTTGAGATAAATTCCTTATTTCATCATTAGTTAGTTCAATAAATTGGAAATAGTAATTTCCAAGTATTCATATGAAAATACTTTTCAGCAATATTGTTTTGGATTAGTTGTAAAAAGAAAACATAAATCATCATATTGTGTCTAAAAATACAAACGTTATTTTCCACTTATCAAATATAATTTATTATATTAATATATCAATATTTTGTTTTTTATTTATTAATATATAATGCCATTATCATTCTTCTAGCATCTTTTTCCCTTTCTCTGCATACTCTTTATTGAGTTCTTCCCAATTTTCCAACACCATTTCAAATTGCTCAAAGATCATTGAATGTGTCAACCTATTTCTAGAAGGTCCCACTTCCATTGAATAGATCTTATGGGATGTATTTGTTTCAATTGTTCTATTCAAATAAACTCCGTAGCTAAATGTGATATAATCGATCATACACATAATGAGGAATCCAAATAACTGCTGCTAAACCAAATGAAAGTCTTGTTTCTCTTCCAATATAATCATCATACAATCCTCTGAACCACCAATGTCGATTTCTTACCGCAATAGCTGCTCCCATTTTTAATTAAATATATTTAATTAAGATTTTATTGAATATATATATAATATAATTATAAATTTTGGACATGATCAATAGTGATCTCTCCTTCTTAAATTGTCTACACTATTCAATAATTACATTTATTAATTGAATTCAAAGAACATAATAATGATTATGTTTTACAATAGAGTAAATAACAAATTATTAAGTTTTTAATTATATTATAAAATGAATACATATGAGGATGAGAAGAACAGAATAGCACTGAAAAATATAATTGATGAGAGAAATAAGAAGATTGTCAAGACTCCATTGCCATAATTCTATTTGGATCAGGTTTGTGGAATAGCAGATAGACCAATAAGCAATCAGTTGACATTCATATAAGGAAGTATTGGAAGTTATATTAATTTGTAGATCTAATTGTGTTTTATGCTTCTAATATGATAATAGTTCAGAATGTAGAAACAGGATAATAATAATTTATACCAGGAAGATATAAAAATGTGACTGCAATTGCTGCTGCAAGTAGAAAGGATGGCTTAATGATTGCTGTTGGTGAAAACTTAGAATAATCATCAAATTTAGTTATTATAATAAAAGATAAAATAAGAACTATTTCATTGCAATGCAAAGGAGCTATTACATTAATTTAATTGAATGTAGAGAAGTAATATTGCGGATTACAAATATCAAATTAAATATAAATTTGGAATTATGAAAAGGAAAGATTGTTAGCATCAGCAATTGTTAAAGCACCTTTTGAGAAATTTAGTTTTCATCCCTTGAAACATAAACACATTTTATTATCTGGTCATAATTATTTAAGATTATGGGAAATGTAATTCTAAGAAAAATAAATTAAAGAAACTCATGAAACTCTGATTCCACTGAAAATAGAAAAAGAGAATAAATTCTTAGATCATGGGTGGGTTATGCTCTCAGCAAATTAGGCTTTGTTAGTCTTATTAGCAGCTGGCAATAAGATTCTTATTCTGATTAATGACCATTTCAAAAAACCTATTGATATTGATCCTCAAAATTTAAATTTCATTGATGCACCTGTATAGGATTTTAATGCAGAGGATAATGACGATGTGATGGGTATTAACTCTGCACTTGAAGATGTTATTAAAGATAAAGTAGGATAAATTGTAATGAATAATCAAACTAAATTAACTCAAAATACAACAATAATGACTTAATAATAATTGGAATTCTAATGTTTATCAACTACTAAAAAAGGATTCATTTTAGGAGGTACAAAAGGAGCTGTATGTATTTATGAATTTGATAAAAATTATAACATTGTAAGTGCCATGTCTTTTAATATGAAGAGCAATAGAGGAGAACATAAAGTTATCTAAATATCTAATAGCGGTGATCAACTTATTTCTATTATTAGTTTATTTGGCAATCAATTATATTATAGTATTTTGAATACTGCTCAAATGGATACTGAAATTAGTCCAATCTAACCATTCTTTGCTGCAGGATTTCATAACAAAAGAGTCAATTCTATCTCACATGCTAAAATTAAATAAGTGTTTGTTACTTGTTCAGAAGATAATTCTGTTAAAATTTGGAATTATTATCAAAATGAAAATAATGACAAAAAAGGAGTCTTAAGCAAATATTTTAAAGAAGAACCCGTATGTGCTTCTATGCATCCATTTGGCTTATTTGTTGCTGTAGGATTTACCAATGGATTTAAAGTGTTTGCCATCCTGAATGAAGGTTTCTTTCCTCTTAAGGATGTCACCTTAAACAACTGTAAAATTGTTAAATATAGTCATGGTGGTCATATGCTTATTACTAATGAAAAAACAAATGTATACATATATGATTCAATTTATTATGAACTTATTCATCAATTTGAGTTTCATAATTCACCTATTAAAGATATTGCCATATCTCTAAATGATCAATACATAGTTAGTACTTGTACGAGTGGATATGTGTATTGTTATAATTTAGCAGAACTAAATAATAATGTTATCAGAGAATAAAAACATTAAGAATAAGGAATTTTCAATTCTATCTAATATGATGAATATTTTGTAGGTTGTACTAATGAGAAATTAATGGTGATTTTTGATAAACATTTCAAGTTAATTACTGAATTCCATGTGACTGATTGTTATTTGACTAAATTATTAATGACTGATTAACATATTATTGCAGGTACTTCTAAGGGAACTGTGAGAATATATCCAATTAGAGATGAGGATAATTTAGAATTAGAATTAATAAATTAAAAAAATGAAACTATGTATAAAATACCTGAATGTTTTGAAATTTCAGTTCATGCAACTGCCATCACTTGCATTGATTATGATGGTTAATATATATTTACAGGATGTGAGGATGGATCAGTTTGTTTGTTGAAATCTAAAAGCGAGATTTCAGAAGAAAGACAAAGGATGGCTGCAGTCTCAAATGATCTATATTTAGAAGTCATATATAAGATATAAAAAGAAAATGACAGAATACAATCAAAAAACTTTGAAGTCATCAAATCTGAATAAACTGTAAGGATTGAAACAGCTAAATTAGAGACTTAATTTAAGTAGAAAATTGATCAGATGACTAAGAAATTTTAATAAACTATGTCTGATGATAAGAATTTAAAGGATAAATTTGTTGAGAAATCAGAATAGGATTATGATCAATTATATAGTTAATATATGGAGGAGAAAGTCAAATATGAAAATGAAATTAATAAACTTAAATAATAACATATTGAAAAAATAGAATATGAGGAATCTAGAAATCAAGAAATTGAAGATGAAATTAAAAAAGTATAAGAACAACATAAAGATGATTTACAATCATTATTAGAATAACACAAATAGGAATTGAAATAAATGAAATTATAATTCTATGAAAAATGTAGAAAAGTCTAAGTCAAATACTCTAGTGTTGTAGATAATGCTAAAAATTATGGGACTGCCTTTATTTAGAGATTAGAGAAAGAAGAGGCAGAATATGAAAAGGAAATTGATGAATAAATAAAAGATTTAGAAAATCAAATTGCAAAAGTCATTTAAGATAATGAGAAATTAGAAAAAGAGAACAGAGAATTAGCATCTCAATTTGAATAATTAAAAAAAGATGATGATGATTTACAAATTTAATTCAATGAACTATTTGATGAGCATAATAAAATTAGACTTGAGAATCTAAAAAATGATGATGATATTTTGAAGATGTAACATCAATTACTTGAAAGATTACAAGTTATAGATTCAAAAGAAGAAACATGTAAAGCTGCTAAAGATGAATAAATCAATTTGGAAAACTTCAGATATATGTTAGATTAGAAAATCAAAAGTCTTCAAAATGATAAATAATTATTGCTTGACAAAATTACAGATAAAGAAGTAATATATAATTAATGGTTTATAGTATAAATTAAGAGTAATGTTCAAAGAATTGATTGATGAATCAAATAAGAATGAAATGAAGTATTAACAATTAGTTCAATTACGAGGATAATTAGAAGTTATTGAAACTTAAATTAAAAAAACTGAAATTTAAATCTTCTTAAATGCTAATAAATTGAAAAATTATGAAAGTGTAAGAATTATCATTTATTCTTAATTAGACCTTATTGTCCATCATGAAGAGCAATGATCCTCCCAGTCTTATAGCATAGAAATTGAGACAAATTATAAATGATAAAGGAGAAGAAAACGAAGAAATCGAATAATTATCATAAAAGAAATCCATTTCGAATAAAGATATTAAGGACATTATCAAATTGAAACAGGATAAACCTAATGAATTAAATGAAGAATTGCTAAGATAAGGTTAATGGATGACTAAGAAATTATATCTTATCAAAGTAACCTCAGACAAATTAAAGAAGATCAGAGATGACAATATCAATACTATTTTCAATTAGAATACTAAACTTATTGAAGAATGTAATATGCTCAGAAGTGAAAATGACAGGTATTCCAAAAAGATCAAACATGTTGAAAAATTAGTAAAAGATGCAGATAGATTACTATAAAGACTAAAGCCCAAGCTAAATAAATAACCAAAATTAAATTAAATTGAAAAATAAATTGAAGAATAGAAATAAAAAGTTCAAAGTCAGAAAACTAAGCTTTCTAATTTAAAGGATTCTATGAGTTAAATCTTAAAAAAGTCAGTTGTAGATTGATATTAATCAATATAATAATTATTAATATTATTATTTATTTATTAATTAATTATATTAATTTTATTAACCAACATATTTTTCAATTCCAGAAATAATCAATTACATATCAAATTCTCAAATATCATTATATTTTGCTTTACAATTACAGTCTATTTTTAAATTGAGTGTTTACGATCTTAATTTTAAGCTGTTTAAGCGCGTATTTACCATAATTTGATTTTAATATTAGATTGACGCATTATAAATTAAATGACAATAGCGTATTTATATATTAAAGAATAGATTGAAGTATTTTAAGAATTAAATAAGTTCTTTATTCTTTGAATGTCTTTAATAATTCGGAATATTTCAAGTTTAAGAGAAGAATGGAAATAATTAGTGAAAAAGAAGGTAAAGAAAAACAAAAGGAAGAATTAATATACATTACCGTATTCTTTTGAAAATTCTAAAAACAATAACAATAATAAAACTGATTTGCTTCTAATAGTTAAGAAGATTCCAAGTACGATACCAAATAACAATGTTTTCCGACTAAAAACAAATATCCAGTTCTCAATGAACATCAATAACGATTATTCTATGGGGTCTTTGTCAATTGATCCACATTCAAATAACTATAAAGTAGTGAGAACTGATAGAAGGAAAAACCTTACGATTTTAACATTGGATTAGATAAATAGACCAATAACTCCTTCAGATGTTTTATACTAAATATTTAAAACAAGAAATGAATAACTAGCAGATGCATTTCTGATGTTTGATTAAAGGAATCTTAATTCTTCAAAATTTAAATTAAATTAAATCTCAGAAATGGTTGAGTTTGAGTCAACTATCAAAGGTTCTCCTTATGCATGTTACGTATAAATATTTGAGAATGGAATGTGGAGAACATTTTAAAAGATATTTAATGAGAAAATGCTCCAAGTGCTGGCTATCTCTGAAGAAATGCTTATAAATTACTGTAATGAAACTAAATTGATTCCAATAAGTGCCTTTTTTGACGCATAAGATGAGCAGCTTCATGCCTTTTGTAAAATCTTTTGTGGGATAGTAGGATAAATATAATCTAAAAGAGATTACGTAAATTATAATGGGGAAAGATTTTAAGCTGCTTTGAAAATAAAGAGTTTTTTTATTATGGATGAAGATAAGGGTTAATTATTTGAGTATACATATTGCATAACTGATTGTGAAGACAAGTGGATATCAGAGGATAGAGTCAGAATGAATGAATTGGAATATTTCAATGTCAAGCCTAGTAATTCTTCAACGGAGGAATCCTCTTATATAGAATAATAGAAAAGATGCGGATTCAAGTAACTCCATTGATATAATTTAAACAGTTGTTTATAAAAATTTATTCTGATATTATTTTTTCATTTATAAATTTAATTTATTTTATTGTCTGATATAAAAATTATCTCTTTAATTATTTCCATTTAATTGAAATTATTTTATTTCATAACCTTTAATTTTTTGTTTACTTAGTTAGAATGTGATAAAATTAAGTTTAAGAAGAATTTGTAATCATCTTTTAAATAAGGGTCTTACACTTAAACTTAAACATAAATATGAATGTGAGTTATTTGGAAAAGGATATATATTCATTATTATCTATGATGAAAGATTAAAAGAATATGTGTTCGGATTTAATAAAATGCTAATTAATTGGATGCCAATAATAATTTACAACAGGAGAATTAATGAAAAATCAATTTAATTGAGGTATTAAACATTAATAATTAAATGATTACCAGCAATAAACTGTCTAAATAAGAGATTAGGTTTAAATTGCTGTAGCGCTTTAGGTTTTGGATTAACATGTAATAGATGAGAATGGGATATAACTAACTCCAAAGTTGATTGTGAATAAATATAATAATTTTATTGGATGATAATTGATCTACATTTAATAGATTTATAATAATTCATTAATCATCATTAGCTTCTTCTTCTGGATTATTCCATAATGTCAAATTGTCTCTTAATAATTGCATGATGAGAGTGCAATCCTTATAATTCTCTTCATTTACAGTATCTACCTAAGCAATAGCTTATTCAAAAGCATCATTGGCAATTCGAATAGCTTCAGTTGCATTTTATAAGATTTCATAATAAAACACTGACTGATTGAGATGTAAGCCCAAGCGAATAGGAGAAGTCGTCGATAAATTTGATTTAGCCAATACATCTGCCTCTCTAGTTTGAAATAAGAATTGAATTACTTGTATGCCTAAGTGGCCTATTCAACAGCAGCATGATATTCATTATCTAATAAGAATTCTGCCAAATATCTATTATAATCTCCCTTCATTTTTAAATAAAAGACTTTGCTATCGACTTATTTTGCATTTGGGTAGAGAGTGCTATCAATTAGGTTGAGTATTTCAGAGCATGAGTTTTTGAGTTCACCCTCTATTTTATGCTTATAATTTCTGATATAATTTAAAGTGTATTGGTCAGTTTGTTTCCTCGACTCCTTTTATTCGATGGCAGTGAGTACTCTCAATTCTGCTCTTTTATTACCCACCTACAAATTTGAATAAGCAATTTGATGGATACCACATTTTTATAAGCTGCAGATAAAATACTTCTTTCTTCCTTGTTCAACTCTTAATCCAAGAAATGCTTAATGAATTCAATCATGTCATTAAATCGTTCTGTTTATTATGCAATTCGAGCTAAGAATAAAAATTCTTCTCTACTAAATTTATTCATTATTAATATAATTTATTCATTTCATATAAGCGTTATATACTCAAAGACATGATCGTCTTAAGTGAAATTTGTATTAGAAAATTGATGTTACGTAAATGCTCTTATATTTTAGTGAGTTAATTGATAAAATAATTGTATGCACTTTAGATAAATTATAATTATGATTAAATATATATTTTCTATTTACTAGTTTTCAAGAAAAGTTCCATCTTAGCTTGCCAAATAAGTTTTCATGTAGAAGTTAAGAGAAGATGATGAATTTAAATAATTACTCAAGAAGGATTAGCAAACATCTCTCAAACAAATACAAGGAGACAACTATATGCCTGAACCTAAAAGAGGAGATTCAAGATTGCCAAGAGTTAAGGACAATCTAAAAGAAACTAACACACATCTGACTGAACAGAAAAGAGTAAAAATGATAACAATACGATAAGATTAATTCAGCAATAAAATCCCTAAAAGTTAAAGATGAGGCTTCAAAAGCTGTAATTAAGAATGCAATGAAGGACGAATTCTTTCTTATGAAAAAGTTATCTGAAGAAAATGCCAAGATGGAGGAGGAAATCAAAGTTAAAAAGAGAAAGAAAGAGTTGAAAGACATATTCAAATAAATTGAAGAAATGGACATATAACCAGATGATTAAAATGCAGAAGTACATATCCCATTATTATTATATTAGCAAATCCCTTATTTTAATAAGTTATCAATGGAAGAAAAATATGAAAGAATTGCTGATTGGAACAAAAGATATGATGTCTTAGGGAAGGTCGATCCTTACCTTTTGTAAAGAGCTAGGACCAGTCAAAACATAGAGAATTTTATTTATACTAATTTTGAAGATGGTTAAAAATACTTTGATTAGGTCAAAATAAAAGGAGGTGTTTCAATTGGGGAGATACTGACAAATAGAGCCTGTACTGTAGTTTGGATTTACATTAAATTCTTAGAGAATTTGGATAAGAAAGAATAGAATGAATATCTGGATAGATTAAATAAGAATTCTAAATAGTTGAGTTGGAAAATGTGTTAAGATTTGGGATTAAAGTATGGACCAGATATAAGATTCTCTTTGAGTAGAAGAGAAGATAAGGAAAATGAAGTGAAGAAAGAGATGGATGAAAATGCACAGGAATTAGTTAAACAAGACTTGATTGAAAAATACTAAGCAGGTGAAATACCTAGAAAGATTAAAAGATCTAAATTCAATGAAATTGTTTAAGAATTGAAAGAGAAGAAAATTTATCTCACTGGAAAAATTTCAAATTCTGAAATACCATAAACCAAAAGCAAGGCTGATGAGAAGGAAATCCATGGCAAGAAGGGCAATTAAAATCAAAAATCTGCAGCTGAAAAGTTTTGGGACTAACTCTGAGCTTCAAATGAATGATTATATAACAATTTAAAGATGTTGTTTATATTTAAATTAATATTAAGGAAATGAACTATGATTATATAGGGGCTATTAAAATAAAGGATGGGCTATTTTTAGGAGATTAATTTGCGGCATAGGTATCCTATTATGGTTAGATCAGGATCTTGAATTTATTGTTACGAACAAAGTTTCAAGGATTATTAACTGTGCATCCAAACAAATACCAAACCACTGGGAATCTATTGGCATCGTTTATATGTCATTCCCATGGATGGATAATGATTAATAAGTATGAAACCATTAATAAATCCTTAGGTTATTTTTCAATAAGATGAGATAATAAATAATGTAATGAAATTTGTAGATGATGCATTAAATAATGGAGAAAGCGTTATTGTTCTATCAGTGAAAGGACACAATCGATCAGTGGCAACCTTATGCGTTTACTTTATGAAGAAATATAGATGGACTCTTTATAAAACTCTTCAATATATGCATAATAGAAGACCAGATTTAGAAATCAGAGCTCACTTCTTTAATTAGTTATTATCAGTTGAAACAAGATTGTAGAAACAAGGTTACGGTGCTAAGACCTATAACTGGGATGAGATTCACACTCAGGGTGAGAATGACGAAATTGTACTGAGAAATACTTACTTGAATTCTCAAGCACAAGGAGTAGCTGAATTCAAGGATCATGATCCAAAACCAAAAGAATCTAAGTTTATTCCTTACACTATTATATTAGATTGAGATTTGCTGAAAAGGTTTCTATGTACATCCCACCATATGACAAAGTAGTATTCTCCAAAACTAAATCTCTGGCCTAAGATGCAAAACCAATCATAAAGTAATCAGGTTCATCAAAACAAATTGATCCATCATTCTAGCAATAAACTTAAAAATAATAATCTATCACCATCTATGATTAATCCAATTAACAACCTCAAAAAGAATCCCAAAAACAAAGTCTTAATCAAATATATCCTGCTCAACCCCAAAGACCTTCATCTCAAGGCACTTAACAATAAAGATTAACCAAAAGTGACAGTGTTAAATCTGGATCAATGTTTGATAATAATGTTGTTTGTATATCTTTAATGGTATTCTATAGAACCACAAAGAGTTCAAATGAATAATTTCATGGACTCAAGAGAATAATTCCTCTAGAAGTCTCAACAACAAAATGGAACTCGTAGACCCTAGACTGCTCCTAATTAACTGAAGGCCCCTAGAGTTCAAACCACTCCCTATAAGAGAAATACTAGTTCAGGTCAAAGGTAGGAAGCTGGGTCATAACCAAATTCATAATTTAAACCCATGAGATAAAGAGCATAATCTCCAAATTCTGCATATAACTCATCAAATCCCTATATACAAAGATAATTTAAAGCCAAAGCATGGAAAAAATGAAGTTCTATTTAATCTTTTTGTTTGCTTATTATTATAAGGATATAAACATCTCTCCCTTCATTCAATTTTCATTACTCAAACGAATGTTAATACTATTTTATTTCAAAAATGAATTTATCAAGATTTTACTCCCATCATAATAAACTTTATCCAATCAAATCAAAGTATAAATCTTTATAGAAGAGCACTTCATATACCCCTCAGAAAAATCGATCTGTTACTTACAACAATAATGAAGATCTTTTGAAACTTATCATTAATAATGAAAACTTATTAGAAATAGTCGAAAATATATAGAAGTAACGATAAGTTTAGAGGTTAGTTCAAGAGACTAATTCTAATTCCAATCTGCCAACCATTCCAAAAGTTGAAAAATAAAATTAGAATTCGTATCTTAAATAAGATAGAAAACGTAGAAGTGAAAGTATTCCATATACATTTTAATTGAATCCAAAAAACATTCCTTATTATTAAGAAAACAGAATATTTGGAAAATTTATTGAACCAACTGAATATAAAAAAATAGATTATGAATCTATGAAAACAATGTACGTATTAATTATTGGATTTTAGAGAAATTGCGCTATCCAAATAATTGTAATAAGAATTTGAGTTAAAAAATTAACTGATTCAATAAAAAGAAAGACCTTTATTAGAAGATCAAATGTAATAGTAATCACTTGAATTACATATTAATAAAAATAAAAATTACCATTCATAGGAGACTCTGGCCTCTGATAATCGCGATAAAATCTATAATAAAAGAACTAAAATTAATCAAATTGTCTCAAATACAATGAAATTAAGAAAATGTAATCAAGAATAAAAAAATCAACAAAAATTATCAATAGAATTTTAAATTAAAGATGAATTTCAAAAATATTTAGATGGTAATTATTGTAATTAATGCATTTACAATATGGCTACTAACTAAAATTAATATATTAAGAAGCCAAAATATACTAAGATTTTAAGAAAATGAAATTAAACTATCAAATATTTTAAATATTATATTTCCATTCAAAAATGTATTTTTCAAACTTTATTAAGTCTTATCTTGTCAATACTTTGTTTTTGTTTCGAAAATTTAATTAGATGTGACATCCATAAAATAAATCCATTAATTATATATACTTGGTATAGAATACCCTCCTGAAATAATTTAAATGAAACATTTATATTCTATTATTTATATCTATCCCTTAATTTTCCCCTGTTTAAATTGTTTATCTTATATCAACTAATTATTCTAAGACTAATATATCCAAACAACATACCATCTTTTCTATTAAATGATGTTCAAAGTGTATGGTAAGCTATTTTTTAAATTCCTTCTGAACTAAATCAGATGGTTATTTTATTATACTAAAATCACTAATTAAAAAAAATTTCAGAATTTATTCATTAACTGACTCCTACAGAAGATTCTAATTTATTCTCTTATTCTTATTGAATTTAATTCTTATTCTTTTGAGTTTATCCATATTAAAAAATCTGTTTATTCAATATTTTGAAATCCCTGATAAAAGGGCAGATTTATCAATATAAGCTTTGTGGCGAAGTGGCATCGCGTTGGGCTCATAACCCAAAGGTCAATGGATCGAAGCCATTCAAAGCTTAAATTTTTATTTTTCAAAGATTAATAAATAAATTATTTTATATAATGAATTATCTAATATTTAAATGCAATAGATACTAACAGATCATTATTATCGAATAGTATATGTCTATTTTAAAATGAACTATATTATAACAATATCCTAAAGAGTTTACCTGAGATTGTTTTTATTTTAATTTTCTTTGATTCACGATTCATATTTATATGAATAAGAACACAAAAAAAACTAAAAGGCTTTTATTTTGAATAATTATAATTTATTAAATAAAGGAAAAAAAATGATGTACTTTACAGATTGAATAAATACCTATAGTATTTTTTCTTAAGATACTAATCTAAGAACTTAATTAGCTTTATAATGTATAATTAAATATCTTTATGATTTAAAAAGCCCTTGAACATCATTTAAGAAAAAATTCTATATTTAGAAGGAAGATTTAGATATTTCATTTTTCTTTTAATTTCTTAAGTATAAAATGAAATGACTCATTGATATGTATTCTACACTTTGATATTAAAATCCTCCTCCATTAGCGAATTGGATGATTCTTTTGGAGTTTCGTATTTATCATCTTGAGTCTCGAAAAGATCAAGATTCTTACTTCCTGAAAATTTCTTAACCTGAATCTAGATTAAAGGTGATCCACTATCCAATTATGAGATGATAGCATCAAATTCAAAATTAGATTACAATTTTAAGTGTTTGAAACTTCTATTCATATTTTGTAATGAATTGTTTAAATTATTGTTCTTAATTTAACAAAGTATATACTATATCAAATGAACTATTATTAGTATTTATGTTATATTTTATAACATAATTGTTTTACATAATTTCATCCTAATTGAGCACCTTATGGTTCTAGATATGATTTATAAGTATAAATACAGAAGTTCTATATTATTTTTTCACTAAATGAAAAAATAATATGTTAATTGTTATTTGAAAATAGTTAAAATTTTGAAAATTATCACATGCCTTTTAAACACACTTCCAATCAAAGGCAAAATTATTATTAAATATTTTTTTAATTAAAGTAACATTTTTACATATTTAGAAAACTGCGTTTACTTCATTTATTTAATATATTTTCCTACTTATATGGAATTTTTCAATAATAGAACTTATTATTCGATTGATAAATATTATAATTTTAAAATTAATAGTCATTATGAAATGAATAATACAAAATATTGAGTAATCAAATAAATTTGGAAAATTATCTCATTATTTAGATAAATGCTCTTTAAAATGAACCTGTATATTTCCAAACCCTTGAGGAATTTGTCTATCATCATTCATCTCATCATCCAAATCATCAAAATCGGAAAATTTGATTGGATTGATTTTTTCTTTATTTTCAATATCATCAAAATCTCGAAATTCTCTATTTTGAAATAATGGTCCTTGAAACTTTGACTCCAAAGGTTATTTTATTAATGAAGATTCTCTGGAATAAGATTATTTCGAATTTTATCGAGATCTCTAAAAATTTCTACTATTTCCTTTTGATACAATTGAAGGAGCATAATTGAGAACCACTGAGGATTATTAAGAACTTTAATCCATTTGATAAGATTTTCGTCTTTCACTTTTTTTCAAATCTGGTAATTTGAGATAGTCACTTTATAAGTTTGATACATCAATATCATTAAATGATTATTAAGCTTAATCTGAAGATTTTGTAGAACTAGTTTGATTATCCATCCAATCAAATTTTCTATCAAAACTAATATTGTTCTGTTGACCTACTTTTTAAATTAAACCTAATAAATATTAATAGTCTGGGGTAGATGTGAACTTTAATTTGTAAACATAGTCTAAATATCTTTGAAATTCATTGGGTAATCCTTTGCATAAATCTTTTAATTCTAGTTCCATTTTGAATTTGCCAACTAGTTTTGTTTTTTCCTTATCTGATTATGATACAACGTTCTACCATGGTAAATTCCCTATATACATATGATCAGTCAATACCTCTTAATAAATAAATGAAAACGTATCCTAAACTTTCTAGGTCATCCCTTCTAGATAGTTCATAACCCTTATGAGCAGAAATGCTTGCATATCTAGTTGTACCAATAAACGACTTGTTTTCTTAGAATGAACTGCATAAAGGATAATTTTACATATGCTAATTGTTGTTACGAAATTTCTTAGATATACCAAAATCAACGAAGTAAACTTACTGCGAATCATTTCCTCTTCCCATCAATATATTTTCTGGCTTTATATCCCTATGAATTATACCCCTTAAATATTTTGATTTGATACCTTTTATGAATCTCTTCAAGAATCGTTAGTAATTATTCAGCTAAGTTACACACTGTTTTTAGTGAGAGTTTCTTAAATTTCTTTTAATAATGAGCTAGGTCTCTTCCAAGTAATTGCATAGCCATACAATTTTAATTATACTCATTTCCATACCAATATAACTTTGGAACACCTTAAACTAATAAAAATTAAAGTACCAGCTATTCCTCTAAGTTCTTCAATAATTTAAATTTCTCGTTCTAAACTCATTAAATCTTTATTTTCTTTCTCTACTTTCATAGCAACATATTCTCTTGTTACTTTATCATGACAAATATAAACTACTCCAAAAGAACCTAAAAGGATTATTCAAATCATACCTTAGCTTAATTTTTCTCTTTGGACAAATCTGCCGTAATAAATCCTGCCTTTGTCCTGATGCATTGATTTTTATAAACAATAAATATATTAAATTTTTTTTGAAGTTAATATTTAGAAGATTTTAAGAGCAATTTTTTAATCAAGAATTTGAGAGATTGCCAAAAAGAATATTAATTTACTATTTTTCATATTGGATTAATAATGTCTTTTCAACATTTTACATTATTTTTAAACCGGTTCTCGTTATTATTTCGTGTAACTGCTCTCAAATAACTATATTTTTGGTGAATAATTTTCAGTTACAAAAGTTCCTACAAGATGTAATAAATTTTATTTTAATTAAAGAATTAAGCTTGAATTACAAATAAATCTCAATAATTTATATATATAAAATAGCATCAAAAATAACGTCAAACAAGTTTATTAGTTAGAATAGGATCAATATTTTCTTTTTATTTGGCTTTTTTTAGGCCATCTAATTCTGTTTTGACAACCATTAACTATTCTTAACTAATGTGGTATTGTTTATTAATAGATAAGAATTTGTTTTTCCAAATCTCAATCTCTTCTAAGTATTTCTTATGATTTTCTTCGCAAGATCTTGAAGTTTGATTTTCTAATTCTGTTAGTTTCTATTTTAAAATCTTATTTAATCTCTCTACTTCCATAACTAAGGTGGCATTCTTCTTTTCAAGATCTCTAATTATTAATTTTTACTCATTTTTAATTTATTTATTGCAATTACAATCTTTTTACATACTCAATTCTCTTATCATTAAGTCTTTTTATCTAAAATTATTTAATATAATAGTATACTCTATAATAATTTGTAATTTCTGGATTTATGCCTTTTATTCATTTTAGACAGAGGACTTAATCATTTAGGAGAGTTACACATCTTATTTCTATAATTAATCTAGATAATAGGTTTCAATAGCTTATTTCTCTTTTATTGCCCCTTATTTTTCTTCTTTTAGGTTTTAGCAAATAACATTAGTTTGATTCAATTATTATTATAAATTTGCAGTCTATTGATTAAGTTATTTAACAATTTATAATTAGCCTTCTAATTCAATTTTCAGACTTTTAATCTATTATTACTGTTCTTCAGTTGAGGAGACTATTAAATTTTTATCTTATAATGATTTATTTTCTTAACTCAATTAATAAATTTAGTTTTGATATGAATCTAGTAATTATTGATTGTTTTCAATTTCTTATTCTTTTTCTTTTTTATAAAAGATGAATTCCTTTTACACTAATTCAAATTTATTTTCTAATATTTAAATAAATTCGTTTGCATTTTACTATTAATTATTTTATAAGATGTGGTCTCTCTATTTTGTAATCTCCTCTTAGTATCTCTTTATCTCATTTTACTAAAATCTTAAACTTAAATTATTATTTTACTTTATTTCTTTTTCCAATTAATATTCTTTTTCATTTCTCATTTCCTTCTCAAGACTATGCTTTTTCTAAATCTACTCTATGCTCTCCTATAATACAATTATCTGTTATTTTTATGTATTATAATTATCCTATAAATAATTGAACTATTCCTCCAATCTCTATACTTAATGCTAATAAATGAGTGAATCCTTTTTCTCAATTTGAAGTTTGAATTCTAAATTCTCTATAACTTATTATTATTATTTATTTTTCTATTTCTATTCATTCAACTCTACGCAAATTTGACTCTACTAATCTAATCTATAAAATTCAATATATCTACCTTTTGCTTCCAATAATTCAGCTTCATAAACTTTCAGCTTCTACCTCTATAAATCTCTATCTAATTCTCTGTTGATTAATCTTAGAGGGTCTTCCATTGTATTTGCAAATGAAATAGCTCTAGTCTATGGAGATGGTTTGTTGTGTGCATAAGGTTTTTCTTAACTCTATCTAAGTGATCTTGAAGGTTTATACATAGTTTGTTATCAGTTAAATTAAATATTATAAAATTTATCCATCTTGTTTTTAAACAAAATAATCAATTCATGTTTAGAGATAAACCTTATTAAATTAGTAATTTATTAATAAATTGGAAGGTAGATGGATCATTGTTTCATATTGAAAATATTATGCAATAATAACAATTTATAGAATTATTTAAGGTGAGTAATATCCAAAGACTTTTCTATATATCTTAAAGGAATTAATAAAGAAGATACTATTAGTATTGTAAATTTAAAGGAGTTTTAAACTGTCTTTTGATCGATAGAATTCTGAAGTAAATAACTTAGATTGTTATTGGAAATTTTTTGAGAACCCTGCTTTTTAGTGGATGTTTGCTGCTCACGATGATGAGAAAAATAAATTTGGCATGGAAAGTTATATAATCTTCATTCTAATCATCGATAAAAAGAATGAATAATCTAAAGGGTATTATGGAACAAAAAATAACTTTAGGTGAACAAAAGAAACCACAATAGATATTGAAAGACAAAATCATTAAAAACTTCCTATCAAATCTATAATACAATTTTTAAAGGTCTAAGAACTGGAATAGTCTATTAAATTGTAAATTCTTAATTCAGATACTTTTACTTAAGGAGTACTTCAATGAATGGAAATGAATGCTAAGCTTTGATATCCATTAATCTTAATTCAAAATGGTATAATAAAATAGACTCTTAAGTTTAGAACTGATAGTTCAATTCTTAACTTACTTTAGAAGGAATAAATATTTATTGCGGTTATTTGAACCTATTTATAAGCTTATTTGTAAATCCTTGTCATACATATCTTCAATATACTTATATGATTTATAATTTGCGAAGATTTATTGATGATTCAAAGAACAGGAAAGATCAAGACTATTTATAGAATTCTGATTGACTCTATTTATTTTGACTTTAACAATCACCACACAATTTAAGGAAAATAGGATCCTGTAAAAAATTTCATCCTATGAGATAAAATAAGAAAACTTTGTTTTTTTTTGGAAGATTAATATTCATTTTTTATAAAAACACCTAAATAATATTTCTATATTAATATTATATTTTGTCTTTAAATTACAAGTTAATCGTAATGGTTCATCAATATATGTAATGGAAATCAAAATATCAGTATAGGGAATAATAATAGTATTAAATTATGAGTTGAAAAGGAATAGAAATTAATAATTATAATATAACTTATTCTAATAGAGAGGCCATCACAGATTGGATAATCCTTTTTACAATAAGTTTTCACTGGAAGAATTAAAACAGTTTATGATTCCAGAAGATAAAAGATGTATTGGTACTTAGATTTAAAGATAGTATAATTTAAATAATTACAGAAATCTTAATTACATTAATGGATTTTAATGTTAATAGCCATATAAAAAGAACAATTGTTAATTGTGTATATCCAAAAACAATAAATATGAACTTGAGATTCTGCTTAAAAGTGAAGATAGGCAATATAATTGGTAAAGTTTAAGAAAATAAGATAAATCTCATATATATAATATATAATTTATAATATCTATGGATTTGAGAAAGTTATCTTAGTATTTCAAAAATGAAAAATCTATCGTGGAATATTTCAATGATAATTCTATTGAGATCAAAGAAGCTTCCTAGTTTAATTTTGGATAAAGTAATCCTACTTATTAACTCTCTTTTAAGTATTTATGATCTAATATAAAATCAAGAAACTCAGACAAAAAGTTAGTTCTAAGAAAGAAACCTGATGGATAGTTACTTCCTGGAGTAAAATATTTATTAATTGCTTAGGCTCACCAAATAGAAAGAGAATTTGAAATCACTCTAAAGTTATCTTAAGTATCATTTCCTGTTGCCAAACCACTTGTACTTTGCAATGATTCAAGTATAATTGGAACTCCATTCTATGTTATGGAATTTGTAGAAGGCAGAATATTCAAGGATATCAAATTATCAGAATTAAGTAATCAAGAAAAATAAGAAATCCTAAATGAATAGGCTAGAGTCTTGGCTTAATTACACTCCATAGATATACATAAATTAAAACTAAATCATCTAGGAAAGTCTGAGAATTACTACTAACGTTAGATAGCTACATGGAGTAGACAATATAAATTGGCAGAAACCCAGAATATTCAAAGTATGGAAAATCTTTTGTATTGGCTACCACTGAACATACCCTAAAAGGATGAGCATGATATTGTATGTTTATGTCATGGAGATTATGCCCTGAATAATATGATATTCCATCCAACTTAACCCAAAATCTTAGCTGTAATTGATTGGGAATTAGCCACAATTGGTTAGTCATATGCTGATATTGCCTACATGACTCAATTCTATTTCACAAGTCAATTCTAAAGCACAGCTCATTAAGGAGGAGTCAAAGGAATCTATCAATATATCGGATTACCAGAATATTAAGCTTTAATAAATGTATATTTTAAATCTAGGAATATTAATAAATCTATAGATCTTAGATATCATACTGCATTTTCAATGTTCAGATTATCATCTATAGCATAAGGGGTATACAAAAGAGCCTTGTAAGGAAATGCTTCTTAAAAGGAATAAGGATTAGAACTACTAAAATTATGTAAACAATTGTCTAGTGATGCTTGGGAATTGATAAGTAAATTGACTGATAATGACCCTTTCCGTTTGAAAGAGTTGCTTAAGAATGATATTCCAAGATGGGGAAGCTGGCCAGTTTCTGATAGAGCTAAACATCTCTATTACAGAGTCCGAGACTTTTTGAAGACAGAATTCTTTCCTCATGAAAAATAATTGATTCATGAGGCAGAATCTAGGCCACCAGAAACCAGGTGGAAACCGTTATAAAAACTTCATGAAATAAAACTCAAAGCTAGAGAATAGGGACTTTGGAACTTGTTTTGTACTTACCCAGTGGTAGGAAAAGGATTAACTAATTTAGAATATAGTTTTATTTGTGAATTAATGGGAACAAGCATTTTCGCTCCTGAAGTATTTAATTGTTCAGCACCAGATACTGGCAATATGGAATTATTAATTCTCTATGCAAATAAAGAATAAAAAATGAAATATTTACTACCATTATTGTAAGGGGAAATTCGATCATGTTTTGCTATGACTGAACCCTAGGTTGCATCATCTGATGCTACTAATATACAAACATCAATCACAAAAACTGAAAATGGATATAAAATTAATGGTAAGAAATGGTACATCTCTGGGGCTGGAGATGAAAGATGCAAATTTGCTATTGTGATGGGCAAAACATCACAAGATACTTCAAAACCCCATCAATAATAATCAATGATATTAGTAGATTTACCCAACCCAAATGTTAAAATTACAAGACCTATGCATGTTTTCTTTTCAGATGAGGCTCCTCATGGTCATATGGAAATGGTGTTCGACAATGTTGAAGTGCCTAAATCGAATCTTATTTGGCAAGAAGGCAAAGGATTTGAAATGGCATAAGGAAGATTAGGAGGTGGAAGATTACATCATTGTATGAGATTAATAGGAATTACTGAAAGAGTATTAGATCTAATGATGCAGAGAGGAGAGAGGAGAATGATTTTCAAATCAAAAATGAAGGATATTGGTTCATTCTAATAAAAGTTAGGAGAATTGGAAACATAATTATCAGCATGCAGATTAGTTGTATTAAATGCAGCTATGCAAATAGATATCTTAGGCAACAGAAGTCGATATATCTTTAAAATTTTAAGTGAATGCAAATCTTTCGTTCCTAAAGTCACCTAAAATATCATCGATGAAGTCATCTAAATATTTGGAGCTGAAGGTGTTAGTCAAGATCAAGTGTTATCAATGGCATTCATTCAAGCCAGAACTCTGAGAATAGCAGATGGACCTGATGAAGTTCATTACAGATAAGTGGCCAGACTATCTTATTCTTTATAATCAAAGAACGAGTTATTGTAGGCTGATGGATATGGATTACCAACCTTACCTAAATTATGACATTTCTTAGAAAATGAATAAGATATAAAATATAACAAATCAAAAGAATTCTTTTTATTTTTATATTGATTTGGATAATTCCTTAAATTTGTTGATAGCTGTGTTTCCATTGTATTACTGATTCACCCCTTAGTGTTATAAAGTATATATTCTTTGACGATTCGATGATGACTTTTCAAACTCTGATAATCTACTTGCATAGTTGTCCGCCAATTTTTTTAGATCCTACATAGATATATTTAAGATATAAATTTACATTGAATACATCTTTGTAAATCTATTTTCCATCTTTCTCCTCTAATTGATCTGAACTCATTATCATAGATGGTTACTTTTAGATATATTTAATGTCTTATATCAATTTATCAGAGATCATCTTTTTCTATTACTAATCCTTTAATGATTTGATATTCTCCAATTTTGAATTTGCCTTTTGGAATTCCATATAATACAATGACTTAGCTTCAATTAAATTAAAAATTGCCATTTTAGTTTATTAATTAATTTCTCGTTTTTGTTCCCTTGAACTCTGTGATCTTAACATTGATCTTTCAGTTTTCAATTGCTTTTACTCATCACTATTGACTGAAATATTGGTCTCCATTTCTTTACTAAGTTCATTATAAGAATAGAAAGACTCTTTCCTTAATGAACCTTGTATTATTGAATCCAAATATTTCATAGATTCTCTATCTGATTTAATATATGAAAAGCTTTCTTTCTTAGTATTCTTCTTTAAGGATGTTGATTACTTTAGATATGAACTTTGAAACGAATTCTAATTCTAAGATGGTTTCAAATTGATATTAATTGTGTTATCCNTATTTGGCAAGAAGGCAAAGGATTTGAAATGGCATAAGGAAGATTAGGAGGTGGAAGATTACATCATTGTATGAGATTAATAGGAATTACTGAAAGAGTATTAGATCTAATGATGCAGAGAGGAGAGAGGAGAATGATTTTCAAATCAAAAATGAAGGATATTGGTTCATTCTAATAAAAGTTAGGAGAATTGGAAACATAATTATCAGCATGCAGATTAGTTGTATTAAATGCAGCTATGCAAATAGATATCTTAGGCAACAGAAGTCGATATATCTTTAAAATTTTAAGTGAATGCAAATCTTTCGTTCCTAAAGTCACCTAAAATATCATCGATGAAGTCATCTAAATATTTGGAGCTGAAGGTGTTAGTCAAGATCAAGTGTTATCAATGGCATTCATTCAAGCCAGAACTCTGAGAATAGCAGATGGACCTGATGAAGTTCATTACAGATAAGTGGCCAGACTATCTTATTCTTTATAATCAAAGAACGAGTTATTGTAGGCTGATGGATATGGATTACCAACCTTACCTAAATTATGACATTTCTTAGAAAATGAATAAGATATAAAATATAACAAATCAAAAGAATTCTTTTTATTTTTATATTGATTTGGATAATTCCTTAAATTTGTTGATAGCTGTGTTTCCATTGTATTACTGATTCACCCCTTAGTGTTATAAAGTATATATTCTTTGACGATTCGATGATGACTTTTCAAACTCTGATAATCTACTTGCATAGTTGTCCGCCAATTTTTTTAGATCCTACATAGATATATTTAAGATATAAATTTACATTGAATACATCTTTGTAAATCTATTTTCCATCTTTCTCCTCTAATTGATCTGAACTCATTATCATAGATGGTTACTTTTAGATATATTTAATGTCTTATATCAATTTATCAGAGATCATCTTTTTCTATTACTAATCCTTTAATGATTTGATATTCTCCAATTTTGAATTTGCCTTTTGGAATTCCATATAATACAATGACTTAGCTTCAATTAAATTAAAAATTGCCATTTTAGTTTATTAATTAATTTCTCGTTTTTGTTCCCTTGAACTCTGTGATCTTAACATTGATCTTTCAGTTTTCAATTGCTTTTACTCATCACTATTGACTGAAATATTGGTCTCCATTTCTTTACTAAGTTCATTATAAGAATAGAAAGACTCTTTCCTTAATGAACCTTGTATTATTGAATCCAAATATTTCATAGATTCTCTATCTGATTTAATATATGAAAAGCTTTCTTTCTTAGTATTCTTCTTTAAGGATGTTGATTACTTTAGATATGAACTTTGAAACGAATTCTAATTCTAAGATGGTTTCAAATTGATATTAATTGTGTTATCCTAAAAATAACTGTTTAATTAGGAAACAACTTATTTTTTATTAAAAATTGCATGTTTTTCTAGAATATTAGTATCATAATATTAAGATAGTGGTTATGTTTACTACATAGTTGGACTATTCTATCGCTTATCTTTTCCCTTTAATATAATGGAGCATCTCTTTTTGATTTATGTGAATTAGTATTTGGTTTTAAAAAAGGCTTGATTATTCAGTTCCTATATTTGATATTTCTTATAGAAATGTTCACAATATAGTTTGGATTTTCTTCTGCCTTAATTTATGGCACCTCATACATAAGTGACATTATTTTCTATATTTCACCTTATTCTTAGCGATAAATCTATAATTTGTAATTGTACTGCTTGATAAAATCTTTCAATAATTTTGATTATTCTCCATTATATTAATTATGCTTGTTTAAATAATACAATAATCTTAATAGTTCCTGATACTTTGACAAATTATAGAATAAAGATAGGAGAGGCAAAGTAAAAAAAAAATATGAAATAGCATAACCATCTAAATTCAATTTTAACTTTATTACTTATCTGATAGCATACTTTTTGACTTAATCTTTTGGCAAATTTTTCTCAATTTTATAACTTATTATTTAATTTATATTTTTTTGAATTTTAACTAGACTATTTTCAAATTCAACACTAGCTAATCAATAACTTTTTATTATGATTAAAAAATTACTTCTGATTTTATAATAACTAATTTCCCATAATTATATCAGTCCAAACTTCTCTTGAAGAATGCTACCAGATCTAAATGATGTAATTATGAGAAAATACTTTAAACTTAAATCCATTCAATTATTCTAATACTTACTTTGAAGCATTGCAAAAAATATAAGATAAATAATATGATTCTTCTCTATGGAACTTTATGCTCATATTCTGAGTATACTTCAGCGATTCGTATAAGTAAAATTGAATCATTTTAATGTCTTGAATAAAATAATGTGATAAAATACTTGGCTTTTTATGCTTAAATTATGACGTTATCAAATCATACCATTGTTATAGGAATTACTTTGTCTTACTAATTACAATAAGTGTCGTTTTTTATAAAAGGAGATATTTCTATAAAGGTAACTCTCTAAAATTTTGTTCAAAGAATAAACTTATCTCCTCAAAATTTCCATTCTTATGATTTATTGAGAATAAGATTGTTATTTTTAACTCTCTCTAAAAATTATATATTCTTTCTATAGCAGCCCTATAAGTTATTGTGAAGCTGATAACCTTTCTAATAAACTTTGCGGATTCTTTTAAATAATTTTCATTTGACATAATATAAAATAAAAATTAGTATAAACTTTTGGAATCTCAAGATAAATATAAGTTTTTCTTGTAATAAACAGTTTATGAGTAATATATATTATAGTTATGAACCTATTATAAGGTATTTCATTTAAAGTATAAGTAATTATAAGTTATGTTCACTCCATATTGATCAAAAATAATAAAATAATATCAAATTGAAATTACAAAAATGAGTAAGAAAATAAAAGAGTAAATAAAATATGTTTTTTGGCAATAACCCACTACTTCTAAATATCATTCTTTTCAACAATTGAAAGTATTGCTTTCACAAAATACTTTCTACTTAGAAAAGGAATACAACAGGTAATCTTAGGATTCAGAATAAATCATCATAAAAAACTAATCTGAATTAAATTCTAAGGATTCTTTTAATGGGAATTATAGTGTTGATAATTAAAAAAGTATCAAAAGAAAAACTAAATTATATACTTATATGATTTGAAGTTTTTTTCTGTAGGATTATAATGAATAAAATAAAAATTATTTTTTAAGAGTGTTATCATCAATAAAGGAGAAAGTATTATATCTTTGGTTTGCTGATTCGTATTTTTTAGGTGTTTCATAATTATTTAGATCCTTAAGATCATTTCTTTAATTTTTTGTTTTGGTTATAAATATTTTTATAAAATAATTGATGTAACCTTACTATGATAAAGACACTGATGATGAATGTAAATTTAATAAAATCCTATCCTAGTTTCTGATAATACTTCAGTTGAGGGAATGAATTATAGACCATAAACTGCTCCTCCAAGTCCAATTACAGAACTTGAAGAATTCAAAAGGTTTTTGATCCCTTAATATTATAGAAAACCAGAATATGATATTTTGGAAAAGGCTTAACGATACTAAAATTATTTAATTTAAAGAGATTTACATAAATATGATCTTGATAATCCTGAAGGTTAGCGAAGTTGTAAAAAATACTTAAAAACATTGGAGAAAATGTGTATAGTATTTATTTACTTTAATATTTTTTCTAGATTTATCAAGTGAAAACTTTATCTAGAGAATACAGAAATACATTTTCAAAGGCTTATAAGATTTTATATAAAGAGGATAGATTATGTTATCTTACTGAAATATTAGATAGTGCTCAGGAAGGTTTATTTAAAAATTGATTAATAGGCTTTCCTTACTTATGGGTCAATTCTGAGAAATTTGTTTTTTCACCTGATGTACTATCTAAAGGATCTAAATTAATAGAACTATTTTATAAAGTTTAACACGTTATTAGAGTCTCATTTTCTAGAACACTCAAAGAAAGTCCTGAGTTCTCATCCAAACAATTAAAACAAGATATTATAAGGATATTAGAAGATTTTGATTAGATTTGGGTAGATTTCGAAAGAGTATTAGTATAAATATCATTTTAGCTTTATGTTAAAGAATTGATGGATATAGAAGCTAAAGCTAGAAGATTTATTCTCTTAGCAATTGAAATTGATAAAGAAATGACTTCTATAGAAATTAGAGAGAAATTAAGAGGTAAAATACTTGTAACAAGTGAAAACTATATTCAAAAAAAAGAATAAGTATATATTTAATCTAAAACTCTAAGTTCTGCAAGGTTATAGCATAAATCAATTCTGTTGCAAATGTGGAAGGTAAAGGAAGGGATGATTTGGGAATCAACATACTTTTGGAAGCAGAAGGAATCACAAGACGAGTGACAAAAGAACAATCTAGTGCAGTTCGTAATCTGGCTGATAGTATTAAATCAAAGTAAATTTAAATTTCATGTTTAGCTTTTAAAAATTTCGAGAATAAATGAGAAAATATGAAGGAAATATTGAAATGGTAGATCCTTAATTGAAAAACAATTAAGAACTAGTAGATTTATTAGTTGAATATGAATCCTAATGGGAAAAAGGATTATACTATTTATTAGACCCTACAAAATGCTAATAATTAATGTACTTTTCACACATAATTGAAACTACTGCTGAAAAATATAAATAATTTGAAGAACAATTAGAATGCAGAGATTCTGATATATTTGTAACGATTCCTTGTTTGATTGCTTTGAAATATTTAGAGAATGAGGATAGAAACATTTGTACTTATTTCCTACCAAAACTAAAAGAGGAAACTTCCATATTATATTAATAATATGCTTAATTAAAGAATGAATTTTTAGAATGGAGAAATTTGCATACGAAATAATATGAATACTATAATATTTTGGAGAAATAATTATTGGGAATACCTTTAAATGAGAAGGAACAAATTGCACTAAAAAATTTCAAATTAGATAATATTATGCAAAAAATTCGATAAATGTCTATTGAATTATAAAGATATAATGCAATAGAATGGAATTACTTTATTGATGCAGCTATCAACAATAATTGAAAATTTTTAAATTTATATATTTAATTATATTAAATACACACTCTTTCTTTATTATAAATTTAATGAATATAATAATGCTTGCATAGTTACTTATAAATAGAGAAAGTGAAAATCGGTAGAATTACATAAAAAATATCCCTAAAATATTGTAAAATTACATAATAAATGATTATTCAAATAAGCATTATCCTATAATATTAGGAAAATCTTTATATAACTTAATAGTATATATCCTATTAGAATTAATAAATTAATTGCAAATATTTAGAATACTAAATTAACTAATTCCTTCTATTTTTAAAATCTTAATTTTTATAGTATTTAAATTAAAAGATATATTTGATCATTGATAAATTATAGCTTCTAGAGAGTCTATTGATCTTGATATTTATATTAATTAATTTTTTATTAATTTTTTAGAAACAAATAATGGTATAATTTTGAGTAATATGAAATAGGACAATGAAGATGAGTTGGAAAAACAAGCTAGATTAATGGCAGAGAAATATAAAGATGGGCCTAAAAAGAAGGGAGCTTTGGTGAAGAAAACCTAAGAAGTATTTCTTTTAAATAAATTATTTTTAGAGAACTTAATTTGATTCAGCAACACATGAAATGTAAAAATAGGCATAATAGCATCCTCCGAAATGACAATTTGATAAGTATTAAAATATTATCTAATAAATAAACTCACTTATTGTTTAAGTATGTCTCATCTATCTGAATCCAATAAACTTATCTCATCTGATAATATATTAAGGCAGAATGATTTATTTTCACTTTAATAGATCAGAGCTAACTAAATATTATATTTAAAATGGAATTGCCAATATTATTAGATATTCAAATCAATTATTATTTTGATAATAAGATAAAGCATACAAATAAATTACTAATAGTGTTTATGAAAGTAAAAATATTCTTAGGAGAATACTCTTATATATATCGGGGAAACATAGATTTAACAGAAATGAATGAATTTGTTAAAACGCTGACTAATAGAGCTTATGTAATAAAATGGAAAGATTAAGAAGGTGATTTAATTACAATAACTAAGAAGTAGGATTTAGCTTATTTCTATTAATAATGGACAAATAACTAAGTAACTAATAAATAATCATTCAGACTATTTGTTCATGAGATCCCTTAAATAATTCAGAATCTTTAAATCACATAGTTACAATCATAATCACATATATACTCTAAAATGTTTAGTCCTTGCTAGAGATAATCTATTAGTAAATAGTCTGGAATAGGCTAATTTACTTTTGGTCTATAATTTAATGAATAAGTAAAAAGCGTGGAGGTTCAAAAAGAAAGGCATTCTCAATAGAAAAATTTATAATTAATACGTGAAATATGTGATTCTTCTAAGAATTTAAGCAATTAAAATTTAGACAAAGTACAATAGCAGAATTAATGGAATGAAGATGGTAAAAAATAGAGACTTGGATTGGACTTTAATAACATTCATGCATAAGATTTATCGTTCTTTATGAATATGGATATGAAATAAAGTATAAATAAAAAGGAATTTACAGAAATCTAAATGGCAGTTGATGATGATTAGGATGATGATGATGATTGTGGCAATATTAATTAAAATGATAGGGAGAAACTTGATATTACAAATATCTATTGTGATTATTGTTCTGATAAAATAGAAGAAGAGTCTACAATGCTATATACTTGTTAATTTTGTGAAGATTTCCATGCCTGTTAGTTGTGTTTTGATCAATATTAAGAATAAGTTCATGTGCATCAATTATATGAAAATAGTCTTCAATGATTATTTTGTGATTTATTATAAAAACTATTTAATTATCATACAATCACCTATTAGACCATGGGGAAATCAAAGAAAAATCATTTTTTGAATTATTTTAACTTCTTAATTCTAATTTCTAATCAAAAAACATTTTTGCTTTTCCAAAGTTCAAACTTTTTATATCAAGTTTTGGAATACTCTTTTTTGAACGAGCAGTAGAAACTCTTGATTTTTCATAGCTTTTTTGAGGTCTTTGATACTACAGCTAATTTGAAAGTGAAACAGTGATAATAGATGGTATATGAATAGTTTATTTTGGACTTAATAATGTATACTTTGATTCATTACAGACTTTTCGAGGCATGAAACACATCTTTTTTTATCTTTATTAGATATATTATTTTGCTTTTAGGATGATCTCTGAGTCTAATTTAGAAGGAGGCTTGAAATTAGGAAATAGTTTTTCATATTAGGATTTCATAAATATTAATATATTTATTTTTCAATTTAATGAGTCCCATCTCTTCTTTGCTCTTATTTATTGTATAATATTAAAAACTATTTTTCAATATGAGTCTGTTATATTGAAATAAATTTAGATATTAATTCATTAATTGATGGAGAACATTTAGGATTTAAAAACCTTGATGTATGACTATTTACTATTTTTCAAGAGGTCATAATTTTAATGCTGTCAATTTTAGTAAATATATGATAAACAATGATTTCTCGGATGTCGATTAATTAATTAAGAATTGTCAATTAGAGAGTTCAGGCCAAAGATTCAATCTCTGGAGACTATTCCTAAGGTATTCTAACGAATCTTATCCTAGAATATATTCAAAAGAAGATTCATTTACCTAAAAAATAGAAAAGTTAACTAAACTGAGGGATAATTATAAATCATTAGAAAATAGACATTTGAAAACATCTAGCACATCAACTCAAAATCAAATTGAAGAACCAACTAAAAAGGGACCACTCGGAGGTCCTCTTGGAGGTCCCTTAGGAGGTGGCAAATAAAAGTAATAGTCCTCTAATGCAATTGATAATGCAGAATTGAGAAATGAAATCAGAAAAGATGTTGAAAGAACATATCAGGAGTTTGAGTTCTTCTCTTCAAAACGAGTTTAACAAATACTTACTACAATATTGTTCATTTGGTGTAAAGAGAATAGTGAAATATCGTATAGATAAGGAATGAATGAGATTGCTGCTTCACTAATTTATATATATACGAAAGAGGCATTACATAAGGAAGAAGTTGAAAAATACGAAGAAGTAACTTACTTAAAAATTAGTAGGCAACTGATGAGGAAATCAATATACTTTTGCAATTTAACTCTTGGGAATATGCTGAACCAGATATTTATTCCTTATTCACTGCATTAATGAATGATGCCTAGCATATGGAGATGTTTAGACCTAATTACACAGATTAATAAAAATTTAAGCTTTAAAGTAAGAAACCAAGTGCAATTTTGACAAGAGTTGCAAAATTACAGGACATTCTATTAAAGTAAGTGGATTTACCCTTATTTCGACATTTGAAGCTACTTCAAGTAGAATTCCAAATCTTTCTGTTAAAATGGATAAGGTAAAGCAAATAGTATAATTCTTAGATGTATGTTTACTAGAGAATTATCATTAATGGAATCATTTCATGCTTGGGATGCTATATTTTAGGATTTCTTATTATAATAGAGCGATTCATTATTCTTTGTAGATTGTATAGCTATTGCTATGATAATTTATTTAAAAAATCAGTGTAATTTAATATAATCTAAAATTATTTAGTAATGGAAAGTGAAGAATCAAGTTAATGTTATCAAAGATTCTTGAAATTCCCAAAAATTTCCAATCTTTCTAGCCTTTTAGATACAGCAACATAAATAAGAGTTATATTGATATCTTAAAAGTCATCTAATAACTTGGAAGATAACACTGAAGGAATTGAAAAACAGGAAAAATTATAAAATCCTGCATTTTTTGTCCTTGAAAAAATAGATTCTGATCCTAAGGTTTAACAAGATAAAAATAAAGGTAAAGAATAGCCTAAATAAACCTAAACTCAATAATAATAATAGTTTACAAAAAATGAAGAAGAACAATCTTAATCACCATAATCATAAATTATTGAAAAATAACCTGTGAAATAGTAAGAGTAACAATAAGTATTCTTTGATGACAAGATCATGTAATCAAACACAAAGGCATAAAAGTCGTAATTTGTTGTAGAAGAAAAAGTATAGTAAAGACAATAAAATTAGAATAAGGAAGAAAAGTAAATGGAAATTAAATTATCCATATAATAAGTTTAGGATATTTGTATAACAATAGATGAAGCTTTTAATGTGATTAAAAAGAGCAATGATAGGTATTTTTATATTTTAATTAATTTAGCTAAAATCATTAGGAACTAATCATCAGCTTGGCTGAACTTAAATAATATCTGAGTAAATAAGTAAGTGAAGCTGAAGCAAATTCAGGGAATTCATAAGAGGAGGGTTAAAATTATAGAAGTAGTGGATTTGTAATAAAGAAATCAATCACAGGGTAATAATAATCTCAAGAAGATAATGGAATTAAAAGCAAAATGACAGATTTCTTTAAAAAAAAGTGGTGAAGAATAATTAAATAACATTATAAGTTTTTTTAAATATAATTTTAGATTATTGCAAAAAGAAAGTTAGTTATTATTTTTCATAATAAAATTTTGTTGTAGTTGTTATTTTGGCAATTTAAATTCAGATAAAATATTATTAAATGTTCATAAATGTCTAAAAATTGAGTTAATGGATTTGCATGATTCAATAATGAAAATATCAAGATTTATGTGAATGTAATAAATAATTTCTAAATGGAAGAAATGAGAATACTAAATTTTACAATCTATAATAAATTTTAAATCATTTTTTTAGTAAAGTCCTCATTTTGACCAAGTCGCTTTACAGTTCCTCTTAATTTATGCACTAAGTAAACTCTCCTAATTATTATATAATTAGAAACCATATTTTTTTAACAATTCTTCCAAGAATGTATTCTTTTTCAACCAAGGCTCATAGTTTTATTAAACAATGGCTTCTTCCAACGAGGCCTTTTTTGTTAAAGAATGCACGTATTCTGGATCTTGATCAGACTAATCTGCTTGATCTTAATTTATCAATGATTTTGTGGGCTATGACTGCTTTTTCTTTTTATCTTTCTCAATCCTACACCAAGGACATTTATATTTGAAGCTTTTATGTTACAATTACGATTCAATGTCTGATACTTCGCAATCTATGTGTGTCTAATAAAATCTTGATAATTATTATACCCATTTCCCACATCGTTAATTATCACATTAAACCCACTTCTTGCCATCAAGGAAATTCTATTCATCGTCCTTATACACTTGAGCACAGAAGTAGCAACACTTCCTTCTCTTGTAAAGTTCATAGCAAGTACCACATAAGAGGATAGTAGAATCAGAAAAATTGGCTACTTTCAAATCAAAAGAACTTGGGCAGTATTAATTGAAACATTATCTAACAGGCGGATACTCACCACTTGTTGACATTATTTCAATTTTTGTTATAATATTTATTATTTGCTACTCCAAATTAGAGTAATATTATTTATCTACAATTTGAACAACAAATATAATTAAGGAATTAAACAACAATTAAATAAACTAAAAACATAATAACTATGTTCTCTTCCCCAATCTTGTATTTTAAGAACGAAAAAATTCTGCAATTAATGAATGTCAATTCATAATCTCAACTTTTTTATTATTATTATTAAAAATTGTAGGAACACACACGCTAAGGCTAATGCATTAAGTGCAATTATGACAATGAATTTTATGGATTGGGAGTCTAGTTCTGATAATGTATTTCTAAATCTCGAATTATATAACATACTTATCCGAATCTGATAGTGTCTCTAGTTTTATGAATTTCTTTATCAATTCTTAGGCATAAAAATGACCATTTGAACTGAATACTATTCCTATTGATAAAGCTAATGCCTAAATTAAAGTAATTCATACTAAAGTCAATATAATAAACGCTTAAGTCACTGCTATATTACTCCATTCCAATGCTTATTATAATTTAGCTCTTGTTAAATAATAAATTTCAGGCTCATCATCATTCATGCTTGTTACCATCTTGTAGTCACTAATTAGTTTTTGTTGTAAATTACATTTTAAAGTATTCTATCACTCTTACGATGACTATAAATAGAAATATAGAGAAAGCAACTGCCTAAGAAATTTTGGTTTAAATATTACTTCCAAGTATGGAATTTAAGATGCATAGATTTCTCTTGTTCTGAAGAATGCTGTTCTACTAATGTCTAAGGACATTGATCCCAATTGTACTTTTAAACTAAAATCATTAGAAAATTATCGTACTCCACACTTATACCAAATGCAACTATTGAAGCAATAAATCCTACTGCAGACACAATAGGTAATATAATGCTCATTATAAAAATTAATATTTTAAAATTCTTTTTTTTATATTCCTACCTAAGAAATTGTAAGCAGAAATATTGAGAATATCTGAGTAATATACCTGTAAGTATATGAACATTCTAGGTTTTTTTAAGTTAAAGACATCTCTTTCTCTTTTACAGAATCTAAAGCACTTTTAGTGTATTATTTGATTTAGTTGTAAATTAGTTATAATAATCATGAGATTTTTGTAAAGGCAGTTTGGTTTGTGTCTTTGCGTAATAAAAACATTATTAGTTCTTTCGAAATGAAATAATTAATTTGTTGTTTGGCATAATAAAATTAATTAATAATACTTAACTATTATTGAATGAAAGTATTATCTTTGTAAGCTTACCAATTTATAATGAACTTTGCAGTCTTGTTTAATAAATTAAAAAAGATATGAGAGTATGGCATTAATATTTGAAACCAATTTAGGTTTATGACACCTAATATTGTTTAAATTTATCAATATTGCTAGAAATTAATTCATGCAAACAAATCATATAATTTATTATAATTAAATTTTGAATGAAAAAAGTGTTAGTTCTAGTATTCAATATTTTAATTATTAGGATGGAGTAAATTTGTCTATTAATGATCTGAAGGACATTTTATCAGGAAATTTAGATGTTGTTGTTGAAATTTAAGATCATGTTAAAAACGTAATTATTATAGGTTATAAATTAGCATATACTTCAATCCAGAAATACAGTTGATTTGATTGTTTAAAAGAAAATACCAATTTATGGTATTAGTACAGGATTTGGTAAATTCAAAGAAGTAATTATGAATATAACTAATCAGATTTACATCCCTCATTAGGAAATGGTCGATTTATAAAAGAACTTAATTATATCACATGCCTCATGTGTTGGAGAACCATTATAACCAAACATAGTTTTGGTAATGATGATTTTGAGATTAAATTGTTTAATCAGAGGGTTTTCAGGTGTAAGGATGTCTCTAATTGAATCTCTACAATAAGCTATAAATAAGAAACTTATTCCCAAGGTTCCATGTCAAGGATCAGTTGGAGCATCCGGAGATCTTGCACCTTTATCACATTTAGCTTTAGGACTCATGGGAATTGGAGAGATTTGGAATGACAGATAGTATATACCTGCAGAACAGGCTTTAAAATTGCATAATTTTGAACCTTTAGAATTCATGGAGAAGGAAGGATTGGCTATGAATAACGGAACTCAAATGATGGCTGCAATAAACTTAGAAACATTGATGAGATCATAGTAAGTTATGAATGCTGCAGATCTAGCTTTGGGATTAACAAGTTATGCTTTATAGAGTAATATTTATCATCTAATATAGCCAATTATCATTTCTTAAAAAATTACTCTAAGAGTGATAACAAATCAAGGAATATAGTATTCAGTTTAATTGGAGAAGAGTGGGCAGATTAAATTAAAACTAATCCTAAAAGCATATCGACTGCATTTACTACACATTAAATTATTAGATAGTCTATTGAAGAAAATCTAAAAGTTTTAGAAAGAGAGATTAATTCAACTAGTGATAATCCAATTATTGATAATGAACGATAATCAGCTAGATCTGGTGGTAATTTCCATGGTGAATATATGGGAATGTTGGCTGATAATATGTGCATTGCCTTGCAAAGACTTTGTATATTTAGTGAGGTAATATGATTACACTCAGTATTAATTAGAGAAGACAAGAAAGATTGGTTAATTCTGAAATTGGGGATTGTGGATTACCAATGTTTTTAACTTCAAAAGGGGGATTATTGAATGGATACATGATTCCTCAATATACTAGTGCTGCATTAGTTTCTGAAAATAAAGTACTTAGCCATCCTAGTTGCATTGACACTGTTCCGACTTCTGCCAATATCGAAGATCATGTATCTATGGGAGCCTATAGTGCTAGAAAAGGATTGCAAATAGTTTAGAATGCAGAATACATTATTGCTATTGAATTAATGTGTGCAGCATAAGGGTTGGAATATGCTAAAATCTAATTACCACCTAAGATTTAAAGTTGTCTCAAATTCATCAGAAACCTCATTCCTGACGTTAAGACTCAAGTATATTATATAAGTATTTTAGGATATTTTTATGAACTAATACATTGAAATAATGGCTAAGAATCTGAGAGATGGTCACATAAATCAATTAATGCAAGAATTATAATTATTATGAATATACATATTTCTATTAAGTCATCCACCTATAAACTTTCTTGATCTATCGTCCTTTGCTATGGCCAATTCTTGTTTTAACGATTTAAACTATTTAATAAATTAACTCACTAAACCACAAATCCAACCAGTTCCAATATTGAAGAGTTCTGATATTCCAGTTATGGACTTAAGTCTTAATGACAAAAATAGTATTTAAAGTGGAACATTAAACACTTAAAATACCATCCAATATCCAATTCTTAAATATCCAATGTTATTATTCTCCACAAAAACGTAATTTTAAATGATTGATAAAAACTACATCAACAACTAGTAATGAAAACCTGAAAAAAGTCCGAAAAATCCTCTGGATTAGTAGATATCTTTGACACTATCACTTAAATATAAATTCTTTGTCAATGCATTGATAAATATAACTGTCATAGGATAAAATGCTAAATGAAGTAAACATTTTTTGATGTATTCCTATTTCGATGGATAAGCATTTCTATTAATTCTATGCTCTATCCATAAGGATGGAAAAAGCAAATAAAATTGTGCAATTGAATTATTATCCTCAAATGCAGCTTTTATTGGTTTATTCATCCAAACATTATAAGAGATAGCATCCACTGGAGTTGATAAAAACTGTAACATTTGATCCTCCTAATATTTTAATTTATTTAAAAATAAAAATCCTATATTTATAATACTAACAACATTTGTTAATTTTATACAAGAGTATTCTTATGTACATTCTTGTTGTTAATAAAATCCACAACAATCATTAATAGGTAATGTAAATGGTGAGAAGAAACTAGATGAGTTTTATTATAAACAAATAATAACAATTGGATGATTTGAGGAGTAAATTTAATATATTTGCTTTCCCACAAGATTATTACATATGATTATTAACAATGATATTTGAGTGTATTTACACGGACTTGGCAAGACATTAATACTTAAAAAAATGGGATATTTACTAAATATTTGGTAGTCATGTTTTTATCTAAAGTGTCTTCCATTTTTGCAATTTTAAATTTATTTATTACTCGAAACAATATTTGTGAATCTCTGTTAATATCCAGTCATTTAATAACAGAGAATCAGACTAAATCAATTACTGATATTTGTCCTTATATATAAATAATTTAACATCTTGGTATTTTATTAATGTTGCTTGTATTAGAAAATTATAGAATGTCTTTTTATTTAATTTTAAGATTTTAATAGATAAGAAAGATACTGGGAAATTTAAAAGAAGTATAAATATAATGATCCAAAAAATTTTTTATTATTTCATATAAATTCAATAAGAGTAAAAATTTAGGATCGGGAGAAGGATTCTAGATGAATCTCATCAATAATTATGATACTTACCACTTAATGTTAAAAGGCTAATTTCACAACGGATATATATTGTGAATTCTAATTCTAATACCATTTAATTTTTAATCAAAATATATAATTACTGAAAGTAAAAATAACAATCCAACACAAAACCATGTTGATTATTATGAGCCAAATTTTATTTTAGTCCTTATTAAAATTGTATCTAATGAATTGCAAAAACTGATTTCAAATAGGTATTCTCATTTAAACTAGTTAATAGGAGAGGATAAATTTATACCAATTTTTCAGAATTAAGAGGTTTTTAATTAAATAAAGTAATACTGATATTTAATGTAGAATAAAATAATTAGAGTGTAAACATAAGGGTCTGTATCTTCGAAATCACCATTTGGTTTGATTGGTACAATAAATTTTTTAGTGGTTACAAATGCTCATATTGATTTATCTCATAAATTCATATTACTCACAAAATATTTTTGATCCACATTTTAGCCAGATTTATGGCTACACTTTCTCAAAACATTTAAGAGTCTTAGAAATCAGAGATCAGAGCTTATCAACAATACTTCCAGGGTTGTATTTTTATTGTAATTAAATTATTAATCTTCATGTTCAATTAATATTAATTAATTATAATAATGGGGGGATGTCCATCTAAATGTGAAGTTAAATGTGGAAATGGTTTGAGATATGAGGGAAGCACACTAGAATTAAACTTTGAATAACCAAAGACTGAAAGAAATATAAATCGGAATCGATCAGCTTCTAGTTCTCGTTAAGGGGAATCATCTACCTTTCCTGCTACTCATTTTCGTAGGGAATTAGAATATTCAGATAATATTTTACATACTCAATCCGATCCAAAAAATGAATTCATTGCCAGCAACATTGAAATAGAGTTACTTCCAGTTTTTGTTACAACAAAATATATTAATGAATCAACTGTTAAATAAAGATAAAATAGATTTATGGAGGATTTAGAGATCGAAGTCAAGGCTAGAATACAAGAAATGTATTTATCATAATAAAACTAATTAGAAAGTAAGAAGAATAAGAGGAACGACAAAGATTCATTATAAACGATATTGCTAGGAAACAATTAGAATTTTAAAAATTGAAATCTGAATTAATCTCTAAATCTTAAAATAATTATTTAGAAAATTCATAAAGGTTTAATTAAAAATAATAAATCTCACCTAATAAGAATACTTCAAAAGAATCTAAAGATTCTCAGTATGCATCCCTTTAATCAAGTTCATTGTAGTTATCATCTGAAAAGTAATCTAACATTCAGTCAACTGTCAATAAAACAGATCCTCTCAAATACTCCACACAAAATCAACATCATCAAAATAAAGCTTATGAGAAAATCATAAGTAATTAATATTTAGAAGACAACAGTTGTAGCTGCAATAGCAAAAAAAAAGGGATACTTAAATAACATAAGATTCCATTATCATTAACTTCGAAAAGCTTGCCTAATAGAACACAAGCAAAATCAAAATTATTCAAAAAGAAACGAGTTCATTTTTCTTAGGAAACCAATTTTAATTTTGAAAAAAAAAGTGAAGAAAGGAAATATTCAAGAACATGGTGGAGATCTATTTTTTGATCCTTTTTATGTTTATTATTATCTATTTAAATTATAATTTATATTAGTTTGTTATTTCAATTAGGATACCCATTGGAACATTTGAATTCATAAATTAAATTAACATAATATCCAAGAACAACATCATAATTAAAATTTAATAATAATAATAATAGGTTATAATAAATATCAATCTTTTGCAGCTCTATAAATTTTATTGCATGCATCTTCAAGTAAACCTAACAAATTCTCTTGACTCTCTTCTCTTAATTTTTTCTCTTCTTCAATTTCACTCTTTACTCTTGAAACCAAATCCTTTAGCATCTCAAAAATTGCTGCTTCTGATTCCTCTCTATTTTTATTTTATATCAAATAAATACCTTAATTTCTTTTAATTTGACAATCCTTCATTTAATCTCTTGATTTCATCTCCTGCTCTTCTTAAAGTACCATTATCACTGTCTTCTCTATCTTGTCCTTCTGTCTTCACCAAATCATATAATTTTGGTAAATCATTTTCCAAAGAAGTAGTAATGTTTTCAATTTATTCCTATCTAATTTTACTCTCTGTCTAAATATCTGATTTTAAGTAGACAACCTAGGTTTATTGGAGATGAATACTTTTTCATCCAAATAGCCTTATAATTTAAGATTGCCATCCTTTCTAATTGAAATCTCTTGTTCCAATTTAGTCGTTATACGACTTTCAAAAGCAGCAATTTCTCTCACTCTTTATTCAAATTGTGTCTCAAAAGTATTGTTTTCCTCCTCAATCTATTTTTGCAATCTCACAATTTCATCCTTAAGAGAATGCTAAAATGAGATAAAAGTATGTACTAATTTTCTGTTATAAGATGTAATTGTATCTTGGATTCTCTCTTCTACACCAGAGACACGTCCACAAATAACATCTATACGATGAGCTTTGGAACTATCGTGATGCAATTAGATTGAACTGAGTTTTTCAGAGATTTTAGCAAATCGTTCGTTGAATGGTGTATTTGGATTCATTTTTATTTATTTTATTAACAAATTTTATTTGTATTATTATGAATAAATAACAATGTAATTACCATTATAGTTTTAAATTTATCATTGTAGGTAATTCTGGAGTCGGAAAAAGTTGTTTACTCCAATAATTTATCGAGGGTTAATTCAAAAATAACATTGATTCAACAGTTGGGATTGGATTTGGATAGAAAGACATGATATATAAAGACAGCGTCATTAGAATAAATGTTTGGGATACTGTAAACTTCATAATATTATTTAGGCAGGTTAAGAGTCATTTAGGTCGATTACAAGAGCATATTATAGAGGGTAAGGGATATTAATTCAATATATAGATCAATTGCATGTTTACTAGTTTATGATGTTACTAAGAAAAAAACATTCCATCATCTCATTAATTGGTTAAATGAGGTAAAGCAAGATTCATCAGCTGAGATAATGATTGTTGGAAATAAAATTGATTCGTGGGGAAGGGAAGTTTCTCAAGATGAAGGACAATAACTTGCTCAATAAACTGGCTGTTTATATTTAGAAACATCGGCAAGAACAGGGGAAAATGTTATACAAGCTTTTGAAACCTTAGTACAACGAATTTATATGAAAATTAAGAATAAGGAGATAGATTTAAATGATCCATAAAATGGGATTAAATTGGGTGAGATGTCTGAAGCATAGCCAGTCATTAATCAATATAATGGAAATTAGAATTCTTCATGTTGCTGATGAATTTTTGATTTTTATTTTAACAAATGATTTAATTTAAGAATTTCGCCAAAATATAGAATAATGAAGCAGTTAATTTAAAAATAGGAAATCATTTTTTATGACTCTACATATTACTAGTAACTTATGCATTTAATTTTTAGTATTTATCAGATAATAGATTGTCTTCAATACAGTAAAACTCTTCTTCACTCTAAATATTACTCCTCTATTAATGAGGCTTTTTCAAATGATCTGGAAATGCTTAAACATTGATAAAGATTTAGCTTTCTTGCTCATCTGGAATAGGTTCTTGCAATTCTTCACTTATTTCTTCATTAGACAGAGAGTAAATTATTCCCACTGAATTATAAATACTATTATTATAGTTCCCACTTCCATAATTACTGTTGTTTGTTTAATTTGATTCTAATTTCATCATTGGAAGTTGTAATTAACTTGGCCTTGCATGATTATTCTAATTATTGTTGATATTTGATTAAAATTTTTCATAGTTCTTAATCTACGTTTCTTCAGGCTACAAAGATCCAAATCTATTCACAACTAAATCTTGATAATTATTTTAGATGTCCCATTCGTATCTATAGTCTAAAAGAATATTTAAATGTTTCGCTGCTTGGTGTAATAATTTAATTATTGTTTTATAATCGGGTTCAACGTTGTATGTTAATTTTCTTAAATATCTAATATTCTCTAAATTTTTATTACTCGTAAATTTTAATAAACTCGTTCGGCAAATCTTTAAAGAGCACTTTTGGATCAATTGTTTCTTTCAACTCTCCTATTTTCTGTGTTCTTTGATCATCTGGAATGTGCTTTAAGTTCTGCCATGGTAAAGTACTAATCTAATGATAAAAGCCATTAATACCCTTTTAAGCAGAAGATCATTACATAGAATAATGATTCGATATCATCCTTTCGACTTAATTCTTGTCCTTTGTGAGCTGCAATAGATGCATAGCGAGCAGTCCCAACAAAAGGCACCTTCTCCTTAAAAGGACTTGTCTTAAATGATTATATTTACATTAGGTCTCCATTTTTTCGTTAAAATATTTTACTTATCCCAAAATCTATTAGATAAATAGCATTCTATTCATCCAACATTATATTTTCAGGTTTCAAATCTCTATGCAGCACACCCTATTTATGTATTTCTTCGAGAATTGATAGTAGCTAAATTGTGATTTAAAGTATAGACTTTAAACTAATTTTTTTCCTTTGCTTTAGTATGGAGGACATGTCTTTTTAAAGCAATTCCATCACTATTGTATTATAGTTCTCCTAAGTTCCATAATACAGTAATTTTGGTATTCCCTTAATATTTTATAACCTTGATAAAATTTCCACCTCTCGATCTAATGAATGCAGATGTTCATTTTCCGGTCTTTCTATTTTTATGGCCACCATTTTACCATTCCTTTAATCATACCCTTACATAACGACGCCAAATGATCCTTACGAAATTCTCTTTTGTGTAAAGTATTGATTATTTATTTTAAGTTATTTCATACACAAATTTATATTAAATAACTCTGATTAATTCACGTTTTGATACATAATAAGAAAATTCAGATGAATATTCATGAATGTTCCATCGTATTACAATTTGAAACAAATACTTTAATATGTAATCATTAAGGATACAAGTATTTTGTTATTTTAATTAAATATATATATGTTCCAAAATTATTTATATAAATCAAAATTTCAAAACTGATAAGTTTAATTTTAATAAATTTTTGAAATGAAGAGACAAATTCAAGCTATTATAATTTTTAATTATTCATTAAAGAATAAATTTGATAAAGCTACTTATAGTTATATTTCTACATATTCTAGGCAACAGAATCAATATCTATTTTATTTAAGAGTTTTCACTTTTATAAAATTTATTGTTTCTGTTAATAAAAAATGTGATTTTAATTATAATTAGTTGATGTTGATGTACTTAAATTCGGAATAACGTCTTTACTTTTGTTTACTGCTTAAGTGGTTTTTTCCCCAAACTCAAATATTGATTATACTTAAAAAATGTTTTATTAATATTGATTTAGCTAATTTATCTTAAAGGAACTAACAATAGTGTATGATAAAATAAACTCAAAAAAGTTATAGTGATTAATTTGTATAGTTTACATATAATTTTATATTTATTACTTTTAATAGAATATGATTTGGAAGCAGAATATTTGTACAAATGATATTCTATCATTCATTCAATTCAAAGAATAACAACAATACCTAAGATGATCAAGTTCAGCAATATTTAAATAAAATTTAAATCCCTAATTATTTCANGATATCATCCTTTCGACTTAATTCTTGTCCTTTGTGAGCTGCAATAGATGCATAGCGAGCAGTCCCAACAAAAGGCACCTTCTCCTTAAAAGGACTTGTCTTAAATGATTATATTTACATTAGGTCTCCATTTTTTCGTTAAAATATTTTACTTATCCCAAAATCTATTAGATAAATAGCATTCTATTCATCCAACATTATATTTTCAGGTTTCAAATCTCTATGCAGCACACCCTATTTATGTATTTCTTCGAGAATTGATAGTAGCTAAATTGTGATTTAAAGTATAGACTTTAAACTAATTTTTTTCCTTTGCTTTAGTATGGAGGACATGTCTTTTTAAAGCAATTCCATCACTATTGTATTATAGTTCTCCTAAGTTCCATAATACAGTAATTTTGGTATTCCCTTAATATTTTATAACCTTGATAAAATTTCCACCTCTCGATCTAATGAATGCAGATGTTCATTTTCCGGTCTTTCTATTTTTATGGCCACCATTTTACCATTCCTTTAATCATACCCTTACATAACGACGCCAAATGATCCTTACGAAATTCTCTTTTGTGTAAAGTATTGATTATTTATTTTAAGTTATTTCATACACAAATTTATATTAAATAACTCTGATTAATTCACGTTTTGATACATAATAAGAAAATTCAGATGAATATTCATGAATGTTCCATCGTATTACAATTTGAAACAAATACTTTAATATGTAATCATTAAGGATACAAGTATTTTGTTATTTTAATTAAATATATATATGTTCCAAAATTATTTATATAAATCAAAATTTCAAAACTGATAAGTTTAATTTTAATAAATTTTTGAAATGAAGAGACAAATTCAAGCTATTATAATTTTTAATTATTCATTAAAGAATAAATTTGATAAAGCTACTTATAGTTATATTTCTACATATTCTAGGCAACAGAATCAATATCTATTTTATTTAAGAGTTTTCACTTTTATAAAATTTATTGTTTCTGTTAATAAAAAATGTGATTTTAATTATAATTAGTTGATGTTGATGTACTTAAATTCGGAATAACGTCTTTACTTTTGTTTACTGCTTAAGTGGTTTTTTCCCCAAACTCAAATATTGATTATACTTAAAAAATGTTTTATTAATATTGATTTAGCTAATTTATCTTAAAGGAACTAACAATAGTGTATGATAAAATAAACTCAAAAAAGTTATAGTGATTAATTTGTATAGTTTACATATAATTTTATATTTATTACTTTTAATAGAATATGATTTGGAAGCAGAATATTTGTACAAATGATATTCTATCATTCATTCAATTCAAAGAATAACAACAATACCTAAGATGATCAAGTTCAGCAATATTTAAATAAAATTTAAATCCCTAATTATTTCATGACATATCAATAATTGAGATGATTCAATTTAATTAATGAAAGTTATAAGTGTTTGTATAAACAAATAAATATTCTCACTTATGGAAGGCATTCTTTACTTAATCAAATATCCCTTCTTAATTTTAAGATTCTGTTTTCTCCAACTAATTTATATTAATAAGAATAGATACTTTGGCTAATTCTTGGAATATCTCTTTTTATTTCTCATTTAATTTGGTGGGTATTTGTATTTTGAAATTGATAACTTAATCGCCTTTTTAATTTTAATTTGGTGCCAATTTGTTAATTCCCTATAATAGTTTTAATATATAATACTAAGCCATTCAATCTCATTTTTTCTCCATCTTGACATCCAGGCTTGACTGATACTTATTTATCACCATTCAAAGTTTTAATTTTAATTGTATCACCTAAAACTGCTTAAGCAACAGAAATATAAGCATTGGTAATTAAATCATATCCATCTCTTTTAAAATAAGGATCAGGTTTGACTTGAATTTTAACAATAAGATCTCCTGATTTTCCTCCATTTTCCCCAACGTTTCCTTTACCTGTAATTCTCAAGTTTTAACCATCTGCTATTCCTTTTGGTATGTTGATAGTTTCATTTGTTGGTTGTTTCTATATGCCCATGCCTCTACATGTAGTGCCTAAATGAATGAAATGCAATGAATACATGGATTTTTGATGGAGATTCCTGTTCCTCTGCATTTAGTGCATGCCATTTATATGGTCATAGCTCCTTGTCTATAATTGATAGATCCCTTTCCTCCACAATTAGTACATCTTCCTGGGGCAGTTCCAGGTTTACATTTCGTACCATTACATGTAGTGCATGTTCCTACTTTCTCAAATTAAATTGTCTATTGTGAGCCTTGAACACTATCCATAAAAGAGATTTCCATTTGGACATGAATATCAGCTCCTTTAATAGTTCTTTCAGCTTCTCCTCCCATATTAAAAAAGGATGCGAAATCACCAAATATGGATTCATCAAATTCGTATTCTTGTCCTCGACCTCCTCTTGCTCCTTATCTAAAGAAACTACTATATGCAGCAAAAGGATCTTATGCTCCAGCCTAATCCTGTTCATCTCCAGTCATTCCCACTTGGTCATAGACTCTTCTTTTATTTTCATCTGATAGTGTTTCATATGCACTAGATTTGTAGAAATAATCGTTACTTATTGATTTCAGCAAACTTCTCTTTGGCATCCTTGGATGGATTTGCATCTGGATGATATTTCTTGGCTAATCCATAATAGGCTTTTTTGATATCATTCTATGAGGCATTCTTAGGTACTCCCAATAATTCTAATTGCTTAGATTACAGTATTACCATACAAATCTCTCTTGGATGAGAAAGAGAAAAATGGAGTGAATGCAAATCTCCGAAAAACATTTTTAGTAAAAACTTGCATTGTTAACCGGAAATAAATTATTATTAAAATCACTATGTTATCATTTTCATAAATTCATTCAGTTGATCATGTTTACTAAATACCAATTCGATCGATTGATGTTTAGAAATAACTAAAACTAATGATTGTTAGCATTGTTTCACATCTTTAATTTGTCTCAAACACAATGCTGATTCCTTTTGGCCTAAATCATGTATCATCTTATTAGAATTATAGAATTCCAAACATTTCATCTTCTAATTGTACTTCACAAATTTGCTTGAAAATGCTGAGCATCCACTTTTACTAATTGTGGACTGTTGTCTAAATGTTCTCTTTAGTACTTTGTATATCTTGTCTCCTAATATTTATTGAGGAGGAGATTTCTCCATTTGAAAATCTGGGAATCTTCTTGCAGAGGACTAATAATAATACTCAAATAATATAGATACATGCAAACTCAAAGATTGTTCTATGGATATGTGATGATTATTAGACTAAGGGGATAATAAGGGATTTTTTTGAGAGGCTTAAGATGACAAACTAGTTTGTTATTTCAAAGCTAATTTGGTTTTAGAACATAATGGATCAGAGGAACGATGTCCCAAAAAACTATAAGTAGACAGACTTCTGTCAGTTGGTTCATTCATAAATAGTTATTTTTTGGATCTGAAAACTGAGTATTTGTGAGTGGTCCTCTCTTAAGACATATCTATTTATATGGTTCCCAACATACTCATATCTCTGGAATCAGAAGGTGGTATATTCTCTTTCTTTGTCTTCAAAATCGATTCATTCAACTCAATTAAATATCTTGTTTACATTTAATCTAAATATATAACTTATCTTTAGTACTTTCTTATTCTTCTAATTGTTTCAGTTTCTGTCTTTAATTTTCAACATTTTAATTATATAGAATTTGTTACTACTAATACAATTTCCTGTTTTCTTCTATTTAGTACTCTATATTATCATTAACTACGTTTGAATCGAGAATTAATATGGGTAATTTTTGAGATTAAGAAGAGAATATTTTGTAATAGTAATCTTATTCTATGCCTATTGAATATTGCAAATCTTTAATTTAAGAATTCAACTATTATTTCATTTACATTAGATTATCTTGTATTTATTTGATTTAAGCTGGGAATGTGATTTCAAAGAGTGTTTTATTTTGAGATTTCAAGCATTCAATATGATTCATCCTATCCAGGATCTACTGCAATTTTTGGGCTGTTTGATTTTACTCAAGAACAGGTAGATTAGACTCAAGTCTATTGTATTGAGTTTAGATCATAGATTATTCATACATAATTTGATGTATCTGTCTCTGTACATCGACAAGAAGTGCTCTATTCTTAATTTATTATTTTTGTACTTATGTTATTTCAATTAGGACTCTATTTTGAACTTAGAGATTCTTTTAGGTAATTCAGTTTTAAGAAATGAGGAATACTCTACTATTTAAGCTTAATCCAAGTATTCTTAAAATATGGTGCTATTGAATACTCTAAAGTTGTTATCATTTTCAATTTATCGAATGTTTTCAATGATGGCATTCTAGTTTGTTTTAGAATTAAGTCCTTAAACAACTTTATCGTTTATGAACATTACTATGTTGCAAAACAGCTCCAATTATTACTCAGCTTTGGCGTTGGTCACAATTAAATTGTAAAGATAATCCACATTGAACCACGAAGATTACAAGCCCTTCATTTATTTTTCAATCTAAATTGATTTAGTCTACAACTCCAAAGTGTTGATGATGTTTTAGAAATCAGTTTAAACAATTTCTTTTTCTTATCGTTAATTAGCCAATTATATGTAGGTATGTTTGAGTTGGCTCAGACTTTTATTGATTTCAAAAATGGTTTTAACATTGTTGCATTGTGATTTGTTTTATTATGAATCGATGATCTATTCTAGTTCTTCATATTCAATTAGGAGAGTATCCATTTACAAAATTCTTCCCTCAATATCGTTTTGAATCATTTTCTTTTGTTCTTGAAATTGAACTATTTTGAATTCTGTTTGAAATATTCTCTCAAGTAAGATTAACTTAGATTCTGAATGTTTTAACAAGATTTATTATTATTAGATAGTTATCTTCTATCCATTCTGCAAGGACAAAGGATTCAAAAAGAACCCTACTTTTTGGGACCAAACATTATTTTATAATGCCTATTTGACCTCTTGTATTGTTATCTACTGATGTTGCTTTTATAATTAATCTGTTAGTTATTGCTATTTGTTCATATAGTCTTTAATGATTTATTAGTTTTTGTCATTCAATTCGTTAATAGATTGGATGATGTTGTCCTGCTATTGTTTTAGGTTTTGCAACTTGTTAACAGAAGTTGAGTTTCTGTTTTTTAATTTCATTTAGATTTAAATAATTTTATATACGGTTAATTAAATAAATGGGAACTAAAAGAAAGAGAGTGATAATGCAGGCAGGATCCCTTTTGAATCCCATCTTTAGATACATTTTGAAGATGAATTTCGTTGCCAATCCCACTGACATCCATGGGACCAGGTTACTAAGGTTTTTTGAATGGGTTATCCTTTAGACATTTGCAATATTAAACAATGAATTTGAATAAGAAATTACATCAACCCAACTTTGAATCTACCTATAGAGAGTCAGTCGAATGCATCTCCAGTAAATGGGAAATCAAGTTTGGTAAGCAATTCCATTATCCTAAGTGAATGGATGGGAAAGGACCTTCTATATGAAATATGCTGACATGTCGACTTTGCATCAAACAATAAGACAATACAATCATTTCATAGAAGGACAAAGAGCTCTCTAAGGAGAAGATGATGAGCCCGATGATACCCTATTATAATATTGAATAAAATATATTGGAGAATAATCAGTGCGGGATTTATTATATTTCTTTTAATAATCATGACACGAGTGCTTTAGAACTTATAGAAACCATCGATATAGCAAATGCTTACAAGATGCTGAGAGGAGGTCTGAAATCCAAATTGAAAGAATTGGCCTCCATCTTTCCATGCAATAGTTGGATTGTTTTATCATCTCCAGCTTTGATTAATTAGAAATTACGAGCAGAAGCAATTTTGGCTCGTCTAATTATATAGTCATTTAACATTACCCAAAGAAATTCAGCTAATAGCAATCCTTCTCCTAATTGTAATGTGGTCTTAATGTAATTAATTCTAATAAAATGATAATTCCATCAAATTACCTTCCCATTGTTTTGTATCTAGGTTGAGAAACACAGTGTCAAAATATCTCGGTTCATTTGCCATGATATTAGTCTCGTACTCTATTTTCATCAATCTCCTCCTCTTCTAACCGATCCAATCAGGAAATTGCAATTAGGCAGACTCTGGGTACCCATCATCATAGACAACCATGGAAGTGCCCCAAATGTTCCTTTCTACACATCCTAAATATGAATCATTATATTTCTAGTATTTTTCACATTTGTTATCATATATCTATATTTCTGCATGTGCTTCCAATTGAACTCCATAGAGATACTGTTATTAATCACTCTGTTTTTTTATTATGTAGATATGTGGATATTCTGAATCTTCAGTTTGATCTGGAATGTCAGCATTTCGCAATACTTGAAATTGAGTATACTCATTGATTGGCTTGAATACTGCGGCTCTCTCCTTCTCATATTATTTATATAATGGGTAGAGGAATGTTGTATTTATTTTCAACGAAAAACCCTTAGTATTGACTCTAATGATATTGGGTTTTTCTATGGATAATTGTTTTAGATTCTGTATCACATCATTTAATAGTGGATCTGTGATTTCCTTAAGGATCCCGTTGTAAAAGTAGAGGATTTATTTTACTAATCTAAGAATAAATGAGACACTTACTTGTACATATACATCTGATACTTGGATTCATAGTGGACTGTTACTAATAGCAATTTCATTATGATTTCTAAGGTGGGTTTTTTGGTTAAGAATTTAAAGGTGAGATCTTATGCAATTTCATCACTAAATAGACATCCACAAATCAATAGTCCATATAATGATTTCAAATCCTGCGATTGAAGTAGCAATTAACATTCAGTCGAATTCTCCCTTATTTTAAAGAATTCGAAATAGAGTAGCAAATCTTGTTCTTCTGGCAATCTTATGCCATTTGATCCACATACAGGCATCTTAATCTAAATTTATAGATTACTTTGATCAAATCCTGCTTCTCTATGTAATTCTATTTTAACAATTTAATCTGTTGGACCAATTGCCTTTCAACAAATACATTATACTCCTTTTTCATTCCCAATTCCTCATTTTCTATATTTTCTTATAAGAAATGTTACCTATCACATCGTCGAACACTATGTCAATTTCATTGTCCACATTGTCTTCTCTCAATTCCTTCTAGGCCACAAACTAACTCTACTATAATAATGATACTTCTGGAGTGATAGTGCATTTCACATAAATTTATACAAAGTTTTCATTTGACAACATTGGAACCTTGGAATTTGCTGGCTTGTCCTCAACAGGTTAACTCATTTGATTAGCACCAAACAAACTCTTCTAAAATCGCTCTTCTCTTTATTGCTACAATAACTTCAGATCTATTTGTTATTTCATTAAATGAATATAAAAATAAAAAATAAAGACAAATATTTAATCAAGTGTCTTCATTCTCTGTGGTGTGAGGCCACGCATCTATTATTTCGCAATTATCCCAAGACATCTCAAATACACTAACCTTCTGTATTAAGTTGGAACTACTATTCGTTTCCTGTTGTGGCTACATTCAACCACTCTGGGTAATTCGACATCCACTCGTGTGGTCGATGTATATAATACATTAGAACTTCATTCTTGTACCGTATGTATTCCTGGGGATTCTGAGTTTCTCCTCTTAAAATCATTGCTGTGGCTTTTTATTTCAAGTACCATAACAAATATTGTCTAAAAGCTTGTTTTCTATTCCTCACTATCTAACTATCCTCTTTCATCTAAACCAAATGTTCCCTCAATACTCTGAAGCCAGTAATTTATTCCAATTATCTGTTATAGTATATACTGAACAATTTGCCATCATCAACCAATTCTGATATGTAGGAAACGCAATCTTTGTCGTTATTCATCGACTTTATGGCATGTCTTAATATGTTTCTGCAAATGTTCTTCTTATAATCTTTTTAATTCCTGTCTTTCTTGGAGGATTTCCTTATTTTCTTAGCTACAGTTTAACTACTTTCCTTCTTACTCACCTCTTGGTGACTCAGTTAGAGTTGGTTAACAATATTCGTTGATTTCTACTCAAAATCGATTTCAAATTCTTATTAGAATGAATCATTTTTAAAAAGATTCAGCTTTTAATACTAAATTTTGTTGTGTTCTTCGAGGTTCGAACTGAAATTATCGAAAGATTCAAAATCGCTTAAGTATTGATGTAACATTTTGGTTTAGATATTTTATTTATTTTTAAATATTTCTTTTAATATTCAAATCATCTATTAATAATCTAAACACATTATTCTTTAATAATTATTAACTTTCTTGATGAATTCCGATTCAGAAAATGATCACATTATACTTACTATATTATATAATAAATTAATATTTACTCTAATTCTTCATCCCGAAACCTTCATTGTTATTCTCCTCTTCTCAGTTCTAATTCATAAATTTGTAAAATTTTCTTACAATGCCCCCATTTATCTAAAATTACAAATTAATTATTAACTAATTTACTAAATGATAAACATCTATTTATTTGATTGATAATTTAGATAAATAACTATTAGATGGGATCCTGCTCACTAAAATAACCATAAAATTAATAGAACATTAAAGTAAAAAAGCTGTACTCCTGTGAAAAATAGAATTAGGAAACCTAAAATATACGCTAGCCTCCATTATAAACTAATAATGAGAATATCAGATTAAACACTGCCTCAGAAGAATGCGATATCTAGGAGAAGATATATCAACTTTAAATTACTAAAACGGAACCCTTAACATTTTAATCTAAAAATTCATTTGCAATGCACAGCAAAGATGGTCTAGAAATTAATATCAATTAATCGATGTCAGGATATGGCATGATTTCATTTAAGGATGGCAGCCAATACGAAGGTTACTTTCAAGAAGGCTTAATTCATGGCTTTGGCAGATTCACAGACATCGATAATAATATGTATATTGGTGAATGGTTTCAAAATAAAAAACAAGGCTTTGGCAAGGAAGTAGTAATAAGTATCTAAACCCTTTATTATAGATCAGTACTTATATCAAGGATAATTTTTTAACAATTTCAAGCATGGCAAAGGATATGCGCAATATCAAGATGGCACTAGTTATGAAGGCTAATTTTAATATAATCAGCTTCATGGTTTTGGTGTTTATAAAGGGTTAAATGGCTTGAGTTATGTTGGGAACTGGGTTGATAATTCAATGGATGGTTAAGGAAAGTTAACATTATCTAATAGGTCAGTCTACGAGGGTTCTTTTAGATAAAATAAAAAGCATGGGTATGGGGTTTATACTTGGGCTGATGGTAAACAATACAAGGGGTATTGGAAGAATGATGCATAAGATGGGGAAGGAGAACTGGTTAAATAGGATGGGTAACCTATACAAAGGAAGTATTAAAATGGTAAACGAATAGCCTCCAATCTCAAAATACTAAGTCCAATCAGTTTTGATTGAATTTTAGTCTTAGCAGAACTTAACTTAAATCATATTAAAAATTGTACCATCTTTATATTTATACTAATTATTATTACTTAAAATCATTATAAAGAGAATTTTTGTAAAAAGTTTGAAATTGAAATTTTAGTTCTACTTTTTAAAATAAGTTTACTTTTCTACACGAAACAAAAGATATTTGAAATAATACATAAATAGGTTTTGCGTTATTTTAGAGTCAGACTTCTCAAAATTTTAATTTAGAATATCTTGTTGATTAGTTCAATTAATAATTAATTATTCAATAAATGCATATTGTTTAAATAGAAATTGTGAAGTACAAGTATTTTTAAATTACAGATTTTCAGATTATTAGAGATGGATGTGAGGAGAATATTATAAAAATTAAATAATAAAAAAATCAGTATTAAATAGTTGATCCAACTTATTGGAATATCAAATTTGAATTATATTATAAATATTAATAAGTATATTAAGGTATCATATTGTAAGATCTTAAATTTTGGATAGAGAATGAGATGGCTTCCAGATTGGTATGACTTAAATTATTATCGACTGCTGTATATTATGATATTATAAATATTCACTCCATAATCAAAATTTTAATTAAATGGCATCTTAAAGTGAAGAAAAAGATTTAATAGGATCCATATTAAGTGGTACTTCTAATTAACTATTCACAGACGATGAGATTAAATTAGTGCCAAGTTTGTGCAAGAGAAGAAAGAATTTATCACTAAAATCAAAAGAATTCAATCCTGAATAGCATGTCAATTAGCAAGATATTCACACTTCGAATGCTAGCATAATTTCTACAGGATAGGTATCTTAATAGAAATAGCGAATATTTTTTCATACATAAACTTCTATAGAAATGTATTTATTTATATATAAATAATCCAACTGTAGACAGTCTTAATTATCTAGTGCCTTAATTTAAACATCAGAGTAGGAAATCTGTGGTTCAGCAGAGAATTTTTAATGTATTGAAATTGAAAATATATCTGGGTAGCATTGGATTCAATAGAGAAACTGTAGATCAATTACAAAGCCAAAAAGCATCTTACTGTATAACCATTAGAATATTAACACACACAATGTTAGTTTAAAAGTGATCAAAGTCTTGATGGGAAAATGTAACTTAGTTAAATGGATCTTGTAAATATAATAATTAAGAATTCTTAGGAATAAATATGTGGCAACCAATTTATAAATAGAAAATTATAAAATGCTTTGGATGGTAATGATTCAAATCAGAAAAGACTCATTTTTTGTCAGGTTGAAAAGATATGTGTAAAAGCAGCTAAAGACATGTTTGGTAATTATACAGTGTAAAAACTATTTGATGTTGCAGATTACGATTAAAAATTTAAATTATATTCTCTCTTGATTAGTCATATTCTGGAATTATCAAAAAACTAATATGCTTGTAGAGTTGTTTAGAAGATGATAGAATTCGTAAAGTAACCATATATCTATTCAAAAGAGGTTCTCCTGAACAAATTGAATCATTCTTCAAAACGCTTTATCCACATATTCATTAATTATTAAATGATGTTAATGGCAATTATGTTTTGCTCTCTTGTTTTGAAATATTAGACAAATCTACATTACTGTTTGTCATACCATACATTGAAGAATGTGTAATTAATTAAATAATTTAAGATTGCAATTCTCTCTAAACAGACTTATGGTTGTAGATTAATTCAAAAAGTCTTAGAACTATATCCTTTGGAAATAACCTAAAGGATTTTAGATATATTGATTTCTTTCGCCTATTAATTATGCTATTAGGAATTCGGAAACTATATAATCTAATACCTTCTAAAGAGTGGGCCACAAAAGGAAAGATTAATTATTAGCCAAATTATTAAGGAAAATTTCGAAAAATTAAGTATTAATAAGTTTGGTAGCAATACCGTTGAAAAGTATATCGATCTAATGGGACCTTCCTAAATTATTAAGAACTTATGTACAAAATCAAATGATTAGTACACTATTGATTAATTTTAGATTTGTATTTTATAACTTATCCATCCATCCTTTTGGAAATTATGTTATAAAAAAAGTTCTAATAAGTGCGGATCCATCAGTTCACTATCTAAGATAATTATTGAAACAGCATCCAGATCTTATTTAATAAATTAAAAACTCGGAATTCGGATAAAGAGTTGGTTTAATTTTGGATACTGTATGAGTGCATTAACTTGTAATAGTAACTTGCTTATGAGTTTTTATTCTGTTCAAATATAAATAAATATTTAATAGATTCAGCATTGCATTCTCATTCTGGTTAATTTCTCATCAGCCATTAAATTACAACCTTTGCCTACATAAATAATTGTTAATTCCTTCGAACCTATTAATTACTCAATTCTATTCTCAATATCTTTTCTTGTAATCCCATTTATTTAGTCCTTGAAGCCCTCTAAAACAGTCAATTTTCCTTTTAAAATGATCTACATACATAGACTATATTCTTACATTTTCTAATTCATAGATAAGTTGATCATGTTATCTTTATAAGTTTGAATAATATTTAGTGATAACAATATTCTTTGCTCTAATAATTTCATTATCACTTATAACCCTTAATTTTTAGATTTCTTCAATAGCTAAATTGTAAATCTCTTATTTCTATAATTAAATGTTATTTCTACGTGTGTATTCATTCCCTTTAAATAAAGGCCGAATAATCCAAAATCACTGAAACCTTGGGATATACAACCAGCATTTGTGAGAAAGTTGTTATATTGTAACACTATGATGAAAGTAACAATTACATTTATCATAACATCTTGATTTAACTTTGAACCCAATCTCTCCTTTTTATTCATCTAATGGATTATTCAATAAACAGACCTAAATTTCCTAAAATCTCACTAATAATTGTATCAATTTGCAAGTGTTTTTCATCTTATAAAGATGGACCTTAAAATAAAAGAAGCACTTCAAAATCGCTTGTAATTTAATTTTCAATTCTTATAGTTTAACTTTTAAATTATTCTATTTAATAAAATGGATCAAAAACTCTCCCTAAAACTACATAATTTGAATTGAAAAGATTACATTCTTAATAATTAGGAATCAATTGTTCAAATATACTAACAATCTCCTCATGTTCTCTTCTTCCTTAATATCCAATTATGCAATTATTTTTTGTAATTTGAGTACTTTAAAAGGTTTAAAAAGGTTAGTCTTCTGGGATAACATTTAATAAGCTTAGTTATGGAAAATAGACTTTCAACAAAATTTGTGATATTGAGCCATGAAATTTTTACTATTAGACGCTTAAATAATTTGAAATTTTGGATAATTATAATGTCATTTTCTATTTTTGAAGTGCTACACTACATATATAGTCAGCAGCACTTATGCGATCTTCATCCAAGAATAGACAATTTATATTATGCAATTCTGGGGTTATCATAAAATTAGACCAAGATTAAGATTCAAATAGAAATTTGCTAAATTGAAAAATATGCTTACTCTATCTACAAATGTTACAATATTTTTAGTGATACTAATGAACCTTATTATGCTGAGTTTTCTGAACGAATACCTCCTCTAAACATGAAGCAATAACTTTCATAAGTTTAGTTTGAATATTTTGAGTATAATGTGATGCCTGATCTTAAGGTGGTGATTTCAGGTTGGATGATGTTTGAAAAATAGAATTTCAACATCATTTTGATAATTATATTAATATATATATATAAGTTATTAAAAAAATTGTAAAAATAATTTCTCATTATTTATTCCTTAATTTTTTAAGAAGAGTATTAACAAATATTATAATTTTTCTAGTTTGTCTGGAATTTAATCTAGGATCACAAGCAGTAGTATATTTATTAGGATTGATGTCTTCATCATTTTCTATACATTCAGTCACATCATAAGGTGTGCACTCTAAATGTAACCCTGCAGGAGTTTCATTCTGTTGTTCCAGAATTGCAAAGAACTATTAGATTTCATACATAATGTCTTCTATTTTCCTAATCTTACGACCACTTTTATCCAGATTATTACCATGCATAGGATCCAAAAAGAATGAAATATTTAATTTTTCCTCTTATTTCCACTGAATTATGTCTTTCAATTTGTCTAACTTATTTTTGCCTAATCTAATAATAGCAAATGCTCTTCCATCTTCATTTTTTGGATTTATTAACTTAAACACACTAACAAACTCTGTCTTATTGATTGTTTATCCAATCTAAATAGATTTCAAGAATTACCTTAACTCCAACCGGATTGTAAATGCCCTTAATAAAATTTGAATGTGCATGATCATGCAATCTTGTCCTGTCCCCAATCCAAGGAAAATGAGTATTCGATAAGTAATACTACTTATCTTAATTTTATTTCACAAAAGCTGATTCATATCCAAGATGTAAACATTCATGTGAAACCCAAATTTGTGAGCCCTCATACTGTTTTAGAGTCTCAATACCCTTTTTGGTGTAGTGTGCTCCCAATAATAAACGCGAAGGATCAGGATCCCTCTCATCTCTGCTCAATGAATTAATTAAATCGCCTCTATAATTTAATGTGCCATCCTTTTCAAGTAATTATGATCGTGGTTTTGCAAATTATCCACAAGTCCTACCAATAACTATTGCATCTAAAATTTAGCCCATTCGCTACATAACTTTGTTTTTTATACATCATAAAAACTAAATTTCTCTTTCCAGTGTTTTTCGGTACATTCATCAAATACTTCTGCACAATCACCCAATTACAGAACAAATTTCTCGCCTTTACTAACTCGAATCATTTAATTCTTGAAAGCATTGATATCTTCAAAATTTAGGATTCCTGGAAGATTTTTTATTTTTTATAGAGTATCTTAACTAATTTCAAAAATATAATTACTATAGTTGAGCATCTGAGTATATTGGTAACTATAAGGCTGAATACTTTTTCCAACCATCTATACTCCATTCTTTATCTTAATTCATAAATAAATTTTAATTTTGGTTCACATTCAATCACATTTACTTAAATATTATAATCATTTTGATTATTAACCTTAAATAACTTTAAAGATGATCTTCTTTTATAGAGTAAAAATAACAATATATTTTAAATTTACTCTATTTATATAATTGTAGTTGTAAAAAATTTCAAGGATTATTTCGGTTAACTAAGCTAATTTATTCAATTTAACAGAACTAGGTGTAATTAGGCGAATAGATTTCATAACAATTATATATATAAGCATAAATTTATAATTTTTATGTATACGTTACATTGTTTTATATTAATTTCATATTCTTATCCAGCCTTCTCTTAAAATGCATGGTTAAATTTACAAACAGCTTCAAATGATGTATTGTGATCTGCTTGGAGTCCTGTGATTTGCTAATTGATACAAAAGTAAGTTTTCAAAGCAAAAAATGAATTTTTAGTTCTCGCTGAAGTTTAATAACTTTTTGGTTGAAAAATGAAAATTAGCATTTTATAAATCTAAAGTGATTTTTGGTTAATATATAAATAAAAAATGCTTGCTCTTCTTCTTCTTACAATATATTAGGTCAAGGCTTTAACGGTTCAATCGCAAGCTGTAATTAAGGAACATTATGAAGGTGATGACCTTTTTTCTATTAAATTTAAAATAACATCTAGTGATAAAATGAATACTATATCTATAGACCTCAAAGAACTTAAATGTTTGTAAACATCAATTGTAATAAAATCATTTATTTCCCTAGATAACACCAATAATCATAAAAGCAGATTAACAAAATCCATACATATTTGCTATGAATTTTGAAACCAATACAATTATGGTAACTTTGGACTAAAGATAGATGGTTTATTCCTAATTGGAAATACTATTTGAAATCTCTGAATTTTATTATCCTACATTCAATCAAAATCTTAATTATGATGTGAGGGTCAATAATTAAGACATAAATACTTTTTAGCTATCTAGAGGAAAAAGATTTTTGAGTTCTTTATAAATTTAGAGTGGATCATCAGTAACATAAGAATAGACAGATTTAAATATTTAGTTTTCTAATAGTTATAATAACTATATGTATGATGTTATTATTATTAAATTTGATTCTACCTATGCATTTGATCAAACAATTTAATCCTGTGAAGGAATTGAAAACATCGGTAAAAATTTAAATTGTTGGGTAAATAATAATAATATTTATGTATAACAAAGGGAGGATGATTTTGTATAAAAAAGTAAAGACAAACTCATAAAATTTATATTAAAAGGTTTTCTGAATTCTTATTTTGTTGGAACATTTGCGATAGAAGTAGTAATATAGCCAATTCAATTTTTAGACACAACAATAATTTCATCAAATAATTTTTTTAACTATTAAGTCAAAAATTAGAAAAAATCCTCAATTATTCTTAGCTAATAAAATAATTATATCAATTCATTATCATAGATTGATTTTACAATCCATACTTAAAGATTTAATTAGTACCTTTAATTGGAAATATATATTCCGAATAAATCATCTGAAGATCTCGTTATTAAATCAAAAGATACTAATATGTTAGTAGAGGTCATAAATATTATTAACAAGAGTAATTAATTATTAAAATTAACTATCAATTAGCCAAAGACTAATTATGATATCAAATTAGTAATAGAAAATTATCTAAATTCTGATATTCCTTCTCAAGAATAATGCTTGTATTTTTTGACTGAAATATTTGATCTAACAGATGATTAATTAAAGATCTAATATGGTAAAGGGATCTTAAATTTCATTCCAAATAACATCAAGTTGATATCAATTGATACTACAAACAATTTCATAACCAAAAGTACAAAAACCATAGTTAAATTTGGAATTGACATTGAACTCTAAAAAGATTGTAAATTATGAAATTAATATTTTTAGCCTTATTGCTGATTAAATTAAATGAGAATTTAAATACATCCAAAATTTCAACACTGAATTAAGTCATAAATGATAATACTTTCAGTCTATATGGAGTATTCGCCTAATAAAAATCAGAATATACGATCGAGTTTGAGAATATCATAAATCCAATTCTGCCATCTAAGTTTAGTTATTTGGATTTATAAATTATATAATCAAATGAAGTATTTGCAAGTAATCAGAATTAAATTGAAATTGAGATAGTACATGAAATTATAACGACGAGTAACTTTACTCTCGGCTATTTAATAACAAATTCATATACTAATTTGAATTTAGATATAAATTTTAACTAATAGCATCCATACTTCACTAATGTTGAAATTATATTTGATGAATCTAATATAGATTTTAATTAACTTACTAAATAAATAGAATGCTATTTTGATACTGCATCTTACACTTGTTAAATACATCAAAATAAGTTAACAATTTTTGGTATTCTACTAAAAAAAAACTCAGCTCATTTAGAAATTTTACATTTCCCATATCCAAGATCACTACAACCGTTAATTATATAATCAATCAGGTAATTCAACGCCAGCATAACCCTTTCATAATCAGCACAAGCTTAATCAACATAACCTACATATCAGAGAGAATTCAACCAATTCTAGATCTCCTTGTAATCTGTAATTAGGAAATTATAAACAGTGCCAATGAATATTATCCTAATTCCTTCATAGGATATCTTGAATCAAGAATATTTAATTTTTAAATTTGATAACTATTTGGAAATTTAAGGAGATACCAACTGCTAAATGAATAATAATTTAGTCAGTATTTAGTGCGAATTCACAGATGGATAAATTAAGATCTAAATTACAAGTGGTTCTTTACTTCGAAGCATGAGTTACAATATTTTGATAACTAAAATAAAGGTAATGCGAGAATACTTAACCTTATAGATGAGTGCCTTCACTAAAAACAATTACTTATCATAGTAATCATTTTGTGCTTTTAAAATTAAATAATAATCATAATCATCTGAATTTCTGGAATTCACATTTGACCCTATAAACACTGATTTTTCAAGCTAAAGTAATTATCATTTATTTTTTGAAAATGCAATTACTATACCTGTTAATGGATATCTATAATTATCATCTACAGAATTAAGCATTGACTTTTTATAAGGACAAGTTATCCAAGTCTCCGGAGATGAAGATATTTCTAATACTAAAATCTTTAAGTAAAACTAAAAATATAATTTATTATTCTATTTCAATAAAGAAGTATAGAGTGGAATGCATCTATTAAAAATGTAAAATGTTATTAATCCAGTTTATTAACAAAGAAAAGAGTATTATACTTTTTCATTGGAAAGTTATGATCAAAATAATAATCTTTTGGAATTTAAAGAATATGATCTCTATTCCATTTTTGGGTGCCCTTAATCAAAATGCTAAATTTGTAATTAATAAGAATTTTGTGATAAATGTGAAACTCCATATGTATTATATCAAGGTTAATGTTTGAAGTAGTGTCCTGCCAATACTGTTTTGATTGGTAGTCAATGTTAAAGATGCAATACAGGTTTGAGTTGTTTACAATGCAGCAATATTGATACAGTTTTATGTTCTAGATGCAGTGATGGCTATGATCTAATAAATGGATTTTGCATATGGACAATAATATCCAATTCTACTTAAAACCAAAATTCTACGAATAATACAAATAATCATAATAATAATACTAATGCTAATAATAGTACTACAAATTTAACAAATACAACTATTAAGTAACAATAAATTTATGATATTCAAATATTTGCAATTATTGTATTATCTTTTGCAATCATATTTATACTTAGAAATATATTTAGGAAATAAACTGACTTTAATAATGCCTTTTTGGCTTTTAGTGGTATTTTTGATTTTGTTTTACAATTTAGCCTTTTTGCTATAATTCTAATAAATTACAGCATTTCTTAATCTATTATTTCATTAACTTTATGTTTTGTTGCTATCATTTAGCAACTTTATGCTTATTAAATAATTAAATTGCCATTGCAAGTAGATATTGCCTATTAAAAATGCTAAGAGCGTAGCAGAATTGCCAAAATACTAAAAGTTTTTATTTTATTCATTGATTGGAAGACAATCTTTATCCATAAATCAGGAATCACAAATTCTAAACTGTTTTCTGTTCATTTTCAAGGTGAGAGCAAATTAAATAGAATATTTAAGTTTTTATTCCTTGTTAAAATTGCCATTAATATAGCAAATTTAGTTATGTTAGGAACTATTTTAATTTCATAGCATCAAATAGCTTAATTGATTTATGAATCAATTTTTTATCATCTGGCTATGATTATCATTTAATTAAATAAGTTTTATTTGATTAAGCATACTTTGAAAAATGATATTCCTATTGATATTATGACAGATTAATTGAATTAAGATAATGAGAATGAGAACCAAAATTAATTTAAAAGCACAGCCAAAGTAACTCCAGAATTATGATTCTATAATAACACTAATTTCTTATTTTTTATTTATAAATTATATGATTTAAGCAATTCAACGAATAGGGACTTTGAATTTAAGAAAATCAAAAAAGAAATAAATTTAAAACAACTACAGGACCCTTTGGTGTATTCTAAGAATATTAGAAAAATAAATAAAACTGAGGATTTACATTTCTTAGATAGCTTTAAGAAAAAGGGAGAGTTTATAAGAAGATAGTATCAAATAATCAAAAGTATTAAGGATATTGAGATTAGAAAATATAAGTAGCTTATTTTAAAGATACTTGAAAATAAGCTGAAATACCTAGTAAATACCAATAAACATAGATATTAATTACTTAAACTTTTAGTCTATAAAAGCAAAAGTCTATTAGTCTAATATCATTATTTAGATTAATGAAATAATTAAAGTAATATTAGACTGAAAGTTTAGCTAAGATGGGCAGAGAAAATATTAAAGACAAACTTAAATATTTGATACCCAATTATAATAACTAGAAACAAATTATTAACAAAGAAAAGCAATTGACTTAAAGTTCAATCAATACTCGTAATAACTCAAAAACTAGTTTGTAAATAAAAGAGAACAATTAGATGAATCTCAAAATAGTAAGTAAAAAATGGCTACTAAAGAAAAGGTAGTTATAATAACAGCTTCCTCAATTGGATCGACCTTAGTTAATTATAAAACCTTAGATTATACTAAAATTATTTGTTAATTGCTAAAAAAGATAAAAACATTGAATTTGCAATATTTATTATTAAAATTAATACGTTAAATCAAATTTAATTAATTTTGTTCTAAACATTTAAATGATAGTGTTACCCAAAAAGGCATTTAAACTAGCATAAAGTAATTTCTTTTCTGTTTCAAAAGGTTTCCTCAAAATTTAATTATAATACAAGATTAATAAAATCAACAAGGATTAAAATTTTATTTAAAATAGATATGTTGTTTATTGAATGATTTATAATAAAATATATTCACTATATATAATATAATTGATCCAATCCTCTTCCGTATTCATCCCAATCCAATCCATAACCAATGATAAATTTATCCTCTACTTCTGTGCATAGGTAGTCTGGTTGGATATTTATTTTTTATTTTCCTTATTATCTATTTATATTTTACCAGTCTTAAGAAAACAAGCACATAATTTAATGCTTGCTGGTTCTAGTTTCTTCATTTCTTCAATGACTGCTGTTATAGTCAATCCCGTCTCAATTATATCTTCGATTATTATAACATGACGACCTTTGATGTCATTTTTCAATCCAGTTAATGCCTTTACTATTCCAGTCGACTATTTACCTAATCCTTATGAATTATGAAATACCATCATAACTAGATAATTTGATAAAATCTATTTAAAATTTAAGCTAAGGATCAACAGCTCTTATCAAGTCTGCCATAAACATGAAAGCTCCATTTAAAACTCCAATAAAAATTGGGTGCTTTTCTTAATAATCAACTGATATTTAATTTGCAGTCTTAGCAACCATGTTATTGAGTTGTTCTTTGGAAAAATACAATTAAAGCTCTTTGCCTTTGATTATTAAATTCATAATATTTTTTATCAAATATATATATCGAAATTTAATTAAGTAATTCTAATATATTTAATCAGAAATAATTTCATTTATTTAAATTGACTACTTTGACATTCCCGTTAGGATATTCTGTCTTCTTAATTCTATCATAATTTATGGTTTATTTAACTCCATCAGGGTAAAAGATCTCCTCTTCTCCTTTATAATTAACAAATTTTTTGGTCCCATCTTGGAATAATATCTATTTACTACCATCAACAAATATAATTTCCAATTACTTATTGCTAAAATAAGTCACCTAAGTATATAATTTAATCTTACTGAAATTCCTTAAGGCAATGAACTTTGAGTTGAATTATTTTTTGAATGATAATAAATTTTAATTCCGTTTGGAAGTTCTTGCTTAATATCTTAATTGGGGAAGTGAACGATAACGTAATCATTAGGAAATATTTCTTTTATGAATCCTTTCATTCCCTCAACAACCTTCTTTCCAGATTTAAATATCTTCAATATTTTACCATCTGATCGTTATTATTTTTCTACAAGTTTTTCTTTTTTTTTGGATTACTTTAAATAATCTTTATAAAATGAATTGTAATCAAATGAAAATTCTTCAATAAATATTTTCTTGTTGATATCATCAATTGAAAATTTAAATTCTTTATCCTATATCAATTCAAATAATGGAACAGGTTTTACAATTTCTTAAATTTACTCTTATTGAATTTTTTGCTCATTTGCTTTTTTCTCAATTTCTTATTGTTAAAGTTTCAGTTTCTATTTTTTTTAGTTTTCAATCAACTCCTAAACTTCAGTATTTGATTCATATTCATTAATTATTTAGGTTAGTTATGCAATTTTTTATTAATAACTAGTAATTTACTCTTCTAAAAATGTTGTTTACTCAATTTTATCTTTGTAATACTTTTAATACTTTTATTTCTTTTCCTTTAATTTTTATTATTTTTTATCACTTTCTATTTTGAGATCTTCAATTTATTTCTTCAAGTTATCAATTTCTTAAATTAAAATTTGGTTTGGTTCATTCGAATGAGTCTTTTGAATCATATCCAAAACAGCTTATTTCTTTTTAATTTTCTCATATTCTTTCTTTTTTAATTCTTCAAATTCTTATATTTAATTGAATTTATTGTACTCAAACATATCTTTTTCGTATTTTAATACTTAAAATTGATGATTGATATCTAATTTCTCTTTTCTCAATCTTTCATTTTCATTTTAATAATATTCAATTGAGTTTTAAAGTTATTCGATTTGTTCTTTAAAGTATTTCTTGGCGTTCTCGTATTCTTCTTCCTAAGGCTCTTCTATTTATTCTAAGGTTTCAATTTATTTATGATATAGATTTGTATCAACGAATTTCTTCAACTATTTAACTTATTAATTAATATTGAGTTAGACTAAAGGAACTCTCTGGCCAGTCTATTTATAATTTTCTCTTTAACATGCTAATAAGAAATTACTTTTCTTCTTTAAATATTCGGCATGCATTTTTTGCTTCTTTTCTAAACTTTCTTCATCTCTAATTTGATAAAACTCTTAGTTCGTTAAGCGTTAAATTGGCCTATTATCTTCAATACTGAGATAGGATTAATCCTATTACTCTTCATTAATCCTCTAAAAGTCCTCCTCATCTTAAAAACCAATGCTTTGTAATTGTTTTTAATTTTAATCTCTTTTAGATTTTATTTTTAATTAATTGATTTTAGATTAGTATTGAATTTCTTGTTATTTTTGAGGTTTGTTATAAATAATTTAGCCTTGTTCTAAATCATTAAATGGCTAAACTAAATTCATCATATGCTTATAGGAATCCTTAATAAATTTGAAATAGTACTTTAAAGTAATTCTTAGGGTCATATTGCTGCATATCATTTGCTTATTAATTATCGTATTCATCCATAATATTTTATAAAAACTCTTAAAAGCCTATTGGCTATTCTTAATTTAGATAAATTTTAATTACCTTTACTTGAGGCTTAAAATTCTTCAACGAGTGCTTTCATTAGTTTTTCATTTGTTCTTGTAAAATTTAAATTATCATTTTATTATCGTTATTGCATAATGAGAATAATTAATTTATTTATATAAAAATATTAAGTGAGTAAAATAAAAGCAAAACATCTTTAAATCGAGATGAATTGTTCGCAATTACACATAAAAATTGATATTATAACATTATATTAAGATAAATAAAAAGAACTCAATGTATTCAAACTCCAATTTTATAATGTTCTGCTGAATGATTGCTTCCTCTTGATTTATTTATATATTATGATTATGGGTATTTGATTGGAGATTTAGAAGTAGGCTAATTTTCCCCTCTTGAATGTGTTATTCTGGCTATGGCATACAATTTATCTGTTGATACAGAAAAGTTAAACTAAAGTTCTTTAATTTTGCTCAGCAATAAGTGACGATTAAATTCATCTGTCATTTACTAGTTTGAGTTAAAGTCTTACTTATTATTTAACATTTTATTACAAGGATGTTTTATTTGTTAAGGATTATTAACTAGCAAGATTAGAAACTGTTATTTTTGGACTGGCAACACTATCTAATTACGCTATTTTGGATAAAACATTGGTGCCTTTTTAAATATAGATTTATGTAGTTACTGTTTTTTGATACTGATGATGAGACAATCCTTGGAGATGAGGCTGCTGTAATATTTCTAGCGATATATCTTTGACTTGAACTCTACCTTTCATTTTTTTCTACTTTCAAATCCTCACTATTTATCCTATTTATCAGTGTATATATTTTTCCATAATCCAATGGTTATGTTTATAATAAGCATAAAAATTATTCCCAACTTTCAGACAAATAGGCTTATTAATTCTATGGATATTATGCCAGATTTATTCTAAAGAATTGATCAAATAGAGCAAAAAGTGAGTCCATTTTAAATAATTTAACGATTAAAAATTACAGAATATATTTCTCTATTTTTATAATTTTATATATAATCAATAATAAAATACACTCAAAATTGAATTACTTTAAGATTATTTTCATAATCTAATCAATTAGTATTCAAAAAGTAATGTAATTAATATTTGAATAATATCATAATTGATGTGGTTGGGATCTTGTTTGAAATAATTTACTGTTTTACAATAAAGATGTTTATTCTGATTAATCTTAGAAAATTTAAGCTTTGTAAGTTGTTTAGTGTTTTTAAGATTGTTCTTCATCTTCCAATTCTTACAATTTCCTTTTCATTTATGAGACTGTAGTAATCATATAATCAAACGAGATTTTTGATTAATCTTTGGTTGAACGAGATGATTTTGATTGACTAGAATGATTCAAGGACATTTGCAACCCTTATCGATTTCGGTAAATCTTAAATTAAATTATAGTATACTTTTTGAATACTTGGAGTCTTTTTAACCTTAACTTCTTAATTCATAAATTTGTTAAAGAATTATGGCATGGCTTCTAATCTATTTTATTTAGGCTATGGGGGTGTATTTATTGCTGTTGAACGTTATTAGGTATTAGCTGTTTTCAAAACACTAGGTTTACCACCTGAGGCAATAGTTTTTTACTCCATTACAGGAAGCAATGATTAATGAAAATTCTAAGTAAAACTACTCTTATTAATTTCTAGCAAGGTATTTTGCAAAAGAATATTATTGGCTTATTAATCTTCTACCTTTTTTTTTAAATTTTGAGCTGCTGTCTTACTAATTTAATTAGATTGAATATTTATACACTTTTCTTTCATATTGAGTAAGATTACAACATTCAGTATATTTGAGATAACAATTCAAACAAACTTAAGTTTTTAGCTGTCTCCAACTAGGGTTGAATTTTAATAATTTGTATTTGTCTTCAGATAACTTTCCCCATACTTTCAAAATTAACGCAGGGACAGTATTGAAATTCAATTAACAATCTTCTTATTCTTCATCCAAATATCGACATAATTCTTAAATTTCAGCATGAACTTAATCATAAGTTTTTTAATTATTTACAAGTTTATATTTTTCAACCAATATTTCTTGTTGACTTTGTGTACCAGAAATTTATTAATTTGATTATTATCCAAAATAGTTTGACAATTAATAATCTGTTATTAAATTATAATATAATTACCTTTATGAATAAATTATTTTGATCTAGTTTTTATATTTTAGTTTAATTTGAGCAATTCACTTTTCTTGTCATTTTTCAACTTTATTTTTTACAAATCTTCTGGTAGTCTGGTGAAATCATTGCTTACAAGTGACTAATATCATAATTAATTTAAAGATACTCTATCAAAACTTTCAATGATTTACTCAAATTACAATTAATAAAGCTATTACGAAAATAAATCGCAATTCGAACAAATATTTTCTATTTAATACAATAATTCTTGGATTTATCCTTCGCTATTGTATTTAACAACTTTTTAGACGTTTTCTGATCCTGTAATGACAGGCTCAAGATCTCTTCTTATAATTTTAAATAGAGGAGAGTCTGTTCTATGTTTTTCTGGATGAGTAGAGAACTTATCTTTAACTTTGATGCCAGTACAAAACATCAACCAAATTCTATTCTCTTAATCTACTTTGAAATATAAAACCATTCTGATAATTTATATGTTTCCACCCGAGACTTCTTAGACATGCTTAACAATATTTACGCACAGCTATTCTAAATCAGAGCTCAACAATGGGGAACTAATAGAATCCGATTCTGATAAGTATTCAGGACCATCAAATGTACTAACTCTTTCGTATAAGGGTTTTTTCATTTCATTCATATTATTGATATTTGTTTTTCTATTAATGAGACAGAATTGAGGGGACCAAGTTACTTTAATCATTGAATTATGATCATTTTTTGGATAGATGAACCTAAAATATTCATTCAAATTCTTTACTTTTAAAGAATTGAATTGAGCTCCTTCTCTCTTTAATATAAGAATTTACCAAAGTTCTCTTAGTCAAAGTATTCGAAATTAATGATCTCTTATTATTTTGATTGAGCCTAAATTTTGATAATCGAAATACTTAACTCGTGAGTAAAACTGCAACAGTATTATCTTAAGAAAATGCCTACTCAACTTATTCAATAAAAACCCTTTCTTTAGTTTTCCTAATGATTTGGCCATTCTAGGCTGTAAAATATCCTATTGTATTGATTGTATATTACTAAAGTATGGTTGTGCCCATCTATATATCACAGTATCTGCAAGAAAGACTCCGTTGCAACTGTGTCCAGAATTGGGATTCTTTTTCCAAAGATGGAAGAAGAGCCACTCTGTGCAAGTTCCAAGTTTCATGAATTTATTAAATATTATTTATTTCACAATATAAATTTAGAATGATGAACATAAATTTTTATTGGTCAAAGCAATTAGGTTTTGATGAATTCCAATTGCTTTGATAATTTAACAATAATCATAAAAATAAATTTTGCTTTAATTCTTCTTATAACTAATTCTGGAATGTTTCATTCTAATTGATAGATTTCCTCTTACTTAGACTGCACTTTTAAATTAACTAAATTTGGAACTGCTAATTGCCAATCTTTGTACTCGATTGAATGCTGCTGGTGTTTGATAGTAGTCATCACTTAATAAATCAATCCGATATTTACTTATACACTTTTAAAGGGGTTTGGTCCAATTATTGCATCGAAAACATTTGTCTTGATTCTATTTGGACCGGTTGCACATTGCTTATATTTTTGTTCTCCTTTTCTTTCTCAATTTCCTTCATTTAATTTTTCTTATATATCAAATATTTTCTATGCATTCTATTTCTTCTAGGATGCTTACTGATGTATTTGCTTCTGATTTCAAACTTCATATATAGTTATAATACATTATTATTCAAATTGCTTCTAGTTCTCAGAGTGGTGTTTTAATTTTTTATTATTGCTGGCTCATCTATCTCATCTTCCTCTTCCTCGGTGTCTGTGACTAAGCTCACATACTTTTTATTTAAAAATATTATTTCAATTGCTTTCCTTTCAAAAGGGTTCACAAATTAATCTAAAATAGTATGCCTACCTTCTTTAATTCAAATTTAAAACCCTTTTTATTAAAATTGTTATCTTATTTTCAATAACTTCTCTCTAAACTCATTCATTCTCTTCTTCATGCCAGAGTTCCAATGATTCTTTATTGCATTATCAGTTCTTCCTTCTAAATGTTTAGCAATTTCTGCCCATTCATTACTAATTGCTTCGTGATACAAAAATAAAATCCACTCCTCCTCATATTCCCAAGGTGACTTTTTTATCAGCGGATTCAAATGATTGTGCCAACTAAATTACTCCAAATTACATACCGTTCCCTGCATTGTTTTCCAATTCTGCCTTACAATTTAGATGCTATAAATGTCCATTTGTGTGGTCCATATTGTTCCACTAATTACATTACCTAAGCATCTTCATAATCACTCCAAGGTTCTATCTAAATAAAATCAAATACTTTTTTTTATTTTTTCAACTTTTTTTCTCATTCAAAATTATAATTACTTACAATAAATATATAAAATTAACGATTATAAAAATCCATAATTATATTTGTGTCTTAGACAATCATCTATAGGTTCTTCATCTTAAAAAATAGTAACACAAAAGATTGCTTCCATTTCATTTAAAATCAGAAATATTACTATTTATTAACCTAAGATATTCATATTCATTAAGCTTTAATAATTTGTTTAAATTTAGAAAAATTCATAAAATGGTTTTAAATAACATCAATTTGTTTTATTCCCTTTTTCGTATTCATTAACAAATATAATACCCTGACCATTTCAACATTACTAAAACTTGTGGAACAAATGAATTACATCTAATTCCCTATAAATCAACTCCCTTGATCAACGCAACCACTGCTAAATCGGATTTCTATTTGTGTATTTTAGGAAAACCAAATTATAATTTTTATGAACAAGACCTAAATAGGCTATAAAATCCTTCCATAATTGAAGAATTTGAGAAATTTAGACTGTTTCTACTATTTTAAAAATAAGAATATATATTCTCAAAAGCTTTACTACTATCAATTATTTTAGTCTTAGGAATCTGTTTCTCCTTTTTCATAAGAAAAAGAATACAGAATAGGTTTGAGATTTATTTAAAATCCCTTTCTATTCTTGAAAAATTCTCTTTTATCAATCTCTTATAGTTGTTGTTCAAAGGAAGGGTTAGGTTCACTTGACTAAACTTATCGGCCAGTTTCTACATAGCATCCCATTTATTAAAATTTATTTATTATAAGTTTAAACCAAGTGGATTTTGTAATTCATTATACAATCATATTAATCAATGGTTACAAATGAAATCAAAAGAATTGATTTAATGAGTCACATTTTCTTTTATATATAGTTATTTTTGGCTCTAATAATTTTAATGATAATTTTATTATTATTTAATTGTCGTTATGAGTGACGATGACAATTAGCTTGATGTATCGAGCATTTCCATTATTAAAAAGTTTTTAAAATCTGAACTTCTTGATGAATCTGAATTTGAAGTAGATCAAGCAAATGAATAGAACAAAAAACCTTAATAGTTCAATTTCCATTTAATGCTTGATTAGAAAAATGATAAAAACTGTTAAAAAAAATAACCAGACCCCTAAGAAAATAAAGATCTAAATTATTTAATTAATGAATTAAGATTGGAGCAACAGAATTTCTAGGCAGAATTAGAACATTTATAAAGCTAATTTATATAAGAAATTAATTTTTTAATGCAGAAGGTTTTTGATTAACACAAGCTGTATTATAAGCAGCAAGAATATCAATTGTCCTTAATACAATAAAAGAAATAAAGATTATAACTGCAATCCCCTCAACAATCATATGCTCTTTTATATTAAACGAATCCAAATATATAAACATATTAGAAGTTTAATAAAGACCTAAAAAATAGTTTAGTAAAATTGCTACAAAACATTAAAACAACAAAAATTTGTTAAGACATCTTCAATGCACAAGAATAGTCATATCAATCTCAAACATCAAGATCTCCTCTTGCTTAATTAAATAAACTATTTTCAAGGTAAGGATCAATTGAAAATAAATAGCCATTTGCAAACAAAGTAAATAATACACACATGAAACTCAATCTCGTAATGCCAATGAAAAGAGATACTTAATCATTTTGGAATCAACCTAGTGAAAGAAAGTGTAGTATCACTTCGAAAATAAATTCAAGTCCTTTTGAAAAGAGAGAAAAATGCCTAGTTTAATAAGCTCTATTTAAACAGTCATCTGATTTCCTTAAATTTAAATGCTGATATTGAATCATACTATCATTTATATATGGATAAGCTATTAAATTTATTCTAACTGCTCTAATGTGTCTAACAATCAGGCATTATAAATTAATCAAATAATTTTAAAAAATAGGATTTAGGTTTTTTTGATTTCAATTTTCTGTCAAATACATATTTCATTTTTCCTATTATAGACTAGGATAATGATATTCTTGAATTATATTATTAAATTAAATAAAATTTCATGTAATCAAATACTCCATTAAACAATTCACGTCAAACATAAATCAAATTGCCAACCTAATTAGAGGAATAAAATTTAGGCCATACATCTCAAGTTCCTTATGCGATTACTAAGAATCCTATAGTTTAGAGAAGAGAATCAAAAAGAAAAACAAGCGCTTGATTTAATTTTGCATATTACATCTTGACAATCTTATAAATGAATTATATACTGAGATATTTGGTTTATATTGAATTTTACAGGACTTATCTGGTTATGAATTAGAGTTACATCATTTCGAAACAAATAAACGGCATGAATTTACAATAATTTACCACATGCCGTCTTTGATAAAAATAACTAAGAGTATAAACATTACACATAAAGTTAAAGGGGAGTCTGATCCAAAAAAGTACAAATAAAATTTATAAATTAAAAAAGCTTCCTTTGAACCTAAAATTGTAAATAATATTTTAACTAAAACTTTCTTAAATTATCTTCAATTTAGTATTTTTGTTTCACGACAGCCAATTTAAAATTATTAGAAAATGCAACTCTTCATTCTTATAGAAAGTAAATAATTTATAAATATTTGTAGAAAATGAATTCATAATTATTACTGAAATAAATAAATAAAATCATATTTCTAAATTTTTATTTTAATTAATAGAAACCACAAACAGAATGAAAATAGTATATAATCACATTTGTTAATACTAATTGAAATGAAGATCACAATATAGAAACAAATACAATTTTATGATTAATAAAGATCTCTTAATCTTTGAAATTCTAATTTTTTTAATTTTATTTTTGAAAAATTTATAATTCCAAAATTTTTGTAGTGGAATAAAAACGTGACTATTTAATCTAAATAACTTTCGAGATGAAAAAGTTTACCTCTCATAACACTATTCACATGGTAAATTGATAGAATATATATTTTTTTAGAGTTACCTTGAATTCAAAACCATAAATAAATTTCAACAAAACCTGAGTTTAAAAGAACTTCAATAATTATATTTAGATTAGCCACGAATGTGTAAATTAATTAAAATTAGAACACTCAAGAAAATAGGGAGAAGATTATAATGTAATATTACTCTGAGAAGGTAGAACAAGATGAAGAGTAAACGTAGATGAGCTTTACAATGTTGTATTGGATCTATATTTGGAAATCATATTGTTATAAATAATATATCAAAATTTTTATTTTAGTTATGAATAAATCTTCGAGTAGCAGTCCAAAACATCAACAATCTAATAATGCAAGGTCCAATAAATATAGAAACCTTATAAAAAATTCTAACTTATAACAGACTCATACATAAAAAGAAGTAGATGAGTTGTTAATTGCTTCACCTTTATAATCTTTCTCTGCTCCAAGAGGTCAGAAATTCAAAGCATCTTTTAGCAAGTTTTTGGCAGGAAATATAGATACTAAATAATTGATTGATCACAGCAATTTTCCAACAACAATAGACAAAATGAATGACAAATATGAGTATGTTAAATCTCATAAAGAATCTGTTAGCTCATTCAAAGATTAACTAATTAATAAAGAACATTTACAATTGAACTTGTTAGAAGAGAAATTAGCCAAATTGAAGATTGCAAGTAGCAAAATGTAGGTTGAAAACAAGAGAGAAAGACTTTATGAATTATCATTGCAAGTAAAGAAGGACAAAAGAAAGTTGTCAAAATAAGAGAACGCTTTATTGAGATGGAAGAAAATTAAAGATGTTAGTAAATATATTTAAGATAGGTAATACAAAAAAATATACAGTTAAGAAGGATGATAATAGAAGAAAAAAGAAAGTAAACCAAATTTTTGGATAATTTAGAGATTGCGTTTCATAAGTCCTCTGAGTTCTATATTTAGAATTTAAGATTCCATTAATTGCGTACAATGACAGTGTTCAAAGAAAAAAAGCTTTTTCAATCCAATCGCTAAAATATAAGTCCCAGACATTATCATTTTATGTTAAGTTTATAGTTTAAAGAAAACTCAGACAATTTCTTATTTACTCGACTTACAACAATACCCGAACATATCTAAAATCAGATGAAAAATAACGATTAAATTTATGATAGAATATTAAATCTTTATTTAAATAAAAAAGACATATATTTGTAATGGGTTTAGGAGTAAAAATATAGAAAGATTATCAATTGGAAATAGAGTAAATTGCAAGCACCAAATGATCTACATTCAAATCCTGTATCTGCATTAGGTTCAAAGAAGAGTAAACCAATGCAAAGAGTATTGAATCCTTTTTAATAAACTTAAAAAGTTAAAGATTACAAAAGCAAATTAATTGAATAAGTTAATGATGTTGAGTACATAGATTAAGACTCTAAGAGTCAATTAAAATAACTTTTACAAAAGAGTACCAAAAAGAAGAATTCAGAGGGTGTTATCAAACATAATAGATTTCTATCCTATCCTACTAATCCCAATAATGATTAGATTGATGATTTCTAAGATAATCTATCGAATGCCTCTATAACAGAAGCCTTATTGGATCAATTGTATTCAGGAGCTAACTCTTTATAATAGAAAATTAACAATAACAAAGGATTAACCTTTTAGAGGAAAGTCCGGGATTATTTGAGATTAGAAGAAATTAAATTATAAACTATTCGCGCTAATAATTTAAAACTAATCCCAAAATAAAATGATTAAATTAAATGATTATTATATTTAATTATGAGTGATGAGTTAATGATACCAAAATCTCCTCTGTAGTTCAGAAAAGTATTTAGTTTTTCTATCAAAGAGTTCAGAATATGAACCTCAACGAATTCTAGTTGGAGTTACTGGTGGTTCAGCTGCTGGTAAGACTACTTTATGCGAGACTATAAAAAGAGAGATCCAATATGATTCAGATGTTGATATGACAATCTTATCTTGTGATTCATTCTACAAGGAAGTTGACAAAACCAAAATCGATATTACTCAATATAATTTTGATCATCCAGACTCAATAGATTGGGATTATGCTTTTCAAGTAATTTCTACTTTGTTATCTGGTAAACCCTCAAAAATACCGAATTATTCTTTTGTAACTTATAAAAGAGAGGATGAAGATCAAATTGTATTACCAGCTCAAGTTATAGTGTTTGAGGGGATTTTATCTTTGTATGATGAAAGAATTCGAAATTGCATGTCGTATAAAATCTTCATTCATTGTGATGGTACTTTTCCACTTTAAATCATTTAGATGATATTCGATTGTGTAGAAGAATCCTCAGAGATGTTCAAGAGAGAGGCAGATCAGTAGAAAGTGTATTATTTCAGTACAGTTAGTTTGTTAAACGATCTTTTGAAAATTTCATCTCACCCTTTATGAGTCAGGCGGATCTAATAATTCCAGGTCATAGATCAAACCATGTATCTGTGGCTTTTATTGTGAATCATCTAAAAAACATGGCAAAATAGAATGGATTGCTAAGAGAGAAATTAAATACTTAACTTTATTTTGGAGATATCTTGTATTCAGTTGATGGTTTCATGCGTAATAGGACCTCAATGGATTTCACCAAATACAATTCAAATTACAAACAGTTATTTTTCCCAGAAGAACAACTAAAAAATGAATTGCTCTATATAACTCAAAATTTTCTGGGGGGGAAATTAACCACTAAGAAATCAATTTATAAAATGGTTAAACTCTGCTTCAAACAGACCTACATAATGTTAGAAAAATGTTTAGTTTAAAATAAATAAACATTCGATTAAGTTAAGTGTTATCATTTAAATGAAATACTAGCTAAGGAGTTTATTCCAGATAAGAATTTCAATACCATAATTATAGCCGTCCCCTACATATTTAGAAATGGAACACACAAGCTACATCAAGTAGAGGAGAAGTTGAAATAATATCAGCAAGTAAATTAAAAATATAGTCATTTTAGATTTAATTAATTGTTGTTAATGTGTTTTCAGATATTAAAGCAGTGACTGATATCAATTGGACATTCAAGAGACTCAAAATCTTGGTCAATGCATTTTTGGTTGGCAGACTGGATAAATTTAGAAATCTATTGTTATTACAACTGGATTAAGAGCCTGATATTATGTTTTAGTAGGATAGGTTTTACAAAAAATTAAATGAATTCATTAAGAAGAAGAAACAGGGAAATCTAAAAAATGAGGATGATGACTTTTGTTGATCTATTTAGTATTGTAAATAAATTATTTTAATCATTCTTTTGATTTGTATTTTGTTGTGAGGGAGTGCGAATGTAAATAAAGGTGTTATTTTAATTTTAGTGACAGAATCTGATTAATACTTTTAGAATTTCATTAATAAGGGTATTTCTCAAGTGAAGATTTAAAATATTTCTTTTAAAAACAAATGGAAAATAAAGTGAAATTAAGTACTCAAGATGGAGTGATCATCGAAGTAATAAGAATTTCTATATAGGTTGACAAAGAGGTAGCATGTAAATCTCATTTAATCAACACTATTATTGATGATACAGGTAGTGAAGAAGAAATTCCATTACCAAATGTTAAAAGCAGTATCTTGAATAAGGTGATTGAATACTGTAATATGCATAGAAATGATACACCTCCTGAAATTGAAAAGCCTTTAAGAAGCAATAATTTGTAATACTCTATACTATTTTTTAGGGCTGATTGTGTAGAACAAAAAGATGCTGATTTTATTAACATACCTAATTTAGAGGAACTATTTGATATTATTTTGGCTGCCAACTATCTTGATATTAAGTCTCTTCTAGACTTGTCTTGCGCCAAAGTTGCTACTTATATTAAAGGTAATTAAATAATTGAAAATTTAAGGCAAAACCCCTGAGGAGATTAGAAAAACATTCAACATCTAAAATGACTTGACCCAAGAAGAAGAATAACAAATCAGAGAAGAAAATAAATGGGCTGAGGAGACAAGTTGATATTTCTTCATAAAATAAAATCAAAATATATAATATTGATCTTCAAACATTAAAACTCTATTTGTGTTATTTTGGGACTGTTGATCCTTGCATCTAGAATACTAATATATAGAATTGTATAGAGTATTTAAAAATAATAGTTGTTGCAAGTTAATTTCTATATAACAACCAATTCATATTGTTAATTAATATAAAATTTAAATATCAATTTTATTAGAGAATTAAAGGCTGATTATATTTACACACATCTGCTGTTATTGATTCTTATGCATCTCAATATCTGTTCGACAAACACTTCTCTTTGGTTTTCTTCTACAATATGGTAAGAATAATTTATTTATTTATTAATAATATGTGTTTTAAATAATAATTTAATGAATACATGTATTAAATCAATAGGCAGTTCAAAAGTACTTTCGATAATGCTCATTGCTGATAGCTTAATTATTCATACTCAATCCTATTTAATTTCAAACTATAATTATTTGATTATAGCACTATCATTAACATGCTTTCATGGAATCGTTTTAACATCTGAACATTTTTTGCAGGGAAGAAATAAATTAATAAATGTTTTTTTTAATGCATCTAAAGGAGTAGCACAAATAATTGTTCACTACTTATTGGAACAAAATTGGTTGATTTTTGCTGGAATATAAATAATTTGTATCATAAAATAGGATGTCTAGCATTTTAAATATGTTTTAATAATTTTTTTTATTACCCAAATATTTTGTGTTGCCTTTTACAAGACAGACTTCATAATAGTGGGAGTAATTAGAACTGTATTTAATTATATTTTGATAAGTCAGATTTTTAGATTTGAAAGCCAAAATAATTTAATATAGTTAGAAAACATTCTTAAACATATATAGCATGATGAATTTTGTTTATTGGATAATGATTTTACCCCAATATTTAATTAGTAAGTCTATAACTAATTAAAAGAAGAGCAAATATTGGGAGCATAAGAATTCTATATTTAAACAAGGATAATAACTCCAAGGGATAACACTTCCAACTTAATCAGATAAATCCAGCTGAATGAGGATGATGCCAAACAAGCTCTATCTCTATAGGAAATACTATTTCATCTTAAAAAGAGCAAAATTCCTTTATCCAAGAAACTGTGTTATTAATTAAGCAATCAACAAAACTACCAGATTTAAATAGAGAATTTTATTTTGGATGAGAATAACTCTATGGTGATGATTTAAAAAAGAAAGAAATATGATAATATACAATAAGGGAATTAAATAAATTTTATGATTAAGAGTGTTCGAAAAGTGTCTCATGATATGAGAAATCCTTTGAATGCAATAATTAATATGCAGATGTGTTTGAAAGAGCAAATTGATAAAGAATTAGTTTTGAAGTACCTTAAACCTTCTCTAAATTCATGTCATTTATTACTTAATCTTTTAAACGATATATTAGATTCGGCTCAGGTTGAAAATAACAATATCAAACTAGTTTACAAGAAATTCAATCTATAAAATTTAATTAAAAAGACTATTTCAATATTTGATTCCTTAAAGGATAAGAAGGACATTATAATAACATTTAATTATGATTCAAAATTACCTACGGCTGTGAATTCTGATAAGTTTCGAATTAGATAAATCATCATGAATTTGCTTAGTAATGCCATCAAATACACAAAGCCTAATGGGAAAGTGTATGTTGATTGTTCTGAAAGTCCTTAGAGAAAGAATTTCATTAAAATATCTATCTAAGATACAGGATATGGAATCAAATAGGAGAATTTGAAATATTTATTCAAAGAATTTTCTAAAATAGAAGACAGCGAAAGTTAGAATTTAAATCCTTTCGGAATAGGATTAGGTTTGATGATAAGTAATGAACTGGCGAAATTATTATCGAATAGTGGTATTCAAGTATAATCAGAAGTGGGAATAGGTTCTAAATTCTATTTTGAAATCGAGAATAAATAACTGGCACCTGAAGATATTTCAGATTCTCAATTGTTGATTCTTCATCAAAATGGATTACCTTCCTTCGATGCACATTTTCTTCCAGGACCTAACTCAAACAAATCTCCAGTAATTTCCTTGGCTTTACCTCAAGTGGAAAGTAGTAAGAAGATCATTCTAAAAAGATCTTAGAAAACCATCAATGTGATGACTAATTCTGTTAACAATTAAACGAAATTGAATGTAAAAAATGATGAAAAAAGTATTGCCAGAAAACAGTCTCTATAGGCTAAGTAAATTTAGGCTCTTAGGGACAAATGGTATGATTATACGAATTAGAAACCTCCAATTTTAATTGTGGATGATGATGAAGTCAATATCATGGTATTGCAGTACTTAATGGAATAAATGAATATAAGTTCGGACTCGGCAATGAATGGAATGGCTTGCTTATAAAAATTCGTAGAGAGATAGAAGGAAGGTTACTCCTATCAATTGGTGTTTTTAGATATCAATATGCCAGTAATGAATGGATTCGAATTAGCCAAGAAGTTGATTCAAATAGATCCACTCATTATTCTCATTGCTTGTTCTGGTGATATACCCAATTCTAGTTATCTGGAACAGTGCAAGTAATCGGGCATCCTTGGTACTATTCTAAAACCCATTCCCAAAAGCAAACTAAAAGAATTACTAGTCAAACTATCTGATGGGATCAAATAAGATAGTTAATAATTTTCATATTATTGCTGATTATAATATTTATATATAATGTTGGCCAAACAAATATTCTTATCAAGGGCACAAAACAAACCACAATAAACAAGCAAAATCGAATTCCCCACTCTTTTGGATTTGGCAATAGAGCAGGTGGCTCTTAATTTTGATCTTTATTCTTAGTTGCCAGGCATTCCGGAAAAAATAAAACATTAAGTATTCCCTCTTCATTAAGATTAGATTATATCAAAAGCACCTAAAACCTTACCTGTAACAATCACTTACAATAGCATTGAAGATGAGAATTATTGGAAACAAGCCTGTGAAACCAAGTGGAAAGGCACTCACAGAACAATTAATATCTGCAAACATAGTTACAGTTATAAAATTGCTTATATGGAAAATTTCCTGGAAGAATACATCAAATCAATAAAAGTATGAGTTGATTCGAAAAAATAGAGTTTAGAATCCCAATAAGAGAAAGACGAATTGCAAGCAATATTAAAGGCAGTCAATAATTGGGTCTATTCCCTCAATATATCATAAACTTAATGCAATATTGACATTGGATTTTTATGCCAGTACTTGCCTTGTCTCTAGAATTTGACAGTTATATATGGAGTTAAAGTAAATATTATATTATTATTTAATTTAGACTACTGGAATCGATCAAACAAGAAAGGAAATCTTGGGTATGAAACTAAGTCAAGCAGCTGAATTAGGAGAAGCAATCTCTAAGCATTGCAGAAATCTTGTATCCCTTATAAAGTATTTTAGCAATCCTTATCGTTACCTTCTAATTTAATCGACGATGACTTGTTAAGACTCTTGATGACGGGAATCAATCTTGATATCTCCATTATAGAGTTGAATTTATCTCATAATAAGATTGGAGATCAAGGGTAAATTAATCCTCTAATCTTTAAGAGTCATACGTATTGCAAAGTATTTGATGAGATCAGAAATATTGCTCAAATTGGATTTGTCTAATAATGCAATTGGATTGGTTGGATCTAAAAATTTGGCATATGCTCTGTTGTTCAACAAATCTCTTGAGCATTTGAATTTGTCATTGAATTCATTCAATGATATCGCTGGTGCCAACTTCTTTAGCAAACTTAGTTAAAACAAAAGTATCCAACATTTGAATTTGTCTGCTAATTAATTGGGGAGCCTAACTGCTGAAATGCTCGAAGTATATTTATCAGATTCTTCATGCACCTTACAATCCTTAAATATTAGCAATAATAATTTTAGTGAAAATAATGACAACAAAGACAAAAATATCTATGAAAAACTCAAGACTGGTTTAACTAAGAATACAAGTTTGATCCACTTTGATATTTCTCATTCTAAATTTAAAAGAAGTAAATGACTTTATGTAATTAAGTTAATGCTGAGAAGGAATTGCAAGATATTATTGTTCAAAGTAGATTAAAATAGAGAAAAATTCCATTTGTTTCTAAGGAGGAATTCGAACAGTAATAGGCTCAGAATAAATTAAGTAGTTAAATGTTATATCTTAGAAAGGGAAAAGCTAGAAAAAACAAAAACAAAGTAAGTAGAAGAAGTAATCTCACCATAATGAAATAAATGCATAAATATACATAGATCAATATTTTTAAATTATTATTTCTCAATATTTCAAGCTATATCTATATAAATCTAATCATCTCTAATAATTATATTATAATTTAATTTTTAAGTATCAAAAGAATATCAAAATGAACTAATCTTTATTATATGATAATAATCATAATTGTACCAAATGATCTACACTGTGTTTAATTTATTTAATCGCTGTTTTCTAGGTTTTTGATTTTATCATAATATCTTAGCCAACGAATATTGATTTAATGATTTAAGCTATATTAAATTGTTATTTTAGAGTCACCAATTCTAGAATATTAATATAAATTACTATTCAATTTTATTACTTAAGTAATTTTCACCTTCTTATAAATCATCTTTACTATCACAGTATTATTTTAAATTTATTAAATATTCATCTCCAATATTTAAGGAATATTGTGTAGATATAAATAAGAACATAATAAAAATAATGGAAATTTGCTGAATATCCTTTGAAAACTAATCAAGGTTAATTTTACTAGATAGATGAATATGACGATCAACAAGAACCAAAAATAATACAATGAAACTGTTGGTATCATCATAAGTAAAAAGAAACCTAAAAACATAGAGATAATCTTTTGATCCCATAAAAAGGGATGATCTTCTAGTTTGTTTCTAAATTTGTTAATGAACTTATTTTAGGTTATTCGATAAAAACAAATTATCATCACCCATAATTATCTATAAATTACCATCAACATTTTATATATGTAATAAACATGAATTGTGCATAAAGATATAATATCGATAGCCAAGGACAATTCAAAATTCAATCCAAACAGTCCAAATATCATTACAGCTCTTAATAAAATGTTTTCATATGGTGTAATGAATGTTGTAATATGATTCCATAGGACAATTATATACATAATCATCTATCCCAAAACATAATTTAAAGGCTTGTTGGTTTTGAGTCCTGCAGGAAATCCCATCAACCATTCAACTTCTTTTGATAACACTTCTATGTGAATACTAGAACCATACTTATGTAGGAAGTCTCTCAATTGTGTCACATTATAATAAAGTATTAACAAACTTAATACACCAAATAATATATCCAAAAACACAAATAAGATACCTGAGAACAACTTATGATAATTATACTTCAAATTAGATATAAATAAAGGCTAGTGCTGTGATACTAATTCTCCTGCTTGATCATTCCATTTATTAAATAAATTAAACTTGAAGTTCACTTATTTCATAGTGTAAGATAAGAAACCGAAATCTTAGAGATTCTTGCCCATAATTCTAAATTCCATAATTTTTATTACAAATTAGAATACTATTTTCTAAAAATATGTAATCTTGAGAATGATTTTCAACAAAGTGTTTATAGTATCATTTCGTAGATAGCAATAGTAATATTTGTCTTCAGAATTGGGTTTATTGTTAATATACTTATTGAACTCTCTCAAAATATGTTATCTCCAATTAATATGTATTAATGAATAATCTAATTCATTCAATTTGTCCTTATCACATATTTTAGTGATCTCCTCTGAGTGACTTTAGTCAAATGCTATCATTGGATTTATTGTTAAGATTGATTTATGATTAGGATCCAAACAATTATCGATTTCATTCGAAATTATCTAATTCTATACCAACTTATCATAATAAACTATTGTGCACTTTGTTTAATATTTATATCCGCATATCATCAACTCTTCCAATTTATTATTTTTTAACCACAACCAAGTTTCTCTGAATTATTAATCGCTTTTCTTGCCTACTATTCCTAGCACCTGTAATTTCGTCTAAACTGTTAATATTCAAATTTACTCCACAAATCAGTTGAATCCTCTCTTGCTTATCCCAATTGTTTAATTGATTTTCTATTTCTTCAATACTTTTATTATTTATAATTTGTAATATAGTAAAGTTAAACCCTCTTGTGTTGAATCCAATAATGTATCCCTCCTCGTTTTATTAATCGGATGGAAAAAATATTTGGGTACATTCTGTAGACATTTAAAAAATATATATAATTATACTCAAATTTCTTAACTATTTACTTATGTTGGCGTTACTAACTCCTCTAAATTATGTTCCGATTATTAGAAATTAAATCCCGCTTATTCTCTCATATTTAAAGACTGCTGCTAATCAGTCCCTGAAGAATTTTTATCATTCTCATTATCACTATCATCATTAAACTAAAATGCATTTTCGCCCATTAACTATTTTTCTTTTTTTTATTTGCCTTTTCTGTTTGGAGTATTTGATTATTTTAGCGATTTAACTTAATTTTATGGTTTGTGAATTTGAGATTAATGAGAATCAGGGATCACTTCTTAATCGCCTAGATCAATGTGCTAATTATTTTAAATAGCTTCTGGACTTTTACTTTTCACTTATTATTTTCTATTACAGAAGTGTTTAATTAACATTATCCCAATGAGAGTCAAAAACAACAGTCCTCCTAAAATTAAAATAGTTAATGTCATAATATTTATTATAATTCAAACGATAATGTATTAGTTATTTATAGATATTCTTATTAGTATCCAGTAAGACATCCTAACTGGGTAATATTCTTTACTATTCTAATTTTAGTACTTTAAAGATGAGGCTAGATGAAGTTGATGAGAATTTTATTAATTTGTGAGTTAATCTGTAATTTTCGAGATGTCAAGCAATTATTATGGATTTATCTTGATTTTATTAAAAAATAGTACATTATAAATATTAACAACGACTAGTAATCTAAAAATCGGAAATATATGGTTTGCTTTTATTTTCGTTTTTGGTATTCTAAAATAGGTTCAGGTTTTGACTTATTTTGTATTGACAATCAATAAAAAGAGATTTACAGAGTGATAGCATAATATTAAATAATTATTAAGAGTTTAGATGGATCCTAATAGGGATATCAAATATTCAACCTTGAAAGTGTCTGATTCAGTTCAATTTGGAGGAATTATGACAAGGGAAGAGTGCTAAGCATTAGCAAAGAAAATAATGTCAATTTATGATGGGGATGGAAACGGCACATTAGATTCTTTCGAAGTGGGCTACATACAATCGGATTGTTATAGAGCCATGAATAAAGGATTCAATCCAACTCCAACAGATATTGCTGCTTTTTCCAGAATCATCGACAGTATCAATGATACAGAATTATTTTAGGACGCTAATGTGGGATGGTGACGGATAAGGATATCGAAGCTTTGTGTATAAAATACTTTGGAGGTAATTTCGATAGAAGTGAAAGAAGTGAAAGAGCAGTACCTGAATAAACTACAAGCCAACAGAGGTCTTATGAGACAAGCACTATCAATAGATAATAAGTATCAAGCAACCAGAATAGCAAAGTTATAACAGTTCAAAAATAAACTGTAGTCACTAATTAGGCTTCATCAATCCCTAATTCCCCTCCTGTCAAAACAACTTACAGTTCAGTGGTGCAAGAGAGATTGGAAGTAGCAAGAAGAATTTTTAGAATGTTGGATACAGAAAAAAATGGGTTCATTACAGAAAAGCATGTAAAAATAAAGCCAAGTTATTTAGGTTCCATCGTTGCTTCAGGAAACATATAAATTGATGGGAATGTCAATTGAACCTACTCAAGAAGATGTAGAATTGTGGATGGAAATGGCAGATGAAGACAGAGATGGCAAAGTGTTTCTAAAGGATTACGAGGCATTGGTTATCAGAAGTCTAAAATAATAAGGAATTGTTTTAGAATGATTCAAATAAACAAATATTTAACAGTTAAGTTTATATGAAGATATGATTTCTCCAAGAAAAAGATTGCTATTATTTAAAAAATTTTTCAATACATTTTTGCTTCTTCTTAAGTGATTCATTATGTTAATGTATTTTTATGTAATCTTTCTTATCATTTAGGGTCATAAATCTAATAAATTCATCAAAACTGAATTTGCCATCTTTGTCTAGCTTTTTAGAATAATTCATCCAGGTCATAATCTGGTAATTTCTATTAACCTAATTGTTTATCTGTTTTAGATAGAACACCATCTTTATCGAAATCTAGTGCTATAAATGCCTAATTCAATTCTTCATTGGTTTCTTCTATTTTCATTCTTTTCCCTATCAAACCAATAAATTCATCAAAATCAACTTCTCCATATCCATCTACTTCCTCAATCATTTCCTTCAATTATTAAGGTGTAGGATTTTCTCCACATTCTTTATCAGATTCCAGAGTTCATTTGTTTGAAATGGTTCCCCCTCCATCCTTGTCGAACATTGCAAAGAGCTCTTTAAATTGCTTGATTTACTCTTGATTAAAATTATAAGTATTCATTAATATTTTTATAATTTGGCTGGACACAAAAACAGAGGGTGATATCTATACTATTAGTTTGAAACTGATTTTGCTTAAAAAGGCAACTTGATTTGATTTATGCATTAAAGATCCTCTTATTTCCTCTTTTTGCACTCTTCTCTACCCACTGATTAACTTAAATGACCAATTTCTTTAAAAGAAGATTAATACATAGTATTCATTGGAATCGAAAAATTGCTAATGACTTTATGAATTAAATAGTACGATTTAAAAATTTGGTCCCTCTAATTTTAATCCACACTAACTGATTAGGACTCTATCTTCAGCCTTTAATAAGCCCTTTAATTCTGCGTTTTCAATTAAGTTATTTTTAAAGGACCTGTATGCTTTTCATAAGGTCTCTTAAATTGCAAATACTTTTGTTTAGGCTTGTCTTAATAGAATGCTTTGTAGCTGGTATTTCCTTCAAAAGAAACAGAGTTTGCCACTCCAGATTTAACAGATCTCACAGGAGTATCAGTCAGACTGAATCCTCTATATTACCTTTAATTGCTTGTAACAAACTAATTTGGGAGACCTTGCATCTACCTATAAGAATTCTCATATGTCTCATAAAAACTTGGACTTATAGTGATAGGAGTATCTCTTACACTGACCTTAGGTGTTAAGGACAATTTTCGATAACAAGTAGCCAATTAAAATCTGGGATTCCTGCATTAACAATTTCCGCATTAACAAAGTGCACAAACACACATATTTAGGTTATGTTTAAAATATTCAAAATTACTTTTCACTGTCTTTTCATCTATTTGATATCCTACTTTCTGGGCTTCCAACATTACATCCTCTATGCTCATTTCTTAATTTTATAATATATAATATAATATCGTAAATAATTATCAGTCATTCTTTCCATTTGATATATCTATCATTAATTTTATATATGACTTTAATTAGAAACATTCATGGAATTAATTTTCAGATTTTCCTATGGTTTTTATGATCTAATTCTATTTGGTCAAGCTTCTTAAATTTTTAAGAGATATTTTCAAACTTTCATCTAAATTCTTTGTTTAAAGAAGAATTTATATTCAGAATCTATTTTTTTATTCTATGAAAATTTATTAGATCAATAGGTAAAAAGATGTTTATAAATAATTAAAATAATTTAATCTAATAATCTAAATTTTCCTAAATAATAATAGATTAATATGCAAATAGGATAAAATAAGGAAAAATAATTATTGTTTTTTTCTCTTAATCAAAATAAATGTGTCTCCAATATCTAAATAAACTAGACTACTTAAATGATTCAAATGTAACTATTTAAATATTGATTCTACATTTAAGAATCTTAAATAGTACAAATATTAGATTAAATAAAATATAGAATCATTCATATTTTATTCAATAGAACTCTCATAAAACTAATTATAATAAATTAGTCTAAGAGCAAAATTTAATCAAAAAATAGAAAAAAAGATGAGAAATAGATAATGAATTTTTTATCAATAATAATTATTGATTTTTTAATTATTTCTGTTAAGTAAAGGCTGTGGTAACTCAATGAATTTATTCTTAAAATAGCTTTACTGGTTTTATTGAATTTAATCCTCTACAAATCGCCTATTTTTGCTAATTTATTCATCAAAATTATTGATAGGTAAATATGTAAGATTATTGGGCTTTTTCTATTGACCTTACATAAAATTCTGCATTCCGCTGATGCTTAAATTCATGCTTTCACTGGAAGGTACTTATTTAAATTTACTATTGTCTTTTGGATAAATAGTTTCTTGAATTACATTGAAATCAAAATACCTGTTCTTCTATTAGGAGGAGTTTGCCAATTGTCATCTTGTTCCATCATTATACTCTTATTTAATTCATCTTAATCGCTCTCAATATAGGATTCAACTTGATCAAGGTTTTTGATGACTGATCTTCTCGTTCCACTTTTCTATTATTGATGTTCATATAGCATTTAAACCAGTCTGTAGACTTATTCATACTCCACATTATTGTCATTTAAATAATCATCATGTTCAATATAGAGTTGCTCAGTGATTAAATCTGGAGTTGGCAAATAGACCAAGGAATTAAGTTCAATTCGATATCTAGAATAATCAGATTGAGAGACCTTCTGAGTTTTTTATCCTTCAAATTGTAACGATAGATGACAAATAAACTTGGTGGATTATGCTTAATAGCTAATTTGAGTACTATTTTTTTTTATATCATATTAATAACATAAAAATTTCATATGAGTTTTTGTTTTGAGAAATTTATTTAAATTTATTTACCATCCAATTCCAATCCATTATTATTAGCCAAAACAGTTATAGCCACTTCTGTGCTTGGGTACTTGAGAATGGCCATGTACTTGGTAGCATTCGTGACTAATTTGTATTATTTTATTTGACCATAATCTTAAAGGTATTGCTATAAGACTGCAACTTGACATGAATTTTTTGTCAAGTTTGACACCTATATAGTATCACAAGGTGGGGCTAAAGTGTAAGTGCTATCAGGTTTGATTCTATGGGTTTCTTCTCCTCCCTAAAAATACTCTTCTTGGGTTTTGACATCCTGAGTGAATTCTCCAGGTTTAGTTGGTTAAGTCTTGAGTGAAATTTCTTCATAGTTCGAAAAAAAGATCTAGTAATAATGAAGAATATCGTTACTTTAATAGATTGTCCATAAAACATGATATCGTTTAGAGATTCTTTAGCAATAGCAGCATGATCTTGAGTAACATATTAGATGAGAGCACTAGATCTCTCCTTTAGGTAGATCATTTTATCGATGTTGCCATAAATACTAAATAAGTTATAGAGCATTTGAGAAGTCACGACTTTTTTGTCAAACCATCTTGCATAGATTACTCTGGATTTTCGCACAGCTATTACATATTACAATTAGTATACATTGTAAAAACTTAGGATTTATGTATTCTTCTATTTTGTCAGCACTTTATTGCATTTTATCCAATTATTACTTTTCTACTTATTGTAAAGTCTGACTCTTGGATACAGGCATTCTGATAATTTTATTTTTGAATTAATCCAAATTGGAAGATGAAGTGGGCTAAGAGGAGTTTTAAGACAGATTTGATTGTTATAATTATTATGATTAGAATTGTTATTAGGGTTTATCATTATTTTGAAAAGCATTTTAGAAATTATTGATTTATCTGTTGTCTGAGTTCTGATCAAAATATTTTAGGAATTCATTTTATTCTTCATCTTCTTCATCATCATCATCGCAATGTTCAGACCCCACAATTTCATCATCTGATTCTCTTAAACCCAGACCTTAGAAATTTAAATCGTCATCCTCAATCTTCTACTCCTAACTATTAAATAAGCTTTCTGTATTGTTATCTCGATAACTCTGTATAAATTCTATTTAATCAGTTTTCTTCTTCTAATCTGCTGGCAAAGTCAGCTTCTTTCGATTTGATTACTTCTATTGCACAGTGGTTGCTTAGGTCTCCTCTTATTTGTTAACGTCTTATAAGAAATTTTGATATTGATCTGTTAAGTGTTGGAAATTCGCTTGGCATTCATAAATTTGATTCAACAATGACTGCTACTTTTCAATCTATGACTATAAGTCAGATGAAGAAATCATTGTTGTTTAGAACCCTTCAGCACTCACCTACTAAAGTTAACCCATCAAAGAATTAATTTATTGTATCTATTAAGACATTTGATGCTGAAATTACATTTGAGATTAAAGAAATTAGATTGGAATAGCTTATTGGGGTGGTTTTTGAGCAGGTTGTTATTACTTACGTAACAAAGTGTAATCTAAGTTAATATATGATAATACCAACACCCCCAGTATTATTCTCTTAAAATGTGATGTATGTCAACTTACTTGCATATACATTCATCATTAATTATGCATCATCACAAAAAGGTTTGTCATTCATAGTTTATCTTGCCTTAATCGCAGATTCAGGATTATCAAATTCTATAAATGTCTTCCATGTCAATGATCTTTCGAAAATGAGCATCTATATATGGTGATAGCATCCTTACCCTCTGTATTGTGCCGAATTGACTGAACACTTTGAAATACTTGTCATGTCCAAGAGTCTTATTCGCTTTGTTAGTAATCACTACTAAAATCACATTGGTGGTGTCTTAATTCATTAATTAATTAATAAAGTTTTTTTCATCTTTTATAGATATTAAATAAGATGATTCTTCATTTTCTCATTATTGACTTCCTTCCTGATCCTCACACTCCTCTTAGACGACCCTCAACTAATTATTTTAGAGAACTCTAGACTCATAATACAAATCTGCAATTTCTCCAGATCTCAAACACCACTTATCCATCCTGCATCTATGTTCTTGTGTATAATTTTCCTTCAATTTACTTATTGAATTTTATGAATTAAATCTTTGTTTACAAATAACTTCTAATTATTTTTTGATATAATTTTAATATCTTTGTATTTATTATTTAAGATTCTTTAATCCTAACTGCATCTAATATTGAAAAGGTTTTGGTGCCTCCTTTTTATGTTTTTCATGATTTCAGAATGCTTAGTTTGGTACTTTATCAATTAGTTTCAATAATGTATTCCCTTAATAGTTAATAAACCAAATAGTGTTGATAAGTAAGATATCTATTATAATTTTAATTATTTTGACTTATAATTATGACTTTAGAATTAATAATCATTAGTTAATGGGTTGTTTATAGTATCAATTAATTGATCACAATTCTGCTTTTATTATTAAATAATAACAATGTTATTCTTATTCTATTAATCATAAGAATTTATTATAAGAATTTTTTATATACATCATTAAAGCACATTAAATGCTAATCAGCCACCCTTCAATTTAAATTTAATTTCCAAAACATCTCTACTTTTGAATCCCAAATCTAATAAACTTCTTTGCTCTCTCTCTAGAATTACTTCGCCCTATTTAAAGTATTCAAAATTTGTATCGGCATTCTCTAACATTTTATTAATACTTAATACTTTAATCAATTGAAGAGAACATCGTCTCCTTTATTAAATTACAAAATAAGTTAAATGGAATTTATGGATCCATTTTTAAGCTTGTCACATTCGAGTAAACGATACCACTTATTTTAACTACAATAGTAATTAACCCTGGTTAATTTTCAGCTTGCATATCCCCTTCATCAATAACATAAGACTTCATTGTTATGATTTTGGATAAATAAATTTCTAGAAATTATAAATATTTTTATATACTGCTGATTTGCGAAATTTCAGCTTCAAAGATAAATATCAATGTAACTAGTTATTCTCATTTAACGAACTTTTATTTTTTTGATTATCATCATCAAAACGATGATGGATATTATATTTTTTCTTATTTTATTCTACAATTAGATCTTCTTATTACTAAAAATATCATGAGACTTATGAAGAGACAGCATTGATTGTAAATGCATCCTCTCTATATAAGAATCTGGAAATCCTTTTCATCGCCAATTAATCTTGAGTACTAGATTACTTAAAATAGCAAACCATTTGTGATTCCCAAAAAATTAAAAAGAATAACTTTCCGAACTTTATATAAATGTAAAATAATTTACAACTAAATATATGGAACCCTATCGATTTAATTGTCACATAATAAATAAATCTATTAATATTTGCAATTTGAATGTAAAGTTTATAGAATTAGTTTATGTAATAAAAGTAAAATAATAGTTTATTTTAAAATGAATAAATCATTATTAAATATTTCATCTTTAACTTATACGTAATATATTTGCATAAATTATTAGTGAATTTGTAAATAATTATCATTATTAATTAAAATGTTACTTGAAAACATTAAAGTAATTAGTATTGATTTTTATAGGTTGTCATTCGAATAAAGCCTATTAACCACCGAGATCTAGAGATTTAAGAAAAATGCACTCTAAAGGTTTTAGATCAAGAGACTTTAGCAGTAATCGCTCCAGTAGAGGAGGATGTTAAGTAGAGCAAAAGGACCTATAAGTTCAATTGGATTTTTGACTAAGTAGCTTCTCAAAAGGATATATTTGAGAAGACTTTTGAGTATTAGGTACTTTCTTTGTTGGATGGAATAAATGTTACGCTCTTTAGTTATGGGGCATCTGGAACAGGAAAAACTCATACGTAAATATTTCCAATATTTTAAGACTAATGAAATTGAATGAAGATTATGGATTATTAATACGAGCTCTTAATTAACTATATTAAACGATTCACAACAAAAAAAGGAAAGTCTAGATGAAATTTTCATATTTAGAATTGTAATAAGAGTAACTCTACGATTTACTAAACAATATGAATAGCAATCTCGACATTAGAGATGATGTAGAGAAAGGAATAGTCATAAGTGGAATGAGAGAAATTGATGTTGCCAGCACCTAAGAAGTGATCAATTTAATCTAGTATGGAAAAAGACAAAAATCAACCAAGTAACACGAAATCCTAATTTTTACAAACTACATTCAAGATATTGTGGGTTCAAATAATGAAATCACAGTTTCGAAATTTATAATTGCTGATCTAGCTGGATTTGAGAAAGGTGGACAAAAGTCTGCGTCCTTATAAGTTCTCAATGACTGTATATCCTTACTAAGTGAAGCTCAGAGCAAAAGTATTCAGCCATTCATCCCATATCGAAACAGCAAGTTGACTAAAATACTCAAAGACTCTTTTTGTGGAAATTCAAAAACTCTGATTATTGGCTGTGTCTCTCCGTAGGTAACGAATTATGAAGAGACCATCCAAACACTTGAATATTGTTCAATGGCTGCAGGGATATTTAATTAAGGTACCATCAAGAATCTACAATAAAGTAATCATTAGGAAGATTTTAAATCAATCTATGATTAATTAAAAAACGAAAACGTAGAATTAAAGAAATAGTTAAATCATAAACCCAATTAAAAAACTACTATTAATAATAATGAAAAAGAACAAACCAAACTATATGAAGAAAATATAATTGAGCATTTTAATAATGAACAAGACATTAATTAATCTATTTTTAAGTACTAATGGGAAATTGAGTAGATTAAATTTACAGTCAATGAAAGTTAAGAAAATCTACAACGAATCGATGGAATAGACAGAAATGCAGCAGATTCCTTAAGATATCAGATTGAATAAGATCAGAAATAAGTACATAATTATTAAGAACAATTGATCAAGTTTTAAATGCAAGCAAGCAATTTTCCCATCCAAAGAAGAGCATTAGAAGAAGTAATATTATTTAATTAAATTTAGAATGTCAATTAAAGTAATTTATCTAATTCTTATAAATTATACTTAACTAATCTAATTGAAAAACATATTCTAAGATTGGAAGTGTATGAAATCAAACTGAAAGAATAAATAAATGAATTGCATAGGTAATAGCATGAAAGGATCATGGCTATTCAAAGGAGCTAAATTAGTTTAAGGGATAGAATTATTGCAGATCAAAGAAAACACATCATTTAACATGGCAAAAATCAATCAGTACAGCATTATTCCCAAATCGACACAACAACCGAAGTGATTGATGGAACAAAGGCAAAACTAAAGCATTATCCATTGCCCAAAATTAAAGGTAATATAAGCAATTCTAATCTAGATCATTATTTCAATAGAGAAGCATATTTGTAAAGAAGAGAATCTCCAAAGTCGATCTTCAGTCCAAGACTTCAAGCACCTCTACAATTGAAGGAAGTAAAACCTTACGTTCCTAAAACACCTCGTTCAAAAATATTAGATACTCTCTCCACTCCTATCCTACCAAAACCAAATGCATTGGCAAAAGCCCCTCCTTAGAAAATAATTGACTCTAAATCTATGGTAGCTTTACCATTAATAACAACCAATAGAAATTTATCTAAATTTGTTTATGACTGGAGAGGAGGGGGGTATAAATTTATTGATGAACAAAAAAAAATACCATCATAAAGAGAACTTAAATAGATTATTTTATCCAAATAACATACTTAGTAAAGTCTTGAAAAATCATTTTTCACCACTTCTAGTCGAAGTATATAGTTATTAAATTATGAGGTACTTCTGCCAAAAGAGTTTCTTTTAAACAAAGTATTCTACTACCTGGAAAGGTACATGAATCTCCTTACGTAAAGGAATTTATTAATAAAGAAACTTAAAGAAAGATGAAACTAAAATAATTGAATTAAAAAATGATGAAAGCAACTTAAAAAAAATGATTTATCTTATCTATCTTGTTTATATCTTACATTTATTATTCAAAATCTATAATGTCCTGGTATATTTGCCACAGGATTAACTCTCACTTAGTTAAATTAATTTGGACTGAATTGATAAGGCGATTATTTAAATTATTATTATTACACTCTAGGTGATTAATATATTTATTATTGTTAATATGCTTATTATTACTATGGCTATTAAGTTGTACTATCATAAGATGCATATCTAAAGATATAGGTGATATTACTGCATAATATTAGTCAACACGAATAATGACAGAATTAAAAATACAAATCCAATTATGGAAGTTGTAATGATAGTATTGTTACTCAAATGAATGGAATCAGCTTTTACTTGATATGAAGGAGAAATATTGATTGAGTTTTCTTCTTGATCAAAAAGAACATAATTTTTTCTTCGCATATTATACATATTTACTTGAAAAATGTATAAGGTATGACAATCACAGGTTTATCTGATGATTATTAAATTAATGGATTGCTTGTTTATAAAGATCTGACTAAAAGATAGCACTTTTAATCTTCTCTATGGATGTAATCTGACTTTGATAAAGAGTACTTATTATTGTCTTGATTAAAAGTGAAATTAATATCATTGAATTTTTCATATTGTTCATCATTGCAAGAACACTTTAATAAATCTTCGCTCACAGCACAATCCTAATTTAAGAAAAAGCATTACAAGATGAAACTTTTTTAATTCTTCCTCAAATTTTTCTATGACTGTCTTTTCTGCCCATATAAATCTTGTTGTGCTATCAAATATAGCAGTTCCGCCAGCTAAACTCTTAATTTAATTATTACTTAAGAACACTGACTCATCTCCAAAGTATAGCTTATTTAATTTTAAAGCCCAGACTTTTTTACCAACATTTGAAAACTTAACAAATTTAGATGATGCAAAATATTCTTGTTTTTCACCTAAAACAAGCAATTACAATGTGTCTTCTAATTTAATAGCAAAAGTAGTTTATGGAACATTGGGCAATTAAGCACGAATTCTTAAGTAAATCTTAATACTAATACTGTTAGAGAATACTATTCTGAGGTTCTAAGGCAGAATCAAACTGAAATTCTCCAACTTAGGCATTTTTCTTCTTTTTGTAATCAATGTAGTCTTGACCGTAAGCCAAGCCCAATGCCCCATCATTAGAGGTAGTACTATACTCAGTATTGTATTTATCAACTAGTCCAAGACCTACTTTCTTAATTGTCATCCCTAATAGTTCAAGTGAATCCTTATTCTTGTTAAATTGTATACTTAAATTGCGTATAATCCATTCACTTTAACTCTTCCTCCATATGTATTTTCAGATGTTAAGGGAATGTTTTTATCATCGTCTTTGCTTGTTTGATAGGAGCAGCTTGTTTCGCACTTAAATAATTTTGCATCAACTGGACATTTATCGCATTTTTTATCATCTGGGTTTTTACTAAATACCCAGGTAATATAAGATGTAGTATCAATTGACTATTATACTAATTCTGAACCCAAAGTTAATGGAATCTGGTAAAATTAAAATTTATGCTACTGTTAAAGTATAATCATCTAAATATTATTTGGAATCATCAGGTGTTGCTTTTAATTTATTTTTATCGACATTTGAATAGGTTAAATGATTTCTTGATCTTCTTTGCGTTTATGTCTTCTCAATTTAGATTCTGAATTCTTTGGTTGAAATATTGATGAATAGGATGCAAATTAATATTAGATTCATGAATAAAATTTATATTACTTAACTAAATAATTAAACAATTTAATATAATCTGTGATAAAATAATCTTAGCAAATATTGATGACTTTTTAGAGATTTAAAACAATCCAAATCATAAATGGGTTTTCTTGTAAATGGATGTTATAATATTAGTTTGTTCTTTTATTTTTACAATTTCTTTCAGTAATTCTTCAAATTATTTTGATGAAAAGTTACTTAAATTTAATAAAAGAGTGTACTTTCTAAGATCAGAATCTATAATAATAATAATGTAATCAACCTCTTTGAAGATTTTCCTATCAAGTTTCATAAATCTTATTTAGAAAAATTCTTTCCCTTCATAATTTAATCTAATTATAACCATCTTATAACAAAATTACTCCAATTGTAATAGAAATAAAAATACAACAATAAATTTTTGTTTCTAATTCTAATTAGTGATCTATAAATTTGAAATACAAACCTAAATTATTAAGAATATTGATTATTATTATAAATTATCTAAGAAATTTATTTTAGCATCTTAAAAATTATACTTAAAATTAATGAAAGCTCAAAAAAAAACGTAAAGGTAATTTGAATGGATCGAATCAAAAGGATGGAATATGTTATTAATTCAGAACTAAAATATTTATTATTTTATAGATTAAATCACAAAATCAGGATTGCAATATTGTTTATCTACTTGTTTACAATTAAATAATTTCAAAATATTATCACTTATTATTTGAGTAAATGAAATGAAACAATATATTAATAATTTCAAGATTTAGTTCGTTTTTCTTCTTTTACAGCTTAAATTCTCCAACTTTCAGAAAATTCATTTAGTTTTTGCATGAATTCTTAATGAAACCCGATAGAGCCTTAATTTTCAGGAACCTTAAGCTTAGAATATTTATTTTATAGTATTTATGAGGATTATGATTTATTATTTTATTATTTCATATTGGTTTATTAAAATTTTTATTGTAAACTAGATAGATCTAATTTGAGTTTAACAGTATTTGATTTTGTATCGAGATTTTTATTGCCTTTATACTAATATTTTCTAAGGCTATCTAGGATGGAATCATTTTCTTGTTTGTTAAGAAAGCAAAAACTAGATTCATCAGAGTCATTAACAACAGAGTTATCAGCATCATGCTCATTTTTTTCAAAATTATAATGTTTGCCTCCATGCAATTTATCATTTGGTTCAAGGGCACTTTCGTCGTTTAGTACTTCTTCATTATAAATTTTTTCAATATCGATTCCACTTCTTTTTATGGCTAAAACTAATTTGATCAATTTGGCTTCTTTTTCACTCATTTCTTATAATTTAAACTACATGGCATTTTGCATTTCTTGCAATTAGCCAGTGTCCAAACTATCAATCTGATTTGAATTTGTTATTTATTTAGGTGATTTAAGTTGATTGAGTGTTTGAATCAAAAGGTCTCTTTCCTTTTCAATAATTTAGCAATTATTCAAGCATAGTTCTTTTTCTTGGTTGATTTTTTCAATAATTTCATTGAATTTAGACTCTTATTCACACAAGATCTCAATTGAGATGTTATTCATCATTTCAAATAAATTGTTGATAATCCTAATTGAGATGTCATTAAAGGAAGTAGATTGAATGAATTAATGTTTGTACACATTTAATAGATTGCATTATTTTAGTAATAATTCTTTATAAATTTCCCATTTTGTATGGTATTTTTTCTTGATGATGAGTGATTATATTTGAGTGTTAAGATTGTATAGTTCCTGATTAATCTAGTTAGGTTTCCTTTATCCTGGGCTTTGAGAATCGTTAGTGAGATTGGTATTTAGATTCTATTTAGATCTACATAATGAAATTTGGATTACAGTTGCTAAAGAACATTGGATGAGAACAGATGACTATCTGCAACAATTTTTCTTAATTTTAAACCATTTTAAGATGCTTGAAGTGAATCATCTTCAATTTATAGAGTGGCAATTACACGACTTTTGGAATTGCTATTAGTGCGATTATTAGTATTTTCTGAGAGATTGTTTTTATGCTACATGCAACGTTTCTCTTCAATGGATTTAGAAGATGGCACTGTTTGTTTAATAGTCAAACGCTATTATTGAAATTTGGGAGCTATATGAAAGAAAGTATTTTATTCAGGATTAATGTTGGGTTGTGATGATTATTTGGGAATCGCAACCTTAACGAAAGCCTCTTTAATAGTGTTCGGAGCTACTCGTTGCATTTCTGATAATTTAATTAAATATTCATTCTAATAGAGGTGGTAAATCAGAACGGCAAGTGGGACACTGCATTTTGATATCAATCCAACTACGTAGGCAAGATGGATGGAACCAATGACGACAAGGAGTTTGCATGGCTTGTTTGATTACAAGTTTTTAGGTGGGTGCTTCGGTGTCAAATGGATCATCCATCAATGAAGTCAAACAGATTGCACATTCTTCCTAGAAAATAGAATAGGACTTTTGGTACATAATCTTCTTGTATATTAAGTGTTCTGTAATAATTGTATTGTTTGGGTAGAAAACATTTGGGAATAAATGATCTTGGACCTAGCTTGTATTGAATGTAGAGGATAATTATTTGGAGTAAGTACTCACTCAAGTAAATCATGCAAAAGGCTAAGGAGGGTTCAAGACCACGTAAATTACTTGGACATCCTCTATTGTAAAGCTAAAATATATTGAGGACTTACTTGATAGAGCATACTTGGAACCAAAATACCAAATACAAAGTAGGAGATGAATCTAGGGTTATTACCAAGTCGAATGTTATGAATTATTTATGGAAGCAGACACAAGCCAGTTAAGCAAATAAACCAATTATAAGTGAAAAAGAAGTACATCAATAGAAAATATAGGATGAGGCTAAAATCTAAAGTAAGGTAGAGACATTTACAGAATTAAGCAAAAAAGTAGGTTATGGCTCTTCTCATTCTTTGCTGATCAAATAGATCTTCCAAATGTCGACTTCTCCAGACTATCCATATCAACTTCATGTCGCAAGTGGTTGCCAACAGGAAGTAAAAGAAGGCAGGTAAAATGAAGTATTAGAAGTATTGCTAGGTTAGATTGAAATTATTACATAATTAATTAATGCTTCGTAGAGATTTTATAGACAGATGTAGGAATCTTGGATCGTCAAATAGCCGACTGCAAAGAGGGAGATCTAATATAAGTTGGAGAGGTTTACCTTGTTAGGGTCTTCCTCGTTCTCGAGTAAGGCTTTGCAAAGTTTAGTGACGCAGAGGAATTGCGTAAAACATATCATCACCGACATTGCACAATACATAATGATGACTAATAAATAGTTTGTGGTGTCAAGCATCAAATCCATTAGGATGTCGACATCACAGTGAGTGTCCAATGAATTATTATGTGTCTACATATGTACCTTGATCTTGGCATGTTCCTTATCATAATTGTCTCCTTAAAATTCGATATTGACAGTATATGCAATTTCACAATTCTCCTTTGAGTAATAGTTTCTTCTGAATTTGTAGGCTGTTGTGTAGTTCAAGACACTGATGTTCTCGAATGAACTAACATTAAATCACTCATTACATGTCACTGTCGGAGTAATTAGTCAATTTAAACATGCCAATAACTTGCCTCATTTCCTAGTATTTGGGATTGAGTAATTGAAACTCGAATCGGTCGATCACGTCGTTGCTATTCTATTGAGTATTATTCGACAGGAATATCATATAAGCATCTCCTTGTTCAACTGTCAAGTAATGGAATTATTATTCCATTTTTTAAGATGTCCATTTCCCCTTATACTCGAACCCATAGAGCATCTTTGACAATTCACTAATATTTTGTGGGCGTTCACTAAGTCCAGCCACTAATTACAACAAAAAAAGGCACAACATTATAAAAATTATTTATAATCTAATCTTACCTTCTCACACATATATAATTTAAATTTCAAATAAATGAAAACACTCTCTGAAAACAAGTCTTTCGTTCAGCATATCAAACAACGACAAGAAGATTTCAAAGTACACTTTCATTTCTATTCAAGAAAACCCTTCAGCTTCCCACCAAGAAAGATCCCCCTCTCCTCCAATAGAATAATTTCAATTCACTCACCTCTCCTAACCAACGTCGTGAACAAACTCCAAACTAGAGAAAAGCCAAAATCGAAAGTACTTCATCCATCCAAAATAGGCGAAAACTCCTGCTCTCCAACTCTCTTTCGTACTCCATAAATCAGTTTGCATTATGAATACAACAAGAAGGGTGCTCATTAGAGATAACCTAGCAACAATAGAAGTCGCAATGAAAACATATCCACCGTCAAAGAAAGAAGAGAACCTAATGCCGATTCTGTTACCAGAGATTACTCCAGAGTTCTGGAAGAAGTTATGAAAAAATATCGCTAACTCAAAACAGAGTTACTCACAAAAGACAAAGAAGTTCAAAAAACACAATTCTACAAAGAAGAATGGCTCAAAGAAAAGGTACTCGTTCCTCAATATATATACAGAAACGTAATGAACTCCTACAAGAAAGAAACAAGAATTTGAAAATGAAACTACTGAAGATCATTGAATTAGTTTAAAAGGATCAATTATAAACAAATGATGAGTCTGAGGTACTTTTATATTTGTATCATTATAGTTAATAGGGTATCATAGCTAGTCTTTAGACAGAAAATAAATATTTACGTTAAATGTTGCATCTCTATGATGTTACTGATGTCTCCGAATAACTTGAATAACTAGAGAGCGAACAAGATCATGAAGTCGACCACATTGATAATATACTCAACGTATTCCTAGGCGATCTTAGAACCATTTAGAAAAACAGAAAAGAAAAGAAGGATAATTAATAATTAGGTAGCATTTCTAAATATCGTTAGGGTAATTCAATTCCCTATCCTTGACAGTACTGAACAAAGAATCCAGTTTTGTTGATTTATCAGAAGATAAATTATTAATGGAATAATAATGAATTATTAATAAACAAGCTCATTGTAAATGTCAGTATTTTCTATCATTTTTGATCTTTAAGTTTTAATACTGTTGTTTATAAACTTCAACATCAATATTGATTCATCATTATTATCATATTAAAATTTTCAATTTCTTATAAAAATACGATAACATAAATAATTGAGATTAATAAGTATTTTAATTTCAGAGAATTTAAGATATCTTTGAAACATTCTTATTAACTTTATTAATGATAATAAATCAAATAAGTAGAAATTTATAGTTACACCTAAAGAAGTTCTAGATAAATTTATATATCAGTATTATAATAAGTATGGCAAAGTATTATATTTCAATTTTGACTTATAATGTTTATAGGTAGGGGTTCTTTATCTTTATTATGTCATTGGTCTAACTGGTAAAGTCTTTTGTGGAGATGAACTATTTTAAATAGTCATAACTCTTTCTCTGGGCTTAATAAGTTTAATTGTGTGTTTTTGTTTAATTTACTTTAGTAGTATTCCTAATAATCAAATAATATTAAGATACCCTCATATTTAGTAAATGAATCAAGATCTTAAAATAATTAATTATATTAAATATTTGAACCTTTGTGTATCTCTTTGAATACTTTTTCAGTTTCTCTGTCTTTTGTAATATTGAATTAATTCTCATTGAACCCCAATTATTACTTTTTCTTCTAATATTCGTTGTTTAAAATGGCAGTATATTACTTAACTACGTCATCGTTAATTGAATCAATTAATTACAGGGAGTTTTATTATTTATGAATCAGTTTTTAATCGTTAACAACAATATTTTTATAACTAACATTTTGTGAGTCTACAAAATAATATGAGCGAAAATTTTCTACGCTCCATTTGAAAATTCCGTGTGTTATTTTAATAGTCCTTACTTTCTCAAGGTAGTGGATTATTTTGTAGGTGTAATATTAACAGAGTTATTCCTGAGGGAGACTTCTTTCATATTGATCTTCCTCCTCGTCTGGAATATATTGAGATGAAGCGATGACAATATCCTTTGTCAAGATTCCTACTTCAATGTAGGCTCTCTTATACAACGTTGTGTTATCATCTTGTTCTGCAATATAGAGAACTCTCTAATCGACCAAGTGTTGTGATTGTAGATAGAGGATGTCCTTCCAAATGGGTTCGACTCTTCTTTTATTGAGTAGAATGGTCAATTCTACATCTGTCATAATTTGGAGATTCTAATCAACGTACTTGCATATACACCCATTTTTGGGCATCAAGACTTTGAGTCTGTAGAGTGGAGGATTCCTGAGTTGCTTGTATTGTGCATAGAGGTTTGTTCTCCTTTGGGAGATGAACAATTCTACTTCCCCTTAATTGAAAATTGAGATTTCGGGAATGTTAAATCGGAAAGTCTTAATACTCAAGGGTTGTAGGGCCTTCAGAATTTGGAGATACGTAAATGGTTGTGCTTGGTGTTAAACAATGAAAGTCTCTTTTGCGAGTTCGTCATTCATTTAATTAATAATGCAACACAGAGAAGAAATGATAAAACAGTTATAGAATATTTAAGACCCATATGTATTGCAACAACAGAGACAGATTGACGCAAAGAGAAAGTACGAACAATTGCTGGCATAAGTGAACTTAATTTATGATGAAGATGCAAAAGACCATCAATACTCAGTTGATTTCTAGCGTTTCATTCACTTTTATAAATTTCTGGCTCGTAAACCAGACAGCGAATAATCTAATTAATCAATAGTGAACAGATTACAATTATGGGTTCCAGACACTATAGTTTTGAATGATCGCGAAATGCCAAATTATTGGTTGTATTCAGATTCACGAGGATATGTATTTAGAACAGATGCTTTCACATCAAAAAATGTAGTAAGCAAATTGGCCAATTACACTTCTCCAGATGAATTAGTTGCAGTCATTAAGAAATAATAATTTAGAAACATGGAATTAGTTGGTAATGAAATAAAATTGGTGTGTTGTAGAGATTTATAAACCCAAATTAATGCTAATTTTTCAAATCGAATGGATCTCACTGTAATCCAAAAGTTCGTTAAAAGCAATGGACCCAAAGCCTTTATCTGTAGAACCATCTGGCGCAAAGACAGAAATCCCTTCTGCTACATAGTAACTAATAAAGAAGATTATTTTTCATAAACAACCAATCCCAAAGCTGAATTCACAAAGTACATAACTAATGTAAGTCAACAGAATTCATGCACCATTGTTAATACTTGTCGTGGAAAGTACGTTGATGAAACAGTTCCATATGTTAAGAACATTCTAAATTACATATATATACATCTGCACATTACTTTTAAGGAATTTGCTGCTGATTTCATTAAAGATGAAAGTGGTATATGGTGGTTTGTCAATGTCAAAGGGTTTATTATTGATAAAAGTCCAGAGAAGATTCTTTGGAAATCCATTACTCATTACGGAGAAGACATCAATGAAGAAGGATAACCTCCTATCTAATCATAATAACAGGTGTCTATAATATCTCCCAAGAACAAAACCAAAGTTTCTGACATGTGTCAAAAGCAAAAGATTTGTAAGTATTGTGAACAATCGTATCCTGAATAATATCTGCAATATAAAATGACACTGAAGATGATCATTTAAACTGATAAACACCTATATTGGAGAGGTAAAACGTTTAATTGGATTGAAAGATCAGATGTAACCAATTTAGAAGTCAGCAATCTCTATCATGAACATAAGGTTTGTAAACAGTGTTACACTCTCTATAAAGAAACTGAACAACTCATTGAATTACAATTATAATTCAACAAATAATTAGGATTGCCCAGTGATTATGACACCATCAATCAAATGCTAACACTCAAAGCCAACCAAGTCAATAATGAATCTATTAAGACAGGATTAGATGAATCTAAATAAGTCTTTAATATTTCTGCTACCAAACAACTTATACTCAATAATTAATAAATCCCCATGATTCACAATACAGTCATTAAAACACTCAATCGCTTTAGATTCATGATCCTAATCCATTCCATCAGAGATGTGCCTTAAAATGTTGATCTATCGAAACACTACTATATTGAATGCAATATCTTTGATCAGAAATTCAAAATCAAACTCGATCTTATCACTGGCCAACTATTTGATAAAGGATATTTCCTAACTCTCAATCGTATGCGTTTGTATTACTTTTTTAGCGATCAACGCAAAGGATGGGTGGAATATGTAAATCAATTAAAAGTACTACCAATGTATCTTTATTAAGAAAACACCAAAATCGGCACCCTCGAAATAGAATTACAAGATCTCCTCTCCGAAAGAGTTATCAGAAGAGAATTCCTTAAGGTCTTTAGTGTCAAGGATTGCTATCCAATCCTAAGTTGGTCCTTAAATGTATTCCATTAATTATATTCAAAAAGCTGACCTTAGGATTGGTAGACTCAGGTCCTGCTAATGTCACGAGGATCAAATTACAAGAACACTTTGGGGTTTAATTGCCTAATCCTGATTACTGTACTTGTGAACCTCTCCCTGCTGAGTGGATGACCATACTTAATCAGAAAAAAGACTTAGATATACATAGGAGTGAGAGACAAATCACTAACCACACCTTAAAAAGAGTATCAACTGCTCATGCTAAATTGCAGAAGAGCAGATTTGAGGCATCCTCCCTACATCAAGACATGGAGTCATTCAATGACTCAACTAAGGAATTATATAGTCAACTTAATTTAAAAAAAGAAATATAATTATATGAAATTGATGAAGATGAACGTAAAAACAAGAAAAGAAGATTATTTTAATAATATGATTTATGATCATTGATATATTCTAAGAATTAAATTATTCTATTACTATTGAATAATTATGTGTGCATTTTATCCATTTTCTTGTGATATAATCATCGGATATTTGCATAATAAAAATTTATGAGAATAATAACTCAATATTATCATATGAAGGTAAATTCAAAATTTCTTTCAACCTATCAATAATACTTTTTTTCATAATAATGATCTAATGGTTACGGAGTTTCCTATATCCCCTAGAGTATCTGAACTTACAGAGTACAACCATTAGTGAACCCTAAAGAGTTTAATCCATTGCGAATTTGGTTTTAAATTTGTTTCCCACTTTCCAATTTACACTGAATGGTGTTTTAAGCTTATATTGATTTCAATTCTTGATTAAATATTTATTCTAAGATTTCCTCTATAAAAACATTAAATGGTATATCTGGGTCAACATTCGCTTGTAAACTTATCTTTCCAAGATTTAAATTTACAACAACATTAACAACCATTGATATGGGTTAATCAACTCTAACCTATTTAATTAGCTAATTCATGATTATTTTATTTTTAATATTTTATGAATCTTGTTGTCAAGGGCTTTTATACTATGAAACACACAAGTAATTAATAGAATTAATATTTTATTTAATTAGTAGAGTCTACATATAACTGAGGGCTTCATATTTTCTATTATTACACAACATTCCCTAAATAATTCTACACTTGAAAAATTAAAATATCTTTCGCATCGTACCTCAAATCTGTTCAACAAACATCAGCATTCTGATTTCAAAAGTCTAATCGCTATTCCTTGGAATATGAACCCATCAGTTATATCAATATGCTACTCATTAAATAAAATATTAATTCTTAACATTATTTGCTTATTTCGCAGTATAAAAGCTCTTGACAAAAAGATTTTTTAAAATATTAAAAATAAAATAATCATGAATTAGCTAATAAATTAGAATAGTGGGCAAAATCGAGGTGGAAGTGATCAACCCCATGCAATTAATGTTAATGTTGTTGTGAATTTACAGCAAGCTAATCTAAACTTACAAACTTCTATTGACCCAGAAATTCCATTTAATGTCTTTATTAATGGAATCAAAGAACAAATATTTGCTCAAAGAATGCAAGCACAATACGAGGAAACCATTGAATATTAATTGGGAAATGGATCAAATTTATAATAAAATGAAAGCAGAACATTATAGTATTTGGGATTCACTAATAATTGTACACTCTATGTTAGGCTTAAGCTCAAAGGAGGATAATGAATAATATAAATAATTATAATAATGTAAAAAGTGTTTTTCTATTAATCCAACTTGATTTAAAATTGAAAATATGAAATAACTATTCTTACACTTCTGTTTTAATGGTTGAAATCTTTAACCTTATCATTAAATTATTCACCAAACTATCCTTCTTTTTCAGGAATACTCTCAAATTTGCACACTAACCCCAACTGCAATGATATTCACTTTCAATTATCTCTTCAAAAGATTAAATATCATTTTTTTTTCCATCTTTATGATAGGCTAAGAGACGATTACTTAAATATACTGTCTATTTACATCTTTATACTCACTGCGATGAGGGCATATTTTTAAGTATATAATAAATATAATTTATTATTCATAGAAAATTCAATGTTTAGATTTAATTAATTTTATATTTGCAAGATGAATAAAGTGCTCCAAAATGGCTTCTTGGATCTAAAAAGAAAAAAAAATGATATAATTTAATTTTACTAAACTTTTTGGTTCTTACATAGATATTACTAAATTTAATAGATTTAATTCAACATTTAATAAAAAAAAGCCTATATATTTTGATCAAACATACACAAATTAATATCTATAATATATTTTATAAGTGAATTTTAATTCTAAATATCAAATTATATAGAAATAAAGTCTTAAATTTATTTTTTTATTATTTCTTGCCAATCTAATCATTTTTTTAAATAACTGAAGTTCTAAATCAAGAATTTTTTTGTTTTAATTTTATTTTCCTAGTAATAATTCAGAATTTCTTAATATAATGCCAAATTTTTATAGTTTTTTAATTATAAATGCTATTAATATTATTTTATAAAACATATTAACTATTTATTAGTAACATAATTAAAATGATTTGTGATCTTGAAGCTCTAATATGATGATAAAAACATATGTTTAACTTAGAAAATAGTGGCTGATCTATCTTTTAGGTGTCATAATCAAATTTAGATTTGTATTTAATTATTATTCTATTTTGCCTAAAAAGAGTTTTTATTTAATAAATAACAATAATCAACTTCCTTTAAGTTTATCATGACATCAAACTGATAAAATTTTAATAACACTGTAGATTTCTTATTTCTGGTGATTTGATCTTATTTTCTTTAGAGATTGTATTTTCATGATTTTAGACAAAATTTATAGAATGTACGATAAGGATCAATTTTAGATCTTTAATTGATTATAATTTTTGTTAAGTACTAAAGCATATTTTTTTTTTCCTTTAAAGAGTATGATTAAATTGTAAATCAAGATTTATTAATGTCTTTAAATTATTGTTAAATAGAAAAAAAAAAATAATATCAAAATTAAATCTATTCAGATGATTTGAATATTATAATCAATTTTAAACTATTTGAGATAATTCTAAATTAAATGGTTCTTTTTAACTATTTAAAGAGAATTCATCATTTTCTTTATTTTTTTTTTTTTGTTTAACTAATGATTATACTTTTTGAACTGCTGTTTCTAAAAGATCATCAACATCATTAATCTTTTTTGTATCGCAAAATGGATCAATTGATTTTATTATCCTGCTTAATAATCTTCTATAAGTTTCATCTAAATTTAATTTTTATATGTACCTTTCATTTTAAATAATTGAGATTTTATTTAAGCATCATCCATTTGCAATTTGATTTTTTATATTTCTTCATTTTTCTCCTTTACTTATTTATTAACTTCACCTATTCTTGTGCTTTGCTCTAAAGTATAAATATAGATAATACCTTAATTTTTTTGATAATATTATTTGACAGTTTATGCAAATTGGTGCTCCTTTTCATTTTAATTTGTTTTCAATTAATTAATTTCTTCTTTCAAATCATAGTTTTATTTCTATAACTTTGTCAATTTGCTTTCATTTTCTAATATTGATAATTCTAAGAGGTGAGAATTTTCATATTATTGTAAATTAATTGCTTGTTTATCTGACTCTATTTAATGATATGATTATTCTAATTATGTATATTAATGTTGTAATTAGTTTATTTATTTATTACATGTTTCATTCAATTTTTATAATTCTTAATTTTCAAGTTCTTTTTATTTACTGATAATAATAGAATCACTCAACTAATTTTAAAGTCTTCTATTTTCTTATGTTAAACTTGAATGATTGTTTTCAATCAATTTATACTTTTGTTCAAGTGTTTTATTTGATGTTTATAATTAACTATTAGTATTTATTGTATTTTCAAGTTAAACAACAAAATCTTCTTTTTATTTCAATACTCTCTCTGTTTATAACTTTGATTCATCCAAATTAGTGCTTAAAGCTTGGAACTATTATTAATAGAATTACAACTCTTATTGAGTTTAATTAAGAATGGATAATTGTATTTGTTAATTCTAAATTTATTGTTCATATTATTAAATGGTAAAAATAGACTAATTTAGTTTTTCTTCGAGATATATTAATTTTTACTTATTTTAAGCTATAAGTTCTTCTAAAGTTTATCTTTCCTTATATTATAATTCGAATTAGATTTCATGTTATTAGCACTATTAATCCAAATTGCTCAATTATTTTTTCTATTTAGAATTTGTGTCAACCAAATTCTTATTTAATTCTTCCAGGTCAGTTACTTAATCCTCTAGAATCTTAATCTTCTGATGTGATACAATCTCCTTTTGCATAATTTAGGATAGCTTTGCCTATAAATCTGAATAGTCTTTTTATTAAATCAATATCTACTCAATTTATTTTGAATTTTATTATTAACCTTATTCATCTGATCTAGAACTAATCTAATTTGAATAGGCTTTTAATTAATCCTCTTAAGCTATTTGCAAATTAGTTAGTCTTTTGATTTCTGCATCATAAAGTTTTATCTAATCATTTAAAGCGATTGCTTCAGTTTTCAAAAGCTCTATATCTTATCTTAATTTTTGATTTTATTCTGAATATTATTCCAATTAGGAATGTTATTTTTTGGATAGTGATTTTAAACCTTCCAATTCCATTTCTTACTTTGATATTTGAGTTTATTGAGCAAATATTTTATCATCATTTTCTTGTTTCAATTTTAAAAACTTGAATTCTTCTTCCTTAATTTTATTATCTAATTCATCAATAGTAGTTTTGGACGAGCCTAATTTGATTTGTAATTCTTATATTGTCTATTCATTTTATTGGCTTTGGAATTGTAAGTTTTATTATTAACATTATATAGTTAGAGTATCAATTAAATTCTTTTATTATAAGATAGTTTCATTCTAAACATTATTTATTTTTTCTTGATCAACATAACTATCTCCAAGTTGTTTGATTTATTAGTTTTAATTGAGTTCTTTTTAAATAAGCGAAGCCATTTTTCCTTTTATTTCAACATGATCTTTTTAATACTATGCTATTTATTGCTACAGGTCCTTTTATATATTATTAAACTATGAAGTAAGTTCGTTTTCTCTTTATGTGAATAGTAATAAAGTAGAGGTTTGTTGATTACACTATTAATTGAGCTAGTCTTCTTAAGATGCACATAAATCTTTGAATCTTTTTATTTCAAATTCATTTTATTTGATTTATTCTTTATATTATAATACTAATTAATTAAGATTCTCGATTTCAAAATATTTTTCTTAATTTTGTTCTGTTAATAATCCTATTTAAGACTCCTGTTTTTTCAGTTTTAATTTAATTGAATCAAAATCTTCTACCTATTTAGTAGTTTAATTGAGCTATGTGTGATTTTCTTGTTCTTTGGCAGATTTCAATTATATACATTTTTTTTCTCCATCTCTGACTTTTTAATTAAGTTGGCTTATGGTTTCTTATGAGGATCTTATGACATTTTATAATTCTTCAATCAATTGAATATTTTGGCAGTTTAATTCTTCCTGTTAGTTTTATAATGCTTAATTTTCTAATTAATAATTCTTTAAGGAGTGGTTCAAATGCAAAAGTTCATCTTCTTTTTGATTTAAAATGTCATTCAACTTTTATAAGCATACTTTTCTATGTTTGCATTTTTCATTTAAGTTAATAATCTCGTTTTATAATTAATTAATCTAATCCTTATATATATTGGAATGCTCCATATTATCAAAAGTCTTCCTGTTGATAAGGTCACTAACACTTTCATGATCATTTTTGAATTTCCTTAAATGATATTGCAAATGAGGATCAATTAAGTTTTTTTCTTTAATGGCTTCAACTAAGTCCCAACTGTTTTTAAGCAGCGATCTAATAGTTTGACTGAGTAATTATGAATTTTTAGGTGCAAGTAAAATTTCATCCTAAAGAAAAGAGGATTTTATCTTTCTATCTGGAGAAAATCTAGCTTAAACAGCATTAAGAGATGAGAGTCTTTAATCTGATTCAGTTCGTTAGATTCGCGGTGATATCAAATATTTTGCAAAAAATGTTTCACTGTCTATCATTTATATTTAAATTTATAACGAAAACTTTTAATTTATTACATTGTCATTTATAATAATGAGCCATTAACAGCTTCTTTAATCAAAAAAACTGAGAAGATAATTAGTATTGTAAAAAAATATTAATCCGAAATTTCAATAACAAGTATTTCATTTAGGTTTCACCTGCTAAATCTTAGCACTTAACCATTAAAGACCTTAATCTAACCCTACTCCAGTTTTAGCACTTCCTCCAAAGCATTGAGAAGGATTCTTATACGATTTCAATTCCAAATAATCAATAAAAAATTATGGGGATTATGCTTCTGGGGAATCCTATTTATTTGCAAACACCAGTATTGGTAGATCTTTATCGAAACCGGGTGTCTCCAATAATAATTTAAATTCATCAAGAGCTATACCAAATCTGATTTTGTCAGATGAGTCTATCACAAATATTAAACCATCAATCTATTTATATCAATTCTATACTCTTGTTGCATACTATTCCCACATCCCTCTATACTAATTTTGTCCACTCATATCAGAGAATTAAAAATTTAGATTAAACTTCTCTAAAGAATCCTTATTGAAACCCACTGTGGGTGCGACAGTTGCATTTTTCTCATTTTTCAGAGCATTAATGATACTTGTCTTTCCTGAATTATCTAAACCAACTACTAAAACTTGCACTTTCCTTTTTCCAAATGCTCCACCCATAATTAATTCAATAATTTTAATAACTTATTTAACAAAATAATACATATCATTAATTCAGAACTATGCTGCATTCCATTAAGGAGTATTTTTAGTTGATTGTGAAAAAATTGCAGCAATTTTTATTTTATAATAGTAAATAAGTTTTATTCATTGGGCCTTAAGGAAGTGTAAATTCTATACACTGTTCCATTTTTCTGGAATTTATTTATATTGCTTAAACTCTAAATTAATTTTAGGAAAAGATATAGAGAAAGATAATCCTGCTATTGATAAATTAATGATTTAATCATACCATAAGTAAGCAATTAGATTATTAAATAATTTACTAAAAGTTGGAATATTTAAAGGGAGCAAATTTTAAATAGTTATTTTGAAATATATCATTTTTCTTATCAACTATTTATTTAATTTATATATTCTCTCTTTTTTATATTTATTTTTCAAAATTTACTCATTAATAAAAATAATTAATCAATCAAGGAGAAAAATTAATTAAATTTTTTAAATTCTATTAGTTGTAGTACACCCTTTTTTTTATTTAGATTCTATAAAATGAAGCAGTTTTACAAGTTTATAGCAAGAGATTAATTCAATTTATATTAAATTAAAAATTTTAGATAAATTGGAATTAATAGAAATACATTATTATTTTTAATCATTTTCCTCCTTTGAGCTTAAGTCTAACATAGATTGTACAATTATTAGTGAACCCCAAGCTCTATAAAGTTCTCGATTCGTTTGACTAAATAAGGGATCCATTTCCCAACTAATATTCAATCGTGTCTTCATATTGTGCTTGCATTTTTTGAGCAAATATTTATTCTTTGATTCCAATTATAAACTAATTAAATGGAATGCTTGGGTCGATAGATATTGATAAAGTGAAAGTGGATTAAGGTGTGTTTACGACAACAATGACAGTATAAGAATTAGGTTGATCATTGCTAGCTTGCCTTACGTTATCTTACGACATTAACTAATTCATGCTTATTTTATTTTAATTTTTAATAAATATCTGCTATCAAGAGGTATTTAAAGTTAAAAAGCAAAGATACTTAGAACTAAATTTAATAGAAATTATGCTGATATAACTTTTAAGTTTAGGAGTATTAAATGACATTTAATACTCAGTATTTCTTGACTGAAATTCAATAAACACAAAAATTTTTAATACTTTTGAAACATTTTTAAAATGCATTGTTTCAGAAACTAATAACAATATTAATATTGCCTGAAATGTTAATTAAGTTAAGAAATTTAATGATGATATTTTATAGTAAGAATTGCTTCATAGAATGTTAGACGATAAAAATTGAAACTAATATAATAGTTTTAAGGCTTAGCTATGTATGGTTAATGAAAATAACTATATATTTTTGACATACACCTTTAGATCCAAACAAAAATTTCACATTTATCAAAAAAAATTGAAATCATAAAATCATCGTTGCGAAAATTAATAAAAAATTGATAAAATACCTACCTAATTGGTTAATAAAGCTATATGTTATACCTAATTTTAAATATAATATATAATTAATGATAATATTCGTTCTAATCTAATATACAGGAGATAAAAAAATCTAAGAGGGATGCTATAATAATTTACAATATCATAGTATTGAAATTTGATAAAAGTTCAAAATTAAAAATACAACAAAAAATAGCCAATCAATAGTTATATTTTAGTTGATATTGCTATCAAATATGTTTAATCCTATTTTAATTGAAAGTTACTTGGCTTACTTTGTATAATTGAAAGAAATTCAATAATATGATATAAAGAGCAAGTTAAGTTAATGTAATTCTTCATTCAGAATGACTCTGCTGAATGTGATTGATCTTAAACACTGAATATTTTTACAATCATGGAAATGCTATTCTCACAACAAAACCAATAGAAGCAGTACATACTTAATTTTGAGTCATATTTAGAATCATGACTAATAACTGTAGGATTTCGATTAAAATTTCGTAAAATGCATTAATATACTAATATGACTGAATATTTTAAGAAACTGTAGATCAATTAGAACTTCGATTCGAAATCTTTGAGCAAGAACAAGAGAAATTAGAGTAATAATGATATTTTGAAAAAATATTTATTAATTAATGTCATATAAAATTTCATTAGTAGGTCTGGAGGGTAGTGGGAAAACCACATTGGCAAAAGCTTTGAATGAGCAACACTAAATCAACAATATACAATTGGAAGTCAATGAAGATATGCCAAATTCAGATGTGATGATCTTCTGTTTGGATGGAAGCAACATGCAACAGTTGCATCATAACAAGGCAGCATTAGAGTAGATTAATGGCAAGGAATAATTAATTATCTTGCAAACAAAAGCAGACATTCAAACTATTGAGGAAGGAGAATTAAGAAACTTTTTGGGTGTTGGAGAAGTGCCAATCCTGCCAATTTCAGCTTAAAATGGGGATGGATTGTCTCAATTAATTAATTTGCTAAGTTAGCAGATATAACCAACACAATAGAACTTTTCAGCTGAACCAAGAGTAGTGCCAAGCAGAGGGAAGTATAGAATAAATGAGTAAAATCAAATATCAAAACCAATGCAGACTTTTCAAAATTTAATGAAGGATCACGTATGTATGTATTAAAATTGTAGAAAATTAAGCAACGCACTCCAATGGAATAAGAGTAAGAATATATACGTTTAGAGAAAGAGCGTATAAAGGTAGAAAATATGTCAGCTTAGTTGAATAATTTTAAGAGGAAACTAAAAAAAGAAGGTATTCATATTTAATTCAATTTAGACACATATGATATCAAAGCAACAGCCAATCCAAGAATATAAGTGAATTTAGAATTCTTCTTAACAGACACTCTAGCTCAGTGTGAGTAATAAAAGAATACTTTATCTACTTAAACTGATAAATTGCAAAAGAAACCTGAAGACCCTCCGTACATTCCAAAAAAAACAGGAATTGATGCTGCAACTTAAGTAGAAGATTATGAGCTATTTGATTTTGATAGAGAAGTAACTCCTATTTTGAATGTGATATGCACAAAGACTTTAGAATAAGCAAGTTTAGAAATAGAATAGGAAGAAGAGTTCATGGCTATGGCTAGATTTAAAGAGGCCTTTGAGAATAGAAGAGTTAATGAGAAAAATAAGTAATAGGTGACAGTGGAGAGAGAGAAATAATTGATTGAACAGAAGACTGAAGTACTGAAAAAATACTCTCAGAAATAAGAAAGAATGCAAAAGGTCATTTTCAAAGCATAAGCTCATGCAATTGCCTAAGCATACTTAAAACCATTATAAGGATAGATAATGTAGTAGGTAATTACAAGTGGATTCTATCCAAACGAATTTATGAATCAATTGCAAACCAAATTCATGGACTATTTAGTCGGGAAAACTCAAGAGGAAGTAATAAAACTTGTTGATCTTAATAATTCTATGAAATCTGCATTTAATGTTTCTAATTTTGAATAAATTCCTAAAGTGAGAAAACCATACGATTAATAAATACAAAAGAAGAAGAATAGGTAGGCTTTAAGAATGATTAATTACTCAAATCAAAGAGCCATCCGTGTCTTCTATCAGGATTTAGTTCCTCTTTAGAGTGTGATTGCTATGACTTTGCCGAAATTCTTAGATGGGTCATTTGAAGAATGGAAAAAGACCTATGATTAGAGAGTTGCTGAATTAGAGTAGAAGGCAGAGAGTAATGAAATAAATGAGGAAGATTTTGCAAATTAAAAAAGAACTGAATATCCTGATTTGTAAGAGGGATACTATGGAACATCCATTAACAATTTTACAAGATTCGCTTTTTCAATGGCACATGATTAATATTACCTAACAAGTGATAAACGATTATAGATAGTAGCATATGTTCTAAGAAAAGATGGAACATATGAAATTGTTAATCAGGAATCCAAAAATTATGGAAAAGTATTTAAATGGAAACAATTTAGATTACCAATCAAATAAACTGATGATGAGGCTTTGATATTGAGATTACAAGAAATAGATTCTGATATAATTGCAATAGTTTTTGGATTACTATTGCCTAATTTATAAAATAATATTAAGGCTTTGGAATGGGTGTCAAATGCTAGATTTGGTTTGTATGATGCGTAATATTGTATTCCATTTGCTCAAACAAATGTCAATAAGGCATTCAAACTGGAAGAACTTGTTAAATAAATTGATGACCCAGAATTTGCTGAATCACCTTAAACTGTGTTCATGAGTTGCTTCACTTTGATGAAGCGCTTTAAATAATTTGGTGGATGGTACATTGAAAATACTTAGGCTGCCACTAAAGGCATGCTTGCTTAAGAAATTGAACCATTTTATGAGAAGCTTTCACAGTTTCTTATTGAGATGCATGAGTTCACTCTTGAAAGAGATAGAGATATTATTTAAGCCATACAGGACAAAGAGAAAGAAAAAGATGGCATATTAACCAATCAAGAATTATAAATGAGTAATCATATCAATTTAAATCTTTAGTAATCACCAAATCAAAATTACCATAATCTAAAAAAATGCCGACAGAACCTAATGCTACTGATTCTGCTCTACCATCATCGAGACCACTTGAAGAACCTTCTGATTACACTAAATCCTAATTCAACTCCACGATTCTAGAACCAGTAATATTGGATATGAGTGATCCCTTTGAAACTGTGGAATCGTAATTGATAAACCATCTTACTAATGTTGCTTAAAGGTTGGTTAACAGTTGTACTTGGGGATTTGAGTTGAAAGCTAGAGGCAATTCATTCCTCAGAGTGAAATAATTAATTAGAGTAATTTTAATATCAATATTATTTATTTAGCTTAGGAATGTTGGTGATATGACTATTGTAAGAAAGCCAGAACCTCCTAAGGAAGAAGTACCAGTGCAATAAGAAGAGAACAAGGATAATGATGATAATGATAATGATTCCTGAAATGATTTAATATTAAATGAATTATTATGAATTATTAGGAGTGCATAAAGATAGCTCCTCTGAAAACTTTTTGTTAAGTCATTTTTTTTGAATATTCATCTAGATATATATATTTTGATATTAAATAGATTTAACATTTAAATAGAGTAATTTTAGATATGAAGATCATTTAATCTGAAATCCAATATGTAATTGAATCAAAAATTATTGACGATCAATACGACTTAGTTAAGAAATTAATGGCTAAAATTGAATTTAATATTGGTAATTGATATTTTATTTATATATTAACTATTATCATCTCTTATCTAAGGAACTGATCTTTGAGAATATACATTCTATATTTTAATGGACTCTTGTTACTATCTTACTCATTCTCTAAGTTAAAATGTTAATTTGTTATTAATAGTTGAGATATTTCTGATTCTATTCAATAATTTCGTTAATCACTTAAAATTTATGCTCAATTTTCTTAATCTCAAACAAATACTTTCTTTTGGAAGCAGCCAATTGATACTTTAGAGAAATCAATTTTTCCTCTAAATAGAGGCTTTCTCTTTGAGTCTGTTGTGGTTCCAGATTTGATATGGATTCCCTTTATTACTCAAAATAATCCAATTCATATAATAGTCTGAAAGTATTCTCATTCTCGTAATGATCCAATTCCTCAATGATGGTCTCCTGTTCCAATAGGTTAATGACAAAGAGTTTATCATCTGGACATACATTCATGGACTAGATCTTTTGGGTGACTTTATTCTTCTTGGTATTATTCATGATATATTCTAGATCACATCTCAAACCATTTAGTTCCTGAATCTAATTGATAAAATTACTTTGTATATATTTTTGTATTCCAATTGAACCTCACTTCTAAAATTATTTAATTCTTCAGTAATAAATTATTCTAATCTCTATATGTCTTGGGTGTCTGAGAACATTTTGAATTGCTACTCGACTCGTCCTTGGCTCTTTTTCTACAAGTCTTGCAATTGATTGTCCAAATAGTTCATCTTCAATGTCAAATCATTCAACTGTTTTTCGAATGGCTTATTTTGGTTATTAGTTTTGAAATCACTGAAACTGGTGTTGGTAGATGTTTCTCTTGATTTATCCCTTATCCTTTCTAGTTCTTCTTGTTTTTTTAGGAGTGTTTTAATTTATTATTCCAGCTTTTAAACATGAGGGATCTCATTGACAATGGGCATCAAAGCATCATGTTACATGCAAACTCGATTTAGATTGGCTAAAATTAATCAAGGATTCTACATTCCAAAATGTTCAATCTACTGTCAATAGAAATGTTTTCCTTTTATTTAATGCTCTTTTTGTTGGACATAAAGTGTTGATCTTTTTATTTTAAATATTTATATTCGTTAAAACAATAAAACTTTATTTCAACTCTTATCACACAATATATCAATATATTAAGTCTACATCCCTTGTAATCCAAAATGGCAATCAATCACAAATAAAGAGAATGATTATTTTAATGAAAAAATATAATTTAACATTTAGAAACAATGTTCAAGTACATAAATATAGATTTTAGGAACATTTTTGTTTCTAAAAAAATGAGTGCTAATTTATGTGAATCAACATAATAAGCGGGGGAATAATAATTTATAAATTCAGGAAAGTCTATAATTATTGATATTTTTATAAGTCTTAATAATAATATTCTTTAATTAATATAAGAATATTATTTATTGATTAAGAAGAGGAAATGAAATGAAAAAGATATGAAAAAAATTACAAATTAAATAAATATGAAGAATCAATTGTCTGTTTTGGGTATGCCAGATTAATTGTTAAGTTCTGACTCTAGTTGATCTTGATTTTCGACTCTTCTTTTTTTATTATATTGGTTGATGTAGCAATTCTAACAGAGTCCGCCTTGTAGATTGAGATGATAAATTACATGCATATAGTTTTTTGTGTGAGCATAGCCAAGGTTGTTTGTTTCTGCCCAATCGATGATAGCAATTGTTGCACATTCCTTTGGCATAATGTTCCTTGTCTGGATGGCCACAAGTGTTGGCTTTTTTGCTTCTGAGGGATATTTAAACAACATACATTTTCTTATTGATTGTCTTTGGTGGGTCCAAGTCCTTGGGAAGAGTCTGCATCTACAACCCATGAGTTGCTGAGTCAACCATCTGTCGTTATAGTAGTTCCTATTACGTCATTTGATAGATGGGAGGGAGGAGCGAGTCGTTCTCTTCGACTTTGATAGGTGGATTGAGGAGATTCAGAGTGGTTTATTGTCTGTCTGCACTGAGATTGAAACGCATGACTAAAACAAATAGAATAGCGATTCTTACACTGAAGAGTTTGCAAAAGTGGATGAAAGAAATTCATTTTTATGTATTTTTATTAATTAATATATTTTAAATTTTAACGATCATGAATACCTCTTTTCCAAAGATGTCCACCTCATCATTAAGTTAAACCACTTCTCAAACCAACTTTTACGATTCAAGTCCAATGTCATCATATTCAGCAAAGCAATTGACTTCAAATGACAATTTTAAAGTGGTTGTCCGTGTAAGACCTCCTCTATAGAGAGAAGTGATAGATGGACGATTCATTTCCACTATTCAAGTGTCACCTGATCACAAAAAAATCTGTCTCTACGAATATTATAACATCGATTTAGTGGATCCAGAGCATCTTGAAGAATACCTCAACAACCCAAACAGCTATACAATGCACACCTTCTCGTTTGATTACGTGTATGATTAAGATAATACACAGGAGGAAGTATACGATAATACAGCAAGACACGCAGTGCTCTCCGCTCTTCAAGGTTTCAACGCCACCATCATGGCCTATGGACAGACCGGCACAGGCAAGACATATACAATGGAGGGATTTAAATACAATTGTATAGATCCTTAAAGAGGTATCATCCCAAGAGCAATCGAGGAAATATTTAAGCACATTTCAAATGGATCCAATGAATCCACCACCTTTATGGTAAGAGTGAGCTATCTCTAAATATACAACGAAGTCATAAGCGATTTGCTAAGGAGCGATAGACAGAACTTGCATATCCGAGAAGACAAGAAGAGAGGAGTATTTGTTGAAGGTCTTTCCGAATGGGCTGTTCGAAATCCTTCAGAAATCTATTCCTTAATTTAAAAAGGAGCCTAGTCCAGAGCCACAGCAAGTACAAAGATGAATGATGTAAGTAGTCGATCTCATGCAGTTTTTATAATAATAGTAGAATAAATGACAGAAATTGACAATCATAAATCCATAAAAGTGGGAAAACTAAACTTGGTAGATTTAGCTGGAAGTGAAAGAGTTAGAGTCACTGGTGCTACAGGCAGGAGATTAGAAGAATCCAAGAAAATCAATTAGTCCTTAAGTTGTTTAGGTAATGTTATCTCTGCATTGATCGAATAAAAAACCCACATTCCTTACAGAGATTCCAAAATTACACGTCTCTTGGAAGACTCTTTGGGTGGTAACTGCAAAACAACTATGATGGGAATGATATCACCAGCTATTGATGCTTTTCTTGAAACATTGAGTTCAGTCAAGTTTGCCAATAGAGCTAAAAATATCAAAAATAAAGCAACTATCAATGAGGATGTGGATCAAAAAGCACTCTTAAGGAAATATGAATGTGAATTATAGAGGCTAAGAAAGGAGCTTCAAGAAAAGAATAAAACTATAATAGATTCTACGAAATTAAGTCAATTAGAGGAAGACAAGAAGAGAGCAGAGCAAGATAAGAATGCTGCTATGGCTGCACTTGAAGCAAGGAGCAAATAGTTTTTCATTGAAAGAGAGGAGAAGAAAAAGTTAGAAGAGAAGATTCGATAAATCAATAGTTAAATGTTAATTGGTGGATGCAATATCGAGAATAGTCCATAATTTAGAAATGCCATTGAAGAATAATAAAAATTAATTAGAGCCCAATATGAGAAAAAGATAACAGAATTAGAAAAGGAAAGATCTTAATTAGAAGAAGATAAGGTCCAAGTGGATAGATACAAACAATTAACTCTCAAATAAAGAGATATTATGATTGCTTTGACAACCAGGTTGAATGAAAGAGATGAAACCATAGTTTAATTATAAGATGAACTCGATGCCTACGATAGAATCCATAGGGAAACAGAGAGCATGCTCGATTAGAAAATATAACGAGTCTAATAATTAGAGGAGTATGTCAATCAAATGGGAGGCAATCTCCCTAATGCTCAATAGATTTAATCGATTAGGTAAAATAAAGTCAAAGATTGTGTCACTCAGGATGGCTAGGAGACTTACAATATAACAAAGGAGAATTTATAGGATTATGAGTCTCAGATTGAATAGTTAACATTAATAAATTAGGAGTAGGATCAAGAGATTTAAAGATTAAATAATCTGTTACTGAATCATGAGAATTCGAGCTTAATGGATTATGTGAAATGTATCTAATGTTTTAATTATTGTAGCTTCTGTGGATAATATTATTGATGCATTGTCCTAACCCAATGATGGATTAAAGTTGTAGAGTGTTGCCAAAGATTTGATTAGTCTCTAAAAGATTCTCCAAGGTGAACAACAGCAATCAAGTCATGCTTTTTCAAACATCTAAAATATTGTTCATTCAAGAAAAGAATCTCCCTTGCATACTAATTAATCCAAAAAGTCTTTAAATAATTCCTAAAATTATGAAGAAGACGAATAACCTCGTTAGTTAAATAACTTTTATACTTTTTCCAAGTATCCAATATATACATATTCTAGTAAATCGTAGACTTCCTCAATGAAAAAATAAAAGGATCCTTCTCTTCCTAAACCACAAATAAATGTGTAAGACATCATCAAAATGAGAGAAGTAAAAAGGAACCTCTATTCTTGATTTATTATATATACAACATTAATATTTAATAAAAATGAGTAATGAGGAATACATTATTGATAACTTAATTACAGAAGCTCGTTTCTTTATTGATCACAAGGACGATAATGAAACATTTCTAAGTCAGGGATAAGATTGTATAGATAAGATCAACTAAATACTAAAGAAAAATATTAGGTATTCGAAATTTGTAAATTAAACAGATCCTCTTTTCTAGATATTTCTTAAGAAGTCATGATCAAGTATTGCGAGGCTTGCCTTGTTGTGCCAGATAAAGCCCACATAGCTCAATAATATATAGACCTTTACTTTTAACGCAACTCTTCTTAGGGACAGTTTTACATTAGAGCCTTGTTCATAAAAGCAAGACTGATATCTATGAATGGTCATGACAGACTACTGAAGGCGGAAGACATGATCAAGAATTTGAAATTGTCCTTGACTTTTGTTTAATAAGGATTGGACATCATTTCGAAACCGGAAAATAAACAGAAGTACGGGTTTCTTATTTATAATGCTTCCATTTGCGTATATAATATCATAAGACCCATGCTTAAGCCGTAATGGCAATTATCATTTGTGGATATTTTGGACAAAATAGATAGAATGTTTGAAGAAGTGGACGAGGCAGACTATGATTGGAGATGCAGATTCACTTGGCTCTTGTTCTATTGCTTGTATGACGACAGGAAGGCAGACTCATTTAAACTACTGGATAGACTGTGGGAAACAACTAAAAAGAAGGGAGATTGCGATTTTCAGAATTCACTATTGAGACTGAGAATTCACATCGGTAAGGAGTATAAGTAAGCCTTGGATTCGGCATTCAAGGAATCAGAAGCTGCTCCATCAGAGAAGGCTTGGAAATCATTATTCATGCTGTAGAAAATGAGGAGTGGTTTGATTCCAGAAGCTTAAGTCGAAAAGGAATTAATAAATTTAATCAACTCCATTTCAAGTGCTGTGTTGCCTGGGAATGAAGTGGCAGCCACTAATAAGTTAGCACCGGTATTCTAGGAAAGATTGGCTGAATCAGGAAGAGTAGCATTACAATATAATTTAGTAAATATAGCTGATTCAATCACTGCATTTTTGAGTAGAGTCCGATAACTGCACTAAAAGGCCTACATTTTACACGAATATAATAAGGCTGAATTATTTATAAAGAAGGCAGGCCCTTTGATTGATAATAAGACTGGAATGAGGTTGAATTCATTATAGATTAAAATGCAGGAGGTGGAAAGAAGAATTGAAGCCTTAAAAACGATGGAGAAAGTTATGGTAACTAATAAAAAATTAAATGATCCCGATCTCATCTTTGAAGGAGCTGTCTTGATTTGGAATATCTCGTTGCCATTTCTAAATGCTCAATATAGAATTCATGTGTATAAAGCCTTTTCTATGGCGTGTCAACTATTGGAGTAATTGCAATGTGTAGATCACGCTTTGAGAGTGAATTTCCACATTGAATTGGCAAAGAGTGATTTATAAGAGGATTTAGCAGTGAAAGCAGAATAACACATTAAAAAAGCATTGCAATTGGATTATAGTGTACCATTAGGGAAGGTGCAATTCAAATATGATGAGGGTGAAGATTTAGGCTTATATTAACGACCTTATGATAAATATTTAAGGAATCTAGAAGAGAAGATCAGACTAAAATTAAATATTTATTAGGAACCGAAGAATGATATTGAAAGAGTTATCACTTAATTAGAGAATGTATAGGCAGCTAAATCAGAGAATTTAAGAATTGATATTCTATAAAAATGTTTGGGAACTATTGTTAATTTGTAAGAGTAGGAATATTGGTATGACACTAAGTTGGACTTGGTTGAAGAGGAACAAAATAGAGAGAAAGTATTAAAGAAATAAGAAAACTTATATTAATTCAAATAAAAGAAATTATTAGCAGCAGAAATTGCTAGATTAGCATTTGAATGGGAATTCAATGATTTAGCATTTAAAGCTTGTGAGTTTGTATGTAATGACACTTGGGATGTGAAGAATGCATCAGAAATGATACTTGCTCAAGTAGAATGCTAATATAGAATGGCATAAATGATTATTGATAACTTGATTAAGGATAATTTTGAAATACCCTTTGCTGATCCTATTCGAGTAGAAGAGAATGAAAACGTAGAAGAATTAAGTCAAGAAAAAAAGGATTAAGTATTATCTTTAAAACGAAAAATGTGTTCAAATTTTGTCAAAGGATTAAAATTAGCAGATTCTATCAAATAAACTTGGTTAGTGTTCAATGGAGCTATTTATATTTGGAATAATTTCCTTACAATATTTCGTAATCCTATTAATGATAGCAAATTGCTGCCAGAAATAACTAACTTATTGAAGGAATTCTTTGAGATAATGAAGAATTCACTAAAGGAAATTGAAAAAAAGCTGATAAATGATTATGACATCGATACGAAGATCTAAGTCTTAGCTAATATAGGTTTAGTGTATGCAAGGTTGATGGAAGGGAAGTCTTAATATGATGAGGTAATG